GGCTCTTTTCCTGAACAACAGCGGCAAGAGGAGTGAGTGTTGGGTTGGGCTCTTGATGCATCGTTGCAGCGACAAACTCCATGACATTGTCTTCTGGCATTGGCTCGAGGGCAATGCGTGTGACGTTGGGCATATCGGTTTCAAATAAAGACCGAATCTGGTCAGACTCAATCTCATCCTTGCGGCTTGCAAGAATAAGCACGCATGGCAGCTTCGTTTTGATTATGTTCAATACCAATTCCAAGGTCTCGTCATCTGCATACTCGAGGTCATCCAAGCACACGGTGATAAGCTTGTATTGGCACAGTGTTCTCAGAATTTCAACGAAAATATCCATCAAGCGCATGTTGTTTGAAGCAGCATTTGACAAAAAGAAGTCAGCAGATGTTTGGCCTTGATCCATCCATGGAATATGAAGCCGCTTAGTTGGGTCCTCACGGGCCTCCGGTTTAGCGATTGGCTGGGCAAGAGAGACTCTTGGGGATGGCTTGTATTTGGCTCCCGGTGCCATTAGTTGCTCCGGCAGATCTAGCACCTTGTGGAGTGTGGGCCACATGGACCGCAAGGCTGATCGAATGCTGTTGTGGTAATCGGTATTGACATCTTGCTCCGAGAAAATTTGGCGCAAAAGGCTAGCCAAGACTTTCGCAAACGGTTCAAAGGGCACCCGCTTGGCTCTGTCCAGGCGCGTAATTGCAATGTACCCACCCTTACGGATGAGTGGTTGTACCCGGTTCAGAAGGTCCGTCTTGCCAATCCCAGCAGCACCACTAATTGTAATCACCTCACAGCGTCCATTGTGGCGAAATTTCACTCCGGTCTTCTGTTTCGCAAGTGAGGTCAACGAATCAGTTTGACTGAAGGCCTGAGTTGATGGTTGGCTGTTGGTGTTGGTACTAACAGAAGGATGGCTTTCCCTGTCCGTGGTATGCGAGGATCGAGAATGGGAAGGACTTTTCATTTTGGTAGGGATTTGCACAGGCGGTGTTTGGCTCAATGATTCCGGACCTGCCGAAGTTTGCCTCAGCCTTGGAGGAGGGGACGTGTCATTGCTCGCGATGGACTCTTGGGGGTTGACATGTGCAATATGATATTGAGTGGTATTCGAGCTGCTTCGGGGAGGTAGATGGAATGAACCGGAGTCACTGGAAACAGATGCAAGGTCGAAACTATCCACACGCCCTTCCGAGATCGAAGAATTAGAGGCTATTGCGTGAGCTGTTGCGGGGCTTTGCACAAATGCTTTAGCACATGCAGCCGCCTGGCGCTTTTTGACCTTCTCGACTACATTGATGATTGTGTCATATTCTTTCTGTCGGCCAATCATTCGGGAAGGAAGTGTGAAAAAAGATGGCACGTCTCGCTGGGCGATCTTGAAATCATTCAAGGCTTCGCTTTCTCCGTCACCTAACAATTTAGCTATTTCTGCCAAGTCCCGCTTGACGGAAGAGATTGTATGGTAACGGTCATGCACGACCTTTTGCGTCATTTTCTGGACAACGGCTGAGAGAGCATCGGGGATATCCATCCTTTTCGCCGAAACAGGTGTCAACTTCTTGGTCAGCACATTCTGGACCACTTCAACGGGGTCAATGCCTTCAAAAGGCAGTTTCCCGACGAGCATGGACCAGAAGAAGAGACCAAGGGCGTAAATATCCGTGCGACTATCTGGCTCTGTAGGCATCCTGCCGGTCTGCTCTGGGGCGATAAATTGTAATTTGTACTTGGCTCCAAGCTCCCGGGAAACAGAGGACCAGCCTTCACTCAGCACATTATCAAACGAACGTGCACCGTTGCCCATATTAGAGAGTTTGACGGATCCCATTTCGCTGCTAAAATGAAATGCATCGCCACGAATCTCTCCATGAACAGTCTTCATACCATAATGCAAAATTTCTAGGCAGTCGCACGCTCCAATCGCAAAATCGAAAAATGCCGACAGGTCGACCTGCTCGTTGGGGGTTGTATTTTGATCGCCTTTGGTCCCCGCGACAAAGGATGCAGGGCCAAATGTGACTAGGTCGCGCAATCTGTCGTGGCCGGGAGATTCGAAGATAGCCACTAAGAGGGACCCTCCATTGACGGGATCGGCAGGAAGTCGTATTAAGTCGATCGGTCGCACGGTATGGTTGCAGTCTGGGTCCGACGATTGTACAATAGACCTAAGCATATGAAACTCGCGTTCAAGGCGGATGAAATTGGTCGAGACGCGGGCCACAACCGGTATCCAGACTTGTTCATGTTCGCCTCCTCGTGAGAGCGACAGCTCACTGCTAGTCTCGCTCACACTAAACCTCCGATTGGAGCCTCGCGCGGAAGGGCGTATTTCGGTGCGGGGGGAAAATCGGGTCAGGCTAGAAGGACCGGAGGAGGCAGGGCCGGAGGAGGTCGCGATTGGGGTGGAGAGGTCTGAATCAACGGCATGGCGAAATCCCGATATGTGCCAATGATTGTAGGTGGAGTGGAAAGGCTCGACGGACTGATCCCAAGTATAACCAGGCAAGTGGCCTAGTCGTTCGAACAGTCGGGCAGGTGGTAGCGGCAGGTCGTCGCTAAATAAGTGACTCTCCTCCATCTCAGGGGGGAATAAGCAGATGTCTGCAGCGCTATAGCCATCCAAGCCTGGCCAAGTTTGGTTTACCGACTTCGTCAAGTAGAGCGGGATCGCAGCGGGATAGACATGGGCCCAACCGGCGCTAGTGATAAATGGAGATAATCAGTCCCCAAATCCAAGTGTGTCCAGCTGTCGCTTCGGAAAAGGAGGAGTTAACAGGTCCTAGCACACATGCAGAATCACAAGATAAGGGGAGGGGAAACCATCAAGTATGTAGCTCGTGCAAAAACCACAGCGCATGCGATAGTGGGACGGGAAATCTATTTTGCGGGTCACAACGACTCAATTCGGGAAGTATATATTGCGTTATGTGCATCACCACTGTCAATGTTCAATATTCATCCTACACCGTAGACTCCAAATAATAAGGTTGGATTTGCAAGTTCATGACAGTAACGGTAAAGGCATTTTGTCCGTCTATTTAGGTAGTATGTTGTCCTGCCCACCAGAACAAGATCGAAATTAGTGGCTGGTCTTATTTCTGTTCTTGGGGTTACTACACGGGTAACACTGTATAGAACTCAACAGTGGAACCCTTCGATCCACCTCTTCACCTGAGCATTGTCATTTCATGTCTTGATTGAATCCTCTTCCAATCCCCCAAACCCAGGCCCTTACTGTCGGCTGACACCGGTACACCGGACCACGATCGGAAAACTCGGGTCCGTATCAGTCAGAAGCGTTTGTTCCCAATCCATGACCGCCCCCCGTGGACCAATACGAGCCCGGCTAGTCAGCCTTAATGGCTTTTAGGTATCCCCAAAGCCTATGGACATCGTCTCTCCCGAAAAGCCAAGAGATTCCTTCATGGAGGCTTCAGCCCATGACGTACCACGGGGTATTCTCAAGGTCATTTTCAGTGACTGATATGATGTTCTACATTAATTTTTCCCCCAGCCTTTTCCTGCTGCAAATTCATTCTCGATTTGACAATCTGAAAGGGTTCGGTTCGAGTCGCGCGTTAGTCGGCACGGCTGGAATGGCCCAATATGCCAGATGACGACAGGTCCGCGCGGGAGGACTCGCACCTGGTGATGATCGGATGACCCAAAGGGAGACAGATCGTCGGGGGTCAAAAAGGGGATTCCCTCGACGAAGCCATTTGACTCCATTCCAAAAGGGGGGTAGGAAAGCGGGTTCACGGTGGTCCCGAGAGCGCCACATCAGTCGATCGCTTCATTTCCAGGGGGGCCACTTTGGGGGTGGATTTTTCTGGCTTCTAGAAACACCGCTAATGCGACCCCTGGACCTTCTCGCTTGCATCACCATGCGGCGGTTTGGCATTGATCGACCTTCAGACGCAGCGTTGGCCGTGGGGTCTAGAATTAGGGCAGATGGAAAGGCGCTTGCACATTCCAGTGCTCAGGTGCCTTGGACCATGCAGTGGACTCCATAACGTACTTAGTATGGACTAATCACACCTACACAGTAAGATTTTCAAGGAAATCGAATCCGTTCCCCGTTTTCATTGATTTCCCGGACGGTTTTCTTGCCACCACATAGGCCATTACCGGTGAATTGATCAGTGCGTTAATAGTGTATTTAGAGAAACGGGTTTAGCCTCACCATCAAGATTATAGTAGTCATCACTATAGGCAACGATAAGAAACCGGTGAAAAGGAGGTTGGGAAATGGACGGGGATAGGATTCCCCTGTTCTCCCCCTGTATTTTGATAATGACTCTACGGTATTAAAGGAAGTTTCAAAATCGGAGTCCTGGTGGTCATTTGACGAACTCCTCTTAACCAATGCTTCGGCTTCTTCGACACCGTATGTATTGTCTAGGAATAGTCTCGTTTTATTTCCACAAAGACGAATCAAAACCCAGATTCCAACGTCAAGCCACCAAATGTAGGTTTTTTTGGCTTTGCTTTTTCTTTTATGGACACAGGGCCACACTACGTCATAGCACCCCCCGGAGACCGTCCTTCAGAATCCACTTTTTTTCCCTCCTTCATCCACTCCTAAGTCGATCCAAGCAATGGGCTGGCGGGTACTGACGCCAGTTTCCAGAGTCACTCTTGTCTGGTTCCCTCGATCCCGATCAATCCCCCTCAAACCACACCCACAACACCTCTGGTCTTGTTGTGCCCTTCCCCAAACACCTTTCGTTTGCCTGTAGGGCCTCTAGTCGTCTGAGCTTATTCGTCCCAACCACCATTTTGCGATCCCTCTGCTTGACATTGTTTTTTTTATTCTTGCATATTTCTTCCCTTTTCGTGTTACCAGTTCGTTCTTCTCTTAAGCCTCTGCGTGAACGACTTTGCGTTCCCCCCCCACCCACGAATTTTGCGAACCGACCGTTGCGGCCGAGACATGAACGCCTCACCCTGCTCCCGCGTTGTCGTCGTCCAGGAGTATTGATTTGCTCGGAGTGTCGAAAAGAATGGGGGACGTGCATAACAGGAGGAGCCCTCCCTTCCCATCGCCAACAGAGACTGTGTCGCCCGTTGCGGTATCGCAACCTCCCCTCCTACAAGCCCCGCGGTCGCCGAAATATCCCCTGGACCATGATCATGCAGGTAGATCCAAGGATGGACTTTTACTCGGGCTAGATGGATTAGCGAAGTCGACAACCCGCAAACCTCGTTTTTCGCGGGGCGATTCTGCCGAGCAGGTTTCCAGCCTAACACCGATCACAGAGGATACACGATCTATCGGCGAGCGACAGGAAGACCAGGGTCGGAGTTCACAAACTTTGAAGGAGCTGCGAAGACAGATGGAAGAGCTCCTTGTGTATCAACAAATGCAGCAACAACAGGCCCCAAACCAGGTCCCTTCTGGACAGTTGAACGAGCCTCCCAAGAAACGATGCCTATCCACCTCGTCTGTGACAGACCTGCCCAACGCGATCGCGCAACCTTCATCTGGCTCACTGGGCTCCGGAGGGACTATCAAAGCCCCATCCCCCAACCAAAGTGCTGTCCAAACACCTTGTTACCCCTTCCCCAGAGTACAAGACTCGATGAAACCTAGCTCGGAGCAAGCAGGACGTGATGGCCAGTTTCGCTTGAAACTTCCATCCGAAAAGCTGAGGTCGTCAGGATCCCAATCACCAGAGGAGAAACCCACCCCCGTACAGCCTTCGTTTCCACCAAGCTTTCTACCAGCCCAAGCAACCGCTATACCCGATGATCCAGATTTTGCCACTCCCAATTTGTACGATTTGACGCTGAAGCTGAATGCGGATGCCGGGTTAGATGGATGGTGGTCGAACCTCGTTGATATTCTGCAAGCAAATTACGGCGCCGAGCGGGTATCACTTGCGGTTCCAGGCGATGCGACAGATCTAGAGAATGTGCCATGGGGTCAAAAGGCGATATTCAATCAACATGGTAGCCCATCAGTAGATGCTGGCCAGACACCATATTCGCATGACTATGTACCACCGGACACACCTGTCGTGCGGACTTTTAGCAACGAGACAAACCTGGCATCGGATGAGATCTCGACCACTTTCTCGAGCTCTTCCGCGAAGGCTTCATCTCGACCTCCCTTGTCTTCGCGTCATTCTTTTGCCGGGTTTGGCCATGGGAAAAAGCAGCCTCTGGACCAGGGTTCATCCCAGCAACTGTTGAAGTCCAACAGCATCAAATTGGAGAAAAAGCATGCTCGTATTGCAGATGAATTCTCGGCCGATATTGCGCCATGTTCGAGCAGTCAGCGTCCTCAACCACAAACCGAAGCGAGTGAGGCTCCGGACAACTTGACCCCTGTGCGACAGGCAGTGTTTCCTATATCAAGACCTTTGGAGGTTGAGTCAGACCCTCTCATCAAACGTACTGGTGTAGTGAAGCTGTTTGGCCGAACAAGCCCTGTCATCCTCACGCGAGAATATTCAGAGAGCTCAGCCCATGTTTTTAGCAAGCTAGCCCGGAGTCCACTAGAGACCGTCCAAGTTACGCCAGGGACTGAACCGCCCAGGACTCATGTAACTGCTCCAGCGGTTTCTTTGCAACAGGAACCTGCGACTAGCCTTGCTGCCTTGGGCCTACGACAATATGATGAATACGAGCAGGCCCCCCAGTCACCGTGGTCCCAATCCCCTGCGCCTTCTCCAGCACCTCGCACACATGCCGACCAAAACCCTTTCTTCACAAGTCATGCAGTCGACGAAGGTGCATTTGAGAAGAATCCACCTGCCCATGATTACTCCAACACACGTCCGTTAGAGGCCATTGGAGTCGACCACTCCAAGACCGTGATTCACATCCCTCTCTTACACCGGGGTCGCTCTGACCAACCCTCCTCGTCAACTTTAATGTTTCCTGTGGCCGTTATCTCCTTGCTGTCCACAATTATGCCATACCCGCCCAACCTTCGTAGATCCCTCACAGATCTCATGCCTCACTTAACGACCTCGTTTTGCTTGGCTCAGCAATATAGTCAACTCGAACGTCAACTGACGACAAAGGTGGAAATTCCACGTTACGGTCATTTATTAGGTCTTGGTGGCACCTTCTCTGATGCGAGCAGCGAGCTGGAACTCGTCGCAGGATTGAGTGGCCATGTCAGTTATTCTGTTGGGGATGAGGGCTCTGTATCCGCCCGAGCAAGTGTCGCCAGTCCAAGTGACCGCTCGTCTACAAAGTTTAGCCCTGCTATCTCAAGCTTTGGAACTCCTGGTTTTGAACTTGGCCACGCAGGACTGGGTTCAGCAGGTCTATCCCCAGCAATCACAGGACGCGACATCACCGACAGTTATTTCACTGCTCAGCATCCCAAGCATCCCCGTGAAAACGGAGCGCAATATCGACAACGGATACCTAAAGCTAAGATGAAGCCTGCCGAATCAACTCCGACTTCTCCCGGGAAATTCACTGGAAGCGCATCCAATATTGAAGAAACCAATCCCCAAGATCCGAGCCTTTCTATGACATCTCAAATGCAAGATATGAGACCGCCATCACTGGTCTCTCCGACGCAACCATCGTCGCGACAAGCATCGACAAATTCATTTTATGCTCAGCTGCAACGTGAACTACCCCGTCCTTTTTCTGACACTATAGCACAGCTGATGCTCAATTCGATTCCACTTCATCTCTTCCTGGCCAAACCCCAGAGCGGCGAAGTGATATGGACCAACTCTAAATTTGATGCGTTCCGGAGGAGCAAGCCCCAGGAACAGAGGTTGCGAGATCCTTGGCAAAATATTCACAGCAGTGAGCGAGATCATGTTTTTAGTGAATGGGAAAATGCTTTGCGAACAGGCTCCCAGTTCACTGAAAGAGTACGCGTGAGACGGTTCAACGATGAGGGTGCGTATCGCTGGTTCATCTTTCGAGCAAACCCGTTGCTGTCTTCAACCGGAGAAGTTCTTTACTGGATCGGCTCTTTCCTTGACATCCATGAGCAGCATTCTGCTGAGCTAGTAGCCGCTCAGGAGAGGGAGAAGTTTGCCACTGATGCCAAATACCGGGCATTCTCGAATTCAATCCCCCAAGTTGTATTTGAGGCGACTGAAAACCGTGGCCTGATATTTGTTAATGAACAATGGAACTTGTACACCGGACAGCCGCTCGAGGAGGCTCTCGATCTGGGATTTGCCAAGCATGTTCATCCAGATGATTTGGAGAAATGTGGCGGACTCTCCTCAAACACGCGACGTAATACCCATGGATCCGCTGAGAGAAACAAATCTGCAGATGGAGGAAGCGGCCATGCTTCCGAAGTGCACGGTGTTTCATCCGCACTGGACGAACTTGTGAGGCGTGGCGTTGCATCTTTGCAGAAAGATGAAAATGGACGTGTCTTTTATTCCACTGAAATTCGACTTCGGTCCCGAGGAGGTGATTTCCGATGGCATTTGGTTCGCTTGGTTCTTGTTGAAACAAGCAGCTTCGGCAGTGAAGAAGCCTCGTGGTACGGCACTTGTACTGACATAAATGACCGCAAAAACCTTGAGCGTCAACTCAATAAGACAATGGAGTCTAAGACAAAGTTCTTCAGTAACATGTCACACGAGATCAGAACCCCTCTTAACGGAATTCTTGGTACCATCCCATTCATCCTTGATACGCAGCTTGACAGCGACCAGAGGAGAATGCTGGATACCATCCAGAACAGCTCTATCAATCTTCGTGAATTGGTGGACAATATTTTGGATGTTTCTCGTGTTGAGGCCGGCAAGATGTCTCTAGTCAGCTCTTGGTTCCATGTCCGATCCATGATTGAGGATGTGATTGACACTATCGCTTCCCGAGCCATTGATAAAGGTCTCGAGATCAATTACCTGATGGCTCAAGATGTGCCATCAATGGTTATCGGTGATCGATTCCGTATCCGCCAAGTCCTCATCAATCTTGTCGGCAATGCGGTCAAGTTTACCGCTCAGGGCGAAATCTATATCTGCTGTAATCTCAGTCATGACGCGTCGCTCAACATTGAACCCACTGAGACTTTCTTGGAATTTGATGTTGTAGATACCGGCAAAGGTTTCAGCCAGACTGATGCGGACCGTCTCATGCAAAGATTTAGTCAATTGGGAGAGAATGGGTCACAGCAAAATGCTGGAAGTGGACTCGGATTGTTCCTGTCCAAGCAGCTTGTTGAAATGCATGGCGGCAAGCTCACGCCCAGCAGTATGGAAGGCAAAGGAGCCAAATTCTCCTTTAACGTCAAGGTTGATGCTCCCTCTCCTCCATCACCTTCTGAGAGACCCAATTTACTCCGCCAAGCCTCGACTGCCTCTAGAAGACCAGTGACATCTAGGACAACATCTTACGATCAATATGCACTGTCCCCGCTGCGGAACTTTGATCCTAAGTTACAGGATCCGTCCACTCTCTCCCCGGGGCTTGATTCTCCTGCATCATGGTCTCACTCACCCACCTTTAGCAACACTGGCGCAAGCTCTGACACCAAGGGCGTGAACTTGCAGTCGTCGACCTATTCTGCTCCCCCAACTCCGGATATTTTTACTGCTCAGTCACCAACATTGAACTTGCCAAAAACCGAGGGACATGCGCATACAAACCCGCAACAATCCAGCACAGAAAGTTTAGATGGTTCTGTAACAAACCCTCCCGTTCGTTCGACTCCACCAGTCAGCATTTCTGAAGCTCCTACCAAAGTGTCCACAACGGCTGGAGTTGCTCCGCAAGGTTCTATTTCGATTTTTATCCTATGTCCCCTTGACAATACACGGCGATCGACAAAGCAACACATCCAGCAAGTTGTACCACACGAGGTTCCTTACAAGATCACTACTTTGTCGGATGTTGATGAGTGGAAGGACATGACGCAATCGGGCTCCAATGTGCCTTGCACCCATCTGGTTCTCAATCTGCCTGCGACCGATGACATTTTGGAGGTTATCCAACATGTGTCCGAGTGTGAGCCCAACAATGCTCCTGTGATCGTGATCATCTCAGATTTGTACCAGAAACGTCAGATCAGTACTCGCGTCAAAGAGCTGGCTACCTCGGGAAAGAAGGTCTTCATCGTGCCGAAGCCTGTCAAGCCCTCTGCTTTCTCGACCATCTTCGATCCCGAGAGCAAACGCGAGCTGAGCAAGGATCGCAATCAGGATATGGCTCGCGAAATCAACAACAACTTCAAATCCATGTCCAAGATGGTCAAGGAACAGCTTGGAAACAAGGGGTATCGCATCTTACTCGTTGAAGATGACGAGACCAACCGTGATGTATGACCCATTCATTCCTTTGATAAGAATTCCGATGATGCTAATCAAGTACCTAGGTTATGCTGAAATACCTTGACAAAATCAAGCTGATGTCGGAGACTGCATCCAATGGCCAAGAGGCTATCGATATGGTCTTCTCCAAAGAGCCGGGCTACTTCTCTCTCATTATTGTAAGTTTTCCTTTTCTCCTTCGCGCAGGGGAGTCTAGCTAATACATTTCAGTGTGATATTCAAATGCCCATCAAGAACGGATACGATACCTGTCGAGACATCCGTGCCTGGGAGCAAAAGAACCACTACCCCCAGATTCCGATCATGGCTCTGTCAGCCAATGCGATGACAGAACAAATCGAGAATGCCGCACGTGCGGGCTTCAATGACTATGTCACTAAGCCCATCAAGCATAACGAACTGGGCAAAATGATGATGGGACTTCTCAACAGCCATCAACCACTTCTCCTTCTTCGAGATCGGTTGCATCCTGGCAATCCACAAACCACTACTCGCCGTTAGTGGAGACGAATCTTGCATGATGACGTCTACCACGCTCCCGTTCTATCCCATCTGCTTTTGAGACGGCGATAAACTTTGATTATTTGACACTATATTCTCGATTGCTTGTTTTTCAGCCTTTTATTTGCACCTCCAGTACATGATCGAGCGAAACGGTTTTCTGCTTTACGGTTCACGGTGCAACTGGGGTTTTTGATTTTTGAAACACGGAAGAGGAGTGGGGGAATACAGACAAAAGACATGTTCATCACCCGGCGCATGTGCATTTTGTTGTGTGTTCGTTACAGCCGGTTCCCCATCGCATTGGAACTTACGAATCCATCCCCCGAAGACATAAGCATCGCATTTATTGCATTGGACATTGCGCCAGCTCGCCACACTTCAGCATGCGGCATTCCATTCCATTCTTATCGGACGGCCGAGTTATGTGTATTATTTTTTTTTTTTTTTTTTTTTTTTTTCACATCTTCCCCGTCGATGTGGAGGGGTTGGTTTGCTTTGGCCCTGAGACCCGAGTACATGGCGTTCCAGCCCGGGTTGGGCTGTCCTTCATTTTCTATCTCTTGCCAGTGATCAGTCATGATGCTGGTTTTATTTGCTTTAAAATTTTTTTTTTCTTTCACCTGAGATACCAGATTACGAGCGCATAACGACAGCTTTGGACCGATCTAACTTCTGGATCTGTATTTTGTCAATAATAATTCACCTTGGTACCTATGAACTTTCGATCTATGGTGTAACTACTGAAGCCGCAATTTTGTAGCTTAGATACCACATCATTGCACAGCTGGAGCTCCTCATGCGGACTAGAGGTCACTCGAATATTGTCTCGACGGATCTATTACCCGTACAGACGAGTTCTGTGTCCTCATTGGATTTGAAAATCCCGGGATGGATGGTCAGTGAGGAAGACATTACAAAGTCGAAGAAACGGCAAAGACTAAGAATTCTAGTCACGTTGGGAATAAATTACATATAGAGAGAGAGAGAGAGAGACGTCTTTGATCTCTCAAGGGCCATAACTAGCTGAACGAAATATAGGATAGTTAATGAATGTATGCGAATAGTAATAACCAAGCGTGTTTCGCGCAAATTGAAGCAAGGCCAATATCCCACCTTCCATCAATCCATCAATCCATCAATGAAAACACAGGTTGAGTTGAAAGGCGCAAGTAAAATTCCCTAAAGGACCCCGTGTGTTGAATTTCGATACTTTGGGCTCAGACGACGACAATAAAGCTTCCAAATGGCACATTTCCAACCATCGATACTAAGACGGGCAACGATTTCGGGATCTTAGACCTTCTTAACGCCAGTCTTCCAGTCCTTGTCACCAGTGGTGGTGGACATGACACCAGGGACAGTAGTGTAAGACCTGACGGCTGAACAGATGGCAAACTTGGCCATCGGCCTGCTTCCAGAGCGCATAAGTGCAGCTACTTCTGTGGTTGCACAGCGCGATGCACTCCACGAATGGGATGCCAGTCGCCTTGATGATGGGATCGTTGGTATTGTGGTCTGCGATATAATTAGCCCCGATCTCAATATCTGCTGGGAGTAATATTTGAATGAAACTCACGTCGGTCACAGTAGATCTTGTACTTCTGACCAGCCACCTCCACCTCCTCCTTATCGTGCTGATCGCCTTTCAGGTTCCATTAGTAAAGTTTTTTTGTCTTCGGGGGCTGTCAATTTCCACAATGATTTAAGACTCACATCGTGCACTTGTAAACCTAAGACCCTTTGCCTTGAGCGCGGCCTAGCACTTTTGCAGACCATCCTGGCACTTCTGCTTATTATTCTGGCAGTCCTCGAGATCATCGTCACATTGTCCAGGGGCGAATGGATCATTGGTATTCGGTGCGAAAGGGTCGTCATCCACCTTCTTCATGAGGAACACATCAGTTGCACCAGTAACCATGTCCTTTTCGTTCTCATCGCCGACAATGCATCGATTATAACTGGGCCCGAAAGAGCAGTAGGAGGTAGAAGCGTCTTTACAGAGCTGTGCACAGTCCTGGGAGGTGGCGACGTTGTCGTGAATTGTTCCAGTTCGGTACTTGTCACATTCCGATCATACCCGCTAGAGCTAAAATCGATCGTTGATCCGAACATAGATGACGGCTTGATGTGGAGAATCATGTACCTGCTCTGTAACCGATCTCTTTAATTTACAGGTAAGCTAGGACTGCATACAAGAAGCAAATATTCCAATATCAAAGCGTGCCTGATCTGCGCGCTGCAGGGTCGACCCGTCCCGCCGGTACAGCCCTCAACCCAATGGATCATTGTGACCCGAAAAAGACGCAGATTCCCCATGGCCGCTATTGGTTCTGTGCTTCTTCTCTAGTCTACAAGAGCTATGGCTCGTAGGCTATAGAGCCTCGAGCTATCTATTGCCTCTACAGACGTGGAGACATACCGATATTGAGGAAAAAGAAAAAAAATGGCATACGTAGACACGCTACAGAGACTATCCCAGAGAGCTTTTCATGTATCAAGTGTGTTACACGGTTTTCTAATCAAGCCAGACATACCTCAAACAGCTGATTCTCTCCTCCGTTCCTGCAATAGAAGCCACAGTTACTCTAGATCAGCTGAAGGAAGTGCCACGTACCTTGTGACTACATTATTTCTGGTAAGAGTTTCATGCAAGGACTGAGTGGATCGCCGAAACTAGATCAAATCACAGATCTGGCCTGAATTTTCGATCTACGCATACCTCATTGATAGAATCACACAGAATGACCTGCGAAATTGCACTACACATGTACCCGTGGATCGGTAAGTGGCAAGAGGAAAGGGCCATTTTGTGAAGGCACGCGATCTGGGACTTTCTAATCGCTGTCTTCCGGAAAAATTGCTACCGATCACATCTACGAATCGCACTAATCATCGCCGGCAGACCAATTCAGGTAGACCGAATACACTGTCACTCTGTAGCAACGTAAGGTTCAGCACTTGGGAAGTGGCATTTGTACTAGATAGTGAGACAAATCTTCCAAGATCACAGAGAAACCTTGGAATGTGACAAGGCCCTCATCGTCCCCCGCTCCCATGCAGGTATATGTCCACGAGTAGGCTTTTTTACTTCACCTCTTCCGTGCCCAAGAAAGGTTCCATCTCAGTAGATCGATATCTTTTACACCCATGACGGTATTCATGTATAAAGCCGCCCCAAAACCTTGTTCACTCTAGTTCCTACTTAGCAGCCTTAATCCATTTTCAAGTTCTTCTTACTGTCTGCTACTTGATCAACCTATCAATCGCCATTCTAATATATTGAAGTTTTGCTCCGAGGTCATCCCTCTGTCCGACCTTGGAACATTCATTTCTGCTGCTGTCGGCCAGGCTATCCGTAAAGAGTGACTCAGGTGCCGAGCGCGGTTCGATTTGTCTCGACAAGTCCCTCAATGAGATTAATCCAGGTTACACCTTGAAGTATACGCGGTGACTATGATAGCAAAAGAAATGCGGCCGCTACTCTCAGTGAGTGCATAGAGCGACGCCGGGTGGCTGAAGACTATAATGGAAGCACTTGGAGTAGAACCACGGGAGGCTATCTTCGGAGGAGCATCCCCGCAGCCAAGGGTTGACCAGGTGCTATCTGAATGGTAACAGTCAGTCATTTCCACAAAGACGGTGAAGATGGCTCGTCTACTAAAGCCAGCTGTGAGGAAGAATTGAACCAATACCAATAAGGATCTGCATCTGTGACTCTGTGGCTGTGAGCCTGGTCTCTCAGGCGAGGTATGAAGCTATTGACTATGGACTCGGTGAACGAGTTAATCTAGACATGCTCTGCTATTCTAGACTGTAATCGAGCGATTCTTGTCCATATTAGTATATCATGCTCTTCTGACTCGAAATCTACCGAATTGGTACATACCTGGCTCTAAAAATTGCTGGCTCTTGAAAACAGGATGAAGCGAGTCTTCTAGTCGAGTATGGTATGTCTTTGTATGGAGAAAAGCGGTGGAAAGACTATTCCTCTTTTCTTCGGGCCTTTCGGGGGTTCAATAAGATTTAAAGCTGATTAAAGCTCAATGACATGGGCAATCACGCATCGAGCTCTACCCATTTATATATCTCATAGCTAAAAAGCGATTGGCTTGCCTTCCAGTCCTATCCAGGGTGTTCTGTCATCTTGTTGCTACTGTTTGTTCCCATCGTGTGCTTTTATGAGTGGTTGGGTTGAGGGTCAAGTATATCGGAGAAAGCATTTGACGTAGAAGAATAAATAAATCGTGAAGGAGTTCAGAGAATGGAGGGAGTAGAAGTGACTGACGTACCGAAAGACTGAAGAAGATGTTAGAGTGGGTCTATCTTGAATAGAGATAGTTTAAGTTGCCCCGAATGAGCGTTGAATTACTCGCCTGGCTGTTTTGTTATCCCGTTCTTTCCCCTTGCTCTTTCTCGTCATCACTTAACCTACCAATATCGTAGCTCGGCGCATGAGAAGGGGTGCTTTCGAATCTGTCTTATCGAGTGCTTCTGGAGTAGGGTAGAAGGAGAGTCTTCGAGAGATAGCTTTTCTTACCATCAGAGAAAGCACGTCGCAGACGTAGCAGACGTACTAACTAAGAGTTGGTAGAAAACTAACCCTGGCATTTGGCCAGTCACCTGAAACGTAGGTTCGGACAAGCATATGCGTCGTATATCTGACTGTATCCTAGGTCTTCTCATGAGATATCAGGATGCGATGCAACGACATACGTAGCACGCATGGGAGCTGAAGTAAGCTGAATGGACAATGTCGGTGCATATACTAGTGAGTTGTTATACGATGCATTCGGGTATTGGCTCTAGCCGTGGCTCGTCATGACGTGACTTTGGCTCTACAACCATTTGAATCGAAATTTATAGACGCGTTACATTTTCACTCATGGAACATTGCATGTACAAGGTACAGTCCTGTTAAAACTATCGGCAAGAACCGGTGGGACTATACGAGCGCAAAGAGTGAACCTGCTTATCTAAGCATTGGGTGATGCTCGAGTAGATTCGATTAAAAGCGACACGGTCAGAGCACTGAAACGCAAGGCGCGAGGAATTCGGGTACGTAGTGTAGTCTCCGGCCTATCAAAGAACCGACGGAGCAAAGTTTTGCCCAGTCGCCACGAAGATTGGAATCAAGGGGGCGAAGGTTTTATCTTGGGGGCCAAAGAACATGACATACTGTATTCATATGAGAATGCCTATCAAGTATCAGCATACTGAGAACTAAAAACTAAGTTCTTAGGTGATGTATTCCCGTGGACTGAGAAATCAGGTCTGAAACAATCAATTATGAATCATGGCTTCTCATTTCTGCATCCTGCATGAGAATCTTTTGCCTTGTTGGAAACAAACGCCAAAAGGGCCGTGAGTATCCGACAAAGAATTAGATCGTGCCCAACAACCCTTATAATCCCTGCATCCAAAATGCAACACCCAAACTCTCTCTTAGGCTCCGCAAGGCAGATCCGGGACAAGCACGAAGGCAAAAGGACACTAGAAAAAAATTAATTAAAAAAGGACAGCGGCCCAAAGCGGCAAAGTAGGATGAGTTGGCGACGGCAACCGGCCAGTCATGGCGCTGCATGTGGCGGTGAAGGAAGCGTATCGTGAAAAAATAAATCCCCGCTTAACCCCACTCGCCCTGTCCCGTCTGGTCCAATTCCACGGTGATCGACTCAGGGCTTGGGGATTGGATATTCTGATCGAAGGGGAGAGAATGCAGTCCGAAACCAATTGGGGCAGTGGCTCAATAACAGGGGGGGGGGGGGGGAGCAGAAAACCGACGTGGTCGCGGTTCATGGGCTGAGAAACTAGAGGGGAATGAATGAACTAGCACAACTGCGTGTATGTGAGTGGGGAACAGTGCTGTCTGGAATCCCTCGGACCAAAACTCCGGGCTCGTGTGCAACGCATGCAACTTCGTTAGCTTTGTTGACAAGGTGCATGTATACATTGAGGACAAAAGGGGAGAATGGTGAAGATGGTGAGACTCGTTTCCCGGGGGTTTCATGAAGACCTGGACGAACTGCATAGCCCGGTCCTTTGGTATGACCGAAGTAGCGAGGCTCAGAGAGGGGCGGATCAGCCGCCGGTGAATGGCCAGATGGTTGGGGCTATGACGATGTGGGAATTCTGGACGAGGCAGACAAGAGGCTTCCCTCGTTGCTCACTTGTTGCTGTGCTCTGCGCGTCATTGCTGTGCTGCCCGATGCCCAGGCGAGACGAACGGGAAAAGAGATTGGGCGTGGAAGGTAGTTTGTTGGCGTAGCATCCCTGCGAGGCCCTTTGAATAAGTAGGAAACCACTATTTTCCAGGTTTTCGATTTTAATTCCTCGGGCAAAAGTGGGCAATTAGAATAAAAGAAATAAAAATGGAGGAGGGTGGTGACACGGTGTAATTCGGTGGCAGGATGCGTGTTCGACGGGGCATATTGGCACTTGTCAGGCTGCAAGGCATGCAGAGAACACGGCTAGGGTGCAGTGTACATGGCTTCAAGCATTGGCTTGTATTGTTGAGAGGGTATCGGAGTTTCCCAATGGGTCTTCTGCGGCAGGGCCCTTGGGCTCTTCAAGGATTTTTGAATTTTGTTTTTCGGACTGGAGCCTGGGTAGTCCTATGTCAGCAAAAAGCCAGGACCAATGATGACGAGTTCTCGCCGGAAGTGAATTTTCTTATCGAATTGCGTTACCGACGGCCTGCAGAGGTGGTCTCTTTCGCATGGCCTGAGGCCAAGCAAGACATCGAATGTGTGCATGGAAAGTGGGGAGATGCTCCTCTTCCCATGGCGTCTAGAGCGCTTGTCCGTGCTCCATTGCTCACAGTTCCCTGCAATTCTAGCCACTTGTGGGCTGGCGCAGAGGCTTCTGGTGGTCCCCGGGAGCAATAGCCGCATGAAGGCGGGCAAACGGGGAAGCAGGGATCAGCCTGTCGATGGAACGCCTGTGTATTATCTTTTGAGTTTCTGTGACTTGAACGGATCACATATCAGTCACACAATCGTTCATTTGGACTTGGCTGATCCCGATGTGACTATGGCGCAGATGGTTTTTGCGCCTGAAGATATTGGGGACATAGTCTCGGCGAGTTGGGATCGTTGGTCTCCACGGTTCGTTCGGGCCATGCAGTGATGTCCAACATATGGATCTTCATCCCGTGTGACCTCGCCATGGTCTTGATGCTTGAGGCGGCCTACTTTTTGAGCTTTGGGTTGCTGAACCCCAGAGATGATGTCAGGCAGTGGGACGTTTTGTTTTTGTTTTTTCTTTCCTCACTGCAAAGGGAAGTAGGCTTCGGAAGGAAAACCGCGGCTCTTGGATGTGTCGACCGCAAAAAAAAAAAACGGCTCCCTTTCCAACATCTGACCATCACGCGGACACAGAGGCCAGTGCTAAGACACTAATAAACAGTCGATACTCAACCTGTAGGGGAGACCCTAGGCTTGGGGCGAAAAATGTTAAGTCATACCGGTTTTTGTAGTTCGCAGCGTGTTCCGGCCGGCCTCTGTCGAGCGAATCAACCTCGACCCTCGAGTCGACTATCCGCCTCCCAGCCACCGAATTTCGAGAACCTAGGCCATTGAGGAGGGGTAAATCCAAAAATAAGAAAAAGAAATTGAAGTTGAAGAGAAAGTGGGGGAAAATTTGGGCGAGGCGAAAAAGAAAAAAAGGTAGAGAATGAGGAAGCCGGGAAGGAGCTCTTTTATACTTCTGCCCTCCACTCCCACCTCATGACCAAAAAACCCATCCTGCTCCACTCATAGCCAACTTTTTCTCAAATTTTTGGCATTTTCAAGTGTCTCCGCTCGGACCCAAGGTAATCACACCTTCCGGGAGACTACGTAGACCTAGGGCGATGATCCTGGGAAAAAACCGCCACGAGAGAGCGGAAACCTTGGACGGGAATGGCGCCCTGGCCCAGACACACTCGATTCCCACTCGGAGCGGGGTCAGGGCGGTCCAAGAGACGAATCGGCGGGCAGATACGGAGAAGGAGGTGCAGCCGAAGGCCGGAGATTGGGAGATACCCAGGAGGGGTGCGAGTCCTAGTCCCTCGAATGGTCCAATGGATCCCGCCTGAGGTCCTCCTATCCTTGCAATCCCACTTCGCCTCGTCACGACGAGGGCCCCCGCCGGAGCGAAGACTGCCCGTCGAAGTCTATAAATTCCCTCGTTTTGTCGGGTAGTCCTAGTTTTCCTTCCTCTTCCTTTTTCATCTTTTCCAGCTGCCCTGATTGCAACAGCCCTAAGTTTCCTGAACCCATTTTTATATTGCTGCACCATACCTCTTCAAGGAGTTCATCGTCCTCCTATACACCATTGTCTTAACATACCGAGAGCTTCTCACCAGTCAGTCAATCTTCTCATCAACAATCGATCATCATGGCTGCCCACCGTCAGTACTATCAGCCCTCCGCTGTTCCCATGAGCATGCCCTCCAAGGCACCAGCACCAGCCAGCATGTACCCTGTGTCCAGGGTTCCAGGCTCACCAACAGATTATTCTGATGCAAGTACCACTGCTGGTAGCCGCACATCCGGCGGTCTGACCTTCAGCTCCGCTGGCGGAGATTACGATTCGAGCTCAGTATCGTACTCCGGTGTGGATGTTGTCGACGTCCTGAGCGATCGCATGCAAAATGCCTTCGACCCAACACCGCTGGACAAGAGCTTGGCTAGCCAAGCGCAAACGTGAGTAATCTGCTCCTCGGGGCGCAAGCTTCACCCCGCCAGACAAAAAAAAAGGGCGACTCGCCTTCACAAACGCAAGAAAGAGCAAGACAGCAAAATCCGCAACTTTGAAAATACGTCAAAATTGAATTCCGATTTGAAGCTAACGAGCCGCAAAAATTAGCTCCGGCCAGATGCACGCTAAGCAGCAAGAGCTTCTCGAGCTGCAAGCGATGGCACAGCGCCGCATGAAAGGCCTGCGAGCAAACTTCAACGAAGGACTCAAGACTGCCCGAGAAACTAAGCGGGATCTCGAGTGGACTCAGAAGCGCGTCAGGTGAGCATCACATTAAAATGAATTCCGCACCCATGCAAGGAATGCGCAGCACACTAAAGACCAAACCAAAACACCCCTGGCATGGAATGGACGTTGTCGAGATTTCCGCCCCGCTCCGCGCGTGACAGGGGAATCAAGATAATCTCCGCTCCGCCGGGCCAGATCTTGGCACGTGCACCAGGGGATCGACGGGTGACGTCCAAATTAGCGTCGCATGTGGTTCCTGCGTGGTCCCTGATTTCCCCAGTGTTCTAGAAGCTGACGAATCTTATCTGCGAATAGCGCCCTGAAGTCTAAGGCTGAGAAGGTCCACCCGGACGAATACCGTCGGGCATCGAAGAAATACACCTTCGACGACTATTGATTCGGTGGCTAGACCCGCTCTTGGGACGCTTTGTTTTTGCTGCTTATTCTGACGACTGCTATTATGACTTCGGAAAAAATCGGGACTTGGGACATTTAGGATACTTGGGAATTGGGATGGTACAGCTCGGGACGGGTTAATTTGCTTTTTTGGAGCGGTTGGCGTGTTTTTCTACCTTTGTATAGGCCTTTCGTATTTTTGTGCGTGTACAGCTTCTATGGACGCGCTTTTCCTCTACATAGGCGTGGTTTTAGTCAATCATACGCTGTTTTTACCGTTATGACGATCTCGATAAGGATCCTTGGCTATCCAGTGGCTGTGGATATAGGGCTTTAGTGTATTGGGACAAGGTAAAGGCTCTGTACTATACATAGTGAGCCCTAAGAACCATGGCACTGAAGCGAGAGATGCCTATAGGCTGTGTGATGTATCCAGGTATCCACTTTGTTGGTTAGAGCTGGTAGATATGATGCTTACAAGGACTTTAACTGCTTGCCTATAGTCTAAAGGGGGAAGAAAAATGGCCGCCGAATGTTAAAAGACTGAGGAGATGTAGAAGCAAACATCGCCAGTGTTTGGTCTAGGTGCCCCCTCAAGAAAGAGTATGTGAATTTACATCAAATTATTCAAGCAAGAACTCACTTCACCATAGCAGCCAAATCAATTAAGGCGAGATGAATGGTAGACAATAGGCTTAAGAATCGAACCAAATAAGCCAAAACACTGCATCAAACTGCTTCGAAATGGTCTACAGCGTGAACAATTGTGGAGAGGACAAACCTCTCGTATACATGGAAGAAAAAGCGTTTTATAAGATCAAGCAACTTTGAAAGTGGTAGTCTTCATTATACAGCTTGGAAATAAGCCCTTATCTATATACTCTCTAAGCGAACGACTGCTCCTCAATGGCCCGGTTAATGACACGCACAAACCGACCGACCTTATCAGCATCCTGCTTAGCAGTTTCAATACCTAGGAGCACCTTCTTAATGCCCACACTGACACGGCCATCATCAGCCAGACCGCCAACACTCTCCAAAGCACGAGCAATTTCCTGTGCATCAAAGGCACCAGACTGCTCCATGACATAGCGCAGCTCGCCGAAGGACTGCACGTTCGGGACCATAATGTCAGAGTTGAAGGAGTTGTACACGTCAAGCTGCTTCATCAAAGCACGCTCAGTGGTTGTAGCCAGGACCAACAGACGACGTCCATGTGTAGGCTGCTTCCGGAGGAAGACCATAAGGGCCTGCAGGACGCTGTTGCTGAAGCGGGGGCCGATGGGCACCCAATCGATGATGCGCTCAATGTTATCGATGACAACAATACTAGTGTTGGACTTGTAGGCGCTGTCAAAGATTCGGCTAATATGCTGGATCTTAGCTGGCTCGCTGAAGCCGACCATGTCCTCTGGGCTGATCAGCTTGATGAAGGGGAAGCCGGAGTCGATAGCGATGCGTGCAGCAAGAGCCGTCTTGCCACTACCAGGGGGACCATGGAGCAAGACAGAGAACAAGGGGGTAGCCTCTGCCTGGCCAACCTGCTTGACGAATAGCTCGCCCTCCCGCAAGATTTCGTTTATTGTCTCAGAGTAGTGGATAACACCATACTGGATGCGGCTGGAGAGTTCTTCTTCCGAGACACCAAAAGCAGGCTTCACTTCGTCGAGAGCATGGTGGAAATCGGATTGATTGACCTTCATATTGATGACATCGTCATTAATGCTGGCCATTGTGCCAACTTTGACATGGCGAGAGAAAGCAAACGATGAGGCCGACTTGACCAAACCGGCGATTTCGGCACCGGAAAAGTTCTTGGTCACGGTTGCAAGCTCAGGCAGATCGAAGTCTGAGTCCAGGACGTTGTTCTTGCGCATCTTCTCAGTGTGAATTTTGAGAATCTGGCGGCGACCGGCCTCGTCGGGAAGAGAGATCTCAATGTGGACTTCCAAACGACCAGGACGTAGCAAGGCCTCATCAATCATATCCATTCGGTTGGTCATGCCAATCAACAGGATGTTATTAAGCTGGTCAACACCGTCCAGCTTTGACAACAGCTGGTTGACAACGCTATCACCGACACCAGTGCCACCACCGGAGCCGCTACCACGTTGCTTGCAAACAGCATCCAGCTCATCGAAAATGATGATGTGAAGGCCACTTTCGTCGCCCTTCTCTTTGTATTCCTTCTCGGCATCCGCAAACATCTTTCGAATATTTTCCTCAGACTGACCCACATATTTATTCAGGACTTCGGGTCCGTTGATGATCTTCGGCTCCCGAGCATTAAGCATTTTTCCGATCTGTCGCGCGATCAAAGTCTTACCGGTACCTGGAGGTCCGTAAAGCAGAAGACCCTTTACGTGCTGAATGCCGAGCTTATCAACCAGCCCGGGGGGGGAAGATACGAGACGCAAAAGCACGACGGAAAATGGTGCTGAACTCGGAGTCCAGACCGCCGATTCCCATATCCTCAAACTTGAACCCGGGCTGAATAATCGAATTGGCAGCAGGGCGTCGGTTGGAAGCCTTAACATTGATACCCGTTGCAGAATCCTTGAAAAAGTTGAGCTGAGTATGCCGTGTGATGATTCCTCGGGCTGTAGGGTTTGTCTCAACCTCTCCAGCATTGGCATCACTCTTCTCCGATGTCAGGTCGACCCGTTGAACAGTCTTGACCTGCAACAGAAGAGGGATGCTCTTGTGGTCCATCAAAACCCGTTGACCCGGAGCAAAAAGTTGGTTTTCGAAATTCTGTAGGTATTAATTAGTACGCAAAAATTTAGCGCGAGTGTAGAATCAACGCACTCTAATGACAGCATTGGCCAACTCATCCTGGTCATATGGTGCCTCTACTCGCTTCTTTATCGACGCGAAGCTGACTTCAATGTCCGCAGATCCCAAATAAGCCTGGCCGCCTTGGCTGAATGGATCGTAAAGCTGGACTTTGATAGCATCCCTCATTCCGATATTTGCCCATGTTCGCTGAGGGTCCGACAGGCCCATTAATCCAGGCGGGAAGCCTTCCACAGGGCGGGCAGAGAATACGAAGACGTCATTGACGAGGAGAAGCACATCGGTGCCATCACGACTCGGAGGAATGTCCTGGGGTGAAACAGCGACACTGCGCCATGTAAGTATCCGAGACCAGCCAAAAACAACTGAGTTTGTAATCCACATACAGGTTACCAAAGATGTAGTTCTCGTTGGGACTCTTTGTAGGTTGAAGAGTCCAAGTAGGTCCGCCTGTAGACGGCATGCGCCCAGGCATCTGTTGCTGCGATCTGCCCATGTTCTGTGGTGAGGGAGCTCCGTATCCGCTTGAAGGAAAGATTGCGTCAGTCATGGGCACATCGCCGTCAGGAATATGTCCCGCGGACGTAAGGACGTGGCCGTAATCATACCGTGGAGGCCCTTGATTGGGGTTCGCGTAGCCCTGTGGCGACGGACGTTGCGGTTCCTGTCGGGATGCGAAGGGGTTTTGAATGCTGGGTAGATCCTTCCGATTGAACATATTGGATCGTAGGGGAACTTGTAGTTGGCAATGCAGGTGTCAGATACGTTGAGGGGAGTTTGGCGGTGACGCCACTCTGTTTTAACAACAGGCAACAAGGTATTTGGGACCTTGTTTTAGCGCGATCGATCCGGACTCGTTAATATAAAGCCTTCCTGAGGATTCTCAGGCGCATTCAATAGACCTTGGAGATGGCGGAAAAGTTAAGTTAGCAAGTCTACGAGCTGGAGGTTCACCCCGGCGACCGCAATAGTGTCAGGCGGTGGGGGCCTTATCGATAAGCCAAGTCTAGAGCTCCTTCTCTCCAAAGTAACACTACAGCTCGGTGCAATCACGAGCAAGATGCCACTGTAAGCCACCATTCATTTTCAAGTTATTTCTGACCTTGGCTCACATATTACAGTCATCTCCTTGGCAAGAAGTCATGGAACGTTTACAACCCTGAGAACGTCGCTCGCGTTAAGCGTGATGAGGCCCAAGCGAAGGCTCTCGAGGAGGAAGATGAGCGCCGCATGCAGGAAGTTGATGCCGAGCGAAGGATCCGGATACTACGTGGAGAAAGAGTGCCTACGCCCCCTCCACCGCCGCCCACGCGTCTTGCGTCAGAGGCTCTCAGTCGACCAGAACGAACATCAGCAGACGAAGCTGGAAGAACTCGCAAAAGAAGACGCATTGCCGGGGAGGATGATACTGTAAGAGATATACGATTCGCGCGAGAAGATGCGGAGCAAGCCAGTGCTAAACGGGCGGAATCAACGGTCGCGGCCCTTCGAAAGAACAAGAAGTCAGACGCCCCGATCTTGGACCGCGACGGTCATATCAACCTCTTCCCCGCTGAAGGGAGCAACAAGCATGCGGCGAAAAACAAAGAAGCCGAGGCCGAAGCCCAGAAAGAAAAGCGAAGCTTTGAAGATCAATATACGATGCGCTTCTCCAACGCGGCGGGCTTCAAGCAGTCAATCGGTCAGGACCCTTGGTATTCATCTTCAGCACAGGCGGTGGACGCCCCTGACACAAGATCAAAAAATGTATGGGGGAATGAGGATCCTATGCGTAAAGAGCGAGAGAAAGTCAGGATGGATGCCAATGATCCTCTCGCAGCTATGAAGCGCGGTATTCGGCAGTTGAAAGCGACTGAACAAGAGCGAAAGCGATGGAATGAGGAGAAGAAGAAGGAGCTCGAAGCGCTCAAATCCGAGCAGGGAAGTCGGGATCGTTCGAGCCATCACCGACGAAGACGGTCAAGATCTGTTGATAGCCTTGAGGGTTTCAAGCTCGGTGCACCAGCCGTGAAAGATCGAGATGGCAAAAACCATGGAACTTCGCGGCGGCATCATCATCGCCACCATCGAGACCGAAGCCGCGATAGGCACGGAGAAATTCTATCTCGACGGTCACATCGCTCGTCGGATCGTACCAACCGTCGACGCGATGAAACCCATGGAACCCAGCGTTCTCGAAGGCCAGAGAATGAAGCCGGGTATGCAAAGCGTTGATGTTCATTCCCAGGATTCGGTAATTACGAATATTATGACTATGAGATTTCGCCCCTATTGGCGTTATAATTTGAGAAAATCGAAAGGTTTCAATAGAGGTCATGGGGTATATGGGCCACAATGGCCATGTGCATGCATAACTATATATACCAGTATTTTATGGGGAAATAACACCCGAAATTGAAAACAACAAAGCATTCTATATGCTCTTTATCAGCTTTCCCGTTGGAGCAGCTTCAGAATGAAAAACCGTCGCTCATCATAGATGTAACATCTGAAACAGATGGCTAGAAGTGACTTATTGGAGCGACCACTTCTGAGAGCCCTTGGTGTTTTCACCTCCTTGCCAGTCAATGTTGATGTTCAGGCCTCGGGAACCCTCCTGATCCCTCTTCTGGTAGCCGATCTTGCCGGAAATGACCTGTCCCTTCTTGAGAGGCTTGGGCTTGTGGCTGCCGTGGTCAATCAAGGCAATGGTTTGCTGCCAGTGGGTCTCAGTTCCATCGGGTCCAGTGGTGAATCCGACGAATCCCTTCTTCTGCATGTCGGCGGGCACGGCATTCTCCGGGATAGGAGAGTCTCGCGAAGGCATGAAGAAAATGTCAAACCAGATAGCCCAGCCATCAAGGGCATCGATATCCTGGTTCAAGGTGACTTGGAACTCCTTTAGGAAGGTCAACTCCTCAACAGTGATGGTGTGCAAGGGAAGTGGCAGGAAGACTGTTGAGTCAGCAGCGATTGTGGAGGATGGGATGTTGCGAACAAGGGCTTCGTCGTAAATCTTCAGCAACATGCTGGTCATCTTGAAGCCGTAGACGTCTTCCCAGAAGGAGATGTGTGAAGCCATGAAGTCGGGGTCCGCGTAAGGGGCGATGCGAAGAGTCGCGTGGGAGGGAACCATCAGACCATCAGGAGCAAGGTAGCGGTCACGGGCATAGATGACAGAGTCGAACATGCACTCGAAGAGAAGAGCATAGCCCATCCATTCAGAGATAATGATGTCAACCTTGTCAACCGGCAAGGTGACCTCCTCAATCTTTCCGCGGACGAGACTGTTGTCATTGATTAGCATAATGTCTCATAAAAGCACCTCGGAAAGAATTCATACGTGATAACATCTCCAAAGTCGTTGTCAAAGACAATCTCTTTGGCACGGTCGATGATGTTGGAGTTGTCAACTGAGATGACCTTCTTCGCGCCAGCCTTGGCACAGAACATGGACAGGATACCAGTTCCGCAGCCCACGTCCAAAACGACCTTGTCCTTGAAAAGATTCTTGTTTTCGTACACAAAGTCACGGTACGCATCGGTACGGATAGCATCCTTCAACATGGACTCGTGAATTCCTTGAAAAGGCAATCAGTCAGCAAGTGGAGGTCCTTCAAAAATGATATGGTTTGCATACCGTTATAAGCGTAAGATGCAAAGTAGTCCTCATCAATCTCCTGGGCTTTGTTGGTGCCAGAAGCCTGGGGTGCAAGCTTCTCGTCTTCCTTGGACAACTGATCTTCCATTGACTTCTGGACTGCGAGTCTGTACTCAGAGAATTGAGTCTGCAGTCTCTCCAGGTCCTCCTGGAGCTCCAAGACTCGGCGCTCAGCCTCGCTTCCAGTGGCTGGCTCATCACCCTTTTCCTCAGTGATATCGTCCAGGCTGTAGAGGAGAGCGTCGTCCTCCATCACCGGCTTCAAGTAGACATCGTCGTCAAACTTCGACTTGGAGTCAACATCGGGGGTCTTGTTTCCGGCCTTGACCTGGGTGCGAACGTAGTTGACCAGCTTAATGGTGTCAATGAAATCCAGGCCTATCGTAATCATCTCTATCGTTAGTTCCATGTCTTATTCAAGCTGGTTCACTCAAAGACAACATACCAAGATCCTTCTGAATCTTCAAGAGATCAAATTGGTGCTTCTCCTTGCAAGCCTTCAGCATAGAGCGTGCATCAGGGAAGACCTCGTCGGAGAACAAATCCACAACAGGCTGTGTCTCGTCATCAGCCTCAACGTCTTCCCAGCCTTCCTCGTTGCTAGAGTCCGACTCGTCCGACACCGAGCGTGAATCGGCGTGAACATCATCCACAGGGGCAACTGTAGCAGGATTGGATGCCATTTTTATCTTGAATGCAATTGTTTGACAATTGAAACCCAATGGAATACTGAAAACAAAGAATCATGGAGGGGCAGAGATAAAACTGATAAAAAAAATCGTTATCGTGATGTTGCCTGAGGCCAACAACGGTTGCCCCGCCCTGTTTGTTTATTGCGGAACCAGAGATGTGATCAGTCCGGCGCATCGGTTCTCGCCCTTCTTTCTCCCAACTATCTTCGCATATTGAGGCCATGGCTTTCTTTTTTAATCGAGGCCGGTCGCGGCAGCCGGCTGATGTTGCCCGCTCTACCAAGGAATTGCTCCTCAGGGTCCAGGAGACTCCTAACTTGCCCAAGGTTTGGTCCCCGACGCCATCCGCATATCCAATGCTGACGCAGTCCCAGGCCGAAGAAGACCTCGCAAAGCAACTAAGTCAGATGAAAGTGATTGTTCAAGGGACACAAGGTAGGCTATCTGCTCAATTTCTGATGTTATCCTTTGTACTATCTAGCAATTGGAGACTGAACATTACTTTGATTCTAGAGGTCAACACGTCACCGGACCAAGTTCACGCCCTTGTTCAAGCAACACTCCAAGAAGACCTCCTCTACGATTTATCACGAACAATTCACTTGCTTCCATTTGAAGCGAGGAAAGATACACAGACAATTTTCTCCCATATTCTCCGGTTCCGACCAAGCAATTACGCGCCGGACAAAGACCCTCCTGTTATTTCGTACATTGTCCACCATCGACCAGAGATCCTTGTTGAGTTATGCCGGGGGTACTCCGAGAGTCAGAGTGCCATGCCTTGTGGTGTGATTTTAAGGGAAGCGCTCAAGTTCGACGTGGTTGCCGCAGTGCTTCTGTATGATCAATCCAAGGAAGGAGAGCCAGCCGTGCGACTGTCCGATTTGAAGCCAAACCTGCCACAGAAAGGTGACGGAGTTTTTTGGAGCTTCTTCGATTGGATTGACAAAAGCAGTTTTGAAGTGAGCGCGGATGCGTTTACTACTTTTCGAGTAAGACCTTGATGTGAAGCTCACTAAAGCACCGAAATGGATGTTGACCGTTTTCTCAGGAGATTTTGACCCGGCATAAAAACCTTGTGACCGCATATCTGGCCACCAACTATGACCTGTTCTTTGGCCAGTTCAATGACGTTCTTGTTCAGTCTGACTCTTACGTGACGAAGCGACAAAGCATTAAGCTCCTTGGCGAAATTTTGTTAGACCGTGCGAACTACAATGTGATGATGGCCTACGTGGAGAGTGGGGATAATCTTAAGTTGTGTATGAAGCTCCTGCGGGACGATCGCAAGATGGTCCAGTATGAGGGGTTCCACGTTTTTAAAGTATGTCGCTCTCGATGATCCTCAGTGGATGCATGCACTGACAAAGCCCAGGTGTTTGTGGCCAATCCGAACAAATCAGTGGCCGTGCAACGGATTTTGATTAACAATCGCGACCGATTACTGCGATTCCTGCCAAAGTTCCTGGAAGACCGCACTGATGACGATCAATTCACCGACGAGAAGAGTTTCCTCGTGCGACAGATTGAGCTATTGCCCAAGGAGCCTGTCGAACGGAGCAAGCCTGCGCGAGAGACCCATTCTGGAGTCAACGCCGCCGTGGCTTGAGATTCGATCTAACTGTGGGCCGCTGGGTGGTCATGACTTTCTCATTTATCCATTTGTCCTTTTTCTTTTTCCAAGGGGTTTCCCTTTTCTTTTTATGATCGTCACTGTTATACTCTGGGGGTTCAACCCCTTTTTCATCCATTGCATTGGCGGCTGATGGTCTGCTGGATTTACAGCCTCGGCTTGCGGGAGTTCCACGCGTTGCTTTGTGTACATGATCCAGATCCCCAAAATTGAATTTCCTTGTATTGGGAACCTGCATGTTCAATATTAGGACTAGTCTTGTCTATATCCAACAAGAAGCATAATATATACTGCAGATCTTCCACAATTCTATGATTTCTTCCACACCTGAAAACTTGAATCAATTTATTCTACGCAAACCTTGGAAACAACCCAGTCCAGACTCTTCATGACACCATGGTTGTGTTCTAATCTAAGCACCACTAGCGTCTCCACTCTCTCCTTGTCGTCGTCTGCGGCCCACTGCTCGCGCGGCCGCCTAGAGGTGGGATGAAGAGTTGATTGCCCCCTATACCTTCCCTAATTCAGCTCGCAATTGTTGTTATAGTCGTCCACTCACATTTTTTCCTTGGTACAATTCATGGTGTGGAATGACGGAGAGAAGACTGGGAATAACTAAGAACCGCGGTGCCAAGAAGAAACAAGGTCGACTCCACCCTCTCCGTCTTTTTCTCCTGGTCAATTTTAATTTCCAGACCCTTACGAGAAAATCGGTGATGTGAAATCGTTCCTTAGAGATTTCTTTCTGTACACTCTTTCATTCCTTATTGTGCGAGTCATGCCGGGATAATGGTGGAGGTTCCTGCATCGTTGTCCCCCGTTGGATCGGAGTCGCGATCGACCCAAGCTGCGCCCTACGAAACGGTCGCCGATGAACGCCCTGTCGCTAATAGATCCGGTTCACTATCGCCCTCCGCAGATACACCGATTCCCAATGGCCGCTCTCTTAGTGCCAGCGACGCCTCGCATGGCGCGCACCGCCCTGCCTCCGCGCGCGCATCCCACACAGCCCAGCTATCGCCATCGTTAGAGGCTCCAACAAGACGATCAATGGATGAGCGGTTCACCAATTTCAGCAGGAAAACGCCCTCGTTACGCAGCGTCCCCAGCATCGTCGTCAATGAGCCGAACTCTCGCCCTGTTTCGCGACCAGGGTCTCGTCCCGGGTCAAGGTGGTCGGAGCGCAAGTGGGGGGGATTGAGAAAAAAGTCCAGCGACTTGGAAAGGAAAATGAGCACGGAAGAACTACCGCCGGTACCGCAGATTGACCTGGAATTCAGTGGGATTAGCTTGGACATACCTACGGCCGCTCTGGAAGGATTGGGACCGACAATGAAGTTCTCCACCCGTGGCAGCCTGATCAGGGATCGTTCAAAGCGGCCGGTTTTGAAACCACGAGAACAGAACCTGGAGCCTCGAACGGAGCCAATCCCAGAGGCTCAGAATAACGAAGCGCAATCAGATGCATGTTCCATTCAGCAATCCAACCCGCCTGATTCAGAGCCAGCTAGCAAAGCGCCGAGTATAGCGCCTCCCTCCACCAGCCAGGATGGCGCGAGCGAAGATATCCCGGAGGCGACACCACGGCCTTTCAAAAAAGAAGATCATCTTCGTCCACGGCAAATGAGCCTTCAATGCAGGGCTATATCTGCGGATGAGGATATGCTTTCCCGACGAGTGCGCCTCATGTATGAGAAAGGCGATGACGATGTGACTGATAAGGACGTCGCAAAGGCGATCGCATCGGAAAATGGCGTTCTCTGGGAGGAGACAACACCCGATTTAGAGACTGCTTCGACACCCGCTTCAAATCTCGGCACGCCCCCAGCTTCGATCGACAGGGCTTCTGCCGAAGTAGAGCGCAAGCGAATGAAAAGAGAGACCCAGGAACTAGCGGGTGGGATTGAGTGTTGGCAAAATATTGGCGCAGGCCAAGTTGATCGATATGGCTTTATCCACGCCCCGGACGATAGCGAGCCCCATCCTATCCAGCGCGTTACCACCAGTCTTCAGCTTGCGTCTGAGACCCCTCGTCGCAAACTCTCTATTCGCCCCCCTACTGCTCGAGCTAGTACTCGCTCGTTCAGTGGAAGATCCCCGACTCGCAACTTGTCCCAGAGCTCTGCCAACAATGCACGCCCAACTTCATCCGCAAGCACCATCAGCGCACCAGTTAGGCGCTCGACGTCCCGCTTGCGCTCCGCCACTAATCGTCTCCCACATAACAGGGACCGAAAGTTCACTGACGAGGCTGCTTATATGCTTACGCTCCCCGCAGATGATCCTGGGCAGGGAAAAGACACGTCAGCTGCACGTGCGGCGCGCAAGAAGGAGTGGGAGCGCGAGGACAAGTGGACGAAGATGGCCAAACCGATCAAGAAAAATCGCGACGGCGGTGGCATGAAGTTTGAGTTCGATACGCACAGTTCGAAACTTATTGAACGAACATGGAAGGGCATACCGGATAGATGGCGGTCATCAGCTTGGTTTTCCTTCCTTGAGGCCAGTGCAAGGCGACATAAAGATAGTCCCTCTGAAGAGGAGCTTGTGAACGCTTTCCGTGAAAGTCAATACGTCTCTTCTCCTGATGATGTACAGATCGATATAGATGTGCCTCGCACAATCACCAGCCATATCATGTTCCGTCGCCGATATCGCGGTGGACAACGACTCTTATTCCGCGTCCTTCATGCTATGTCATTATACTACCCCGACACAGGCTATGTACAAGGCATGGCTGCCATTGCTGCTACTTTATTGGCATACTACGATGAGGAGCATGCGTTTGTGATGCTAGCCCGTCTTTGGCGCCTTCGTGGTTTGGAAGAGTTGTACAAGTCTGGTTTCGCCGGGCTGATGGAGGCTTTGGATGATTTCGAACGCGAGTGGCTGGCCGGTGGTGAAGTGGCTACACAACTGGTAAGAATCCCTGGATATCGCTTTTGAAAACGGGACATGCACTAACATACCAATTCAGAACGACGTCGGAATCCCTCCAACAGCTTATGGTACCCGCTGGTACTTAACTCTCTTCAACTACTCTATTCCTTTCCCCGCCCAGCTTCGAGTGTGGGATGTCTTTATGCTACTTGGAGACGCTGAGGAACCCGTTGCTGCGCGGCCAGCTACCGCAACTGGAAGAGGACCTAAGGCACCCCCACCACGCCTCGGTACATTTGGACAGAGCCTCGACGTGCTACATGCCACATCTGCTGCCTTAATTGATGGCATGCGGGATATAATTCTGGAATCTGATTTCGAAAATACGATGAAGGTCCTTACCAGCTGGGTCCCAATTAAGGACATCGAAATGTTTATGCGTGTCGCCAAAGCCGAATACAAGGTCCACCGACGTAAGAGAACCCATTAATTTGCTGGGCTTCTTTTTCTTTTTTTTTTGTTCTCTGTTGAGTTCATATGCCCCCACCACCTACCTAATCACTGTTTTGACGGTCGCCTTTATACCCTAATTGTCGGGTCAAAATCCCGAGTCACTGTTGATGTCTAATACCCGTTATACCCAACCTTTGTCTTGCACCACGATATGGCTCATTGGACTGACCAGTGGAACGCCCTAATCATCCTTACACATCTTATTACTCCTTGTCCCTGGTCAATGCCGATTCTTCACGCTCCTTACTTTTTTTTCTTTTTCTCCCTGTCTAGCCCTCATTCCTTACGGTTGTCAGTCACCTGCTGGTTGGCTTTAGACAATAACTATTCTTACGCTCTATATTTCCTCTATTACCCTTTTCTGTGACTTTGCCAAAGCCTTAGAATGTTTTCGTCTCTTATGAACAACTGGCCTGATTCGTTGGTATTGGTGTCGGACTGGCCGCTGGTCCGCATCAATATAATGAAATACAATGCCGAGTGTTCTCGATTACTTCAATTCTCTCATGTGTGGTAAGAACTGCTCATGCCCACAGTCTAGCTGGAGTTTCAAAGCCGTGCGACTGATACCTATTGAATCAGATGCTTCTTGTCTTTCGGTTGACCTTGTGCATACTTGTTATAGACTTATCAAGCCTGCAAGAATCCAATTGGTCTTAAATCTTTTTGTCTCCAACCTCACCACCGCATACATTTTAGATCTTATGTAAAGCTCATTCTCACTAGTAACCGCATTACATCCCAGATCAGAGTAACCAGCATCTAGCGGACTCAAAAACTCCTTACCACCCTCATCCCCAAGATTTCCCTTATCAAGATAAATAGCTTTCAACCATTTTGGATCCAACCCAGGCTGCTGCTAATAAACTACCTCAATTTTGTAAACATTTTCCAACCCTACAGCATCCTCCATCTGACAGAGTCCCTTCTCGGCATTGAAACAAGACTCAATCATCTCATCACTGCGCCGGGTTGTGTTGTCTGGCTTTAACCATGGAGTGGAGATCATGATGGTCTCGTCCTTTTTTTTGGGATTTGTTTGATTTGGAAGATGAAGGTTATATGAGTACAACAAATATTGAGTATCACTTGAGGTAGATCGTTGAGGCCAAGGATCTTGGTACCTTCCGTGCTGATGATAATATGATGACTGGATTGCGCGGGGTGCGAACTACCTAGTCCTTGAAGATCTGACCCTTAGAGAAGATATGGCTGTGTAGCTGTGAGTTGGGAGCTGTGATCACTTCTTTCTCTGTTCAGGTGGCGACCTTGGGAGTCGCTGATATTGTTTTTTTGACGTTATTTTCGCCCCCATCTATGTTGATAAACTTGAGTTTGGTGTGGTTTTGATAAAGTTTTTTTTACGTTTCATTCCTGCGAACACTCGAGGGGCCAAAACCCAAACCTTAAAAGGGGTTCTCAGTGAGCAAGAACACACAACATGAAATTTTTCTGTTCGTTTGAAGTCTTGAAAGCTACGAGATGGTATGTACATTGATTCTTACTGACATGGATGCTTACGCTGTTTTGGTGGACGTATTCAAATAACCTTCCAAGGTTGCAAGACACCTTTGAATCCGAACCCAAACATAGGTCGTAATAGATTATAAACTCGGTCCGAAATTATATGTTAATTATACACATTAGACCCATCAATATCATGCAAATTATATGCTCAAGTCACACGTATGCAAGGTATATAGACATAATAAGACACAGCTCATCCTTAGAGCATGGCGGCAGCGGCAGCGGCAACAGCAGCGAAAGCCATAGGTGCAGCAGTGATCATAGGCTGCGCAGCTCCAGTAGCAACAGTAACAGGCGAAGTAGCAGTAGCGTAGGCCTTCAAACCCGAAACACCAGCAGTAACGGTAAGCGCATGGTAGCTAACCAGATCAGCATCGATAGTCATGCTAGGAATGTGTGTGCTGGTGGCAGTGGAGTATCCATCAACGGAGATATCCATAGAGATACTCTGAGCGCAAGAGACAGACTCCGAGACATGGGTGAACGTGCACGCAACGGTAGCATAAACATCGGCGGAACCGCCATCGGTCTGGAGCTTTTCGTTGGCAGAGAAGCTGTAGGTCTCGGGGCCCTGGATGATTCTCCAGGGGGTCTTGCTGTCGATTGCGCAGAGGGTCTTGGCTACGCCGCTCTGGCAACGGATATCGTATGTGGTGGCAGTTGCATCGACTGCAATGACTTCGGCTGCTACACTGGTGTACTTGGACATATCGATATCGCCAGCGGCTGAGACGCCGAGGTAGCTGACGGTAGTTGTGCTGGCGTCGGCAGCGGCGAAGGCCGCGAGTGTAGAAGCGAGGAACCACGAAGCGCGCATGATGGCTTTTGATTGATTTAGAGGAATTGAGGGTAGAAGAGTATATATGTACTAGTTTTGAGACAAGAAAAAAAAAAAAAAAACCTACCCCTGGAAACTAGAGTGAATCCTTCTATTTGTACCCTTTTTTTAAGCCTTATCGGCAGCGTGAACTCTAGTGTGACCAGTCAGGCTCGCGTGGAAATTATCCTGGAGCTACTCGGACCCTGACCGCGCTAATTCGACCAAATTGGGTCGCTTCCTCACTAGCCAAGGCACTAAACGAGCATTGTGGCTTGATTGGCACAGGGGTCCGGTCTAAACCCGGTATCGTGGCCCGTGGTGAAGATACAATTGCTTTGACCCATTGTTGAGATTCTGGTTAGGATTTAGGTACCCAGATCCATCGAGTGGTCTAGTGCCAGCATCGGACAAGATCGGCGTTCACCTCGAATTGTATTTGAATTTTAGACCGAACTTCGGCAGGGCCACAAATGTGAATGTATACCACATGCTCAGTACTAAGTTTTTCAGAAGCTAATCATGTACGCCCGGGGGCTCCGGTAGAACGGATATTTCGGTTTACCTCTAGGCCAATTGCAGGTTAGAAAGCCGGAATTTTCATCACTTTTGCCACAAAGTTTGAATTCCAAGCCCCAAGTGCTCGGTCGCGAAGATTGTGCCAAGATTTCGGGGAGCACTAGCGCCCCCCATTGGGACCTGGGTACGGGTAAGTCGGTTGGACCCTTAAATGACTCGCTATTGCCCCGGGAAAAAATTCCCCTAGAGGTGGTTCATTCTGAGACATTGTATATGCGGGGGTCAGCATTGCCTTGGCAATCATCACGAGTCGTGAATATACGAGTGAGTCACGACGATGCCTTCGGAGTGGCAGCCTCTACAGACGCTAGGTGGATTTGTGGTATAGCCTTGCCCAGCAGCGTTCAACCCACTCGGTAAGAACGGAATCATGCCCGAAATTGTTGGGACGGCCTGTTACACCAGACGAAGCGCTAAATGTAAGTTTGAAGATCTCTAAAGGCAGACATGTTCATTGGGAGATGCGGCTCTGGCTCCGCCAAGGGAAGGTTGGCGTGCAGTGGGGGCCAAATAGGTACCCACTCTTAGATACAGCCCTGGAAGTCTGCTTTATGTCCTCTTTACTCTAGCTGAATTAGAGAGACCACTCTTTGTTTGCGCAATTATTCTCTGTATAATTTCCATCATGAATGATTTCAAGCTAAGAAACGCCCTTTTGATCCCATGTTTGCATGTCATGGTCTAGGCCGATCTGTATGGTTATCCAATCTCAACATGATAGACATCTCCATTGGCCTCCAAGATTGGCAAAGCTTTCAAGATATAAGCAAAATTTGAAGCAAAGCGCATGCAAATTCTCCACGTTATCTAATCTGTTGGCCGTGGAAGAGCAAGGGTAGCCACGTTATGCCAACCACGCGCGTGGTTTAAATAAACATCAACCGACCCATCTTTATTCGGACAAGCCCCAGCAATTTCATGAAATGGCATTAAGACCAACCAAGCTTCTGAGGCGACGCCATTTCGGTCCCAAACGGCCACTCTCACGTTTGAAGTATCCGCTGGGGCCGTTGTTACTTTCGATTTCGCAAAGGCAGCATTGATAGCGTCTCGTAGAGCAGCGACAGATTCGTTTTGAATTACAATTGTTTGTATCCGCCCTAGTTTAGGCGTGTTATTCAAATCAACTCCGCGCTCTTGGTCAGTTGAAACTTTAAGTGGCCGGAAACTAGATACCGCCCTTTCATTAGCACCGTCCTGATATTGAATTGGGGGCTTGGAATAGGTACCGCCCACTCCAAAAGAACATGACGTGGAGAAGAATGATTCCAAATTGGAAACCAAGCAGGACACAGATGGTGCTGATATCTGAGCCGATACTGGCGCATTTATCGTCGGACGCCATGGCGTGAGTATCGATGTCGTAATTCGGTGAGATGTTATAAATAAGATGGGGCTTAACGCTAAGTCGTGGGAGAGGGCTGCATTTAGGGGCTTGAGATATGAAGCAGAATTAGAATAGGGGGCAAGATATGAAATTGAGGTATACCCTATAGTTCCGTAGTTGAACCTGTGATTATTTTTGGGACATCCGCAGCCAAAAGAAGCTTAGCCTGAGAGAACATGATTACGTAGTGACGTGGTATACTATTTCCAAGTATAGCAAAATGGAAAGATATATGCTAGAGGAGATGAATTCATGAGTGCCCAAGCAAGTGTTCGATATGCCGATGGATTTCAGCCTGGTGAGTGTTGCCTCAGATTTCGTGGTGCCTGAGGCTATAATGAGTCACGTGGATATCATTGCTGACTAAGGTGTAATGCCATTGTGTGCCAGTGTTGACCCCAGCCCCAATCTAATTAAATTGCTTTGACATTGATGGGTGTTTTGGGGGCCAAAGCGAGAACTGATCCTACTCAGTTCCGAATGGCCGAGTGTTTCTTGCAACCGACCCACCCGTCCCTCCATTTGAAGTGTTTTTACCGAGCGATTGGTCTCTCTTTGATAACAATGACCGCCTGACGAATCAAATCATGAACTTTTATAGATCTCAAGGTTCCCCTCCCCGTTAGTACCAGATTCCGCGTGGGTGAGTCTTCCATTGCCAGTCTCATTGGCCTGGGATCTGACATCGAGATCTTTATTTTGTTTGACTTTCGAATGAGATCATTTCACCCTTTGGTCTGATATCCATGGCTGACCCTCTGTCTCGGGTGATGCAAGAGCTGAGACCCTAGTGAGCATTGGGACATGCTCTGATGCTGAGTGCGTCTTATTGGGTCAGAGGGCCACGAACCCCTGCAAACAATTTCCTAGCTGAGTATCACTGGACTGATCCAGCATGCTAGTCATGGATGTTAGTTATGGATGTGGTCGCATCCCTGAAAATCTGCTTGCAGTTTTCTGACCAGTTTGACAGCAACAACCAATCAACCTCATACATTTCCAGATCGTCAACCGTCGACCTCAAGCCTTCGGGTCGGGGCCTTAATCCCCGGCATAGGGACGGCACAGTGAGATCGGCAAGTGGAAAGTGGACCAGGCGCTTGCGCGGAATCTGTAATCCACCCGCTCTTTCGAGACTGTCATTGGCGCTAGATCATTGATTTGCCCGCAGACAGGCGGCTCCCGTGAGGCTAAGGCGAATGCCGATTCACCTCATTTGTGCACCGTGCATGGTCCACTCGTGTCGTCGTCAATAAATCTATGGGCTAATGTAGGTCCCCATGTCATGCGTGGCTCAATCGGATGGATTTTCTTTCCTAATTTTTCTTCTTCTTCTTCTTATTTTTCCTGTCTGCCCTTTTTTTTTCTTTCTTTTCTCCATTCCTTTTTCAATCTTTGTATTAACTTGAGACTTGTTTTGATTTTCGGTCTTAGGGCGACCCATTTTTGCGATTTCAAGGCCTTGAATCTCACGGCCTTGGCTCGTTCTGACTCTATTTGGATCCGTTTCAGACTCGTGAAAGCGCGAGGTCTGCTTCCGCCAATTCCCCTCATTTCTACAGACTAGTCTGTTCCAATTCTCCCAATCGAGTCGTGTCTATTCCTAAAAAAGCACGGCCTGGGGCCCCCGGGGCCTGGCTGAGTCAGCGATTGGATCGGTTGGTTGGTGAGTCCTGTACTTCGAAAGATCCAGCAGTTTAGTGTTGGTTTCAAGGTGCTTTCCTATTTGGGGAGGCCTTCACGTCTGCTCTTGTTCTTCGCTCCTTGTCCCGTCACTTTATCACTCTCCTGCTTCATGCGATACCTCTGCCATGTTTCACTTCACCAAATAAAATCATGTCCTTACTCACTCTCAACCAGCACTACCAGCAGACCGATGCGGGAGACCCCACTGATAGCTCGGACCTACTGAGCTCCAACCAACCCTCGCTACTTTCATCGTGCTCGGAGTCCTCATCTGAAATTGCTCTTGCCCAGGTTGTTTCCCGAATGGAATCATCCTCCAGAGAACTTCCACCGCCGTCTGCCCTACCTCGCATGCCTGCCGCAATGCATACTCCTTTGCCCCCGCCACCTTCGCACTGGCAAGGCACTGAGCCCATGCAGCAATGGTTGCGGGCTAAAGCTGAGGAGGATCGTCGCAGCCAAGAGGAAGAGAAGACCCGACAAGAGACGTTGCGATTGGAGCAGCGCAAGATTGAACAAAAGATTCTAGCCGATTCTTTACGTGCAGGTGTTCCTCCTCATTTGATTCCATTGATATTTGCTGGCATAAACGGTGGGAATGGTGGAAACAGTCACTGTAGTGAGACGATCAACCAGTACATGACACATGCATATGCATCTAGAGGTTTCTCAACTGCTCCTCCACCGTCTCAACAATCATTTTCTGGCTCAGCAGCCAATTCTTTCGGTCCATCAGTGCATCTGTCAGTGTCACAATCGAGTACAGCAACGGAACACCAGCGGGGGGTTAGTACAAATTCGGGCGCCGGCTTGTATCCCTATCCTGCAGTCGTGAACGCGGGTGTTCCATCGCCAGCAGGAAATAATAGTGCTAGACCTCCGGCAAACACCCCAGTTCCACCTCCATTGCCTGCTCAGCCACGCGCCGTCGACATGCAGCCTCAAGGCATGCCCAATCTCGCTTCTCCACATATGCCTCCACATCCACCTCAAATAATCCCCACTTCTGGCCGGCAGGATCCTCGGTCCAGTCGACCTCCACCTATCTCTTTTCATCATTGGGTCCCTCCAGGTCAACCGCAGCCTCCGTCTCAGCCTCTGCTTCAAGCACCACCTAACAAAGGCCAGACAGCGGATCCAGCTTTGGCATCTGATCCTGTATCCCACGCCCAGGATATTACCGGTCAAAACTCTCCAAATCGTAAGAGGAAATCCCAAAACACCCACGCTCCGGTTGCCCCTCCCTCTGCTCGTTTGTTTGAGTCAGCTCAACGAGCTATCCGATCTGGTGCACAGAGCCCAGGCACTGGTAGACCGGATCAGAATGAGCAGCGACAAAGTGAAGTTTCTCACGAATTTCTCACTGAGGCAGGCCCTATCGGTCGACGCTTGTCAACGCCACAAACCAGCCCTAGATCTCGAATAGGATCTGTTTGGAATTCCCAACAAAATTCACGCTCCCGAAGCCCCGAGAGGGACATCCAGCACCCACCGCCATCCCAAAATCAGGCCGAAACGTCGGACATGGATGTCTCATCGGAACAGGAAATGGGATCTGGTGATCCAACTGGAAACAAACCCTAGTCAATTACTTTCATTTCTTACCCATTGGTTCGAGGTTCTTACTTGCCTTGTTAAGATACCCCTGGTCACGGATTGAGCATTTTTGCATCTGTGCCTTTGTTCGCCCATGTAACATTATTATGACGTCTCACTGGTCACCAACAACACCGCCAGGACAACGATTTTGTATTTTTGAGTCCTTTTAAAAGTTGTTCCTGGGGTCAATGCAAGTTCCTGGGGTCAATGCAAATTAGGATATCCATTAATCAATAAACAAACTTTGTCATTATTAGATTCCACCTGAACTCAGAACAGTGTTCAAGAACCTTGAAAGATTTTCATTGATAGAGATATATACACTTAGGGGCCAATCCCCAAACCCCGCCGGGCACATTCGATCCTTAACACTAAATATCACAAGCCGTAATAGAGACGCTAACACCAGTGTAAGAAGTATGTAGAATGCGTCCTAGGATTCGCCATTAGAACCATGTGGTTGTTTTATTCTCATCGATTACGCATCACCACGATCAAATCGACTCAGGACCTCCGGCGGCACAGTAGGAATATACTTTCTCGCTCGCTCACGATTCGTTCCACCCAGACCAGCACCATAACTAATCAACATATCCGTACTAGTAGGTAAAGAGAACGGAAGGAAAAGTGTAGGATCCAAGAAAACACTATTAGGATGAGGCCTGTCATCGCCTCTAGTCGCAGCAACCATACCAGCTGGATTAGAAGATTCCGGCGATGGAGCCGGATCAGGAGTCGCAGGTATATCTCCTTGTGACTGACCATCCTTTGAGGGTGTTTTGGGACGGTCATCTTTGGGTACAGAAGCTTTTTCCTTCTCGATTTGCAGTCGCTGTTGTTCCCTGAAAAGTATTTCGGGATCGCGTTGCATTTCTAGGAGGAATTTCATGGCCTGTTTCGTTAGGCCTTTTTCGCCTACTTCGGGTCTGTATGATTTGACGGCGTGGAGGAGTTGGATCGGGAATAGTTGCTGCAGTTGGAGTAGGGTTGTTACCAGGGATTCGTGGTCGTCTCCTAGGGAAGAGAAGCATTGGAGCCATTGGAGGAGTTGAATGACCGGTGCTAGGTGTCGACGGGCCGCATCGACTGTTGTTTCGCCGGTGCTTGTCATTGAGCCATTTTCGTAGTGTTCTGGTTGGCGGTTGTTGGTTCGTGCCCAGTCTTCCAGGGTGGATACATTCATGCGGATCTGCATTGCTTTTGTTCGGGCTAGGTAGCGTCTTGTGCTCATGATTCTGTTGAAAATCTCGGCGCTAAGCCAGTAGAGGAGTTGGGAGAGGATCTGGGTTGTGATCACAGAGTGGACGTCATAGAGATCTAGGACAAAAAGGGTTGACGATAGTAGCGATGTGACGTTCCGTGGGGAAATCTGTGCTCGTCGTCGTGGGGATGGTGGACGGAATCGCTTCTCTGCTGGCTCGGGAGTCTCGGACTTCTTCTTGCGGAAAAGCTTCCACTCATTTTGGAAAGCGACATCTTCCAGCCCTGGGATGGTTTCATGGTCCAGCATGGCCTCATCTAGGACTTTGTTCATTCGCCGCTCGGCGTCACGAATGATAAGGACGAAGATTTCGTTGATCAGCTCTGCTAGATGGAGCTGGAATTCCACGGTAGACTCCAGCAACCCGGGATCTTTCTTCAGATAATGTAGCAACAGTGTGGCGTTTGATAACCAGAATGCTTGCATAGTCATGTCCCACTGGTGGCGCTCGACAACGTCATTGATCTTCTCTGCTGCCGAGCTGAGGAGCTCTGCTAGCAGTTCTGGGCTAGCATGATAGTGTGCATAACGCGCACTGAGAAAGAGGAGATTTGCCGGCACAGGCTTCTGGGATGGAGACCGTTGAGGTGTCATGTTGGTGATAATGATATCCAAAATGCGCTCCAGCTCATGGTCCTGGAACACAAACATCTGGTCATTTAGACACCGGTCCCAGACAAATTCCTGTTGCTCTTCTTCGAGGTCGTATTCATCTGATTGCTCATACTTCTCATCCAGCCCAAGACTAGACAGATCAACCTCCAAATTAATGGCACTTTCTTCCATCATCATCCGCCTCTTCATCTCATTCTCAGCAATCTCCTCCTCGAACCGTCCGTGTGCCATACCAGCATCATAGAAATCATCTTCAATCGCACTCGGACCAAAAGTATACCCATTCTCATGCAGGTATTCCGAGATTTCACTACCAGGCTGCGCAAAGTCAAGTGCCGTCCCACCAGAAGAAGACTTGATATCCGGCGAAGCGTTATGATCCAGCAAGATCTTAGCAATAGTCTTATGGCGATTCGTCATAGCCCACATCAACGCGCTCCACTGGTTCCGATCCTGCTGATCAACGAACGCTCCAGCATCAAGAAGCGCCGAGACAACATCCTGGTGCCCGAAGCAACTCGCGTAAATCAGCGGTACCGTCCCCTCCTCGTCCTTCATATTCACATCCACAAAGTTTTTCGCCGCACCGGACAACAGCTTTCGCACCCGCTCGACATCTCCATTACTCGCTGCCATGTTCAGGCTCTTCTGGAGGATATCTTTCTTCTCGGCCGTCGTCAACTTCTCGTCATCCGCTATGCTTTCCTCGTCCGCGCCCAGCGACTCGACTTCGCGATGCGCAGCTTGCGCGGCAAGCATTTCCATAAGACGCGCATCGCTATCTTCAAGGTCTCGTCCGTATTGAGCACGTAGGTCTGTTTCCGGGTCGTGTGTGTGGTCGTCTAGGGCCAGGCTGAAGCTGAGCGGTTTCGCGGCGACGGGCGTAGTAAGGAATTGAGATTGCCCTGTCAAGCACGGTATGTTAATTACTATCAACCTAGTTGGTCCAATTTCTCTGCATAGAGTGTGGGCTTTGGAGACACGTGCGTCGCATCGTCTCTGTCCAGGAACCATCCAAGCTCGGACCATCAGAAGGTTCTCAGGTAGGGTGTTGCTTACCCTGCCACGCATCGTACATCTCCGTCTCCTGCTGATAAACCGGCACCGAGCGGCGATCATCTAGTGACTTGGGGAGGTCATCTGGGAGTTCCTGTGGGATTTCCAGGGACGCGGGGCTATGGTTGGACTCAGTGTTGTCGTGTTCCTCTGAAGCCCCGCGCCGCGGCTCGGTCGTGTCCATCGTTGCGGGGGAACACGGGGCGGGACATTAAATACGGGAACAGTTAATTGAACCCTTTGCTCGGTGTTTGGAGGTAACAAAGAATGAAATAAAAGAGAAACTTGTACTCGGGTGAAACCCTCTGGATTGGGGTCGAAGGAAAGAAATTGGGGGTCGGGCTGAAAATGGTGTTCCGCAAGTAGATCAACTCCACTGTGATTTTGTTGATTATGACGCACTTAGAATCCACCTTATCAAACGATGAAACGAGCTACGAATTGATACCATGTTATATTGGTAGGATCGAGTAGGTTTGTAGGTTTGTATATTAACTTCGAGGGTTTCTGTTATTGATTTATGAAACAAAGGATGTTTGGTGGTTCCACAGATAAAAGTAAAAGAAAAATAGTATGTATGACTGCCATCAAGCCGTGATATCTCCAAGTTGCCAATGTAATGCAAATGCTCGCTCCAAACGCAAATACCAAATGAAACCTAAACGAAAGTGAGAAGGGGGAAATGCAAAATATAGATACAGGGATATATAGCAGAAGATACCAAGTGGTTCTGCAAAAGGGGTATGAAAAAGAAATCCAATCATTAGAAATAAACCAAACCACGCCGAGGAGAGATCATTCGAGCTGCTTGCTGCGGGATTGAATCTCATCTTCGGAGAGGCATGCAATCCAGAGGCACCGCTCGATGATACCCTGGACCGGCTCGAAGCGGTACTTGGTGCTGGCGTCGATCAACCGAAGCAGACTCTTGACAATCCGAGCAGCGGTGCGGTACCGTTCAAAGTTAACCAATAAACCACTCTCACCACAAGGCATCTGGGCTGGCTTTTGAGCATTATAAGTAAGGTCATGTACATAGAGACCTATTAATTGAGGTTAGTGAAAGTAGATAATCTGAAATATAGAGGAAGATCTTACCGATGAAAGGAATACAGCCTTCCTGCAGACTGGCTGTCTCCATCTCAACACGCAGGTCATTGAAGTTTCGAACAGGCTGGATTAAGCATTCCATGTCCTTGAAAAGTCGCTTGTCCTCCAAAGGAACTATTTGCCATGTCTTCTGTAGTCGGGAACAGTCCGACGAAGAAAGGGCAATGGCAATCTGCAACATGGTCGCATAGTTGCACATGCGGCGCGCATGAGCAGCTGTATGAATAAATTTGATAATTGTGCGGGCTCGCTCTTGGATTTCGCGAGTCAAGACAATTTCTGAGACTACCCATTTGACCATGAGGTTGAAACGGCCCACAACCAGATCGATGCCCTTGCGTTCTTCGGTAGTGAGGAACTGGACCCAGCTAGAGATAAACTGAGAGCCGCCGCTCCATCTCATTTCAACGAGATCTCGCCAATCAACCTCGCTCAGCGCAGCCATTTCAACCAGTGTGAGTTGCTGTGCAAGCACCTGCGACTCACAGGCGAGAATAAAGGGGACATGGTCTGGGAAATTATCGTTGACGTATTGACGGTCTTTCTCAGAGTTGGAAAGAACGTCACTCGAAAATTGAGGTACATCTCTGGACTGTGAGTTGGCCGTTTCTGTACCCCGACGCCGAGGAGAAGTATCGGGTGTAGGTGGTTGGGCTTGGAACAGCACTTTATCCATAGGTGAGACACACGGAGTGAAAGAGCTGGGGTGTTGAATAGTCATTGGAGGAGAAGGTGGGTGGGCCAGGGGGTGAGGCGGGATCTCCACAGTCGACGAAGCCAGACTGCGAGTATCTGTAGACAAGCGGCCTTCCATTGCCTCGCGCGAGTCAATCATCTCAACAGACATGGCCGACAAGCGCTTAGGAGTGGCTTGCCCTGACATGGGCAGGGGCAGGGTTGAGCCTCGAGGAATGCGGCGAATGCTATCCGTGTCGTGGATGATCTGGATCGACGGGTGCGACGATGCCAACTCAGATGTATCCCGACTGGTGATTAGACTGAGAGGAGCCCCTTGCACATCAATGATTTGGCTGCGATGCTGGCTTCGATCCGCTGGTGGCCGTTTCATAGACTCATCAGTCAACCCTCGCTCAAGAAGAGGAATCGAATTGTACGACTCCTCAGATTCCGCCACAGAGTCCGAGTACGGTCTGGGCGGCGCCAGTCGCCCCCCAACAGTCGAGTAGCCCGATTTATCCGTTTGCCGTCTTCGAGAGATTGTATCCCAAGATACATTGTTCTTCTCAGCCGCATACTCAGCGCGAGGCGCGAGGGCTCGCTCAAATCCAATCTCTTGATCTGCCGGTGGTGAGCTGGGCCACTTGCCCTCCAGCTTCAGCAGAGTCGATTCAACACCTCCATCGTCATCGTCTGGAATCTGCGCAAAGCGGGCAATAGCTGCTTCAAAGGAGCGTTTCATATTCCGATTAGATCGAGCTTGGATCAAGGAGTATCGAGGGTTGGGCGGAATCAAAGTAGTCGGAGGCCGTGATGGAACTTCAGAGGTGGTCGTTGTAGTCTCTGCTAAAGAGTCATCACAAGAGTGAGTAGACACAGCACTTCTCCGACCTTCGCCAGGTTCAACATCATCCACATATTGCATTTCTCGCAGATTTCCACCAGGTCTTCTACGGAGCGCACGTCCGGATGGCTTATCTGTCTCTTGCGTAAGATTCGAGCCCGTAGAAGACTTTCCTGCGTCGCTACCCATTGATGCCCGCTGTCTCGAGATTCCGCTTTGGAAAGAGGCATACTTTCGAAGTCTGAGGGAAAGCGAGGCTTTCTTGTTGAGAGTAGTCTGGCGCTCATTGGAAAAAGATCTGCGAGTTGAAGCAATGCTATACGGATGCGGCTTTTGCGGAACTTCTGGGATTTCACCATTGAAACAGATAGGAACGGTGTGTTCACTTGCACCCTGTGTTGATGTGGACAAGTAAGACTTGGAGTACGCAGCCTTATCACTCGGATTCAAGCGCGCTGGATCACCCAAATCGCGGTTAGTCATATCGTCTCCCAAAGCCCCAGACATTGAAGTAGGGAACTCAAATCCGGTATCATCCACGATCACGATCGACCCACTACCAGTAGTAAGCCCACTTTTAATCTTCGAAGCATTGTCCTTGGGAGTTTTCAAATGGTCCTCGGGCATTTCTGCGGGGGTGTCTCCCCAGGGGATCTGCAGTTCAGGCGCATTGAGCTGCAGCTGGTTATCCTGCTTGACCGATGGGTCCGTGGCCTCCCGGTATTGCCTCAAAGCTTGGTCGCAGAGCACATCGATTCGGGCGGGGCGCTTAGGAACAGCCGCCATCTTCCTTTCACGGTAGAAGTCAGACCCCAGAGCAATGTGCTGTGGCATTGCAGAGGTTTTCCCGCGATATGGCATGGAGAAGTTTTCCGAAGCATTAGCAATACGAGCAGAAACACTCTGACCACCATTTCTAGTATGGAGCGCCCGCCTAATTGAACCAATGATGGTCTTCACCCCCGAGTTTGATTGGTTTGGTTTAGGTCCACCATCTGGTTGACTTCGGCGGTCTGGATTGCTAGATGACGACGGTAAAGGCAAAGGAGGGGAATCTGGGGCCATCAACGTCATGTATGACTCTGCGGGAGGGTACAGGACACCTCGAATTAAGCTGATCGGGTCCATTGTCTCCTGTGGTGTAGTTGTGGAGCCCACCTCCACACCGGACATGGGATCTCGGACCGAATCAGAAAAGCTGCCGCTTCGTTTATGGCCATGGAATGGGTATCGTGAAAGCATCGGCGACACAGGGTGTCCTTCGTGAGGTGAAGACGACTTTGTGAGGCCGAGTGGTACAGGGCGTGGTGCTTTGCTCCTGGAATAAGGGGCTGAGAGCCGTCTTGGTGACTTTGGAGGTAATGAGCAGGAGAGCGCAAGCATGCTTTGGTCGCTCTTTGTCGAAAAGGGTATGCTGTGTGCTGTCCCAGCCGAGTCATTCCGATCATGCTGGGTAGAGACGGGGAAGCTTTTTCGAGAACTGGTGTCAGCATGAACAGCCATGCTAGGAAGCGGAACAGTCTGTTGGAGTGGCTCATCATTCGGTAGCTCCATTTGCGCGCTTCCAGGCAAAATTGGGCTATCAGGATCATTATAGGCGCGAGAAAAATCCGACGCGGTCCAATAGACCGAACACTTGCCATTCCAGCATCTTTTCAAATCAATAAGAATTTTCAAGTCACTCATACCGCCATTCCGTCGACATTTGACCTCTTGATAAAGGTTGTTGATAGTTTCGCAAAAGTGGGTCCGCAGATCATAGTTCGTAACAAAGTCATCAACAAAATAATTCAAGATCCAGTGTCGCAGAGCCGCAAAAGTGCGAATGCGAATAATCCGCCCATCCTCCTGAAGGCGATTGATTGCCCACTGCAATCGCGCAAGCAACAGAGCAAGCAGGTGGTTTGAGGATAAATAACAGCGAAAGGTGAGGAAGAAGTCCGATACCAACTCATAATCCATGAACGACTCAGAAGAGATCTGGGCCACAATGCGGGCGGGCGTAGCTGCGCTAATATCTTTGGTGCCAGGAATGTACCGCACAACCGTTTCACCATCCATGTCCGATACCAACGATTCATATATCGAGGGTTCAACCGGCCCCTTCAACTCGTACACCATTGAATTCCTCGGCAATGGCGAAGCCCGACTGAGGTCTATAGCCGCCGCTCCAGAGAACATTGACACCGCGAAAGACGCCCGGTTACGCGAGTAGGAGTCTCTATACGGACTCGGATGACGCGCAGGCATGGGATCAATCATGCCTCCCAGCAAGGTCGAGTTTCGAAAATTATCGGACATTGAGGTCCGCGCGTGGACGGAACTATGCAGGGCCGCACTACCTTCGTTATTGAGCCGTGAGCCCAGCCGGTAATGAGGGATAGGGACGTCCAACGCCGTGTCAGGCGACTTTTCATTCGCGGTCTTAGGCCGGTCTTCAGATCGATCGATGACGATGCGCAACTCTCCACGTTTGCCTGCGCCAGACACTGAGTGAGTATCGGATATTGTTGAAAACGAGTTCGCACGCTGGCGGGGTCGATTTGCCGTTTCTGGTCGCGCGGTGTCAGGATTCACGGGTTCGTAGTCTTCTCGCTGTTCGCGCGGACGTAACTCGGAGAGCTGAGAGCTCGACCATCGCGACGGGTCATCTCGGGGCTGGGCATATCGTTGCGGCTGAAGGCGATCGGCCGTCAATTGATCAGTAGATGAGAAGGGCACTATAGGAGGATCTTTCTGCGGTGGATTCGCAATCGGCCTGGTAAATGTAGGCGAATTGTCAGCTCACTGCAGGTTATGTGCGACACGGGATGGCCGTGTAGAGATTAGATATTTGGACGGAATAGCGATCGTACCTGAGAAAGATCTTGCCATTTTGTCCAACACTTCCAACCGTAAAATGACCTGCTTTGCGTCCTGCCGGACGCGCCTCTAATGGGCCCCGGTGCGTCTGGGAGCGTTGCAATGGTAACTTTCGTAATAACTCATTGCTATCTTTGGCCCGCAGCCCTGATGCTCCCACCCCTGGCGCAGTCCCTGTCGTTGCGGTCCTCTCTCGGGTGGCCTTGCGTTCCAGGTTCTTTTTGATCAAACTCCCATGTGCCACCGTGTTGGCGCGACGTAGAGGGGTGGTTGCTTTCGGGGTGGCTGCGCTGCGCGTTCGGTCTAGAGTAGGCACTTCATTGATTCGTACTGATGGTCCGGATCGATCCTTGGAATGTGCGGTCCGGTCAAGAGTGGAAGGGAACGGTTCCATGGCGGGCAGTCGTGGGAGCTTCGATGACAGCTCCACGAACCGCGCGCGACGCGGTCGTATATTTTTTGCTCACAGGCAAGGGTAACGGGTACCTCTCGGATACATAAGCCCAGAGATTTGATCGGATTTCCTTGTAGAGTGTAGGGAAGGATAAGAAGGGACTTTGTTTTTTTTCGCGAGTGGAGCAGGAGGTTTGGGGAACCGATCCCGACACAGCGGATCCAGGCACGTTGCCACCGAATACGATACACGCATAGTAGAGCTCCAGTTATCTATCTCTTCTATTGATTCATCTCATTTCCATCTGATTTCTATCCGGTTAATCCTGTTTCCATCTAATCTACACGTCAACAGTCAACTTCCCCTCAGTGAGCACATGAACAACAATTGATACGTCGAGCCCACCCAGGTCGCCTCGCCCCGGTGAAGCGAACTACTTTGGGGCGAATCCCCGTTCAGCCCGCTAAGTGGCTGCTTGTCCCGCCGTTATCCCAGGCTCCACTGGCCTCGGTACATAGTGACGCGCCCTTGGGACTGGAGCTCTCAGCTATGACATGTCCCGTTTCCCAGCAAAGTGGATGTCTCATGCAAGAGGTTCCACTGCCCACTTTACCTTCAGCTGATGCAATTTCCATGGTCTGATTTTGTTATTGCCAAGACATGCTTCTAAAATGACTAAATCAAGTCACATTTTTCAGCCGATCCACATGATCTCCTGCGGGTTCCCATCTCTCAACAATCCCCCCGTCACTCCGTATGATCTGTCGATCTACAAGTCAGGCCGCCCCGATCTACGTTGGGATCGGCTTCGGCCTTTTTTTTACTTTGGCGTTTCCCAGGAAAAAAATCACTAGTTTAAACGGGGATCGGCGTTGAGGGGGAGTGCAACCCGGATGCAAAAAAAAAAAAGTACAAGCTCAAGGGGATCGTCTCGTATTTCATGCAAGAGATGATGTGAGCGGAGATACCAGATTAACTAGTCATCTAGAGCTTATGTCTCATAGGCTTGACTATGATTGGTGTTTGACACTTTCGGACACCGAAATTCTCATAAATCCCTTGGAATGTGTCTTATGCATACGAGAAACCACAGGAAAAATGCATTGTGAAATGAAACCCGAAATTCAAGGGAAAAAAATCAACCTAAAGTGAGGAGAGGAGGGAGCACATTGAATATCCCCCGGCAACGACCTACCAGAGCTGGCAAACAGGTTTCTTCTCCGGGCACTGGAATGCCTCCTTGAACTCGCGAGAGTTTGCCATCGTTTCCTAACGTTGTTAACGGACAGGGATTATGCATGGGACCGGATCAAACTTACGATATTCCGCGCAGATTTGGGCGCGTGTGGATCAGTATAGATGGCCTTCTCCGCGGCCTCGGGTGTAGTTTTACCACACCACCAGTTGGCGTAAGAAACGAAGAACAGTTGCTCCTTGCTGAAAGCTTCCAGTCCTGGAAGATGAAGGTCGGCCTTTGCGTCGTCGTGCTTTTTCCAGGCGTGGAACGAAGCGGTCAATCCACCGGCATCCGCAATGTTCTCACCGAGGGTGAGGCGTCCATTCACATGCAACACCTTACCGCCGGGTCCCTTCACGGTGAAGCTGGAATATTGGTCCACAAAGCATTGAGCCCGTTCTTCAAAAGCCTGGACGGTCTCGTTGTCCCACCAGTTCGTATAATTTCCCGTCTGGTCGTAATGCCGCCCAGTCGAGTCAAACGCGTGAGAGAGTTCATGCCCACTGACAGCTCCAAAGGCTCCATAGGACAGGTACAAGGGTGCTGCCGGACCGTAAAACGTGGGAGGTTGCATGATACCAGCCGGGAAGACGATCTCGTTTCCCGCGGGGCTATAGTAAGCATTGACCGTGGGCGCAGTCATATCCCACTCATCTCGGTTGGTTGGTTTGCCCAACTTAGACCACTCGTTTGCGATATCAAACTTCGCGACGGCAATCTCGTTCTCAAAGAAGGTCTTGTTGGATACATTGAGTGTGGCATAGTACTTCTCCACATCCTGTGGGTCCAGTACGTTCGGACTCTTGGTTGGGAAACCAATCTTCTGGACAATATTCTCCACCTTTTGGATGCCCAATTTCCGTACTTCTGGAGACATCCATGCGGTTTGAGCCAGAGTGAAGGCGAAACGTTCTTTGATATCCGACACAACTTGGTCACCAAGCTTCTTGGACTCTTCTGAGAATGAATCCAATACGTAAAATCGACTCAATATCCAGCCCAGACCTTCATCAAGGCTACGAATGCACGTTCTCCATCGCTCTTCTTTAGCATCTGCGTCCTTCCCGGCCATTTCATTTGTGAACCGGGTGAGGGGGGTAATCTTGTCATCCTCGATACTGGTGGCATAGGCCTGGATAATCTTCCATTGGAAGAAGAAAGACACAGTCTTTCGGGGAGTATGCTTCAGAATTCCGGAGAGAGCTTCCATGTATGAAGGTGATCCAACAATTAGGCGATCGCTTTCGAAGTCATGCGGTGCAAGCTTTGAGATGATATTTGTGAAGGATATTTGGGGCACCAATGACTCGGTCTTTTCGACACTGAGTGGGTTGTAATACTTTGTGACATCCTCTTGCGTTTGGGTGTCGGGAGTCACATCGGCCAGTTCTTTTTCAAAAGCGACGACGTTCTCCGCGATCTGTTCAAATTCACTGACCTCGAGCGCTTGGAAGATCTGCTTCACCACATTTGCATACTTGGCGACCGTTTCCGTGTTGTTGTAGTACTCGCGTGCGGGGAGTCCAATTTCCCCAGGCGGATTTACAAAAATAGCAACGTTATCAGGATCCCGATCATCAGGCTGTAGTTGTTAGTACACCCCTAGACCAATATAGAGTCGGGGGTCTCACCGAAACGCTTGGAGACACAAGAGCCTGAACATTGGATTGAATCAGGAACAATATGGCATCAGTGATATTCTTTTCCGTGCCAAAAGTAATTTCATCGTTTGCAGGGTAGATGCTTTGCAGCTTCGCTAGAACTTCAACTAAGGGCTGAATGCCGCGTTCCCGGATGGTAGATTCATCCAGACAAGCATTGTACGCATCCTTCAGCTTCTTGAAGTTCCCAGCGTCATCCTGTGGGGCCTCTGGGCGCTCCAGAATATGGCGAAGGCGGGTCTGGGCAACCTCCTCCATCATGGTTCCAGCAAAGACCGAGCCCTGGTCAGAGCGCATATCATGGCGCTCTCTCCAACCACCGCAGACATACTGATCAAAGTCGGTACAGGGGTCAATTGTCTCGTATTTTGCATCCAGGTTGTAGAGGATCTCTGACGCTGCGTGAATACATTCGGGCGTATTACAGGTAGGTGGGGATTGGGGGTGCAGGGGATGATCTCCATGCGGATGAGATCTATGCGGTCGTTCTGTATATGACAATAGTATCAGTAGTCAATATCGAGGGGGGCATACTCTTGAGCTTACGGTAGAACAATCGTGCTAGACCCCAGACCAAAAGACCAGTCCAGATAAATGCCAGGAGACCACGCCAAAGAGGGCGACGTGCCCGGTGTTCACTGCGTCCTGTCTTCAAGACACGGTACACAATTGAATGGTTTCCAGTGTCCAGGCGCTGGGCCTCGGTGCCCAGGAAGGCCTGCGTTTCTTCTGACTTGACGTCCATGTACTTGCGATCCGGCTTCCAGCCATCACTTTGGAGCATTAAGCGACCATGTCCCTAGGTTAAATTTCGGGTGAGACTTACGCGTCATTTAAAAATGCCATTCTACAGCTTTTGGGGTGTCGATAGGTAATAACAAAGCAACCCCCTCACCGACAAAGAATCGAATGAGTTCGTGGTAGTGACTCTTCATCTCTGAGCTCGAGTGGGGAATGGCGTCACACAAGATGAGTCAGCGATCGGCCGATCCGTGCGGGGATAACCAGGTGTTTGAGCTATTCGATGAATGCATGAACTATTGAAGAGTGGATCTAAGAAAATTACAAATGTCGACATTGGGTTACTCTTAGGTTCTACTACCTGGCGTTACGTCACTTAGACTGATTCCTAGGTATAATACTAATTCCCTCATAAAAACGCTGATTGCAGTCACTATGGCACCGATGAAGGCACGTGAGACTTCATAATCTTCGATTCTGCATTGGTGGCCCCGAAATAAGCTTTGAACTAGACTAACCTAAACTCCCACTTCTGTTCGAAGTATAATACCAAGTCACTGAACTCCCGTCCAGGAACGCAAAATGACGAAGTGGATATCAATCTTGAAAATCGAATGCTAGTCGCTAAGGAGAATGATCAACATCCTCATTGTGGGAATCAAACAAGCAAACCAGTCCTGCTCAACAGAATGGCTCCGTAGTCGAATTGCCACAGGCCTCCTATTTCGAGATCGAGCGAGCCTGGGATACATAACTAGCCGACCCTGTGGCTTCATTGAAAATATTGTAGCCATAGTCGGCTGCATTTGGCGGGGTGTAAACTAGGTTAAAGGTCAGTCCATGCATTCAAGATATGCTTGGCAGTTGATTTCTTTGCCAATATTTGAGTACTCACGGTGTAAAGAGACAGCAATCTGGGTGGGATGAGGATTATGAACTCGGTGAAGACCAATGTCATCGGAGATGTATGTCACTTCATTCATACCAAACGTATTAGCCGACTTGATAGTCAAAGGCTTAGCCTCTTTGGAATCGGTCTCAGGTGCATAGTAAACAGTCTCGTGTAATTGTCCTGCGAGGACCTTCATTATGCAGTGCGCGTTGGCATGATCGTGGATCGGGGAGCCTTTTCCAGGGTTCCAGACGAGAAGAAGCTGACTCACGTTAGCGATATATCTCGCCTATACTTAGAGGTGAAAACAAACAATATTCGCCTTGTGATTGATATTCTCAATAGCATTGCGGGTATAATTCTTGCTGGTATCATTGTAGAAATACTCGATCCAATCACTCGGGTCGGAGATGTATTTTTGTGCCAGTGAGATCAGATATTCTTCATCGACTTCTTCAGAAGATATACCACCCGTCGCTCCCAAATGCTGTTTGATATCTTGCACCAGGCATTCCAGGTTGTATCTCTCTTTGAAGGGCTGATAGCTTGGGGCTAAGCCCTTGTCGAAAGTGGTGGCCGCTGAGAGGAGGGTTGACGACATCATGGTTCCAATGCGAGAATATGAGGTTGGAGAGGGGGAAGAATCATTTGAATAGATTTCGGGGATCAATTGAGGACACTTATATAAAGGAGTTTGTTGGTACTTCGACCAAAGTGCGCGTCAATCCCCGATGCGTAATGACGTTGTGGGTTAGTCGGCGATTGGGATTTTGATCGCCGACCGGGATGATCTGCGTGGACAGGCCGCGCACCTTCACTCAGCCCCGTCGGACTCCTATCTGTTATCTTTGGGTCATTTGATAGATAACTCTATTCGATCGATCAATATTGAGTTATGCACTATTTAATGAGCTATTGTCTGGGAAACTACCAAATTTGGTGTATACAAAAAGCCATTACGTGTGCTCAGGTGTGCTTCAGATCGTCTGAAATATATTTCCGGGGCTACCTCTACGAAGCTCTGAAGAGTAATCCATGCAGATGTGAATCCTAACCAGCTGTACATATTCAGTATCGATACAATCGACGTATATTATTTACAGACTCAATCAAGGTTTTGATAATCTTAATAATACAAAATCAGTGGATATCGAAGTCGGGGAGGGAGGTGAAAAATGAGTCGTTGTAGCAAGTCGGATCAACGAAAGCCGACACAAGGGGAGGAAACAACATTTCCTGACCATCTGACATTGCCGATATTGGTCGTACAGGCTGGTGAGGGTGTTCGGTGTTACTCGGCGTCGAATCGGACGGGAACAGCTTCCTGGGAGGTTCCGTGCACCAGCGCTCCATTGAGTCCGACAGGTTGTCTGCCGCGGAGGCTCTTAAATGGTCATAGGCGGCATCCGCTAGATTCCATATGCGCTTTGTACTTTTCAAACACCCCAGAATGAGAGTGACTCGGTTATAATGATGATCAAAGCACTCTTCGTTATGCTTGATGGAGGTGGCGAGCTGGATCATGCCGCAGAGCGCCAATGCAGGGATCGCGAAAGGAGTATGTTTTGGGACATTGGGACAAAGGGAAATTGCATCTGATAGACGCCGCGAGGCTTCCGTGGCTTTTATACTGTGAATTGAGCGGTTGAGTGTTGATGCTAGATGACGTGTGGCAACGGGCCAGAATTGATCATCTGATTGCGACAGAACAGGTTGTAGATCACTCCGGGGTAGGTGGAGGAGCATTGTAGCATAGGCAATAGTCATGTGTGCTTGAAACATCATCTCATCGATGTTTCCATATGAGTCGACAATATCCAGTTTTTTGGACGGTAAGTGATTGATCCAACTGACAAGAGCGTTCTCAACAGCTTGCAGGTGATCTCGATGGTAATCCCGAAGTCCATTCAACACAAGGGCACGACATAATATTGTGACAGCCTCGATGCGGTAACTGGAGGACGAGAATACTGTTTCATCGGGCGAAAAGACCCTTCGCTTGAAATCAAGGATCTTACGAGGGGTTGGAATATCCCCGGTACCCGTGTAAGCCGAATCCTCACAAGGAAGAGCAACCTCCGGTGCCATTGTGCTGCATTGAAACATCGTGTGTTTGAAGGGTGCTGCCATGAATACGTCTGTGATGTATAGCTCCCACCAAGTTCTTCGCATGCTTTCGGCCTCGATGGAGGTTTCTGGCTGTGCGGACGCGGCATAATCCCGCCGATTCATACCTAACTCCAGAGCTATCTCCACGCTACGTGAAAACGCATCCTGTGCCTCTTGCCATTCACCTCGAGCGTAAATGGCAATTGAGTAGATGAGCCAAGCTTGAACCATGCAAGGCGACCGATCTGTGCTGCAACTGAGCTCTGCAATCACCTTATCTTTGTACTGTTGAATTGGACTTGACGAGATATAATGGGATCCAACAAAGTTCACCACCATTTGAAGAAAGTCAGGATACTGCCGGTCACGATATATGGCGCTGGGAACCAGGATTGGATGGGCAACATGAAAATTCTCGTAGAATAACCGTAAAAAGCGGTCATCATGGAACCATGACTCACGGGATGGTTCTGTCCGTGACTGGTCAAGGTCATTTCGCAAGGGGGGTCATAGGCCAGGGGACTTGGCCTGCTGGAACCCCTGCTGATGGCCTCGGCAGCGACGCACTGTCAGGCGTATTGGGCTGACCAAGAGCAGTGACAGGCGCAATAAGTGATGTCTGCTAAACAGTTAGCATGTTCGACATCAACCAAGAGCAAAGCGCATGCTATACGTACGTCAATCTGGTCAGTTGGACAAAAAGAAGCTCGGCGATTGGGCTCCCGAGCTTTCCTGCGGCCGCCGCGTCGCGAGGGGAGATACTGGCAGAAGTACTCATTTTGCAAGCAACGAGAGCATGTCGGCTTCCGAGCGTCACATTTCAGATGTTGTTTGCGACACTCGGTACACGCTAAAGAAGCAAGGCCACTTTGTTTTGTGGATCGTGGCGTCATTATTAAATGGTGAGCGGGTTGTTGAAATGTGAGGTGTAAGTCAAAACCTGGCGTAATTGGGTCCCGCCGGGCGGCACCGCTTCCCCGAGTCAACCATTCAGCGCCCATGATTTGTACTGTCTGAACTCTTCACTTTCGACCGATAAGTATTAACTTGAAGATGTCAAGAATAGGGGGCAATCTTTGAGGATTATTTGTAGGGTTGCATAAAAATGATAGACCATCGAGACTGCATATCTTGTCACCTGGTATCGTGGTAGAACAGCGGTCAATAAACCTTGGAAACCTATTGGATCTATGATAAGAAGATAGCGTGATCTTGCCACATAATGAGGATTAATAGGAAAACTAAAGTGCACGTTGTAATCCTGGTAGGAGCTGGAAACTGGCGGTCTGTTCTCGCTGTGTGATATCGGGGACTCATTCGGCGATTGAGAAGCTGGCCCCTGCACGACTCCTACGCAACACTTCACCCCCTTTCAACGCGCATACACCAATGGAAACCGGAGGTTTGACACACTTACCTAAATTGCCGCCTCAGATTCAATATTGTAATGCACTATTCCTTTGGTCATGACTTCTAGCAGGTGACCAAGGAACCATGGTTTCGAAGGTATATCGGATACCCATGGTTTATCAGAAGGTTTGGGGAGGTTCCTAAAAATTGTTATCTGGAAATATAGTAATACTCTTTGCCTCATCAAGTCACGCTGGAGATATCCAAGATCTCTGCAAGGATCTCAGGCTCTCGTCACACGTGGGATCTTTGATACCTTGATAGAGTGTGGATGATTCACATACACCTCGCGGGGTGTAAAATTTGGACCTCAATACATTATTTGGAGTATCTTCGACGAGCTGAGCAATCAGGACTCCATGAATAAACTCTCTAAGTATAATATAGGTATATGCGTCCCAATCTGATCAACCTTGGAACTACTGGGTTGGATCCTTATCTATACCTCTCTACCCCTCTTCATTGGGTTGAGTCATTTCGAGTCATCCAGGGGATAATCCTAGTTATAGTCGTAATAAACCATAATTTCACTTTCTGTACTTCAAATTGCATTTGGAGTTTGGCAGTTCACAGACCAGCCGCTCGTGACAAAGCATGTCGCGCGTCTCATCGACCTCTCCCGTTTATCAGCTATGTGGCTCCCTATATGACTCGACACTTGAGCTCAAGTCCAGGAATATGCCGCTCTCCCTTCGAATACCCACATCGAGCGATATTATGACTCTGCTTGATATTCTCGGGAACAAGGAAAACTCAGAGTTCGACAAATCCATCTCCGATGCCACTATTGAAGATCTCGAATCAATTGCTCAAAGATGGACAATTGTCTCTGACCCGCCAATCTATCGCAACTTCCTAATGTGGTATGAAGAAAAGCCGGTTGGTATCGCTGGGCTTGGTTGGATCGGCCCGTGCAATAAATATCAACCAGAACGTGATGAACCACGAGCTGGTGCGGCGGGAGTGATTGTTCAACCGGCAGCGAGAGGTCAAGGATGTGCGTACGAGGCCCTCTGTATAGTGTTCGATTATGGGTTCCGCGATCTTGGACTACGGGAGATTCGAGTCGGTAGTCACTCTGGGAATCTTCCCATGACAGCGTTGATGGAGAAGAAATTCGGCTTGATGACTGAAATATTCCCCGAGGCTGATGAGGTGGATCAGTTTGGTAATGATCTCAAATGGACTATTGCGCAACATGATTGGACGGTACAAAACCGAGTTGTATATCACCATCGGTAGCTATAAGTCACGTTAAAAACCTTTCTAACGCACATTACGTTCTGAAATCTCGGTGCTCTCATTGGTACTGAAGGGTATGCTTTGAGAAACACGTCAGAACACGTCAACAAACCTAAATTTATAAAGCAAAGCTGTGAGCAATAGCTAAGATGAAAGAACTGAAAAAGATGGAATGCGGTGACAGGGTATTGATACGACGGTCTCGCTGTCATCATCGCTGAGATGAAACGCGAGGCTATTGCATTGAAGAGCCATGGGATGCACCCAAAACCTGTGAACAACTGCTTCTCTACATCACCTACTCTCGTAGCAAATGAACAGACTCTTTCTCTCCCATCATCTGCGCATCACCAATAAGAAACATTACCGAGTTAGGATCTACCTACGAGAACACCATACTTAAAATAGGAGCCCATGGTAGCTCTTTCAGCCAACCATCTAATGTGAGTGGGTCCAGGAAGTAAGCATCTTGCATTAGTCGAACTCTAACAAGGACTCCAAAATCACCGAGATCTCTGTGGAATGAGAATAACGTCGGTAGCGGTACAACACGCTAAATCCAGTGGCTGATCCGGCCCACTTGGACTCACCCACAACCCTGAGTTTCGAAGCCACCAATAAATGAGGAAATAAATTGACGTCCATACTCCCATCAACACTCTTTCAACATTGGGCTTCACGCCAAGAGCCATTCAGGCAGACATGATCTTTGAGTGGGTCCTTCGGACACGACCCTGGATACTCAGGTGGAGACGCTGGTCAGCAAGCTGCATTGCCGACCTATCATCATAGATCAGAAGGAACGAAGGGAACTACAAAGACGACCAAGCCCAGCGAACGTCCCGAATGGGATATTCAAGCGGACGAATATGGAGAGTTTATAGCTCATAAGTCTGAAGGAAAAGAATACCTGAGTAGCTCTCATCGCTGCTTCTGCATCAATTTCAATCACTTCCAGCGAATGATTCCTTGAGATGCCGAGGAGAGGCGTAGCAAACCCTTTCCATATACCCTAGCGCCTCTTCATGTCCAGCAATTTCGGCGATAAGTATAACTAAGCTACTTTTGTCTTTAATCTTGGACAATCAAGTTTCTCAATGGGGAGGATTCTAGTAAGCTCACGACGGACATACGGTCAGCTACGAATTCCACATCCCTGGCTGGGATTTTTCCCATCCACAGATGCGTGACTGTATGATTCTTACGGCGGACGTTCGACGATCTTGACCTCTGTCATGATCTAATGGCATTTGGGGACGGGAGCTACTTCTGCTACACCACTTGTATGGGGTGATGCTTGGAAGCCAAGCATTTGGAAGGTTACGGAGGGGTTTCGCTGATTAATGGAATTGATTACTCCACGACTCGCCAGAATTACTTTCCTTCTCAATTTATCGGGGAAGTGTAAGAGGGCGGAAGCCCCTTCATTTGAGGACTTGTCACGATAGATCCGAAACAGCTTATTGATCTCTGGCAGTGATTTTGGGGGGTTTTCTTTTGCCAATGATAAGGATCATCTAGTCAGGATTATGTGCCGACGAGGTCTTATGTTGAGGCCCACCTAATCATTGATTAAACCAATCAGCTTTTGAAATGCTGAAAGAGCGATATCATACTCATCTGATTGTCGTGTGGCGCTGCAGAGCCAAGAAATCGCCAAGTACGTACTTGATTGGCGAGACCGTGGTCCAAGGGTGTCAGCCTCGGATCGACCGTCTTAAGTCCGGATGATATGCCAGACTAAAGCCACCCTGTTTTGAAAATGGTATATAGTCAGACCTTTAGTACCAAATTCTAATTTTGGTGCGTCTTGCAGGCTTACGTTGCCTTCACTGGTTGACTTGGTTGTCAGTCTATTATTTCATCCTTCCGTGATCGGCCGTCCCTAGCGTCATCCAGAAGCCATGAATTCAATGCTTATTCTCTTCGTGCTCATATTCAATGTTGCATCAATCGCGATTTCGAACCCCAGATCGATACAAAATCTTGCTCACCGCTCGACACTCCCTGAGCCAGAATCATACAATCCCTCCATTTCATCTGCCGGGACCGAGCCGATTAGACAACATTTGCTGGCAGAAGACCTGGATTTACCCAACAATGAGCGTGAATTTCATGGCACTAGCGACTATGAGAAGTTTGTTGCCCTTTGTGAGGCTGGGTTCATTTCTGGCTGTCGAGCAGCTGTTGGGGCAAATTAGATTTCTCCAAGGATAGAATGTCGCTTTGTTGATCTCATCAATGCATGGGTACAGAGTATCAACCTGGAAAGCGGATATTATGAATTCCTTGGAGGGCGGGTTATCGTTGAAGTTGAAAGGGTTATTTGTTCCAAAGCTGCTGATGTCCGCTATTATCTTTGGGTTGCTGCGTGTGCGTAAGGTCTGTGTTATCATCGACCATTCCAAACTTACACCTTGCCTGATTCCAAGGTCTACCACGCTTTATTTGGAGATATCGAAGCAAGCCGGTCAATTGGAAAGCCAGTTTGAACGATGCTGCTGTTGTTGGATTTCCGACTATCCGAATGTCTTTCATCTCGGGTCAATCCTGAAATTTGGTGCTGCCCACAGAATCCATCAAAGGCTAGCCAATAGTTCAATTGGGGTTCAAAATTGAAAAGTTCAGAAGAAGAGATTCTGTAATGGTGCACACCTGAGCACCTGCAGGTGGATACACCCGCCCAGCAGCAAGTCAAATCCCACAAGCATTTGAATAAAGGCCTTACTTTCAGACTCAATGCTTTGACATTTTTTTCTGTTATTTACGTATATGTACATAGGTAGTCCATTGCATTGACTACGAGGTGTGTCGGTCACCTAATCTCATAGTCACCACCATAGATCCAAGATATATCGATCAAGTATGCCATTATGTACTGATTTTAGTCATACCTAGACAAAGGGCTATAAGGTTCATTTCTGTCTAGACCTCGCTAAACTCAGAAGCAGAAAAGTACGGCCCATTTCCAAGGACTAAATGATGTGCTAAAATGAACCTTGGAAGGTTCATATATGCATAGAGAGGTGCCATTTCAATCCTGCAAGATCGCGTCACAATGAAGTTCATGTTGCGGCAATGTACTTCTTGAGTACCTTACCGGGCAGAAATGGATATAATTGAATTGTTCTGCGGTTGTCTTACGTAGTACACCTACTTGTGCAAGGTTCATTCGCCGAGTTTTGATCGCCGAATGTACAGTATTCAAGCAAGGGCCAAAAGTCTTGGCTTCTGAGGTCATAACAATGGAATTATCAGGTATATCAGTCTTATCTTGTATATCAGTTTTATCTTGATATACTGAATCTTGTAGTATTGTCATATTGCAATATTTATCATAAAGATACTGGGCACCCTGTCCAATGTGCTTGAAGCGAAAAAGAAGCTGTGCCTAAGAGAAAATAGGAAGACAAAGCCTTGGGACGGCTTATGAGAGATAGACAAAGAATCGGTGATGGATTTCTGTAACAAGATACCAGGAGCCGCAATTACTTTCGAAGGTTCTGGAGAGAAATAATGTATTTTCGTCGATCATATCGGATACACATTACTTGCTAACCACATCAGATTAGGCTCATCAATGTACACAAGTTAACCTATAGTTGGGATAATGAGATAAAGAAGGGCGTACGGCGTGGACTAGAAAGCTCTGCCGTGTATTTACAAGATCTTCGTTCTCATAACTGTGCATTTGCGTCTACAAATCTACATCGAGATCATTCTTCCTACCCCCTCTTATTGTTTTCTGATTGCCATTTTGTTGCCCCGTTAACATCATAGACTCACCGACCAACTATTAGCCAAAACGTCCTTTCAAGCGCTTATGCTATTGCCTCGCATGCCATCTCAGTGATCCTGTCGTATCGATTGTAAATGCCACCACAACATAGACTGACGTGTATCACCTGTAAAAATACACCACGGTCTCCGACCTGGCAAAAAGCACATTATTGATTCCCTATCCAACTTAACTGACTTGCTAATTGCTCTTTATTTGTCGAATTGTGAAATCTTGGAGAAATGGTATGCATGTACTATGACCAACACAGAGTACATGCACACCATTTCTCCAAGGATTCGGATTTCGAAAACAAAAATGCAAGTCAATCAAATAGGAGTAGCAACTCGATAATGCACAGGTAGAAGCATCTAATCAATCGGGCCATCTGTTGTTGTGCTAGGTCAGATAGCATGGTGCGTTTTGGTGATCGAGCTCAGTGTATGTTCATCCCTATGTTAGGGCCGTAGGGCATTTCTCCACTGATTCCACTTGCACTAAGGAACCAAGAGTATATGGGATCTCGTGTATAGTGGTAGCTTTCTATGTCGTTCGAAGGTTGTCGTGATCGTAGAAGGGTGAGAACCGACCAATCATAGCGTCGCTGGTTCGATTCGGGTGCCTCGGGTGGAGGAGGGATTAACGGTCACGGGTGGGCATTACACGATTCGCATCGGAGGTTGCTGCAGACGTTAGTAGTCTTGTTCGAAAGGCTCTGACGTGAAATTGATGCATTTTAAATGCAAGAAGGAGACAAAAGGTAGAGAACAGTGACCCGACAGCTGTTCCGAGTGATCGCGGTTTTCACCGAGCGGGTTGAGTGGGCCAATCAGAGGGAGGGTTTTACACCCCATTTTCCCGCGAGAAACTTGAACCTTCTGAACTTCAACTCGCATCACTTCCAGCACTTCTCCCTGCTACCACCCCCTCCCCTCCCCCCTCTTCCCGCTTTTGCGATCCAATCCCTTCCCACCCATCACTTTGTTGATTGGAGGGTTTGAATTCGACATGCTGGCCCGTACCCTTTCGCGCGTGCCCTCCCGGGCCATCGCACGCCAATCGCTCGGCAAGTCCACGGTACGCTGCCAACATTCCCATCAGATCAATTGAGCCTCATCGACGAGTACAATCGCTTTGCTAGGCCTCGTTGCGGACGAGAAAGGATTTTTTGGCTAATTCTTCCTACAGCGTGCTTCCTCCACCGCCGCCGGTGCCGAGGCCGCTAGCTCCCCCTTCCACCTTACCCTCACTGCCTCGCTCGCAACCGCCGCGGCTGCCGGTTCCGCCGCGTGGTACTACCACCTCTATGGCCAAGAGGCCTTCGCCATGACACCCGCTGAGGAGGGGTGAGTCTTTACATCAGTCGAGATGACCCATACCTGGTCGCCCCCGAGTGCCCGAGCTCGAGATTGTGCGATCGGGTTATAGAAGAACAATTGAGCTAACACATGGTTTTTCATCAAGTTTGCACGCCACTCAGTACCCCTGGGTGCACCAGCGCTTCAACAAGACTTTCGACCACGCTGCGTGAGTTCACTAAGACAACTATCCGGCCCCCATCGCGAAGCTAACATTTTCATCAGTCTCCGCCGTGGTTTCCAGGTCTACCGTGAGGTCTGCGCTTCTTGCCACTCTTTGACCCGTGTCCCGTGGCGCTCAATGGTTGGTGTTATGCACACCGTCGATGAGATGAAGGCCATGGCCGAGGAGCACGAGTATGACACCGAGCCCAACAACGAGGGCGAGATCGAGAAGCGCCCCGGAAAGCTTTCCGACTACATTCCTCCCCCCTACAAGAACGACGAGGCTGCTCGTGCCTCCAACGGCGGTGCTCTGCCCCCGGATCTCAGCTTGATCATCAAGGGCCGTCACGGTGGCTGCAACTACGTCTTCAACCTGCTGACCGGTTACCCCGATGAGGCTCCCGCCGGTGCCAGCGTTGCCGAGGGCATGAACTTCAACCCCTACTTCCCCGGTACCGGTACGTGTGGAATTGATTAGGTCCTGCTGGTTTGATGAATTGGTTACTAACAATGGATATAGGTATTGCTATGGGTCGTGTTCTGTTTGACGGCGTTGTCGAGTACGAGGATGGCACTCCCGCCACCACCTCCCAGATGGCCAAGGACGTTACTGAGTTCCTGAACTGGTCCGCCGAGCCCGAGATGGACGACCGCAAGAAGATGGGTGTCAAGGCCATTGCCCTCCTGTCCGGTCTGTTCGCCATCAGCGTCTGGGTCAAGCGCTACAAGTGGGCCCCGATCAAGTCTCGCAAGATCGTGTACAGCCCCCCGATCAGCCCCCGCCGTTAAACGCCAATCAGCAAGAACTATATGAGTTGGAAAATGGGAGAGGTCAACGAGGCTACGTGACCCATCGGGCATTATGCATTGTTGCCCCCCGTGTGTTATGTGGCCTGGGAGAAATCTCTTTCGTCATCTGTTTTTTTTTTTTGTGTCTAGGGTCGCGGCCCTTGTTTTGTTAGAACACTCCCGGCACATGTATCTGTATCCTAGATATTCTCTTTTTTTGCCCTTCCGAAAATTGTGCTGGAGGAGTCAACCGAATTTAATTTCCTTTGTGAATGCAGCTGTTTCAGTCGAACCACCGTGCACATATGACGCTAGATATCGGAGAAAAAAAAGGTGGATATCTCGAGATGGAGAATGTTCTTAGATTCATTGCTCATGTGTATTGAAAGTTTAATATATCGTAACTATAGCCGCTCTTCACTAGAAAAAAAGTAAGGCCCGAAATTCTGCTATCATAAAGGCAACTAAATCACGAAGACGGGGTATCATCAATGGTCCTCTCGCCATCCCCAAACACCCTTTTAAAGATATAATCATAGCTATTCCACATGCCCGAGAACAGCAAATTCGCTGCTGTGACCAGCCACGGTGGACTGCGTCCATCAGGACCAGCGAATGCTTTAGAAAGCTGCAGTGTGAAGAGTATAGGCGGTCCCCACATACCGAGAAAGATCACCCTTCCGATCTTCTGCCGAGAAGTGGTCATATGATAGGAATGGATGCTGGAAAGATATTCCCGGTAAGATATCGGGAGATCATGCTCTTCACTACCCGTAATAAGCAAACCTAGATACCGTGCAGAGGGCTGCGCGTACTCCGGGTCCGGACGCATATGCGGCTGGATGTCGCCGAATATCGAGCACGTGGAGCAAGAGCCAGAAGCTGTGGCTGGCTCGACCCCCTTGCCAGCGTATACTCTCTTTCGGGCGTCATCCGCTGCCGGTGAGAGGAGGGTATGTGTCTTGAAGGCCTGGGTAGATGGGTGTTCTGGGACTGGGTTGGTGGACTTGTAGTCTTCTGCAAAGGGGTAGCAGTCAACGACTACATCCCTGTATCCACGACCACCACCCTCTGTCGCGATGATCTTGGCATAATCCATCAGTGTAACCTCGTAGACAACACCGACGAGGGGCTTATGCCATCGTCGCTCGTTAGAACTAGTACGTAACTCCCTTGTTTTGGTCGGGAGCGACGCCTTTTCAGATAGATATTCGCTCTCCGTGAGGAGTTTCTCATCATCGGTAAGTTCGACCTCGGATTCAGATTCTGGCTCGGATGCATCGGGATCTCTGAACTGGGTGCCTGCGAAGCAGGGTTCAGCGTAGGGCACTCCAGGGAGATCAAATGTGAGGCGCAGATCCGGCACGAGGACACAAATTTTTGAGATCGGTTTAATCCCACGCATGCCAAGAAAGGTCTTCGCTGCTAAATTTGATCCGTATGCTAGATACAGGACCGTCTCCTCTGCGTATGTTTGTGGTAAACCCTTGCCATTGTCCTCCAGTGCTGCAATCTTCTCTGAAAGCCCGACATCTTGATCGGTGGACGCTTCAATAATTGAAGCGCGACAACGTTCAGCGGAGGTGGTAGGAATTGACCGGATATCTAGCTTTGCAGCTTGGGGTGGGACCGCAGGGAGGGTAGCTTGGAGTCGGTCTAGAGGTTCAACCGCGCTGAATCGGCGTTGAGACGGTGAAGCAGTCTCCTCGTCATTAGCGTGGGAAGTGGGATCAGGCATCATTTTGGTGGTCTTAATGTAATTTCAAATCGCTTGACAAGGGAGCCCCGGAAGTTAGTGGTAGAAAATTGGTCATAAGCAGATGCATGGCCCTATGTAGTGTCCTCGAGTGCTTCGATCGGCGAGATGATTGCGCAGAGTCCGCTTCAGGTGGACCCTAGCAAGAACCACATGGATTGTTAAGCCGCCTCCCGCGTATTATTAATCGGCGTGACGGGGGGAATTTGGCACCGGAGGAAACGGAACTCCTGAACCCGAGGCCTTTTGTGGAGTTCAGAGAGAAGAACCTAGAGACTCTTGTCCCTGGTCACGAAATATGCATTGGAACACATGTCATGTTCTGTACAGTCTGGATATCAGCTAGGCTCGGGTCCCACCCAGGTGGTATATTCCCACTCACTGAACCAATCAAGAACAAGAGGATACTAGACTAGGTGGACTAGTGATCTTGTACCTCTCATTGTCGGGGACAGTTTAATCAGGACTGTTCATTGATTCAAATTCGGAGTCTCGATCGTTTGGCTGTGGGGGATGACCAAAGATCGTTGCTTGAATTCCAGGGTAGCATTGGGTACCTTAAATGCTGCATCATCCACCAACAAAAATAGTCGATCGAGATGTGTGACAATATAATATGGATGATCATGTAGAATGTTATTTCCAGTGTGGATGGACTCGCTATTATCTTCAAGAGCATCATGTGACATCTGTGATTGCCGTTTGTTGTTGTTGTTGCTTCAGTTCACTCGCCTTCATTTTTCATCTCAAAACAATCATCTTCTGCGAGGTTTGATCGTGAAAAGCCCTGAAAGATATTTCAGCATCAAGCTTTGCCACCTGGACTATCAAGATTAAGACAATGCTCCAAGGCCATGCCACTGAACCTGTGATGTAAATGCAGTCACTCTGTGCCATTATGAATCTCTTCTGATGATTTTTGATTAGGCCTGCAATCGATCATGACTTGACTTAAAGCACGTGAAACCCAAACCCTTTCTGTGTTCAATCGTCGCTGAGCTTGTCTTTGTGTACCTCATCGTTCCACTTGGTAACGCTTGACCTTTTCATTCATCCTGTTGGAATTCGAGATATAGACATGGAGAATGACGGAGAGCCGACCTCACGGCGGGCTAGTCGACCCATCAGAGGAATGCTTGATCATTCTCCTACAGAAGATATAGGGTCAGTCCCAAGATCGGCTGCTACAGAAGGCACAACGGCCCCAGGAGAGCTGGTGAAAGGTCGACGGAAGACGAGAGTCCCTCAACAGAAGTTGGAATTAGCTACGCTGCCACACGTCCAAGATATACCCAAATTGGCACGCGAGGATGACGCCACTGACTCGTGCCATGCTGCCACAAAGCACGTAATCCCTCGGGTACCACAGCAGCTCCAATCAGCCGCAGAGATAAGCGATGCTCACAAGGCCATAGCTTCTACTCGGAGCGCTGGTACGGACGTTCAACGCAGAAAAGTTCCTAAATTCAAAAGCAATGCCCCACTTGCCAAGAAGGACCGGGGCAGAACGCAGCACAACAATGGCAGTACAGATGATAAAGTTTTCACAGTGCAGAGTGAAGAAGTCCAATCAGAAACCAAGTTTCGGCGTCTGACACTTTCACTGCCACGGAAACCGGAGTCTTGGGAGAAGCGATCTGCCCGTAAAAAGTATACGCTACACCTCAAGACTGAAGTGGACTGGAATGAGGACCTACGGCCAACTGACGATGAGGACTTGTGCCATGCCAATAGCAATGACGAAGGGACATCCGTGTCTACCCCAGATCCTGAGCCCATGTGCGAGAATGAGCAGAAGGAGAGTCGTAAACGCAAAGGATCAAACGCTCAAACAAGTTCCGGAAAACGTAAAAAACCTGCGAAACGTATGGCTAACAACAAGAGGGAAAGCAGTCGACAGCCTCAATTGCACTTGACTTCACTGATTGCGGAGCCCACTATGGAGTTGCAGCCAGAAGCAATTGCCTCCAATACAAAGACTGACCTGTTACCAGGTGGACAGTCCGAAGATTTCTCGGCCGCCGGAAAGCCACACAAGAATAGTCTGAGTGAACCAGCAACTCAGCAGCATGAAATTATTGAAATAACGAGCTCCCCAATGGTATCTGAATCGACTAGCTCAGACTATGGCATTGACGTGCTCAGAGGACAAACTTACCGGGTGATTGGAACAAGCTGTGATGGCAGAGGTAAATCTGTCGGCCAAAAGCTGGCCGATGCTCTTCATGGAGTACAGCTACATTCCCAACTTCGGCCTGCTGTTGAAACCACTTTGCATACTACTTACAAGGGACATATTGGGAGTGATCGCCAAGAGGCTGCAAGTCCTTCTTCACGCATGCCCACTACTGATGGATCTCAAGGCCAATACCCGCATTTACTGGACCATGGCATCGAACAGACACAAGCAAGCTTTGGTACTAGAGAACAACGTCAAGGATTGGCAGGAGCCTTCCAACTGACCCACACGACAAAGTTACCCTCGGAGATTGCGAATCTCCATAACGCTGAGGAAACCCAAACTTTTGCTAAGCCCCGAGGCTCATTGAATGACAGAGACTCTGTTAATATCAGAGTTGGCAGTGATGGAATCAATGACCACAGTCCAACTCAATATTATCTGCCACAGGACCATGCGCAGGTTTCCCTCGAGACTGTCGATGCGATTAAAGATCCCCGCCGAGGCATCATTCAGTCTCCCAGAGCTGTATCCGAGCACGATGCAGATAGCTCATCCCAAAGCCCACCGGAGATAGGAACAAGAACTCTGCCAGCTATGCTTTTCCGAAGCAGAAACAACAAAGCACATCATACCCCCGAATCCCAGAAACCGCTTCTGAGACTGCAAACCCCCATTCATGCAAGGGTTTCGATTTTGGGGGGGTTTAGGACAGCTCCAAAAAGCAGTATCGTCGATTCAAAGGGTAGCCCCCGGCTCATGCCGCAGGTAAGCCTAGCGGCTGATAAAGCTCAATCGCCCCTGAAAGATGTCCAGGCGCCGAGCGATGTCGAAATTCCTGACACCAGTTCCAGTAACTATGACAAAGGTTCAGATGGATACTCTCTCGATAGTGGAGAAGACGAAGTGACATGGTCAAAATATCAGCGTGACATGTTCATGGAGTACGGCTTCCAAACAGCATCAATGAAAAAGAGCAGAGCTCAATCGCCTCCACCCAAGAGGGATTCTGAAATTGACAAAAGCAACAAAGTCATTGTCCAACAACTTACAAAAGATCTACCTGTTGACCCAATCTCAGCGTTTCTCAACCCACCTCTAGGTGCCTCAACACGTCAGTGTCACGCTCATGGAGTCAATCAAGACCGAACTGCAGAAGTTGCACCGGGCCCCAACCAGATATCTACAGCCGAACTCAGTGCATACGCCGATCAAGATCCAATAGCGCCTCTGTCTACAAAAATGCTTAGGCCCTCTCAGTCAGCCCCTGAAGCCCAGCAATTTTCTCAATCGGGTGAGTCGAATTTTCTAGACTGGATCTCAACTCTGCGGGCTGCCCAAAAGAGTGCCCATGACCTGCTTTTGGAAACAAACAAAGTAAGTTTAGCCACTTGTGGTATTTTATGCGGGTGCTAATGAATGAAAAGCGTTTGTCAAGTCAGCTTGCAGCAGAACAAGAAACGATCCGCCAGGTTCTTCACATCTATCGGCAGGGATGCAATCGTATCCTTGATGATCTTTTCCAAGCCCAGCAAGTCCGCATGGGCCTCTACCAGCAACAGATGACTGTGGTGAAGGAGCAACACCATCAGATCTGTCGAGAGTTAGTTCTGGGTCTACAGGATCTGGATCATCGGGTCCAGGGCGAATAGACTCCCAGTAGTGGGGGAAAGCGAGAAAAAAAGGAAAGTGGGGACGGAAGACGGAGGTAATTCCACGTCATTATGCTTTCTTTTTCACTTATTAACCTAGGCATTTGTTAATGCGGGTGTGGTGATTGGGATTGGTCCCCGCTCACCGAGTTCACCGAGGGAAATCACGTGGGACGACCCTTTGACTCATTCCATGTTGCTTGTGCGTTACGTTTTATTAATTTACGTGGAATTATTATTTATAGTTCGAAGGCATTCGAATTTTTATTCTTTTTTTCTCCCTTCAGTTCTGTTCTCCCACATAATACGACCACTGTGCTCTTGTCTTCGATCTTCCGAGCCCTCAATTCCTTTCTAATCACATACACTAAGCCCCGCCATGTCGGTGAGTCCGCCCCTCTATGACAACATACACCAGCTATTGAGCAGCTTTTGACCCTGACCACATTAGTTCTTCATTGAGAACCCCAATGTGGGTAACCACAGCCACCTGGAAGACTCCCGCAGTATGTATTCCCAATCCCAAAATCAATTGGAGCTACGTTAACTCCTCGCATAGTTGCCGGCTACAACCCCCTCACCGCGCCTAATGTCCTCCAACATGAAATTGCCTTGACAGAGAAGTCCCGACAGACCGTGCTGCAAGGCCGTGATGAAGCAGTTGCAATTGTCCATGGCACCGACAAAGAAAGGGAGCGTCTGATGGTTGTCATTGGTCCCTGCTCAATTCACGACCCGGACATGGCCCTCGAATACTGCGACCGCTTGATGAAGCAGAAGGAGAAATACGCAGATGATCTATTGATTGTTATGCGCTCCTACTTGGAGAAGCCTCGCACCACTGTTGGCTGGAAGGGTCTGATCAACGACCCGGATATTGACAACAGCTTCAAGATCAATAAGGGTCTGCGCACCTCCCGTCAACTGTTCGTTGATCTCACAAACAAGGGCATGCCCATTGCCAGTGAGATGCTTGATACCATCTCCCCTCAGTTTTTGGCCGATTGTTTGTCCGTCGGCGCTGTCGGTGCCCGCACTACCGAGTCCCAGGTCCATCGTGAGCTGTCATCCGGCCTGTCCTTCCCCGTCGGTTTCAAGAACGGCACGGATGGCTCGCTCGATGTTGCAGTTGATGCCATTGGCTCCGTAAAACACCCCCATCATTTCCTGTCTGTTACCAAGCCCGGTGTTGTCTCCATTGTGGGCACCGTCGGTAACCCTGACTGCTTCGTCATTCTGCGTGGTGGCAAGAAGGGCCCTAACTACGATGCTGCCAGCATCACTGATGCTAAGACAAAGCTCGAGGCTAAGGGACTTGCGCCTCGTCTTATGGTGGACTGCAGCCATGGTAACTCTGAAAAGAACCACAAGAATCAGCCTAAGGTTGCTGGCGTTCTGGCTGAACAAATTGCTGCGGGTGAGACTGCCATTATGGGTGTCATGATTGAGAGCAATATCAACGAGGGTATGTTTCCAAATTACCTTTTCTGATTTGTATTTTACTAACAACTAGCAGGTAACCAGAAGGTCCCACCAGAGGGCAAGGCTGGCCTCAAGTACGGTGTCAGTATTACTGATGCTTGTATTCACTGGGAAGATACCGAATCCGTGCTGGAGGTACTGGCACAGGCTGTGCGCGCTCGCCGGCAGAAGCTGAATGGCAATTAAGCAGCGTCACTGCTCTGTCTCTTCTTCACCTGTTCTAATTTTTTTGTCATCTTCTTTTAATGACACCCGGATCGGATTACCGGGAAATCTGACTAGCGTACTGTATGTTGGGATTTAGGCAAAAGTTCTTGAATGTGATAATATCTATTGCTTATTTATTAAAATGACTGAGACTCAAGAGTCGGCTATTCGCCGTGGCCCATGTAGCGGAAGCTTAAATAACCCTGTGCAATGTCCTACATCCGTTTGAGAGCCTCACTCAAAGCCTCCGCATCACTATTCTCAAACGGAGTTTCACGTTCAAACTCCAGAATCAATGCTTTGTGCTTTTCACTCCGTGGAGTAAAGTTACACTGATAGGGCAAAGGGTGACTGACAATACCCGGCGTGAAGCCAATAGGAGGCTCGATTTCCAGGCCATCTTCCCCGACCCCCTTGGTGATATCGAAGGTAGCCAACGCATTCGCGATAGTCAGAAACAGTGACGTATCGGCAACAATGCGGCCGGGGCAGAGTCGACGTCCATAACCGAAGCTTGCGGAGTGTGGATCAGGCTCGGCATTCCGGCCCTCTTCCGGAAGGTATCGTTCAGGGCGGAATACTGATGGTTCAGGATATACCTCAGGATCATGGTTGAAAGACCTGTGAAACTTTTTAGCTGAATTGAATCGACTAGGTGGGATAAATAGGGCCCATACCAGATATTCGGCACCAGAACGGCGTTTCTCGGAATTAGATATCCATCAACGATGTCATCTTCATCGGTTCGATGAGGAACGCCGAGTGGAGCGACAACGTGCCAACGAAGGGCCTCTTTGACAATTGCATTGATATAAGGCAGCCTTTCTCGGTCCTCAACTGTAGACAAAGCTGGGCCACCGAATACACGGTCAATTTCTTCATGTGCCTTGCGTTGAACATCGGGGAATAGTGTCATCGCGAGAAAGAATCCTTCCAACGCGGCTACAGTCTAACTATGGTATTAGCAGGATAACCAAAGACCAGAGCAGGAGATCCTACTGTATCTGCTCCACCAGCATATAGTGCCACGGCTGCCCACTTTGCAATGTCTTCATCCTCTCCCTGACTCAGAAGCTCGGATACGAACGATGGCCTGTGAGAGTTTTGGCTCATTTTGTATTTTGTAAACTTGAAGGGGTGGTCGACAAGATTTGTGAGGGTTTCAAGATAATAGCGTGCCGTCTTCTTGAAGCCTGATCCTGGAGCCCACTCTGGAATGTACTTTACTGCAATACATTGTTAAAACGGTGGGTGTGGTCGTCGCCTGGGTATATGTGAACTTACATGCTGGAATCATATCCACCAACCATGCTCCCGGGACCATAGCCTTTGAGAATTGCTCTAGTGCCGAATCTGCCAAGCTAACCAGAGGGTCTTTACCGTGGGGAACAATATCGTATCCATAGGTGACTTTCAAGATGAAAGCTCCCGCGGCGCTGGTGCACTTGTGTTAGCACTGAGATTACAGTCAATCTTATGGACATGTAGCTCACGTTCTGATGTGATCTATAAAGTTTTGCGGACGATCGAGTACGCGCCATAAAAACCGTCGAGTCTCAACAACAAGCAATTGGTCAAATTTCGAGGCTGATGCATGTGTTCCGATAACGCGGGCCATCGCCCGACGATATGTGCGGAGGAGACTTGTGTTACCTTGACTCACGGGCGTCTTGCCCCATCCCGAGCTATTCCATGTTAGTCATGGAAATTCATGTGGCAAAGAGAACATACAGTTCGTTGGCGAAGACAAAATGAGGACGAGATGAATGCTTAGCGGAGTTCTTTTCCAATATTTGGCCTGCAATATCTCTATCGTTGATGATGATCACTGTTTGGCCCAGGGCCGTGACGGAGCTCAAGGGGCCTATGAATAAAGGAATAAAGGTTAGTAATTATATTAAGAGCGAGACTTTATTACACACCATAAAGCTCTTTGTGTCGCAGCCAGTGCAGACATTCTTGTTCCCCTTCTGCAGGTAGATCAAGCAGATTCCCGATAATAGGTTTGCCTTTCGGACCGGGAGGTAATTTGCCAAGCTTTTGTTTTGAGGTAAAAGCCCGGATGATGAAGAAAAAGGCCACGACGGCAGTCAAGACTGCTAGCGTGGTGAGCCCCATGATGGGAGGTATAACCACGCAATCAGATTACGTGCTGTTTTTTCTACTGTGGGCTTCTTAATTGCCGGTTAAGGTATCAACCTTGAACATAGGCAAAATGACAGAAGCACGGGGCATCGGGGATATTTAAAATCTTGTAGGCCCATTATATTGGAGCAGGGCTTAGCCATAATTAAAGGCGATCGAATGAGAATAGCCGAGCTACGGGGCATATACCGTCTTCTGAATAGTCTGCAGGCCGCGAATCCTCTAAAATGTCCGTCCTACACGCGAGATAGCCTAGTACTTTTGCGTAGTTAGCTAGCGATTGGATTTTTATAGCCTCGGTCGAATGTCCAATACGTGGAATGACATTTTGCCCCAACTACTAACCAAGTTGTACTACATATTTGCCACCTTACTTTGAAGAAGGTTTTTTTTTTTTTTGTTTTCCATGCGACACGTAACATGGGACGATCTTCTCACATGCGCCCGGTGCTGGAACAATGGGGTTTCGTGTTGCTTAATCCACTACTAATTAGTAGTAGCACCATGCAGGGAAGCGGGTCAAGCGTGGAGTTGTAATTCCCACAACGGAGCGAGGGATTAATAACGAGATAAGCGTGGAATATTGTAGTGAGATTTTGCATCTAAATGTGATAGCAGGCAAGGAATAGTGAGGTCTCCATTCGCCTATTGCCGCAATGGGTTTAAGTCAAGATTAAGACGTTGATCGGGAGCCTTCGGGGGACAGTAAATTGACGGCCGAACCGGCTAGCTTCGACGCTAATTCAAGCAGCATATCAACCAGAATTCTAGTTATAACAGCTTGTGACTAGTGCTTATTGAGGACAATAGTGGAAGACTGGACACTTACAGCAGCCTATCAACTATTTTGAGTGGTCAGATATTTGTCTGTTTTAGATATAGGTCGGATTAGGTCATGTGCAAGTCTTTGTCTAGGGAATGTGGCAGCGAGTCCAATGGCAACTTAGTGAACACTAGGACTCTAGGAGCATATGTGCTAGGTTCGTATTCCAAGCTCCGACCGATTTCGTTATACTCTAATGGAGGCTAGAACCTAAGAATGCGACCGCCTAAGTTTTCTTTTTTAGGCAAGGGCTTGGGATAACACAAAAAAAAAGAAAACATGATCCTGTGATACTAGCTAACCAGCCGTCCTAAGGATGACGAGCGCTGTTTTCTAAGTTAATTAGAGACGGCCGTCTTATGAAAATGATATAGTCAACTCCCACTTATGGTACGGCGGGTTATAGAACATTCCCGGTTATAGTACACCATCCGCTTGGATGGACCCACTTTTCCGGGTTTTCCCATACAAAACTCTCACTTATAGAACACTCACCTTTGTACACTCCCAATTTTGCTGCGTCATCCGCTTAGTCAGTTCTATCAACCAATCACAATGCTTGAATACTCTACAACTCCCCTGCCAAAGTGCATCAGGTCGGCCACCCAAGCACCACCACCCAAGCACCGCCACCAAAGCTCTATGTAATGAAGTACCTAATTGATAATGTTCGTAATGATAATATTGTATAATTTGATCAGTTTTTAGACTATATTTGAGGAAGATATTATATCCAAAGATGAAACCTATGGGTATCATGTCATCCTCTCACTTATTGTACCTCTCACTCATTGTACACAATTTTCTTTGGATGGTGGGGTGTACTATAAGCGGGAGTTGACTGTAGTACAAAAATCCGATCTTTTCGGCAGCGCATGATGACATTAATTTCGTCGGGTATTTGGCTTTCGACTCTAGGAGTTCGTTAGGGAAGATTTTGGGCTGTGTTTGCGGTATCTTCACCTGTCTAGCTTTATGCCGGGAAAAAGGATAATTTGCATTGGCTTCGTACTGTCGCCGATATGTGGGGACAAGCATCATACAGTAGGAAGCCCCACCGATGGGAGGACCAGTAGGCAAGGCTCCCGGGGTTTCCATAGACACAGGAACTTTCTTGCGGACTACCTTCCCTGCTGTGCCAGGGGTAATGAAATCAGTAGATTTTATGGAGACGGCGAGCCGGGGACTTCCTTGCGACGCGGTACCAGGGAATGGACCGAGCAGCACTGTGAAACTTGAAGATTTGGTGCATGTCTTGCATGTCTCGGGATCATCGATACGAGAAATTGACGGCCTAGTAGTGACATAGGAATACAAAGGATGATCCACATAGGATTCAGGACAATCTCCAATGCTGATCGATGTTGTGCGTTCCTAGTCTTGTGGTTCCCTGGGATGCCTATTAGATTCGGTGCCTCATTCCTAAGACATAAGCCACCACATCTGTATCACTCGCATAGATGGCAGTACGCTGTTGCAACACAATAGAAGCCTTGACCGTACAATTGATCATAATAGCATTAGTCGCATAGCGCACGAAGCAACAATCTCATTCTGAAGGTTCTCCGATGATCGGCACTCCGTAGCCCGTTAGAACAAATGCCGAGTCTGGACCCACGGGCCATTTCTCCTAGCTTTCTAGAAAATTTAGAAAAAGGACCAGTTTGCACGCTACTTACCAACACGGTGCTCAGGTGTGCAGATTGACAATTCTATGGTTTCTAGCTGGTCCTAACCGCCAGGCCTTTACTGCATTCATCAATAGTATTAATGTCACTACCTTAACGGAGTAACCCTCCAGCCTTAAAGGAAGCGAGATCTCACAGTAGGGTTTACGATGGATAGAAGGCAAGATTTTCATAAGCAAGCTATTTCTTTGAATAAAAAAATTCCGCTCCTCAATCTCTTCAATTAGCACATAAACTGACGTGGGGGGCTTTACCGTCAGGGCACCCCGCATTCCTAGACTTGGAATACTCGCTGAACCAACGCGCATCAACGCAGCTCCAAACTGGCAGAGAACGGTCAATGTGGTGCTAACAGTATTCCTGGACCTGGTCTTCGGCGCCACGCCCGGTCTAGCCTCGACGCTAAAAATACCGACCAAGGCCAAGGTGTAGCCCAAATGCATGATGTCACCCGGCGCGGAACACCAAGATGAGGGGAAAACCACCTTCCTCCCTTCCAAGATTTTTTTTTCTATTTCACACCACTCCTACGGTCTGAAGTTAGGCCATTCGCTCTTTAGCAACTCTCAGTTATCACTGAGGTCGGCTATTTGAGCTTCTCCCAGCTCGTTTGGTTGTTATTGACCGAGATTCGGGTTAGTTCGCAAGCGCTGAATCGCGATCACCATGGGTTCCTCATCTCAGGTCTACCTGCTTCCTTTGAAGGATGACGGCTCACCCGATGTGCCCGGTGGGTACATTTACCTGCCACCTCCTACAGAGCAGGGATATGTGCTGCGTTTCATCATTGAAGGCACCAGCTCAATCTGCCGGCAGGGTAGCCTGTGGGTCAACATTCCCGAGGAGGGCAAGGCCTTTGATCGCCAATCGTTTCGCGAGTTTAAGTATGGGCCCTATGCTTCGGGATAGAGTGGTAGACAAGGACCTGTTGCTAATTCAAAGTAGATTGCGACCCAATTTCAATGAGAACATCCAGATCGATATCCTGATCCCTAGCGCTGGTTCCTTTGCATACTATGCCACGTTCACCCCGTTGCCGGATTTCTCTGTTGAAGCTGTGCAAACGCCGGAGCCAATCAAAAGCCCAATTTACTACATAGATGTGTCGCCAAAGCTGACACTGCAAGGAAAGGACTTGCCGCTCAACGCTCTCTCAATCTTTTCGGTGATCTCGAAGTTTCTTGGACAGTACCCCGTCGACTGGGATAGTCATCTTCATGGTATCAGCCAGCGAAATTACAACATGGTTCACTTTACGCCGCTCATGCAGCGTGGAGCCTCCAACTCGCCCTACAGTATTTTTGATCAGGTTTCATTTGACTCGGCTCTGTTCCCCAATGGAGAGACTGATGTCGCATCTCTTGTCTCAAAAATGGAGAAGGAGTATGGTCTTTTGACCTTGACCGATGTCGTTTGGAACCACACTGCACACAACAGCAAATGGTTGGAGGAACACCCAGAGGCAGGCTACAGTGCGGAGACTGCGCCTTGGTTAGAATCCGCGCTAGAGCTGGATACCGCTCTGTTGAAGTTCAGCGATGATCTCGAATCTCTGGGCTTGCCGACTGAGTTCAAGTCCATTGAAGATCTGGTTACTGTGATGAATGCTTTGCGCAAGCAAGTAATCAATGAACTTCGCTTGTGGGAGTTTTATGCTCTTGACGCCAAGTCCAACGCAAAAAAGATCTTGGATGCATGGACCAGTGGACCGGTTGATCCAGCTATTGCCCAGGCCGATTATCTGCAGGGTTTCAAAAGCTTGTCACCAAAGGAGCAATCAGAGATTGTCCGTAATCACGGCATGATGAACTCGAATCAACTTCGCGGAAGATTTGAGCGCGCTGTAGATCCCGCTTTTGGTGCTGCTATCTTGACAGGTTTCCATGGAGAATTCAAGGAAGATCAGTCAGCTCTCCCCGAGGCTGAGGCATCTCTCTCCAAGCTCCTCGACGCTGTGAACCTTCCTCTCTACGAGGAGTACGATGCAGATGTGGCTGACATCATGGATCAATTGTTCAACCGCACTAAGTATCTTCGAATTGATGATCACGGCCCAAAACTTGGCCCTGTCACCAAGGAAAACCCGCTGATAGAGACTTACTTTACTCGACTTCCTCTCAACGATGTCACCAAGAAGCACAACCCGAAGGCCCTTTCTCTGGCCAACAATGGCTGGATTTGGAATGCAGATGCGATGAAAGATAACGCAGGGCCAAACTCCAAAGCCTATCTTCGTCGCGAGGTTATCGTCTGGGGTGACTGTGTCAAGCTCCGATACGGAGAGTCACCAAAGGACAGCCCATTCCTCTGGGATTTTATGACCAAGTATACTCGTCTTATGGCCAAGTACTTCTCAGGCTTCCGAATTGATAACTGTCACTCTACACCGCTTGTAGTCGCAGAATATCTCCTTGATGAAGCACGCCAAGTTCGTCCAAACCTCACTGTTTTTGCAGAACTCTTCACAGGATCTGAGGAAGCAGACTATGTGTTTGTCAAGCGCTTGGGTATCAATGCTCTCATCCGAGAGGCCATGCAGGCCTGGAGCACCGCAGAACTGAGTCGATTGGTTCATCGTCATGGCGGTCGTCCAATTGGTAGTTTTGATGTGGACCTGCCATCCGCCGGTAGTAGCCACGCCATTGCCTCTGCGAAATCTGGAGGTACGAATGAGGAGATCACCCACATTCGACCATCTCCCGTCCAGGCACTGTTCATGGATTGCACTCATGACAATGAAGTCCCTGCTCAGAAGCGTGACGCTCGGGATACTCTTCCGAATGCCGCTCTTGTCGCCATGTGTGCGTCCGCAATTGGAAGTGTGATGGGATACGATGAGGTGTACCCCAAGCTCATTGACCTGGTTCATGAAACACGACTGTACGCCTCACCCTTTTCTAGCAACCAGAAATTGGAAGTTGGCGCTGGAGACGGCATTGGAGGTGTCAAGAAGCTTTTGAATGAGCTCCATACCAAGATGGGCGTCGAGGGTTATGACGAAACCCATATCCACCACGACGGAGAATACATCACTGTTCATCGAGTCCACCCTAAGACCCGAAAGGGAATTTTCCTCATCGCCCACACTGCGTTCCCTGGCAATGATAATGGTGCGATCCTTGCTCCTACTCATATCACCGGTACACAGGCCAAGCACATTGGTTCTTGGGTACTTGAGGTGGATGCAGACGATGCAACAAAGACCAAGGTTCTATCAGATGATCAGTATCTCAAGGGCCTGCCAAGTTCCACAAAGGACATTGAAGGTACAAGCATCGAGGGTGATGGAAATGACGTCACCATCTCCGTACTCCAGACTCTTGTGCCTGGGTCTATCGCGCTTTTCGAGACTTGGATCCCTAGCGCAGAACATGCCAGTGGATTGGATAGTTTCCTCTCTAGCGGAGCAGATGAAGCATTCAGTGAGCTCAGCCTGATCGATCTGAATTTCGTGCTCTATCGCTGTGACGCCGAGGAGAGAGATTCCAGTGATGGTCAAGATGGGGCTTACACTATTCCCAAGCACGGACCTTTGGTTTATGCCGGTCTGCAGGGCTGGTGGAGTGTCCTTGAAGACATCATCAAATACAACCAGCTGGGCCACGCGCTTTGCGATCATCTACGAGAGGGACAATGGGCTCTGGACTACGTCATTGGACGCATGGAAAAGGTAGCCTCCAAGGAGGGTTACGTTGGGCTACACAAACCTGCTGCATGGCTTCGCGAGAAATTCGACGCCGTGCGTGGCCTGCCAAGCTTCCTTCTTCCGCGGTACTTTGCGATCATCATTCAAGTGGCCTACAATGCTGCATGGAAAGCAGGAATCCACCAGTTCAGTGACAATGTGCGCTACGGCCAAGAGTTCGTTCATCAATTGGCGATGGTCAGCGTTCAACAGACTGGTTTCGTAAACTCAGCTTCGTTGTGGCCCACCAAACAAGTTCGCAGTCTTGCGGCTGGTTTGCCCCATTTCGCTGTTGATTGGGCCAGATGCTGGGGTCGTGATGTGTTCATTTCCATTCGTGGTCTTTTCCTCTGCACGGGTCGATTCGATGATGCGAAGGAGCACATAATTGCCTTTGCCAGTGTACTCAAGCATGGAATGATTCCAAACCTACTCAGCAGCGGCAAGTTGCCTCGATACAACTCGCGAGACTCGGTCTGGTTCTTCTTGCAGGCGATCCAGGACTACACGCACATGGCCCCCAATGGCATCAGTCTGCTACAGGAAAAGGTTCCTCGGCGCTTTTTGCCCTATGATGATACATGGTTCCCATTCGATGACCCACGCGCCTATTCCAAGTCTCCTACTGTTCTAGAAGTCATTCAAGAAGTGTTCCAGAGACATGCCCTTGGAATGTCGTTCCGCGAGTACAATGCGGGACCAGACCTTGATGTCCAAATGAAGCCCGAGGGTTTCCAAATTGACGTGAAGGTCGACTGGGAAACCGGCATCGTCTTTGGTGGAAGCCAGGATAACTGCGGCACATGGCAAGACAAGATGGGTGAGAGCACTACCGCTGGAAACAAGGGTTTCCCTGGCACTCCTCGTGATGGTGCCGCCATCGAGATCACTGGTCTTCTTTACAGCGCTTTGGCCTGGGTGTCGCAGTTGAACAAATCCAAGGTTTACCCACACGAGGGTGTGGACATTGGTGACGGAAAATCAATCACGTTCGAAGATTGGGCCGCCAAGATCAAGGACAACTTTGAACGATGCTACTACATTCCTACAGATCCCAAGGAAGATTCTCAGTACGATGTGGATGCCAATATCATCAACCGCCGTGGTATCTACAAAGACTTGTACAAGTCTGGCAAGCCTTTCGAGGACTACCAGCTTCGATCCAACTTCCCAATTGCAATGACCGTTGCCCCAGCCTTGTTCACCCCCGAAAAGGCTTTGACTGCTCTTGCGATTGCCGATTCTGCTGTGTGTGGCCCCATCGGAATGGCCACTTTGGACCCGTCCGACCTGAACTATCGTCCCAATTACAACAACTCCGAGGACTCTACCGACTTTGCCACCTCTAAGGGTCGCAACTATCACCAGGGACCCGAATGGGTTTGGCAGCGTGGTTACTTCCTTCGTGCTTTGCTCTCTTTCGATTTGCTTCGTCGCAAAACACCCGAGGAGCGGATCGAGTCTTTCCAGCAGGTCACCCGACGACTTGATGGATGCAAGAAGGCGTTGCGTGAGAGTCCCTGGAGAGGACTTACAGAGCTCACTAACAAGAATGGAGAGTATTGTGCGGACTCGGTAGGTCTATTGATCCCAAATTCCTAACCTTCTATTGCTGTTGACTGATGCTAACATCTTGGATTATTTAGTCTCCCACACAGGCCTGGTCTGCTGGTTGTCTCCTTGATCTCTACTACGATGCGGCCAAGCTGACTTGATTTTTGTCTGCTGATAGAGTACTTAGCATATGACAGCGTTTCATTTTGTTCATTCCATGCATAACATATTTTCCTTTCGGCTACAGTATCATCCTACCTCATTTGAAATGAATTTCAAATCATAATCATTCTTATTAGTATTAAAGACATATCGAGAGATTCAAGAACGTTTGAGGCTTGGAGGGTGTTGAGCTTTAACCGGTGCATATAGTTTGAAATGTCGTTGATATGGTTGCAGGCAATACTGTAGGAGGGGAGTGTTCGGTTCCGGGACGTTGATATCGATGGTGGCCCGATAGTGGCCCGATCTTATCAAAGATCGAGCATCATCCTCCAGGGCGAGAGATCAGCACGCTATGGTCGCTCGGTGAAGTTGCCAAGATCAGTGTGCATAGGAAGTACTATAGACTAAGCTGTATCAAGCTATATCTGATCTCACTTAATTAAAGTGCAGTTCTCTTCGTTTGCCAGCATGAATCTCGCTGCATGCATTAATGCTGAGTCAGCACCGCAACAGTCGTCATTGCACAAAAACAAGGGAAGCTAGCTCCTTTTTACCTTCCCTTCTTTGAACCCCCAGCTTTGGACGTGCTTGGCTTGTCCTCCCTTGTCTTAGTGAAAAGACTTTTGAGTCTATACACAACTTCGCCCTTGAACCCCTTGCGCCACATGTTCTGATGGATTAACACCTTGAGCATTCCTCGGACGACGATTCCATCCCTCCCCACACTATCGAGGCGCAAGGCGTCATTTGATCAAACAACATGTCTTTGACGGCATCCGCGGCCACAGCAGTGTGGACCGTACTTGCCGACGGCCCGGAGAACGGAGGCGAACACCGATGGGAAGATCAGACTAAACAGCAACGAGATTTATACACGCAATTCGTGATCAGTTTCGCCTTCGGCCTAGGGGCTTTCTTGTCATTTTGTATTTTGCGACCGAAATGGACCGAACTCTATGCTGCGCGAAGGAAACAGCGATCCTCTGCTTCGCGATTACCGGAATTGCCGGATAGCTTCTTCGGATGGATTCCTGTGTTACATCGTATTACCGACGAGGAGGTTTTGCAGTCGGCTGGTTTGGATGCATATGTGGTCAGTTTTAGATACATTGAATGGTGGATGAAGTACTTTGCTAAATATTTGGTCTTCTTGATAGTTGCTATCCTTCTTTAAGTATGCGACTCGACTCCTACTTTACGTGTTCGTCTTTGCCGTGGGTATTATCCTGCCGGTTCACTACAAATATACTGGCCGATATGGGTTCCCCGGCTGGGATGACGATGATAAGGATGTAGTTCCAGACCCTGCCTACTTGTGGATTTATGTCGTATTTCCATATGTATTCAGCGGTTTGGCTATCTACCTGCTCCTCCAAGAAACAAACCAGATTATACACACCCGACAAACCTATCTTGGAAACCAAACAAGTACAACAGACCGTACGGTTCGTCTTTCGGGAATACCACCTGAATTGAAAACCGAAGAAGATATCAAATGTTTCGTGGAGGGGATACACGTCGGCAAGGTCGAGAGTGTTACTCTTTGTCGCAAATGGAAGGAACTGGACTCATTGATTGATGAGCGAATGCGTATTCTTCGGGGATTGGAAAGCGCATGGACGAAACATATTGGATACAAGCGTCCACGAAATGATGGGAACACCCTGCCCCTGACCCGCCAACCGCCTGTCGTCTCGAATCGGCCTCTAGATGACGATGAAGAACGGGCCCAGCTGCTGTTAGAGGGCGAACGTTCCCATGTCTCTGGATACGCCAACGAACGACCTCGAGTCCGCGTTTGGTACGGTCCGCTTAAGATGCGATTTCGATCGATTGATGCGATTGACTACTACGAAGAGAAGTTGCGCAAGATCGACGAACAGATTCATAGTGCCCGAGAGAAGGAGTACCCTCCCACCGAGATTGCCTTTGTGACTATGCAATCTATCGCCGCCTCTCAGATGCTTGTTCAAGCTATTCTCGACCCTCATCCCTTGCAAATGTTTGCTCGACTTGCCCCAGCCCCGGCTGATATCATATGGAAGAACACCTACGTCTCGCGTTTCCGACGGATGACACAGTCGTGGCTTATCACGCTTGTAATTGGTTTCCTTACTATATTCTGGTCTGTTCTTTTGCTACCAGTTGCGACTTTGCTAGACCTGCAGACGTTGCATAAGATTGTGCCCTCGCTCGCAGAGCTTCTCTCCGAACACCCCATCGTGAAGTCTTTGGTTCAGACAGGTCTGCCTACTTTGGCATTCTCTCTGTTAACCGTGGCAGTCCCGTATCTCTACGAATGGCTCTCCAATAAGCAAGGAATGATGTCTCGTGGAGATGTTGAATTGTCTATCATCTCGAAGAATTTCTTCTTTTCTTTCTTCAACCTGTTCCTCCTCTTCACCGTCTTTGGAACAGCCAGTGGTTTCTATGGTCTCTGGGAACACCTCCGTGATGCCTTCAAGGATGCCCAAACCGTTGCATTGGCATTGGCCAGCTCGTTGGAGGGTCTCTCTCCGTTCTATATCAATCTTTTGATCCTTCAAAGTCTGGGTCTTTTCCCCTTCCGACTTCTTGAGTTTGGCAGCGTCGCCCTGTACCCCTTACGTTTCCTCGGGGCACGGACACCCCGGGAATATGCGGAATTGTCTACGCCCCCAGAATTCAGCTATGGCTTCACCATCCCGCAGACCATACTAGTTTTCATCATCTGTATCGTGTACAGCGTGTTCCCCAGTTCCTGGCTCATTTGCTGCTTCGGGCTAGTGTATTTCACCATCGGCAAATTTATCTACAAGTACCAGTTGCTTTACGCGATGGATCACCAGCAGCACTCCACTGGCCGGGTTTGGCCCATGATTTGTAACCGAGTATACGTCGGTTTAATCGTGTTTCAGCTGGCCATGATCGGTGTGTTGGCCTTGCGCCAGAGTATCACTCGTCCACTGCTTTTGGTCCCTCTTTTGGGCTTCACCATGTGGTTCAGCTACTGGTTTTCGCGGACCTATGAACCCTTGATGAAGTTCATCGCTCTCAAGAGCATTAACCGGGATCAACCCGGTGGCGGGGAAGTCTCCCCTTCTCCTTCAGCCACAACATTTTCGCCACCCTCTGGTCTGGAGCGCGACGCACTGCCTATTCAGATAGGCAGCCGAGAACTGGAACATCGGTTGAAGAAGTATGTCCACCCGAACTTGATCGTACCGCTGCATGACGCGTGGATCCCGGGCCGCAACCCTCAAGGCAACGGTGCATCTTTGCATGAGTCCCAAGACTCGTTGAATCATCTTTCCGTTTAGATGCTTCACTAATACCCCCTCCCTATTTATCGCATGACCCCCTGTTTCCTGATGTTTTTGTTTTACGATGTTATACGACCGTGATACCTCGATCGCATTCCCACCTTGTTGATAATCTCTCGCTCACATCACAATACCCGAATTTATCCGCGCTGTTTATAATCATTTTCCTGTACTGGGACCTTCTGTCTGTTAATGACTGCATAGTAGGCTGTCATGTTTTTTTAGGGTTGTCTTTCATTTTTCATCAAATGGAAATGTGTATAGTAGCGAGGACTGGTATTTCGGACTTGTACCCAATTCTAGATCGTTCCCGTATTTCTATTTCCATGTGGACATCTCATGTGAACGTCAAGTTTAACCGACATTCCACTTGTTTCAAAGTGCGGGCCGAACGTGGCAATTCAAGTATTACAATGACAAGGCTAGAGTAGTTAGAATTGTGTCGTGTGTGTGATCCCCTGATCGGATATTCTACGAGGATCTAGGGATAGAGGAATAGCACCAAGAACCTCAACCATGAACCCGCGAAATAATGTAGTAGATTCCAGCTATCTAAATTGCAACCATGATCCGGAAAAGATGCAATGATTGCTTGGAAGCCCTAGAGCGTGCATAGCTGGAATGAACGTTGTTCTGGAATCCCCCAAGGGGCCCACATGGCAATGAGATCGCACATTCCACGGCCTTGCGGTAAGCATCACAACAATGCTGCCCCGTGCCTCGCCCTCGACTCATGAGACAGACTTCACAACATCCACGTACACCGTACATGAAGTTTGAATTAAGTGTGATCAATCCTGTCAATAAACCAGAAGTTTGACTTGACGAGTCCACATCGAAGTGGAGTCACTCTGCATCCGGAAACGTCACATTCTTGACTTCTCATACCACGGAATGCACATGAACCACTTTCCAATGCAAGTACAGAACTTCTTCACTTTTACTGCCCCGCTTACTATCGAGCCAAACAAGTTTCTGTTGCCTTTTCCATTCCACCGCAAGGCCCGCTGTTTCTAGCGCTCGGGGCCCAAGGCCGGGGCGGAAACCCGTACGTCGTCCGTGGAGGCGTTAGAACTCAATGATTTGACGGGGTCCACCGTTCATCGTGGCTGATGTCTCACGCGATGCGTTGACGTGAAGAACATTGGCAAATGAGAGTTTACGATGTTTCTCGTCTGATGTGTATATTATCCTTTTCATGCAATAACAAAACCCTTGCCTCCTTCAATCTCCCGTTTTTACTTCTATCAGATTCCTACCGCTTTCAGACTTCTTTAATACAACCTTGTGCATATTTTGTTCCCTCCGAGTTCTGTGGAACTACTACCATCGTGGTAGATCTGACCTGGATTCTACTGGTTCGTTCACAGTGAAGGTTAATTCCGATCGTCCCGCACTCTATATTGTCTAAACTATTCCCGGTCGATCCCACGTTGCCATTTGCAGATCTGCTTTTAGACACCCGGCTTGGTCCCGGGTTGGCGGTTCAATGTTTCTTTCTTCGATTTTACATCCTTACCAATCGATCAGTGGAAGTCCATGTCGATACCCTTGGTCAATTAGTAGTGACGGAATGCCGGCCTTGAGGTCGCGGAGCAAGCGCTTTGCAAAGCAGACGCCAAAAGAGCATTGTTCCTCAGGCCACTTGACAGTCGCCAATCCAGAGTCATCCAGTGAGCCCGAAGGAATCATTGAACTGGTGCAACATGACTATGCAAAGGTTGCCGGTTCTTCCTCTGCTGCTAATACCACGCCTGCGGAAATTCTACTGCAAATATACTCCCTGTTGACACCACGGGACTTCGACAATGCGCGACGAACTTGTTCCCAATGGATGAGAGTCAGCTTGAACAAAGAGTTGCTAGGGACTATGTTAAAACGAGCTGGTTGGTGGGATGCATGGCAACAAGATAGTACGACGCAACGGATCCACCGCAGTCCCTCCACTTACGAGAGCGAAGTTTGGAGGATGAGCAAGCGCTTTGCGACAGAGTGCTTACTATCAGGGCAAAAGGCAACATTGGAAAAACCGGGTTTTGTGGCAACGGGATCTGTCGATTTCTCTCAGCTTGCGACAAGCCTGCCGAGCACAAAGACTCGTGGAGCTACAGCGTTCCAGGACCAAAACACACATAGTACCTCGACATTCAGTGTCAGCAGCTGTGGCAGTTATCTCTTGGCTACAGCTGGCTGCGTGGTATATGTCTTTCATCTTGTCGATAGGAAATCCAGATCTATGCCTTCAGCAGGACTGGCAGATTCCTACGTGGTACCTATCACCAGCATTTCATGTCCATATGAAGTTCTCTCGGCCACAATTGATACAAGTACGTCCCCATTTGTGATCGCCGCATTGTTGCGTAATCGAGCCGGTATGGTGTGTGACTTGGATGTATCAAATATCACTCACGATAGGGCATCTACTGCTGGCTCAGTGGACGAGGCATCAGAATATTTATCATCCAAGCCATCCAAACACAATCTATACTCGATGCCAACAACCACTCATTCAACCCCGCATTTCTTCTACGCCGTTTGCTCGGAAGATCACCCGCCAAGAACAATAGCCCTATGTCCAGGCCGTCGATGCATAGCATTTGGCTGCGCAGGAGGCATCGAAATCCATTGGGTAGACGAAAACCAAACTAACCAACGCCGCCATTTTCCCATGTCCCAACCATCCGAAATCCTCCATTTCCTCCCAAACTCGCCCAAAATCCCAACAGAAATGCGCCTCATATCCTCACTAGCAGGACCAGGCGTTCACGAGTGCGCATGCCGACAATCTCCCTTCCCAGACCACACCAAAAAATGTCAATTCAATTTCCTTGATCCAAGATCACGCAATCCACCCAACAATGCATCCCTCAGCCTCGTCCGTGCAACGCATTGTCACCATTACCGCGCCATGCCTATTAACGACGGTTACCACATTATCTTCATAGAGCCACGCACCGGCCTCCTATGCATCGGATCCGACGCTCCAATCGGCGGCCCAACAAGTTTAACCCGTGCTTTTGTCTGCGTCCCGCCCAATCACAGGAAAATGACCAGCCAATCTGCAACCCGGGTCCCGACTGCTTTCGCCGTAGCATCGGATCTACGCTGGGGTCTACGCGTCATAGCTGCATACCAAGACCGTATAATCCTTTACTCGATCCCGCTCGACGTCCTCAATATTGTCCGCAGAGAACGTGAACGCCAGTCAGACGGTGTCATGGGAGATGATCCAGCACGGGACAGGGGAGATTCCGAAGAATTCCGTCGCCGTGAGAATCTGATCCAAAACAATAACGGGGATTGGGAGTTCCTTCTGAGCACACGATACAAACCGGCTTCAATGATTTGGCCATTTAAAGTCTACGGCAAAGAAATCGGTCACATGGATAATATAGTCGAGCTCGCTCTCCAATCTTCAAATGGAGGTGCTCGTATCTGGGCTTTCGGTTCATCTGGTTGTGCTCGGATATTTGATATCGATACGTGCACGCCAACGGAGTCGCAAACTAAGGCTCTATCTCAAAATTCATCTACACCCCCGATGAAACTAGTCACTCTTGGCTCAGATGGGAGTATCGTCTCTGCTACTATATCCGAGCAGGAACTCAATTCCGTACCGGCATCTGTGGCCGGGATTCAACCCAACACGGGCTCCCGGAAGCGCAAAGCGTCGGCGTTGAGAGACGATTTTGTGGGGCGGTATGGGATCAGTCGATATGTGTCTTGTAGGACAATAGACGGCCTTCAGCCTGTTAATGCGCTACGGATTCAGGAGGAGGATTCATCCGTACGGAGGCCATCGTTTGCGGCTTGTATTGTTGATTTTAAGATTCCTGAGCTTGGGATGAGAGAAGGGGGATGGAATAGTACACCGGGTCGATCTTGACACATGCTTTATCTGGTATGGAGTACAGGATATCTTTCCCACATTTATGACGTTTGTGTTGCATCTTGGGTGGAGTTGCTTTGTATATACTACGGGTATGCTTTTTGGACATACTACAATATACCATTTTAGCGGATGGACTTTCAATTCGTGCCCAATAAGACTAATCGAACCCGAGCCAATAGAGATGGCTGGAGGTAAGGAAAAGGTTTACATCATCCGTGGATACAGTGGCGAGATAGATTTTGACCGGGAGGTTATCGTAAAGTCTATTGCAAATCAATTCGTATAGATGCGTAAGTACAATCGTGAATCCTTTATCTACAAGCCATGCCAAACCCTATTTTTCCCCACTCAAAGTCGGGCAGCAAACCGAGCGCCTTCGCTATCGCCATTCTCGCCAGGAGTCTCAGAAGAAGAATTCGAAGTACGCGGCACTGGAGGGCTAAAAATGGACCAAATTCCCGCAATTAACGACACACACTTGACAAAAAGAGGCCGAAAAGAGGATTTACCGCTCGATATACGCAGGGATATCTGCAACCTTCATGCTACCCTCAAGAATGCCTGTGAATTGTTGTTAGTAGATGTATAAATCACATAAGTAGGATAATGACTTACGGAAGACGGCGGTGAAAAGAGGGAACTTGTCCTCCATGCCCTTCTTCTTCAGGAACTTGTTGACCTCCATGGCGGTCAAGGTACCCTGAAGACTTTGGCCGTTAAGCTCTGTCTTCTCAACCTCCTCGATCGACTGGTTGCGCTCGACGCTAAGCTTGGCACAACGGTAGTTGCGGCCGCTGCTGGAACTGGTAATAAGATCGGCCACACCGGCACTCTCCTCGGTGAAGGTGCGCTGGTCAATGGTGGCACCGAAGAACAAATCACCGAAAAGAACCATCTCCTTCAATCCAACACGCATCACAGCGGACTTGGCGTTGTCACCCCAGCCCATACCGATAACCCAACCGGCAGCAATAGCGACAATGTTCTTCAAGGCACCGCTGATAGACACACCGGCGACGTCATTCACGACGCGCACGTGGAAGTATGAGCGGTGGAAGAGGGACTTGAGAACAGAGTGGTCGATGGGAGGGTAGTCCGAAGGCAGTGCCTGCAACTTGACGTCGGACAGATTACCCGACACATCCTTGTGCTCAAACTCGACCAGGTTTACTTGGGAGCCCGAGGGCGAAAGTTGTGGGGTGGGAGCCTTGGAGTCCATGTGTGGAGGGTCATAGGCAACAGTGGTCTCGGACCACTTCTCCTGGGCGACCTCGTTGGCGATATTGGCACCAGAAAGGGCACCACAGTAGATGCCGAGGGACTTGCCAATGGTCTCTGAGAAGAGGTGGACACCATCTTCTGTGACATCGACACCCTTAATGCAGGAAATACCACGAGCGTAAGGCAGAATCTTGCCTTGGATTTGCTGGCAAGTCTTGTGGATGAACTGGTGGGGGAGGTTGAAAACGAGGATGGTGCTGTCCTTGACGGCATCCTCAAGAGAGGGGTTTGCGTGGAGGTTGGCCGGCAACTGAATTCCTGCAAGGTACTTCACGTTCTCATGGGTGCGGTTAATCACCTCAGTAAGTTTTTGGGGCCCCGGGTTGGCGGGGTCATAGTGTCGCGAGTCCTTTGCAATCTCAACGTTCTCTTCGAACACCCACATCTCAACCTTCTCCTCGAAGACATCCGGATTACTAGCGGCATTTTCGGCGACAATCTTAGCGATGGCGGTACCCCTACCGATAAGAAAGAAAGAATTAGTATATTGATGCTGTAGGAGCGGTCAAGGGACAATTACCAGTTACCGGAGCCTACCACGGTCACCTTGTGTTTGCGCTGATAAGGAGTGAGAGAACCCATGTTGGAAAAAGAAGCCGATGAATATGATCTGCACGGAGAAGAGCCGGGAGGCGCTGGCTTATAAAAGGATGCAGGGCTACAGGACGGGGGCGACCGGGGAGGCTTGATAGGACCCAAGAGCCGAGTGGGTGGAGGCGACCGAGGCAAGGCCGTGGTACGCAGGCCAGGAAAGCAGATCCGATAACAACGGGTTGGGGAGGGCATCCAGAACAGGCTGACCGAGACCCAATTAGATCAGGTTAGACCGGGTATTCGTTCAAGTAGAGAACTTCTGATGTCACAGCTCCAGAGAACTCTTGTGAGGGTTTACCCGAAAGGTGGAGCGAAGATTCGGAGACGCTGCGAGACCTGCCACGACGGTCACGTCACAGCGAGCGCATTTTCGTCTGTTCCTGTGGTTTCGGTGTGATTTAGTCAACAAGTGGACCTGGAATTCAAAGACGAGATGTGTCGTTGGTTGGTTTTCACAGGGACAAGGGGCGCGGGCGGTCAGAGTGGGGCGGCGGAAAACGAAAAAATCGGTGCCGATCTCACATGCGGGACAAAGTTGTCTGCTCCACGTCACAAACCGGATCTTTCTCGTCCCTTCACACACGCAATGGCGAAGACGAAGACACCCGGAAGGACCGCCCCGAGGCCGACTCCTTTTGGAGATGATTTCCGAACGAGCAAGAAGGACAAGCGTCAGATTAAGCACGCGGGGTTGATGTCCAAAATCGCCAAAAATGCGACCAAGACCCCGAAGAAGCGTCGTGCCTCGAAGAAATTGGTTGCCAACCTCGAATCCCTAGCAGATGCCTTGCCCGACGCTGCGGACGAGTCTCACGATGCCGCAAGCCAGGTCAACGTGATCAAACAGAACACCCTACGTCACAAGCCTGGCGCCCTGAAGCGCAGGGAAAAGATCGAGAAAGTGGAACGGGATCGATTCGCGAAGAACATGGCCCAGATGTCTGGTCTGCAGGCCACAGCACCAAGTGGTGCCGGTGAGAACAACGGAGCCGCCGACTCCACGGCCAGTCGGTTCGCTGCGTTGCGAAACTTCATCTCTTCGACGATGGAGCAACAACCGGTTTTCCAGACGAACAAATGAGAGGGAATTACAACATCAGAATCCACAACCGACCCCTCCAAATCCTCCATACGACTCGACGATACCCACTGCTCATACTAGATACGAGTCCCAACCCGGAGCGACACCATGGCTTGGCCCTTCGACCATGCACGTGCCTTAATAAACAATCTTGCAGCCAGAATTTCTTTTCTCCTGCATCAATGATACCACGCCAACAAGATCTACATATCTTGGCTGATCCTGGATCTCAAAGACTTCAATGCCTGATGAACTTGCTCTCAGGCACTCGGGGAACTCTTGACTGAGGAATACTCTGAAACATAGTCTGCCAATCAAAAGAACTTCATACAAACATTCATATACATCAACGTGGTAATTAAAACCAATTTCAGTAGACAGGACACGCAACTTCACAATGTCACATTGATTGATCAATATCAACCATTTCACCCGAAAATGATTCAGCTAAAATCCCAACGGCCGTTCCCGAGGTTCTTCACTGACTGGAGAGCTACTGTGCCTCTCAATCATACACAAGCCCGCATCGTCCCAGTACTCGCTACCCACTCCTTTGCGAGCTATAAACAGCCCACTGGGATCCCATTTCTGCTTAATACTGTACAAACGGGAATAGTTGTCGCCCCAGAATGATTTCTGGAACCCTGGCTCATATGCATTCGCCTCGTTCAGATAGGCCCCCATATGGTCTTCTCCCTCGACAGACCGCAGAATGGGAATCTGTACTGCGGTCATATTCCTGATAATGACTGTCTGCTCCGCCAGAGTCGCAGTGGCATCCCAGCTTCTGCCAAAAAGTAAGTGCGTCACTGTTTTTCTCCACGCCGGGTTCACAGCACTGTCGATTTTCTCGCCGTTGGCCGCAACAGCCCCGCCAGCGACAACGTGGCCCACGATCGTTGAACCTGGGGCCCATCCAATACTCTTCCAGGCGCTTGTCAGTCGAGCTGGGCCATCTTTAGACAGCAGAAGGTCCTTTGAATAAAGGCGGGATGCGAGCATAGAGATGCCTCCTGTGCTGTCATGAGGTGGGCCATCCAAGAGAACGCCAAATACCGTGGACTTGATGCTTGGCAAAGGAATTGCCACCTTCTCAGTTGTCACGCCTACTATTTTCTGCAATTCCGAAAGGAGTGGCAGATAAAGCTGGTGAATTTCGGTGGCGTTGGTCTTCTCTGGAAACATGAGGAGAGAGTACATAGTGGAGACACTCGTATTTGGACTCAATGGCAGATTGGGCAAGGTGAAGTAGTAGCCTGAGCCTCCGGCAGCGTTTAGAAAGGGGAGGGCGGCATGCCATTTCTCCCAAGCATCCCAGAATTGGGGATTGTTAGCGGGAGCTGTCACGTTCAGATTATAGACGACCACCGGCACATCGGGGAAGGTCCTAATTGTAGCTCTGGTGACCACGCCAAAGGTACCGCCGCCGCCGCCACGCAAGGCCCAGAAGAGATCGGTATTCTGATACATGTTGGCAGTCACCAGGCTTCCCTGGAATTGATATCAGCTCATCTCTTGGCTGACCTGTCTGCAATTTTTAATGACACTCACGTTCGCGACCACCAATTCAAATTCCAACGCGTTGTCTGAGGCCAATCCTTTCCAGGCCCCAAAAGGTGAGTGTCCTCCTCCCTGAATATATCCGCCAGCTGCACCGACACTATGGCTTGATCCGGCGATTACCGTGCGGTTGTGGCGCCCAACTGCAGCATATAGCTCGGGCAATTGTACTCCAGCCGCGAGATGGACCGCTGAGCCTTCGTTCTTGTTCTTTGGTGCTCCACTTGGGACAAAGTTATCCACCAATTCGATATGTTTCATGTCATGTGTGAGGATCTGTAAAGATTCTGGGGCTGTCGAACGCCCAAGGAAATCATGGCCAGTATTCTTTATGGCGAGTCGCAAGTTATGGTCTCGAGCAAACCGAACGGCCTGTTGAATATCAGAAGTACTATTTACCTTGGCCGAATACAAAGAGATACGTCCTTGTCCACATGTCATGTTGGCTGTCTCAATATAACATGATTGACTATGCTGCGGCCAAGCCTCCCAATTTTCCCATTGAACAGCTCCTGGCTGGGACGATCGCCAGACAGAGTCTGTCCAAAGATCTCTGACATTCTGACATGCTGCTGCGTCAAATTCTTCGGGAAAACAAACAGATGCCGCCGGTCGTACTGCGACCAGCTTATTGCCCAAGGCGTCGTTCAAGGCCGACCATTGCTGCTGTGAGGGCCAGCAACTATCATGAGGACGGCATCGGCAATAAGTGGACGGCTGTGCCCCGACGCTCACTGACAACAAAAGAGAAACTAGTAATATCTTCATCGTGATCAATATGATCGAAACTATAATCCCACCAGAGGTGGGCTCATCAGCAGCATATTTATATGTATCCCGGAATTTCCGGGGCAGTGCAATGCCAACAATCTAGGAATTTTGAAAATACTGTACGATTGGCCGATCTTGGAAGGTCGTCTATAGCTATACAAGGCACCAAATGGTCTGATGCTTTCGGCGTTGCCTAAGCGCAGAGCCTTACCCTCGTATTTGTAAGAATGTGACATCACTTTCTGCTTGGCTGCCGAAAACGAGTTACCAAATCGGGGTTGGTGCGGAGAGGGCTCGCGAAGATGACCCAAAAGGTTTAAAGGTGTGCCAGAGCATAATTATAATCCCAAGCCACGATGTACACCGTATCTTACCAAGTAGGCACCTGGGCAGGGCTAATCAAATGGAAGTGCGGTATCTCCTGCGCGACACCCAAAGCTGGCAGGGTCTGCGTCACAATACGAATAGAAAAGTAAATGTTCATATTCTGTATTTGACAGGTCCGATTTCAAAAAATTTCAGAAATACCAGTCAAAGACCCATCTAAATGTGATCTTAAGGAAGCCTCTATCGCCAAGAGACAAGTCATTAAGCGCCAATTGTCGAAGCTTGATTTCCCGATCTTCCGAACATGGTCCGATTCAAAGCGGATGACTAAGCCGATAAGATCACCTGCGGGGAAGCTCCCCAATTGGTTATCTGACCCAACACTTGCTGTCTCACTACAAGCAAATTTGATTCTTGTTCTTTTCTACTCTCAGCTCTACGGAACCCGGAGTACCTAGGCGATGCTGTGGCGGCCAATACAACGTCGGCTCCCTCTTGCCCTGACGCATCGTGGGCTTATCCGATATCGGCCAGGGCTGTTAGTCGCCAGCCACGCACGCCGACTATCCAGTGGCTCTAGCAACTTCCCCACGTCCTCCCAGTTCAACCGTTCGGACTTTACGAACCAGCCATATACAGGGAGCTATGAGCCTGGACTTCCGACTTCTGGGCCCCTTGGTTCAACCCCAGCTTTCGGTGCTCCGCGGATTACACCGAAGGTGCTGAAACAGTATCTCGATCAGTATGTGGTGGGGCAGGATCGCGCAAAGAAGGTGTTGAGTGTAGCGGTCTATAATCACTACCAGCGAGTACAAGAATTAGCACGGCGAGAGGAGGAAGCAGAAGAGCTTTCGGCGAAGCGTCAACGGAAGGAGGCACTTGAAAGCCACCCATTAGAAGGTTTTTTCCTCGTGTTCTATCGCAACGACCAAAGCCCTTTTAACCATTTTTTGATTACATAGATGAGTACCCAGGCCAGCCACGCACAGTTGGTCTTCCATCTACGCCTAAATCGCGCCAAGCTACACCTTTGGACCAGGCTGAGCTTGTTGATACATCCCCGCTCCAATTGGACAAGTCCAATATTTTATTACTAGGCCCTTCAGGTGTCGGTAAGACGCTGATGGCTAAAACGCTGGCCCGTGTCCTGTCAGTGCCGTTTAGTATCTCGGATTGCACTCCTTTCACACAAGCTGGCTACATCGGCGAAGATGCCGAATCTTGCGTACACCGACTACTGGCTGCTGCGAACTATGACGTGGAGCAGGCGGAACGTGGAATTATTGTACTAGATGAGGTCGATAAAATTGCCGCCGCCAAAGTCAGCCATGGGAAAGATGTTGGTGGCGAGGGAGTCCAGCAGGCACTGCTGAAGATCATTGAAGGCACCACGATTCAAGTCCAGGCCAAACCAGAGAAGAATCCTCGCACAAACAGTCCTCCTAACTCATATCCATCCAATAGTCCTTTGGGAAACACTCCCTTCCAACCACACAGCGGCAGCCCCCCAAACAAAGGTGAGGTCTACAATGTGCGCACAGACAATATTCTTTTCATCTTCTCCGGCGCCTTCGTTGGTCTGCACAAATTGGTCATGGATCGAATTTCCCGCAGCTCGATGGGATTTGGACAGCCCGTCCGTTCGCACGATGTATCCGGTCCCTCGGATACCTCTTCCACAGAACCCCTACCCATCCTACCTGGGTCTGAAGAAGAAGAGCTATACAAAAAGCACCTACCTTTCTTCACCTCTGCATCCCCCGCATCATGCAACGAGCCCACCTATTTCAACGCCCTTGACCTTTTAACTCCAGCAGACCTTCAAAGCTACGGCTTCATCCCAGAATTGATTGGCCGAATTCCCGTCACCGCCGCTCTCTCAACACTAACGCAGCCCTTACTTCTGCGCATTCTCACCGAACCCCGGAACTCCTTGCAAGTCCAATACACCACCCTGTTTTCCCTTTCTGGAATCGAGTTGCGTTTCACCACTCCCGCTTTGCACACTATCGCATCAAATGCCTTTAAAATGGGCACTGGTGCCCGTGCATTGCGGACAGAAATGGAGACTATCCTTAGTGACGCAATGTTCGAAGTTCCAGGATCAAGTGTGAAATTCGTTCTTGTCACTGAGGCTGTTGCCAAGCGTGAAGAAAAGCCTGTTTATCTCGCCCGTGGACAGGGTGGGAAATTTCATGCTATGATCTCGGCTGAAGAAAGTGAATGGGAAGAGAAGACAAGACGGGAGAAGAAAGAGAAGAACAAGAAGAATGGTTCGCAGAATGATGGCGAGCACCCGTCAAGTTTCCAGGAATATCGCAAGCGCGCAGTCGGTTAGTTGATACTCTTTGAACATACGTTTCTACTTTCCTATCTCACGCCTCGTTCGGCGGACATGACATGACATACCCGGTGCTTTTTTCATTTGTTTTTTCTCCCTTTCAGTCCCGAATCCTGTGGACATTCTTCATTATGACATGCTCTGACTTTGACAAAATCAATTTTGATTGAGAGCTATAAATTTCATCATATCCAGATTACACATTCCCATGCTTTGTCTTGCTTCATCTAAGCGAAGAGAAGACAGTAAAATATAGATAGTACTCGTTTCGGATTATCAGCATTTGAAAAGAACTTATCGTAGTCTAGCAAGGCAGATGGGATATCGCATTGACAAAGCATTGAGTCGTAGATAAAAACCAAGTCATTATTGATACAATGCAGTGGGTTACAGTTGATCTCCAAAAGAACAAGGTTCACTGGTAGAGACATTCATCGGTAAGGCTGAGGAGAGCCGATGTTGGGATTGGAGTTCTTTAGCTTTCGATATAGCCTGGGATCCCTACTCTCCCTATGAGACCCACGGGGATCTTGCGTTTCCTGAGGGGTTTGAGGGGTCCGGGGAGTTCGGGGCGTAGCAAGAGGATTGGCTTCAAGGACTCGTGGAGAATTGACACTTCGCTGAAGGCCATTTTGAAGCCTGTCATGAAGAATAGTTTCATCAGTGTTGTATGCCTTGCAGAAACCCTTGAAACCGCTCATGACATGAAGATGTCCCCAAGCCGACCAACGACTTAAGAGGGCCTCATTCCTCTGGAAAGAAACGACAGCCATTCTGCGGAAGCGTGTTACGTTCATTTGCATCCATCCGGCAAAGGCCTCGACGAGATGATCTGCATTTCTTTCGTCTTGTGTTAGACCCTTAGGGATGTGTGGGTGTTCGTCGCCGGTGCGCTGACCATATCCTGCAACGGGTAGACACAGGACATTATTGTTGATACGATCAAGTTCCTGGATGGACAGACTGCTTGGTTCGAAAAAGGGAAAGTTGGGATCCACCGAGTTCACCGTCTTGATACAAGTGATGATGCTCAAAATGCTAAGTAGGGCTGTTAGTGGTAAAGATACAAACAAAAGCTCAATTGAGAACGTACTAAGGATCAAAATCCTTGTTTCGAGAGGGATCGTCCAAAATCTTTTCTAATTTTGTCATCACGTCTGGGCAAAGCACGAGTTTGGATGTTCCCGGGCTTAAACAGTGTTTATGGTAAAACCAGCAGATGATCATGGCCGCTCGTTTCATATCAACAAATACATCCTCGGTAAGGAGAATCGCAGTACCGCAAGGGAAAAGACGCTGGATGTGAGAACCTTTGCCGAGGAGTCGATGATCTGGTGAATCCAAAGGTCTCTGGAGGCGGACACTCCAGAAATTGAAATCGTCTTTCCATTGAAAGGACCGAATTTTCGGCCGTAAACTATCGTACTCAAAAAACGATTCATGAAACTATAGGCCAAGTCAGTCACTTCCATTTACCCTTCTGGCGAATTGTTAAGCGCCACATACGATAACCACACCACGCTTGCAATTGGCGTGGAATCTTTCCCAGCTGCTTGGGTCCTTGCTTGTGTAGCAATTAACTTTATGGTGATTAAGCCATAGCTTCATCAGTTCCAATTCCGCGCTAGCATCTCCATCATCCGAAGGGAAATGAAGATAGAACATGTCAGCCATACTGCCATTATGAAGGGTGGCGAGGTTTTTGACCGTTATCTTCAGCGTCACATGGAAAAACGTGAACATTTGAGCGATCCCGGAGGCGGTAGGGTTTGGCGTGTGCTCCTTATTAATGCCCACTACGTTTTGCGATGGAATAGCTGGCACCTGGGCATCCGCAGGGCTAGCACTTGTCGTTGGCCTTTTCTCGACAAAGGGGTCCCCGGGTGTATCCACGGCTTCGTAGATACCCAAGTTCAGTGTTTCATCTAGTATCCGTCTATCTGCTCTGTTCGACTCTGTAACGACCCAGGGACGAGGTTCTGAGTGAGTTTCTGAAGATCCGTGTTGCAGATTCTGATTCATGCTGTTTGTCGATGTGGAATTGACAGATGCGTGGTTCTGCCCAGGTCTGCCATACTTTGTGCCCAGAGTTGAGAAATCCAGCAATGGACCCGTCACAGAAAGACAGATTGCTGCACCACTTGGCAGCGCAACCATTGACTTGTGATGCGTGAGACGACGGTGAAAAGCGGAAGAAGGGGAGTAGGCGATCCAGCTCAAGCCGCGACGGTCGGCTGGGTAATAGATGGCTGCCTTATTTTGCTCAGAGAGAGATTGGCCCATGAAAAATAGTGCTTCGTTCGTGTCTTCGAACCCTTCCATCCAAGAATTGCACCATTTCTGAGGGACAGCTATCTAAGTGGATGTTAGTAAACGTGAAGTTTTAGACAAACAGTATCACTTACATTACGGGCCAGTTCTTCGTATTCGTCCCATGTACATAGGTCTTTAAACCACATTTCAAAATTATCCTTTCCTTTCTCTGGATTCTGCCTTAAAAGATCGTACTTGGCCATGCGGCGATGACCACATAGTCTCACAGGGCCAATGTACTTCTTGTCAACGCCAAAATAAACCTGCACCAAGACCTCATGGTCATCTTCGCTGTAGAAATAGCTACTCCCGACGAACTTCGCACTGTCATCTGGGACTCCCAGTGGCATTTGGGCGATCTGCTCTTTCTCTTCCGCAGATATGGAGGGTTGATTGGAAGGCCTTGGCGCGGCGACTATAGGTGGCGATTGACGTCGATCCGCACCTGAGATAGAATTGCGTCTGGCAATCTCATGGTATGATTGACCAAATGTGGAGGTGCCATTGGTAGATTGTACACTCGGGTGGCGATGACTGGGTGATGTTGGAAGTGTTGTTCTTGATGGCCGTAATTTTTCATTTCTTCTCCATGAATCTAACAACCTGGGGGAACCTTCCTCACATTCGCTTGGCCTCTCACGACCACCTGGTCTATAGTAGTCTCCACCTCTGCGAAAGGAATCTAAAGGCCCTTGACGGAAAGGTGGATCTGGTGACCGTCTGTGGCTGTCTGAATCTAGAAGTCGCCGAGGGTTGGACACACCTGGAGATTCTCTGCGGCTATACACACTTGGTGGTTTCTGGCGACTTGCATCTGATGAGTGCCGACAATTATTCTCTGCGGCTGCGGTTGAGCGCTCTGCAAAGTCAGGCAGTCTTGGAGGATTATCTCGACCCGGAGACCTGTCTCGTGAAGATAGTCTATCCGCCTTTGGCATGCAGGGCGGAGATCGCGCAAGTCGAATAGTGGTGTCCGGAGCCTGGATCCCTGACGGTCTTTCAGACCGGTTCGCTCCTGTAGATTGCAAGGAGCTAGGAAGATTTGAAGGACCCAATGCTGTAACTCCGGCCTCTGACGCATCTGGGGGCAAGGGATTATTCCCAGACATATGGTCTTTTGAAGGACCCAATGCTGTAGATCCGGCCTCTGCCGCGTCTGGGGGCAAGGAATTATTCCCAGAGATATGGTCTTCAGCACCTTTTTTGCTTGTAATCGCGATATGTCCGTAATTATGTCTGCTGGGAAAGTCGGATGGTTTTAAAAGCTCCAATTGACTAATATCAGGCACCATCTCTCGGCCTGAGCGTCGTTCATTGCTTGGACGAAATGGTTGACCAGGCTCAAATAAAGAAGGCCTGGCAGAGGATGATTGAGATCTAGATCCGGGGTCGCTTAATTTCCGAGCGGATTGTTGTTGCTGTGACTTTCGAGCTATTTGATTGTGCGCTGAAGTATTTAGTTGATCGGTGGATTGATTGTCTGCTTGCCGTTGAGGTACTTTTTTCGGGGCGATTCTAACTACTCCCCCAGCTGTCTTGACTGCTTGCACCTGGGGGCGTGTGATTTCCGAGGACTGGGAGTTCCCAGATGCAGGCTTTGTGGGGTCGTTCTGTGATACCGAGCCTGGCGCCGGTGGCTGCCCTGGAGAAACGGTGTCGGCGCTAACAAACAGAGATGAGACGTCAGAAGAGATGGATACGCGGCTTTCTCGCCTGGTTCTGAGGTTCTTAACGAATGGAGGGGTTGAGAGGTTTGGTCGAACAGGCAATGGTATAAAATAGGAATCAAAGTCGGTGTTGAGCGAGGCGTTTTCCTCAATAAGACTTTTCCCAGATGATTCAAATTTGGCCTGTATTCTCTTAAGATCCCTCTCCCATCTCTTCACGTCGAAACGTCGTTCTCTCTCTGCTTCAATGAGAGATTTCTTTCTTGACCAATCCGTCAATGTCTCATCGGAGTCGAACTGATCAGCGGGCTCCCACGTCGCGTTCATCAGGTCATATCCATCCCATTTAACTAGATATTTCGTCACACCCATGAAGCACTTCTCCGCAAGAATAGCTTCTACTTCGAATGCCTCCTCCTCTGGATCTGATCCTGAGTCTGAGCCATCGCCATTATGCGGGGTTGAAGCCTGGGAAGACCTCTCAGACATATTGTCAGGGCTGATCCTCGTCCTGCCGGAGCTAGGTGACATGGGCATGGACTGATCTGATTGGCCCAAATAGGGATTTCAATGACAGTCAGAAAGTAGTCATGAAAAGTAAACACGTGCACAAATGCATAAATTTCTTGCGCTGGGGTGTCTTAGAATCATCAACAGAGCCGGTGTGGAATGTATGAAGATAAGGCCGTTTCCGGGCGTGGATGGATGTTCAGAAACACCTGATACATTCTATTCTGGGAGGATTGGGCATTTAGGGAGCAAGACAAACGTCCACGTCTGGAGGTCCAGTGTCAAAACCATCTATGTAAACATTAACCATTCAGAAGACTTCAAGAACCTTTTTGAAGTTGCCGAGCGGCAAAAACAACACCCACGTGACCTGAACGTTAAGGAGACACTCCACCTAGAGACATCAACTCTCTCCCTATCGGCCTTCACTTACTACATCTTCCCGCTTTTTTTCTCTTCTGTATTTCACACCCCCTTTTCTCCTGTTCCTTCTTTAACCCTCAAAATGGCCAACGACGAATATGATGTAAGTACTTTTGTCCCTCTGTTATTGTTTCTGTCGCTGACCGTGGCCCCAGTTTCTCTTCAAAGGTAACGTCGCCTCGTGCAGCTGCCTACCGAGCAATGCTGCGCAACCTCTCCCACCTCGTGCCCAGCACCGGTCTACCACCACAGGATCTTAACTGACGGGAGTGTATAGTGGTGTTGATTGGAGATTCCGGTGTCGGTAAATCCAACCTGTTGAGTCGATTCACCCGCAACGAGTTCAACTTGGACTCCAAGTCAACGATCGGTGTGGAGTTTGCGACTCGTTCGATCCAGGTGGACTCAAAGACCATTAAGGCACAGATCTGGGATACTGCCGGTCAGGAGCGCTACCGTGCCATCACCTCTGCCTACTACCGAGGCGCTGTCGGTGCCCTCCTCGTTTACGATATCAGCAAGCACCAAACCTACGACAATGTCACTCGGTGGTTGAAGGAGCTTCGCGACCATGCTGACTCCAATATCGTGATTATGCTTGTCGGTAACAAGAGTGATTTGAGGCACCTGCGTGCGGTCCCCACCGAGGAGGCCAAGCAATTTGCCAGTGCGTCCACCGCTGCCTATCTTCAGGCACCTACGATAAGAGAGTTCCGTATAATACTGACCACCTATAGGCGAGAACAACCTTTCTTTCATCGAAACCTCCGCCCTTGATGCCAGCAACGTCGAGCTCGCCTTCCAGAACATCCTCACAGGTACACCCCCACCTCAGCGCCAAATACCCCCCACCTGCATAATTAACCTGCTTCTATCTAGAAATCTACCGCATTGTGTCCAGCAAGGCCCTCGACTCCGGTGAGGGATCCTCGGCCGGGCTCCCTGGTGGCCGCCCCGTGATCGAGGTCACTCAGCAGGACCAAGAGCAGAAGCAGGGCTGCTGCTAAACGATCCGTGAGAACGCTCCCGACCGCAACGACTCTTTTACAATGTGATATTGGATTTGCTTGATCCGTGATGGGGTCTGTAATTTGAAACACGGAGGACGATACACAGGCAGGATCTGGTAGAGAGCACATGGGGAAGATGGGGATCGTAACCCGGACATATCTCCCAATAGTCGGACCTTTGTTTTATTTTCTTTCCTACCCCGTCGCTTGTTTGGTTTTTTTTTTTTTTTTTTTCTGCGTGGTTTCCCCTTACGAAATTGATTTCTTTTCCACCGGACCTACTCTTCTTGAATTCACTTGCTCCGCGATCGGTGGTGCAATGATCTTGGTTGGGCGTCATTGTGGCTTATATGGGTTTGTGCGAAGCCTTTTCCTGCAAAGTCAGTATATTAGTTTATTACTTCTTTGGTTGACGAGTCTACGTAACGATGGAATAAGGCAATTCCTGGTGTGGTGAATTGTTTACTCCAAATGGGCTGCCAGAACACGGGTCCACTTGCAGCTCCACAATATGAGGAATCGTGCGTCTTTGATAAGAATGTGGCGGTCATGGGTTCATACTAGACCATTCTAGCCCAATCCGCAATAAACATGTTTCAACCACGAAGACATCTACGATTTAATTTCATATATGATTTTTAAACCTCTGTAAAACATGCAAGATACTTTTTGAATGAAAATTAACCAGTACAAGACTTTGCCTTGACGCCATAGCAGACCATGATATCGTCGCCATCAAATATACATGTAGTCGAAAAAAACATCTAGAGTGGATCAAATGATTGAACGCTCAAACCTCACCCTGACCCTTATTTGAAAAGCTTTCTGGAATCCAGAGCATGCGGCTTCTGCGACGAGTTGTCGGTAAGACCGAGATCCGTCCGCTTAGCTACGCGATCGGTTTGTACGTCCCGGCGCGCGGTGTAACGACCGGCCTTGCCCATGCGAATCTCACGACGGACCTGGTTGGGGCTGACATACTCCTTATTCTCGTAGATGACGGGGCCACCGAAGCTGCCCTCCAAAATGACAATGGGGGTCAAGACGAATCGAGGACCGATCTCAACCAAGGAAACCTCGGGCATGCCATCTCCACCCTTGGGGATAGGCTTAGCAGTCGGCTCACCGTCCTTCTTGTCAGTACCCTCAGACTCGCGGATCTCGTAGACACGGATCCAGATCTTGCCGTCAACACCAAAGATACCGATGACGCGGTCGACAAAGGGCTTCATTCCCTTGACGCCACGCTTGGGAACACAGAAGACACCACGCAGCATCTCACGAACCAGCGCGCGGTACTCAGTGCCCGCGACGCCCATATCGGGGCCTTGCTCGTCGAATGATCGATCGAAGACTACAACTCCTCTGCCACCCTTAAGGCAGTTGCCCGCGAATCCTGCGCCGAGCTCGGCCATAGTGTGCAAGTTGTTAAGGTGGAACTTGATAGTGGGGCCGTTAGGAGGGCGCGCAAGCCAGAGGTAGAGATCCTGGCCGTTCTTGCGGGCCTCGAGGAAGAAGATCATGTTGCACGAGTGGAGATCGGCAAGCGAGTTGAGCAAAAGGTTGTAACCGGCAGTCTTCTTCTTGGTGTCGAGCTTGGTTTCTTTGTGAGTGTGAGGGAGGAGTGCGCAGAGATCAGTCATCAAGTGTCGGTGACTGCAGGAGCAGCAAAATTGCGCTGGTCAGTCATGATTTTGGTTTATATGAGGTTCAGTCCGATTCTTACCGATGTGTGACACCGCGAGATGTCAGAATGAGAACTCGGGTCTTGGGCATGAAGCCTTGGGCAAGCATCTTCTTGGCTGCGGTGATGCGATCCTCCTCTTGCTGTTCATCTTCCTCTTCACTATCGGTGGTATCGTCGGCATCATTCAAAAGCTCCTGCAATCCAGCCTCCATCTCGTTATCGGAGTCATCCTCAATGGATTGCCGAGCCTTTTTCTTGTTAACTGCCTTATAAACTGCTGCCATGGTGATTGTGACTTGTTGGGTGCAACTGAAATAAATCGAACGCTGAAAGCTTCGGAGAAAAGTTGGTGGCAGAATAATTTTTGTTGCACACCGCCAAATAATTTCTGGGTCACGTGTAGATACATTATCTTGGCGATCTTCATCCTCTCGGTCTTTCTGCCATTTCCACGAGGGGAAAATATGGATGCATTGGCTCCAAATTTCATTTATGTTCTGTATCGTTCAAGTTCTTAAGCGTGAAGCTCTAAAATTTGACCCAGTCCTGAAAACCCTTCCTGCGCCACCTTCATGCCAGCAATTCGATTTGCAAACCCCACCTTCGTAGATAGATCCCATTCTCTATCTTTGCAATTTAATGCATACAACATGCCTGCATTGAATGTGTCTCCAGCTCCAATCGGACTGTTGGTAGTTAGTTCATAGGATGCGTACAAGGTGATTATGCATAGACTTACTCCACCACTTCGAAGTTCGCCGAGGTATAGGCGTCCACATGGATGATTTCGCCTGTTCCAAGCTCAAAGGCGTCGGCTCCATCTTGGCCCCAGGTACAACAAAGCAAGGATCTGTAGTAACAATCCATTAGTTCAACTTATGTGAGCTTCGGATGGTTCAATCGCTAGTCTCACGCATTTTGTGTCTTGCTTGACTGGTGTCGCAAACAATCCTCCGCAGAGGTATATCCAAGGCTCTATGCAACACATTAGCTATTTGCTATTGTAGGCTTCATGAAACTTGACCGACCTGTGCCCATGTCTTCGAGTAAAAGACCACATCAGCTAATCCCGCAAGTTCTTGAAGGCCTTCCCGGCCGGGCTTCTCCAGCTCGACACTGACGCGAGCAGAGGGGAATTGCTTTCGGAGATGTTGAATACAGCCGGAAGTGACTGCAGGTATACGACCCTAAAAGTACGTGAGGAAAAGCTTTACTATCATTATCAAAGATGCGTACCTCAAAATGAAACCAAGTTGCCCGAGGACCCAGTTCAGTAGTGATTCGCATAAACTCTTCGACTGTCATGTCGGGAAGTTCATTGTAGTTTACGATAGTCCTGCTGCCCGTTGATTGACTTTTGATAATGTAGCATGATGCCGGCTCTTGGAATTGCTCTCGATAAATACTATGACGGAGCTGAACACGAGGCTCAAGTGCTGATATAAGTTGTTGCGAGGCTACCGATGATTTGGCTGGTAGGACTGTAACAAGATTCAATGAAAGCTCTTGCCGGGATGTGGCTGTCAATTGCTGCAAGACCTCCAGGCTATTTGGGCAGTTTCCACCTCGCCGATGGGTAATATTTGATGCACGAAGCTTCTCATCTTCTCCCGGATAATGCGAGGTGCTGAAAGTGGATCAATGATGGGTGTTTTTTTTGGCCACTGCACACGTGAAAGGAAGGACAAGACGCACCTGAGAATGGTATCAACATAATATGCACCTATTGCGACTAAAGACATAGGTTTTCCTATGGAGCAATCCAGAAGCACCACAGCTTCTCAGTGAACAATGAAAGTTACCTGAGGTAGAAATTGGTTGGTTCGCTTGAATCTGTCTGATTGGGCAGGTGCGGGGCAGATTAGTCATCGGTATGTTGACCAGTTAGTTAATTAACCTAGTTATTCCAACTTTTTGTCTCAGGTGATACAGTATTGTGTTGCGCTGAGACTGTTAGTATATTATTTATTGTATGGTGCATAAATATATTCTCCAAAGCTTTGGACTTTGCAAAAAAGGAGAAAAAAAAAAAATTAAAATCTCCTGCATTGATAGATTAGTATAGCAGCCAGCCAAACAGCATGATCTATCAAATAGAGTCCATCAAAGCTATGCAGCTTCTGGGAACCGTTATCCAGCTTTCATGTCTTGAGCAATTGCCGTTTGTAGCTTCTCAGCCTGTTTGTACCACTTAAAAGCTTCTTGGCCAGGATTAGCTTCTGATTGTTGCCGTAAATAGGGCACGGAAGGCCACGCGCATCTATGTGCAGCTTGTTTCCACCAAAAGCGTCTGAATTTTACCTCTATAGTGTTGTTTTTATTCAAAAGATATGTTGCACTTTGCAAGCTATCAGGAGTCTACTAATTTATAGCAGAATGGAGGGGGTTAGAGCAGGCAGTCCCTAGCAATGAGAAATTGCCTCTTTGACATGCCACGCACACATGAAGCGTAGCACCGCATCGCCCATTCTTTCGACGGGCTAACAAGCTCTACATATAGCATCGACTTATCAAGGTGGATTTTCAACAAAATCTTTGACTTTCATGGCCAGCCTGCCTGCGCAGGCGTTTCATTGTTCAAATTCATACACTAATGCCGAGAAGTCCATTGAGCTTGTTCTAACCGTGCATCTATTCCCAAGGTTGCTGAATATATAATCGGCTGGTGTTAACCAGTGTGAACATACTCTAAGTTCCATAAGTTCCCTTGCTGGTACTCCTACCTATCCAACCTTAGAACATTTGAAGCCACACTTGGCACACACCATGGTTCAACGAGGTAAGGTGTTGGAAATTGAAGGACCAACACCTAAATTCCTATATGCTATGCTCAAGCAGCTTGACTTGAAGATTGTGAGTAGTTCTATAGAGGACCCCTGGCCACCAGTGGTGTTTGCGATTGAATTTCTCACATGTTGAACAGGTTGACTGGAACCGTGTGGCTGCTGAGCAGGCAATATCTAATGGCCATGCTGCCCGCATGCGATTCTCCCGATTTCGCAACCAAATGGAAGGCACGACCGGAGCCCAGCGGCCTGGCAGAAAGAGAAACTCCAAGAAGACTGGGAATGCCGAAAAGGGGGGAAAGGGAGATTCCAAGGCCCTGGTTTTTGAGATGCAACAATCGGCGAATCCTGCACCTGGGCCAAGTATGGAGACCAGTGGCTCGTTCCAGTACATCAACGCCGTCAAAAGTGAAGAAGGAAACCAGAGAATATCTTTCCCTGACATGGGTGAACTATATCCGTGGTCACAAGGGGTTCCAACCAGTGATACGAATTACATTCCCCAGATGAACCACTTTATGTCGCCTGAAATACAACACGGCATGACTTACCCTGGCATGCCATCGAGTTTTCCCTCGGGCTTTCCCTCAATGCCATCAAATCCACCTTGGTTTTATCCTTCATTTGAAATGATGCAAGATTCCACCATGCAGGAGCTTACAAACAGTCTGCCGAATTTCAATTATAATCAAGTTGCCAACTGGGAGCCTACTGCTTTGAATCAGGCTGGAAACCCACCAGTCAAGATTGAAGACGATGTCGAATTAGTTGAGGTAAAAACTGAATCAAACATTTCGATCAAACTTGGTATGCCGCAGGATGTCGCCATGCAAGAGCTTACAACCAGTTTACCCAATTTCGACTATGCCCCAGTCCCTTCTTGTGAGTCCAATGCTATGAGCCAGTCTGAAACTGGATCAAGTGGACGGGTCATCGAAGAAGATGTCCAGACAGTCCAGGCGAAGACTGAGCCGGATATTCCCATCAAGGTTGAGCCATACCAAATTGAGTGAAATGTTTCATGGGCTATTGTACCTTGTTTCGAAGTGCAACTTGAAGTCATGTATTCGTGTCCTGTGTTGGTTTGGATAGTTGATGAGTAGAATCTAGAATCACTTGCACCTTGTGAATGTGCGACAATAGATGAACCTAGTATTAAATTGGACTGCAATGGAAAATCAATTGAGCAACCATGTATTTTACTTGAGTTGCGATCTATCAACGGGAAAATTGCGTTTTGAAAACTGGAGATTGATACCATGTGATCCATAAAACTGCTTGTTGACTGTACCTAGGTATACAGTCGTAATTTTCAACAATATAAATTCTTTGCTCCCGTCCCTCCAATGGCTCCCTCATCCGCCCACACGGCTTTTTCTTTGACCCATCTCCATCATGTATTTCCTAGCAGCGACTCCAAAAAACCTCCAACGGAAGGCCCGTACCACAATATTTAAAGCCTCTCAGGGACCGGTCTCGGATATGGATTGGCTTGCGGCGTTCCTCGAATGTGTTACGGAGGACGGTAGAAAGGATGTCCTTGTATATACCTATGAGGGTTGCCCCCAACATCTTTTCTTCGCAATGTCTCTTAGTAACTTCATTCAACACTATATTAATATTGGCAAAGCTGCCAGCATCTTGAAAGTCAAGCACGCCACGGTGAATACCGCTTGTCAACGATTGCGTAAGAATTATGCTTCAATAATAACTCAGTAGCGTCAACATGAAGGTAAGATGATCCGAACACAGCCCTATCACATTATGTGTAGCTAAATCCCCCCCCCAAACCCACACAAGCCTGGTTCCAAAGACGGAGATGAGGTGAACGATGAAGAAGATGAAGAGCTATCATCAGTCCAGCAATGATCCTCCGGCCAAGACGATAATCCCGGGGGTGCTCTCGTGATTATTTCCCTCCCCCAATGGTATGTGAAGCTTCTTCAAACTTCTCACTCTCAGGAAAAATCTCTAATACTTTTATTCGATGACGGCCAAGGCTTACTAGGATCTTTGTGCTTCAAGGAGCCCCTTTCGGTCTCGGTTCAAGTAAATATGGTATTTTTACAATAAGACTGAATCGAAAAATACCTCTCTTTACCTAGCATTAACCATAAGGGCTTTCTTAGCATGTGATGGCAAGCTTTCTATAACGAGGCAGTTGCACTAGGCTAGATTGAACGGATTTGCTTGTGATGATGTTCTCAATCGAAATGCTCACTCCTTCATTTCCCTTGACCTGATTTTCTTTCTTCTCATCGCGACTTAATTTCCTTCCTTAGTCTCCCCTTCTCTCTTCTTCACCCAAACAATACTCTCTCCAAATATCACCAGCTTCAACTACTGATATGTCTTCGCCTACGAGAACTCCAGCTAAGAAAGCTACCCGGGCTAAAGCCCCTAGCTCCACTCCCAGGACCCCACGCGATGCGGAGGCAGCTGACAACAAATTGCTTGCAAACGTACTGAAATCATTTGATCCTGAGGCGAAAAAGGTAACTGTTACAAAAGGCTGCATGCTCAAGCTTTGAATAAACTCATCGCTAACACCGAAATGCTTCCAGATCGACTTGAATGAATTCGCGGCCATCATGGGGTACACCAATGTGCGTTCCGCTGGAAATACATTCAACAGGCTGCGCAGGGCCCACGCACTGAAAGTAGAGGCATTCATGACTCGGGCCAAGGTGAGACTTGGTTTTTTTTATCATCGTTATTACGACCTGAAAAGTTACTCTAGGAATCTGCGAAGGTCACCAAGCCTAGCAATGGCAGCAAAACCCGTGGTCACCTTGATTCTGAGGCTGATATCAGTGATAATAACCTCCCATTATCGTCAGATGACGGCGCTCCAGACAACGAACCCTCCAACGAGGACAGTTCCAATGTCCAGGATGAACTGTAGGCTCTACAGTATGCTTCTGCTCGGCGAGTGAGTGAAATTGAAACAAAGATGTCACTTTTCTGACGATGTCTAATTTCCTGCCTTTCCTTTTCTTTATAGGCCATTAAATGGGATTTGCAATTCACATATGGCGATTACGTTGGGCGATTTTCAGTGACATCTCAGGGAGAATGAACAGGGCAAGGGGGCCATGGAGAAGGCGTTATCTTCCATGGCCCAAGCGAGTCACAATGCTGATTTCTTTTAATTCTCACCATTTAGCTGACAAATTGCATGTATGCAATGTCAGAGTCGACACGGGGCTTTGTAAGTAGTTCTTTTGATAGAAACCATTACACTGTCTCCATATTCTCTATCCTGATTGCTAAATAATTGTGCGTGTCTAAATCTCGTCGTGTCAACATGCGGTCAATAATATCCCCTTGCATTCCTTATGGAGCATGAATAGTACTCCAATATTTGTGAAGGGATAAAGCAGGCTCACGGCGTTGGTAAAGCCGAACCACAATGATTTCTGGGGCGAATACACATGGACAATCAGATTGATCGACATGCAATAAATAAGAGTCTGCTCTCTCTCTCTCTTGTTGGAGCGAAACGATCATGTATATTGTAGGGAAATAAAAGCTTTTTGGCAAAAGGTGTTTCAATTTGGGCCGTGAAAGATGTCGGAGGTTACTACATAAACCCATATTGTGGTCACGTGTGGTCATTCGAGGTTTCGCAGTCCTGCAAAGGCGAATCCTTCGGGGCCTCCTATATCCAGGAGCAGCTTCTTGATACACCTCCTATCAGCCTGAGACGACCAACGCAGGAAATATCAACAAGGATTCATCCATCACTGTAGAAAATACACCAATTACGAAGAAAATTGGCTTTTTGGCAAATTAACGCTCAATGCCTGCTTGGGAATGTGGAATTCTGGAAAGGGCAAAAGTAAAAGTCTCTAACTAAATAGCTGTTCAAAAAAGAAGACAGCCTTAGCAGCCTCAAAACAAGTGGTTGATCTATTCAAAACCGAAGAGGGAAAAAAAGAATAACTGTATGAACTGAGGTACGAAAGCCACGTGTGATATGCAACACGGCGCAGAGCCATGAATCCATACCCGCCAAGTCCCTAAAGTTCATGCAGCATCATTTCATTCGTATCGAGTCGAGGGTGGAGGTCCTGATGTTGATGGCGTTGATCCCCATGGACCACTGACGAATTGCGGATCCGACGCCGAGATTCTTGATAGATGGGAATCCGTACCAGGCCAGTCGTTATACTGACCAGTAGTCTGTATATATTGATGCGGATATCCAACGCCGGGCATGTTGCCTCCCGGGTTACTTGGCTGCTGCTGGGGCAAGTATTGATGGGGACCGAGCTGGGCCAGAGAATTTTGGTAGAAATGTCCGATAGCCTGAGCTTCTGGTCCCGGTGGGACTACCATTGAGTTAAGCCCCGTTCCAGATTGAGAGCCTGCCAGATTAGCACCGCTGTACTGCATATGAGAAGGAGCGGCTTGCTGGTGGAACGGGCTATGATGAGATTGAGATCGTGACATCGAATGGTTTGCCTGTTGTGCGGATCGATTCGAATTGTGATCACTTCCAGGATGCGAGTGTTCGGAAGAAAGTGACGATCGTGAGGTGAATTCCCCAGATGACCAACCGCTCGTTTGCGGTGTTGGATACGAGCCGATATATGGTCTGGATGGATTGGTGGAGCCAGGATTGGTGGAGACGGCGTAATGTGGAGTGTTTTGGTGCATAGGTTGTTGCTCCACCCGCCATTGAGGCTGAGGCGGGGTTTGATCAGCTCTGACATCTGAAATTTGGCCTTCGGGAATAGCTACCGAGGAAGGGTATGCTTCCATGTGGTGTAATGGTTGAGAGCCTCTTATGGCCAAATTTTGATAGGGATCTTGGTGCTGCTGAAGGTTGTACCCACTGGCTTGTCCGGCCACGAGGTTGGAATTGTGACCCCAAGAGTTGCCCATGAAAGGCTGCTGGCCAACGTGATTGGCCAGCGGGTTACCAGGGTAATATGATGGTGAATCGATGTTCATGTTTCCGGAAGCTCCATGATGATGCAGTCCCTAGGTCCCCAGTCAAAAAACGCTAATGGCACAGTATAATAGACCTTGACATACCGAACTATACCCACTTTCGGTTAATGGAGCAGTTTGGCCGTATGGATAACCAAGGTGCTGGCCAGTCTGGTCTTGATACCATCCTGACTTCCCTGGATATCCGAGAGACGTGGCCGCAGGCTGTCCATTGAGCTGGGCATCTAGGGAGCTCTAACCCACCATCAGTGTCACTCTTGCAATGGATGTGCAGACATAATGAGCGCGATTCCCTACGGAGGTCCTCGCACTGGCTGCGGCAGCTTCAATTCTTTCCGCCAATGTGTTTGTCAAAGCAGTCATTCGGGGGCTGTTTGTTGACGGTCGCGAGGGTGGTGCTTGTGAGGGGCCGGTGCCGATGGACGTGGGTGTTGTTGACGGCGTAAGAACGACAGGCTCGGTCGGAATTTCCCATTGTGATTTGCCGGTCGCTCTTTGGACATAATACCATTTGCGCTGGACTCCTTCCCATTGAGGGAGCCTTAGACGCGTGGACCGTCAGTATTTGGGCGAAGGACACATGGGTCAAAGCAAACCTACCATCCCTCCGGCATTCGGGGAGGTGGTGACGACGGACCTGCCGTGTCTGCCGGCGCATCTTGCGGCATTCTGCTCTTTGAGAAAATAAATTTCAGGCCCCAAAAGATGTCGAAAACATCGTAGACGAAGGAAATGACGATGTGTTCCAGGTGCGTTAAGACGATCATGTGGGGCCCTGGGGCTTGGCAAGGCGATCACGAGTATATCACGAGTATATCACGAGTATATCACGAGTATATCACGAGTAGATAAGTTATCTCTGGGGAAGTCACGAGAGTGCAAATGGTAAATAGTGTTACATTGCATTGGCCACAATTCTTATTCAGTGGATAACTCATGTATAGAATAAGAAGACGAGATCTGCAATCATCCCATAAGGGGAGCAAAGACACCAACCCCGTTCTACCTAAAACCTTCCCTAACTAAACGTATACGCCAGATATGGAAACATCAGTCTTAAAAATAACAGAAAGTAAAAAAAGAATATCATAGCAATATTACCACGCATGGCCATCTTCGGACTCAAAATCAGCGCCGGAGTCCCAGTCCTCATCGCCACTAATTTCGGGATCGAGAAAATCTTTCTCGTTGAATTGGTTTTCGTTAGGTCGTTGATTGTCAATGCGGATCGTGAAATGATCGCACATTCCCTGGATATTATCCCGATCAACAAGTTGGTTGTCAGTATGAGAGTTAGATGAGGTGAGCTCGTCTAAGTCGGTATCTTCAGGAACTTTTTGATGTGCTATGCGGCTGCTGTGCCGCTTGGGGGTGCGTGATTCACTGTCCACAGTGCTCGGACGGGCTAAGGCTTCTGAAGTCGGAGCACATTGAACAGGCGCCAATGGGCGTTTTCGCAGAGAACGAAAGCTTGGATCGGGCGGAGGGCTACGCCGCAAGAATACTTTCTTGAAACGGTCTTCCCATTTCTTTCGGAATTGAGCACGATCCCGCCATTCAATGGCGAGAATGGCACTGATGTCTACCCGCCGCAGATCTTTCAATTTGGGCGCAGTCTCCACAAGAGACATGAAGAACATTTCCGCCACATCTAACTTCCAGTGTCGAAGCTGATACAGCTCAATCTCTTGTATAGTCTCAGGCCAGGTTGGATGTTGATTGCGAAAGATCAGCTGTTTAAAATGGGGGTCGAGGTCATGGTAGCTTGAAGCGTCATACATCGAAATATCTACCTTGAATCTTTCCAGTCGTGAACAGCAAATACCAAGATGGGGCATAAACTCCAGATTCATGTGGCGATTGTGCATAAGGGTCAGATCAAGAAGCTGTCCTCCGTGAACTTTGAGGAGTTCGGTGACGTTACTGGCCAACAGTCGATCGCAGTTGGAAATTGTCAATGAGCGGAGCGTGGGTGGCATTTGTTCTAAAATGCTACCTGTCAAAATGCTGCACTCGTGGAACTCAAGACGCTCTATGTCTGGTAACGCCTTGAGAGTGGTGGCAACAGCGATTTCCTTGCCAGTAGTGTCCTCTCTATCATAATCAAGGAGATGAACAAGCCGAATGTCTTTGACTCCTTGGAATGAAGCACCTGTATGTTTTTCCAGCATGAGAGGAAGTAACGATGCCGTGTCAAGAAAGCGACCGTTCCACTCCCAACTGCGAAGTTTGACTCCACTTTGTTCAAGTGTCGAAAAAAGAGATTGTGAGTAGCTCCATTTTGCCTGGGTAAGAGCCACTCGCGGTAGCCCCAACACAACATCATCGGGATGGTATATGCGTAAGGTGTGAAGTCGGGGGGTTTTCCGTAACAATTGGAATAAATCGAAGTAGCCGAGCGTCGGGCCACTTTTCAGAGTAAGAACTGTCTCAGCATCGATGTAAAGCTCTCTGATCTTCCCGGCGTAGTTTATGTATTGGGAGTCCGGTGGCATCGAAAGGAGGTTCAGGAGACCATGCCCATCATATGCGGAAAACACCGGAGGCCGATAATAAAGAGCTGCAAGAGCTGCTTCCGAGAATCCACGACACAGAGCAGCGATACCTAGCAGATTGTTGGCAGACTTCGTCTCCGGCGTTTTGCCAGGCGTTTTTTTTGCCGCCTGGTTTTTGGGGTCGTCGAGGGGGTAGAAAGCTAGGAGGAATATTTCAATCAGGATGTGATATGGCAGCGTTTGCCAGGGGGGTATAACGCCAGAGCCAAAGAAGAACGATTCTTCTGGTTGGGCTTTGGTTCGCTTTTTCAGTGGCTGCCCTGATGCCTTCAACCTTGATCGTGGTCGTTTATTTGCAGTGGACCGGGAGGATCCTGCACGTCGAGTTGGCTTTGAAGTATGTGAAATAATTGGGGAAATGCCAGCAAATTGTTCCGCAGCTGGAAGCCCAGTGACAGTTGCTGTGTCGTTCAACACGTCATCATCCGATAACGCCTCCAGACTTTCATCGGTGGACTTCTCTCGATATGATCGGCGTGTTTTAGGGGTGCTTCGCGGGCGCAAGGAAAGTGGATCACGTCGAGGGGCATTCCCTTCCTGGTCCCACTCGTCCGAAGTGGTCTCCTCATGATATGACGAAACCTGAGTTCGATTGTGACGAACGGGCCGAGACGAGCGGGCGGGCGCCATGGTGGGCTAACGCAGGGCTGAATCAAGAAATGTTAGTCCTGCATGTTCCGAGCGGTCGCGACCAGCTTGGTAAGGCGAAAGGAATGCTGGGATGAGAGAAGTAGGAAGGAGGTTGTAACGCCATCTTCAAATCGATGCGCAGGAGCGATCGGCGTTATCGATAAGCAGGTCCAGGACGCTATACCCAATATAGATTAGCGTGACATGTGATATGGACTTTTGCACTTGAAACTGCTTCAAGCAGTCCATGCTTCCGCGTGATACATGTACCTATGCCATTACGTCCCTTAATACTTTGTTCATGGCTTCACAAAGCTCATCTGGTATGCCCATGATCATCAATTCAGAGACATATCCAGGGGGAAATATTTGACTCCCAACATTTGAAGCTGGGAGTATATTGTGCAATTAAACTGTAAGTTCCCCAAACGGAAAAATAAAACCAACCATGACACCTGTGAGCTTGGACAATCAACTTGAACCGCGATTTTGTAAACACGGAGTTAATTTCATCTCCATTCAAAAGACGCTAGTGCAGCATGTGACCAAGTGAGGCACCAACCCCCGCCCTAAGGCAACAGCGCTATACCCAATCAAGATGCACTAGATGCGCCCAAAATAGAACTCAGCTTGAGCTTGAAAGCGCTTCCAGCCACCTCGAGGGGTTTCCTCGTGGGAGGTTATTGCTTCCCTCAGCTCTGTGGACGGGATTACTGCTTGCCATATATTCTCGAATTCTTTGCCCTAGGTCACGAGGAACATCCGATCGATGCGACCCGTCTGGAGACCCCATAATCGCTGGCCTCCACTTATTGCTGTCGTTTGGCCCGCACTTGAGTTGGGGCCTTGGAATTCAAGGCTGGCTCCCATTCCAACTCGATGGAAACTACCTTCCCCGTCATGATGGATTCAACAGACCGTCCAACCCGAAGTGAAATCGGTGCATCGCCGATGGTTGTTCAGCAATATGCGCGATACCCGCAGACGCTAGAATCGTCACTCCGCAGTGCCTCATCATTAGGGAGTGCGCGCAGCCAGGCGGAAGCCCACAAATCGCCTTCTTTGCATCGTAAGGGAACCCCCAGAAGCGTACAGTCTTCTCCGAGGGGAATGAGATCTGCTATCCCCGCATCAGCTGTGCGCTCAGGGCCGTCAATGTCACCACCTGTGTTTGATGCCCTGCGTCATGCGCCGATGAAAGATGCAACCGACCAAGCAGAGTCCCGAGTCCTACCATCGCGCGATATCACTGATGACAATATTGATGACGCATATGTATTGTTTATCTTCTACTGCAATCCCAATGTCCCCTCTTCCGTTGACAGCTCTGAGCTTCGAAAGACATTTCGCTGTCCTCCGCGCAGCGATGGCAAAAGCTTTAGCGTCTTTAAGTTATATGAATTGATTCGAAAACTTGATAACAAGGAGCTTAAAACATGGATCCAGCTGGCAATTGAGCTTGGCGTCGAACCTCCGTCAATGGAAAAAAAGCAGAGTACACAGAAAGTCCAGCAATATGCCGTTCGACTCAAGGTAGGCTGAAACTATCGCCTTTACATGTTTTGTGACTGACAGAATACAGCGCTGGATGCGTGCTATGCATGTCGATGCATTCTTCGAGTATTGTCTTGGGCATCCCCATGCATACTACACCCAGTTACCGCCCTCTGGTCCGTTCGTCAGTGAATCCCGTGATGGAGTGCCATTAGAGGAGGACCTTGCTCTTCGAGCTCTTGTTCCTCAATGGAAGCCCAAGAGGGGCAGAAAAAGAGCCGACGAAAGGGAGCTTGATGAGGAAAAAGCGACCAAAAGACCATCATTAGATACTTCGGTAGGAAGCCTACCGCCAGGTGGCTTTCAAAACCACTCCGTCATTTTTCCACACAGTGCTATACCCTTCAGCGCCTTTCCTGAAGATGATCCGTGGATGACAGCAAATTCCTCATTTCCACAACCTGGTACATCGGAACAACAAGGTCAGGATTTACGTTGGCGGCTTCCAGATCGAGAGACATCACCAGCAGGCTATCCCCAATCCGCAATTCTTCCACGAGGTCACCAGCCAGATATTATCATGTCGGCCGAGCCGCGTTCTGCCGTGACGCCATCATCCGGAGAGAAAACTCGTGCCAAGCGCAAACATGGCCCCGCAGTCTCATCCGCCTGGCCAACTAGTAATAGCTCATCCAATGGCAAAAGTCGAGGCAGACCTCCCAATAAACCGTCATCTGGTTCCTTCAATACATTTCAACTCCAGCCAAGCAGAGAGTCCTCACAAGTACCACCGATTTCCGTTTCTCAATCATCTCCACTTGTAGTGGATCAAAACGGCACGCCAAGCACCGCGCCAACATCATCCTATAATCAATTATCAACGCCTGCAACCCAAGGCAGGCCAGGGAAGCTTCAACTCCAAGTTCCACAGCACATGGGCGCCCCTGTACGACTTGCCACGCCCCCAACATTACTAGTCAATGGCGTCAATGGGGGAGTCACTTCTCAGCATACAGAATCCCATGCCGAACCTCAAGTTCATCCGCAAGCTCATTCCTCGGCACTTCCCCAAACTCACCCTCCAGCTCACTCCCAAATACCTTCTCAGACTAGTCCCCAAATGCCCAATCAGCCTCAGCCTCAAGCTCATTCTCAGCCACATCATCAAGCTCATCCCCATTCTCATCCCCACGCCCCTTACCATGCTGATCACAGAGGTCTCGGTGAACCTGGTCCCACTGTGGATCAGAGGACTACAACAAGCGCTCCAAAGATACCGTTCGACGAAATCATCCGCGCTCTTTCAAGTGAGCTGCTAGTAGCGCGCGTGATGAGACCCACGCCACTAAGCTCCGAGGAGGCTCACACACTGGCTGCCATGATGGTATTCAATTCATCTGCCCAGTATTCAAAACTACCAATTGAGCTACATTCCTACCTCCTGGCCTATAATCTCGGTGTGGGGCACTACTTTGGATTTTCGGCGCCTCGGCAGGTACCCATGGTTGTTCATATTGAACACCCGACCCCGGATGCGGATGATCAGGCCTCGGGCCCAAAAGAGCCTCGATACAGTGTCTCATTTGATCACAACCCCACTGGTAATTTCTCAACCCATACAGCTATTGGAAACATCAATCCTGCGATTGCTTTTGTTGGGCCACCACCCCAACCGCCTGCTCCGCCTCCCGATGCTCTAAGGAAGATCTCTGAGAATGACGATCTGTCAAACATTGACATGGGGGATGATGACGTTGATCATGCCGCCTCTGATGCTACCTGGAAGCAACGATTTATGAAACTTCGATCTCAAATGCAGAGGAAGGATCGTGCTCTGTCACAGTACAAGCGTAAAATTGTTGAATCAGTTATGGCTGATATTTGATCATCGGTTCGCATCGTTGATAATACACTCCTGTTAGCCACAGGTGCTCCTGCTTCATTTTATAAGACGATACCCCACAATAGCATTTCATGGATTTTTTGGGTTTTTAAGGAGTCGATTTATTGGATCAATTTGGACTCGGTGTCTCCACATTCAGCGATACAAAGGAAGCTTCCAGTCGACATGTAACCTAACAAAGAAGAATCATCTATTTCCTAGATTGCATGATAAATAACTGGCTTGGGTAGGTATAAACATGTCCCGCACTGCGTACAATCTCACGGCTATTAAGTACCGTTTTTCTCACTATCCCCGCAAATGTGCCAACATCCTCAATTATCTATCAATTTCTCAGCCTTTGGAATATATTTAATTCATCAAAGATGAAGGAATGGCATTAGAATACCATGCCAATCCAGAAGGCATATCCTTTTATGTGTTTCTTTTCACTTTGAGACGTCAAGCCAATTACATTCCCCAGGACAACGAGATTTTAGATCTAGACAATACCGGCGCACACAAAGCAGCGTAAGTCGAGCTATATGCCACCTGTATGATGAATTCTTGCCGGTTACCTATTCCCCATACGTTGGCCAGAGACCATCAGAGAGCACGTGATGGCTCACGTAGAGCCAGGAAATGGGGTCATTCTGTTTCACTTAGTCATTGTTTGCATATCAGAGCTACCTTTGAAATGGGTGTCGAGTGGTGAAGTTGGATCTCGACGTGACAGACGTTGAGGGTCGACAACTACATAGAAGGTAGACAACATTCCACACTGAAAATCAACTAGAAAATGCTAGGCACCTTCATTAAATTATCTGATGCTTTCAATTGTGGTATAATTGAAATGAAAGTTTACACACAGCTAAGCTATAAAAGCAGGTTTCGCCACGGGGTTTCTTTCTTTCCTTCCTTCCCCCCACGGCTCTCTCATTCTATGCCTTCGCATGAGTACCCGTTAAAATTGTATGCCAACATTCCAACCTTTCATACTTATCGTGCCTAAGACGCACCAACCACTATGCCTATTCAATGGGACCGCGAGGCAGACGCAAAGGTAGTTGTTCAATTATTGTACTTTAGACCCAATCAGAATCATTTGCTCACTTTTCTACCAGCTCATTACGGCGTTAGCCACAACTGGCATACCCGATTTTGAAGCTGTCGCTCAAGCGATGGGCGAAGGTAAGCTGCCTTGATATCCCGTCAGTTTCCTGTATTGAAAATTCCACAGGAGTCACTGTATCTGCGATAAAGCATCGCTTGGTTCGAATCCGAGATGCAGCTGGGATTCCATCTGCTCGTGAGGCCAAGAAAAAAGACAATTCCAGCATCGCCAACCCAAGCACCTTTACTGAGCTCCACACTTCCGCCAAAGCCAAGTCCCCTGATAATGGTCACTCATTCAAGTCCACTTTCACCACCGCCAACAATAAGCGCCGTAGGCTGAAGAACCCTGCCTCTACCGGTCTTGTTCCCGCGGGAAAGGGTATGAAAGCCAAGCCTGGTGCATGTACAGCGTCTTCTGTTGCCCGTTCCTGGAGTAGAAAGACTGTTCTGCAGTCTCCTATACCTGAGGATGAGAGTGATGAGTGCAGTCAAAAAATTGAAGAGAAGGATACTGAGTTACGAGGATATGATAGCTGCTGATACATGTAGATATGATATCGTCACTCTCGCGCGGCAATCTGCCAGCGGCATCTGCCTATTATCTTTGGTTTTTTAATCATCTTTTTGTTTGTTTCTGGGTCTTTGTTGTGGATCTCCTGGTCACCTATATTTAGAAAGTAACGGCCCTCGATGGCAGACCATAGACCCATGATTGTATTGATTTTGTTCCGCGGGCATTAGGCAGGTTTCTATATTTATCGGTTAGGAAATAATTGAAACTTGTTTTTCTCTTATATTGTAGAATTTATAGAGGCTTTGGTGAAATATTTCTCTTGGAAGGGCTTGGATGGACTAGAATACTCCGAGAATTTTCACGTTTTGGATATTTTAGTGACTCCAAAGCGGTTTCATAAAGCTTGAGATAAATTTACTCAACACATCACTGTAGAACAATTCTAAGTAGTCACAGCAGACTAGGGAAGAAAAGGTCTCACGCCCAGAAATCTCCGCTATGGTGCTGGAGAGCACCGGAAACTCCGGTCCGGATCCTAGCACCTCTATGAGAATTGAATATACTCCCTAATTCCCAGCCAGACTTTCATGATCAATTCGAGATGAACGCATAAATTGCCCATAGACAGTATGTGATTTGTAGATCCTCTAGCCAGGCTCGAACATTTCGGCCATTCAAATGCACCTACCGATGGATCAGTTGGCAAGCACTCGTGCACAAGAATCCCCAATTCCACTGAAGGTCTCTATGGCCTTAAACAGATCCATTCATTTATGAAACCACAACGTCTTCTATTAAAGGAATTTTACTATTTTATGACTTTGACAGATTTTATAGTTGATGCATGTTACTTGTTTATGACTGATGAACACGATTGGTTTTGACTGACAGTCATCGATTGGATTCAACTGCCGAGAGAAAGTAAAAGCGAAACAGCCTTCGCTATTAAAATTGTGTTGAATGAAAATACCATTGCTTTACATCACTAGCGGACTATCCAGGTGGTCAATATCAAAGGGATGAATCCTTTGAGTAAACGCTACAGTGGTGATATTGGCTCCTTGATAACCAATGCCCACGGCGTTGCTTATAGTCCCATCGTCCAACTGTTCCAGTCATGAAAATAGCAGATCATAGACACCTGCACGAATGAAAAGCTTGGATTCTACGTCCTGACAACAAATACAAGAGGGAAGAAGTATAGCAGCCCAGACAAGGGTCTAGAGTGATTACAGAGCGCTGAAAGTACTATGGCTGATTCCAGACACTACAAAACCCGGGAAGGCTCATTCAATCGGCTATCAATGGTACTCTGTGATTCAACCCCTGATATGAGGATACATAACAAGAGATACATAGCCTTAACACATGAAAATATGCCTCTCGTTCACACAGAGCCTTCCAACCGCTACCCCGCTCAGTCCTGCCATAGCTTCATTCTCAAATCTCAGACACAGTCCGCAGCACTCCCATTCTTACCGATATCAATGCTTAGTTGGAGCAGCTATCCCAGTAGCCTAGGCGAGGTCAGACTCGTTATCTGGATCTTCACGTGCGGATCGATCGGCGTCCGAGCTGAGATCGTTTCTTGGAGTTGAGTCTTCAAGTAGACTGTTCTGCAAATCCTCGTGCAGGAAAACGCTTGCTTTGCTCTTGGTCATCCGCGCAGGTTTCTTCGATGGTTTGCTCTCGCTTGTGCCGAGACTGCGCTTGCAAGGATGCTTGGTGATGACCGGAAGGGCCGAGTCAGTGTCACCTGCGCTCGTGTGATCAGGAACGACGGAAGCCTTGGTCTTGGCCTTCATCGACTTGATCCTGGCAATTTGCTCTCTGATTGCACGCGCACTGGGGCTTCCACTCTCCTGAGCTATGTAATTTACCATTAGTTAAGAACGTTAAAGCACGGCAAAATATCAGGTGTCAGAAATCAAGATAAAACTTACGCCACGCATCTGAGATCAACTGTGCATCTACCTTGATGCTATGCGTCTCGATGAGCTTAGTGAGCAGCTGGTATCATCTTTGTGTCAGTAAAGGTTATCATGAGTCCCGCAATGCTGCTTTTATAAGTACATCGGAGGATTCTCAAGACAAGATATTAGACAACCGCAGGGAAGAGCACCTACAATAGCATTGTCATGCTCGTCCCACTTCATGTTCAGCCGAGATGCCTTAGCCAGTTTGGCAGGTTTCTTTTCAGGAGAAGACATCTTGGTGATGGTGAAGTTGTCGATGAAGAGTGAGATAGTAAGGTTGATGCTAGAAGGACGAAAGTAGGATGGGTGTATGAGAGTAGAAAGTGTGAGATTAAGAATTTGAAATAGTGGGACTAAGAGCTTGAAGAGGTGAGATTAGCCATGGAAGAAGGATGAAGCAATATCGGAGAGGTACATGGAGGTTAGGATTTTGAGAGCGTTGATAGAAGTTGCCCTTATGTTGTGGAAAGCCATAAACTACAAGCTATGAATTTGAAGCAGGTCTTCAACGCTTCTTCTATTGCCTCTATTGTAAAGGCCAAACTCGCGGAGTAAGCCACTATACAATGCTGGGTTACTCATTGTAGAGATTTGGTTGCAAAAACATGAGTACTTCTTAACTTCTGGCCTTCGTATGATGCACGTGACCGCCAAACCCTACCCTTGGTGCTAATGCCTTTTAGCAAACAGCAGATACGGCCTATATCGCCAGGAATATTTCTACATTTTGAACATTTTGAATTTTTAGTTTCTCCTCTTTTGACTGACAGTAATGTGCATGCATTAATTACGGCTCTCTGCTTGAAATGGCTGATGTGAAACGGGAGGTCGCCTTCATGGAGACAACTCTCGACAAAGAAAATTATCTACCTGGATTGTCTAGCTCAAGCTTCCCTTATAAAGAAATCGTATCAAACCTGGTATTAACATTCATAATTATGATTATCGTTGAGTCTAAGAAGGACTGCATTATGTAATAATTGCAGGCATGAAGGATGTAAAGAACGGATGCAGGGATTCGAAATAGCATATCAGGGCCAGTCACCCTGAGCTTGGAGATAGAGATTGAGAAGTGAGTTACAATTGAGAGCCAAAGGGGTCTCTCGTGCCCTGTGAATGATTGTTGCCTAAATTCCTTTTTGTTTATCATGATTTAGGAAGATAGACGGTTTTCCAACGGTCCTTATTGGGGGTAGTTAAATATGGAAAAATATTTCACTAGAGAAGACCCATTCCAGGTATGTAAATCGGGAACTAATCTAAAAGCTCTGGAGTGTGCACAATTGCTAATGCTCCCAAAATCAAACGCGCAAACCAAATGCAATCACCATAGTTTTCCGGTGTTGCGTAACTCAAAGAGGAGGTCGGGTCCTCAGTTGGGCAAGCGGTCTTCGAACCTTTCCATTGACCCGGCGATCTGCATCATAAGAAGACTGAAAGTCTGTTCGATGGCACGCCGGTGATCGAGGTTGTCGTCATCAAGGGCGTCGTTGATGTATTGGATTTTTCGTTCCACATCCTTCATCGCCCCAGCAACTGACCTGCAGAACTCCTTTCGTTTGGCCATTACTTCAGAGATAGTCCTTTGGGTGCGGCGTCGTACAGTTGGGCCCAAATGGTCGGGGAGATCTTCGGCGTCAGCTTCTGGTTGGGTTGCTTCATTGTTGGTCGCTTGCATGTTGCTCTCATTTTGTTCTTGGGAAGAAGAAGAGGCACAGTTACCAGCCTCAGAAGCTGCTGGCGAAGGGATTGATGGCCGTTCCAGGCATGCTGGGCGATTCTCCGCTTCCCACTTGGCCATACAGCGGCGACAAGCTTGCCAGCCATAATTGCGGTGGACCTGAGATTGAAAAACGCGGGATGCTTGCATCCAGAAACTCTTTGGCTGCTGAGAGAAAGTCCCCCAGTGAGGTAAATCATGGCAGACCTGAATAAGGGCATATTTCTCGTCCTCAGTAAGTTGTCGGCCATGACCGGGGGCGTCTGGTGGACGACCCTGGAACTCGTAAGGCGGGCGGGCAGAGAAGGTATGAAAAGCCATAGCTGGAATAAATAAAAGAGTTCCTTCTCTTTGTATGATAAAAGTTAAGAAATGTGGAGGATGGTGAACAGAACCTTGGGGTGTGGAGATAGATGAGCGGTTATCCCAAAGGGGACTAGCTCCCGCGGTGGCGGTGTTTCCGCTGAGCTAGTGCGCTGTTCAAAGCAGTGAATTTCACGTAGACAAAAAGCAACGCTGCCGATTCTATGTACATACTACTCAGAAGTGAAGCGAGATGAGGGGGTTGTCAAAATAAGCGTGTTCAAGGTTTGTTTTTCCGCTCCTAGCGTCCGCTGGCGCTTATCTCTCCGCCTCAAGCTCCAAAGCGCACACTATACGGTGATATTCCAGCGGCAACATTCACGCCTCCCAATGGGACGAGCAAAACAATCGTCTCAGCAAGCAATTTGAAGGCTCAATTTCCGCTACTAGCATTCGCTGGCGCTTGTTTGAACCAAACCATACACTATGCCCCAGTCGAGGACATTATCTCTCGGATAACGAAACATCGACTTCACCACTTCGCGGAAGTCTCTGAAGAGTAAAAATGTGTCTTTTTCAAATGCACTAAGAAATTTGGAACTGATCGAATGTTGTTTATCTAGGTACCGCCGCCGAAAAGTTCTCGATTCTGGAAACATGACCCCAAGAGATCGACCGAGCAATTGACAGCATCATCGACTATGCTATCAGCAGTTTTAGCATGACACAAAAATATTTTTTTAACGGGGAATCCGTTGGATTCTATCTCACATACGCGAACATGTGTAAATCGTTGAAAGGAGAGATACTCGACAGGATTCTGGTTGTCAGCAAGGAGAGCCTTGTTCGACAAGACCATGTATTTCTGGAGGTTCTGTGAGACAACCTCTAGGTATGTTTATTGGTCGAGCTCCACTGAGTTCTATTGATGCCATCTTGTCCCTTGTCTGGATGCTTCCCTTTGTCAACATCTTCATTGTGCTGATCGACGACTTATCTCACACACGGCTGTGGGACTTGTCAAGGAAAACATCAAAGCCAGAGGTGATGCCTCGATTCGCAAGGATAATACCAAGCAGCATGGTTCCTCTAAGCCTACAATACTTGAAAGGCACTCGAGCTTGATAATGGTCTCTCCACGGTGGGACCCGCACAGGGTATGAAGGAGTCAAACATCAAATCGGCAAGGAAACTATTAAGCAGCACGGCGACTGGAGCCCACACCACTTTTTTTACAAGATACAGGGAGGATCGAAATCAGTTCCACCACTTACGCACAGAGATTCTTTCTCAAACCCTCTTTCGAAACCCCACTATACCTGATATAGTTACTCTACCCCTGACCCCTTTCTTGGCGGTATTCCAGTTCAGTTGTAAATAACAAAATAAAAATAGCTTCGGTATTAAGCTTGTATAGTCTGATCTTCTACAACGTTACAGCCGCAAGCAAGGTAAACAGATGGAAAATATTGAGCGAACATCTGGGGCTGGCTGGGTATTGGGGGTTGCACGTGACATGGCGATCTGGGGATTCATAGAGCATGATGGCCCCTCTGCCCCTCTCAAATCTGCGGGCCGCAAAAAGATAAGGTAGTTAAAGACTACCGTATGACGTTTTCGATTATTGCAACCACGAAGTCACGAAGTGAATCATTTCGATTCCATACTGTACTATGCGTTTCAAATCAGTGGGAAGCAGTAGCACTTTCAGGTAATGAGGTCCAAATGTGTTTCTATGGGAATTTTGGGCTGGTTATCGCAGGCTGCGATTGATCTGACTAGGCTAAAAGCCATAAATAATTTCCTGGATTAGCGCGGTAGAGTCACCTAATGATGAGGCTGAGGCCATGCCCCTCATTCAACTCATAAGACTCTAAGGTCTTTACAGTATCTTGAAAAGCACAAGAGGCGTTTAAGTTTACCATGGCATCAATATCATTCGGTGACAATAACTATGCATTGCAAATAGGAGAAAACCATGGGCCAATCCACGCGGAAATCCATCCGCCTCTAGGTAAGCCAAAAGCCAGATATGAAGATCCACTAACTAACTAATCATCTTCTCAGAGCGACCGGAGACCCCACCCAGCCCACTCTCAACTATCCCATTCCTGCGCGATATAGACTTTGTGAGCCGCGACAAGCCCCTTCACCAGATACACGAGAAAAATGCAGTACCAGGCTCGAGAATAGCGCTAGTCGGTCTCGGCAGTGTCGGGTAAGTGCAGAGCGATCATTCTATATTTTATAATCATTTTATATTTTGTTTCTCACAACTAGAAGGAAATCGCAACTGGCTATTAAATACTCTTATCGCATTCGGGCCGAATCGCCGGCAACGTGGGTTTTCTAGGTCCATGCGAGTAACGAAGCGCGGTTTAAGCAAAGTTTGCGGGATATCGCAGACCGGCTAAAGATCCCAGGTCATCTAGATCCCACAGTGAATATATTTAAATTGGTTAAAAGCTGGCTACGGGATAAGAAGAAAGGAGAATGGGTCTGTATTCTAGATAATGCCGACGACTATGAGTTTCTCTATTCGCTTCTAGTAGTTGATAAGGGAGCTCCAGCGAAACCACTTTTAGAATATATCCCAAAAAGCCGAAATGGGTCTCTTATAATTATAACTCGGAGCAGAGAGGCTGCGCTAAAGATGGTCGCTCATAAGGATTTAATTAAAGTTAAACCGATGAAAAAATCCAAGGCGCTAGAGCTTCTCCAAAAGAAGCTTAAATAGCCGGAGGAAGACCAAGATAGTGAGAACTTAGTGGAGGAGCTCGAGCTTATGCCGCTGGCGATCGTCCAGGTAGCTAGCTATATTCGAAATCGAGCTCCTCGCTGTTTGGTATCACAATATCTTAAAGACTTCCAAGCAAGTGACCGCGAAGCGACTAAGCTCCTTAAGAGAGAAGCAAACTACCTAGATCGGGACTGGGAAGCGAAGAACTCAATTCTAGTGACCTAGCAAATATCGTTCAATTATATTAGTCGCCAAAAGGCATCTACGGCGGAACTACTTTCTCTTATGAGCTTCTTCGATCGGCAAGGGATACCAGAGAATCTTATTCGGCCCCACTTTAAGGCCAGCGGCATCTCTACTTCAGAACTCTTTAACAGCTCTACTAATGGAGAAACAAGTGAATCTGATATAGGACCCGATTTTAAAGATGATATTACAATGCTAAGGGACTATTCATTTATATCTACCAGCGAGACCGGGACTTTCTTCACGATGCATCGACTAGTGCAACTAACTACACGTGCATAGCTCAAGTCTCATAAGAAAATAGACCAGTAGGGGGAGAAATTTATTAGTATTTTATACCAAGAAGTTCCCACCAGTCAATACGAAAATTGGGAGAGGTGCCGGTCGCTGTTTCCTCACATTCGATCAGCAATATCTCAACAACCAAAGTCGGAGGATTCTCTATTACAATAGGCCACAATCCTTTATAGAGGTGCGTGGTATACATTAGAAAGCGGGAATATCGAAGATGTAAGGGCAATGGCTTCGAAATCAAAAAAGCAACGAGCGGAATTATTAGGTGGCGAGGCTAAAGAGGTCCTTACAAGTACAGCGATGTTAGCAGAAGCATACTCACTTAAGGGCCAGTGGGAGGAGGCCAAGAAGCTCAAGGTGCAGGTCCTAGAGACTCGCAAGACGAAGCTCGGCGCGGACCATCCGGACACGCTAACGAGTATAGCCAATCTCGCGTCGACATTATGGAATCAGGGCCAGTGGGAGGAGGCCGAGAAGCTCGAGGTACAGGTCCTAGAGACTCGCAAGACAAAGCTCGGCGCGGACCATCCAGACACGCTAACGAGTATGGCCAATCTCGCGTCGACATTATGGAATCAGGGCCGGTGGGAGGAGGCCGAGAAGCTCGGGGTGCAGGTCTTAGAGACTCGCAAGACGAAACTCGGCGCGGACCATCCTTCCACGCTGACAAGTATGGCCAATCTCGCGTTGACATTATGGAATCAGGGCCGGTGGGAGGAGGCCGAGAAGCTCGACATGCAGGTCCTGGAGACTCGCAAGACGAAACTCGGCGCGGACCATCCAGAAACGCTAACGAGTATTGCCAATCTCGCGTCGACATATGGGAATCAGGGCCGGTGGGAGGAGGCCGAGAAGCTCGAGGTGCAGGTCCTGGAGACGAGTAAGATAAAGCTTGGCGTGGACCATCCTTCCACGCTGATAAGTATGGCCAATCTCGCGTCCACATACAGGAATCAGGGCTGGTGGGATAAGGCTGAGAAGCTCGAGGTACAGGTCCTAGAGACGAGCAAGACGAAACTCGGCGCGGATCATCCAGACACGCTAACGAGTATAGCCAATCTCGCGTCGACATTATGGAATCAGGGCCGGTGGGAGGAGGCCGAGAAGCTCGAGGTGCAGGTCGTGGAGACTCGCAGGACGAAACTCGGCGCGGACCATCCTTTCACGCTGACGAGTATAGCCAATCTCGCGTCGACATTATGGAATCAGGGCCGGTGGGAGGAGGCCGAGAAGCTCGAGGTGCAGGTCCTAGAGACGAGCAAGACGAAACTCAGCGCGGACCATCCTTCCACGCTAACGAGTATGGCCAATCTCGCGTCGATATATGGGAATCAGGGCTGGTGGGATAAGGCTAAGAAGCTCGAGGTACAGGTCCTAGAGACGAGCAAGACGAAACTCGGCGCGGATCATCCAGACACGCTGACGAGTATGGCCAATCTCGCGTCGACATTATAGAATCAGGGCCGGTGGGAGGAGGCCAAGAAGCTCGAGGTGCAGGTCGTGGAGACTCGCAGGACGAAACTCGGCGCGGACCATCCTTTCACGCTAACGAGTATAGCCAATCTCGCGTCGACATTATGGAATCAGGGCCGGTGGGAGGAGGCCGAGAAGCTCGAGGTGCAGGTCTTGGAGACTCGTAAGACGAAACTCGGCGCGAACCATCCTTCCACGCTGACGAGTATGGCCAACCTCGCGTTCACCTGGAAATCTTCAGGTCGCAGTGCCGACGCCGTCGAATTGTTACGCACATGTTCAGTGAAGCAGGAACAAATACTAGGGCCGAACCACCCGGACACTTTATCTAATTCTGGAACATTGCTGGAATGGGAAACGGAGGCGCTGAATGTCGATGCCTAAGTGGGGTAAACGCTTGAATACAATATGTATATGTTTACATGACAATGTATATTCTATTTACTAATTTCTCGAATTAATTCGCCAGTATACCTCATTATACTACGGACCGAGGGAAAGGGCTTCACCTCAGAGCTATGGCGGGTATTGTTACCGAGGGTGACGACAGTAAGGTCACACGAGCGAGCTAATGAACAACGTCATGGACGTATTAATGGTAATAGTATTTCATGATATTTATGAAATCCAGTCTTCCATGATACTGTCTTTCGATACGATTTAGCGATTTCGATCCATCCTGTACTCAATCCCAAAAATATTTTTTTACAACGCAAGAGTGTGATATAACCGGAAGAACAGTAAGAACACATCCAGAGAATCACGTCAAATACCACTACTGGAGGAAGTACAATTTCTCATTCCAAGACTTCTATCATTCTTCTCTATTGCAAGATTTCTACCACCCGTTGAAACATATCAGTACTGATTCCATATGCAAGAAGATTAAACTTTAAGCAGCAGCACGCATCAAACAAGTCCCAAGAGCCACATGTCGCTCGGAGTTTTTCTTCTTCCCTTATCTACCACCTGGGCACCTCCCAAGGTCAAGCTTCACCGGCGTTATCTCTAGTCTCTTCGACAAATACGTGTGAATGTCACCTCCAAGGGGAAGATCGGGTATACGCAGTCATCGGTTTCTACCTTTCCAACGAGCACGAATACTTGCTCATGTATCTATCTCCAGAGTAGGTTGATTATATTCAAGAAAGACTATCCAAGTCTGTAAAGACACATGGATATCTCTCTCGTATGAACCCAGATCGATTGATGTTTAGTTTATGTCGTAACTCGTTATATGCAAAAGGCGTCATGTATATACAGCTTGACGCAGTTGAAGAGATAAACAGAAGGCATAGCCAGGTCTATGGAATCTGCTCGGGGGGAAGAAAATAAAGATACTGATAAGCGGAGCCCAGCTCTAGAGCTTAATGACAAAGCTGAATCCATTGAGCGACGATATCTTCCATGTCATGAGCGATTCCCCATTGCGACGAAAGACAACGAAAAAGCTTTTGAATGGAATTGAGCTCGTACAGAAGATTCCGAACAGCACCACCGGTGAAGACGGGAGGTATTCCTTGGTCCGTTGCGACAAAACGCCGTGTTTCTGAGCCAGAAGGGGGTCGTATATCATCATGACCAAGGTGAAGGTCTGAGTGAGATAGCAAGGCATCCTGCCAAACGATGTTTCGTGGAAGATTCACCGTAGCTACCCCAGCAAGAGTAAACACAACATAAATCGTAGCAGCAGCAAACAGGGAGCTTGGCATATGCACCACATGGGCACGACCACGAGGCAACTGCTCGATGATGTCTTGAATAGCGACGGCATGCAGAACTGCTCGCTTTGCGTCCTCAGTGTTGGCCCATTTTATGAGGTCGAATCCGGCCCGGGTTGTTCGACAACCACCAGAGACATGCTGTGGTATATCATAACGTGAACAGACATGACGAGATAAAACTGTTGAGTTGATCATTGTATCTAGGCAGACGGTATGCCAGCGCAAAAGAATCTCCAGTCTCTCGGCGGCAGAGAAGTGCAGACTCATAGAGATGGTCTCGTGAACTTGAGCCAAGGCCCTGCGTACATCGGACTGGCCGGGAACGCCCACCGCTAGATCATGATCATCACTGTCGGAAACCAAGGACTGAAGACCTTCCAACACAACCCGAAGAGCGAAGGCGGAAAATTGGTAATCAAGGGCCCTGAAGTTACCGACCGGTGGGAATAAGGATCGGAAGACAACCCGAAAAGAGGATTGATCGGGCTTTTGTGAGTGCATGTGTGCCAACCACTCGTCAGGGCTGCTCGCATCGAAAGCAGGCTCACTACTAGGAAGAATCAGAGAATTCGAGACATGTCGAGCCGATGCTCCGTCACCAGACATCTGGGCTACAAGACCATCAAGCACGTAGTATGCGAGCAGAGCCCGCTGCTGTATTTCCCGCGCAGCCCATATCCGCCACTGGTGCTCCTTTTCGGCAGCAGGAGCATCATTGGAAGGCAGATTCTCCATCGAGTAGGGCTCACTGTCATACATCCCACAATGTCGAGCCCAGAAGAAGCCCAACGGACGGAAAACTTGGCTTGTGGTTCGAATTGCACGATTCCTGGACAGTGCTCCGTATATTTGACCGAGTAGTGCAGTGATCATCAACTGCACGCCCTTACAGGTGTCGTAAGGGCCGTTGTGTGTGATCAGAGATTGCCATGAGGTGGCGACAGCGGTATGTGCAAGCCTCCATAAAGCTTCTCCTTTTGCAACCGCATCACTTGGGCCAAGATACAAGGATCCTATGGCGATGGCATTGAGCAGTAGAGCATGGGTGCATTCTCGAAATACAAAGGTTGCTCGGTGTAGTATAGGGAATGTTGGAATAAAACGGACAAAGAACATGTGCAGACACTCGTCTAGGAAGACGGATGTGATGGACGAGGCTTTGACGGCAGCGGTAACGCTTGAGGACTAGTATCATCATTAGCAGCCCCTTGTGTCGGTAGATCTACGGCCGAGACTTGGGCTTTGTTGCCTATTTCAAGGGGCTAAGAAACCTACCGAGCTATTGATCATTTCCGTTACATCGCGCACCGCCTGGTGTCCACCACCAGAGGGAATAGCGCCGACCGATGAACTGCGATCGTCAAATGAATTGGGCGATCCAAAGTTCATCCCATTAATATCCTGTACGACGGGCGGGAATGGCAATGTCCCCAACGGCATCTGCCATTGATCGGTGGTGTCTGCAGACATAAGACTCTGAAATAGATTCTCCGAGTCTGGCCAGACCAAAGCGAAATCCATATCGGATGCGACATTGTGCATGCCCGGATGATGCACAGATTGGGATTCATCCCAAGACCGACTAGTGGCAGAAGTAGAAGCTGGGCCCGTTGGGGATGCGCTACTGGATTCCCAGGAAGCCATTGAATCTAAAGATGCCGATGGAGGAACTCCGGCTGAATGTGGCCCATCCTTTGCGTTCATATCACGCTGATGCAACTTCTCATGCCGAGTAAGGGCATCTTGGCGGGCGAACGGCCGGTGACACTCCTTACAGACATAAGGCTTAGATCCGGTGTCTGTATAGTTAGTTCCGGTCAGCCGACGGAGTCTTTCGGAATCAAAGAGATAATCAAAGGCATCATCGGCATAACAATGACAAGAATAGAACTATGCACGAAAAGCGGAATGGAAGTAAGCACTTACGGCACCGCTCATGTCTCTAAAGCGGTGTTAGTTCTGTTTTTGCCTCTTGGTATCTATTCGGGGAGCTGCCCCTCAAATTCGTGGGGACGAGGGGACACTTACTCTAAGATGTTCGGCCTTGGTAAATCCTTTTTGACACACACGACACACCAGTTTCTTTACCCCTGTAGGCGTCGGTGGTACCGTCATGATCTCCATTGACGCCATATGACTTTACCTTGGGGCTGAAGAGAGAGTGTGGGAGGACAAAGTGGTGAAGGGAAGAGAAAGTGGTGGTGTGGGGAATTGTGGGGATGTGGCACTATCTACTTCCCTTTGCGCTTTCTCTCTCCGCGCAATTGAAAACCGGGGCGTGGGGGATTACGAGTCCCTTCCCAATCCCTTACACCGGAAATGGTTTATTGAGGATGGACTGGGAAAAATATGGGGCCCATCAATCTGTTTGGCTCCCATCGGAAATAATAGCCACAGGGTTGAGAAACATGAGCGTGGCTCCAAGCCATCCAAGTGTGTGGCTCCAATGATCCTCTCAAATTCGCCCCCTTTGACACAATTCCCTATCTAACTACCGTGTTGTTTTCCCTCCTGGGTCACTGGGCCACAAAGGGCCAATAGTCAGTTCCACCAACCGTGGGTGCCGAGGCTGGGTTCCTCCCCAGACAGAAAGAAATCGCCAACTTTGGAAAGTCTGGAGAATCCTTTATGGGGAAACGTGCGGCCAAGACCCTCCACCCGTCACGGTTCGGTAATTAATCGGCGTGAGCATGCCGCATGACCAGCAAAAGGCTTTATCGGCTAGCCGTTCTCAAGTGCCAGACTGTTCGATGACTAATCTTTATGACATGGAAAGCCGTACCAACTCGCTCCTGACTCGCCGATGCCGATGGAAGGAATCCACTCGGTGGACCGTGGAGACCCTCCGCATTTCTCTCTAGGCGAGCCGAGCCCGGCAAAGAATACCCCAGGCCGTATCTCCGGACATGGCGTACTTAGCGTCGTTATGCACACTCACCGGGCCTGTTCTCGGCACGCCACATAGCCCTTAGGTTCAAGCTTTTTCGCCTCGTCCAACGGCATACGCGTGAAATTCCCCTCCAGATTAATCAGTCATCCAATCTGCCTTTCGGCTCCTTCTTCTCTTCCAAGCCCTTCTAGCACACTTGTACTCGTAGTTTTTTCCACCCATTTCCCTATACCACGGCCTCCCCAAGATCACCCCATACTATCTAGTTCAGCAACATCTGAAGCATCCCCAGGCATCTCTACTGGGATTGTTCCCTTTTCTCCCTCGACCGGTGTCGCCACAATGACATCCTTTGAGTTACACGCAGGTTCTTCTCGGGCAGAACAGTTCGAGGAGAACCCGGGCTCTAAGACCGATATTGACCTCGTGGAGAGTGCTGGTGCTGGTCAAGCCGCCACCTACGAAGAGTCAGTGGCAGCGCGTCTTCCAAAAGCCCATCGCGATTATTTGCTCGCACGCCATGGCACATTGGAACTTGATCCAATCCCTGGCATGGGTTCAGCCGACCCGTACAATTGGCCTGAATGGAAGGTGAGTTGCATCCCTTGAAAGCCGTTCCCCCCGGAATGACCGGGGAGGGCTGGACACATGCGAAAAAGAGCCAGAAGCTAATGCAGAAACATGTAGAAATTGGCAAACCTCATCCTTGTAGCTTTCCACGCTTGCATGGGTACATTTACAGCTGCTGCCATTATTCCCGCCTATTCCGTGATCGCCGAAGAACTCGAAATTTCTCTCACCACTGCGAGTTATTTGACTTCTCTGCAGATTGCGATCTTGGGAGGTGCTCCGTTCTTCTGGAAGCCTCTTTCCAACCGCTATGGACGCCGACCGATTTTCCTTTTGTCCCTTATTTGCAGTTTAGTGTGTAACATTGGTTGTGCCAAAAGCACCACCTATGCATCGCTCGCCGCCTGCCGGGCCCTGGTGGCCTTTTTCATCTCGCCGGCCTCGGCAATTGGCAGTGCAGTGGTCATGGAGACAACCTTCAAGAAGGATCGAGCTCGTTATATGGGTATTTGGACGCTCATGATCACCCTTGGTGTACCGGTCGGACCACTCATCTTCGGATTTGTCACCTACCGGGCCGGTTATGGGTGGATTTACTGGATCCTAGCTATGGTAAGTGATCATTCCTGCGTTAGTCAGACGTATCATGTTCGCTGACTGGTACCAAAAAAAAAAATCAATAGATCAATGGTGGACAGTTCATTTTGTATCTTTTCTTTGGACCTGAAACTCGTTACCTAGGTGGCGGTATCGATCAAAGTGAGTCGAACTGGAAGCGAGAGTACTTCTCACTCCGCCGAATTGATCCGACGCCAATGACATGGTACGAATTTGTTCGTCCATTGACCATGGCCCGCCACCCGTCCATTCTCATTCCCACCTGTGCGTATGCAATGATTTTCTTGTTCGGTAGTATTTTGGCAACCGTCGAGGTGCCACAGCTGTTGCAGAGCAAGTTCGACCTGAACACCGAGCAGCTTGGCCTCCAGTTCCTAGGTGTCATTATCGGATCCTTGATCGGTGAGCAGCTTGGTGGTATCATGTCTGATCAGTGGATGACCCGTGGTGCCCGTCGCCTCGATCGCAAGCCCCAGCCGGAATACCGGTTATGGCTAAGCTACTTTGGCTTCGGTCTGACCATAATTGGTGTCATTGTCTTCTTGGTCTGTACCGAGACTTCCGCCAGCGGTCACTGGAATGTGTCACCCATCATTGGCACGGCCATTGGTGCTGTTGGCAACCAGCTAGTCACCACCGTAATGATCACTTATGCCATCGACTGTTTCCCTCAAGAGGCCGCCAGCATTGGTGTGTTCATCACCTTTGTGCGCCAAACATGGGGTTTCATCGGACCATTCTGGTGAGTTTCCTCCATACATGTCCCTTTCCATCCTGCATTGTACTAATTCCCACCCAGGTTCCCATCCATGTTCGAGAATGTTGGAGTAGCACCCGCCGCTGGAATTGCTTGCGCAATGATCGTTGTCGTTAGTGTAATTCCGACCATTTTCTTGCACATTCGTGGAAGGAAGATGCGTCACGAAGAGTAGATCGGCGAAGATGACACCTCGTTGGGCTTTCCGTTTTTTCTCGTTTTGATAACATGATGGTCACCTCTCAGTTGATTTTGCGAGTATGTTTTGATGAGTTAGGTATAAACATAGAATTGGCATTGGGACGCCTTAGATTGGATGGACTCGGCTTGGAAGGATATTTTTCGTGACCTATGCCTGTATATAGATAGATGCATGAGCAAGCAATATCCAAACTTTCAACTGAATGAATAGATTTTCAATATGAACCTTGAAACCCGATGGATTGTCCCATCTTTTTGTCAAAGACTGAGCCCCGTTCACTGAGGCATAGATCTGTTCAGGAGTGTAGGTATAGACCAACGAAGGCCTCAGAAAACAGCTCGGAAGAAGTAGTCGTCCATTCCACTGGCAGCACCCCTGAACGGAAAGGAAAGGAGGGAACAATTACATCAAAAAGAAAGAACTGAATGGGATAAAAAAAAAGAAAAACACTCAGTAGCACCATGAAAGCTACTGCATAAACAAAAAGCCGCAGTCAGTCTTAACATGTAGGCCGACCGGGACAGGCCGGTGCTCCATCCCGAAAATGGCCCGTAGCGCCAATGAAACCATCGGCCCCTGACCTAGGCCCTCCATCATGCGATTGTCGGCTTCCAACTTCGGAGCTATTCATTCTGTTTTCTCCCGGGCATCACTGCCGTTATTAGAATCGTTGAGCTCTATAATGTAATTTACTCCACACTCTTAATCACCGACGGCAATTAAGGATACCTAAAGGCAGCAGGTATACGGATACTGAAAACCACCGGTATGCCGAAAAAGCCCACCCAAAATTAAAATGACTCAAGGTCACATTGCATCTGAGTGATTTAGTACCCATTTTCCGCTTTTACATACTGATAGGCAGACCATATTCCTAAAAAGCTCGAACTAACAGCGACCGTTCCTGTTGGTTTGCTCTTGGGGTTGCTTCGAATCATGCAGCCAAGATGCCGAGCATGGGCCGAAGATGCAGCGGGTGTGACTTATTCCGCGGGCGGGGAATGTTATAACCACTCGTTCCGAGCTTGATTGCTGGAAAGATCCCGTATTTTCATGTTGACGACTTCGATATACTATGGCTTGCTTACTTGCTAAACGGCTCTTGGACCTATATTGTGCAGTTCTGGTTAGCTTCAAAATTAAAAGCCCTATATTTAGTGGACGGGAAATTGTGACCGGCCCAAATGCTTGAAATAAAACCCGCGGATGTGGTCAATGGCAAATTCGGAATCTATAGCTCCATTTGAGATGATATGCTGCGATGAACAGCCTTAGAATCCCTGGTGAAACCTTGGAAGCCCTACGTACGCTAAAGACGGTGCCCAAAATATATCCTTGGTTATCCATCCCGGTGGGCATGGTTCGAAGCAATAATCAGATAGGCACATTTGTGTATTAACATTCCAATGAGCAGTGTTCAATGAATGGACTCGCCAAATAGGTCATGTAGCTTTAAATATACGATTTTATGTAAGAGCTGTTAACGAATCAGCTACCCACTTTTCAGCATAACAGGTGACGGCCTCGGGAAGAGCCTTGCAGCCTTTTACCTGAAAGGTGGGGCTCTCCACTCTTATAGACAGGGAGGCAACACTCGCATGTACCTATATTTAGTATTAAGAATATGGATGGACCAGCTTTGCGGTGATCTACCATCTCTTTACGATAGCTCTTGATCGAATGGCACTCAGGGTTGAGAATGGAACACTGATTTGCAATAATTTGCTTTTTCCCTGTCTGTATTCTATCAAGCAATTTTAGGTCACTAGATTATCGAATCCGACGTGTTACTTTCCAGATCGAAGACCAAAAAGAACGACGATGCCGTTTCAGACTACGGAGGTCTTGAGCCACCATCCTCTTCCGCAAAGTTCCAATGGCTATAGACCGAGCTGCAGGAGGCATAGAAAAGTATCGCAAGGCTGTATACTCACACAAAATATTAGTATTCAAATTTGCAAGTACAAGGGGTGAATGAAGATCACTTCTATATAGAATCTTGGTTCATAGTAAGTACAAAAAGGTGCTATGTTCCTCATTGCTCTTAAGTACTACATGATTATATTATAAGCTGTGGGTGTGGGTGTGGAAGAGTCTCTACAATAGTGTCCTTTAACCCAAATTTGCGTCCCAATAAGCTATGACATATTTGCGAAATAAGTTATACCCGGAGGATCAACATCCCCGCATCCAAGACGCGGAGTGCAGGCTGAACGTCGGTGGTTGTGATTTATTCCGGTGCGGAAGAAATCATATCCCACAACCATTTTTGTGATTGGAAGACCGACTTATAAGAATGGCACCGATGAAGTCGGTGACTAAGTTACTTACCAGTTGACTTAATTGACTCAGTTGGATTTAAAATTAGCTAATGCTGATGATCAGTTGCAGCTGATCCATATGCAAGATGGAAGTACGTTAGTAGGTGGCCATTTCCAGTGATCTACATGCATACCTACTGCATATACCGTTGTGTGCTGACAGGTGTCAGAACTCTATGTCTGTTCTAGAAGTCTCATGTGCATATTTTAGGTATCTACCTGCATATAGATATATACAATGCCAAGGTTATTCCTCCTCGGGTCATTTTCTCATAAATATTTATTTATAGAGTCGTCATTGATCACTGGTGCTCGATCTTGTTGATCAAGGTGCCAACGTGAGGAAGCAGCTCGACGGCGAAGTCATCGCCAGCCTTAATGAACTGCTTAGGGTTCTTGGCAGCACCGACGCCGGGAGGAGTGCCAGTCAGAATGATGGTGCCCGCACGCAGAGTAGTGCCTTGGCTAAGGAAGGCGATAAGCTGGGGAACGGTGAAGATCAAATCACTATGACTGTATTTAGCTTTTGTACTTGATGGGTTAGATTTGTAAATACGTACGTGAGAGGGCAGTCTTGCATGACATCTCCGTTTTTGAGGCCGCGAATGTGCAGCTTGCTAACATCGGGGATAAGCTTGGAGGAGACGAGAGTGGGTCCTGATTGTGAGGTTAGCATAAGATCTTCTATAGTCTCTAAACGTAACGAGGAGGACTAAGTAAGGGGATCATCATACCAATGGGACATGAGCCATCGAAGCCCTTGGAGAAACACCACTGGCTCTGGTTCATCTGGTAAGTACGGCTGGAAACATCGTTGGCAGCAGTGTAGCCGAGAACGTAGTCAAGGGCCTCAGACTCAGGCACATCCTTCGCGTCACGGCCAATGACAATAACCATCTCAGACTCGTAATCACCAGTGTTGTCGGTCTGTGTGATCTTGGGCAGAATAGTAGGAGCGGGATAAGGATCCGCCAGAGCAGCAGAAGGCTTGATGAACAGAGTAGGCACATCTGGGATAGGCAAGGACATCTCCTTAGCGTGCGAAGTATACTATCCGCCATGTTAGAATGCAATCTTTCGCAGTGACTTTTCAGGAAACACTTACGTTCAGGCCCACGCAGCGGATAGATCCAACCTCTTGCTCTGCGAGGGGGGAGAGCAGACGCTCAATAACCTCAGTGGCGGTAGTGACTGTACCAGGGCTCAAAACAGACGTGCCGGTGAAAGGGCGCACGGAGACTTCCTGGCCCTTGTACAGAGCCAAACCCACATCGAGCTCAGCGTCAACAGGCTCTCCGATGAGAACCTTGGAGGGGTCCGACTTGGGAACGAAGCGCACAAGGCCTGGGAGGGTCAGTTTCAACCGTCAATGCCATGGAAACAGATTTGACTCACGCGAGAAGGTAGATGCAATGTCAGACATGGTGGAAAAATGTGTAGGAATGTAGAATTGCTGAGGGGAAGTTACAACAGGAAGCTTGCGACTCTTGTACTCGCTCTTATCGGGCCGATAAAGCGGAGTAAATCTAAGCCGCCTGGATAAGCCGGACCAAAATGTGGGGAGCCGGTGGCAACGAGGGGTGAGACGCGAATGGAATAAATACCCCGCGATATCACAATTTGAAAGTCCTTCTTTTATTCCGTATCGAAACTCATACACAATGTCTGCTCCCAAGGGTCCCTTCCGTCTCGTGACCGTCAACACTGCCCCCGAGCGCGCCAAGCGTCTCATCGGCCGCGTCGCCGATATCCTCAAGGACCGCTACGAGATTATTCACGTTGACAACTGCGACTGTGAGTACGATGCCAATTCTACACAAGTCAATTGGAATTCTTTTAACTGACTTTACATTCCCTAGCTATCGATCAGGTCGAGGCCAAGGTCAAGGAGCACCAGCCCAACGTTCTGGTACGTTCCAGATTCCCCGGGTTATCCGAGAAATTTCGGCAGCTTACATTGGTTTCCCTATAGTTCAGCGCTTCCATGTGGACCGACGAGCAGGCCAAGCAGATCCACGAGATTGCCAGGTCCATTGTCCCCGATATCAAGCTCCACGCCATCCCCGAAGGCCTACAGGTCAAGTACGGCCCCGACGCTATCGTCGATTACCTTGTCGAGAAGGTCCCTGTGCTGCTGGACAGCTAGATCATGATCGCATGAATTTCATGTATATATTTCTGCGCAATGAAACTGTAGCATTTTTCATAACGCAATCGCTTTGTAAATTCTCTTTGCGGATGAGCCGGTGTTGCTGTCTAGCCACAATCTCCCCACGTCCCACATCTGCGCCGAGCCGATATCGGGACTCCCCCACATTCCTAGATGCGCAACACAAGTGTAGGAGGTAGGTCTGTTGATGTATCTTACTCCCAAGGATCAGTCTTTGAACGCTCAAACGCAATCTTGGTCGCTTCATCAATATCTTCTGTTGGCAAGTCCAGCAATGAATTCAAAGTTCCCTTTTGTTCGATATTCCCCGCACCGTCCTGATAGAAGACACGAGTATAAAGCATCTTGGCAAATCCAATCCGACTGCCCTCCTTCATTTCTTCGAGGCCTTTCGCCCATCGCTCAACCGCTGGTTCCTTCGAAATAGTCCAATCCGATTCTTTGGTTCCAGTGACACGAAGAGCAGATTCCAACATGTCTTTCTGGCTAACTGTGAAGGATTTAATGTATACGACTTGATTCTTGAAGTTCTCGAGACATGCGTTCTGGTTCGAACCCTCAGGTTTGATAGGCAGGCTGAGCAGAGCGGCAACCGCGCGGCCAACCTGGGGCCAAGTGGAGGTGGTAATCTTTGTCTCGCCGTCGTCGAAGAAAGTTGCCGTGTGATTGATCAGATCAATTCCGAAGGCGGATGGAATGGCAAGACTCCATTCGTACCAGAAGCCAGTGGACACACTGATAAAGTTGCATTGGCCGAGCTCCAGAATAGCCTTCCGAAGGGCAGCTGATATCAAGGCAAACATTAGCATGATTCTTTGGTCATTTAATTCCCAGGCCAGTTACCCTTGGGCTTGAATATCATTATATCATCGTTCATGGCTTCGTTCGTTGTATCGGGAGACCAGTCGTTCGGCAGTACCCATTTCACGCCGGCCTCGCCCGCAGCCTTGATGAGCTGCAGCTCAGTCCCTTGTGGGGCCTGACCATTTAGGGTAATTACTAAAGCATCCTGGCCGTTGAGTGCTTCCACAATTGTCTCGGGCTTGCTGTAGTCAATTTCCTTGGGTATGACACCAGCTGGGAGCGTTTTCAGGCTTCCGGATCGTGCCAGGGCTGTAATGGTGTGTTTTCCTGTCTTAAGGAGGGCATCGGTCATGAAGCGGGCACTATTACCCGTAGCCTAAACACATTGATCAGTATGCGATTGACGAAAGGGAAATGATGGACCATAAACTCTATATATCGAGTATTTTCAGGTTACTTGGGGTAGTTGGGAGGGGTAGTTGGGAGAGTACAGGCGAGTGTGAGAGGAGAGAGAAGACATATGAGGGTGGGATATGAGTAAATAGGCGATAGAGATGATTGTTGGATGCCATCTCATCAGAGCACATTGAAAAAAAGAGTATAACATACCCCAACGATCGCGACCTTCGTGATGTAGTTCGACATTATCCTGGAAATTATGCTTGCTGCCTCGAGAACCTCAGTAGGAAAGAGAAGTCTTTCTCAGCCACAGAAATAAAACTGGGATTGATATTTTGCTAGAAGTTAAGATAGGTATTTATAGCTTGAGGTTCAGGGTCTGAGCCAAGACTTGACTCCGTCAGTAGACGGACTTAAGGGGCGGACATAACCCCAACCATCAACGCTCAGCGCGGAATTAAAAACGATCGCCCCGAATCTATCTTGTGACAATTGAAGATGCCATTCCTCGGCGCGAATGAAAGTATGTGTATCGTTAAGTACAAATTGTCTTCTCATGGGTGAAGGATCATAATCAACTGTCTCACCATTCGAATTCCTAGAGTATGATCTTAGAAGTGTCCTCACATAAAGAGCACAGCAGCAAAACTCACCTCAGTGTGCAGCGTAATTGGTGGACCATTATCGAAGACTTTCTGGAATGATACTTCTCGCGTTTCCTCGAGAAGTTTAATTGGCCCACAAGCCCCTACTCCAACTTGACATTGCGGAAGGCACCGAGATATTCTGTTCGCAACCAAATCCGCTATGTTGGGCCTTCCTCTCCGGATGAGAGACATATATTCAAATGAGCCCATGGTCTCCTGCTTGCCGTTCTTGATGTCACCGACCGGTACTGTTGGCCCACTGGAACTATCGTCGGTCGTATCGTCCTGCGACACGTGGATGAACATATTGACAAACTGACTATCTTGGAGTTCTCTCAGCTCATCCTGAAACCACTTGAGGGAACCTATGCTAAAATTCTAGTCAAATGCCCCACAAGGCTCGCACTGTCATCAAGTTAACTTACTCGTATATCTCACGGTCCAAATAAAATCAATCGACTTGGTCATATTTGCTGCCGCACATTGCCTTATCAAATCGACCGCAATAGCAAAATTGAAGGAAGCACCACTGCCACCCGCAACAAGGATGATTTTCTCAAAGTCCATGAAGTTAGGAACCTGTCCATATTCTCCGTCCACAGAGCATCGCACAACACAAGCGGGCCGCTCGTGAGCAAGTTTGTAGAGATCATGAGTATACCCATCATATTGACGAATTAGAAACCCAACAGGGTCTGTAGAGATCATCGTGAACGGGTGAGTCTCCAAAATTTGGACGGATGGCATCCACAAGAAAGCATGAGAACCAGGACTACAACTCATTCCGCGCCGAAGCCTGACTCGGACAGCCCCGTCTTGCATCGGGATAAGAGTAGCGTTGTTGCCGAAGAAGTTACAAGCAAGTTTAAAAGGCCGTAGGAATCGATCGGAAACCCACATGCACGCTATAAAGATAATAATACCCAGCGTGGATGTCGCAAGGTCCGGTCGATGCATTCCGACAAGAATGACAATAACTATGAAAATTACGACATGTATAATATAAAATGCTGTAGAGGACGATCAGATATGGTGGCTGTCGCTCATGACCGCAGGGGCTTACCTTCGTAATACCGGCGGGCAAACCAGCTAATAGTGGACAACCCGATGATCACCATCAATAGTCCAGCAAGTGCACCACTGAGATCCTCTCTTTCCCTGATCAGCATCAAATATCCAGTCTCGGCCCCCTCTTTCAGGTAGAGTATACCATGCACGACACTGCTGACTATACAAGTGTACCCGGTGATTTTGTGGAGGGGGCGGAGCTTCTCGTAGGATTGACCAGATAAGGGCGCGAGAGGCGTATTACGGAGGGCAAGGAATACCAGCAACACAAAGTTTGCCACAGAGATCCTGATCAAATGTTAATAAAGTGTAAGGTGAGGGTCGGAATGAAGTTGACATGCCAGCCCATGCGTTTAGCGACCTATAAGCAAAGTTAGATAATTATTACTGAAGTTTCAAGTTTGAACGAACCTCTCCTAAATCTGTCAACTCAAGTCTTGTCAATACCAGTATCAAATCGATGGCCCAGTATGTCAAATAAAGGAGCCATCTGTTCAGAGACTTTCCCAACACGACAGCATTCAAACCTCATCGTACAGCCCTACATGCTGTCAGTTCTGCTCGTTCCCGGTTTTTTCAAGACTTGCCTATGAGTTCTTATCGTTAGGACCAATAGCTTCCCGGGCTCTTTTGGTCCATATTTTCTGAATGCCACATTGCCCCAATGAGAGACAATGAACAAGACCATAAATGACCCCATGGAAACGGCAAAATATTTATCTGTCCATACATTGTTTGTGTGACTGATAGCCTCCGTAGCCTCCATATCGGGGGATAAAATCAGGTGAACGGTCGAATGATGAATCAATGAGATCAATGAAGGAAACGAAGGAAATGAAGGAAATGAAGGAAATGAAGGAAACAAAAAGACAGAATTTCTGAAGAACTCGTGCTGATCAGAACCAAGGGGATGCCATTTTTTATTTATCACCAACCGTTGTGGGTACAACACATAACACACGGATGGAACTCATAAACAGGAAAAGACACAATACGCCCCCGTTAATCAAAGTAATTGGGTCACTTGCACTACCCAGCAGCGACCAGTGTGACAAACAAAAAAGGGACATCTTCGCCTGAGCATATTCGCAGTGCAAAGAAGTGGAGAAGCATGATGCCAATCTAATCTGATAATGGAACTAAAGTTCGCACTAACCACCTTGTGCCGCGTAGCGCGGAAAGATCAACCCGATGAACACCAACCTGCCTTGTTAGAAAAGAAGACCCGGAACTAAGCAACTGGAGCGTGACTCTTTGCCTAATATGGCCCACATTTATACGGGCCCGCGAGACGTTTCCCAGGTACGAGGTCAGCGAGGCTCCAGGTCTTATGGGATGCGCGGTGGAGTATCCTAGTGGAAAAGAAAAATCTGATTGCTACACCAATTTGAAATTTGGCCCCCAATGGGTATCTCCAGGTCGAAGAAAGTCCCCGCAACTGTGTGGAGGGTGCCGAGGGCCCACGGGTGGTGGGTGGCCAGATTGATATTCATTTTCCGTGTTAAAAGCACAACCTTGGAAATTGGAAGTTGTGCATGACGATCTCTCTCATTGCATCATTTCAAGTTCCAGAATACAAAGCTATTTCCTAGCATATGATAATCGCTCGGAAAGAAAAAAGAAAAGCAAATACGGGATTGGCCGGAGATTTCGAGTGATCGGGCATCAGATAACTGAAAGAAACCGGATCCCTAACTTTTGAAACATAGCCACCACCCCACCGAGACCAATTTGATTCTTCTATACGATACAGCCGCCTTTTGCGAACGCTTTCTAGGGTTAATCTCACATTGAAATGCTCAACCACGGTTGGGATTGCACTTGAACCTTTTCAATCTGCCAAGGCGTGCTGACTCTGACTTTTATTGTAACAAGCTCTGCTTGGCACAGGGCCTGAGCGGTGTTTATCAGAGCTGAGGAAAGGTTTCCGTCGGCCTGTTACTTACTGTTACTTGGATGGAAACTTCGATCCGTGTTTGTGGAACAGATACCCAATTGCCGAGGTCCAATTGCCGGGAGGGTGCAATTTGGTCTGCGTTTACTGACGGACGGGAGCAGAAAGGGAAGCCGTTGAAGTCCCACCGCGAAGGACAGATACCATGAAGATAGCAATGCACGAACAGAATCTTTGGTATTATTATATGCTTGGGCCGATTGAAGGGGCCAGTGTCCAGCTGCAGACACAAAGGGAGTGATATCGAAATTCGGAGGGGCTGATCTCTGCCCATGGGGATGTGCATGTTCATCAAACGACGGACCCACAAGAAGAGAAGGATCAGCCATTTCTCGGAGGCTATCGGGAAAGAAGCAGAAGTATGGCATCAGAGGTCGGTTTAAAGACGCATAAATAAATGAAAATTTTTTTATTGCAATGTGGCGGTCTAGGGTAGTCCCTGGAAAAACAAAAACGCTGATGAATCCCTTGCCTGAACGCCTGTAAATGATATAAATCGGTCATTTATTATCCCGAGCTGCTAGCCGAGGATACCTTCTCCTTGTCTGCTGCAAGTTGTCTTCCAGGTTTGATCAAGAGTAGAACTGCCGGCAATTGAGCGGCTGCGAAACCAATCATGACTATCAATTGGGTACGATAACTCTCAGCAAAAACACTCTTTACCTCATCCTGCAGATGTGGAGACAAGCTTTTCACAGTTGTCACGTTCTCCAGGAATAGATGGAGTTCATGTGATGTCAGAAGACCTTTCAAATGATGCGCAAGGCGGCCGTTTAGGATGTTGGATGCAATGGCGAGGCCAATGGCACCGCCAAGGAAGCGAAGTTGGACGATAGTGCCAGTGGCAATTGCTGCGAACAATATTTTAGTAAGTCTATTCCTAATGTCTCATTCCTGTCAGTCGTCCAAGTGACACGTACCGAGATCTCTGTCTTCGACAATATAAGGTGTTGATAGAAGCAATACACCTAGTGTAATACCAATGCCGGCGCCAGCAATAATCTCATACCCAATGTCCGTCGCATGGAAACCCCTCGACCGGGTAATTGTAGATAGAAGCCCAACACCGACGGTGTGGATGATGCATCCCACTAGTAGGGAATAAAAGAATGGAATGCGCCCCTTGGAGCTAGCGACATTGACGATAGCGGCTGCAACAGCCGCAACGGCGGAATATGCAATCAGAATGACACCGGATTCGAGAGGTGACTTCCCCAGAAGAATTTGTGCTTGCTGTGGAACATAAACCAGAACGACATTCCACGGTGCACCGGTGACAAATGAGGACCTGGGTCATTTGTCAGGACATGATATGGCATTGAGTTTAGCAAATGCGGACTTACAGTAGAATGCCCATCCATGGGCGGTCACAGAGCCACCTTATCGGAAAAATCGGGTCTGCACCAGATACACTGGATAGGTACCACTCCCATACAAAGAAGGCAATCCAAGAGACGCCCGTCAGGACGAGAAGAGCTATTGAAGCTCTCGAGTCCCACGAAAAAGCAAGATTGGCTTCATTCAAGACCGTCACGATCAAGAATGAGCCAGCGATCATCAGAAATGAACCCACAAAATCTAAGTTGGCAAAGGATCGATACGATGCCCGCGTTCGGAATGAAGGAGTGTGTTGGTCAAGACCGAAGTGTTTCGGCATCGCGACCATGATAATAAGGATTGCAATTGCGCACAAAGGAGCGCTGATTCTAGTTAGCAAATTAATTAACCATATAAACGTAATCATTCCACATACTTTATGAGAAATACCCATCGCCAGGCTGCGTGCTGTGCTAGGACTCCTCCGATGATAGGTCCGAGTAAAGCTGCAACCGCTATGCAGAATGACATGACACCGCTGTATGTCGGAAGTTTCGTTTTTGGGGCAATTTCATACATGCAAAGAATAGCCAGGGCATATGCACCAGCGCCTCCTATCCCCTGCAGTGCACGAAATATGATGCTATACCGAAGAGTTAGATCCATCCGCGTATCGAAGTCCAGGCATTGTATATCTCACAGTTGATTGACTGTCTGAGCGCACCCGCATCCAATTGAGAATGCAAGCAGGATGAGAAGAGACGCAATAGTCGCTAACTTTCGCCCAATTATATCGCTGATTTTGGTCCATATCGCCATAAACCCTGTGTAGGTGGCCAGGTATCCTGTGATAATCCAACTTCGTTTTTCAAATCCATTCAGGCTATCGGTGATATCGGTAAGGGACGAGCTAACAATCGTGACGTCTAAGTTGGAAAGAAAGAACCCAATCAAGAGGCTGCCATATTAACATAAGTAAGCATGTCTGTCACTCAACAACCCAGATTCAACCCCCTATAAGCAAATACCTACCCAAAGGTAGTGAGGCCGAGTCTCCATCCCGTGGGGTAAACAATCTCACTCCCTGGTGAAAGAGATCTCTGTGCCGACCCCTTTTCCGCATTCTCCCTACCTCGACTCGAGGGCCCATACTGCTTTTTCTTCGAAATCGGCTCCGCAAACTGAATTCGGTTAGCCATGGTCGCTATACAGATCTCTCAACGATCCTGGTCTCTTCAAGGGTAAAGGAGTGGTGTAGCAACCATGGTCGCTGGAAAAGAAAAGAAGGAAAATTTCGAAAGTGACCACTCACTGCGTATGACCGAGCCCCGCGTATATTTACCCCAGGGGCTTCATGTGGAACGCGGGCGACGCGCGATGACAGAATGTGGAATCTGTATGCCAAGGCAGTGATCGTCGCTGATCATTGAAGCTAGCGCTTGGATTGAATGTCTTGGCGCAAATCCGTCTTGGAGGCTAGACCTTTTTCTGGGGTCTCCGCGTCCCCAAAATTGAAAAGCTCAGCCTCTTATCGCCTTCTTAGTGGAGTATCGTTGCTGCTATTTGCGCCCCTTATCTTCTTCGGGCTGGGGAAATGGGGAGAAAAGGGGGTGCGTCATTCCTTCAACCAAGGGGACTTAAGACATTTCCAACAATGGCTTTGCGCGCTTTTTTAGCGATTGACTGAGCCAGCTTCCTCCTTGCTCTTGGCGATTTTACCCCTGTGTCAAGAGATAAGGCGTGAGCTTGATTTCATTATTCATGTCGTCAAGTAAGGGCTATGCTTTGGCATTAGCCGTTTTGGGTAATACGTTGCCTCCACAGCGTTGTTACATCAATAATGGTAGCGCTTAAAGATTAGCTTGCCTAATCTTTACTGCCTAATCTGTACCGGGTAAAGAGAAAGCCGGAGAATTCAATTTTCAAGCCAGTCATACGGAGTGCACTATTGAAATCTGCCGGGAGCATCGAAATCCCCATGCGCGCCGTTTGACATAAAAAGTGGATACCCGCGTATCATCCCTTTCACCATCCAGCATGACAGGAAACACCGTGTATGATGGCATTTGGCTGTGACGTCTTCGTTTGATGAAAAAACAAGGTTTTCTCTACCTATTCAAAAAATAACCTTCAATGATCTCAAAAAGCTCATTGTTCTTTAAAATGAGCTGTGGCCCCTATGCCACCGCACCCATGAATCTAATAGCCATTCCTTCCAGACACAATACCAAAACAAGGCCCATCCTTTTTGAACATCGTCTGCAAATCCCGAGTAATAATTTCAGGGACTTCCCAAGCAGCAAAATGGCCTCCATGGTCATGCTCAGTCTGCAGCGCAATAGGACCAAGCGCAGCAGCCCAAGTACGAGGAACCACCTTGAGCTCACGTGGGAAGTGTACAAGACCCAATTTGACATTAGGTATGTATTCCTGAAGCCTTTCGTAGCTTAAATCCTTGCCAGGGCGACCATGAGAACCTTCATAGTAGACGCGAACACTGGCCTCGGGGCCTGCGACCGAAAACCAATAGATAGATACCCAAGTTAAAATCTCATCCTCGGTCCATGGGTAAGAATCCGACCAATCGTGGAGTTTCTCATAGATCCAGCCTAGTAGCGCAACGGGACTGTCTGCCAATGCTGTGCCGATTGTCTGAGGCTTCGTTCTTTGCAATAGATTGTATCCAAAGCCTTCGCGCTCAAACCATGCAGATCGCTCGAGACCTTGTTTTTCATGGGTACTGTATGGTTGAATGCTGTGTTGGAGAGCTAAAAGTGGATTTGTCGTCCATTTAGGTGGTTGAGCAATGATCATATTCAGGTGAGATGCTTTGCAATGCTCCGGGTATAGAATGCCCATGCTCCTGGTTATCCAATGGCCTAAGTCTCCACCTTGGGTGACTATTCCTGACATTAGTATTTGTAATGATAATACCACTGCTGGTGCTTGGAATGTACCGTATTCGGAATACCCAAGCTTGAGCATCAGTTTGTTAAACGTCTCGGCATACTGGGCCCACCCAAACCCACGCTTGGTGACCGCGGACGAGAATCCGAAGTTGGGCAATGAAGGTGCCACGACATGGAATGCTGGCTGACTGTCATCACCTTGTAGCATTGGCAAAAGTTTTGTCACCTCGATGAAGGATCCTGGCCCTATTTCGAATTTAGGTTTTAGTATCTCCAAACTGCATTCAACCCGTCCGGACCAGATTCTTACACCCGTGGCTGAAGAGCAAGGGAATGGCATTCTTCACAGGGCTAACTTGATGAACGACTAAACACATTTTAGTTCCATATCATCAAGTTCAACGCCCACGCGTGATACTCACAATGGATGTTCAGTGTGCCAAATCCGTCAACTTCAATTTCAGTGTGATATTGAGGAAGTTCATTTAATCGAGCCTCAGCTTTCCTCCAGTCAAAATGATCTTTCCAGTACGCCACCAGTCGCGTCATTTCTTTCGCGGGAACACCAAAATCCCACGAATCTTGCTCTAAAGACTCAAATTGAGTTGCAGGCTTAGCCCAAGCAAGACGTTGCTTGAGCTCCTGGAGAGAGGCGTCTGGCACTGCGACTGTGTAAGGTATTATTGGTTGGGACATTTTGGGCTAGCTGAATAGAACACAAGGCTTGAGTTATCTAGAAATCTTGATTAATGTCAAGCCTGCCAGCTGAACTTCATTGATTTGAGGTGTTTGGGATATGGCTGTTTATATATGATGATGCACAGACCGCCAACCCCGCTGTTCCAGGGTTGGTAATCCCATTACAGGCTGCGGAGTCATTGCAAACCCCTTGAGTGACATGCAGACCTAGAGCTTATAAATACTTACAATCCAACAGACTAGGTGGCGTTCGGACCCTAAGATAGCCGGAAGTCATTGAGTGTTGCATACCTTGGCATCAGGTGGCGAGCATGAATTAGCATGGCGACCCCAATTCGCAACCCGTTGGCCAAAATAGTATACCAAGAGACATTTTTACAGATGAATATATATATTTATATACCGAGTACTAACGAACTTCCTATAAATATATACACCTAGGCAGAAGTCAGATCTGACTGAGGTCTTGGGACGTATGTACTATTTTCGCCATCAATTCTGAAGTAGATACGGATATCAATAACATAGGTACAGAAGAATAGATATTATCAGATGAAAACCGGTAACATATTTAGTTCTTTGCCTTCTCTTTATCTTTCCTCCTCGATTTCTTGTTCTTTTTCTTTGACGATGGGACGGATGGGCCAGAGGGGCCTGAAGGTGGACGCACTGGGGTGCTAGTACCAGTCAAGGCTGGGGAGGCAGTTGAGGTCTCATACTCATCGCCGGAGCCTGTCGAGCCCTTATTATCGTGCTTGCGAATCTTAGGTATCTTCTTTGGTGGCCCAGAGGGGCCAGAGGATGACAGCGCCGGGGTACCATTACCAGTCGCGACCGAGGATTCGTCATCAGAGCCTGTCGACTGTCTAGGGCGCTTCCCATCCTGCTTGCGAACCTTCTGTTTCTTCTTTGATGGCTCAGAGGGGCCAATCGGTAGAAGCAATGGGGTCCTATGACCCGCCACGACTGAGGAGGAAGCTAATGTCCCATGTTCATCGCCAGAGTCTGTCACTTGGTGCGGCTGATTGCTTTCTCGTATTCCAGTAGAATCATTTGAAGGCTCGATGGGGTTTGACGGGCGTGCCAGAGTGGAGCTGCCGCGAATATGTAGCTCCGGTGTCAAAACTCTACCGCTAACCACACCCACTGGGTGAGCAGCTTCACCGTCTTGTAGCCGCCGCGCTTTCTCTGCCAATTCCGCTGACATTTTTTCGAGGCGGCCTAGTTGTTCAGAGTGTTCTGATTCCAATGCTTGTAGCTGATCAAGGACCGCAAATACACTTTCCTGGGCTTCCAGCCGTTTGCGCATCGAATCTATACTCTCCGGGGAACCGAATGCTCCACATATGTTCACAATGTCTTCCACTGGTTCTAGAATTTTCAGTCTACTTGTCCAAGTCTGGAGTTCTTCAAGTGAAGCCTTGAGTGTTTGAAATGCCCCCGCTAGAGCGTAATGGTGTGAATCTTGAGTTTCAGCCCGGGTTTTTGATTCGATAGACAGTTGATCGCATGTGTCGGCCAGTCTTTTGACATCGTCTGAATGATCATCGGCTAGCTCTTGAAAAGCTGTTGACAGCGAATTTGAGCTTTCCTGCAAGTCATTGACATTTTGAAGATTTTTTGATATGCTATCGGAATGCGAAACTTGGACTTGCTCTATATCGTTGATAGAGTCGGTGACCTCCTTCAACTTAGCGGGAATCGACGCAATATTGCTTGACAACTTGTCGACCCGATCCTCAATTGATAAGAATCTGTCGGCGAAGAGCTGGTTAAGCTTTGCCACTTCATTTAATTGACGCTCGAAAGATTGGAGTTGATCCATTGCAGCATCCTTCGCCTTGACCAGTATGCCATCAGGCATTGACGAAACATTTTCATTTAAGTTGTCGATCCGGTCCGCCAAGGATCGAGTGTTAGAGCTGAATTCGGCTTTCAGAGCCTTGACTTCGTCCGTTATCTGGGGCAACGTGGGGTACATCTCACAAATAGCGTGGGTCATCTGTTTGACTAAGCTCTCAGTGTTGATATTTTCGTATCGCATTTCGATGGACCGTAGGGCCACCTTGAAAGAGTCTTGCTTTGACTCGAGCTTTTTCAAATCAGGGGTCAATGAAGTACATGCCTCGGTCCAGACAGCCCCCTGTGCCAGCAAGGCTTTCATACTGGCATCCAATTTCGAGTGAGCAGTCTCAAGGGCCTCAAATCGGCCAGTCCAATTGATTGCCCCTTGAATAGAACTCTGGTCATTGCCTGCAGCTTGTTGAGAGGGTTCGGCCCTTTGGATTTCCAAGTTGCCAAATCTCTTGTTCAGCTCATTAACCGTTGTCTCAATGTCAGTGATCTTGGATTTTAGACCACTGGTTTCAGCATCATTGTTTTTAACGGATGATTCAAGGGTTATGATTGAGGAATATTTCTGCTCGGCGAGGTCAAGACGCGCTTGCAATGACGGTACCTGCGCGACAGTTGCAAGAGATCGCTCTAAGTTGGGGTGGATATTCTCCTTGACCGTGGTCACCTCCCCTGCCAAAGCTGACCACTCCACGGGCATAGACTCTAAGGGTAGTTTTGTTTTCCCCTCTCTGATCTCATTTCGCCAGGTGGAGAGTTCACCGATGTCTTTCAGCATGCGGGAAATTCGAGTGGAATGTTCCACAATAGAGTTTTCAATCTTGGAAGGCATGTTGCTACTAGTCTGCGTTCCCGACTTAGCTTCTTTAAGCCTATTAAGCTCCGCTTCTAGCTTGTTAATCCTCTCAATTTCGATTCCAGAGGGCTCGGGAGATTGCACAGGCTCCACAGGCTCCACAGGTTTGGTTTTAGCCGGAGGTGAGAGAAGGTGCTGATGCTTCACAAACTCAGCGGTAATTTGCTGACATATGGCCTGATGCTGATTCAGAGACTGATTCAGCCTGCTGATATCATTGTCGCTTTTCTCTTTCATTTGCTGGTACATCTCAGCCGTGGCAGGATACATTTTCATAGTCTTCGCCCGATCAACATCTCGCTTATTCTGGGCAGCAATATCCTCCAGGCGCTTCTTCTGATTTTGTTGGTTAAGAAGATTAAAGTGTGACTCGTTGAACTTGGCCAATATCGTCAGGATGTTGCTTGAATCCAGCTCCAGCACGGGGGGATCTTGGGGTCTCAGCCCTCCAGAGCTCCCCGCTTTAGCTAGAGTAATGTCATTGTTGGACTGCGTTTGTGAGGTGCTGGGCGGAGTTGGAAGTGATAGATTTGCGGCCGAGATTGGAATAGGGGTTGAAGATGAACGAGGCAGCGAGGTAATGATAGAAGGACGAGGAGGTTGGTTGGACAAGCGAGGATCAGTTGGACCTGGAGGAGGAGGAGGAGGTGGAAGTGGTGGTGGTAGAGGAGGCGCATCCATATCCATCATGTTGATTGAATACTCCAGGGACGTGTAGTGATTGGTTCATGATATGAAGAATTCACCGAAACATAAATATGCCGGACTAGATAAATCGAGGTGTCATAGGAAGCGAACATGAAGTCTTTTGAGAAAAATGAAATCAAGTTGAATATTGTGTAGGTTTTGGTTATCAAACTGGGGAATGATGTGTGTATGCGAAACTGTGTTGCAACCAACAGGACGTGTCAGGCAACACACGGTGTAGAATGAAGAAAGAAGAGCAGTAACTGAGAAATAGAACAACAAAATATTATGAGCGTATCGATTGCTGGGTTTCCTTGTTTTCTTGGTGTTTCCTTACCGCAAACACGCCAAAATGAAGGTCGCGCTCAGCGCCAAAACTGACGACAAAGAAAAATGTACTGCCGGGCGGTGAACCTAGTTCTTCCCTTCCCAAGGTTGTTTCTTCCGCAGCTTGAGTTTCGCTGCTCAACTGCTCTTTGAACTTCATCCTAAAAGTCAGAAGGAGACCTTGTGGAAAATATTCTTTCATGATGGCTGCTGTAAGTTTCAGTGCTGATTTGGTGCCATTGATCAATGAATTAACTCGATATCCAGCCAATTTCCACCGTCGCAGAGAGCAAGGAGCTCCGAGGACTGAACCTCATCGCGGCCCATTCGCATATTAGAGGCCTTGGAGTGGATGCGGACTCTTTGCAGCCCCGAGGGGCTTCTCAGGGCTTAGTGGGACAGGAAAAGGCTCGCAAGGCCGCTGCGGTGATTCTACAGATGGTGAAGGAAGGCAAGATCGCGGGTCGCGCGGTCCTGATTGCGGGGCCTCCCAGCACCGGAAAGACCGCCATCGCGATGGGCATGGCTCAGTCGCTGGGCTCTGACGTGCCTTTCACGATGCTTGCTTCCTCGGAGATTTTCTCGATGGAAATGTCGAAGACAGAGGCTCTTACCCAGGCTTTCCGCAAGTCCATCGGAGTGCGGATTAAGGAAGAAAGTGAGATCATTGAGGGCGAGGTTGTCGAGATCCAGATCGATCGCAGCGTTACTGGGGTAAGCAGGACCACCGCTCCTCGACCTATCGGTGACTGAATGCTAACGGTTACAGGGAAACAAACAAGGAAAGCTCACGATCAAGACCACCGACATGGAGACGATTTACGACATGGGCACAAAGATGATCGATTCGATGACCAAGGAACGGGTGATGGCTGGAGATGTTATTTCAATTGACAAGTCTTCTGGCAAGATCACCAAGCTCGGTCGGTCTTATGCTCGTTCCCGCGACTACGACGCCATGGGTGCCGACACCAAGTTTGTCCAGTGTCCGGAGGGAGAGCTGCAGGTGCGCAAGGAGATCGTTCACACCGTTAGTCTTCACGAGATCGATGTGATCAACTCGCGGTCACAAGGGTTCTTGGCGCTCTTTTCGGGTGACACTGGCGAGATTCGCAGCGAAGTCCGAGACCAGATCAACACCAAGGTGGCTGAGTGGAAAGAAGAGGGCAAGGCGGAAATCATTCCGGGTGTCCTTTTCATTGATGAAGTGCACATGCTCGATATCGAGTGCTTCTCATACATTAATCGTGCCTTGGAAGCCGAACTAGCACCCATTGTGATCATGGCCAGCAACCGTGGTCAAGCCCGCATCCGTGGAACTACCTACACTTCTCCTCACGGTTTGCCTCTTGATTTCCTTGACCGGGTTGTCATTGTCAGCACCGCACCATACTCTGGCGATGAGATCCGCCAAATTCTCGCCATTCGTGCCCAGGAAGAAGAAATTGACGTCTCTCCAGACGCCCTAGCTCTGCTGACCAAGATTGGCCAGGAGTCTAATCTCCGTTATGCCAGCAACATTATCACTACTTCCCACTTGTTGAGCCAGAAGCGCAAGGCCAAGGAAGTCAGCGTTGACGATGTTCAGCGCAGCTTCCGATTGTTCTACGACCCGGCCCGCAGTGTCAAGTTCGTCGGCCAGTACGAGCAGCGCTTCATCGGTGATCAAGGCACAGTCTCATTTTCCACGGCCACCAACGGTGATGCAATGGAGATTTCATAATAATTTGTCTTGTGCCTATTTCTTGGCCATGTGTTAACTGCTTTCGCGGGGGAGACGATTTAGCGGGTTGAAAAACTACACTGGTTTCTTACTTCTTTGTTCTTCTTTTTTATCGCATCATATGATGTATGAATAGGACTGGCGCTTGTTGAGGTGATCTTTTATGTTTATGAACTTTATTTTTTGGAATGGAATTGAGGCCCCGTTTGCATTGGTCTTTTACACAAAATCAACAGTGGCACTCCATGGCCCAGTACTTCCGACTTGGCGGAATTCGACTCCTTCACCAAAGTAACCTGCACTGTTCCATGAAGCCATCATAGTGCTATCGTAGGGCCCGTGAGCATCGCCTCCGTCTCGGGCATCTGACCAGCGATACTCCCACATTGTAGGACCCTCAGCCTGCGTATCGGTGAGCTCTGAAGGCGGGTCTACCCAGGGCTCGCCTGTCTCATTACGATATTGCCGGGTCAGAAGCTCGCGCTCGGTGTCATAGATTTCGGGCTGATCGCGCCCCATGAGGATATCCGCGGCACCGGTGATGGCGTCGATTGCCTTTTTCCGGTTGAGTTCTTCCGGGTTTTCATCAGACATTTCAGTGTCTTCGGTGCTGCTGTTCTTCTTGTTTTTCTTTTTGTTTTGCCATTTGGGCTTGCGCTTTAAACCCTTACCCAGCCGAGCTAGAGCTTCCAATATTGTTTCTCCGCGCTCGAGATGTAAAATAATGGTTTTTAAGACATCGGCTGTCAATATGCTGTCATTCATCCGGTCCTGCTCTTTTCGGTCTGATTCGCGCTTCTCCGCAGCATCTTTCGCCTTTTGGATATCCTTTTTGGAGACTCCGTCCAGCCATGAATCATAGACAGCATCTGGATCGACGGCTTTGCGAACGTAGTTACCGGATTCATCGAATTGGCCTTCCTCTTGTTCCGTGCTCATGTTGAAGGCATCAAGCAATGGGGCATGCTTCTTCTTTCCACCAGCACCAATCTCCTCATCCATCTCGTTGTCGACCTTGGCGCGTTCTTCTTCACCAACATCACTCTCACTGTCTTCTTCATCCTCATCATCCATCTCATCGTCAGCTTTGCTTAGATCGGCACGCATCGCTTTTCCACCTTTCGAACCAGACTCCTGGCCCTCAATCTCATTGTCGCGCAAGAAGCGAACAGACTTTTTGTTCTTGCGCGAAGCTTCGTCTCCATCATTTTCCTCGTCCCCAAAGTCCTCTTCAAGTTCGGCGAACATATCATCATCACCGTCATCCTTTGCGCTGCTCTTTTTTGACTTCTCTTCCTTGCGCGCCGAGAACCCCTCATTGTCGCTGTCAGAATCATAGCCGTCGAGGTTGATCGCTTTGCGGCGCACTTGTTGACCACGGCGACCGATTTCATCGGCGTCGAGAACCGCATCTTCTTCGGGTGCATCAGCTGCTAGAGCGGAGGGGTTGCGAAGATCGAATCTAGGTTTCTTATTGTCGGGTCCTTGGGAGTCGTCTTCGGCATGGTGTGTGCGAGCAAAAGATTCACCTGCCCTTTTGGGGTGTGGCGTAGAGCTTGCCATGGTGATTAAGCAAGAGTGATATGCCAAAAAAGTATTTGAATGTGTAGTTTTCAAGCTGTGTTGCAGTATGAATACCCTTTGCGTCCGGGGTCGGAACGGAAAATCAAGTCGGAAGCTAAGTTGCGTCACTTGGATCTCGGCGAGTTGTAACTCCAGTAGCGTCCCTCTTCACACTTCCCTTATCTTCATTTACCACTTCTACGAATTTTCACGTTCTGTGCACGCGACTTATTCAAGACTTTGCCAACAATGGTGAGACAAGACCTGACTAGTCCTATTCCTTCTACCCGTCTTTTAAATAGCTTCTAACAGCTTTAGTTCCGACCGGACTACTGGACCGACGATCCCATGGACGGCATTATGGGAGGCGGCATGCTCCGTGGAGGCCCTGCCGCACGTCGATTTGATGAATACTACCGATGCTATCCCGTCGCGATGCTTCCAGGTCCTGAGAGAGAGAATGTTAATCATGGCGGCAAGGTCATCATGCCTCCGAGTGCACTTGACAAGCTTACCCGCCTTCATATTACCTATCCTATGCTCTTCGAGCTTCACAATGGTGCCAGAGAGAGGATGTCACATGCGGGAGTATTGGAGTTTATCGCAGAGGAAGGAAAAATTTATCTCCCATTCTGGGTCAGTGTCGCCAGACTAGCTTGATGGCTTAATGCGATCTTGAAACATACTGACCATCACTACTCGACTTATAGCTTATGCAAACTTTACTTCTGGAACCCGGTGATCTACTACAGATCAAGTCAACAGATCTTCCTCCCGGCCAATTTATCAAGCTTCAGGCACAGTCCACCTCTTTCCTCGATATTAGTGATCCAAAGGCCGTCCTCGAAAATGCGTTCCGCAACTTCTCCTGCCTAAGCAAGGGCGATGTCTTTACATTCGGGTATAACGATCAGGTCTATGAGATGGCGGTTCTAGAAACGAAGCCCGCAGGCTCGAAGAATGCGATATCCGTTCTGGAAACCGATCTGGAAGTTGATTTTGCTACTCCGGTTGGATACGAGGAACCACAACGTACCAGCGGTACCAGCACTCCGGGAAGTGTGGTCAAACATGGGAAGCTTCCCGCAGGTGGACTCCTGCATCCTCACGGCTCCATGGCGCAGTCTATCAACTATGCTGCCATCGCTCCCGAGTCCACCGATGCTGCTACTGGTGCCCGGGCCACATCCTCGAACTTTCTGTCTGAGGGACAACGCCTGAATGCCAAGAAGGGTAGCAAGGCGCCTACCCCGAAGGCTTCTACCCCCACCCCCGGAGCTACCAATCCCCAGCATCCGCCACCAGTGCGCAGAACTAACGGCCCCCAACCACTTCGTCTACCACCCAACCAACTCTTCTTCGGATACGAAATCAAACCAGTGAAGCCACGCGACGAAAATGGACAGCCCCTTTTGCCCGAAGATCAACCAACATTTCAGGGCATTGGTCAAACATTGCGAGGAAAGAAGAAGGACCTCGGTGGTTCGGCCACTCCCACTTCTGACAGTGGGGCTGAGGGCCAGAAAGGCAAAGGCAATGGTGGCGGTGGACGAACCCTGGGCAGCACCAAACGCTAAAATAATTGATGATTGTTTATGAAAAATGGCTAGATGGAACCCCTCTAGACGTGTGGTTTCGGGCCCTTATTTCGGCATAGCGAGGTTGGCGTTTCCTGAGTGTGTTTAATAAACACTTTGATTTTTATGAGATAACCTAGACCATCCCGTTTTCTCTTGTAGACTCTATTAGGTTTTTGATACAATAAGCCTCGGTTGCAAAGTTGATGAACAAGCTATTTTCAGCATCTCCACCTTCGTGGCCGTCCATGTTTCCCCTGCATGCCAAGACTTCATCAATCGAGGTACCCGTCAGGTCATCGAGGAGCAGTGGCGTTCCATGAGTTTGAAACCGCCCTTTCAGACCGCCTCTGTGTACAACATACCTAGTTTCAATACGCAGCACGCTGAGTAAACACGACAAGCAAAGCACATTACATGGACATATTTATTTTCTTATAGAACTTCGCTTTCTTATTTGGAGGCATAGATCTTGACGATGGGTGATAGTAAACAAGTACTAGGTGGGTTTGGCTGTACACAATGTGACAGAAGATGCGCCCGAATATTATGTAAGGAATAGGGCGGGTTTCAAATCAATAGAACACCACTATGCGGAGTACCTTGGTTGGGCACGGCAAATGGTTCTCACAGCAGTTCAACATGCAAACCCCCGAGTCTGCTCTGTCAGCTTTTGACAAGCTCAACAACTTCGTCTACATCTCAGACCTCGACGAGTTTCCAGACAAAAGCAACCCACCGCTGATTGTCCTCGCATTTTGGATGAACGCTGGACCCTCCGCTTTACTCCGATATGTAAATCAGTACCGGCGCATGCTCCCTGCCGCTCGCATTGTGATACTCCGCTCAGAGACCAATGACTTCTTTCTTGGCTCCAGTGATGCAACCCAGAATACTCAGCTCGCGCCGGCTGTGGATGCCCTTCGCACGTACGCGGTCCCGAAGAACCCCGTGTTCATCCACCTCTTTTCCAATGGTGGCCTGCTGAAGATTTCTCATTTGATGCGGTTGTTTAAGGAGACAACGGGCAAACCGCTGCCCATCTCGTCAATGGTTGTTGACAGTGCCCCTGGAGTCACGAGCATTCAGTCCGCCATGAAAGCAATCTCTTTCCAGCTTCCGCAGTTCTGGCTTTGGAGGTTGATTTCCAAGGCTGCGTTGTGGTTATACTTGATTTCTATGGCAAGTTATGGGAGGATTATCAATGCCCCCAATGCGATTTCTGTGGCTTGTCAGAGAATTAACGACAGGGCGCTTTACCAGCCTTCTGGGGAGAAGGGTCTTGTGCGATACTATATTTACTCTGATGCGGATAAGATTGTTCATTCCGAGCATGTTGAGGAGCATATCAGGTCCTCAGAGTCTTGTGGCATTGTTGTGCGCCCCGAGAAGTTCAAGGATGCGCAGCATGTTATGGCTATGAGGGCTGATCCAGAGAGGTACTGGGCTATCATCGAAATGGGCTTGAAGTTCAGTAGAGCTGCTTGATTTTGATACCAGTTGAAAGGGCTGACCGGGGTTTATCCCTTTGCATGTGTGTATGCATTGTTATTTGGATCTCCTGTAAGATGTATATTACTACCTCCCCTGGGCAATGTTTATAGAAGAAAAATCATTGTAAATTTGCACCAATATCCGGGGATTTTTCTGCTATTAGGACTGAATTAATGATTGTTTCCTCATGATCTGCTCCTGCACCCTTGTCTTAGTTGGGTGGACCTGCCTATTGTCAGTATTTCGTTTGGGTTGTTTCTTGAACCAACACTCTTTCCACATTACTACGACCTTTATTCTTCTAACGTTGCAAAGTTGTTGACTTTCATCTTTCTCGTCAGCTTTCCCACTTCACCTTCCCTCCCTCCTCAAAACCCTCCTTTGTCGACATGGCTTCAGGAAGGAAATCCAAAATTTTCGCTTATGCCGACTTTGACCTTCAAGCCTTGTGCCATCTCGCCAGCGCACTACGGCGGGGCATTCCATGCACTTGTGATCGCGATCAATTTCCTGATGCAGGAAGCTATCATTGGGCTATCTTCATTTCATTTGCAGACCAGGTGCGATGGGTCTTCAGATCCCCGCTGATGAAGGATTCTATGCCAGTAGAGACGAGGGCAAAGATTATCGCCAGTGAGGTTACCACGCTGCGATGCGTCAGGACTTACAGCAATATTCCAGTCCCAGATGTTTATTACCATTGGTAGCACTCCCCCTCCCTCTCCAGGCTAAAGAGCTTCAGCTCTAACCTCGTCTAGTGTTTCGTCCAATAACGCTATCGGAGTTCCATTCATTTTGATGAGTGAGGCATCTGGCAGGCCATTGTCGAATCTTTGGAGAGCACCCAGTTCTCTAGACATCCGCATCAAAGACAAAATTCTTCATCAGCTTGGACGAATTACTTGGAAGCTTTCGCAGTTGCGTTTCGATAAAATCGGCTCGCTCTTTGAGGAACATGGATCTTTTAGCGTCGGAGAGTGTCTTTCACGTAGTCATATGTCCCACCAACGGTACCAGCTAGATATTCGACGTGGGCCTTTCGCTTCAGAAGCGGAGTTTTATGACAGTGTTGTTGAAGCGTTTTCACAGCACGCGGAGCTTCTACCGTTAAAGACACATTGCTTCATGGCACCCGTTCCCATGCGGAAAGACTTCAACCGGGGAGGACAATACCGATATGCCGAGAAACTCTGGATTGACTTCATGCTCAATGGAAAGAAGATTGACTCCGCTGACAACAGACTTGATTACATGATCGCTGCCGACGCTCTCCGTGACATTGTGCCTAAACTCGAATTTCCATCTGTTATCCCGACCTTCCCGTTATTTCACCCTGATTTGAGTGTGAATAATATATTTGTGGACAATGACTACAATATCACTTGCGTTATTGACTGGACGTTCGCTTCCTCCGTCCCTGAATCAATGTTACTGGCCCATCCAGGTTTACCGCAACACCGCAATGAACTCGATCCGGAGCTATTCGCGCCCTTCCATAGTGGCTTTATTGCCACCATGCCAGCTGCATCGATTGAAAACACGTTGATCCATAGATATCTTGAGTCTTTTGAGCGGAGCCAAGATGTTTGGGGTTTGACTCGACTTCTTGACATGGACTTAGCGCAAGATTACATAGTCTTTGCCAAGCTCTGGGAATCTGCGTATGGATCTGAAAAGAACCTACAGCGATATTTTCTCCAAAAACGACGCTCACCTCACTACACCTGGCTTTACCGACAGGTTCAAAAGCAAGACTACCCGCAATCAAAAATCCAAAAGGAAGAAAATGACTATTTTCGAGACAAGGTCTTCAGACACACCATCGCTAGGAAACTGACGCTCGTGTCCGAATTCAAAGCGCGGTATGCTGATAATTCGGAACCAAGACTGCGAAACAATATGTTTGTCACGTCTCCCAAGCTATGGAGGTGGATTGAGTTTTGTTTGGTTGGTTGGGTGAGCTCGGGAATAGTTGATTGGATGATAATGCACTGATTAGTGTACACTAGACGACGGTTCCGAGCGCCAATATGTTTTTCTCAATGTGTATTATTATCTCACATTCTGTTCCTGAAGATCGACGTAGCCTGTGTCTTGCAAGGTCAAGATGCGAGAAAGTCCAGCAACTTCATAATGTGTATTGACAGCAGCTTGGGGGGGGGGAAGCGAGGAAGTCATTTGGTCACTATGACTAACATCTCGTTGAGCTACGGTACCTATATGCAGTGGTCTAAGGTCCTCAAATACTAGGTTTTTACTTGGTCGGACGAAAGTTCCGCACCTTTCCTCTATCAGTCCGTGACTGCAAAAATTACGGGAGATGAGTTACGACGACGACAGCAGTGCATCATATCTGCATTCCAAGCCGGTGTTCCCGGCAATCATTCAAGCGAGCCTCTTTAGCTGGTCTTCTTGTTTCCCATACTATCTTTTCCAATATCGTGAGCTATCCCTCTTCGTCATTGTCAGCTTATGGTGCTCAATCACCTAGCCCATCAAGTATTGTGGGTTTCGCTACCCCTGGTCTACTGATCCCTGTCCTGATTACTGACCGCGGTGACTAGTTTGAAAGTCTTTGCATCTCGAAATTGCTTAGCCGATTCCCGACATGTCTCACCACAGTGCAAGTGGGCAGGCCGTCCTTACAGCTAGCCGAAATCAAGATTGTCGTTTCAAACTTCCCGGATATGGCCGCCCATTGGACTACTTCCCCGTGGAAAAGAACATATATGGCATTGAAAGCCGTAGCATGTTTCCATCTGCACTCGATGATAGAGATATCGACAATAGATACGCCGAGTATGTTTATATCCCCAGGTTCATACAAAGACTGAATGAACAATGAATAGGCTTCCTGTGCAGACCCTTCGAGAAATGGCTATGGTGAAGGAAATGGAGGATATAACTGATATTCCCGAGTGGTGGAAGAAGGTATATCCTTTGATACTCTAGCCTGACAGGTATGAATGCTCAATTACGATAGATTCACGATCCCAACACCGCACAACAGTGGAAGAAAATGGCACGCAACAGCGGCGCAGACATCACCGAAAACATGGCTGGGTGGATCATCGAAGAGCTCAAATTCAAAGCCATGGTTTACAAAATGAACGAAGCTGTATCACTCTACAATGGAGACGTCACAAAATCCGACACAAACATCCCCAGCTCCCTCATTGAGGAATTGAAAAATGCAAGCCGGATCCTAACATACCAGGATGAGGAGCTGCAATTCTACCATCCCGGCTCTCTCTCCCAGCAGCGCGATCTCCTTGCCATGGCTCTCTACCCACTCATCTACGGAAAAAGCCGCATCCTCCCAGACAAACTCATCGGTCTTGACGACGCCCTGCACTACGCCGGACAAGGTGAAACCATCCCCATGCCCAATGAAACGGGCATAACCCGCGAGGATATCGCATGGCGCGTCTCCTCACGCGCAGACATCTCCGTCCGCCCATATAGCAGAACTTACCAGATCTTGCCATCAGACTGGGAATTCGGTGACGATGGCCGCTGGCATATCGCCACGTACATCAACAACCTGCACCCGGTGAAACATCGCGATATATATAACGTCATCGAAAAGGCATTCAACTGTATTATTTCGCAGTGGAATATGACTATGACTCCGCTGAAGGATATGTTGCATTCCCGTGCACGAATCGAGTACAACAAGGCTGAGTATTATCCCGTCCCGAAGGAGGTTCTCGACCAGGCGCCTAAGATTCAAGATCGGGAGGCTCAAAGTGAGTTCGATGAGCGCTTTGAGAAGTGGAGGATGGAGCATTACCGTGCTGTCCAGCCTGACGTTGATCGGTTTGTTCCTTGGGCTGTGCCACAATGTATGATGTCTCAGTTGCCGGATGATCTTCCTTCCACCGTGCGGATTGAGCAGAGCGTCAATCTGAATAAGCACTACAAAGATCGTGGCTTGCAAGTGATCACGCGTCTGATGTCCGTGGATTTGACGCCGGAATCCCCTTACTACGACACAGAATGGCATGTGGAGGGACAGATGGTAAGTTCAAATCACACCAAGTATTTATATACAAAATATATAGGCAAGAACTAAAATATGTTCAGAACGAACACATCTGCGCCGCAGCATTCCTCTTCTTCGAATACGAGAACATGGAAGAAGCCTCCATGCAATTCCGCAACATAGTCGACACAGACATGCTCAACGAAGTCGAACACGAACCTGGCGACTTCATCTGGCTGAAACAAGTTTTCGGATTTGATGACGGTGAACCAGCCGTCCAGTGCACGGGTTCAATTCGGTGTCCAACCGGCCGTGTAATCATATTCCCTAGCACAGTACAGCACCGGATGACGAATTTTGAACTGAAAGACAAGACAAAGCCTGGTTCTAATCGGTGTCTTGTGTTTTACCTCGTTGATCCTAACATCCGAATCATTTCTACAGCTAATATCCCTCCTCAGCGATTTGACTGGACACTCGAGACTGAGCAGGGGGAGGGAGACGATCTGACTTCTGCTATAGCAAAATTGGCGCTGGCGAATAAGGATAAGAAGGGAGATATGCCTATGACACTCACTGAGGCTTTGGAACATAGGTATAAGTTCCTGGAAGAGTTGGTTGAGTTTATGCGGTATCAACATGTTGCGTTTGAGTCGAGGGTTCTAATGTTGTAGTTTGGTGTTGCTTTTAGAATTGGTTTGCTAGTTACTTGTTTCTGGCTTATTGATTTGAATACTAAAGCTACTATTAATTGATTTACGTCGGTGACTATTGAGAATGATGTTTTACTAGTAGTTCTGGAAACTGGGTAATGCTCAAATCGCCGCGCTATGCCATTCGTGAAGACAATGTACAGGAACTAGATAGAATCTATCTCTAGTTCTTTTTTTGTTTTTCCGTAACACCATGGCCAAAGTTGGCCCCAAAAAGACCCATATCCTCCTATCTATAACCAACATATTAACGGCCCTTCATCTCCGGGAACTCATCGTCAAGCTTCAAGCGGGCAGCAACGTTCATACTCATCAACTCCTGAATCAAAAGCTTGGCAGCGTAAGGGATGACCATCTTTGAGACAGAACGAGTGGACTTGCATCCCGGGCACCAGCCCAAGAATCCCATGAAACCACACTTCTCGCAAATATCAACTTCATGACGATCGGACGAAATCATAAGACGCTCCAGAAGAAGTTGGCTAGTTCCGTAGGCAATCAGACAATCACGCTCCATCTCACCCAGACGAAGACCACCGTCACGTGAACGACCCTCCGTAGGCTGCCGGGTCAGGGTGGCCTTGGGACCACGTGCACGCGAGTGCATCTTATCTTGAACCATGTGCTTGAGCTTCTGGTAGTAGATGGGGCCCGTGAAGACGTAGAAGGGGAGCGGTTCACCGGTAATACCAGATGTGAGGAACTCCTTGCCACCATAGCTGAAGCCGTGGTCGATGAGGGTCTGCGAAGTTTCTTCGATGGGAGTACCACCGAAACAGGTACCGTAGCCGTGTCGACCAGCAAGAACACCAGCCTTACCAGCAACCAACTCCAACATCTTACCGACTGTCATACGAGACGGGAAACCGTGAGGGTTCATGATAATATCAGGATTGATGCCTGACTCGGTGAAGGGCATGTCCATCTGGTCGGCAATGATACCCACGACACCCTTCTGTCCGTGACGGGACGAAAACTTATCACCGACTTCGGGACGACGAGTCTGTCGAGTCAGCACCTTGATAAGCTGGGTCTCGCCCTCGGTAGCGGAGAGCATGACCTTGTCGATGTATGCAGGATCAGGCAATTTGTATGACATGGAAGCAGGGTTGTAAGAAGTAGTTCCGGTGTCAGAGCCCATAATTCCGCTCGTATGGGCCTGGTCGGGGGTAACTTTGTTGATGTAAACCTCGCCAGCGCTGACCTTCTCGCCTACAGCAGCCAGACCATCGGCCTCCAGAAGCGCGTGCTTGCGAATGGGGGCGTCGTTCTCAAACTCAGGAGGGTTCAAGCGGTCTTTCATTCCGTTTGGGTAACTCTTGAGGTTTGTCACGTATTTCTTGAAGACCTGGCAGCGTCCAAATCCACGGTCAACCGAGCCCTTGTTCAAAACCAGAGCATCCTCAATATCGTAACCGGAGTAACTCATCACAGCGACGGTCGCGTTCTGACCGGCGGGAAGTTGATCGTATTTAACCAACTCAATGGTTCGTGACTTGACCATTGGCTTTTGTGGATATACCATAAGATAAAGAATGGAGTCAATTCGCTGGAACTGATTCGAAGCAATTGCACCAATTGCTTGTTTACCCATAGCACATTGGTAAGTGTTACGAGGAGACTGGTTGTGGTGGGGGTAAGGAATGAGACCAGCAACAGCACCAAGGACAGTGAAAGGCTCAACCTCGAGGTGAGTGGTGGCCTCGGTAATATCCTTCTCGTAGATAGAGATCAAAGAATCATTCTCCTCGTTCACATCAAGATATTCGACAAGGCCTTGAGCAAGAAAATCGTCGAATGCCATTTTTCCTTCGCGTAGCTTTTCCAAATGGTGTCGCCGCACTCTGGATTTACCGTCTTCAACAATAATAAGTGGTCGGCAGATACGACCATCATCGGTTGCAATGTGTACCGCTTGCTGGTGGTGGTTGATGTAGATACTAACAAACTCCGAGATTCTTCCCATGCGACGGAGCCTGCGGAAAGAGTTGAGGAAGTGTTTCGGCCGTCTTGTCAAAGCAGTCGGTGTACCGTTGATCGAGATGGTGTAAGTTCCTTTTTTGTATAGTTCAATTCCACTAACGGTAGAAATGTCTTCGGCACCGAGCATGAAAATCAAATTTCGTACCGGGCCCTCCTCGTCGTTGGTGGTAATATGTGTCATGAGAGCCAAGTTCTTGACCAAACCGCAAGCCTCTCCCTCAGGCGTATCGGCAGGACACAGCATACCGAATTGTGACGGCTGGAGAGCACGAGGACCAGAGACCTTTCGAGTCTTTTCAAACTGACTGCTGATACGAGTCATCATACCAAGGGCAGCAATGTAACTCAGACGACTGAGAACGTGGGTCACACCAGCACGCTCCATACGGAAACGCTTCAAGCTCCAATTACCAGTGGAGATGGCTCGGTTCATACCCTGAGTGATATGGTGGCCGTGCATGCTCATGACACTCCATGCGTCAAACTGTTCCGCTCTGTTGCGCTTGTTCAAGACCTTGTCGATGTTCAACTTGATGTCAAAGCAGAACTTCTTGAAGAGATCCTCGAACAAAAGAGCCAGCATCTGACCTGCCAATTCCAATCGCTTGTTTCCGAGGTAGTCACGGTCATCCACCATAGACGGGTCGGCCTTGGCCATCAACACACGACGGGCCATGTGAGCAACATAGATGGCCTTAGGGCGGAAGTTCATATCCTTGACCTCAATGTGGGAAATGATGACAGTTGCAATGGCTTCCACAGCCTCTTGCACATGAGTCCGGCGGTATGCGCCTGTCTTCCGGTTGATTTTGATTCGAGAGCCCATCCAATCCAAAGCCTGCTGTTGGGTGAAAATACCCAGGTTGAGAGCTTCTTCAAAGTTGATGGCAAAATCATCCTGATATTGGCTATCATCACCAGCCACCATTTGCAGCATTTCTTTGTCGGTATGGATTCCCATGGCTTTCAACAGAACAACGATCGGCAGGTCTTCGCTTAGGACGTTGTGTTTCACGTAAAGTCGTCCCTTTTTCAAAACGATGTAACTCTTGGACTTTCGTTCATTGGAAGAACTATCGAGTTGTCAGTGATTTCATGCGATGAAAACTTTGCGTATTTGTTCCATACCTGGTGACCGAGGCCTGGACAATGTCTTTCTTAGGGTCCGTTTCTACAATAATTCTGTTTTTGCTCAATTGCTCCTGGACTAGAATAACCTTTTCCGTTCCATTGACAACGAAGTAGCCACCAGGGTCCAATGGACATTCGTTGAGAACAGACATCTGCGCCGGGGTCTTGTCTGCCAGCACACACTTGGAACTGCGAAGCATGACTGGCATCCGACCGATAGCCACACCTCGTCGGACAACGCGTTGCCGACCACGAACATATTCGAAGTCGATCAAAATCGGGGCGGCATAAGTGGTATCTCGAAGCCGACATTCCTGGGGTGTGATGTCAGATTGAAAGTCAATTCCAGCATCCTGAGTCTCGTCTGCGCGGCGAGGGGATCCAAGCCAAATGTTCGTGAAGTTTACGTAGAAATGGTGGTCAATGTCGCTGCGAATAATGCCGGCTGATTCCACAATCTTCTTCATCTGCACCTCCACAAAGTAGTTATATGAGTCGATGTGTTGCTTCACCAAACCCTTGACCTTGAGGAAAGCGGGAAGCAGGTTCCACTTATCCTTCGCGGTATTGATGGGGTCAGTGAGCGATTTGTTGTAATAGAATGGCTCCAAGAGCGCATTGAAGGGATCTCGGTGCTGGTACTTGACATAATCGTCGTCGTCGTTCTTTGCGGCGGTGGGCTGGGTCGATTCTTGGGATACGGAGGGGCGCTTAGAATTTGAAGAGTCCGCTGGCTGGTTACCCGCCTGCGATGACAATTAAAACAGTCAATATGAAAAAGTTCCGAGATTGGACAGTCGCGGGCAACGCGCGGGGAAAAAAAAAAGTTTTGTTACCTCAGAAGCCCGACGAGCCTGGCTGGCCGCAGAGGGCTGTTGCCTCCTGCGAGGCGGCATTGTGGCAAGGAAACTATGTTTCAGAGATTTCCACTCTTAAGAGATCTCAGGCCAGGGAATGGTTCACGTTGGATGCGATCGCAAGATGCATCACCTGTGACATGGAGGGGAACGAGAGAATTTGGAGATGCGCTTATCTAACCCATGAGCTATCCGTTAGCGTCGACACCTGAGGCGTGCAAATGAATAAGGCATCAAATGTGGTGCTGCAAGGAGATAAGCCACGACGAGCCTCCGATTTTTGGGGCTACTCGGATAATCAATTGAAATTAGGTATCAGTATTGCTCTTCTTTAGTGCTACAAATAAGCCAACCTACTTAAATTGGTGTAAGCTTGATTGACCACCTGGGATCTGTAGTCAGAAGCATAGATGTTAGACCTCTATTGTTCTTGTACGTTGATCTTTGCTGTATCCTGCCAATGGAACCATGGGATGGTGTAAAGCTACAACTCATCCAGAATACTGAACTTTGCTCTATCCACCAAACATCAAAGTGATCTCAGGAGCGTTCTAGTATGTAAAGGACTGGTAGATAAGTTGAAAAGCCTTCAAAGGCGGCTATACAAATTAATGCAAAGCACAAGGACAACAGACCACAGCTTTTCTCCATGATGACATTAGTGCATTTGTGATCCTGCCCACTGATGTGTCAAAGTGGGGCCCTAGGAATCCTCACACTCGCAGCGTGGGCAGCTACAGACATGGGAGTCTGCACGGACGACGGGTTTAGAACCCACTTAGTTGGTTGGGTCGTACATGATCTACTTACTTATAGCTCGGGTCTTCGAGGTCAAACACAGCTGAAGTTGTCTCATGCGTTGGGTCAGGAGAAGAAAAGACCGGAGTGAACCCCAGGCAGGCCTATTTCCAAGTCACTGCATTTAATCATGGGAACAAGTATTTTCGGGGGTTTATCTCGTCATGAAAGAAACCATGAACACTAAGAATTGGAAATATTACAAATGGCAGGGAATAATATATTAATAGCGTGTTTCACAGTAGTCATTCCGCGCTAGGGGTTTGATTCGTTGGCAGTAATAGCCTTGACACAAAAGCCGCCTGCAAATCGAGATGGCGAATATATTGTGGCAAATCCCGCTTGACCGCAACTTTCAGATTGTACAAATGCTTGGAGTCGCCACTAGTGCACTCGAGCTAAAGTAACGGTGACCGTGGGGTTTAATGCCCAAAGAATTATTTCCCGGAAACCCACAATGCGAGTGCTTCGTGAATCGTTTACGGGTCATACCTTCATGCAGGCGGCTACGTCAGATACGGGCTCCATCAGAAGTACTCCACGGATTAAAATGAGAATCAACATTACAAAGGAAGTAATATGCACGTGGCAGATGATAGAACCGGGCCGAAGTGCAACCCTTGCGAATAGCATCGATCGCGGCTATGGTTCTAGACGGTGCCGTTGCAGGGATTTGGGAGTCCTGGAGCGGGGCATGTCCCTTTCAGGAATTGATTCGCCAATGGGTCAACCAACCCAAAATGCCTTTCTCGATGCATATCGAAGTTGATTTGAGCTTATATCAGAGGATCCCTGTGATCTCGTGTCAATACGCAGAGGATTCCCGTCCAGAACCGTGTAACAATGCAAATCGGTCGAGGCGCGAATTGGGCATTGGGCATGAAAGACCAATCTTTGGTCACTTTGGGCCTCTAAAGCACGCCTGGCTTCGGTGGCCACGGATCAATCCTTCGGCAATCGGACTAGCGTTGGCACTAGTGGTCTCCGAAGTGTATGTGTCATTTCGTGGAGATGATCGCGTTCTGGCATTATTAATCCTCTCTGGGGCACAGACCCTGGCTCTCGGATGAAGAATCGGAAAAGACTCCAGCCCTAAAGGTCAAATCATATGAAAATCAAATAATGACTTGAATAACCGTAAGAGGGGCAACAAGTGGTCCGTGATGATTGGAGATCCGTTCTCCGAGAAGGGAAGATTGGGGTTTATTTGATGCAGGATCTCCACAATCAGTGGTGGTATGCTCGTCATTCGGTGGATCAGGGGCTCTAAAGGATAAGATCAGCGCCAATGGCTTGTATCACGTTCACCGCTCATCTCGCCAGTCGAGTCCTTATCGGTAGCGGAGGAAATGTGCCTACTTGATTCTCAAACAAAGGAAAAAAGGAAAACCCGAATAATCCAGATCCAGTGTTCAGGATTATTGCAACTATAAAATGGTTGAAGAGAAAGGCCAGCTTTTGTTTGAAGGCCGGAACCATGGATCTACCCGGACAGAAGATGATACGAACCTTGGGAATCGCGCCAAATGGCCGCGGCGCGAACCATCCGGACACGCGATAAGACCCAGGTTCGAGAAAAATCCTTATTTCAACAGAATATTCGAAACAAGTAAAATCATGAATAAAGTATTCTCGACTCCGCAAAATGTACTCCGTAACGATAAAATCTGTTCCCACCGAAACTTGTCCGATCCAGGTACTAGTCGCCCCGTGCGGTGGCTAACCATCTTAGAGGGCGATCCGCTGTCACAACCTCGCAGCACCACTCGCCGCGTCTCCACTCGCCTAAAATGATACAGTGGCTGCTCAATTGGCATGGAATCATGCATCTGCAGCTGCCACGCTCGCGAACAGCGCATTCTTTTCTCTCCGCTTTCCTCTACCCCCTTGCGCGATCGAAGTCGAGTCCATAGCTTTTGCGCCATAGGAGGCAAAGAAAAAAAAAGAGAATAAGTCATCGGAAAATTTGAAGGTACAACAGAATTAATCATCTCCCAGTCCGCTACAGAATTGAAGTGAAAAGACACAAAACAAAAAACAAGGCCAGAAAGAGGGATCGAGCCTCTGTCATAGCTATTGACCATATACCCCGGGCTGGACTCTCCCCGGGGGCGCAAAGATAGCTGCATCTTGGTGGTACAGATGCAGCCTCTCCAATCATGCCTTGGCCCCGAATAAATCCCGAGTAACTGTGTTCGATCATCTGCTGTGGCCGTCAAATTTCGCACTGGTAGATTCAAAGGGATTTGCTGGTTTTTTTGGGGGGAAAATATTACTCAAGTCGCTATGACTTATGTTTGGGGTCACGATGGGGGCGATTTTGGGGGCATCGAAGCCAATGATATGGGTTAAGCTGAGACTGGTGACAAACACGGTCGGCTACTAAGATCAAAGAAAACTAGCTAAATGATTGTAGATTTTCACCAACCCTAAAGCTGTAGTTTAATTTGAAGAAATCCTACACAAGCGAGCCCAATCAATTTTACAGAAAAAGAAAAAAAGAAAAAGAAAAAAGGGAGTTCGTACGGCCATTCCCGATTAGGGTTGCGAAGACACTCCCCGCTCTGGATCACTCCCCTTCTCTCCCAGCCTCTCCTCCTTTCTTCTTCCTTCCCTACCATCTCCCTGTACAACAGTTCTTGTATCCTTCCTTTGGCATATCGTTAGGTCCCTTGTACTATTGTCTTTGTGAACACACTCGTTTGTTCGGACTGCTGTGTTTCGCTAAGTGGAGGGTTTGGCGGTAAGTTGCTCCATCCCACTCTGCGACTCCCTGCGGCTGATCTCCGCATTTTCTAGGTACATCAGCGCTTGTTGATTTTTTCCCTCGCCGCACAAAATTACCTATAGATGAATCTACCTACCTAGCGGACTGCTGGATTCTGATCGTCATCAATCTCCTTCTCTCGAGGCGTTCATTGTGTGAGTGGGATCCTTTCTGCGCAGATCATCTCCGACCACCCCTCCGGCCCCTCTTGACCCCCCTTACTTAAGGTTAGCCTGCGACACACCACACCGCTCGGCCACACACCTGTCAAAAGTACCCCTTGTCCTGCCATCGAATCCCTCGTGGTGTGGACATCTGGGGCTGGGGGACGCTGTCATTGCTGTACCCCAATGTCTTAAAAAGCACTTTGCAGGCTGCGACGAACGTCAAGAGAACTTTTGCTGACTCCAGACGTTGGATGTCTATAGTGGAACATATTGCCTGCTCTGCCCATCATGGCTTTCAAAAACGGGCTGAGCGAACGCCTCGATGAGCTGCGATTTCCTTCCCCGCGCTCTCCACCGTCTGAATCGACTTATAACCCCCTCTCACCTGGGAGTTCCAACTTCGGGTCCGGCTTTTCACGACCGCCTAGCGATGTTCGCGCCAACCTGCAACGTCGATTCACCACAGACTCGAGCAAGCTTTCATCTTGGAACTTCCTCAACCAGGGATCTACTCCGATGCCCGACCCCCTGGATCTGCTGTCATCGGTGCGTACAAATATTTCCTTTGTTTTTTTTTTTTGCTGTTCAATTTGCACGTTGGCCGATTCGTACAAACCCACAGATTGGTGCAGGGGCTATGCATAAAGAATAAATTCTATTCTTTGTTTGCATAGACCGGAGTTAGGTGTGTCGGTCTGATTTGACAACGGGAATGACTTGTGGTCAGGGTAGCCTGGACCTCAAGTTCTGTCTGTGTCAATCAATCGATGCCCTAAATTTCATAATCCTGTCTAATTTGTTGCCCTTGGTCTTTCCCTCTCTTTACCCATCATCACCACCACCAACTCTTTACACCCTGGCTGCATATCACCATTGCCTACCGCCGTCAAACAGATCCAAGGGACGTCGCATAGACTCGGGATTAGGCACTCAATAATGTCTACCTGGTGTCATTGCACCCTTTTGAGTTCTCTTTTTGAAGGTATACTGCCTAAAAAGGACATTCTGGGCTAAGCAAACTCCAAAACCGAAATTCACTCAACTTTCTCTGTCACTTTCTAAGTCGGCATATGAAATTGAAGGAGTTGATCGTACTTCACCTTGCTCCTGCACATTACAAGATTCTCCCGTTGATTTCTACGCATATCCCTTTGCTTCACTCAGCCCTCTTTCCAAATTCCCTTTATTTCCAGTTCCTTTTCCCTTTCATCTTCTTTTTCTTTTCTATAACCAAGCTTGATCATTCTGGGTCGTGTTCTCGACACGTCACCATCTTTACCAGGCCTATCACCACCTTGCACCTCATCCTTTTCATCCATTCTGTCTTTCTGTCTAGAGTTTCGTCTGACAACCCACAGTTTGAGAAGAAGCGACAGCATATTGAGTATATGCGTGAGCAAAAACGACGATTTGAAGAAGACATGAAGTTACTTGATATTCAGCACGAAAAAGAGAAGATCGAGATGGATAAGCTTGCACGCGATCTTGCCAAGGCTGGTATTGCTGGCCGCGCCAGCGAGCCGACTACCCCTCCCGAGTATCGTGAGCCGACTTTGTCTGGTGCAGGACGATCTGCACGCTTCCCATCCACTAGCGTGACTTCATCTCCTGGTTTCTTCAGTGCTTTTGCGCCTTCCAACGTTACTTCTCCTCAAGCTCCTCAATCTGGTCACTCGCACGCCCAGTCCGTGGATCGTTTTGTTGTCCACTCCCTTCCTGGGTCTCGCCGGAATTCCGAGAAGGACAGCTTTCTGTTCGATTCTACCATCGATTCTTCAACTATCCGTGGCCCATCGTAAGTTCGCTTTTTTCTTCTCTTTTCTCTCTTCTTTTTTCCCCCCATGATTTAACCTCCAACTTCAATTTATACCGAATCATGTGGCTAACTTAATATTAGACACCGCAACTCGATGCCTTCTAACAACCACTACAATCAATATCGGCCCAATATGAATGGCCACGCGAATGGCCACATGAATGGCAATACTAATGGTAGCACCAATGGTTATATGACTGGCCATAATGCTGGTTCCGGCTTCGACTCCTTCTCTGCTGTCAAGCACTTTTTCCATGACGATGACAGATCGTTTGCCAAGGATGAACCCCGTCTGTCTACTCCCGACATCAAAGGCTATATTAGAATGACTGAACCCGATGACAAATTTCCAACTCTCCGCCGCGAGGGTTCCAACATTGTAAGCCAAAGACTCATTCAGTCTTTCTCTCTATAAGGACGTGCTCTAACTTCGTTGTTCAGCTGGCAGCCAACCCAGATGCTCATGACCTGGCAAACTCTCGTAATTCAAACCATGAGACTTATTCCTACCACAACCGCAGCCGCTCTTCCCACCAGAGCATGCCCCAGAGCCTCAACGATATTATGCGCCTGGATCGTCTGGGAGGTCAGACAGATGACCACAGCTCTGTTCATCGTCACCAAGCTCACCGTTCTCTTGAGGGTGGCTTGGTTTTCCCCAATGAGCGCTCCGACGACGCTATGACCCCGGTCCCCTCCCACAGCCGCCCCAGTGCCCGGGTGTCGTACTCGACCAATGATGTACCTACCGTCAGGGGTACTGGCTTCGACGCTGCTATTACTCCGCCCAAGACCCACGCTGATCACCTTCATCACCGTAATGCTAGCAGTGTTAGCAATGCTAGCGTTGGACGCATCCCAAACGGTATTCACCCCCACCAGACCCGAGGATCTCCAGAGTCCCCGAACCACAACAACCAGCCTGGTCAAACAATGCTGCAGGCAAGCGCTGCGCCTTTTGGCCCTCAGATCACTTCGCCCATGTCCAACAACGGCATTAACGGTATCAACGGCTCTGCTGCCCCAGTTGGCGTGCCATTCCCCGCATTCAACCATGGCATGCAGGCTTATGGTGCCCATCCCAGCCAGATCATGCCAAATTTCCCTGATCCAAACACCTACGGTGGCTATCCTAACCCTGCCAGCAATGGCTATCGTACCAACGATGTCCCAATCCGCGGTGGGAACAGTCTTCGACGTGCAACTGAGGGAGAGGCCTCCCAGTATCAGATCAGCCGAGATGTCTCCCAGCAGATCTCCCAGCAGAATCGTTTCGATGGCCAGCAGCAGAATCGATTCATTCACCCTCTAGAGCACTACAAGGGCGAGCTGTACAGTCTGTGCAAGGACCAACATGGATGCCGATTCTTGCAGCGAAAGTTGGATGATGATAACCCTGAGAATGTCCAGCTTATCTTCAGTGAGACTTACATGCATGTGACCGACTTGATGATGGATCCGTTTGGCAACTACCTAGTTCAGAAACTTTTGGACCTGGCCAATGATGAGCAGCGCACTGTTTTGATTGACAATGCTGCTCCACAGCTGGTCACCATTGCATTCAACCAGCATGGAACACGTGCGCTCCAGAAAATGATTGAGACCATCTCAACCCATGAGCAGACCCAGACTGTGATCGATGCACTTGCTGACCACGTTGTCGATCTGGTTAAGGACCTCAATGGCAATCACGTTATTCAGAAATGCCTCAATCGCCTCCGTTCTGAGGATGCTGATTTCATCTATGAGGCTGTTGGCGGTGCGTGCATCGTAGTCGGCACCCACCGTCATGGATGCTGTGTCTTACAGCGCTGCATTGACCACGCGTCGGGCGCTCAGAAGGCACACTTGGTTGCTCAGATCACCGATCACTCCTACAAACTTGTTCAGGACCCCTTCGGAAACTATGTGGTCCAATACATCCTGGATCTTAACGAGCCTAGCTTCACCACACCCATCTGTCAGGGCTTCCTTGGCAACGTGATCAAGCTGGCCATGCATAAATTCAGCTCCAATGTAGTTGAAAAATGCTTGCGCACATGCTCAAAGCCCGTTCGGCGTGAGATGATTGATGAGATGATCAACAGCGATATGTTTGCAGACTGCCTGCGTCATCAGTATGGCAACTATGTCATTCAGACGGCTCTGGACAATGCGGATCCGCAGACGTGCAATCGGATCATCGAGGCTATCCGCCCTGTCCTTCCTACTATCCGTCAGACCCCGCACGGGCGTCGCATCGCCGGCAAGATTCTTGCCGCGGAGACTCATGCCCGCACGAACAGCGAACACACACTGCGCGAGATCAACAGCACTAATCAACTTGCCAACCCCCGGCCCAAGAAAAATGAGATGGCCCCTAGCGGTATCAATGATTACGTTCTCCAAACCTTCCCGCCCACCCCTGCATCGAGCTCCACGGCGAACACTCCCCCGGGCGGAGGTAATGAGAACTCTCTGATGTTCCCCGCTCCTGTTTCGCCGTCGTCCAACTTTGCTCCGCAGAATCCGCCTTACGACTCCCAGCGCCCACCCTTCGAGCCGACCAGCGATGACTCTTTCAACTACTTCTAAATGGGGGATCGGAAAGCTTCTTCTGTGAATACCGTTCATCCCTTTCCCCTTGTATTCATATCGACACGATACCACGATATTTCTTTTTCATGATTTCACGGATCTCCATTCAAGATTATCATCAGACTGTGGCTCGGCTGCACATACCATGATTCTCTTGCTTGCTGCATTTTCTTCCTTTTCTCGTGGACCATTCGTCTCTTTTGACACAGTGATTTCCTTCTACCTGTGTGAAGCAATGCGTCATGTCCATTTCATCACATGGCAAGATTTACTTGTTGCATTCTGTCTTCCATCCATTGCAACAGCCCGAATTCCTGCTTGACTCTTTCCCCCCATTTTCAACCCCATTGTACCTCTGCCCTTCAGTGGGTTTCATGCTTTGACACTTATAGCTGGCGACGAGACTCGTTGCTGCCTTTAGTGTGTTATGCATTGGGAATCCATTTCCTTTTCTGCCCTTGTTTTTACACATCACTTTTATTTCCTTCCCCATTTCACATTTCTGATTTCAATTTTTCTCGTTTCATTTTTACCAACATGTCGTTTCCCAAGCATTGCGTTTCATTGATTTGACAGCGCATTTGTTCGGTCCTGTGTAGGCCTGCGCACACTGAACGACAATCGAGCGTTGAGTGATCAAGGCTCCTGTTCAATGGGGACTCCACTTGGAGATGTGTTCATGGAGGACTCGGGGCGCAACTAAATAACTAGCTTTGAGTCCTTGTCAGGACTGGGTGACACTGGTGGTACACCTTCTTCCCCAGTTGATCTTGTTGGCCGCAATCCATGTACATCCTTCAATACGTTTTACCCCGTTTTATTCGTAGCTGCGGGAATTGAATTCATTTCCCCCAATCTTGTTTCAATAGTAGAAATCAGTAAAATCCCCACGAATACGCAAAATCCACAATCCTTTCACGTCGTGATAAAGCTTATCGACGCGTCGCGGCACCACGTGACTTTAATGGATCTTTGGGAAAGTCAAGCTGGATCCCCAGTCTGCATCCATTCAACCCTGCAAAACAACATTGCATTTCAGCGTGAGAAACTTCGATTTTCCCAAGCTTCATGCAGCCCGTCGACGTTGCTCGCTCTCTGAGCGCGCAATGGCCATGTCGGGATGTCCAGGCGCGACAACTTGCCAGTCTGCTTCATGTAAGTTCTTCTCCGCGGATTCGAGGTGCTCCGCAGCTGATCACAAGCCATGCGACAATTTGCTAACTGATCAATTTTACACTGCAGCCACAACTGCCAAATCCATCGACTGTAGTTGTCCATGGTGTCTCCGCGACCTGCAAATCGACAATTGTCCGGGGTGTTCTTGCTGCCCTTGAAGCACCGCATGCTGTTGTTCGAAGCACCGAATGCATTACCGGCCGGCATCTGCTGACGAAGATCCTTTGGAATACACTGGAGGCATTTGGCCAGAAAGACGAGTGGGAAAAGTTCGGCAAGGGTCGATGCGAGCACGTTAGTACTCTGGTTGTTCTCCTGGAGGAATGTCTGGCCGCGAGACCTGCAGAGAAACAAGGAAATTTTGTCTTGGTGTTGGATGAGATTGATAGGCAAAGAGAGGCGCCGCCAACCCTGCTTTCGGCGCTGGCTCGACTTGGAGAAATTGTAAGTGCACATTGAAGACCGTCCAGGGTTCGTGTAGTTTTGGCCAGCACTAACGGATTCCTAGATTCCATCGCTTTGTGTCGTGCTAGTCCTGAGCTCGACCCCACGACCACTATTCCTCCAGAATGCATCTGTTCCCCATGTGAGCTTCCCGCCATACACTCGTAAAGAGATGATTGATATCTTGATGGCTTCCCCCGCGCCCACGATTGAAGGTCTGCCTGAGGATATCATCTCTCGTGTATACCCACACTTTGTTTCGACAATTTATGATACATTGGTTGGACCGACAGCTGGCTCGGTCCAGAACTTCCGATCTATTTGCGAGAGGCTATGGCCCCAATTCGTGGCTCCGGTGGTGCAGGGCGAAGTACCCCCTGGCAATGCCGAGTGGGACTTTGCGCGACTTCTGGTTAAGAAAAGGGCACTTTTCAGACACCAAGGCGAATCAGCCCTTGTTCATCGCATCGTGCCCGAGGACACTTCTGCCCTGAGCACGACATCTCGGAAGCCCTTGTCGACCGGCGTTCCCCGTTCAGGACTGCCCTCCTTGCCATACTTCTCGACTTTAATCTTAACATCGGCATACGTCGCATCACATACCCCACAACGCCTGGACACGATCTTCTTCTCCAAATTTTCCTCCTCTTCGCTATCTGCCCGTAACAAGCGTGCCCACCACCGCCGCCGTCTCAAGGTCCTTTCCCAAGCCCAAGCGGAAGAAATCAGACAAGCCGCCAACGACGACCCTTCAACTCCAAACAAGAAGGGTAAACGGACCAAGACCCGTATCACAAAATCTACCCTCTCCTCCGCCTTTGCTACCTCTTCAGCCACCACCTCTGCCATGGGAGGTGGCTCCGGTATAACAGGCCCATCTACAATTCTCACAGCGCGCCCATTCCCACTCGAGCGTCTCCTAGCTATCTACCACGCCATCGACCCCAATCCCCCCGAGAACCCAATCCGTACAGGCGCAGTTGCCGATCACATCTACGCCGAACTGGCCACACTCCGCCGCCTGCGTTTGGTTGTCCCAGCCTCGGGCCACCACGGTGGGCTTGGTACTACAGCAAGTGGAAACACCAGTGCAGATGCAGGAGAGAAATGGTGTGTCAATGTTTCTGGAGATTGGATAGGCGAGTTGGCCAAGGGTATTGGCGTTGAAGTCGGGGAGTGGCTAGCTGGTGGTCTGGATTAAGGTGATTTCGTCTATTGCACTATTTGGAGTATGACGAGTGGTTTCTGTTCCTTTATGCATTTGGTGTTGGTTAGGTTGCATAGCATCTTAGATGCGAATGAATTATACCCGTTTCGTTATGTCTATGTCCCTTTTAGTTTTCAAAGCTCATACTATAATTCATGGGTGCCTGACTCCATGCATGCTAAATTGATGCCCTAAATACAAGGAGAAGACACCAAGACTGCGGCCAGGTTTATGCTCTAGACTGAGGTCGCAGGCCCCTCAGATTATTCTTGTCCATGAGGCCTAATCCATCAGGGGAGGTCCGAGGGCGATATACTCACTTAATAGTTCAAGTGCCTCCAGTTAGAGGGTCATTGCTGACTGAGGCGCTTGGCTTGCAGATTTGGGCTTATTTCTCTTTGTATCAATATATTCGGTATTTGAGTCCTCTGATCGATGGAAGGAAGCGAGAAGGACGCAATGCCCTTATCGGATGCTTTCCTGACCTTTCTCTTACTGAACCTGCGGCGCATCTGTGCGTTCCTTTGAGGCAAGGTATTGTTGCTAGGTAAGTGAGATATAGCCGGAGTTCTAACAAAGGATTAAGTGAGAGTGACGAGGGTAATTAAAAGGCTGTAGTGAATTATCTAGTAATAGGAAATATGATAATCTGGAAATATGCAATCCGCAAATGCTTGGTATCATGTGAGTGCTATGGATATGCTAAGAATAATCAAAGAATAAGAAAGATGAGATCCCGCGTGTCTCACCACTTCCACTCATCAATCCTCTTGTTCGAGCCAATTAAAAGGCTCGGTACCCCTGAACCACCCGCAGAGAGCTCATGAGCATTGCTAAAAAGCAGAGCCTCAATAGGGTGCGAGTAGTCATGATCCCTGAACGGGGAGGCCACTTCTGTCCCTGTCTTCAACGAGAATAGCTGCACCTTCCCATTCTCCGAGCCTGTAAATCTTGTCAGCGAGATATACTTCCTACAAAGAAAGCTTCAAGAATGTTGCCTTACCACTCGCAAGAAGGCCCAGCTCAGAGCTGATGTCCATCTGCGGCACTGCAGCCGGTGAGTAGCCTTGGAAGGTAAGGCATGGCCGAGTTGCAGTGTGGGTTTTGGCGATCGGATTTGGTCTGCGCTGCAAGCCATTTGGGGCAAAACGAACATCGTACAATTGCAGCTGGGTTTTGGAGTCAGTAACCACTAAAGCAAAAAAAAGGAGAGATCTTACAATTTCATGTCCTGCTACCATAATCCGGTGCTCGTCGACTTTGAGAAGCTTCGAAACGGTGTGTGGGTGTTGTAGCCGTGCAGCACTGCTTTTACTGCGCAGGTCGTGCAAGAATACCGTCGAGTCCCGTAGGCCCGCTGCGATGACATTCGTGGAAAGCCAGTCAACAGCTGTGACGCATGCATGCGAGCTATCGGGTTTCCGGTTAAATTTCTGCACTCCTTCTTGGGGGAATGGTATGTCTGAGTATGACCATCGGTCACGCGATCCATTAAGAGTGTGAAGACCCTCTGAGGTGCCGACAGCAAATAGAGCCTTTTCTTTTGTGGGACAGGCTGCGGAACAGAATAGCGTTGACTGAACCTTGGCAGCTGCTGTTGGTACGGCATGACCTGATGCATTTGGCAGTTCATGAGTTCGGGGTCCAGGGAACCGAACGCCTTCTAAGGGGTGCCACGTACCAGATTGCTCATTGACTTCTAAGTCTCCGTTCTCCTCAATTCTGTGGGGGATCAGCCATGAATCTCCACTCAGGCTCTCTGTTGTTATCCTAGGAGTGTATGAGTAATGAAGAAGCATATTGGGCCCATGTTGAAGCTTACAGGATATATCCTGCGGAGCTTAGGGAGAGTGAGGAGATCTTTGATGAAGGTATGTCAGTGGGTGGATGTGTTTGATTTATAGAGGTTGCGTACAGTGGATTCCATGGTAAGGAATAGACGGCCTTGCTCAAAGGTCCGCCTTTCGAAGTCCTTATCTGCGCATGTTGTGCTATCACCTTGTCAGTGATTGTGGGCCGAGAACGGAACGAATAAGAAACCTACAAAAGGACCCCACGAGAGCCGTCTTGTCCAGCTATTCAACAGGTTAATATCCATGGGTCGTGTCAACACGGTTATTTGGAAGGAAGGCGAACCTGTAAAAACATCTCCTGTCCAAGGATTCTGGACCAAAGACTTAATGGACAGGTCAAAATCCCAGCCCTTTAGCTTGCACAGCTTCGTTCGACGAAGTTGACTTGCAAAGGCTCGGGCCTGCTGGTCTTGTATGGCTGTAGGTGAAAAGGCCTGGGATCCGATCTCCCTCTCTCCATTGATCAATGGATGACGAAAAATACCTTCTTTGCTTACTTTCTCGTTCTGGATGCGTTGAGTGAGCTGTTCTCGCTCAATTTCTTTCTGAAGCAACTGTTAATGGTTGTTTTACTATTGATTGGAGATCGGCATAGTGACTTTTTCTTCGGTCCTTCTTCTTTTGATCCCGTCATTGGAATATGATGCTCCTGGAGGTGCGACATGATTCGCTTGAATCTGAAAGTACTTCTTTTTCTCGGGATCTGTATGTTGGATTAGCGTCTGTGCATCTCGGCTCGCGGAAATCTCGGGCTTAACGTACCGTAGTAGAACCCCGGGATCTCTTGAGGTGCCATGTCGTTATGAGGACGAAAAAAGAGGGTATTTATGACGACTTGTAACAAGTAAGGTGGTAAGAGGAAGACCAGCAACAGTGCAAAGAAGCAACAACAACAGGTGGAATTCTAAGTGGAGATTCTCAAACCTTGAACTCTGGGAGTGGCCCTGAGAACGCAAAAGACGCCGAAGAGTCCTGATTCTAGTTAGACACCAGACAACCTCCGTCACATAAAGGCAGAACCCTGATATGATAATGCGTCAGATGCGACGAGGAAGATCGACAAGAGTGCGAAGAAGATGATGAAAAGATGAGGATGCAAGGATGAGAATGAGAACACGACGTGTGCTACGCCAAGTGAGAATCCTCAGGATGTTAAACTTGGGTGATGGTGTGGGAAGAACGAAAGAGACGCTGAAGGCTTTTGACCACAAGTGCACTAAGCAACATCTGCCACCTATGGCATAGATTTGATATGACAATACGCAGGATGTTATCAGTAAGATCAATAAGGGTTTCAAGAAGAAAAACCAACGTGTTAAACGCCGAGTGAGAATGCTCAGGGCGTTGATTCTGGGTAGTGTGGGAACAGCGCAGACGCTGAGGGTTTTGGATCGCAAATGTCGCCAGGCAACATTTCCCACGTAAGGAACAGGTCGGGTATGACAGTTCAAGGCTCCGTCCAGAGCAATCCAGTTCACAATCAATGTATTGAAGCGAACCTGCAAATTCGATTGATGGCGACGGTGACGTCTCTGTGATTATATAATGTTGATGCCTTAGGCCTCAAAATCAGTCTATGTCGATGCCCTAAGACACCATCATCTCCATCAGGCCTGTATGTCTTTTCGAGATGATAGAAAAAACCCTTGGCTTGCATTTTAAAGTAAAAATTATCATATCAGATGTAAGCCATGGAGTACATGGCATTTCGATGCTGGAAATCCAAACTCGGAAAGCCCGTGGAGTATCGGAAACACCCATCATACTTGAAGTTGCTCTTATATTTGCCTTGGCTTCAACATCGAAGCTTCTTTTCCATGATTTCTTGCATGACGCGTCAGAACGCGGCTAAACAAGCTTCCACTGGGTAAGTTTCGAACGCCAACGCGTCATTAACCGCTGGATGAATGGCACCTTCTTTCTTTGCTCCGAATGGCAGGCAATGGCCCTTGCCACAATTGTTGGGCGTCGCCATGATGAGTGTCATCTCCCAAATCTGTTCTCATTCGTTATCATCATTTCTGCACAGAGATATTCTTCATCTTCTGATTCTTATCCTGCGAGGTACAGAAGACGGCTTTTTCTTTATAGGCTTTTTTGATATTCTTTCATCAGCAAAGTGCTTTGATCAACATGACCCAAGATGCCGATGGCTCTGAAGCCCTGGCTCTGAACAGCCACTCGGGTGGAGATTATGGCGGAATAGAAGCCAAGGATCTACATCTCATCACCAGGTTCCACACAGAAGACGACTTGGACATCCTGATCAAGGAACTTGAAGAGGAGGATGGCAAAGATCTTGGCCCAGAGGTTCTGCCGATCGGCCCTGGTACCGACATTCACATCCTCACAAAAATACCCACAACAAACCCCTACACAGGCCTCAATGATGCAGAAGTTGAGGCTGGACGACGAAAGCACGGGTGGAATACTCTGAAAGAGGAACGTCAGAGCAAGGTGGTTAAATTTCTCATGCTCTTTATCGGGCCTGTGCAGCTTGTCATGGAGGTAAGTGGGTCATTGCCTACAAACTACATGCAACCGTCTCTCTAGACCAGAAGCTCACAGTCCTGGCACATAGGTTGCAGTTGGTCTCTCTGCCTATTTGCAAGACTGGATTGACTTTGGCGTGATATCGGGTCTGCTATTGCTCAACGCTGTTGTGGGCTTCATTCAAGAATACCAGGCCGGAAACATTGTCGATGCTCTGAAGAAAACCCTCGCCCTCACTGCAACCGTCATCCGCAAAGAAAAGACAGTCGAAGTCCCCGTCAAGGACTTGGTTCCTGGCGATGTTGTGTTTCTTGAAGAGGTAAGATCCGACCGAGGCGATGCACTCAGAATAGTGTACTGATGGTTCTATAGGGAGTTGTTGTTCCGGCTGATGGATTCATTGTGTCTAAAGACGCACATCTCCAGGTTGATCAGTCTTCCATTAGTGGAGAGTCCCTTGCTGTGGATAAGCGCTCAAATGATCCCTGCTTTGCTTCTTCTACCATCAAACGTGGGGAGGCACTCATGATCGTCACTGATATTGGTGACATGACGTTTGTTGGAAAAGCTGCAGCCCTGGTGAACAAAGCAGCCAATCGAAAGGGCCACTTCACCGTTGTTCTGGATGGAATTGCAAAAATTCTGATGACCCTTGTGAGCTTTTCGTTGCTCTTGATATGGATCTCTGCATATTATCGCTCCAACGAGGTTCGATTGATTCTGGAGTTCACCCTGGCAATCACGGTTGTCGGTGTCCCAGTCGGTCTTCCTGCAGTTGTGACCACCACCATGGCTGTCGGTGCATCCGAGCTCGCCCGGAAGTCTTGTATTGTTCAGAGGCTTTCCGCCATTGAATCCCTAGCCGGTGTGAATATATTGTGCTCTGATAAAACTGGCACACTCACCCGCAATAAGTTGGCTCTGGGTGACCCTTTCGCTCTTCCAGGGATTAGGATCCATGATCTCATCCTCACTGCCTGCTTAGCCGCTAGTCGGAAGAAGAAGGGACTTGACGCTATTGATCGTGTCTTCATTAAAAGCCTGAGGAGATACCCAGACGTCAAGGCTCAGATGGACGCGCACAGGACCATCGATTTCAAGCCCTTTGATCCAGTCTCAAAGAGAGTAGTTGCTGTTGTGCAGGATTTTGACGGACGTCAAATGACTTGTGTGAAGGGAGCACCAATGTCAGTCCTGCGCACTGTTCAAGATGATCATCCTGTGCCTGAGCTGATTGAGAATGCATACCGAGAGAAGGTGGCCGAATTTGCCAGTCGTGGTTTTAGGGCCCTTGGGGTTGCTCGCAAGACTGGTGAGCAATGGGAAATCCTCGGGATTGTGCCTTGCCTGGACCCCCCTCGCTATGACACCAAGCAAACCATTAGAGAAGCGCAGAAATTGGGTCTTCGTATCAAGATGCTCACCGGAGATGCTGTGGGAATCGCAAGAGAGACTGCTCGTTCACTTGGACTGGGCACTAACATATACAATGCGGAACGTCTTGGCGTGACTGGCGCCGGTGATCTACCTGGATCCGAGGTCAATGACTTTGTAGAAGCTGCAGATGGGTTTGCTGAGGTGTTTCCGGAGCATAAATACAAGGTTGTGGAAATTCTGCAGCAGCGTGGGCACTTAGTTGCCATGACGGGGGACGGGGTCAACGATGCACCATCTCTCAAAAAGGCCGACACTGGCATTGCGGTTGAAGGGTCTTCTGACGCTGCCCGGTCTGCATCTGACATTGTATTCCTCCAACCTGGACTCTCCGCAATCATTGACGCCATCAAGTGTTCTCGTCAAATCTTCCACAGGATGTACTCCTACGTGATTTACCGTATTGCACTGTCGCTCCACCTTGAATTCTTCATGGGCCTCTGGATCATCATCATGGACCAGACCCTTGATGTGCGCCTGGTGGTCCTGATCGCCATCTTTGCCGACATCGCTACCCTGTCTATCGCCTATGACCATGCGCCATATGCCGAGGACCCTGTTAACTGGAACCTGCACCGACTCTGGGGTATTTCCACTATTCTCGGCATCATCCTCGCTATAGGTTCTTGGGTTGCACTTGGTACTATGCTGTTGCATGGGGACCAAGCAGGTATCGTGCAGCATTTTGGCGCCCGTGACGCCGTCCTGTTTCTCGAGATTGCGTTGACTCAGAACTGGCTCATCTTCATTACGCGTCTGAACACCAATGGCCCTGTTACACTGTGGAGAAATGCCCCTTCCACGACACTCATTGTGGCCATTTTGGCTGTGGACGTTGCAGCAACTCTCATTTGTCATTATGGCGTCTTCCTTCACACCCAGACCTCCTGGATGACCATTGCTCGCGTCTACATTTTCTCGTTGGGCACCTCTATGGTTTGCGGCACCTCGTATGTGACACTGAAACGCTCCACCCGCTTCGATGACTTGATGCACGGCCGAATCTTCCGTCGCCCCCATCAGCAGCGAGAGAATGAGGATTTTGGTAGGTTTTCATGCTCTGAAGATTTTATTCTCGTGTTAACTGGGATTGCAGGACTTATGCTGAACCGAATGGCAGTCGAGCATGAGCACAATATCTGAGACACTGAAAAGAGTGTTTATTCTCTGGCTTTCAAGGCTGATCATAGCTGCCAGATGGAAGAGGACTGAATATGGAATAGCATGCAGCTTTTATCAGCGGATTTAGTATCCTCGAAGGATGGATTGTTATCAAGGGAATGAACCAAGCCTGTATTGTTAAAGTTTACTGCAGTCTTTATGTGTGAACTGAATCTGGAACCCTTCGATATGCTCTTTTCCCACCGTAGAACTCTTGTAGCTTCTGACCTTGAGACTTTGGAAACATGAAAGCTTACCCAAATTCCCCTCTAGCCTACGCGCAAATTGTTGCGTTCCAAGTTCAGGCCTCCTACTCAGATGACTGACTCACTCTAAAAATAATTCTCTGACTCTTGATCACGTAGGCATCAATTTGAGCGGAAATCACCATGCCATACTTGCATGCCTTCTCAAAGACTTCAGCTTTGGCTACCAGGTTTTCTCTGATACTAGCCTTGGAATCGATCACCATTCCTGTGATTAATTCCCAAGAAGTCGGAAATGGTAATGCAACAATGAGTGAAGCTGCCTTTGAGGTATTGAATGTTCTTATCTTTGGAGTAGAATTTGTGCGCACATCGCCCCGGGCAACTATGAGCATCGCAGACCCACGACGCAAGGATCCGCATCACAAAGCAGACAAAATGTGGACAAAAAGTTGCCATACTGTTGAAAACAAACCAGGCAAACTTTGATTTTTTGATTTTTTTGTTACAATTGGGTGACTTCAACTCCTGATATCAACTTATGCTTTGAGTCACAGGTAACAATTGCCATCCCGAGCCAATATGTCATTTAACACAGTGCAATCTTCGGACGATTACATCATTCATTTAGCTATTTGCTACAATTCATGCACTTCGTATAGCACTCCTCTACCCATGGCGGGTCCACATTTGTCCAATCAGAGCCACCAGCGACAGCCTCGGCTGTCAATGGTGGATCCGAAGCGGAGCAACCCACGCGGGGAACTCATCATTTCATGCATTGCAGATGCATTGATTGAATAGATTGTCTTTATTCTAGCATCATCACTGCATCAATGCTGGAAAAGCAAAAGCCACCTGACCGCGCCAGGATAGTGTGCTTAAACTGCCATGCTCGAAAAGTATGCCACTACCCATTTTCAGTACAAAACTCAGACTGACCGGGTTCCAGGTACGATGTGACCTCGATCAGACAGGAGATGTCTGCGGGAATTGCAGGAGGCGTCGGCAGACTTGTCGGTCGGTTACCAGTTGAGCTCACTCGAATTTCCTTTTTACACATTCTCATTTTTCTACAGACGTCGCGGCCGCAGTAGATACCCTGCCAGGACTACCAATTCCGCCGGGCCGCCCTTAAGATCGCTGACTGCGCAATCTTTCGAAAGTAGTGAGAATGGCCACGAAGCACTGCCTGCTAATATTCCATCTAATCAAGGGATGAGTTCGGCTTCCTCAACACCATTTGACCCGCCAGGCTATGTGGGTGAGTTATCTTTCATGTCTCCTTTGGAGACTGATCCTGGACAGCCACTACCTCAACCAATGGGGGCATTTCATGCCCGCTTCTCCAGTGAGCTCTTGAAATCAATGAACGCAACGTCCCTGCCACCGAAAGCCAAAGTCGATGCATTTACAGATGCCTATTTTAAACATATTTATCACCGAGCTCCTGTTGTCGACAGAGCAGATCTACACCAAGAGGAGCCATCAATGATCGTATCTCAAGCCATCTGTATGATTGGCAGTCTGTTGCGCCACCCAAGTCTTCGATCCCCGCTCGAAGAAAGCGAAGAATATTACTGCAGAGCGAAAGCATTGCTGTATGCCAACTACGAAATGGATCATCGTAATACGCTCAAAGCCCTTTGCCTTCTGATATTTCGAAACGTTACTCCGCCAAATGTTCTCACCTTGGACTGCTCATGGCAATGGACAGGAATGGCAACAAGATTATCCTACCAGATGGGTCTACATCGCGAATCTACGTACTCGAAGCTCACAAATCCTGGAAGTGCGCGTCGAATGATGTGGTTTCTCTTCGTATTTTCTCCACGGTGTATAATTTCTCGTTCATCTACTAATACCTCACTAGGTAGAGGATAAAGTTCAAAGCGCTTGTTTTGGACGTCCATCCGTGATCCGTAGCGCCGAAATGGACCTACGGCCGTTACGACTTGACGATTTTGAGTGCCAAAATATTCAAGCCGAGCTCTTCATAGAATTTGTGAAACTAAATGTGATCATGGGCCAGATAGTTGACCACCACGGCCAGCAGGGCGAATCACAACAAGTAGAGGTATATCCCACTGCCCTGAGAAGTATTCGTCAACTCACATTCGACTTGACCTCGTCATTTGAATATGAATTCTGACTCACCCAGTACTCACACATTTATATCGATAGGTGACAGCCATGCTTCAATCGTTAAGGCAATGGATCAGTAACCTACCCCCTCAACTACGCCTCTATGATGGCCATGATCGCCGTCCCTTCAGGCGAGATATATGCGAGCTACATGTCAATTACTTCGTTTGTATCGTTGTTCTTTGTCGTCTATATGGAGGGTCACTTCCACCAACCACAGCATCGGCGACGTCTCTAGTGGCATCGTCTTGTATCAGCCATCTGTTCGAAGAACTTAACTTCCGAGACGAGATCAACTACCTGATGCCCTTGAACAACTGGTTTCTCATGGTAGCTTGCGCGCCTCAAATTCAGCAAAATGCCGCCTGTCGAGGCAAAGATAAGCTCTGTACCGAAGAGCTAAACAAATTGATAGCCGCTCTACGGCACATGCATTTGAAATGGCCGCCGGTGAGAATTCTGTTGGGTATTATTGAGCGATTGGTCATTAGAAGCCACCAGGAGATCAATTCGCTTGGCCATGCTTCGGGTTATTCGCTGGATTCGGACTATATAGGCGACACATGGACCCGACTATTTCCTCACGCTGACCTCAGAGGTTTGTTCCCGTTCCCTAGCTCGTTAAGCCCTCGTATACAACATGTGGAGGCTGGGAGTGAGGAGAATGTTGATTCATTGGCTATTGGGCGGATGATCGACCTAGGCAATGATGACTTGGACTGGATCTTTCACGAATACCAGCTTGGCTTTATGGAAGCTTCAATTTATTGAAGCCTGTTGGTCCACTAGACTTCAACTCCTTGATGACCGCTATTTCTTACGAACCTTCCTCGAAAACAATATACCGTCTTCGGATGAATTTGATAGTCTCATTTTTTCCCGTATACCTGAATATATGCTTGAATGATATGAAGAATAGGGAGTCGACTACGCACTCCTTAGAGATGACTCTCCGAGGGAGATTTGCTTCCCCAGGGAAAGAATTGCAGAAGATCTCGGAACAGTTTCGGATTACCTTTATGCATCTTAGTTTCCGGCGTAATTCGACACATCAGCAGGCTCCTCAATTCCTCCTTGGTCACGGTCAAGTGCAGTCCCGACTTCTCCGCAAGACATGTATTGGAAGATGTTTCGCGGTAACTCAAGGCACCATTGCTCAGAATAAGTCGCCAGTCCTGACCTTGGTCTGACAGTGTGATATCAATGACGATGGATTTACTAGCTGCACGCATCCCATCAACTTGAACAGAGATGGCGCATAGCCATTGCTCCACGCTGAGCAAGGGATTCAGATCTTCAATCTTGCCTGTTTGCGGCGTTTGTGCTGTGATTTTAGAAGCCAGATCCTCTGCAGCAGTCAAATAGAAATTCCGCCATGTTGCATTAACCGCCCCAAACCCAAGATTCTTGAAAACGGAGGCGAGTGCACTACGTGCCCGGGCATTTTTAGGCTCGGTGGCAACAACATGACCCAGGAGGGTGGCTGCAAAGCGTAGATCATCTTTAGCGGCGAACTCTTCAGCCAATGTGATCGTTTTGTCAATACCGCCCATACAAGCGATGTATCTCTTGCCTTCCTCTGCCGGAGGATGATTCCAGAGGTTAACGGGATTCCCGTCGAACCATGTCATGTAACGCGAATAGATGGCCTTGATGTTGTGGCTTAGGGATCCATAATAGCCTTGTAGATGCCAAGCGCTGTCGAGTGCTGGTGGCAGATTGAGCGTCTCTGCAATTTCCACCCCAGTCATACCCTGGTTCATCAGACGAACGGTCTGGTCATGCATATATGCGTACATGTCACGCTGCTCAACTAGTATGCGGGTGATATCGGTTTGTCCCCAGGTAGGCCAATGGTGTCCAGCCAGCAAGACAGTAGCCTGGTCCCCAAATAATACCAGACTTTCGTCGAGATAGCGCGACCAGGCTTTGGCATCGCGGACAAGCGCACCACGGAGAGTAGATATGTTGTGCATGCAGTGCGTTGCGCACTCGGCGATGTAGAGCGCTTTGCTGTCGGGGAAGTAGAAGTTGAATTCCGACGGTGCCTCGGTGCCCGATACCATCTGGAATACGATCCGAACGCCGTCAACTACCCTTTCGTCATTCGTATTGGAAATCAGCATGTTGGGCGGAATCAGTGATGTGGTTCCTCTCGATGTAGCCATCCCCAATCCGCATCCAACCTGGCCTTCCACGCCGCGGGGCAATGTTGATCCATACATGTACCTCGCTCTTCGCCTCATTGCCGGTCCTGCGTAGATGTTTTCGCTGGTCGCTTCCTCCATAAATCCCTCTGGGGCAATTATAGGAATTGCATCTTCCGTTCCCGGCGAAAGGACTCCCCTTGCACCACCGAAATGATCGACGTGGGAGTGTGAGTAGATCAAGCCGGTCATAGGCCGGTCTCCGCGATGCTTCTTGTACAGCGAGAATGAGGCGGCAGCACACTCGTTCGATACAAGAGGATCGATAATTATCACACCTTTCTTTCCTTCGACTAGGGTCATGTTGGACAGGTCAAAGCCACGGACTTGATAGACCCCCTCTGTGACTTGGAAGAGGCCGTGTTTGACAGTGAGTTGGCCTTGTCGCCATAGTTTCGGATGAACAGTCGGCGGACATTCTTGGCCGTTTGACAGAAAGGAATACGCGTCATTATCCCACGCTGTCTCGCCGGACAGCGTCTTGATGATTCCTGGTTCAAGAGTGCCGAGGAATCCACGGGAGGTGTCTTGGAAGTCGGACATGGTAGGAACGGTAATGAGACAAATTGAAGAGGAATTATGCTGCAGAGGTTCACATGAGCAATGGTCCTATTTAAACATCCAGAATAACCGAGTTCTTCCAAGTTTCCTTGGTGCAGCTCGGCGACTACCGAATATACCGAAGTTGGTTCGGCACCCCGCATTTACCCCAGGTTTGGATCTCCAATATACCGAAGTGAGAGAGCCGAGATGTCAATATAACATTGGACCCCTGCAGATCTGGCTACTTCGTCAATTCTTTTCCACACTATTCATTGGACATGAAAATGGATCATAAAGAAGAAATCGAACATGTTGAGTCGCAGTCATCACCTGCCGTCGATGATGATCTAGGCTTCACTCTTCGGGAGCAGCGCCATATTATTCATAAAACTGATCGGAGGCTTATTTCGGGACTGGGCCTGCTTCTTGCAGTCAGTCTGATCGACCGGACTAACCTGGGAAATGCAGCAATTGCAGGGTGGGCACCGGACTCTCCTCCAACAAGAACTCTAATTGACAGCTCCTAGGATGACGAAAGATCTCGATTTGGAAGTCCAATCACGATATGTTAGTCCCTTTAAGCCAATTTCATAGCTCATGGGTCAAACAGACTGATAAAACAGTCCATCATTCTCTTAGTTTTCTTCATCCCCTACGTGATTGTTCAATTTCCAAGCTCTATCCTCGTCCGCAAGGTCGGCCCTCGCCATTTCCTGTCAGGAATCACCTTTGCATGGGGCGTGGTCATGATGGTATGTTTTTTTGACGTGGATCTAGTGCTCTACTGACCTTGTCAGTGCTTTGGATTTGTCCATGACTGGAAGGTGATGATCGCGCTACGCATTATCCTGGGGATATTTGAAGCAAGTCTTTTTCCCGGAGCAGTTTACCTCCTTGCGGTGTGGTACTCGAGATGTGAGCCATTCCGTTCCTTCAACAAACGCCACATAAGTTAACGAGGCCAGATGACGTACATAAGCGCTATTCCTCCTTCTACCTCTTGAGCACAATCGGTGCTTCACTCTCTGGTGTTCTTTCTTACGGATTCATGCAAATGGCTGGGCTTGGGGGATTAAGTGCCTGGCAATGGATCTTCGTCATGGAAGGCCTTCTCACCTGTTTGATTGCTGTGGTTGGCTATTGGCTCCTCATCAACTTTCCACAGGATGCCCACAAGGCACGGAATTTCTTGTCCCCAAGGGAGATTGAGTTCATTCTTCGTCGAATTGACAGAGATCGAAGCGATGCGGATGATGAGGCCTTTTCGCTTTCTTCGTTTTTGGCACCTGCTTTGGACTTGAAGATTTGGGGGTTCGGGTTGATATTCTTGTGGGTTTTGAATCTCGGCCGTTTCCTCTCCTTGTCTCTCTGGCTGACTCTAGCCACTATAGATGCAGCACTGTTGTTGCGTATGCGATGGCTTTCTTCCAACCCATCATTCTATCTCAGAAACTCGGCCTCGGTATTGGCGCTTCACAGGCTCTGACCACGCCGCCGTACTTCTTCGCCGGTCTGCTGATGTATACACAGGGATGGGCAGGAGACAAATGGCATATTCGAAGTCCGATTATTATTTATAATGCTTTACAAACCATTGTCGGTTTGTGTATCTTGGAATGGGTTTCTGCCCCCGGCGTGCAGTACTTTGGTATCTTCCTCGTTGCGGCCGGGGCTAACTCTACGATTCCGGCTGTACTTGCTTGGCAGGCCAACAACATCCGTGGCCAATGGAAGCGGGCTTTCTGCAGCGCCAGCATTATTACTTTTGGAGGGATCGGGGGTATCATCGGAGCCGTGGTTTACCGGTCTCAGGATGCACCAAACTTCTTTCCGGGCGTGATGGCCTCCATTGTGTGGGTTGGAAACGCAAATTCCTTGCCTCATCTCGATACTGACCTCTATTGTAACAGGTGCAATATCATTATTCTCCTGGTTGCAGGGATACTCGCTGTACATTTCCACATATCAAATCGGAGAGTCAGAAAGGGTACCTTGGTTATTGAAGGGCTCCCTGGATTTTGCTACACCTTATGATTGATATGCATCAAAGTCAGCAGCACAATTCGATGTTCAAATTTTCACATTGCGCGCCCAGTTTACCGTAAAACAGCGTTTCAAAATTGGCACCTTCGTATTGATTTTGAACCCAGTCTATTTTACAAAAGTTTGAACTTTGCATAGCACCCGACTATAGTAAGCCCGATATCATAACCGCATAGACACAAAGGCCTTAGCTGGCTTGGAAGTCTCAGAGATATTCATTGAAATCTCCTGCATACTCTCGCCCTCTTCTTCCTCCCGAATAAACCTCTGCTGTCTCTTGTACATGCGCCAGAAAACCAGACTGCCATGTATCTGCGCAATCGAAAATGCAACGTGCAAAAGAGGGGTGACGACCTTGAAGGCAATCTGCCACCGTTCCCAAAGGCTGCCAAATAGCCACATCGTGACAATCGTTTCACCTGTTGTACCAATTGCCGTTATAATGCATGACACGAGAAATACGCGGCTGAGGAAGTGGTGGCGGTCAGGATAAACACGGTAGAGAATGATGGCGACATGGGGAAAGAACTCGGCGATCATATCGAAGGCACCTAGAAGGAAGATCAATATTAGATCAGGTCGGAGAAGAATAGAAACCGAAGATTGGGAGGCCATTCACCCCAAACGGTGCACAGAATGAACTCGATATCTGCATCCGGTTCACGCAGAAGCTTCAAGCTAATGGCGATGGCAGACTGCCCAATGAGAATTGTCCCTGTATGATGTGCCACAGCGACAGGGGATAGCTTGCTGCGGTAGATGAGCTCGAATATGTACATGCCAATCAGCATTTGCGCTGCCACTATGAGCACATCGCCCAGCGTTACAATGGAGCCATGAGCGAAAGGTGTGTGAAAAGTCGAGGTCCCAAAGGTAACGCAGACAAAGGGGTATGCTGCAAGAACCAAAATGACAATTTTCGTTGCTGCTGAGATGTGGTGATTGATGAAGCCGCGTCGATTGACCTCACTGAGGTCCGTATAGACATCGCCGTAGTACCATTTTATGAGAAAGCCTTCAAGGATGTAGAAGCGAACCACGAAGACAACAATCAAAGTGATGGAAAGAATGAGAGCGGAAAATGGAGCAAGGATGGATATTGGTTCCAATGGTTTCTTCAACAGGAACTCATTGTGGCGTGGGATAAGTGGCATTGTGGTGGTGAACCCAAAGTAGTGGACTGAAGACAGGCAGGCAAGGAAATTAAGAAAAGAGAGGTGTAGCGTGGATGGAAGACACCCGCGCAGGTTTTACAATGCGAATATGAAAGTGAGTGGTGGTTGGTGTTTAAACGAAAGAATTTGGAGAGAAAGATGGGGATTGAGCTCCACTGAGACTCTGGACTTATACTTGTAGCCTTGTCAGCCCTGTAATAATAAATGAGACCCACTTCTGAGGTTGCTCAGGAGGCGAGGCTGACCCTTATGGTCTTTCTAGTGTTTTCATGTGGACCAAGTAGATCCACATCCTTTTACTGATTTAACATTCCTGAGAAACGACACTCAATCTATCAGGAATACATTACAATTAACGGTGGCATGTGATTGAAAGGCTTCCCAGCGAAAATATCGCGAGGGGGCTAATGCTATCGAAACTTTAAAGTGTATAGACTACTCAGTACTTAGCCCTACAGATTCCCAACCCCTGTGATACCGGGACCCGTACACACCCAGGTCACCGTTTAGGCGGCAGCCCCGAGAGCTTAAGAGGTTCACTGGGTCTGGTTGGTCAATTGTAACCCTGCAACTGTCGATCGGGGTAGACCTGAGACATTACTGGTCGACTCTGGAGGCAGCCAAGTATTGATAGAAGCTTATTTTCACCAGTGGGACTAGATTGATCGGTCTTGAACAACCAAGGTCCAGAATTGAGGCTGATCATGACTACCTCTTAAGCATTGGAGGCTCTACAGGAACACTCTCCAGACCACCAAACCACCAATAAAAGCTCAAAGCAAGCTTTGCTGTCAGAAGAAACATAAAAAGCCTCTTCGAGGCAAGGTCCTGTTCAATTAGGGATGTGGAGGTAATATGGCTGCCTACGGTAAGCCACAGTCGCTTCAACCACGAAAAATCTCTGTTCGCCTCTTGTAAGCGCATTGTCTCCATTCGTCCGTTAAATCTCTCATTGAATCTTTGAAACTGCTATATACAGTCTGCATGCTGAAATCCTTCTCATGCTACCAACTTCCATCCCCCGAAACACACTCTAGCCGCAAAAATGACCATAGCCCCAACCAAGCTAAACACGCGAGCAAAGATCATTGTGGGCTGATAACTCCCATGATAAATGACCCTTACTCCCGTAATTGAAGTTCTTGTCGGGCCAGAAAAGCTGAAAGCTCCAAGGCTCATTCCTGCATAAGATCCCATTTCATTCGGTGCGGAGCAGTTATAGCGTTTGTCGCTGGAAACTGCCCAATCACTGTACCAGAAAATAAGCCAAAGAGAATACCGAATGCAATCGTCGAACCGAGCAATTCAATGGTTAACCTGGAAAGGACTAGCATACTTTATAGCCGAGGCACCGGTGAGTGTGCTGAACCGCGCGATGTGATTGCAAGGGCACTGCCAAAGGATCATCCAAACCTGAATCCCGCGCTCATAATAGCCATCAAGGATAATGGACTCTCCACAGTGATGTTAGACTGAGCGATGCGGGGAGATGGAAAATGGGAAGAACACAGCCCAGAGCCCGAGGAAGAGGCCGGCAATTTGTAGCGAGTTTCCCGGGTGTTTCCACGCAGCGAGGTTAAGAGTCCACTCTGTCGCTTTGGAGCATTCGGAACGGATATACAGGCAAACGATGCTTAGTGCTAGCAATAGGAACCCAACAGACAAGGAAATTCAAAAAGCAATGAGTTGGCTCGCTTAAGCATGCATAACATTACCGTGTTCCTCGAGATTTTGTCAAGTTGACTTCCACCTCACACGCAGTATACAGTCCCAAATCAAGCAAGTCCGCCGTGCCCGAGACTAAACTTGACACTCGGCCCCGAGTGGCTCCACGAGCATGGAATCAAGGCCAGTCACCAGCTTGAGCGAATCAACAATGAATCTTCTAACTAGCGTGTATATTCGTGTATATTCCCTGCATATTTGGCGGGGCTCTCAATTCGGCATATGAGATGCTTAGGTAATGGCCTAAGCCTCTTACCAGTGAACTATGGGTTCTAAGAAAGTCATTTGATGCCTCGATCTAGTAACTTTTAGGCATTTTCAGGCCGCTTTCGCTAGGTATTTTGGATCTCTGAAGTCCACATTATTTCACACTTCGACTTCAAACACAAACGCGATCAGGGCACCCCCAGCGAGAACAGCCCCTGTCACGACAGGCAATCCAATTCGACTCGCCAGGCTAAATGGAACAAGGGCCTGATTCTCAGGTCGCAGCATTTGGGGGTAGAAATACCAAGTCGAAGTGACCCCCAGCCACGCCATTGCCCAACAGAACCCGAGTATCTTTTGCCACATCGGCGCAAGAGCCTCCCCATCGCCAATTTTGGCAGCACGACTGGTCCCCGTACAGGTTCTCCAGAGTCTCTTGATGCTGTCCTCGATTATCAGACCCAGCGGGGCTGTCATGAATAGTAGCATCGCGCCAGACTCGTGTCCTGGAATACCCTGAATGACATCAAGGATGACATGCAATCCACCAGAAAAGAGGAAGACAAGAGTAATGTTTGTATATCGCTTCAGCGGAGACTTGGATAGACCCAATATATCACGGGTTATAAATGTGCTGACAGAGACAAATGGTTCACGCACCAATTGATGCCAGAATTTGCTGTTGGAGCTTGTTAGCATGTCTTACAACAGACACATCCTAAGTTGAAATGAGGCGACATACCCCCAGAATCCTCTCAATGATCCCGCATCCGCTGCCCGTCCAAACAAAGGAGGACAATTCGACGGAGAGTCGAGTCCAAGTCCAACAAGCAGAATTGAGAACACGCGATGGTGCAGATCGATGAGCATCCTGCTCACCACGAATCCAGCGACCAAATTTGAGAAAATCCGCTCAATCCACTGCTCAACAGACAAGTCCCACTGGACAGTGGGCGGCAACAATTGATGTTTCATCTGCTCCTGTGCCTGCTGCAACGCAAGCGTAGCGAAAACATCCAACGCCAAGTACTGGAAAATAGCAATCGCAGTATGACGAAGCAAAAACCGACCTCGAGGCGGCTCTGTCATACCACGTTTCGTATAATAGGCTGGCTGTGCAGGTGCATTTTTGATCTGCCAGGGCGTGTTAATTCCACGCGGTTGAGTAAATAGTCGTGTCGCATAGTAGAGACGCGCGATAATACCATGGGTCCCCGAAGGCAGGTCGGTGCTGTCTTTTGGGTTTATAAGGAGTAGGTTCAGGGATTGGAAGATTACTGTCACGATGAGACGGGCTAGTTCACACCAGATGAAACCTGGCCCTAGGCTTTTGGCCAGGCGTATAGATCTGTGCGCGATCGCGACTAGACAGGGAATAGAGAGGTACCGCCATGCTGAGCGTTTGGCAGTAGTGACCAGGAGTATACCTGGGATTAGGCAATGAGCGGCACAGAGGGCTGAGATTTCCAGGATTTGTGAGGAAATTGACGCGTCTGTTCCACCCATGATGGGGTATGGATGGAGAATGGGTATAATTTTGGGCAGATTAGTGTGCCACGACTGTCATGAAGACTTTTTGTGATTTTCTTTTTTTTTTCTTTTTTGCTTTTTCCCCTGATCGCTGATGCTTGAAACTATTGTGATGTGGCCCAACGAAACCCCTCTTCGGGCTTAGCGTGGTTAAAAGGGTAATGATCGCCTTCAGCTAACATCAATCTCACCATCAGCTTACACTAGCATCGCGAGTCTACATCAGGGCAGCAGTAGTAAGTATAGAATAGTGATTAACATTTTGGTATGAACGAACAGAACTTCAAAAGAATATCAACCCTTCCCAACGCCTAACGCCCTGATCTAACCCCCATAACTATTCGTACATTAACTTAAAATCACAGATAAACATAACAAAACGGCCCAGCAGTAGTACTCATCAAATTTTTCAAAACAACAGACCCCTGATTCCCATTCGCATACCCAACGTTCAACAAATAGTCCAACGTAACATTCGCCGAATTGGGCGTATCCATAAATGTACTCGTCCCCGAAAGAGCATACTCCCGGTTCTTCAGATCCATATTCTGCCAGATCCACCAAATACGATCCACCATCCCGTGATGATGATAAAATGCCGGATCCCCAGCACTAGCATCCGCGTCCCGACCCGGATCACCGCCCATCGCGAAATGCCCTCCACCATGTAACCCGGGTGAGTCTTCCTGGCCCTGGATTTTATCCTCCAGGTCCCAGACGATTTTGCTGTGGGTGATCAGATTCACGATGGACGTGTAGTTGACGTACATTTGCAGGAGGGCCGTTGTTAGGTCTCGTTTTAGACAGCGGGGATTGTAGTCTAGCGGGTTGGACATCCGCGTGATGTTGTCCCCTGGTACAGCAAGGTAGGATGGACCAAGATTCACAGTCATGTTTTTGAAGGGACCGCTTGTGACGCAGCCGCCTCCTGTGCCGGGTGGAAGCCACAGTGGTGGGTATGGGCCTGGGATTCGAGCTCCTATTGGAGGTTCGTTGGGAACGTGGGCGCCGTTTCCTGAGAGAGAGGTATCGCTGCCATCGAACAATTGGGATTTCTCGAGACTGTCAGTGTCCGCAGCCCAGTTCCAGTATCTATTTATGTTAGTTGGGCTCTGGTGAATTTTTTGCGGTAGGATACTGACGGGTAGTCTCCGGTGTAGTTGCATTCGTTCCGTAGAGCTTGTTCATATTCGAAGATAAAATATCGATGCCATGCAAAGAAGAGGCCCTGGAAATGGTCAATGGTGGACAATTTGCAAGGTTGGAGGGTTGAGACTTACGTCGCGATGAACGTGATACGACTGGTTGATATGGACAGCGACAAAGTCATCGAATCGAGACCTCACTCCAGGTGCTAGATGAAGCGGGGTGATGGCCCGAGCCTTCGTCATACACTGAACGGATCTGATGTAAGACTTCTTTTCCGCAGGAGTAAACGCTCTCCAATTCCGACGGACTCGCAAGTTCTCCAACGTGCATGTATTATTCTCCTTAGAAGAATTCTGAATGATCGTATTGATCGAAGTCTTCAACGCATTCTGGGCCATTTCATTTAATCGATCGGCTGCTTCGATCATATCAGGATTCTGATTAAACCTCAATATCCCCCAAACGGGACAGGCCAGGACCAGCCATATTGAAAACAAAAAGGCAACCAGATTGGCCATAGTCTAGGTCTAGGCTGTGGCTCCGGGGGAGAATTATTCTGACGACGACCCTTGCGTTTGCACACCTTCACGTCATTATATGTATCTTCAGGCCGTCTTGGTGCTAAGCAAACAGGCCACGCGAAAGATCGTATGCTGTGCAACCCCAGCCCGTAGCCTCGGAGAGTTTCCCATGCAAGGACTCCGACGGTCTGACATTTCCACACGCCTGACGTGAAACCGTGGAACGATGGAAGGAAAAGCTTATCGCCAGGAGGTTCTTCGGGCTCCTTTTGTGCAGATCCAGCTGATATTGTTTCAAGATTTCGCTTATCGGGCATCCTCATCCTAGCTATACTTATCCGTCAGGCCCCTTCTTGGAATACGGGGCGACGGTGCAAGGTCCTGATCGACAGGTTCCCGATTTCTGAGTCATATCGCGTGTTTCAGAACCCGATAGACAAAAAGCGGGACTGCTTGAGTTGTGTTGGTTTTGTTAGAAGGGTAAGCAGGATCTATGATATCAGGCTAAAAATGAGGAAATCTGACATTGTTACATAGATCCTCCCGGGAAAAGCGAGAATGAAGCTCAGATGCCTTGCATCATTTCTATGCGAACTGCATCACATACGGTAGGGCTTTCCACGCTTACCACATGGTTTAATTGTGGAAGGCCCAATTTCTCCGAATCAGGACCGGGCGAATCTCGAGTATAAACTCCCTCCCCTCTTTCTCGTATTCCCCCCGCCTTCTCGCTCCTATTTTGACACGCCACATTCTTCTATGTCCATCACATAAAATAGAGAAACACACAGTAGAGCGCGAATATATGCATCATGGTCTTTGGTAGTCAGTTCAAGACAACGCCACCTGCAAAGCCTTTCTCATTGGGGCCAAAGTGGGCTTGATACGTCAAACGTGATTGGAGTGCGCATAATCGAGAATAATTCTCCTGGTTCTCGGAGATCTGGAGCGAGCGGAATACGTCGCATCCCCAGCCGTATTCCATACTAACTTTCGTATAGTATGCTAACTTCCCGAGCAAGGTACGCAACTAGCTCTTCAGCCATGGGCATTTGGCCCCCTTCTAGTCAATATGATGACCGTCTTGCTGATAGGAGTCACTTTTGACCACCTGCACATGAGTTAATTAGCGAATAGACTTCACGTGGATGTTCGACTAGGGGATTTCATTGTCACCGGACCTCCTCGACATGGAACCAGAAAAAGCGCATCATCCCGGGTATTTCCTTGTAGATCGAAATTAACTTCGTCAACACGAGTTCATCGGGCGCGAACTAAGAGACATGGACGGCTTACTTTCCAGAACATTGATTGCGTGCCAAAGACGTCGGTATAACTCTGATCTTCCCGAACAAATGGGTCCGAAGGCCGAAGATGCAACGGTAGACTTTGAGCAACTTCCACAGCTTCTGTCAGGGGACTGAACGCTACCTTCGACAAGGATGTACTATGTAGATAGACAATGCAGTAAACATGGCTCTAAAATGCCCTTATCAATTGATTTTCCTCGCCCAGAAGCAGGATCTGGGCCCGACGGCAGGATGGATGGCTAGCTGTCGAACCCGATGTGACATACCAATATGGTGGGTTGATAGGCCAGTCGCAATTTAATACTCAACCCCCTAGGCGGAGGATTTGCTCAGCACTTCAGCCAAGTATGACCCATGCGAGCCCGGAATACGAAGATGACAGCGGGCCATAATAAAGCGCCCCACCCCCGGCATCATGGATCCACACAGTCTTCCATTTTGGGGCAGTTGAGGATGAATCCAAGGGCAGTGAAACATGAAGCATTTAGAGCGAGACACCCAGTTTGTCAGATTGGTGTGGTATTGCATACTTGCTGGGCGCCTGGTCCTGGCATCTCAGGCTCGTAACTCGCAGGTCGTATTTTGCAATCACTAGATTTCTCTGGGTTGGAAGACTAGCATACTTCTTATTGGAGATAAGATATATGGCTCTGTGATACATACCTGTTTTCTGCTGGTAGTTTGAGGACTACCCCTTGAATTACTGCACTGGATACTACGGCTGCGAATCATCTTGGTTCATCTCGATTGTCACCGGTCAGATGCTTGATCATGTCTGGGACATCATAAAGGCCCACTTTCCTGCGAATCAGCTGCAAATGTAGACAGCATGATCGATAATTTTACAAGAAAGAGATGTGACATCGTTCAAAGACTAATTTTCGCAGCGCTCTAGTCGCACTGGGTGGTCAGATTGTTTTCAGGGTTAAGCTAATCTAATTTTGCCACTATTATCGATCCATCAATTAGCAATTTCCGGCTCCACAGCCAACAAGCTATGTACAGCATCCACCACGCTCTCCTTCAGATCTCGGAATTTCAATCCTAAGATCTCTCGACTGCGTGAGTTATCGAATCCATACACTCCATCTGCTGGGTAATCGCCTGGAGTCAGAGCCTGGCCGGAAGGCAATCGGTCCAGGAACTCGGGGAACTCCTGCCCAATGATCTCTGCAATCTCTTTGTTTGAAAAGTGGCTCGACACGGTGAAAAATCGCTTTCCACCGGCTTCGGGCTTCTCGATCGCTAGGACATGCGCAAGGGCGAGATCGCGCACGTCGACGTAGCCGTAATTTCCAGTTGGCGGACAGCGGTCTTTACAAGCGCCGGTAATCAGGTCCCGGATTCGTTGGTTAGAGGTATTTAAGCCGCTAAGAGAAGCAAGTCTGTGGGCAATTGGACCTAGAACGAGCGGTGGGTTGATGACTGTTAGGTCAAATGAAGGGTTTTCTCTTTCCATAAATTCCCATGCGGCGCGCTCCTGTTGGGATCTTAGCTTTGTTGTAGGATTACTCAGTGCTGACGTGAAGGTCTTACAGCGAATGTCTTGCTTGCTCGGTAAGCGTTGGCAGGGCTTTCGTTGGCCTGTTCTTCTGTAATGGGACACCAGTCGGCCTTGAAACATGCACAATTAGCGATCGCTCAACAAGCCGCTGTATTGGTCTGGATCTAACCTCCGAATACACTTTGCCCTTGCCCTTGGCGTAGATATTGTTGATAGCAGCAAAAGAAGAAGTCACCACAACGCGCTTGACGGACGGAGCATATTTCTGCACCGAAGTGAGAATACCTGTAGTTCCAATTATGGCTGGGTCAAGTAGTTCTTTTGCATCCTTGGCATGAAAATGATATGGGCTGGCAGTATGGATGACAGCGTCGAATGGAGGCTCTGAGATAACGGCCTCGTCGAATGCTGTACATTGAAGGTCAGATCGGTGATTATTAAGAGCCCACAACTATGACATGTCCCTTACCATCAGCCTGACCAATATCTTCCACGATAGTGCAGTCCAGACGATCTGTCTGCAGTTCCGGGTGGGATTGCAGAATTGCTTGGGCCTTTTGCTGGGAGCGCACAGTTGTGACAACCGAGTGACCCCGGGCGAGGAGGATCTCGAGAACATGCGTGGCGATGAAGCCGCTACCACCTGTCACAAGTACGCGAGGCATATTGTCACAGAAACTGTTATTCTCGCAAGATATGGTTGTTTAGAGAAGACCGGGCTCAGCGGATGAGTATCAATTGAGTGGCAAAGCGAGTATTTAAGTAATTTCCTCATTATGAACAGAGGGATGATTCATAATCTCTCTGTCATGACCTTCTACTAACTAGGGAATGTTGGCAGTCACTCCGACTCATTGTCTGCTTGGAGCCGCTCCGAGACTCCGAAACTCCGATTACTCCTTTCGGAAAAGGTCCACTACGGAACAAAACAACTTCCAACGCGATTGGATGATTTTACGGACACCAATCCTTCATACTACACAGCTCATGACTAAAGTGCATTAGGATAATCGTAAACTACACTACACTGTGGGGAAAGGTACATTGAACAGAATGTCAAGCAGTCCGCCGTTTTGTCCGTCCATGGGCACTGTCAACGAAGAAATAGGATCCAATCCTTTCAGCGATGGCGCAGGACAGAAACGGAAAGAATGATATACATGACGCTGGAACAGACGGAAATTATGGGTAGTCGGGAATGCAAGACGCCACCCAGCCCCCAGTCACATCGCAAAAGATGGGAAAGGAGATGACAAAAGGAAAATGGGACATTGGGAAAGAAAGGCATCATGTCAAAAAGAGAGATATGTGTGTGGAATGATATGTGCAATGTGGAGACGGAATCAAGGGCTACTTAGACGTCAAGTAGTCGGCGGCCTAAAATCAATTAGTCTCATCATCTGGGGCCAAAACGTTTCATTCAAACTTACCTTGTCAAGGTTGTAGTCAAACTTCTCCAACGCTGTGAGGGAGTCGTCACGAGGGAAACCCATACCAGTCAGTCGCTGCAGAATCAGATCATCTTCGCCGGTGTCGGTATTGAGAGCCCAGCCGGGCTTCTTAGGGTCGAAAGTGCTGGTACCTTCCTCAGAGGCAGGCTTCGCATTTTGCAGAGGGGCAAAAAGGGCATCCCAGTCATGGTTGGCAGCATCGCCTCCATTGGCGGATCCTGTAGGCTGCGCGGTCGCATGGAGGTTGTTGTCAAATGAGAAGAATTCGGATGAGCCAGTGTTGCCGGCGTCAGTGCTGGATGTGGCTTCATGCTTGGAGTGAGACGGAGAGTCGAAGGAGAAGTCAAAATCTGTGTTCTTGTTTAGAGCTTCGGGCTCGTCGTCATCATCCTCTGCTTCCTGAGCAGGGGCCAGGTTGAGGCCAGCAAAGGCAGCATCAAAGTCAGGGGCGTTTGTCTTCACACCGCTGGCAGCGCTGGCGTCTGGGGCTGGGGCTGGGACTGAGGCTGGAGCAGCCTCTTCCCGCTGGGGGTGATTGTCAATGATCGGTGCGCCAGTCGTGGATTCTAAAGAGTGAGGAGCATCAGGTGCGGCAGTGGGATCAGATCGGGTGGGCAGCAAGCCATTGAATTCAGGGGCCTCGTTAGATGTGTCATTGTCATACTGGGGAGGGCTGGTTTGAGCATCGGCAGCTGGGGGCTGTCCCGAAACCCCAGCAGTTCCCGGAGACGGGAACGCTGCAAGTTGAGCAGCGTCGATCGAATCAGCGGGCTGTTCCTTCTGAGTACCTGTGGGCGCGACAGGAGTGAAGTTGTCATCAAACCCTAAAGGGCCCTCATCGTCCGAGCTGTCCTCATCTTCTTCATCATCGTGATGGAGTTCCTGGATGGGAGGAAATTCCGAGGTAGCGGCAGCAGCAGTTGCTGGTCCAACAGCTGGTCCACCAGCGGGCTTCATAGATGCGAAAGCCTCCTCGAAGTCATTCTCCTTCTGGGATTCAGACCGCTTGTGCGCCTTACTGCCGAACAGCTCATCGAAGGACAGGTCCTTGGGTGGCTCCTGACTCTCTGCGCTAAGTGGAGAAGTGGCAGATGGTTCAGCAGCGGTAGTAGATGCCTCGGTAGCTGGCGGCATCTCCTCGAATGGAGAACGTGCCGGGGTGGCTTCGGCAGTCGAACCGGCTGGATGGCTATAGTCACTTGACTCTGTCACTGACGGAGCTCCAGCTTCACTGGTAGGAGCCTGAGAAGGTGTCCCAAAACCGGAGGTATCTTGGCCAAATCTGCTAGCCGGCGGAGACACCATGGTGGACGAGGTCACAGATTGATTCTCATTGAATGGCAAAAAGTTTGGGGTGAGTTGTCGGGACAAGCTCGGGGGCGGGGGCTCGGGGAAAGCTCCCGGCACGGATCCAGGGACAGACCCAGGAGCGGGAGACGCAGATGGGGTTGGCACATTAGATGTAACGGGCGACTTAGCTGTTGCCAACGGGGACTCTGCACGAAAAGAGGTCGGCGGCGGGCCGGCATTCGTGGGACTGGCAAAGGTTTGACCAAAGAGACTGTCAAAGGCTTTCTGCTGGTCACTGGCAGAGTCAGGAGAGCGAGCACGATCGCTTGAGTTACCTGTCGCAGTTCGACGGAAGAAGGGGTTGGTATTCTGGCTGGTGGTGGAAGCAGCAGGACTAACAACCTCAGCAGCGCTGCTGGCGGGTGTCACATCCTCAGTATACTGTGGGGTTTCTCTGGCAATATCGTCAATTTCGGCCTGAGCCTTGTCGCGTTCACCCTCCACAGTAGCTAGCTGCTTCTTGTTGATTGCAACTAGTCCCTTCTGCTGACGAGCATCGGAGCGTGCCTTTTCAAGCGCTGGCTTGAGCTGCGCCACCTCGGCATTCGCCTGGCGAATCTTTTCCTTCAAGCTAGCGTTTTCCTGTTGGTCAGAAGCCAGTGCGGTCGAGATCTGGTTGTACTGGGTTGCCAAATCCTGACGACTCCCTTCAATCAGGGCGTACTCTTGAGACAATTTGGTAGTCTCAGCCTTGGATGCCTTCAATCGCTCCTCTAGCGCCTTAAAGCTTGCCAGCTCCTGTTCATACATAGTGCGTGCTTGTGCAAGCCGGGTCTCAAAGTCCCGCTTTTGCTGCGAACTTTGGGTCATGTTCTGCTCAGCAGTTGTGCGCTTCTGTTGGACATTGTGCATCTCCTTAGACAGTGTTCCAATTTGGTTTGACAAGTTTGCAAGCTCAGTTGTCTCCTGTGTCAGCTTCTGGGATTCCTCCGGGTCGTTATCGCCCAGCAAATCATCGGATGGCGGTGGAGGGGAGCGAATCGAACCCGGGTGTCCAGAAGACGCCCCAGTTGACTGCGGTTGTAAACTTTGGCCGAATGAAGATGTCGGCACGAATGGCTTGAAGGTGGTCGATGTCGTTGGCGGGGAAGCCCTAGAAGCGGGAGAAGTAGGTGTATGCCATGCGCCAGAGCCACCGGTAGACTGAGGCATCTGAAGTTGGGCAGGAGCAGGCGCTGGTGGTGAATCCAAACCGAACAAGTCATCCGCAGCAGATCGTGGAATGGGTGCAGGTGCAGGTGCAGGAGCAGGCGGTGCAGGGGCGGCCATCGGAGCTGGCCCCGGGGCTTGGCGTCGCATATTAGGCGGAATCAAAGCAGGAGGCAACACTTGCGGCAGAGGCTCCTTTCCGCCACGCTGCAATCGCACCAGATACATAGCCACGGCAAATTCCTCGCGCGTCAACTGTCCGTCGGCATCGATATCAGCAAGATCCCAGATTTGGGCCAAAACCTCCTCTGGTAGTTGCGCCTTCATAAAGAAACCAACAGCTTGATCACCTGTGATCATTCCACGCTTGGCGGTATCAACAGTCTCGAATATTCCATCAAAGTGCATCTTCTCCTGTGGAGAAATGAGCCACTCTCCACCCGTTGTCTGAGCGGAAAGTGGGCCTCCGAACTGCGGAACGGGAGCATTGTTCATGGGGCTGGCAGTGCGCTGGGAGCCAGTAAATTGCCTGGGAATCGAAGGTACGGGTGGAACTTCGGGCCGAGCACCAAAGGATGACCTTGCAGGAGGGGCCCTACGGGATGCAGCTTCGTATAAACCAGGCGGAAGAGTCTGGGGGATACCACGCAACACACCAGACTTGAACGACGTCAGAAGATGCATGGCAATGACAAATTCCGTGGAATCAAGAGCACCGCGCTGCTGTGTGTCAGAAAGATTCCATATACGACCCAGAACCTCATTCGGCAGTCTTGCTCGCTCGAATATTTGCTTGGCAATGTCGCCTAGATTGTTATGAGCCGAATGTTTCGGGCAAAGCGCTTCTGATATCAAGTTATGGGAGTATACATACCTGACATAACTCCATTCACGACTTCGGACTTCTCAAAGAGCGAAACGAACTTATTAACATCATCGGGCTGTAGCGGAGGGACACGAATGGGGCCAGATGCGCCAGGTGGGGGGCTCGCAGGGCTCGGCTCCGGTGCAGGGGCTGTTGTGTCGACTGAGATTCCATCGAATCGGGGAAGCGGGCCGGCTATTATTGGATGGCAGTCAGTAAAGGGTTTCTGGACAATGACGAAGCACCGAGTAAGTTCTAAGGAAACTCACGCTGCAAAGCTAGCTCAGCGGATAGTGTACGTCCAGCTTGAGCATGTCCAATTAATCGAAGAACAACTCCAAATCCAGCCGGGGTGAGGAGACCCCTGTTCTCTCTGTCCGCAATCTGCCAGATCTATACAGATGGGTTGTTAGCCCGCCAATCTTATGCCAGTTCACTCCTTATATTCATCATACCTCTCCAAGGACGCCGCCAGGAAGATGCGTCTTCTCGAAGAATGGGACCGCGATCTCGCCAGTAATAACGCCGAGGTTGGTCGTGTCAGCGGCCTGAAATAGCTGGTAGAAGACGCGCTTCTCCTCGGGCGTGAGGTTTAGGTTTGGATGTCGCTGTGCTATTTTGACAAAGAATTGCATCCGTCAGTTCCGCGGAATTGCGCATCAATGTGTTCGGGTATACAGGGGAGGGGGGTCGTTGCGGGAAGCGGAGCTCCGTAGGCTTCTTGGCTTGCGCCAATGTCTCATTGCATTTGCTGCACTGAAGTTGGCATAATCATAAGAAAGAACTCACCGGTTTCAGCCATAGCTTTAAGTGTGGAGGAGCGGACCCCCTCTCCTTGTTGATGGGATCCGAATAGTTAGGGTGCCTGGGAGGACAAGTTGGGGAAACGGGTGCCGTCTGCTTAGTCGGAAGTTGACACGAGCATAGGTCGAGGCGCAGATTCTGTAGTTTCAAGGCAGCGGTACCAGGCGAGGTAGATCGATGCTAAAGCTCTAAAACAAGAGGACGGGGTATTCCAGTGGTGGAATGGGGGTTCGCCGAGTGGCTGGAGTCGATGTCGTAAGAAGGTACCCCCAAGGCGGTCAGTTGGCTTAGCGCCCATTCCATCCGCTCAGGGTCTCATTCCTCCATTATCTATCAGATGAACATCGTGAGACATCTTTGGAAAAGATACTCTAGAAGAAATTATGTGGTTTGTGTTGGAAATTTCCGCACTTTGTGGGTATCCTTCAGCTAGGCAATCAGTTGTTCTTCAGAAACAAGTTGTTGTTCCTGTCATCTATATGCCCCCACGATGGCAGGCCTATGCAGTCCGGCAGTAAGCAAAACCGGGTCATAATAATAAAGGACGTGGAGTTAAAGAAAAGGGGGCAGGTTTTTTTTTTTGGTGCTTTTTGTAATTACAATTTGTGTAGAATCCCAGAATAGGGTTAAAACGAGCGAAAAACACGCTGCTTCGGGGATATTAAAGGTATATCGAACAACAAAGCCAGAAAACACATTCATCGGACTGTAAAACCTATGTTCCCTGTGTATTTGCAAAGAAAGCCCGGTAGATTCAGGAAAGCCGATCTGCCAAGGTAAGAGCTGATATGCCAAAACGATCTGCATGGCACCAGTCCAATGCCTCTGATACGGTCACATAGCATCCCTAATCTAGTACTCGGGCTCAAGCTCCTCCTCACCCTCGATGGAGTCGCTGGCAACCTCCTCGTAATCGCGCTCAAGCGCAGCCAAGTCCTCACGAGCCTCGGAGAACTCACCCTCCTCCATACCCTCACCAACGTACCAGTGAACGAAGGCACGCTTGGAGTACATGAGGTCGAACTTGTGATCGAGAGCGGACCAGGCCTCGGCGATGGCGGTGGTGTTGGACAGCATGCAGCTACATGAGATAGATTAGCAAATATTCTTTTGGGCTGAAATTGATTGGAACTTACACAGCGCGGCTGAGGTTGGCAAGGTCACCGTTGGGGACCTGCTGGGGGGGCTGGTAGCAGATACCAAGCTTGAAACCGGTAGGGCACCAGTCGACGAATTGGATGGTGCGCTTGGTCTTAAGGTTGGCAACAGCGGCGTGAGCATCCTTGGGGACGACATCACCACGGTACAGCAAGCAAGTAGCCATGTACTTTCCGTTACGGGGGTCACACTTGACCATCTGGTTGTTGGGCTCGAAGCAGTTGCTGGTGATATCAGTAACGTTGTTGGCCTCGTGGCCAGCCTTGGCGGCAGAGATAACGGGCGAATAGGCGACCAGAGGGAAGTGAATACGGGGGTAGGGGACCAAGTTGGTCTGGAACTCGTTCAGGTCGACGTTGAGGGAACCGTCGAAACGGAGCGAAGCAGTGATGGAGGAGACAACCTGAGCGATCAAACGGTTCAGGTTCTCGTAGCTGGGGCGCTCAATGCCGAGGTTGCGGCGGCAGATATCGTAGATGGCCTCGTTGTCAACCATGAAGGAACAGTCGGAGTGCTCCAGAGTGGTGTGGGTAGTGAGGATGGAGTTGTAGGGCTCAACAACGGAGGTGGCGTTCTGGGGAGCAGGGTAGACACAGAACTCGAGCTTGGACTTCTTGCCGTAGTCGACGGACAGACGCTCCATCAGGAGAGCACCGAAACCGGAACCGGTACCACCACCGAAGGAGTGGAAGACCAAGAAACCTTGGAGACCAGCGCAGGAGTCGGCCACACGGCGGACCTTGTCCAGAACCTGATCAATCATCTCCTTTCCAACGGTGTAGTGACCACGGGCGTAGTTGTTGGAGGCATCCTCCTTTCCGGTAATCATCTGCTCGGGGTGGAAGAGCGAACGGTAGGTACCGGTGCGGACCTCATCGACGACATTGGGCTCAAGATCGGCGTAGATAGTACGGGGAACGTACTTGCCCTGACCTGTTGGATGATAATAAAAATGTTAGACCATCTTAGCCAAGGTATTTAAAGCGGGGATTCGGGCGCCATGGCTGGCCCCTCTCTTGAAGGTAGAAAAATTGGTATACACACCAGTCTCGGAGAAGAAAGTGCTGAAGCCGTGGTCGGGGTCGGCCTTCTTGCGCTCTTCAGTGAGGTATCCATCGGGCTGTCACCAGTGTTAGTCGCGGGTGCTTGCTTTCCGCCCAGGAAAAGGGGCGTGCCGCTCAATTCAAGATTGGGCGCCACCATCAGATTGCAATTACAACGTACCTGGATGCCGTGCTCCAGACAGTACAGCTGTACAATTTTATAGTCAGTTCACCGCAAATTCGGGTCACAATGGACGTGATATCTTTACCTCCCAGCAGGAGTTGGCGATCTGGCAACCGGCCTGACCGACTATAGGACATCAACAAGTCAGCGCGTCATTTTCATCAGAAAATTCGATTCCATCTCGAAATATCCTATCAATTCCACCACTTACTGTTCAAACTAATGATCTCTCTCATTGTGTTGATGGTGTTTTCACGGCGTCAAAAAATTAAGGAGGGGGAGAAGTGACCCAATAACAAACACGGGTCTGGCGACTCAGGGGTTAGCTCAAAAGTATAAATTTGGCATATTAACCGAGGAAAGGGGGAGGGGGAAGGGTGAACGGGTTCACAGGAGGTCAAACTCACCAGGAATGGGAGGAATGGAGATCGAGTCAAGAAGAAGGAAGAACAGAAATGTTGTGGAGTGAGGGCGTCTGTGCTGTTAACAGGGGGGGAGTTCGTTGTTGATCCGGTCGTTGGGTCGCGTCAAGCCCGCTGATTGGCCACGGCCCGCCCTCTCCCTGTGAGGTTCACCGCCTGTTCTGGATCACGTGGACTGGCCCTGACCGTCATTAGGTCATCACGCCTCGGATCGGAGCTGTCATGTCCAGTATTGCGTTGGGCACAACATTTCCGGACTGCAGGCATGAATATGTGAAAGGATGCTTAAATGCAACGCACTGCTTGTGTGACTCCAATGGTCAAGTGTGATTAATTTCCGCTTGTCTTGCATGTTATGACAGCAAAACATATTGATCCTTACCGCCTTCCATTCTAGTTTATTGACTCCCTTTTCCTCGGCTTTTGATTTGGAGGAGATATGAACTGCCAGCAGAATAATAATCGGCGGTGTATGTTAGATTATCGCGTCGGGGGTCAGCAACACCTATCTTGATGCTCTGTCCACTCGACAACATGGAAATCTCACTTCAAGATCTACTTCCGCCGTATTCCAAAACACAACCAATCAATACCCCTCGGCTAACTCTGCGACCGTTCCAATGGACCGATCTCCAATCTCTATACAAGCTTCGTACAACCTCAGAGGTCATGCAATGGACCAGCCAAGTCCATATAGACAGTTCTATACAACAAACGCGTGAGTGGATGCAAAGATACATAGACGATACTGAGATCCCACGACGCAATTTCAACTTCGTCATCACTCTCCGGGCCGATAAGGATAATCAACCGGATGAACTTTCGCCCAATTCATCTTCGGAAGATAGCAGCGCTATCATCGGTGTATGTGGCCTGACTGGCTTAGATTCCCTACCAATATCTCCACTACCCAGCTTTGGATATATGTTCTTGCCGAATACCTGGGGGAAAGGATATGCTACCGAGGCTGCTGTTGGGTTTCAGAGAGAATGGAAACGGCTAATTGACTTGGGTCACCAAACCCACTCTATCCCTCTTGGATCAAGACAGGATCTCTACAGTATCCGGGCTGTGACCCTTGCGACTAATATACCGAGTGCAAATGTTCTCCGGAAGTGCGGTTGGAGGACGTACGAGGCTATCGAGGAAAATGGCGAAAAGCTTCTGAGATGGGTTTTGGACACATCGGCCAGCTCTGACGCCTAGTCCTAGGTAGTTGAGATGCACATATCTCCTGCACATACGCATTAAAATCAATTGTCAATAATCTACTTGTACCCCTTACCCTGCAGAATAATTTGCCCAAAACAGTATCCGTCTTCCAAGACCAATCCACGTTCACTGAGAGCTCTCACCGCCTACGCCACACTCGACCCAATAAACACGAACCAACTACATCCCGTTCATAATATATATCTTCAGCTATCACGACACACCCCGAAGTGGCACAATGCAAAAATGACGCGTGAATAAACCTTTTCTAACTCAAAATTGGAAATCTTGAGCCACATCTGGACATTAAAACAGAATCGCCCAGCACATTCCAATAAAGATTCAATTTCCAACCTTGGAAGGTGATTCATCTCATCCTTGATCATCATGTACCACACCATCACCACTGTCCTAGGAATTATACTCCTCTCCCTCACAAACATTGTCCATGCAAACGTGGAAAAAACCATCTTCATCGCCCCACCAGCAGCCACACTACCGTCAGAAGAGCCAGATCTAGATGACCTCGGTCTAGAACGGCTTTCGCCAGGGAACCATGTCGTGCGAACACGACTCAATGCTTCATTTCCTAGTACCGAAGCTCCAGAGGGTGTGGACTCGTGGTTCTTTCTTGAGAATCTAAAACCTGGGCAGCGGTATGAGGCGCGAGTTTGTTGGTTAGCTACGGTAAGAACCACTCCAGTCCTTCAAGATTAAAAGTTCGGTGTATCAATTTGGTTCGTTTTATATCAAGTATGCAAATGATATTCGATGAATCGAAGTCCGTGGACTCTGAATGAAAAGATTGAGAAACATGACTAACTCCATATAGCAACCGACATCATTCATACTGACAACTCATTCCCTCACTGCAATCATCGAGGACAAATCCCTCTTCTCATCACTAAGCATCTTTTCCACTGCCCGCCTCGCAGCGCTGGACACGGATCTCCAGGCAAACGCCATTCCGCGTCGTGCGTCTGGCCGTACCGGCAGTGATCCCTCGCCAGCTGCAGCTTTAACAACAGACTCGGTGCTATTTTTGCGGATCCAAGCTGCGGCAGACTATTTCAGTCATGATGAGTCGTTGATGAAGACTGTACCGCCTGTTTCTGTGGATCTCATTCTGGATCCGTTTTTGTGGAATGTTTTTCCTAGGTCGCTTGTTCGAACTGCGGCTTGGATTGTCGTCGTTGCTGTTGTGGCTGGGTTTGTGGCGAAGTGGGTCGGCGAGGAGATTGGGAGGGTTCTTGAGGGGGTGAGGGTCGAGAGGGAAAAGGGTGAGGAAGAGGAGGAAAAGAAGGACCAGTAAGCCTTGGAGGATACCTTGGATGGGCTTGTTTCACTATCTATTCATGCCCGTCGGAGGGACATGACTCGTTGTTTTGCTATTATTGGTAATGCATATATACGTAGGGACTGGACTCGATTGGAAGGCGTCAACTTTACGTGGAATATGAAAAAATTTATAGTAGATGCGTATTGCATTTCAATGGACATCAAATAAGTAACTGGGGGAATACATGCGGTGAAAAAGTACAGGAGGGGATATACTTGAGCAGGCATTGTGCAAAAAACAAGATGCGCCAAAAAACAAAAAGCAAATAAACTGAAGAGATCTGATAAGCAAATCAAAAGCCCCAATATTGCGCTTTAATCTATGCCGTCTTCAACTCTTCATTGAGATCTCAATAAAGGGAGATTATCCATGTATCCCAAATCTAGTCAAACTTATTTCCGTTCATAAATGTTAACCATAAGATCGTACTCCTCGTAGATAGCATCCAAGAGAGAGGACACTAGACAGCTTAATCCTCAAAGAAGTTCAGGATAGCACGAATACCCTTGGAGCCAAGGCCGTGTGCGGGGTAAGAGATGTAGAGAGGATCCTCAGTGGCACCGAGCTTAGCACGGAACTCACTCTTTCGCACCAGGTGGAATTGCTTAGCAAGAGCTTCGTAAGTGTGCTCCAGCATCTTGATCTTGGCACCGTGCAGATTGTGACCTGGAGTAAGGCGGGCGGTAGCACCAGCACCGAAGGTGAGACCCTTGACACCGGTCTTGGCGGCGGTCTGGATGGCATGGGTAACGATATACTCAATGACACCATTAGGTGAGCCAGGGAAGTCCAAGCTGTACTTGACCTGCATGCCGTGGGAGGGAGAGATCATGACTAGCGCAACGAAAGCACAGATGTTGCCGGCCCTGTCCTGAGCATAGAAGTACCAGCGGTGTTCCGAATCACACCATGGCCGGATTTCTGACAAGTGGACCTGAGTGCCCTTGCGGTTTGCAAGCCACTCGCTAATACGGGCATCAATCTTGTTGCGCACCTCTTCTTCGGGTAGCTCGCCCTGATTGAATCCGACCACCTTGATGCCCTCAGTTTCGGCACGACGCAGCTTGCGGGCAATCTCTCCGTCGGAAGCGGCCTGGTTGCGCTGGGGGTCAACTCGCTCCTCAGCGATACAGGACAGACTGCGCCAGCCTAATCGCTCGCCAAGGATGGTCTCAACCTCAGGAGAGCAGAGGATCCAGACAGGCTTGTATTTGGTGTCACGACGCAGCCACTGGAGGAACTGTGTGATGGTACGAGTGTACTGGCTGGGATCACATGCCGGGTTACCGGGGACGATCACGAAGTTGCTGGAGCTGGGCACATAGGCAACGGCGGCACCAGTGCTCATATCACGCCAAATCTTGTATCGGTCATCAAACCAGGATGTAGAGGTTGCGTCACCATAGTTTGCAACAATCTTCTCCAAGGGCGGCAGCTCATCTGCGTTCTGGGCAATGCGGCGGTGGTGTTCTTTCAGCCACACCGGTTCAGTGGTCGATGCTTCGGGGTGACGAAGCGTCTGGACTGGTGCCTTGGCGGGCAGACTCTTCGGGTCGCGGTGGAACATCGAGGTGAGTCGGATGTTACCCACCTGAAGGATGAGCATCAGTAAACGCTCCAGGCCAACACCTGCACCAGCGTGAGGCGGAGCACCCCAGCGGAATGCTTCGAGATACTCCTCCATATCATCTGGGTTGATTCCCACACCGCGCATGTTTTCCTCAAGCATGTGAGGATCGTGGATACGCTGACCACCAGACACGATCTCCTGTCCGCGGACGAACATGTCAAACGAGTTTGTGTACTTGTCGTCTTCTGGGTCAGGCATAGTATAGAAGGGACGAGCACCACGAGGGAACTTGTCAAGGATGTAATAATCAGTGTCATATTTCTCCTTGACCAACTGACCGAGGCGAATCTCGTCACGAGTCGCCAGGTCCTCGTCCAAAGGCAACTCGTTGCCCTCCTCATCACGCCACCCTGACTCATTAAGCATCTTGATGCCATCCGAGAAGCGAATAACAGGAGTCGTCTCCAGCCACTTGACGTCCTCAGAGGGGAATTGATGCTTGACGACGTCGATCTCTCGGCGGAATTTAGTGTAGATACCCTTCAGAATATTCTTAATGGTTGCATCAATGGTCTCGAGCATCTCGTGGTAGTGCTCTTCAATGGCCATTTCAATATCGAGACCGGTGTATTCAGTCAAGTGGCGGTGGGTATTGGAATTCTCCGCACGGAAGACGGCACCAATCTCATAGACACGACCAAAGTCAGCCGCAATGGCCATCTGCTTCGCCAGCTGGGGAGACTGGGCCAAGAATGCGGGGCGGTTAAAGTAATTGACCTGGAACACACTGGCGCCAGATTCGGTGGCAGCGCCCTGGAGCTTTGGGGTGTGGATCTCGATGAACCCTTGGTCATCTAGGGCACTGCGGAAGAGGTTGCAGGTGGCCGACTGGAGGCGGAAGATACCCTGCGAAGTGGCTGTCCGCAGATCAAGCAGACGATTGCTCAGACGTGTTCGGTCAGGGATATGACTGCGACGACCCTCCACCTTGTCCTCCTCATTGGTCCGAATCTCCGCCTCGTAAACACTGAAAGGCACCGGCTCCTCGCGCTTGACGAGCAAGTGCACAGAATCAATAGCCAGCTCAACATCGTGAATGCTACAGCCAAGAACGGGAACTTCGGGCTTCTGGAGCGTGCCGCGAACCCGGAGGAACGAACCCACACGCAGGTGCTCCGCCCATTGCACCATTGCCACCGAAGAGATTCCCGCGCGCTCATGCAGGACACCCTGGAAGGTGCTCAGCTGCTGGCGGAACACCAAGAAGACCAGCTTGGCGCTCATGCGGCGCACTACGTGCAGTCGGGCCGTGAAGTAGATCTGCTGGCCGACCATTTCCGCGGTAATATCATCGAGTGGGGTGCGCGCTTCCCGCAGTCGATCCTGCGACTGCATCAAAGGTAACTCGCCATATCGAGCCTTCATCTCTGGTGTCTCCTCCGCAGCAGCCTTGGCAATTTCCTCTTCTTTGCGGCGGTGATCCGACTCTGAGAAAGCTTCCTCACTGAGACGACTACGTTCTGTACGTCGCTGCTCGCGTACCAATCGCTTTTGTTGATTCTTACTCAAGGCTCCGGAAGAGGAATCATCAGAAAAGTCCTCGGAGGATGAAACATAGTCGCGGTCGCGGAAGAAATTGCCCAGAATGCTGCGGCGAGGAGAGGCAGTGGGCGAGCCCTCATCACGGGAGAGTGAGATTCTGGGCATATGCGGAAGACGAGTATTGGAGCCGGGATTCTCTTCGTCATGCTCTCCGAATGGCCCTCGAATGGCCTTGGAAAGGGCCCGTTTGATCGACATGGTAGGAGATGTGAGCAAAGGGGTGAATGGATGAGGAAAAAGCTAGGAATTTGACGGGAAGAAGTATATTAATGGACCGAGTTCCAGATGTGGGGGGGGGGGGAAGAGGTAAGCCCGGAACAAGGAGGGGGGAACTGGACGATCCGTTGGTGCAGCGATACCGAATCAAACCGGTCAATTGAACCTTATCAACAAGACAATGCCGCGTGGACCCGGTGCATTAAATAGAAATCAAATGGTTTTAAGGGTCTTCAGGGGATAGTTAGGAGAAGAAGGGTAATAAGAACGCCTCGCTCCATGAGGGTCCAAACATGACATCATCACAGGCCGGATTCCGGATTCGACTCAACTAGGTCAATAATCAAGAATCTCCCCGCTCTGGTATGCTATGATGATGCTGGTCTACTGTGTTATTTTTTAGATCCTCTTCCTTTTCCTTTGGATGGTATAGAAGCCGATCACCGCACGCCAAGTCTTGTACAGAGTGTACAGTGTACTTTTTTTTTTTATCGGTTATCTCTACTTTCGCCACAACCGCGGTTTGGGTCTCGGCACTTCCTCCTTTCACTCAATCTCACGCTGTCGCTTCCTGTCATTCCTTACCTGCTTAACCACTGGAACCAGACCATGTGCCTCCGATTATCATTTTTCCCATATTGACCCCTTATCGTATGATCACCGGAGCCTAGAGAATTGACCGATAGCGCCATTCTCTCATTTCTTCCCCATTCCCTCCATCATGGCTTCGTCCCGTGGCTGGCTGCTTGTCCAGGCCGTCTTTTGGCGGTTCCTGATGCGAATTGGAATGTTCTTTCACGATGTCGCTCCACCACGTGTCCCAAAACCTCGCTTTACCCGCATCGTCGAATCTGACGCTCACTCCCACTCCGTCGTCATCCATTTCTATTGCCCACCAGACTACGAAGAAAAACGCCGACAAGGTCACCGATTTCCCGTTACGGTCAATTTTCATGGCGGAGGATTTACTCTCGGCTGCGCTACCGATGATTCCCGTTGGGCCGCCGCCATAGTACAAGAAGTTGGGGCAGTCGTGGCCAGTGTGAGTTATCGACGGGCGCCAGAACACCCTTTCCCGGCGGCAGTCGACGACGGAGTCGACGCATTGCTATATTTAGCCACCCATGCTGCCGATCTGGGATTGGACGTGAGCCGCGTGGCCCTAAGCGGGTTCTCGGCAGGCGGTAATCTGGCCGTTACCGTGCCGCTGCGACTCCGCGAGCGACTCTCCACCGAGATCAAAGAATCCTTTGGCCGGGCGGAATCGACCCAAAGATTGGTAGACCAGACGAATGAGCTCAATATTGTGGCCCTGTTCAGTTGGTATCCTATTCTGGATTTCATGGAGTCCCGTGACCATCGCCGGATGATGAGTCTCATGCCGGATAAGACTCTCCCATCCTTTTTCACCGATCTGTTTGATGCGTCGTATATCCCCAATCTAGAAGATCTGGCCTCCCCATTTGCATCGCCCGTACGCGCCTCCGATCGTATGCTGGACGAAGCCTTGCCACGTGACGTCTTCCTGTTTATCTGTGAATGGGATATGCTCATGAAAGAGGGTCAGGTTTTCGTCCGTCGCCTAGAGGGCCTTGGAAAGCGTGTCCGTGCGATGATGATTGAGAAGGCCCGACACGCCTGGGATAAATCGCCCAATCCATTCCGCGACCAGGTCAGCGTAGACGTTCTCTATCGTGACGCATGCGCGGACATGAAGGCCATTTTCGATCGGTGATTCCCTTCCTTTTTACTTCTTCCTTGTCTTTATAGATTGCATGTTTTGTGTCGAGAGTCTGGGTTAGCGCTCCATCAGCATCAGCGTCGTTTTGTGCCTGGTGCACAACTTCATCCATATTGCACATTCATTTTGGCTCAGTCGATTCTTGTATCAAATAAAGAAGATTTGAATTTTCTGTATGTACGCTTTGGCCGTTGAAATCTGTGCTACGTGAGTGCACCTCGTATATGTAGACTTCTTTTATAAGCGCATAATTCCCGAGCTTAATCCTCGCTCAAGCCAACTCGGGTAGCTAAACTCCCATTGGCTGGCCCAGCGGCCCAGGAATGTTGGACTTCGTGCAAGCTCTCTTGGCCGATCGGCAGATCCGCACCCGCCAAACCTGTCTCCACATGCTTTACGTCGACGTCAAAAAGTTCTTCCCGAATCCCAGCGTGATGTCATGGGTACCTTGCGCCAAAGCGCATGTGGGACTGTAGGTTTGCTGGATTGATGTCCTTGATATTCGGGGAGATTGGGTCTGCCAAGAGATTAAATCAAGGCACAGTCTGAACTCCCCACTGAAAACTTCGTCAACATTGCGTTTGAAACTTTAATATTTCCAAATCTGGGCACTGGACTGACTGCTAGGGTTTAACTTTTCTGCCGAGGCTTCTAGTTAATCTCCACCTGTCCATTATGGAACTGTCTCATTTCATGTGTTGGTATTTGATATCTTTCAATAGGTTGTGCATGCGAGAAAGCGACACATGGAAGCTCACCAATATTACGTTTGTTTAGCAACCTTGCTACTTACTAGGTTTTAGTTTAGACACGCCGTTTATTTTACCTTCTATACCTAGATAAACGACCATGGAAATGTAGAACGTATAGAAAGGAATCACTTAGTGCACGTGTGGAAGAAGGTCTACTATGGGAGAGAGGTGGTGTAGTATGTCACCTCCAATAGGTCTTCATGTAAATCTCTATGCACTGCATAATATCATGACCCCTGGTTCGAGGGCATTGTGGTCATAGTTGAGATTGGTGTTCGCGTGCTTGCCACTTTTCATGCCCAGTCTAGATCTAAATCCAAAGGATTCACCCAAGGCAAATGCGAACTTTAGAGAAGGCAACCGCATTTGATGGTTAGGCTTCTAATTTAGCTTCCCGTCTTAAATTGCTTCGCAAATAGATCTGTAGGTGTGTTGCCTAACCTTCATCCTTAGAAGTTCGTTCCTGAGAAAAGACCAAGATGATTTCTAAGGATTTAAAGGTGTTGTAGGCGGAGGAACAATGGACTTCTTTGGCGGCCGTCTGTCCCCTGTCTGGCTTTGCTGTGTGTATTGGGGCTACAAGGGTCGTCGTGGATTTCCGTTTCACTGCCTGCCTTTCAATGCGACTCGCATAAGGTGACCTATGAATACCAGTATTCGAAACTGAAGTATGCTTGACCCGCCTTGGTGGCGCCCGTGAATACTGAGTCTGAGGGATTGAATCAGACTCTTCTGGATTTCAATTCGGCTGGTCTTCTGGGACAGCCATCGGAGTCGGCAGGTTATGCCTTTGTCTATCTCGGTGATTATGCTACTAGCTTCATTGCTAAGAACATCCAGTCAATTGCTGGAGGTGTTCGAAACATAAAAATCCGTATATCTGCATTTATTTGGGTTGCTTTCTCGAATATGATGGTGTAATAGGAGCGATAGATAACACAAAATGAAACTAAAATACCGCTACTGGTTATATGCCGAAGCCTTACTTGACACAGACTAGTCGATATTGACATTCAAATTGAAAAAAAATAGTATTTAGGTAGTGACACCATTTTTGAGACGCACTGTGAGATTCATGGCTCTAAGAATAAATGTAAACACAACGAAAGCCTCCCCATATGTAATAAATCAGCCAACCGAATATGACTGCAGACTCCAGGGCTCCCACCATTAGAGATGCTTTCGTCCCATGGCTTCAAGGAGAACACCCAGCCGCTTTTATACGCCCAAAGCACCTGCAATTGAAATCGCAACCCATTCAGTCTGGATCAAGATTCCCTACCACAAAGTCAGGACCCGACTCAAGTATCATTACCAATCCAAAGTCCAAAAGTACGTACAAAAATACTATCGGGCGTACTTGCCGCATTTCGGACAAATATGTTTGGTCGATTCAATCGATTCACCACAAGCCTTGCAGGGCATTGTAGATTCCGAAGATGTGTCAACGGGCCTATACCATCATCAGCCCTCACACTCATGTACCAATACCAAAGGGTCAGTGCCAGTCAAACGAACTTGTTAACGACCTGAACCCTCTCGTCAGACATATCGTCCTTATTCTCAAAGTTTCCGCTGCAATTTCAAGGTTGATTGCTCTCGTCAATTTGAAGGTAGTAGTCTAGCACACATCTTGTGGAATCAAGACTGCCTTTATACTCGCACGGGAACAGGGCGATACCGGCCATTCACTCCCCTGAATTTCATTCACATCGGTCGATCCATCCCCTGGCCCCACTGACATACTCGTACATCGGCGAAATGGAAAGAAGGAATCTCCCATCTACGTCCAAATGAGACCTGTATACACATCTAACGGGATGACGCAGCATCTGGCCCGGAATCGATCGGACATATGCAGGCTCTAAAGTCTGATTTTCTTTTTGTGTCCGGGGTCTAGTCAATTGCTACTGGTTCGGTGCATGTCTGCGTTGTACCCGCGTTGGAGTGCCCAGGAGTGCCCAGATGTAATCTGGCTTTTGGGTGTAAATCGCCTTGTTCACTTAGAGCATTTGAGCTATATTGTGTCGGTGAAGCCCCTGGTCTATATCGGTTTTATACTATAGATCGGTGTTGATTCTGGGTTTGAACCAATGAGGTCGAAACACATGGACATGGTACTGGGATATCATACCCGATTACCCGGGTTATATGGTGTTTTTGGCGTCTTGGGTTCCTAGTTTGGCGTATTGGGTAGTTCTGGATAGATTCATCCATTTTTGGTTCGATAGGCACGGTAAAATTCATTGCTGCCCGATGGAGAATCTTCCATTTCTCTTGTTATGAAAGATATCCATGTGAGCATGTCTGCTGACGATCTTTATGTATACCAACGACCTAGCACTCGGAACGGTGAGCGTTTGCTACCCGAGAAAGCAGATTATAGTTGCAGATTGAGTATGAGTATCAATCTCAACGGGTTTATGTCACCATAAGCGATAAAGGCTTCCAAGCCCTCGTCTTGGTTTCTCGGCTAGACACAGCATCCATGTCTCACCAAGCGGGCCTGGGAACCTCAATCTTGTAGCGTGGAAGGTCTCAGCTGATCTACGCATGCATTCAGCCCTACCCATCTGGACTTGTTTCATCGTGCCTAGACCACCTCTGCTCCCCCCATTAGCAGCCCGTGGGATTTCAAGGTCCAAGATGACTATGCAATTCGCTTTGCCTCCTAGCGTTGTGACATTGAATATCCAAATGAAGATATCTCATCTCATACCGACATCCGGTGCACAACTGCGAGACAAACGGCCTTTTACGCAAACCATATCACGCGCTTGAAGGTTCAAATCTTGTCGTTGCCGATAAGCCATCGTGAGACTGGCGCGTGATGTCTCCTTCGGGGATATACTAGCCTTAGCCTCTGGGGTCTGGAAGAGAGTGCAATCATCGCTGTAGTACTTGTGTTACTGCCGCATGTGGAAGTTGACGCGATTGTCATGTATGACCGGTCGAGTGGTGACTGTTAGACAGTGCGTAATAATGGAGTAGTCTTTTGACTGGCTGAAGGTGGTTCTAGGTTGGAGTAAGGCTGATATCTTTCTCCTTGATTGGCCGATTGGATATTCCCTGGAAGAGCCTCGTTTTTAGGTTTTCGCTGTGGAACCAGAATGTGTGAGACATAGAAAATATTGAATTTTATATGGCAAAGTATTTTTGAGTTTGGTGACCAGCGCAGCCAAGTTCTTGCACGTGTGAGTAGCATTTCGTGGCTCATTGATTCATTGAACATTATACAGAAGTCGTAGCGCTGTTTCAAAAAAGCCCAATACCATAGTGCTGGGATGTAGAATCTGAAACTACAAGAAACCTTGGAAGTGAAATATGATGAAATTTTTCCATTTTTCCATTTTTCCTTTTTGCGCTAGACTTATGGTAGCGTGTTGTGCAAGCAAATCATATCATATGATCCATTAGGTTCCATGCACGCTCGGAGAGATGACAGGAGGCAATGAAATGGTATCGCGAACTTTTGTAACAGAAATTTTCAGAACGAAATCCCAAACGCCACGCTGAAAGAACGAAAAGTAAGGCCAAATAGATCTAGATCTGGCGGCAGATTTTGTGCAGATAGAAAACATGCAGTTCATGTTGATAGCAAAGGATAGTTTCACTCCTCGTCGGTCGCTGTGACATCGTCATCCTCGTCCTCATCCTCGTCAGCTTCGCTATCTGAGTCGTCGTCATCGTCCAGACCTGGCACACCGCGCCACTCGACATAGTCACCCTCCAACCAGCGTCGGCTGCGGGGAAGGTGGTATGGATCGAAGGGAAAGTAAGCGTCTAGTTGGTGGCCAAGGTGGTCACTAGCGCGGATTTCACGGCCGACTAGACCGCCAATGCTGCGGAAAGAAGTAACGCGAAGACGCTTGTTGGTCTCCAGGAGAGGGTAGACGTAAAGCAGCTGGAAGTGGTGGGCAATCCGTGCAAATTGGGTCACGATGCCAGGGGAGCAAATCTTGAGCGGGTTCAGTCGCGAGTAGATCGACTTGTGAAGGTACTCCTTCACATTGGGGGGGAAGGTAATTTGGCTGGGCTCGAGCTCATCAATCTGATCTATGCTGTCACCATCGATGGCCGCAGTAGTTAAATCACGCCAGCGGAAACAGAAAATGTAGAGCACGGCCTGAGTGGTGGAGTAGTAAGGAGCGTAGCGACGAAGATCTGGACCGCGGCAGCCAGCTTCATAATCCGCTTGTAGGTTGTCCAGGTGTGTAAGCAGGAGGTCGAAGACATCACGCACAACGTCGCCAGAGATGTGGGCACCACGGGCAACGTAGCTGGCCAGATAGGCGGCAGCGGACTGACGCATAAGCCCTGGCTGAGATTTGCTGCTGATGATATCCATACATTCCGTGGCGAATAGCTCTACGAGCTCAGGAGACAGCTGAGAGAAATGGAAGAGAAGGAACTGAGAGTGTCGGGACTTGTAAGTTGGAAGAATGATGGATCGGAAGTGGCTGATCAGGAGTGACAGTGTGTTTTCTTTGTCGGCGGCAGTTCCCGTGGTGAAGGGGTCCGAGTAGAATTCAAAGAGAATATCAAGCATCCCGTCCACTTTTTGGATGTTTGACTTGATCAACTGGCCACGTTCGTCGGCCTCGTCGTCATCACTGAGATCCTCATCCTCATCGTCCAGCTCTTCGTCTGGGTTAGGAGTTTCCAGAAGAAATTCCTCTCCGAATTCGTCCTCAACATCTTCTAAATCCACTTGTATCTGCACATCAATCTTGACCAGTCTCTCGGTGATGAGGGCAAGGATGTCGGACTGAAGCTCCGGGGCGTATGAGATGATTTTGATGAGGTTGCGGGTGTAGGCGAGGAAGCACTTGGCAGGGTCGGGGTGGGGAGGAAATTGGTGAGATAGGATAGGTGACAGGGCTCCACTGCCAGCGGGGATGAGCCGCATCACATGGCGCAGGGCCATATGGATACGTGTGTAGATCTCAGAGGGCTGGACAACGGGGTAGCCAGGAAGTCGGCCAGTTCCATATGAGACGCCGGTCAGTTTCGAAGTCAACATGCGAAAGACCTGGCCGAGATATGTTCCCTGTGCCGCGGCGAGATTGCCCAGAAAACGGATGAAAAGTTTCACATAAGCCTCATCGCGACCCAGCCACTCGCTGTCGAGAACGGCATTTACCAAACCGCTGCAGTTGCGGTCCAAGGAAGCGATGTGTGAGAGAAGGCCCATCAAATGGTTCTTCAGGGATGCGTGTGTCGGGAGGTTCCATGACTGCATGCCAGTGTCCGCTTTTTTGGGGTCGGCAACAAAGATCTCCTTGATTTGGTCATAGGCCTCGCTATCCCCGGCTGTGACATGGCGATGAATGGCCCGACGCACTTCTTCACGAACAACTGCAACGCTCTTGCCATCTGTAACTGTGAACGGGTCGTCGGAGGGAACCGAGAATGTGCGGACCGTATTTTTGTCATCGAAGGTGACGCGCGGGCGCTTATCGAGATGCTTGGGGAGGTCATCCGGGGCCGATGGAGAGAAGTCCATGTCGGTGTCATCCATCTTTCGTTTGATTCCAACGGGTTTGGAAGACTTGAGGATCGATATAGGAGACGACATCGCAATCATCTTTGGGTGATGGATGGAAGGTGTGGCTGTAAGGGCCGGTGAGAGAGGAGCAGTGGCAACAGACACCATGGCCGAGATTTAAAGGAATGCGTTATTGAGAAAGCAGTAAGGAAGACTGCTGTGTTATGGACATCTGTCGGATTGGACCTCCGGTGATTGCAGAGGGACAGCTCTTGATGGAGTGAAGACAGGGACAGAAGTCAAGCACACGACCGCTTGATGGAGCAAATTTTCAATTTGTGTTACAGGGATGAGGGATCAGACTCTTAACGCCAGTCTGTGTCCCCCAGAAACATTCCAGTCACTCAAGTAAATTGATGGATACTCAGACCGAGGTGAGGTGCACCGGATTCAAGTGCTGGAGTTAAGAAAAAAAATGCACTTGGATTTGTTGTGGGGCTGCGGAGAACCCGTGACTGGTGAATTTCGAAACTAGTCCACATTAGGTTTAATTGGTAGATTATGTCATCTTGATGCTTTATGGATGCCCGAGGCAACATAATTTCACCTCTACTGGTGTTTCTTCACACTTCCTGGCCTGATGCCACAACACACTACAGGGACATTCGAGACCATAGCTACCCTGGCATCTAGTCTTGAAGGTGGAGGAAAAGGTTTTTTGTAACAGAGTAATCGTCTTCAACACTGAATATTTTGAAACATGTACAAAGTCTACTATATCATAGATGATGTATACATAAATGCCGAGATAGTGTGAATCCATTGTAGATCCCAACAACATCCAATGAAGAAATGCGAGACAAATGGCAGATGAGAGTTGAAAATTGAAATCGGAAACTAAGGCGGCTCCTCCCATGGTATACTGCGAATCGGGGAATAAATATCAAGAGTCGTGAGAGAGTGAATAAGAGTTGGTCGTAGCGGGCGTTGTAAGGAAGATCCAGTCCTGTCAGAAACGCCACTCAGTGGGTCATGGATTATAGTCCCGGCTCAGCCGGGGTGTTCAGGAGGATTTGAGGATTCACAGCCACGGACCCGCACTAATGGGTCCAAGCTTATTGTCAAAGACACTTCCATATAACTCCTCGATTTCAGCGAGGTAGTCGTCAACTGTGAACTTGTGCAACCCCTTGCGAGAAAGGTAAAGCTCTTCTTCGTCCAGAACATGTGGGCCGCCGAATTCCTCAGCCACCTCGTTGACCTGCGCTAGCTCTTTGCTGAATGGATGCGACTCAGGCGCAGGCTGGAATGTCTCAAGCGACGCGCCAAGCGTAGGGTTACTGCGAGGCGCACTGAGAGTCGGGGGCGACGTTCTGGACTGGGAGCGTTTGCGTGCGAGATCTTGGTGAGATCGTTTGGTATGCGACAGAGCTCGAGTAGGAACCAATGGAGCATCCGTTGACGAGGCCGATGTAGTGGAGGAGCGTGGGCCACTAGTGCTAGTCACAGTTGCCGACCGTTTGGGGAAATAAGAACCTGGGCTGCCATCGATAGGAGAGGTGTTCTGAGAAAGGTCGGGGGTAGTGATGGACGAGGAGTAGCTGTGCGGCGAGGCAATATCGGAGTCCTCCCGCGATCGCATCGACGAAGAAGAAGAATGCGGGGATTGCGCCATCGAGGTCAAATCGGGAGCGTTGTAAGCCAGCATATTGGTGGTGGAGATGAGCTGAACAGGACCGGAAATATTGCTACGCTTGATGGAGCCAGAATTGAATCGCGCATGGCCCTTGGGCTTCTCCTCGCGATACGGCATGGGCGCCGACACCTCGGGCCGCTTGTGGCGCTTGGTGAATGCGCGCGTGAGAGTCGACATGATGATCTAGAGACTTGGTCTGTGACACCTAAGGCGAATTTAGGGATCCGAAGATGTGGGTTGGGTTTGATTTGATGCAATTTGGGACGAATAAACAATTCGATCCAAAATGCTTTTTTATTTTCGAGTTTGATTTCGGATCAAATTCCTGTCAACTGCCACCTGCTTGATCTCGCGTGGTAGATAATCGCAAGATCGCAAGATGTGGAGGCGGGCGAAGATCAATTTGCCGGAATGTCAGATGTCCTTAAAAGGCAATTCGAATGATTGAACCTGTTTCTTGCACAGAACTTCAGAATGAGTGTCAAGACCTCGGCGCGCTAACTTTGCACAGCAAAATGGCGGCAGTTTGGTCTCTTTTTGTTTCCCTAAGTCTAGGGGAATGAATGAGGGGCGTACAGCCAGGACGCGCCAGGGGTACAAAAATGGGCAAGTGGTCAAAAACCCTAGGGAATGAGGTCAAAAAAAGGAGTCCAGGATCACAGATCACAGATCATGGATCAATATTGTCAGGACTTGAAGAAATGAAGGGAAGGGAAAGAATGAAGGAAATCCCTGTGAAGTAGAAGGGGAGGAGAAGAAGAGGCAAGGGTCTGGACTGGTGGTTTTCCGTGGGCGCTTACCGTTTGGACTCCAATCATTCAGCTTCCACACCACTTTAACGTTCCCACAATCGTTCCGTCCCAAGGTTCATCAAAGTTCTGGAGTCAACTCCACCACTATTATTTGTTCTCTGAAGGGTCGTGGCGAACAGGTTCTTTCCGAAATTTCTTATTCTCCATTCTTCTATGGTTTTACGATTGGTGGTCCACTTATTCCCTTCCTTTTCGCCATCGCCTTTGTCCGAGAGAGTGGCCACGGCCCCATTGTCCGTGCCTGGAAGGGGCGCTTGAACGGAGATTCATTGTCACGGGGGCTAAGTCATGCTTCCCTTGGGCAGGAAAAAAAAGCGTTTGACGTGTTATGCTAATGCAGACCCTAGATCACGTCACACCGAGTTGTTCGTAGAAAGACGCCGAGCCAAAGATCCGAAAATAAAATCCCGATCAAAGGGAAGATGCGATGCGAACTGTGACGCAACAATGCTTTGCGCTCTGTAGCCTTGAAGGAATGAAACAGCCCCGAAGTCGAATCTCCCGGGGTCCGTTTCACCACTACCAGCCGTTCCCAAACTAAAAGCAGTCTGTGCTCCGCAAGACCGACGGATCGCCAGGTCCCAGGCACGGCCAGCGTGATGCCTCAGGGCCAATCAAATTGTGCCCCGACCCATCCCGATGCCGCCAGCGTGATCCTGGTGCGACCGGCGCTTCGAGATGCAGGGCTGCTGCACCTGATTGAGTCTGGTGGTTGCGACCGGTGCTTTTCGATGGACTTGTGAGGGGTTCGCTCGTGGGTCACTCCAATTTGGTGGGCTGAGGTGGGCCCCGCTCGTTAATCTTAAAAATCTCGAGGATATACGCTGGGCATCCACTGTTACCGAGTCGAGTGGGTCTTGAGATTCTACTCTGAGCACGACAACGCACAGTCAAAGGCACTGAAAAGCTTTGTCGTCCCTTACTATTTCGGGCCTCATCGTCAAAACCAATTCAAAACCGATTTCTTATTCGGCGTTTCTTTTCCTAACTCGGGTGCTTGAGAATGATGAAACACGCGACCGGAGGTTAATATAGTCCGTCGCAGGTTAAGTGCGACTCCATCACAACCCTGTCCTCAAATTTGAGGATGGAACATATCCGTTGCAGAAGGTTTGCCATTAAAAGTATATACTGGGTTTGCTTTTCGACAGCTCGTCTGCCCTGGATTGCTCTGTTTCTCTTTGCTCATCAAATCTGGCCCCTATGCCAGCAGGCTCTCCACTTTCGCCCATCGCCACATTGTCAGACCCCACGGTGACAGCATCCTGCGAGGCTCTTGAGGAGTTCATCCTACGGGGGCAGATATGAATATCATGGTGATTTCGAAAATGATAGTCGCCCGCGGATTGCCCGGTGTAAGCCGACGATCCAAAAATTTCCCCATCGACAGGGCTCCGAACTTTGCTGCTATTCTGAGAGGCCGTTAACGGATCCATTTGCCCCCCAAATCCTCCAAATGGCTCTATTGGATATTTGTCGACTGTGTATTGGTCCGATACTGCGGCCATCCAGTGCTCTATGCCGGTCCAATTCTGTAAAGGATATTGGGCCCACTCCTCCATGCGTCCTGATTTTTGCCTTTGCCCGTCTGCCTTTGCAGAAGCTTGGACTACTGCCGACGGTCTCATGGCGCGCAGTGTTACTAACGCGCCATATAAAGCCGCCTCGGTTTCGGCTAGTCTTTGCTCAAGCTGATTGAGATATCCGAGAGGTAAACCCCTGCAACTTCTTAGCTTTCGTCTCGGTGATCACCGCGATAAATTTACCTTCTGCCACTCTCTGGGTATACACATCCTGACGGTTCATGCGAGCACTGTGAACAGCAAGGACTATAAAGGCCATCAGCAGTTTTGCATTAGACATTCACTTCAACTTCTCATGATCAAGGAAGGCTCCGCTGGCGTACAATTTGCGGTCACACTACATCTGGTCAGTGCCGCTCTGGGTGTAAATTTCAAGTGACTAACTTTGCATTTTCGTTGTCTGCATTTCTCACATGATATAGGACTTAGTCTATCATTTGCTGCAACCATGGACTATATTAGCCAGTCATTCTCATCTCTATATCGCTGACGTACGTACCTGGCATTTTCTTTGATGCTGGGGGATGCTGGGTTCACTCTGGGGGCAATAGCCCATCTAGGCATTAGCTAGACAATAATGAGTCCTTTATTTTGAGTGAAATGATTTTCAGGATGTATCAGTACTTTGCACGCCAACTTGACACTTGCCAATTTGGCCGGTTGGATGTGTAGTGACAAGGCAAAGTCCGTCCGGACAAAGAAACCTCCGGTGACTTCAGACACGTGACACTCGATAGGCGCCTGCTGCCAAGTCCCATTTCAATCCACCACAGTGTTCATGCCCTTGTACTCTGGGGACCAAAACCTTTACTATTAGGATTTACCTCAAACAGCAAATTCGAGCCGCCTCAAATCTGGGGAGAATGTGCTTATATAATCCGCGGTGGACCAACCAACTTCACGCAACTTTGCATACTCGCCTTGGCGTCATTTAGAAGATGTGAAGTGAAGGCAACAGGATGGCCTCTCCATCTTCAGTCAGTACTCATCTAGAAGATGATTCGGAATGGCAATATCGTCCTCGTCTCACCAAGCGACATAAGCGAGGCTCAACCTCGGGCGCGTCAAAACCCTCCCCTCGCGAGATTGGGTATATGAGGGAGCCCCATAATGACGGCTCTGCCAGCTTTCTTGGAAGCTCCAGTGGGATTCACTTTGTTCGGCATGTATACAGTGCCTTTGCCCGCCGCTCAGCAGATCTTCAGCAGAGCAGAGCTCGGGATAGGAGTTCAGTTCCAGGAGAAGATGATCGCTTGCTGCGCGATCCTGGAAACCAGGATACCAATGAGTTATGGAACAAAGACGAAGTGAACCTTTCGTCGACCGCTACCTTCTCATTTGAAGATCTTGTTCAATGGACTCGTCGTTACTTTGAAAACTGGCATCCGATTTTCCCTTGCCTCCATGCACCAACGGTTTTGAAGACCATGGAGACGCTTGGCCATCATGGTTTGGGTTCAATCAATAGACTAGACTTGATGGTCATACGCTGTCTTGTCTCGGTATCGTTAGCGGACAGTCGACAGGTTCAACCCCCCGTATCACAAATAGGGCCAATTCCTGCCCCATTGGTTTTCCAGACCGTGCAGCATATTATGCAAGAGATACAGAGCTTGTTAGCAGAGCCAACCACGCTCCAATTGTTGCAAGCTACGTTTACTGCTCAGCTCACCATGACATCACTTCTACGTCTCAATGCCGCCTCACGCGTGGGCGGTATCGTTACCCGAACTGCTTTCCATTTGGGTCTGCATCGGTGCCCCGGCCGTTTTGCCTGCTTCAGCAGTGAAGAGGCTGACATCCGACGGCGTCTCTTTTGGTCAATATACTCTCTCGAGCGATATCTATCCCAGGCTCTTGGAGTACCTCTCAGTATTCGAGACGATGACATCGACGTTTGCTACCCTGGAGCTGAAAGGCATGCTGATCCATCCAGTCAGCCTAGTCTCAGCCGCCTCCAACTAATGTGTCATCTCGCCAAATTTGCTCGAGTAAGGGGGCTTATTCTAGAATTACGCAACAAGTCTATTTTGCATAGTCATGCTGGAACGGCCGAAGCATCACAAGTCAATGGTGAACTAACTCAATGGTGGAATGAAGTTTACGATGACGTCTACCCTATTGAGGACGAGTCCGAGGCCGGCCCTGATCAAAATCCGATTCTCACTCCATATCACCGACTTTTGGTCATGATTTTGAGACACGAAGCAATAATTTCGATGAATAGGCCTCTTCTCGCTGCTGAGAAGCCCAACCCGGACTATAAGAATGCTTTACAGACGTGCATTGGCTCCTCGCGGTCTTTGCTAGCCGCTTTGAAGAAGTACATGTCTTCCTCATCTGACGCTCCCCTGACGTGGCCATCTTTCACCTGGATAACATGGATGGCATGTCTCATCTTGATGTATGCATCGTGGGAAGGCGAGCTTCCTATTCCCACGGCTCTGAAGTATGCGAAAATGGGTACTGCTGTGCTGGAAAATCTTGCTCTTCGCGGGAGTAGCTGGCCAGAGACATGCATTGAGGCGATCAGAAGTATGGAGTCGGCCTTGCTATCGATGAGTGCGTCTCAGGAATCATCATCAGCCTCTTCTGTCAACGAGAGAGGTCTTACACGAAATCAAAATGGACCTCCGAGAACTGTTACACCTCGCCGACCAGTGAGCGTCAACCCAGCATTCACCCCTTCCGATAACCAAGGGACAAATGAAACCTATGCTGTCCCATCGTCCACTACAACTCAAAGATTCGGAACAACGATGAACCCTAGTATGCATAATCCTGGAGAGCCATCTTCCGCTTTCATCCGACATGATCATCAAGGCCACGCAATCGAGTTGCCCTCTTCCGATGCGTATTCAGCGAATGGTCAGACCTCAGCCGGCCTTATCTTCGGCAATATGGCAAACAGAAATGCCAATCTCTACCCAGGGAATATAGTCCAGGACTCTCAGCCTTTTTCTGATGCACCTGCCTTCATGAATGATCTCTGGAGTGTGGCGGATGGCCCATGGATTATCGATGGCAATTTGCTATAGTACTTTATAAACACCTTGAATAAAGCTTTGTACATAAGTCACATATGAAACTACAAATTGATTCGACTAATACATCATGCGACAGTTTCCATCGCAATTATGTTCCTTCCCTTATCCACAACAACGCGCAATTGCTCTTTTCCTTTGGCATCAGGAAATATTCCCTTTCGCAATTGATCCAGATACAGTTCATACGCAGGCATGTACCCTTTCACAAACTTGATAACCTCCTCATCCGTCATACCTGCACCTTTGTACTGTCTTAGAGCATGCTCTTGCTCCATACGCCACTCATAGACATTGACCAAATCATCTGTATCCAAATGAACCAGGTAATCGAAATGATCCGGCCCCATGAACATCTCACAATATTGCGCAAGGCTCTCATTTACACCCAGAAGATGCTCAATAGCATGTTCTTTCAGTGTATCTGTAGGATACGCTGATCTGCACGTGGCTTTCCCCGCTTCGTTCCATCGCGACATAACTCTTTCCTTGGCTAGAGGCTGGAAACCAACACACCACCCTTCAAAAATGACAACATCAATATCGGATGTGATGATACGTTTCCACTTGTGTGATGGGGCTCTTCCACCTTCTCCGTTAAATAAACTCTTATCAAAAGAAGGAACCGATATCTCTCTCGAGTCCATCAGACTTCTGAAAAATGACACCGACAAAGCTGTGTCGTGAGTCCCAGGTTGTCCGCGGGCCTGAAGAAGTTTATTAGATGGGTTGCTTCTTCGGAGTCTCACGAGATCATCATGGTCGAGATACAGATCATCCAAGGAGATGTTGATCGTTTTGTAGTTATGTTTGCTGCGGAGAGTGCCTGCGAGTGCATCGGTCCAGGTGGATTTGCCGCTGCCTTGGAGACCTGTTAACGCAAGCACAAAGGGGCGCTTAGTTGGCTTTGCGGATTGGTCGGCTATGTGTTGTTTGATGTGTGGTATAATGCGATTTAAGATGATGTCGATATCTTCTGCGGGGATCTTCAAAGCACCCATTGTGACGGTGAAGCTTGCTAATATTGCGATAATTTGGCACTAAGAACCCAGGATGTCGTGTTTAAAGGAAGTTAAATGGTGAGATTTCCAGACCATATAAATTAGCCAAGACATACTACGGGATGAACGATTCGCCTTATGTTTAACCTGTACATGGGACTCCACGCGGACATGTCTTTCTCCTGGTGGGTCCCGGAGATGAGAACCCCCGCCCTACATACTGCACAACGTCAAGATCCACCGGACTTGAAAACCTCCGAGGAAACCTCTGGGCAACCCCCATTGGCCAAATGTACTGGGGATGAGGGGGCTCACTAGTTTGGCCTCCATTAAGACCCAGACCTGATTGACAGAGCTAGAAACAAAAAGCCTGAAACCCCCCGCATGCACAAAATCTTAATTTCTCTGCTGCACAACACCCAATCCCAATTCACATAATATCTTCAATCAAAATGTCGCCCTCTGTCGTGGGAAAGACCTACAACATCGCCTCTATCCCGGCCGATGGTATTGGTCCCGAAGTTATCGAAGCTGGTATCACTGCGCTGAACGCCTTAACCGATGCTCTCCAGACATTCAAGCTGAACTTCAAGCACTACGACTGGAGTTCGGAGACATACAAGAAGACCGGAAAGTATATCCCCGATGGCGGACTTGAGGAGCTGAAGAAGCATGATGCCATTTTTTTCGGCGCCGTTGGTGCACCTGGTAGATACTCCCCTCCAAGCTTGCAGAAAACATAGTATTCACCAGAGCTAACAACCCCTAGACGTCCCTGATCACATCTCGTTGTGGGGTCTCCGCCTGGCTATTTGCCAACCCCTTCAGCAATACGCGAATGTCCGCCCAACAAGAGTCTTCCGCGGCACCGAGTCGCCTCTGCGGAACTGCAAGAACGGTGACCTTGACTGGGTTATTATTCGCGAGAACAGCGAGGGCGAATACGCCGGCCAAGGTGGCCGCTCTCACGTAGGCAAGCCTTGGGAGGTCGCTACCGAGGTCTCCATCTTCTCCCGACATGGCGTTGAGAGAATTATGCGTTTCGCGTTTGAAACTGCCCAGAAACGTCCTCGTAAGCTCTTGACTGTTGTCACTAAGAGCAATGCTCAGCGCAACGGCATGGTTCTTTGGGATGAAGTTGCCAAGGCCGTTGCTGTTGATTTCCCGGACGTCACTGTTGACAAGATGCTTGTTGATGCGATGACTACTCGGATGGTCTTGAAGCCTGAGAGTTTGGATACTATTGTTGCTACCAACTTGGTGAGTGCGAGCCCTACAATTGAATCAAAATTATTTTCTTACTTACGTATGTTTAGCATGCCGATATTCTTTCCGATCTTGCTGCTTCGCTGGCTGGTTCTATTGGTATCGCTCCTACATCTAACCTCGATCCCACTCGCCAGTACCCTAGTATGTTTGAGCCTATCCACGGCTCTGCCTTTGACATCACCGGCATGGGTATCTCTAATCCCGTGGCTACCTTCTGGACTGCTGCTGAGATGCTCGCCTGGTTGGGTGAGGAGGAGGCGTCGAAGAAGCTCCTGGATTGTGTTGAGAATGTCTGTGAGCAGGGAGTTTTGACTCGCGATTTGGGGGGAAAGGCTACTACTAAGGAGGTTACAGATGCCGTTGTGGCTGAGATCAAGAAAATGGGTTCCAAATAGATATAGCTAGGATCAGTGATTTAAGTGTACATTTAAGAAGTTGATGCCCGGTGGCTTTGATGTTATATCATGAAGTAGAGATAAAATTCCGAGGTGTACAATGTGACTAATTTGGTCATGGTGTTGGTCCTCTGAACAAGCACGCATCGATTGCGTTCGCTTGTTTCGTTCTTTTGCTTAACCTCTTCTACGCGATTGGATACTTGGGTGGAACCTTTTTGGTAATGCACTCAACTTGAGCCGGTGCGTCTGTCTGTTGCTATAGTGTCCGTTTATACTACGAATCACTGGCAGTGGAATTTCGTTGTCGTCATGCTTACTCTGGTGACGCTAGATACCATTGAGTACCAATACTATATCATGTACGCGATTCTGTCAGCTTGCACTGTCGTGGGCTCCTTTTTTTATCCGGAGACTACGAATCGCGACCTGGAGTTTCTGAATCATGTGTTTCAGGATGCTTCATCTCCTTGGGATATTGTGTTTATGGCGCCAAATTTGCCTCAGGGTGAGATTTTTGAAGTAGACTTGATGGCTCATAAAAATGGAAAGACAAATCTTCCGCTGAGATGAATAGGCCTAGCAGCCGACGTACATATGACCTCGAGCAGACAGTTGTAGATATCTTCTTGCATCCGGCTGATTTGAGATATCTCTGTGATTCGAAAATAGATTATGTAGTATTTGAATCTGAGTCTGGTAAATTATGGTTTCGCGTGTCTAAGGCGCGAGAAGAAACTGGAGGAAGTCAAGCTGAAACTTGATCTAGAGGCCGATTGGTCTTCTGGCAGTATAATGTATGTGGAATATCACCTGGACTCAATCCTGTACTGGCTAAGCCCTACTATTTTGATTTTCTCTAGCACAATTTAGGCATCTTGTGTCCAGCGAGCGGTGTCATAAAAGGTAGGGGCCAGCATCGTACGTCTCCACTGTGTGATGCCGAACAGGGAAGTATGCCTATTTCGATTGAAGTTGGTCTACTCAATAAAGAGTTTCCGTAAGGGGGGTAGGCAGCGAGGCCGGAACGTTTTGTCTCGAGTTACTTCATTTTTTCATATTGGAAAGCCGTCGTGATTGAAATGGGAGGGTTAGCGAATTGCGGATCGACAATAGGAGGACTGAGCTGTTGCTAGTCATTCGGGGAGCAAAACAATCTTAACCTCATCGATGAAACAAAATAGTCTGGGGTAAAATTGGTGAAACCTGATATCGATCCATCCTGTATGTTTTAAGGCGATTGCCGAAGCCAAGTTAGTTAAGTCATTCGTGAAGAGCCCTCAATTCCAGGCCGCAGACTGGCCATGAATGTGACAAAGGTAGGCATTGAAGTTGATGCCCAAAACGTTGCTTCACAACATCTGTAATCTGTTAAATTGCCGTGTTCAAAGGTCAAAAAGCCATACATAGTACCCTTCGGCAATCAGATCGGCGAGACCGGAAACTTGGCAGGCTGCGGCATCACAAAACCACGCATCGGAATGCCGATGCGGAGGATAACAAGGACGGGGATAGTTTTCTTCCGCAAATCACAAGACGTCAATATGTCATTAAGACCCACGAACCTGATCCTAGACATGAAAAGTGGTCCCTGGCGCGGTCTGACGCCGAGCACTAAATAAGGACCAATGGATCGCTCACATCTAGAGCAGAATCCTCCGAAATTCGCTACTTTTACCCCGGAGTTGACCCAGCCCCATCAGACCCAGTGGCACAGCCGAGAGGACAAGGCTTGTTCGTCACGTTTATAGGCGGAGGTGGCCTTGTCCGCGTTGCTCGGGAAGTGGGAGCGGGAATTTCGGGGCGATGAGACGCCGCTATTGGTTGCCGATGGATCCATAACAACCGGATATCCGATGCGGTACCGCCGAACGGTTCTCGGTTGACGTTGAATCTGAGGAAGAGACGGCATCATTTCCTGACTGTTTCTCATTTGGCTGGGCGACGTTTTCGAAGCCGAATCAAGATCCGTGTCAAGGCGGAATAATTCGGGTTAGAGGGGTTTTTATGACATGGCGATGGGTCTAAGTGTGGTCTGGACTATACTTATAGCTCGTGTATTCTCGTGAAAATTTCTATGATATTAGAATAAATCTAAGCTAAATCTCTCTGATGATAAATTTTATGATACGATCTTTTTGAATATCGTCTTCACCTTTAATCTCATTGCCATGGCTCCTTCAATCAACGACGTGCCTGTTGGCCAAACCACCCAGGCGTCCGCTTGTAATGTCGGCATCAACGGCTTTGGTCGTATTGGTACGAAACCTCAACAGCCTACCCACACACAAGCTAATAGATAGCTTCGTATAGGTCGCAATGTACTTCGAGCTGCTCTCGTCCGATCTGATATACAGGTTGTTGCGATCAACCACACCTGTGTCACCGTCGAAGACCTCGTCTATCTGATCCGCTATGATTCCTCAATGGGCAACCTGGATGACCGAGTCGATATTCAGATCGTGTCAGATGCTTTGATCACTATCGATGGAAAGCGTATTGCTCTTACATCCGAGCGGGACTTGAAGAAGCTCGACTGGGCTTCCGTGGGAGCTGACTACGTCCTCGAATGCACCGGAAAGTTCACAAAGCGCGACCTTGCCATGGAACATATCACCTATGGTAACGCCAAGCGGGTGCTCATCTCCGCACCTAGCTCGGACGCACCCACCTTTGTCTACGGTGTGAACTCCGATAATTATACACCCAGTGAGGAATGCCGTGTTGTTTCCAACGCAAGCTGTACGACCAACTGTGTTACTCCGGTCTTAAAGGTTCTTCAAGAGTCCTTCGGCATCACTCAAGGCTTCCTGACCACTATTCATGCCGCTACCCGATCTCAGCAGGTCTTGGATGGGTACAGCAAGAAGAACGCTCGTCTGGGTAAGCGGTCCCCTTCGACAATCATGCTTGCAATTTCTAATACTTCATAGGACGTGGCGTTTTCAACAACATCATTCCCACCACCACCGGTGCCGCCAAGGCTGTCGCATCTGTATTGCCCGAGCTGAAAGGAAAGGTTACCGGTGTCTCCATTCGTGTTCCTACGTGAGTCAATGATTTCACAAAATCTTCAACTCCAAAGCACAAGCTAACATACCCAGACCCAACGTCTCCATGATCGATCTCACTGTCAGCACTGAGAAGCCCACGTCTCTCGCCGAAATTATGTCCAAATTCCGCGTTGCTGCGAAGTCGGAAATGGCTGGTGTCCTTCGAGTCACGGATGAGCAGTTGGTCAGTAGTGACTACAATGGCAGCCCTTACAGCGCTATCATTGATGCTCCCGCATGTGCAGAGCTCAACCCTCAGGTATGGTCTGGTCCTTATTTTGGAAAGGTACAATGTGCTAACTTTTCAACAGTTTTTCAAGATCATGGCATGGTATGATAATGAGTGGGGATACTCGAACCGACTTCTTGATTTGACGACTTTGGTGCATGCCCAGGAGGCTAATTGATGGATTGGGATGGAGTTTGGTGTTCGACAAAATATATAATACCATTCAAATATTTTTACTTGATGCATTTGCAATATATATCCAATAAAATCATTCGGATCTATCCATTGGAAGATATAGTTCACGCTCTGCGTTAGAGCGGGGCAATTTCATATCCAGATGTAGTGTTATGTCTAGCATGCTCCTTAAAGACCCACTTGAGGGTTCTACTGACCATAGGGAGGCCATCTTTGATATTTCTACGCTACGTAGAAATTCCGTAGCAATTCTTTGGAGAAGAAAGGGTGCCAAAGAAGCTGAGATGATATTCATTCACGAAAGGGTTGGAAAAACGAAGTGGTCGAAATGATCCCCAATTCTCGCATTGTAGATGCGATGGCTGGTATGTAATTGAGTATGCAAAATCAAAGCATTTCTAAGTACAGCTGTCACTGCCAGAAATGAAGGTTCCATCAGAGTCCTCGCATCCGCAGACTCCAGTCTGGGGGTCCTTGATGCAGCCAGTGCCGACACCGCTGTCCTCGCCCTCGTCGCTCCAGTAGAAGACCCAGTAGTCCGACTCCTCCTCCAACTCATCACTGGTTGGTGCAGTGCAGGTGTAAGCGCTGCAGGTACCGTAAGGAGCACCGGTATAATCATCGTACTGATGATCGGTCTCGAAAACAGCAAAGGTTTGGGTTCCGGAGACGCGAGTGTTGTGGGAGCACTCCGCGGCTTGAATGGCAGTCGAGACCTTAGCGGCTATTGGTTGGGAAAACAAAACAAGGTTAGTACTTGCCAATATTGAGCGATAATGACACATGGCAGGCCATTGTGACGAGATATCGCGAGCTACTCTATTTCATCGCAACGGATACACTTACCAGAGCAGTTCAGGCTTGTGGGCTTGTATCCCTTTGTGTTTGTTGAGCAGGGATCAACGGTGGCCATGACCATGACTGGGGTTGCCACCATGGCGAAAAAGGTGGTGAACTTCATATTGAGTTAAAGGTCACTTTTTGAGATCGTGTGAAAATGTTGATGCCATTTCTTGAGATCGCATAGTTGCCCTCTTATATACCTTTGGTGTACGGCTCATCTCCGGGGTTTGATCTAATCAGAGAGCAATTGAACTTTATCTGATACAAAGCAATATCGCTGCATAACAAAGGCCGAGAACGAAGCTGTTGCGGTGGCTCCTTTTTTCAAGAATCCGTACTCAGGAGGGACCCATAGAAATGTGTTTCAAGTTTTGGTTCGAAACAGCCATGGGGCTTGACTCGGCGATCATCCGCTTTAGAATCCCAACTGAACGCCAATGGAAACTTCTTCTTTGCCTAATTAAAGACGATCACAGGCTAAGTTCTCTAAAGTGTGTGACTTGCGCCATGTTACTCCTCACTGGCTGCCTCTGTATTTGATGGTGTGCCCCACCAATCAACTCATGGTTTCAGTGATGTATAATCGATGCCGGCTTTGAGTCTGTTTCATGCATAATGATGCATTTAAGTCATCGACCACGGTCTAGAGCTCGCACGTTCGCAGCAGCGAGTAAGCAATCTAGACCGCCCCCGGAGCAGGTCCAATATAGCAAGGCCGTCATGATCTCAAATTAAAGTTGTTGCATTGTAAGAGTTTAGACTTTCTTCAAACTGCCAAGTCCGATCGGCCTCTTTCTTTTCAGCCGCTCTCCTTTTTGTAGATGGAGTATCGGCGAAAAAGCTGACGCGGCCCAATTTACGGATCGCAATCCAAATGGCCTCAATTTCATGTTAAAAGTACCCAGATGACCTTGAATTGTGCGGCTCCTCCATTCTCCCACACACCCTCCATCTATTTCTCTACTTTAATCTGCCGATTATGGTATTCACCCAGTCAAAAAAAGCTTCATTGGTATAGTACATAGAAAACAGTCGTCACTCAAATAAGTCACTATATATCGATGACTCGAATCGGGTGTGTAGTTGGTGCTTCAACATCTGGGTGACGCTCATCCCCCGGCGCTTAAGCGCTTGTCGAAGGGTTTCACCACACACAGGTAGATCAAGCTCAGCAACTATTTGATTGCATGGTTTAGCCCGGTTGTCAAAGCTTGATCGTATCCATTCAATGGTAGAATCTAGCTGTTCCTTAGAGAGCTTTGACTTCCGGCCTGAGCTCTTCTGCGGTGTAGGTTTTTGAGAAAAAGTCGTATATCGAACTTGGTTTCTGGTACAACCAACCCGAGAAGCGATTTTGTTATAAGAGTAACCTTCTTGCGAAAGAAAAAGTATATGCAGGCGCTGGTCGCGCGTACGGTGCTTTGTAGGACGAGGCGTAGAAGGTGGTTTCGTGGTGGAATAGTAGAATGAGTGGAGCTAGTGGTACCGGTACCGTGGTAGAATTGGTGGCTTGGGTGGTTGATTAGTTGGTTAAAGCAGGCTTGACTCGAATAAGGGGCTTGATACGTGTGTATTTATCATGACGTTAATATGATATCAGTAGATATGTATCTATAAAGTTGAGTCCATAATTGTTTTCATTCAACCTGGACGTTGACATATATTGGGTAGGCGGTGTTGCACTATGATCACCGCCTATCGGTTATGGGAATGGATGTCGTGGAGCGGCTATCTCGGCCCCCGGACAACCGGATTTACGTGCGCTGGCTCCACTCTTACTATGATATCACCCATCTTATCATGGCTGAGGAAGCGTCCATTCCATACGATATGTCTATTTTGACGATTTCCCTTGGTCCTCGGGAAATACCATTGAAACCTCCGAAGTCGGCTAGGAATTCCGATAAGCGCTACGAAGATTGTTAGAGATGAATATGTAGAATGTCGAAAGACTTGGGGCTAAACGTGCGCATCACTCGGTTTTCCATGATCTTTGGAAATGATAGCTTACGTAGTCTGAAATCAGGCCACTAGGCAGTCTACGTCATAGGTACTAGTACGGCTTGTTCTTGGAATTATATGATAAATCTTCCCCGATGACTCCTTAGGAATTGTTATTCAATATCAGCATTGGTTGGAACGTCCCTCAATCACTTCATTTTCAACACACTATAATATACCCAAATATTCATACCTTACTATACAACCACAATGTCTGGTATCTTGCACAAAGCCGAGGATGCCCTCCACATCCACCACCACGATAACAACAAGCCTACCGAGCACGGTGAACATGCCAAGCAGCCCGATGCTCACACCGGTAAATATAATTCAGTCAAAGAACTAAAACAGTATGGCTTACTGATATATAATAGATAAGCACGCCAATGGCCACCATCATCATGAGAAGCCCCATATGAGCCAGGAAGAGAGGGACCGGGCTGATTTCGAGGCTGCGAGACACTATGACCATGCTATGAAGAATAGTCACGGTCCTGGTGTTGGATTTGAGGAGTAATTATGGGTTACCATTTATATGCGAGAAATATGGTAATCATGGCTGTTATGATTGAGCGATATACATGTGTGGAATAGAGCTATAGGATAATTTGGGAATTTTGATAACTCCATCTAGTATACTTCTTATTCCTTGGCGGCGGTGATCATCCTTGGCACTGAGATAACGTATGGTATAATCTGGCACGAAAAGAAATATGGTCTTTGCAGGCAGACACTCAACAGGATTTCCATCGGAGTTCCTCTGGCACTTCTTCAAATTCCCCTTTCTTTTCATGATCAACCCCTGTGCTCACTGAGTAGACCCGGACACGCCTCTAAGCGGTGTGATCTGCTCAGTGGTCATACGAATATTATTTGATTTGTTTTTTATCAGCTGATGCTCACGAGTTATCTGAGCAATCTGATTCGCTCAATAAGCAGAGCCTGAGCGTCCTGTGTTTGGGTTAAGCCTGCATTGTTTCAGTACTACAAAGCAAAGAGGGACGTGGCCAATTCAGTAACTCAGAATGCAATAATTCTCATACTTTGTCATACCCTACTACATTGATGCTATGCATTATGACAAGAAGAGAAGTGGTCTGGATTGGGGAACGTGGGGACGGAAGACGTGAAGTATAGTTTGCCACTTTGTAAACTAGTGCCGAGCTATAGTTTGTCAAGGCGTAAGCATGTACTCGATTGTCACACGCTCCACAATCTCTCGCAACGCATTTTTCATGCTTCTTACAGAAACCAGCTTCATTTCTTGCTTGAAATTTCTATCTGGTTAAGTGAGGAGCTCAAACACCAGTCAACAGTATTTTGATGGACCTGGATGGTGACACGAGTACACATGAAAACCAGACACTAGGGTTGTTAGCCTTTGCCATGAATATCCACGCCACTGATACCTTCGATGCATCAACTAACACAAAGTGATACCTCATATGCGGGCGCTCAAAAGGCGTGGCGGTAAATGTAAACGTTGGGACCGAGATATCCATACCTCACATCCATTATATATAAATTGCCAAATCCTACGAACGTTGGAAAGTTAAACCCCATCCGATGAGTCTAAGATTGTGTGCTTAACCACGAGGTATATCTCTCTATTTAATCCAGCAAGCACCCTACCTCATCCTACGTTACGGCCGATCCTCTCCAAGTTCAAAGTATGGCGGAATCATATGTTAAGCACGACAAAAACACTCCAAAAGCCCACGTAGTTGCTGACCCAGTCACATTATACAATTGGCACAAGAAAATCAACTGGTGGGCTTGTCTTTTGACGGTTATAATTCCGCTGTTCGGATTAGGCCTGGCGTCCAAAACACCTCTACAATACAAAACAGCGGGATGGTCATTGCTGTATTATTTCTGCACTGGAACTGGAGTGACGGCAGGTAATACAAGCCCGGATAGATGACGATTCACCTCACTCTAATCGACCATGGCAGGATACCATCGGTTATGGTCTCATCACTCGTACAATGCTTCAACCCCTCTCAAATTTTACCTCGCGATCATGGGCGCCGGTGCAGGTCAAGGATCGATCAAATGGTGGGCCAGAAACCATCGAGCACATCACCGATACACAGACACCGACAAAGATCCATATTCTGTCCAGAGGGGACTCGCATATGCCCATATTGGGTGGGTTTTGAAAAAGCAAGACCCTGCACAAACAGGGCGAACAGATATCACCGATTTAAAAGGCGATCCAATTGTCATGTGGCAGGACCGTAATTATTTACTGTTGTTGCTCTTTGCCACGTTTTTCCTCCCGACTGCTGTCTGTGGAATCGGATGGGGTGACTGGCGTGGTGGATTTGTCTATGCAGCGATATTGAGAATGCTTTGCGTTCAACAAGCCACATTCTGTGTGAACTCTCTAGCTCATTGGCTAGGCGACCAACCATATGAGGACCACAATTCTCCCCGGGATCATACTCTGACTGCAATTCTTTCCTTGGGAGAAGGTTGGCATAATTTCCACCATGTGTTTCCTTCCGATTACCGCAATGCTATCAATTGGTATCAGTATGATCCAACAAAATGGCTGATCTGGATTTGGTGTCAGCTCGGACTGGCATCAGAACTTAAAAAGTTCCCGGAGAAGGACATTCAGAAATGTCGCCTTCTGCAGCTGCAGCAGGATCTGGACAAGAAGAAGAATACCTTTGACTGGGGCCCACCTATATCAGAATTACCGGTGATTGAGTGGGACGAATATACCAGGCCTCAAAGTCGACTACTTTTGGTAATTGCTGGAGTGGTTCATGATGTGACTAAATTCATTGACGAGCATCCCGGTGGACGAAATCTAATGGCTGGTGCAATTGGGAAAGATGCTACAGGTATGTTTCATGGTGGGGTTTATGCTCATTCGCGGGCTGCGCGTTGTCTTCTAGCGCAAATGAGGGTTGCCGTAGTCCGCGGAGGCGGCGAAGTAGAGGCTCGAGTGGAACGCGAAACGCTGTGATTTTTTGTATATAATTCATATATTTATCCAATTTCGAAAGATCTTCCTGAATGTTGAGTCTAGCGGTCAAATCGTGGCAATCATAACTGGATGTACGGGGTTGCGTGACTAATTGGAGGTAGTGACCTAGGAATATATTCATATCGGCGGCTAGAGCCAGTCATCAAGTAACATGCGTGATCGGAAACATAAGAGATCTATTTTTGTGTACATCAAAGCAGGACTCCACGGGTATCTGTGTTCCTCGACGAAATCATTTAATCCTCATCCATAGACTCCCATCCATCGGGACCAGGAGCCTCAGCCTCAACACCAGCATCACCCTCATCAGACTCATCTCCATCATCGGCATTGACACCAACCATACGCTCTTGCACCTCACCCTCGAGATCAGGCATACGAGAAACAAATGCACGACGGACAGCACCGTTGGTGGACGCATCCCAGATCTGGACATTGCCCTTGCTACCAGCCACAGCGAGACGGAAGCTGACCATAGCGTCGGGAGCGAAGGCAGTGGAGAAGACCTTGCCGACGTCCAGCTTGCGGGAGACGACCATGCTAGGCTTGTCGTTTTCAACGTTCCAAAGCTTGACTTCCTTGTCTGTGGAGCCGGTGACGAGGAAACCGGGGATAGTGCGGTTGATGTCGAATGAAGAGACGGAGGAGTCATGGGCCTGCAGGGTCCAGACGGGCTTGGACTCGGCGGGGGTGGCGGGGACGTTGCGGACATCGTAGCGGTATACTTGTCCACCGTCGGTGGTGACGTAGAAGAAGTTGGGGTCGTGGGGGTCCCAGCGAACGTTCTCGACGTCGGAGTCGACGCCCCAGCGGGCCTTGGCGTCTGGTGCACGCATGTCGGCGGCGACCACGGTGCGGTCGTAGCTACCGCTCAGCAGGATGGTGGACTCTGTAGGGTGCCAGTCCAGCGAGCAGACCTTGTCGGTATGGTGGGAGTAAGACTTGACACAGCTGGTGGTGTTGAGATCCCAAAGCTTGACGGTGCGATCAGCGGAGGCGGAGGCAAGCAGGTTGCGGTGCTGGCGGTTGGCTGCCAGAGCCAGGATCGAATCGATGTGGTATTCGTCGTTTGCCTTTGCCTTCTTCTTCTTGGACTTCTTGCGCTCACTGTCCTGGCCGCCTTGACCGAGGATAGCGTTGGGATACATGGAATCCACGACGTCAAGATCCCAGATCTCGATATCAGGCTCCATGGTTCCAACGGCAACAAAGTTACCTGTTGTGCGTCCCTCGGCATTCTTGCCAACGGGCATGTCGAGCCACTCCAGGCAGAGGGGAATACCGGGCAGCATGATGTCGTGGTGCACGTAGAGGTTATCGGCGGCGTCCTCGTAAACGTAGACCTCCAGATGGGCGACCTCATCCTCGACCTTTCCGGCCAGGAGTAAGTTGTCAGTGGGCATGATCTGAAGCTCCTCGCGGTCCTCATCTTCCTCGTCCTCGGGCATGACAAGGTACGGGTCCTCCTCGTTGGGCTGGTGGTAGGCCAGCGACTGAACATTGCCGAACATGGTAACTTTCTCTCCATCCTCATCGACCTCATCGCTATCGTAGTGGTCGAGATCGAACTCTTTAAGGACATCATCATCACTAAGACGGAGGTTAGCTCGATCCAATGCATCGTTAATTACGCTGAACATACTCAGTTGACTTAGCCTCAGCGCCCTCCTTAGAAGGCTCCTTCTCCTCGGCATCCTCTATGACGTCCTCATCCTTCTTATCCTCATCCATGGCAGAATCCTCGCCCTGCGCAGCGCTCATATCCTCCTTAGCATCCTCAAGCTGCATGCGAGCAAGCTTCGATATCCGGTTCATTTCCTCCTCGTCAATCTCGTACTTAGTAGGAAACTGGGCAGCGACACCGCGCCGCACCCAGGCTGTGGTAGTGATCATGGAAGACATTGTGAAGAGCTTGATCACAGTAATCTCCAACAATCAGTCAGTTTTTTTTTATCGGCGATATTTTTTTTTATCGGTGTGCTGAGGGGTCTTCCGCCCGGCAGAAAGCGGCCGATCTCCTCACCGCCCGGGCTTTGCGATTTGCTCCAAGAAGTTATTGGAGAGACTCGAACTTATGATTCATAAGACAGTCGGACTTCCTTCAAAAACTCCGGATTTTGACCATAGCCGCCAATATGCATTCTCACCTCCACACCTCGTACAACGTCAGTACGTATTACCATACTCGGCACACAGTCATGAACCAATCAGACCAGCAAAACTGACTAGAACCTTTGCTAGACTGCGAGGAAATTATGACAGCTCTTGACGAGTGCCACGCCCGTGGCTTCATGTGGAAGGTCTTCGGCAACTGCAATGATATCAAGCGTGAGGTGAACCGCTGCCTTGCTGCTGAGCGCTATGACCGCGCTAAGAACAACCGGGATATCGCGCGCAGTAACCGACGGAAGATCGAGGATATCTGGGCGAAGGAGCGGGCTCTGGATGCCAGTGCTGTGCAGGTCCCTACCCCTCCTGCTACTACCGATGCTTCTACGGATGGTACCAAGCAATAAGCAGCGTTGGTGGTGTTACGATAGGCCGCAGTCATCTTAGGTGTTTGGAGTTCGGTCAATTGCTTTTTTTTATGCTACGATACTCTCTTCTCGGTAAAAGAATGAGGCCAGCTATTTGTTTGTACGATATTGGAGGAATTTGTGTATATAGTGGGCCACGAAAGGTCATATGGAGACGGGAGCTGCTGGTTGAAAAGCCAGAAGTGATCGTATGATGCCCTTGAACAATTAAAGGAATGATGAGCTTCTCGAGCTTATGAATTTCCATGTACAATTGGACTATTGAACTTTTTTGAACTAAATATCCCAATCCGAACGCCATGCCGTGGACAATAAATATCATGCAATGTCAACCGTGAAGAGACGCAGTTTATGCGTCCATTTCAGCCTCAGCCACTGGGGCAGCATCAGCGTCACCACCCTTATGATGGCGGCGTCTCCGCTTAGTCTTAGCAGCACCAGAATGCTCACCCTCTGCCTCTGCCTCGGCAACTTCAGTCTCGACCCGCTCCTTCTTTGCACCACCGGCATTGGCGTCAACTCTCTTCTTCGGCTTCTTCATACTCATAGGGTTAGGTCCCTTGGCCTTCTTCAAACCGGGGATCTTCTTCCTCTCGCCACCATCTTCGCCTTCGCCATCGTGTTTTCTCTTAGCCCCAAGCTCAGGGTCATCCAATCCAGCGCGGAATTTGCCCATCTCGTGACCATCACGCACAGCCTCAGTTTGTGTGCTCAGAGGCTCGAGAACCATCACCGAGCGCTTCACGTAAATAATAGGCACACCGGGGATAGAGCGCGCGCCGAAACGCAAAGCTCTCGAGCGGCGCATTGCGCGCTCCTCTTCGCGCTCCTCTTCGGTCTTGCGCTTGCGCTGTGCCGGGTTGTCTGCCTTGTCGCTTTTCTTGGCTGCTGGCGGGTCGGCAGTAGCGAGGATGTAATGCTCTTTGTTCTTCTTTACTTCAGCATTGGGCGAAAGGAGGGAGAGCAGACATTCCACCTCGTCGATGGGGGTGTGTTCTGCGTTGTGACTGCAGTGGCGGAGGGGCAGAATTGTTGGTGGGGGGAGATGCATGGGACGATAGGGTGTGTTGGTTCTGGGGTTGATGGGTTGCTTGGCCATAATGGCTGCGAGGGAACACTTTGTGAGGACTGATCGCTGTTAGTATATCTGTGCCTATAACTCTCGTCTTGGCGATTGCAGTGTGCATGGTTAGATCGATGGGTTGGGGTTGGTCACTAACGTGGCTTGGGTGTGCCTTGAAGAGTCCGCTCAAGAGCAGGGAGCAGATCCATCTTGAATTGGTCGACGGCATGCAGGAAGTTCGAGTCGACTGTGAAGGTGGGTTAGCATTCAAGTTTGGATGGTAGCTTTGTAGTCGACATACCGAGCACTTGGTAGGGCTCACGGAAGCCAAATGTCATCTCATACTGGTGCATGAGCTTGCGGTACTTCTTGGAGCGTTTGGCCCTCATTGTGAATGATTGAGGTAAAGGATTGTTGGAGTTACGGAGACTTCGTTGCGGTGATGCGCGAATGAAACTTTTTTCTGATTTTGCCGGGCGGCGGGCGAGGCGGTGATGGTCCGTGCGAAGTACCTCTCTGGTGGATCTACGGAGTACTAGTTATAGTAGATGCAGAATTAGTGTGACTGGGAGACTGATCTATGGTGATTAAAATTTCCTGTGTAGTTTGTTAATTGATTATTATTACTCATGTACTTGAATGTCTAGAAAAAGGCTAGAATAACCCGAAATCCCAAATACTCCAGTACGCTGGTGCGCATGCAAAGCGATGTAGGTGACCCTTCGAATCTGCTTAGCTCTAATTTCAACTGAAAATGGGCGTTGAAGCCCGGTAATAGATATGGGCCTGGGAGAAAAGACTTCAGGCCCAAGAATGAGAAATTCGTGGACACATAAGAAACCTGACGTTCCCAAAAACGGGATTCTCCCCCGGGGTGAGCCGTTGTCAGGGAGCGTGAGAACGTAGGTAAAGTCGAGGGCAACGGTGGAGGAAGACCCGAGTTCCTCTATGAATGGATAATGACACCACAATGGATCGTCCAATTCATGATGGGCAGTGCATCTTGTAATTTCAATGCAAGTGGTACCGCATTGTGGGTGCTGTCTTGTGCTGGATGGGTTTGGTACTCATCACCCAGCTCGTTTCTGACAAGAAGCAACCACGACGGAGATGTCGTCCATTTTACCTAACAAAGGTCAGCATTGTATTCTTGGAGAGAATAAGTTATAGACAAACATACCTCCTTCGATAGCAAGCCCTTCATCAATCGCTTTCTCCATGTAGGGGCTCTCCGCAAAGGGATCCTGAGCAACTGCCAAAGCAGCATTCATCAGTTCCCTTGCTACATAGACCAGGCGGTCATTTGACAAATTCGACGAGGCCAGCTCGGTCGTATCTGGACACCCTTGGTCCCATTTCTTCATACTGTCCAGAATGATTGTCATAACCTCGTGTTCCCATAAGTTATCCATGACGCCGTCCGACACGGCCAGCACGATGTCGTCTTCCTGTATAGCGACCTTGGTCATCACCGCATCCTTGCGGGGTGTATCAATGCTGTTGGTACCCAGTTGCATGGGACAGTCGAACCAGTGCCATTGCTCTGTAGTACTGAAGAGGATTTTCTCTTCGCTAGGTCGGATAACGATGACCTTGCAATCGCCTAGGTTCGTTACGTAGAGGAGAGGCGATTGTTTGCCATTGTTTCCGGTAGTCCAATGAAGGAGTGCGGTTGCGGATGTGGTCGTTCCTAGCCATTCATTTGGGGTACTTGTAGCGCGGACGGTTTCCTCGAAGGCTGACTGTAGGTATTCAACTGGGTCGGGGGTTGCCGTCGTAGGGAGATTGCGTTCAATTTCAAGGGCCCAGAAATGCAGGAGAAGCCTGGACCAAAGACTATTTGACCAGGATGGTTATTAGCTTTCATGTACACAGAAGAAAAAAAAGAAGGGCAGAGATAAGACCACCAAGACGGTAGAGAAGAACTCACGCAGCATGACCACAAGGCCTGGTCGCCCAAGCGCCTACGCCGTCATCCACACCAACAAAGTTCTCGGCAACGATAACCGCATCGTCCCCGTTATTCAAGCCACGGATCAGCTCGCCCTTCACGGATAATCTCTTATCCTGGTTCAATGAGTGGGTAGTCAGGGGATCGGAAAAGGAAGAGGACGGCGGAGACAAGAATGGTGGGGGGAACGGGCGGGAAGGGCGTTTCGCACATAAGGCGTAGCCGGTCTCGAATCTGAAAGGGGTATGGGCGAGCGTTTGGTGGTGATTTGGGACGGGGGTGGTCGTGCCATATGAGGGCCACACTGCCGCGGTGTATCGCCGCGTCTGCACCCGCGTCTCTAGCTTGAGTCGGCCCGCGGGGCTGGGCTGGCCCGAGATGGTCCTAGTAGACGCGGTCCACCGTGGCCATGATATTGATGAGAGTAAAGGTGGAACCCTTGCCGTGGTCACCATGCCTTGACTCGGTCTTCACACAGTTGAGGCCAGTGGGAGGGTGGGATTAAATTTCAAGATGAAGTCATGAGGTGGATTGGAAAAAGAAAAAGATGACAAAAACAAATGATCTGAGTGAACGAGAATTGCAGAGATTTTTGTTCTGAAGACCGATACTCACCGGTGAGGGAAGTCGCATTGCAATCTCGAACGTTGAGTGGACTGTTGCGCCGACCGGGAAACTGTGCTCTGCTCTACGTGGTAGGGCGTGTCATATGAAGGCCACGGCCCCCTACTATTGCTCTATTTTTGTTTTCGTTGCATGGATTCTGGGGTATTTAGTACTGATGATTTGGACTATCTGCTCCATTTTCAATAGAAATGCCTTCTAGACCCAATGATCGTCAAACCCACTGAACATGGCAGTATAGATCCTACTATGTAGGTTCTTTACTGCACCTCACGGAGTACGTGCTCGGAGCTCATATTCAATCCTCTTCCTTACTCCACTGAAATCCCGGTTTTTACCGTCGGAAAACACTACATCTTCCCGGGATACTTTCGTGTTGAAGATCTGCGCTTATCTTTACTCATGCTTGCATTATCTGCGGTTATCGTGAGGTATACCGCCCGTGCAGATCAAGCGGAGCCTCCATTGGCCCGTATCGACACGGGAACAACAACCTCATTTTCTCCAGAACGCAAGGTCCCGAACTAGGACATATCGTGCTTGTTGATGAGGCTTTAGTGTCGATCATCAGTGGGCACAGGCCCACGGACTTTCAATGGGCGCAGGAGTACGGAGTACACCGACTTCACCGACTCGACACGGGAGGAGGACCGTGTCTCTGTTAAGATTGTTGATCTCACCTAGTTCCAAGGAAGGCATCATGCCAGTCGACACGCTACTAAGCATGTTCCATTTATCACTCCCCTCGAGAACCTATCGATTTGATAGATACAGCGAATAGATCCTTAGTACTTTTCAAGGGCCTAACGTTGGATCCTGTGAAAGCATTCTTTGATGGACTAATGGATTCCCTAGAACTGACCATAGCAAATGCACTCATAAATTATGGAATTTGATATCACTCTCTCCCACTGTCAACCCGACATGAGTCCGAGATAAATGCCGCCATACAATGATGTCTCATTCACACCCAGCTAGCCACATCAGATATGAGCCTCTCCTTGTGGATCTCCATCAGAAGTACCTCAAAGATCTCGACAATCCCTCCAGCGATGGCATCCTCCCGGGAGTCCTCCTTCAGGGCAGCCAGTCCTTGGAAGCCGGCCAGGATAACCGTGTTGACTCGGGTCACGAATTCGAAACCACCAGTACGCTTGCGGTGAATAGCGAGCTGCATGCGCAGCTGTCTTTCGGCACAGGGGCAACGGCGCTCCACGTCGTAAGTACATTTACGAGCACAGAAACATGCTGATTTGCAGATACATTTGGAATGCTTTACCTCGTGCAACAGACGAATTTTGTCGTTTTCACGTCGACAGTCTCCGATACACTTCCCTTCTAGTTTGGCCAGCGTGCCAATTCGATGGTCGAGGATGATCTCCCTCTCCCGCAGGACCGGATCTATCAGTTCCAGGTTGGTAAATGGAAGTTCATTCACGGGAATATCGCAGTCGGGCACCTGCTTAGGGGTCATGGTGAAGTATCTCTCAGAAAGCACAGTCATTGTCTCGGGCGGAAAATCGGGGAAGATGGAGATGAGACTGTCCCATTTCTTGCAGTAGGTGGAATGCCTGTTGTTGACAATGCTATAGGCGTATCGGCGGTATCCCAAGATGTCATCTATAACAAACGGTCCTAGCCGAGCATCCTTGCATATGAGCATTCGCACGTAATTTTCCATAAACCGAGAGATGAGGTTGTTATCGCGCTCTTCGCAGATTCTCGGGGAGTCAAGGATATCCTTAAACAGAAGGAAGATGCGATACAGATGGTTCGGTTCGGGCATGTAGAACGGACGATCTTTTGTCATAGCCGGACGACTTTCCATTTTATACAGGGCACACAGCTCGATCCCTGCCATCTCGAGTTTGATTCGGGCATAGACCACATAAAAGAGGTGTTCCACGATGGTGATAAGTTCACAGAGGGAGACGGTTCCGATATTTGCCTCGGCTCGATCAATCCAGTACTTGAGGCCCGTCTCCGAATTATCAAGCTAGAACAGTCATCAGTCTGTATGTCATTGAGGAGTCCAATTCGCGTACCTCGATGCCATAACCCATGAATGCAATCTGTGCAAGCTTTGCAATTGCATAAATCTGAGAGAAAATCTTGAGGACCACCGCAAAGTGCGTTGCTATTTCAATATTGGTCAAGTCATCCAGGGACAATACCTGGGATGTCACCCGGGAGGCCCCATACGTGGGGGATGGGGATGGCGAGCTCGAAGTCACAGCTGTCACCCACTCGCCATTGCTAACCCTGTAAGGGCGTGAGTGTGGTTTAAACGATGAATCCTGCCCAGGCACATAGAACTGTCAGTCATACTCATCGTTTCTTGTAGTAGATGGGGGTGATGAGACTTACTAGAAAGTACTCTGAGTTCTCGTCAAGCATGTCGTTCTGCTTCATTTCAGCTAAAGGCCCTTCCAGGCTTTCCTCGTGGAGTTCCGAATATCTGTAGAATCCGTCTCTCTGGTCTTCGATTGCGTCGACCCAGACGTCTGGGCTTACAGACTTGTGGTCACTCCTGGAGGCTTGGGGGGTCTTGGGATGGTCGGAATCACTTTTGTGACGAGGTTTGAGGAAGGAGAAGCTCCAGATGTGACTCTTCGTCTTTCGAAGGTGGTTCATTGTGAAACTGAGTATAAGAAAAGTAGCCTTTCGGCAAAAATCAAGTTATATAACCGGGTTGGTACATTTTGTGCTCGGGAACTCAGATCAAACCTTTGATCTGTTATTCTACAATCGACAGATTTTGGAAACATGGCAGCGACGACTAAGCTATACTTGCCTAGATGGGGGTACCGGTTCCGCGGTTGAATCATGCAAATTCACCAAAGTAGCTAAGTAGCTGGTACAGGACTGGATTAAGCTCGGGGCTTTACTGGGAATGAGATAAGTATAAATAAAAAAGCTTTGCTGGTTCGTAAAACGCTCGCCTCCAGGTGGATATCAACATGAAGCCACAATTTAACTTTGCACACGGAATGTCCGACCGCTGGCCGTCTTGCGCTCACGCTCTTCATTCTCCGGTCTGGCTCGGTTGAGAACTATTTTCCAGTGAGTGAGGCTTATCATAATTATGCTCGTAAGATGAATGAACATACCTTGCAGGAAGTCCGCTGTGCGCTTGCGCATACGGGTGTGAATGTACGCCTGTCATGGGTCAGTCGATCAATCCAAAGAGATATTATAAGTGCATGCTTACCTTCGAGGCCTTAATGTGGTAGTGGAAGTAGTCACGGAAGGTCTGGATGTGGGAGATGTTGTCGTAGCGGCGCTGGGGGGTCAAGTGTCGGGGGAACAGAACTAAATGTATGTCAGTAATTTGGAACATGTTCCACTATCAAGATGAAGGGTTCATACCAAAAGTAACGTAGCTGATTTCTCCCTCGCCTGCAGTGAGCAGACCAGGAACGCCCTGCAACTCCAATGGGGCATCGTTGCGGAACAGTACTTGAGGGGCATTCTGCAGGGTCACAACACGACGTCTAGCATCCACGAATTCCTAAGAACCATTAACATCAGACAAAACATATCCTCCTTTGTTTGAGATCAAACGAACCTGCAAGAAGACCTTGCCAAAGATGCGATCTGTCTCCTCCCGGAACACGGTGCTGAAGATGACAGTCACCCGATCATAGCTAGCCTTGATGTAGATAGCCTCCTCCTCACGGTAATGAATAGCCATAACCTCACCACCCTCCTTCACACCCTGAGGTGCTGACTCCGAGGTGTACCGTGAAGCCTCCTCCGCAAGCTTGTTGAACTCGTCGAATGCTCTCTCGAATGGAGCTGCCATGGCATTGCGCTTCAGCAGGGCGAGCTTCATGATCAATTCATCGCGGGCTTCCTGCTCAGCAGGCAAGTTTTCAAGATCAACTTGTACAGAGAAATCATAACCGGGTTCGGGGGACACAATGTAGGGGCCGTATTCCCGCTCAAGCACCTCCTGGGCGCCATACTGGACGAGCTCCTTGAAGCATTTCACGTTGATAGAGAGCAGGATCTTGGTTTTGGACTCGGGCGTAGAAACGTGGAAGGTCACTCCGTCAAAGTCAGAGGCCACTTGGTCAATGGAAGCTGGGGGGGGCACTGCGGGCAACCGGGTTAGCTGGGGCCTGACCGGAGTGTATACAACGGAGCCGGGATGGGATTAGGCGGGGAGGGAGACGGGTGGATTGTACCCAGAGAACCGCTCCGTGAGGAGCGATTGAATCAAAACATTCTGATAATCCAAGAGCAGCATGACGGGCAAAGATAATGTGTGTCAACAAGATGGCAGGTTGAGAGGATGGCAACCCGCGATCGTCATTACCGGGCGGTGGGGGAGCCGGACAGGTCGCTCTCGCCGCCCGTATTAATTTTTGTGCTATCGATAGCAAGAGTCTACGATTCTCCAAAAATTTTCCCATCCACCCCACGATGGTGAAATCTTACTTGTAGGTGCCAATCATGATTGTGAATGTGTTCCTCATCTTCTAACTTGAAAATTTCAGCAAATTCGAGCATTCGAGCACGTTCGGGCTCGTCGCCTCGGCGTCGTCCAATGCGATCTGGGCCAAGGACGAGCAGGTCCCAGGCGCAGCCCGCCAGACAGGTTCCGGCCGAGCGATAGTTGGTGCCAGTGAGGAGATCCTTTGCTGGGATGTGAAGAAGGGAGAGCTTTTAGGTCGGTGGCGCGATTCGGCGTGCAAGGCGTCTGTGACCGTTGTCACCCAGAGCAAGACCGACGAAGATATCTTCGCCGTTGGGTAAGGCTCTTCCTCCTGGTATGAATGCATGTTGGTCGCTAACGCCTCTTCTTCTGTTCTATAGCTACGAGGATGGTAGCATTCGCATCTGGGATTCGCGTACCCGCACTGTCATTATTTCTTTCAATGGTCACAAATCCGCTGTGACCCAGATGGCCTTCGACAACGCTGGTGTGCGCCTCGCCAGTGGCTCCAAAGATACCGACATCATCGTCTGGGACTTGATTAGCGAAACAGGCCTTTTCAGACTACGCGGACACACCGATCAGATTACCTCCCTCCACTTCCTTTACCCTTCTACAGAGCTGCTTAATGCCTCCGGACTCAGCGAACACCCCGGCTTCTTGTTGACGACTGGCAAAGATGCACTGGTCAAAATCTGGGATCTGGGATCTCAGCACTGTATTGAAACACATGTTGCGCAGACAAACGGCGAGTGCTGGAGCTTGGGTCTTTCACCAGACCAGGGTGGCTGTATTACCGCAGGAAATGACGGAGAGCTGAAGGTTTGGTCAATCGATGAAAATGCAATGATTGAGATCTCGAAAGAGAAGGTCAGCGCAGAGGGTCGCAGAATTATGACGGACCGAGGAACCTTTTACCGGAATGGTAAAGACCGCACGATCGGCATTCGATTCCATCCTCGTTTGGACTATGTCGGTTTGCACGGCTCGGACAAGTCAGTCGAGATTTGGCGCATTCGTTCGGCAACAGAAGTGCAGAAGAGCATGGCCCGTAAGCGCAAGCGGAGAAAGGAGAAGGAAGCCCAGCGTGAGGGTGAAGAGAAGGCCGAAGCTGAAGAGGACAAGCCTGAAGATGTTTCGTCCGCTCCTATCACGGAAGTCTTTGTCCCCCATGTCATCGTTCGCACGGGTGGAAAGATACGTTCATTCGACTGGATGACCAATAAATCCAACAGCCTCAATATCCTTGCAGCAACAACGAATAACCAGCTGGAAGCCTATAACATTGTCACCGCAAACAAAAAGAACAAGGACGAGGAAGAATCTGACTATACCCGCAGCTTGGCTGTCGACATCCCCGGTCACCGTACCGACATTCGCTCCATTGCCCTGAGTTCCGAGGACCGTATGTTGGCTTCTGCTTCCAACGGCAGCCTCAAGATCTGGAACGTACGCACGGGAACCTGTCTGCGTACCCTTGAGTGTGGCTATGCGCTCTGCTCCGCATTCCTCCCTGGTGACAAGATCGTGGTGGTTGGAAATAAGAATGGAGAGTTGGAGGTCTTTGATATTGCTTCCTCGACATTGCTGGACACCATCAAGGCACACGATGGTCCTGTCTGGTCAATCCATGTGCACCCTGATGGCAAGTCCGTGGTCAGTGGAAGTGCTGATAAGCAAGCGAAGTTCTGGGAGTTCAAGGTTGTGCAGGAGGATATCCCCGGTACCAAGCGCACTACTCCCCGCCTCAAGCTTGTCCACACCAGAACTTTGAAGGTCAACGAAGACATTCTCAGCCTGAGATTCTCTCCGGATGCCCGACTTCTGGCTGTTTCCATGTTGGACAACACTGTGAAAGTCTTTTTCGTTGACACTTTGAAACTCTTCCTGAACTTGTACGGCCACAAGCTTCCTGTGCTGTCCATGGACATTTCTTACGACAGCAAGTTGATTGTCACTTGCTCAGCCGATAAGACTGTCCGTCTATGGGGTCTGGACTTTGGTGATTGTCACAAGTCCTTGCATGCTCACGAGGACAGTGTCATGGCAGTTGCATTCGTTCCCACCAACAAGGAACAGAATGGTCACAACTTCTTCAGTGCAAGCAAGGATAAGGTTATTAAGTACTGGGATGGTGACAAGTTTGAGCAAATTCAGCGACTGACCGGTCACCACGGAGAGATCTGGGCGTTGGCCATCAGCCGTACCGGTGATACCATTGTCACTGCCAGTCACGATAAGAGTATTCGCATCTGGAAGGAGACTGATGAGCCTCTGTTCCTGGAGGAAGAGCGTGAAAGGGAAATGGAAGAGGCCTACGACAACACTCTTACTGCCTCCCTCGAGCAAGACGAGGACGGCGAGGACGGCGAGAAGGCCGAGGCCGTTGATGCCGGCAAGCAAACCACTGGTACCCTCATGGCTGGTGAAAAGATCATGGAAGCATTAGACCTGGGCATGGAGGATCTTGAACTTGTCCGCGAATGGCGCGAGACCAACCCGAACAGCTCACCCCCCAACCGTAACCCGATCTATCTCGCCTTCGGCAACATCTCAGCAGAGGAACACGTCCTGAAGACCGTGTCCAAGGTCCCCGCTGCAGCTCTGCAGGATGCCCTCCTGGTCTTGCCCTTCAACAAGCTTCCTGCCCTCTTCACCTTCCTCAACATCTGGGCCGAGCGCGAGTGGAACGTGCCCCTTACCTGCCGTGTTCTCTTCTTCATGCTCAAGACACACCACCGCCAGGTCGTGGCAAGCAAGATGATGCGTCCTATGCTGGACAGCATCCGTTCTGCCCTGCGTCGCGTTCTTACCCGTCAGAAGGACGAGATGGGCTTCAACTTGTCTGCGTTGCAGTTTATCGGTAACCAGATCCGTGAACTGAGTACCAAAGATTACATTGACGAGGAGACCTGGAAGCAGCCTGAGACACAAAAGGGAACAGGCAAGAAGCGGCAATTTGTTAGCATGGCTTGATTTGGGCCAGTTCTGGACGAGCATGTTCAATAGGCGTTGACCTTGATTTGTTTTGGTTTTGTTAATGTTTGTTCTATAAAAGTTGGATATCCTTGGGAGTTCAGAGCCAAGATCGAGGGATGTACTATATTAGATCTACTTTAAATGATCATTTGCATCGTATATACGTCGAGGTTCACCATCGGTTTATTTCAAAAGACATTCATTATAATTATAGAACTAAATAAACAGGGTAGACCACAAGACCAATTGCCAGACGCAAACCCGTTCGCGAGTTCCTCGCCACTTCTAGCCAACAAGTATCAATCAAAGACCGCAAGACGATAGACAATCTAAGATCCTAAGGAGATATACAGTTAGCCATGTATCCCACAAAAACTCAACATCCCATCAAGCCAGCAAGAAAAAGCGAAGCTTGAAACATTTCTTTCAGCAGAACCATTATAAGCATCGACGACAACCGTATCCTCTTTTGGGTATACTAATTGCCATACCTCTTCCGGCTCTTCCTAATAATTTCGGTTCAATGCAGAGTCTCATCATTTAAGAAATGTTTCAAGCTTTGCATTTTTCTTTGTTTCCTTGCTGCTCATCGTTGGGACGTGGTTGTAAGACATACCATTGAGTGTTTGGCCAGCATTGACAAGGTATCCACTCATTTTTGGTCCCTGTCCATGCTGGCATGGATATTGGGTGAGGTGTGGAGGGAAGAAGAGAAGGTTGGAGCTCGCGAAAATAAAATCGTTGGGTTTGACCGGTGGAGCTTTGCTTAGTCACTGTCACGTGGACTTACAACGCTGAGCATACAGATCCACCAGTTGACGGGAATTTCAAGTGGAGCATGAAAGCAATGTTATGAAAACCAATAGTTTACTATTCACAAACTCATTATTGTCTTTTCTTTTCCATCTTTAGCTAGGCTATTCCCACAAATCATGAAGATGGCTTCATTGACCCACATAGGGAACATGTCCACCATTGAGTCTCCATAAAAGTGCCGCATGAGCAAACCCACCCTAGTGGTCGTTTGTTGGCATCCCGGTCTAGAGATGAAAGAGTATCCAATGCGCGAGTACGGTTTTTGAATGCGAATGTACCATGAGCAGGGTCGAGTTTTGCTCCCGTATCATCTGGCAGAGCGCGCTTCTTCTGATTTTCTGGTTCTGCGCGAACACTCTGCGCAGGCGTTTGTCTACTCGAGCCCTTGGCTACGTTGGTATTTGTAGGAGTCGGTCTTTCTGAAGCACAGACATCACAACATAGAAAATTGGATGGGTTTTCCAATGTGCACATCGGGCATGTCCACGGAGCGTCATAGGAACTATTGTTGGCAGTTGTCGAGCTGGACGAAACAGCTGGTGTTTTCTTCGACAGCAATGATTTTGCCGTATCCCTGGCAGATGACTTGGGCAGAGATGATTCTGTTCGCGGTCCTGCCGGGTTCTCCTGGCTCGGAGGCACATACGAAGACCCATACTTCTCACGTTCCTCTTCTTGGATCAATTCAATGAAGGCTTGAAGAATAGCTTCTTCGTTCGCATCATCTTCTTCTGCTTTTGTTCTGAATCCATTTCTGGATTCCTCCTCCACAAGTTCGGTTTCTCGGTCTGTTCCAGACGCACATCCATTCATCACCTCGAGGCGACGCTGGGCGGCATCCGCTCTAACTTTGCGCATGTCTGTGCCGCGAAGCACAGGAGCACCACCGAGCCTCTTCCCTGAGTTTTTGGCGAGGATACGTCGCTTTTCCGCAGTAGCACGGGCCTGTCGGCGAGCTTCATCCAGGGGTATTCTGGCTCCGCCCAGGCGCTTGCCTTGGGAAAGGAAGCCTTCTCCTGTGTACCCCTTAATCACAAGTTCCTCATGCTCGTCACGGAGCTGATTCCACAGTGCATGAAAGTCCCGATTGTGCGGTCCATGGACAATGTGGCTCAGTCTAATGGATTTATCAGCTCAAGCTTGAGGGAGTAGGTCTTACGAAGGTGAGATGACTTACTCGTGTAGCATCGTGTCCGTAATCTGTTCAATAGGAAGAAACTGCTTTTGATCCGAACCATACCGTAGTCTCAGGCAAATTTTTTGGCCATGGTTGACATTCAGACCCAGAAGGTTGCTTTGGCTTGGATAGAACTCGCAAAGGGCACCCACTCTCCAGGCGCGCTGGCGCATGATCGGTTTGACCATGGAGGCCACTTTCCGCAGGATGAAAAGTGCCTCTGCTTCACGTGGACGCTTTTTCTCATGTCTGTATTCAGATATGAGAGGGTCTAGTTCGCGCATCTTGGTTGTATTTTATGCGACCTGGTTTATGCAAAGAAGGGATTCAAAGAAGTGAGCAAATGCATCAAGAGGCTGTGGCCTCTCTCGTGGTGTCATTATCCGATTTTATATAGCTCCATCAGTATTTCAAACAATGACAAAGAAAAGAACACGAGGAGTTGTCAAAAGCAAGAAAGCGGTTGGGAGCCAGTTGCTGGTTGATAATCACGTTTGTGGCCTTATGAACAAGGCTTCGTGGGAGTTGTCCGTACACGTAATTAGGGCGGTGGATCTGCGACCAATAGGTGTCCGTCCGAGTATATGCAGATATATAGACAGGATAAAATCTGCCGGGTGGGACCTTTCCTATCTGGGCTGCCACCGCTTTTATGAGGGCGCTCAGGCTCAGGATCACTGAGTAGACGTCAGCACGGGCGCAGGCTCAGTGATTGCTCAGTGGGTGCTCAGGCATGCTGCTCAGTGCATACTAGGTGATTCCTTACTAAACCTCCAGTGTGCACCCTCTGATTTGGCCAGCACAAAAATCGACTATACTCAAAATAGACGGACCCCACAGTGCTATTTATTCCGTGATGGCTAGTCTTTCGGTCATGTTTGGGCTGCCCTCATTTTCTGACTATTCTACCCCATCAGTAATTTGCGTCATATTTATCGTGCAGGGAATAAAATGGAAATAGTAATGCATTACGGGGCGATTATGTCAAAGTCTACGATTTCTTGAGACGGCTCGAGCTCAAAATATCAGGTATAAAAGGGGATCATGTGACAATGTCCCCAGCACTGGATATCTCATGACTTCTTTCGAATTCAGATCGCTTTTCCCCAGTAGTGCCTCCGAGCTTGGATTGGGCAGCGTCTCGGAAATGGGCCAACAGCTCTTTTTCTCCGAGCGCGATGAAAAGGCGAAAGAGAGGCGTCGACTCCAGAGAGAAAAGAATGGCTTCGTCCCCGGAGCCCACGGGGAAGAAGATTCAATTTGAAACAAAAGCAAAAACCGTCCCAAGACAAAGAGGTTGCATCGAGAGAATTTGGCTTTGGCTTGAGTATGTTGAGAAATTGCCGGCCAGATAGTTGCTGACTCTTTCCTAGCTTCACGGCAGATCCCGAAAATGGATTCCAGCACTACAAACCCTTTGAAGGGTGTGAGGCTCCGAGCCATGACATGTTGAAACAATTCATTCGTTGGCTTGCAAAATCTACATCAGGTCGACTTAGCGATGGCAAAGAACCCACTGTGAGGTCTGCTCAGGTGGGCTGAGCAGTTCTTCGGTGGCTTCGCTGAATTCACCAAAACGGAAGTCATTCCAGAGGATCGAACAGAAGTCTACCAAGTGGGTCCATCCCTGCTTTTTTCTGAGGTAATCAATGGACGGAATCAATCTTACCTTGAATGGGAAATAGTGGATCAGGAATACCTTGACGGTAGATAAAGTTGTCGTGAATAAGACAAAGCAGAAATACAACTTCACGAAGGACGACCTTGGAAAATTCGTCTCCTCGATATGGCAAATTGATCACAAGAAGTTCATTCCTGGGCTGGTCAAAGTTGACATACTGTTTGCTCTTCAATTATACCTTTTCACTGGAGCAAGGGTGGGAAGTTATATGCCCTCAGATGAGACAGTGCTATGCTCAGTAGGTATTTAGTGGAAGTAATGTAACGTAATTGTTATGTTTTTGCTTATATGATACGACATAAACCTCAGGCGTGATCTACTTATTGCCTCGGAGTTTTTCATATTCTTGATAATTTTGATTGAGTGGGCACACGTAAACCGAATAGTTGTCGCCGTTGTTTTCACTTAGTCATATCAGTAGCTGCATTATCTTAGTAAAAAATATTTCTCTCCAGAACTTTACGGTTACTATGATAGAATCAGAGGAGCTAGAGGAAAGCTTCTTATCCAAGATCCAACAAAAGCATATCGGTCAGTGCCAGCCTATCCTGAATATTAATTGATACTTTAAGAGCAGGTTTTTACTTATAGTTGCCCAACAGCAGCTGTTTATGGCCTTTTCTAGTGATGTTATTAAGAGTCGGTCCCTGGGAGAGAATTACGACCCTATTTCGGCCTATTCATGAGCTCCTGGAAACACCTCTGGTTTATTCCAAGGAATAATAATAGCCACCATGAAGCATTCAGCGAAGCCGTGTTGCAAATCGGCTACACATCGTGCATATTACTCCTAGGATGGTTTGCATGCGTCATAGGATTATATGCGCGTTAAACTTAGTGAACAAGTAAACAACGGTATACACCTCCTTTTACCTCGATACTACTACCTACTGTAAGCCAGTTCCAGGTTTCAAAGATATGCTATAAGAACTGGTCAAATCCCCACGGATAGTGAATTATCAAAGTTTCTACCGAAATTCGCGATTATAACGAAGCGTCTCTTTCTTTTACTCTTTTTACTTTAAGTATTCAAATTAATCCCGCGTCTAATTCTAGTCTTAAGATATGGGAATTGCTTCTCAGACCTTGGTTTCAGCAAGTAAGAGACAAAATCCGCGTGCTAGCAGTATCAAAGCGATTCACCAGAGGTACGTTGAGCTTTAGATTAGGTAAGTAGCCACGATATGCTTTCTCGATTCTCTATTTAATATCTCCTCATGTTTCTTATTAACAGCAGGAGTGTTCCAGCTAGGTATAAGCTGGAGAAGGGATCTTCTATTCCCAATATTACCATGAAAAGTTCATCCTATGGTACATATACCACACGCGTCCTTACAAAGAAGTCTTCAACCAGATAGGAGACCGACGGTGAAGGCTACTCTGGTATGCGCGGAGTGGTTTTTCAGTGGCTTTAAGACAGCTACTGGGAACAAGGTTGCTACAGATGACCGTTCAGAGATATACAGGGTTAGTATAGCAAGTTGCGAAAGTTGATGGTGCCAGTGGGGGCTTACCTTTCCTTAGTGGATCAGATTGGATCTAAAAAGCCACTGAGGTCATATGAGGGATAACTGAAGAGGGACAAGAACTAAATGCTTGATTCTTTGTCTCAATATACAGCACCTCAGGAGTTAAGGGCTATTCATCGAACTTGACAGTAGTTACAGTAGACATCGAATGCTAAACTAAGCATATTTACACATCGATAATGACTTGCTGTTACAAATGTAGAGTATGTGGTTCGTCAAGTAGCAGCAATGCATCATTAGCAAGTGAATACAATGCGAAGTACGTCCACAATAATCTATTTTGAGGGCCCAGAAATGTTGGCAAAGACGACATTGAATACATGTGTTCCATAGCAGAATACGAACTACCTCGTCCGGCGTATACTCCTGAGGTTGAAAATGGTCCTAGAGGGATGCATCTCAGTACTGTACAAGAGCCCCCCGAAAACTTTTGAGCAGCTCTTGCCCACAGGAGCCCCATGCAACGTGCAAAGATGTTCATGTTTCTTATTAGAGCTATCTAAAGTTCGGTCCCTAGAAGCAAATGAGGACCCCAGTTATGTATATTTTGGCCTATTTCATGAGCTCCTTGGGGTACCCGTGGTCCGTTTCTAAGAGCCATAGGGCTCCTGGGAGTGTGTATTAGCTGTTCCTGTGTGCAATCACAGCCGCCAATAAGCGTCCAGTGGAAGATGAGAAATTGCCTGCACCCTGCGTATTCCTCCTAGCACGAATTACATGCGTTCTAGGGCATGTGTATATGCATCGAACCTGGTGATCCTGGGAACGCTACATGCCACCTTCTCTACAAGACTGGCTGTTGTTAGGACTATTACATCGGGCACATTGGATACCAGTTCCAAAGATGAGCTATAAGTACTGGTTGAATTTCCATAGGTTTTGGTTTATCAGAACCGGAGAAACCACCATCACAACAATTCGGCTTTTCCTTTTTCTTTCGCTAAGTCCTCATTCTGCACTCCCTTCCAATCTTAAGATAGCGAAATGTTTCTCAAGCCTCTCGATTCAGCGGGTGAAAAACACGGGTCGCAACGCAAATCCACTGAGTCCAGCCAGGAACTCTGCCGAGAGGTCGACCTCTGGATCGAGTGAGTGGCCGCGGAATGCTATTTCAGCTTCCGTGTTTGTTGACTTAAAAGGTTTCTTGCTGTAAGCGGGATGGCTCCACAAGGCTATGAGCTGGACAAATCTCCAGCCCCCAACACTGTTCTGATCAAAGTGTTTATCTGGTGGTACGTGCTTTCTACGAGAGGACGGCTTCAACCAGATGGAAGGCCCACTGTGACCACTACTTTGACGTGCGCTACGAGATTTTTCAGGGGCTTTGCGACAGCCACTGGAAGCGCGATTGCTGCAAAAGACCGTTCGAAAATCTACAGGGTCAGTATAGTCCATTTTGCCAGAGCTTTTGATGTTGCAGCCCACCTTCTCATAGTGGATCAGATTTGACCTGTATGGTCACGGGACTTAATAGGAGAGTTACTAAAGAGGCACAGGATTTAAAAGCTTTGCTTTTTGTGTCTCTACGAAAGTGGTGGCTCATTCACTGGCCGTGATTCTTCTCAATATTGTGCAATGCTGAAAGTGAACCGACAAAGTGGCTCCAAGTTGTCACTACGTTGTTGGGTGAATGGGCCAACTGATCTCATTCACTTTGACACTCTTAATTCAACACCAGACGCGTTCCAGAATTCACTTTGGTTCATATCATCAAACAAGACGGTTGTTACAATAGAAGCTGCCTAGGCTGCATGGGCAACACCCCTCAATTGACAGAATACACAGAGATAAAATCACAACAAAAGCATGCCTAGCTTATGCTCTGGTCAAAAATGTGACCGGGAAGCCGGAAGACATGATTTTAGGTAGGAAAATGCCGAGGGGTGGAATTACACAATTTTATTGCATGGTAAATTGTGGATAATTCAAAGCCCTATCTTATCTAACAGCAGTATTCGATGGCAATTTGGACGTCTATGTTTATAGGATGACAGAGACTGGTTGAGGGCACTATAGTAACAAACAGGCACTATATTCGACGACATGAACAATCTGCTCTGGATTTGAAATGAACAGTTTTCTGTACTTACGCATTTTACATATAGAATCTGAGGACCTGTGAATCGACGCCGAAAATGGCCTGTTTTGGCGCCAGAAACGGCCGTAACTTTATAATCTTATACGTAAAGGAGAGATTATCATTATAAATTATAGTATAGCAGAGGATAATATTAATGATAGTTTTATAAAGCTATTATTATCTATCAAGTTCAGAGTATCTATGATAATAACAAAGATAGATAAATATTAACAGTCATTTTCAAGCGGCAGTGCGCATATCCACCCCATCTTGTAATCATCGGGACTCCGAGATACTGACATAAGTCAACTGTTTCAGGGCTATTGGTAACCGGGGCAGTGGTATGCTGAGGAGTGAGTAAGAAGCGCGGAGGATGAAGAAAAAAAAGTGTGGGAAAGTGGCACTACGAAAATAGCATGTTTTGCCAATAACCAAGTCATCATGTGTCAAGTGAGGCTGGGGATTTATATAAACCAATGAAATGGTTCTCGCCTTGTATATGTGGTGAGTCGAGCTGCCTTACCGTGCAGGGGCTGCCGATCCTTACTCATATAAGCAAAAAACCGAAGCGAAGTCATGCAGGAGCTTTGATGATTTTAAGTCGGGTCAGATCACGAAGCCATATTCGGGCTTTTACTAATCTGGCTTAGCTGCAGTACAGTAGATATGTTGAGTGATTCTAATTAGACATTCCTTTTGCTACTTGGACCATGGTTCTACTAAATTCGGGGTATATCTCTAACGCAATAACCTACATCAATAAAGTTACATATACTATTAAATATCGAGATAGCGCAAGACAAAGCTACTGATAAACTTTGGCATCCTTCACCACACTTATGCTCCTCATGCCCTGAATTGCTTGGGCTCCTGTGTGAAATACGACTTCTCGCAGTAGCTCCCTAGCCAAGACCCTTCACCATCTATTCGGACCACCGACGGGCAAAGAGTCGCAATCGATCTAAAAATCAGTCGCCAAGATTCACAATCACACCTTCTCCGCTAGAATCTTCAGCACGTAGATGAGCCCTCTTGCCAGCAATCCCATGTGGTTACCTCCTATGATAGCCATCTGGGACTAGGCTTGCTATAGACAATCGCAATAAGGTTTCTGCACATCTTGCGTTGGCGATGGGAGTGTTACAATCGTAATTGCTTGGCACCTTGGCATTTCCTTGGTCACTTAATCAAAGAAAGATCGTTGGCTAAAGCGATGAGTTACTCCGTTTAATCTACTGATCCTCCGTCGGGGCTGAGGATATCTCATCATTCTCATCCTCAGGTTATGATAATAGAGATGGAGTGGAGACCGGAATACCGGCGGTGGTGAGTATCTCACCAAACTCTCTGTATATTTAAAAAAGGACTCTTTGTCCTGAAGTTGAGGATTCTATTCAACATCTTCCTGGAGTTTAATATTATATTATTCAGATCTATATCATTTCAAACTACAATCATGGGTTTCCTCAAGGTCCTCGTCACGTCCCTTGCGACTCTAGCAGTCGTCGATGCCGGTACTCTTCTTACCGCCAGTAATACCGACGCAGTCATTCCTAGCTCCTACATTGTTATCATGAACGATGACGTTAGTACCGCCGAGTTTAAAACGCATCGTGACTGGGCTGCAAATGTTCATGCTCGTCTTTCTCGCCGTAAGAATGGCGAGACTGGACCAGGCAAGTATTTCGAAATCAATGGCCTGAAAGGATACAGCGCTAGCTTTGACGAGGATACCGTCAAGGATATTGCCAATGACCCGGCGGTATGTTCCTTCATTACCAATATTGACTCCTCGGAAGCTTGTTGCAATCTAACTCGTGGAAATATAGGTGAAGTACATTGAACCAGACATGATTGTGAACGCAACCGCGAACGTGGTTCAATCTAATGCTCCTTCATGGGGTCTCGCTCGCATATCTAGCAAGAAGTCTGGTGCTACCGACTATGTGTATGATTCCACTGCTGGTGAGGGCGTCGTGATCTACGGCGTCGACACCGGGATTGATATCTCACATTCCGACTTCGGGGGCCGCGCTAGGTGGGGTACTAACACTGTTGATAATGATAATACCGATGGCAATGGCCATGGCACCCACACTGCATCTACTGCAGCCGGTAGCAAGTACGGTGTTGCAAAGAAGGCCTCTCTCGTTGCTGTCAAGGTCCTTGGTGCCGATGGTTCTGGCACTAATTCGGGTGTCATCTCTGGTATGGATTGGGCTGTTAAAGATGCGAAGTCTCGCGGGGTCACTGGAAAGTCTGTTATGAATATGTCTCTTGGTGGTGAATTTTCCAAGGCTATGAATGACGCCGCTGCCAATGTGGTTAAGTCCGGTATCTTCCTCTCTGTTGCTGCCGGAAATGAAGCCGAGAATGCGAGCAACAGCTCCCCTGCTTCTGCTTCGGAAGTATGCACTATCGCGGCCTCTACCAGCTCAGACGGCAGTGCTTCATTCACTAACTTCGGATCTGTTGGTAAGAGCTCCATCTCCCCTTAGTTTGAAGAAGTTTTCTAGTCAAAAGCAGCGTACTGACGGTACTACTACAGTGGACCTCTATGCTCCCGGGCAGGGCATCACAGCTGCATTCCCTGGTGGTGGCTCAAAGACCCTGTCTGGAACCTCCATGGCCGCTCCACACGTTGCTGGTGTTGCTGCATATCTGATTGCTCTCGAGGGCGTGACAGCTGGTAAAGCTTGTGCACGCCTTGTCGAGCTTGCTACCTCGTCTATCTCCAGGGCTCCTTCTGGCACTACGAGCAAGCTCCTATACAATGGTATCAATGTTTAATGAGTAACCTCATAGCGTGGCGGATGATTTAACTATGGCCCCGTTGATGGCTATGTCTATATTCTTAGACGAGCTTTTGCAAAGCCAATGGAGGCTATATTTATGCATGTTAAACGTCACGGTCTGTTGAATGATTCAGCTTATCTTACTCTTATTGAACTTTGCGGAGATATTTTATAAATCTATGAAATATCGTGATAACTAGATGACTTTCTAGGAGAACGAGAATCTTCATGGCTCAACGATATACTAGTAAATAGTAAATTTATAGTCATATTCGAAATCAACTTGACATAACTTACAGAAAGTATGCACCTGGGTATAATCCTATAGTTGCACAATTTTTGTTATCAAAGGAAAGACTCCCTTGTCATCCAACGTGATAGTTGAGGTTCCGCCTTGCGGGCGAGTATATGGCTGATCGGTCCAATTGGGCAGTGGATAGGTTACCCATGTTCGTAAGCACATTTACATGTAATCTTGCAATGGTCCAACTGCCGCACGCCATCAATGGCTAATACATGCCGCTCGGGTCTTACGCAACCTTCAGTCTTACCAAGGGCTCGGGCTTCGGGCGTTACACCAAGGACTGGGTCCGGTGATGGTGTCTGAGACTGTATGGACTAGTAATCTCTATAGGCAAATGGGATAGAGGGTAGGGTCAAGCGGAACCAATATTGGATGAAAAGGTTGATTGATTGAAGAAAGAACGAATGCCAGGGGGCAGGTTGAAATACCCCATAGATGGCTAGGATACACGGTGTTACGACAGCTGTAATGCCAAGGATACCAAATTACTATACAAAGGAAAATGGGTCACTCAGTATAACCCCTGTCCTAGCGGTATGTTACCGCACGATGTCTCGACAGTATATAACGAATGAGGAACCCGCAATGTGGAAGCACCAAAACTTCGTAGGGAGCAGCTAAAAGTTACCCCTATTTTTGGCGGAACGTCTGCGCGCAGCCACGACTAACTGGGGAACGCGCGCTGACTGTAAGCCTTGAAACGACGTGGCAATTGTGGCATGTCGGAAATCGTGGCGGTATTGAACCCTAGGTACAAGTTATGGAAAAGAAAGACCCACAGGCAACGAGTGTCTTTGCTTGTAGGTCAATATAGAAGATCGTATTTGAGCCTAAGCGCGCCCGACGCGAGTTGTGTCTGTTGAAGATCAGTACGTAGTAATGACAAAGCCCCTGTAATTACCTTACATCGGTAAATAACAAGCATTTGTATCGAATACGGGGCAGGAACATCACCTACTAAGCTGATGACTGAAATGGCCTGGCTATTTATCAATCGAGTCTCAAGGGGTAATTGCATTTTCTGTGAGTTTTAATTTCTAAGATTCAATGTTTTCAGAGATAATCCAAGTTTATGGGAGTAGGTTGTCGGGCCTAGTCCATATATCCACCGTAAGGGGATACAAGATGAAGTCCAACTGGTTTTCAATGAGCTCGTTCATTCCTATAGATAGTGCAAAATTGATTTCGATGATGCGGCTTGGGTCCTAGTCTGCACAAGCCTCAAATCACAACATTCTAAACCTGTCATATGTAATCTAACAGCATCGTCCTGGCAAACATAGGCAATATAATAAGATAAATAAAAACTGTAAACCAGATCTGCAATAAGAAGCTGGAACGCTGAGGGCATAAGGTAGAATACGGCCTTTTAGTTGTCAAGTCTGAACAGTTCCCAATTACCACAGAATCTCGGTGTCAAATTTTGTTGGTCATTATCAGGTGCGCTTCATGATAGCGAAGGCGGAGGCCTAATGGGGCATATTGTCTTGAAGAGATTGAAGATCTTTTTGTATGCATAAGAATTGATTTTAGAAAGCTATTCAGTTGATGTTGGCTTTCCAGGATGCGCGTCTTCGCTCCAATAGATTAGCTCTTCCTGTTCTCTTGAATATCATGACTCGACTGAAAGCTTTCAAGTCCTACAGCCGGAAGAAGCATAGTCAAACAAGTAAGGGCCAGAGGCAAAAGGATGTCTATAAGTCAGAGTGGAATGATAAGGACTGAAGCCTGGCAAGCGAGACTGATTATCGTAGCATGACCGATAGTCAGATTAGACACGTGCTCATTAGTGATAGAAGGGGCGAGGGCTCATTTTCATGCGTATTTGTGGCATCTTCAAACTTTCTCTTTCAGGTGTAATACTCCACCTGGGGTTTTCTGAGTTTCCCATGTCATACTGTTGTGCTGTATGAATCTCATCTAAAAAGTATCAGTTTAGGCCAATTTTGTGAAAGGTTCAGATGTCTCACAGCCACTGGTCTATGTCGATGTCTGGCAAGATTGACAAGAATAGGCATCACGGATCAAGCTCACTTGCGTAAGAGGGTTATCGTTGGTCCAGCTCAATCGGGGGGAAGCACGCAATACCCGATTGACTATTTGCGTCGGGCTAATTGACAAAGTGAGAGCAAGCGGTAGGCAGCAAGAGCGATAATCCATTGTTATTCAAGCGAAGAAAGAAAACCAGAATAAAACGCTAAACTGGATTTACAAACCATTTAGTTGGGGTTTTCTGAGATATAGATATTGTATAACCAAAAATTGAGGGTTGGATATCTTCCGCAACTATGTAGAGACGGTATCGCGTCTGCGAGACTCAGCGAGTTGAATAGTGGCATAGCCGCAGAATAGTAAAACCAACAAATGTGGCCCCACTGTCATTTTACCTCCCAGCTAGAGGCGAAACAACCAGGATCGACCGCCAACTTGATGACGCCAGCCTTTCGTTAAGGGGACAACGGTCAAGACTTCTGGTGACCAACTGCATCTGGGTGGGCTAGCGTGGTGCAATTTATTGAGGTGAGCTGCTGACTTAGCTACTCCCGCGCTTTGCTCAGGTCGTGTGCTCAGGGGACGCTAAGTGAGCAAAAAGCGGCATGGGGTGAGCACTAAAACGGAAAGGGAAAGCCAAGAATTGTCAGACATTATCCTGTCTATATGCATCTGTCTGTCCATTCTTCTATCTCTGTGCACCCACTTTACACGTGCGCTTATTAATATCATGTGATCTAGCTAGCTTACATCATCTTAAAATGCTGACAAGAGTAGATTGTCACGTGCTTGGTGACAGCCTTTCACCTGGGCAAGTATTGCAATTAGCTGCTTTGAGCGTGATAACTAAACCTTAGTGTGTAAAAGCCCACCTAGGTATCACCGCGGACCCGAGGACATGCTTTTGAATCTGCTTTCGTCCCCCTACAGGTGACTTTGTGTTGCGATATATTTTGCTGTCTTCGCAAAAGCTACGTGATAGATAGTACTTGAAATCCCAAATACCATTCATTTCCAAATCTCTAGACATTTGAACAACTAGCGTGAAACCATAATATTGCAAGGTCTTCTTTCAAGAAGAACAAAAAACCATAACATGTATACTTCATGCTAAAGTGTTCCCGCATCTTCTACGGAGACGCTCATGTGACCGACCGATAAGGCCTGTTTTATCAAATGATACAATCTTATCGTCCACGCTTTTCTTTTCAACATTTACCAACTCAGACAAGATGACCAGTGACGATCAGTTCTTTTTCGACTACGTGAGCATTTTCCAACCCGCATTCACATAAACTCCACCAGTGCTAATAGCTAGCTTTGGCGCAGCTTGCCTCTATACCCCATGACGTAAGGCGGTACTCCGAGCAAGTCGCCGACTCGATCGACCGATCAGTCGACCATGCAGCGAACGCTATCCGAAATACTCTGTCTGAACAGACATGGTTACCGTCTTCTGTGCGGCCGCCGATGCGCGCCTCTCAGATGCGGTCATCGCCCCACGGCCTGACCGACCGAGTTCAGGACTGGATGATTCGAAATCGCGCCTGGACCGCGGCTGTCCTTGCGTTTCTTGGGACGGGCTGTGTTTTGCTATATGGAAACAGGAAACTGAATGCGAAACGGAGAAAGGCTAGAAAGGCCGGTAATGGGGCTCGGAAAGAGATTGTTGGTACGTTAGTAGACTCTTGATTACGATATGGACATGCGCTAAACTATCACAGTTGTTGCTGGATCACCTCATGAGCCCATGACGAGGGCGATCGCGACTGATCTAGAGCGCCGGGGATACATCGTCTATGTGACAGTGTCATCTGCGGATGAGGAGCACATCGTGCAATCCGAGAACCGGACCGATATCAAAGCGCTCTGGCTGGATCTGACCACCGTAAATATCGCCAGATTTCCAGAAATGAGCATAAGCTAACACGCTGGCTGCAGACACCCTCGAATCCTTCAGACCTCCACCCTTCCCTACACGAGCTGCGCACTTTGATCACCCAACCGCAATGCCCTTCCCCGGGAATGCCCTCGCATAATTGTCAACTAAGCGGTATCATCATCGTGCCATCGACAAACTACACCGCAGGCCCCGTCGCAACCATCCCACCTTCCTCATGGGCAGACACCGTCAACACCCGCCTCCTTTCTCCAATTCTCACTGCGCAGGCTTTCCTTCCCCTCTTGACCCTCCGTAACAACAGCAGCACCATCGTATTCGCTTACCCAGCCATCTCCTCATCCTTATCCGCCCCCTTTGCCGGCCCAGAGGTCACCGCCACCAGCGCCATCTCCGCCTTTGCAGCTTCCCTACGACAAGAGCTCCGGCTTCTCGAGCGTGGGAACGTCGATGTCGTTGAACTCCGCATGGGTAACATTGACCTGGGTCCTGCTTACCGTTCCCACCAGAGCCAAGTTGCTGGAACGGAGGTACTGGCCTGGAGCGTCCAGCAGCGCGCCCTTTACGCTCCCCAGTACATGTCGAGCATTGAGCAGCGACCTGTCGCATCTGCTGGCCCTGGTGCCATGCGGGGTTCTTCGGCACGGTACCTTCATCACGCTGTGATGGATGCGCTGGAGCCCACGACCGTGAATTTCCTCGGGCAAAAGAAGTCCAAGAAGGCAGTCATGTATGTGGGCCGGGGCGCCCGGTCCTATAGCGTGATTGGCGCTTGGTTTCCGAGTGGACTAGTTGCTTTGATGATGGGTTACCACACTGGCCACCCAGGCAATGTTAGCCCCAGCAGTGGCAGTGAAACCAGCTAAGGGCAATTTTAGCTCCGCTGAAACACGGATGGGGCGAACTTTGAAGAAGCAAAACGCCGTCTCCACTTTTCCTATATTGTAAAGCTTAATTTTTGGAACTACGTACTGTATATAGTTTCTTGACCCTCTTCGCTCTTAATAGTATCATGCATTGATCTTGATTAGCATTATCCGTCGACACATTAAGCGTTAACTTATGTCCAGTAGGTTACCTAGGTCTATGTCCCATATGTATACTCGTATATCCGCTACACCGCATCGCCCAATGAATCAAACGATAGGTTCCTTCATCTCACTTGACTGCGCCTGCATATCCATATTCTGAGCCGCAAACTCATGTCGCAAAGGATCTTGCGGAGATCTCTTCCTCTTATCCCCAGTGACCCGTCTCCGCACCCAGATCAAGCCCATGGAAAGGCAGAAGATGACCAGGATAGCGGCTAGGATCCCGAAACAGTAGCCCGCGACGATTCCACTCTTCTTGCCATGCTCAGTATTCAGGAAGCTATACGTCCACCATCCCTGATCGTAGTAGGTGATGTAGGCGACACAGAGATAGAACAACAAGACAAGAATCAGGACGGGAACACCAATCCACGGGTGCGGGGCCGTAGCCGGAAGGAAGATTTCCAGAAGGGCATAAAAGGAGTTGAGACCATGCTGAGAGATCTACACGTCCTCATTAGCATTGGTTATGTAAGCTATGTCTATCTCCGGAATGCAGGGATACGATGCGGGGGCGGAAGGATTCATAGAACGTGAGACATAGAGGGGTTGAAAGGAGAAACCTACATTCGCCCAGCCGGGAAAGGTCACCTTGTAAAATGGCGGCTTGAAAATGATTCCCCAGAAGACAATCGTGACGAGAAAGGGGTAGGTTGTGATGCTCGCATACAGGAGTCCATGGAGCACGCGACATGCGCGCGGCCAGCGATCGAAGAGCACGGAGCGGCCCGTCCGTGCGTAGAGGGCTGTATGGATGGTGGAGACTAGGAAGTAAAAACCCAGACCCCAGTACGTGAGCCAGGTGAAGTAGCTGAAGGTTTCGCCAATTGCGACACGGTCATCGTGCGTGCCGTACCAGATCCAAATGACGATGATGGTAGTGAAGATGTAGAGTGCGATGAGACCGCGCAGACATGCCAGCACGGTTGGTGATAGCAGCCATGAGGTTTCGAATCGGTGAAGCTGATCGTCTTTCGGATCGGCTCCAACGAGTGTCGCTCTTGACGGTCGGCGCATGGTGGATTCGGCAAATATTTTCACGTCTTGAGCTATATAGCTTGTAGCGATATCGCTCAGGTGAGTCCCCCTCGAATTCGAGAGTTGGTGGCCAATACAAGTGCGTCCACTGAGCTTGAAGTGAGATTCACAGTCGAATCTGACGAGTCTGTTTCTACGAATGATTTTTCCGGTAAAAAAGTCTACCATCTACTGGGTTCATCGTAGGCCTAGGGAACTATACCCACTTTGGCTTCTGGGCCTTGCGAGAGCAGGACCTTTGACCCAAAACGAACAGCATTCTGAATTGACCGAGCGAGCTTAACAGTAAGTAGCTTAAGGCGGATGAAGGATCTGGCACCGGATTGGTCTGTTGCCAGGGCACCAGTCTCGATGCGGGATACCTCCGAGGGTGTAACTGCGGGGCGGAGAAGAATCAAATTCCGTGGACATGCAGCTTGGGTACGGAGTACATATATGTCATCTGGTCGACAGTGTCTCGAGCGTTATTGGTCGGATAAAAAAAGCAACACTGGACTACACTGTGCACTGTGTTGACTCCCCCTGAAGGAAAAGTTTTAGGTGACATCTCCACCACGACACGTATAATTGGCAGACCAAACCCGAAGCAGCATAGGTAAACCTTGAAACAACCAAAATAGCCCGTGTGGGGAGAGCAGATGCGTGTTCTAGAAGATCGCCCAATATTCATAGCACTGGCGTCAATACTTGGCAACCCCTGAATAACTCCAATTGGGACGCGGAGTTGAGAATGATTGTGACTGGACTGTATTTCCCTTGACTTGCATCCCATTACTTCTGTCCCCCTGTCCGACCTAGGCAAGGTGGATCCCCCGTGCACGGGCGTCTGTTGTCATCGTGTTCATTGTGATCGTCAGGGCCTCGCCCGTTTTTCTCCTTTCTCGCAGACGCATCTCTTTGGGCTGTCACTCCTTTGGCCTCATCGCCTTTCCGCCCGCTTGAGAGCCAAGCTTCATGCGCCTCTCTTAGACCGTCTTGACCCTGAAACGGATCTTGGGGCCACGCCAGCCTGAAACTCTACCTCCCCTACAACCTCCAGTCGGACCACCCCCCGCCAAAACAAACTCGAATCGCTTTGAATGAGAATGATGAACCAGCGAGCGAAACTGAGCGAATGTCGCTCCAACTCTCACGACACCCTGCGCGGAGGCATGCCCTCCCCGCGCATCGCACATTTTGACGGCGAAGTCCCGCCGGCACTGTCGCCTCTCGATGCCTTTGCGGCTCAGGGTCGATTCCTGGCGCGACAGTTGGATGAATCCCGACTAGGCGAACGGCGAATGAGTCGTCTACCTCCTTCCAGCGTTGCTCGGTCGCTGTCCCGCCCCCGACCAGGCTACTTTCGCTCCGCGAATAGCGACTCCAATTCCGAGAACCTGACGCGCCGACCGACCCAGAAAGGCCTTCCAGAGGTGGAGGAGCCGAAGTATCGCCCAATATCGGAACATCCTCGATTCAGCTCGATCTCGCATGCCAGCAGTAATGCGGCGAGCTTTTACGAAGACGACGAGACCACTCCTAGGACAACATTGATCCAAGACGACCCCAGCGAGTGGGGAATACCTCGTTCGGAATCCCCCGACGAAGACCCAGTCCTCGCAGATGAAAGGGAAGGTGATTCAGTGGGAGTGGTTTTGGAAGATCCATCGCGTCAGTCGTCGATGGACTCCGTTACCAGCAGACTTCATATCCCTCGAACTCTGGCCCCACCAGTTTCGCCGCATTCACGACCTTCGAGCAGCGCCCGAGTGAATCAAGTGGAGAGCTCTGACGATGATTACAGTAGTTCCAATGCAGGTTCGACATTCTCCAAGCCACGGAAATTGTCATCCGGGAGTGCTGTATCGCTTCCATACTCACCTATGTCGACCTTTCCAGTTAGGCCACATCCTCGTTCGCCTTCAATCAGCTCGGAAACGTCGACGGGCACCGGCTACCTAGCGCGACCCTCCTTCAATTTCTCCCGGCCTCTCAGTCGGTCCAGCACCAGTCTCTCGGCACCAGGAGCCCCAGAGCCAACTACCGCTCCAGCCCCGACTCCCCAGCGGCATCAATCTAACCACATGCATCGTCCGAGCAAGCCTACCCCAATTCTGGTCCCCCTGGCCACTGACCAAGCTGCCACGCAACCAGTCGATGGCGAGCCATCCTCAGCGGTCTCGTCATTTGTGTACGCCAAGTATGCACTCCCGCGTGGACGTGAGCCTTCCAGAGATTCTGTGATCTTTGCAGGCCTACAAACTCCACACTTTGAGTGGAATGAGCCTCTTTTGAGAATTCTCCCCCGCGAGAGTCTGTTGAAGTACCTCGCCGAACCTGCACTCCACCACCGACCAAACACCATCCAATGGATCATTCACCCAAGCCACATTCGATGTACGAAGTTCCGACTCCTGCAACACCTGCTCCGCCCTCACCCAAGCCACCAGCTTCTTCGCCACGGCCATCAACTTCCTCTTCAAAGCCGCCGACCTCACCAATGCCCTCTGCACCGACACTGGCTACACCTGAGAAACCTAGACCTTCCACGGAATCTACCCGGTCTAATCACAAGACCAATGATAAGATCGAGACGGCCTCCTCGGCTGGTTCTGCGAGCACCCTACGTCCGCAGACTGCCGTGACTCAGGCATCATCGACTTCCATGTCTGCCGACGATCATGTCAGTAAGGGCATTGAGCTGCACGAAAGTGGGTCCTTGAACGAATCGACCTATCACCTGCGGATCGCTGCGAAGCAGAATCACCCCACTGGAATGTTGCTATATGCACTTGCCTGTCGTCACGGATGGGGTATGCGTTCAAATCAAAAAGAAGGTGTGCGATGGCTACGCAAGGCTGTGGATTCAGTAGGGTTGGAAATGCTGGAAAACCCTGATGCCCCTGGCGCTTCCAAGGCAAAGGAGTTGCAGAAGGCCTACCGTGCCCAATTCGCTCTCAGCATCTACGAGCTGGGTGTCAGTCACTTGAATGGCTGGGGTATTGAGCAAGATAGAGCCCTCGCTCTGCGTTGTTTCGAAATTGCTGGTCAGTGGGGTGATGTCGACGCCATGGCCGAAGCTGGTTTCTGCTACGCGGAAGGTGTTGGTTGTAAGAAGGATATGATGAAGGCTGCACGGTTCTACCGCCAGGCTGAGTCCAACGGCATGAGCATGGTCGGTAACAGCTGGTAAGTCTCAGGTCTTGAGTTGGCTAAGCTCCCACTAACAATTGAATAGGATCTATAAAGACAAATACATGGGCGACGAGGCCAAAGGATCTCGCTCGCGCGGGCGAACTGTCAGCAGTGATAAGAAGAACCCGCGCAGTAAATCCCGCACCCGCAGTATCTTCCAACGGAAGAAGTCTGTCCCTGAGCCATAGACTATGCATATACCACTTTCAGAAACCCCTTGGGTCAAAACCTTGCATACCAGCAAAGCGTTTTTGAAGCGTTCTGAGCCGACATTTGGTTTAACCATTCTCTCCGTTTCTTATTCCCTATTTCATTTCACCAGCATATCCAACCTTTTATCTAAGCCGCCTGGGCAGCTGTTTCCGAGCATCTGGAACTGGATCCACTGCCTCGCGGGCATAATACTTCAGTTCTTTGTGGATACCCTTTTTTTATCTGGACTCTCTTTTTCACTCGCTGTGGCTTTTCTATTTTCTTTATTCTTTTCTCAGCCATAGTCCCCCTCGGGGGCTGATTCCCCCATTCGCTTCTTTGAACATTTCTTCCATTCTCATATCTACTTTTCTTTATCGGCAGACGCTTGCAAGCGTATTGTGCATCGGTTCACGATGAATCATGACCGGATCGAGGCCGTTGGACATTTCTGGTTATCTCTTTGCATATCACTTATCTTTAGCACGGATTGATCTAATCGATATTGGAGCATTGACTCCCCGTCCATATATTACTACCTTTCCCGTTCAGTTGCAGGAGAGTCCCTCATACAATAACAGCAAATGGATTCGTGCCACCAAGAATGGTATCGACCACCACTTGCTCACAAGGTGTATCGATCTCCTTTGCAGGAACCATCGTAGACGCCTTACGAGTCTTCATCTCTGCCAAAATATTCACACCATCACCATTCGCAGAACTCTCCCACCCCAACGCTTCCACACCCTTAGCTCCATCCCTCGCAAAAGCCAACCAGAGATCCTGCATCGTATAACTAACCTCAGTTTCAAAAGCAGTCGGTGGCCCCCGGTAGTCCCCATACGTCCCAAACAACAAGGGCAATTCCGAGCCATGGAATGCCCCAAACCAGAAATACGGCGAGATATTGCTGAAATTTCCACGATACTGATATCGAAAGGTTGGCAAGCCCAGTTTCTCCCGGTAACCCGTCGTCAACATCGCGGGACACAAGAATGCATAATCAGTATACCCATCCGCCACAGTAGCATTAGCCGCCGTCGTCTCAGGATCATTCGGCCAAGGCGCAGCCTCATAACCCTCTCGGAGATTCGTCCCAAAGATAGCAGGCCGATCAGACAATGCACCCAACTCATACCGAAGCGTATAATTCCCAAATATAGAGATATCATCAACAAATGGCACAAACTTCAACGGATTGTTCCCCGCCTCTTCATAGTCCAGAATCACAGCCTCGATAGTCTCATAGTCCACACCCTGCATACACTCCAACTCAACCGTATAGTTCACAGTCGAACAGTTCACCTGTCCAGCCACATAACTGAAATTCGAGAACGTCGCATCGGATTTCTGGTTATTCAGGAATACAGAACCCGAATCCGAGATAAACCCATTAGCAATGGGATCATCCGGATACGCAAAATTCATCAAGTCAGAACTCCCAGCCCCAGAACTCTGTTCCCAAAGCACAATATGATCTGGATCTCCTCCAAAAGCAGCGATATTCTCTTGAGCCCATTCAAGCGCCATCCTCTGATCCAGTAGCCCTGGATTCTGGAACTCGAGTGCCCCAGACCCGGGATACCCGAATATATTTACCCGGGTGTTGATCGAGATAACGATATGGGCCTGTGTGCGCTGAACCCATTGCGCAGGAATCTGATACGCCACGTCGATTCCGCCGGTCGTGTAACCACCGCCAAAAAGGTAGATGAATACCGGGAGAAGAGCTTTCTTTGTGTTTCGTGTATGCAATGGGGCCCAGATGGCGACGTTGAGACAGTCTTCGGCTGTGGAGCCGTTGAAGTTCAGTTGTGTGACGACTTCGCTGTCGATTGAGGCGCTTGTGCCGGGGATCTGAGGACAGGCTGGGCCTAGGGTTGTGGAGATGATGGTCTTTTGGGGCTGGATTAGGGCTTTCGGGGGACGGAAGCGGAGGTCTAATAGGGGTGGTTGGGCGTATGGGATGTTGAGGAATTGGCGGACGTTGGGGGTTGTTCCGTTTATGAGGCCGATTACTGGACTTTCAATTAGATTAGCTTCTTGGATAAAAAAGGTTGTGATTCTTACTTTTCCCGCTGGAAGTTTGTATCTCCAGATCAATTGGTTGTGGGTTGCTTCTGGTATGTCTTGATGGCGCTGCTATGACTGTGCTGCAAGAAGCCACGACAAACGCGGCAATCGACGTGAAAACACGCATTGTGCTTTTGTTTTAAATACTCAGGAGGTATGTATACTGCAGGTAAAGATTGTCTTTCTTGAACGCCACTTTCGTTGGGGAAGATTAATCATTATACGCCCTCGGGATAGTTCTCAGATTATTATACAAACCGGATATATCCTCTCCCTGAAATCCCTAGATACTCCAGGGTAACCCCCACGACCCCGCAATCTGGACAGAGTGCAAGTCCCAAAAAAAGGTGGCACCATAACGTAGGTTCGGACTATAACTACGTCGGTCGAGTCGGGGTTTGCGTCAATCTTGGGACTAGCATATGTGGGGGACACGCTGATTTCTGATATGTACTCCGGACTTTAGAATGCGGGGTGCAGGATCTCGGGGAGATATTCGGAGTTGCCGAGCCAAAGCCAAGTGACCATACCTGAAGCCTAACTGGAACTACTTATCCGTGTCTCCATTGACAAACTCAGGCCCGTGAAGACTACGTGTGAAATGAATCAGTTAACTAAACCAGTTATTGAAGTACTCCCAAATTGCAATATTGAAACGAATCCATGAATATCCTCTCTTATAACTTATAGTAAGCCCGTGGAATATTATCATAGTATGGCACGACAACCGAATCTGGGCTATCAGTCAGCCCGACCATCATAGTCGTAATAGGATGGGTCGGTTTCCGATCCACAACAAGCTCAATGCAACTTGGACCCGTCCGTCCCTGGAGATTGACAACAGTGCTTGGAATTTCGGAAATCCGGGTCACTTTCGCGGCAGCGTTCTGCAAACCTTTTGCGACAACCTCGTACTTAGTTTCAGGATTCAGAGAGCTGATCGGACGTGCCGTGTTACTGTTTCCATATACCAAATCCTGTCCGTTGATACTCATACCCCAAGCAGAATTGTTAACCACAACAGTCATAACGCTCAAGTTGAACCGCTTGTATGTGTCAAGCTCCATCATGTGGAGCCCTGCAGACCCGTCACCCTGGATATTAACGACTTTGCGATCAGGTGCTGCAATAGCACTGCCGAGTGTATATCCAAAGCCGTTCCCGAGAAACCCAAGATAGCCTGTTGAGCTGATGACAGTACTAGGTTGGCAACGCGGTGCGAGGTCACCTGCCCAAGCTCCTGCTTCCCCACCGTCTAGCACAATGATACTTCCTGGCTCAATAGCGGAGAAGAGGGATTTCAGAGCATGGTAAGGATGAAGAAGGCTCGCTGTTTCCGTAGGATCTTTCTCAAAAGGTGATTCGGTAGAAGATAGGTTCAGAGCCGATTGAACCCATGCTTTATCGATAGAGCCTTGGTACGCAGTTCCGAGCTTGGCGTTCATCGCCATGGAAAACGCTTCGACATCTGAAACGATTCCCAGTGCGACGGGTAATGTGCGACCAATTTCGCCGCCATCACAGTCGACTTGAATGAGTGTGCAGTCTTTGGGGATTATTGCACCGCTTTTGCCACCGAGAAACATTCCTGTTCAGGCACCCAGAAGCAGTACTAGGTCTGGTCTGGCAAGCTGTACGAGGTCTAGCTTCGCTAGTGTCCCTGCTGTACCGGTTGAAAGCATGATATATTGTGGATGGAAAATAGCGTATTTTGAGCTGTTGAAGACTGGGATATTGCATGTTTCCGCTAGCTTGAAGAGACTCTCTCGTGCCTGATCTGATTAGCTGTGTTTATAGCCCGCGGAAAGTGTATTACTGGAAGGTTGATGGCGCCTGTTCCTGTGATGATCACAGGACGCTTTGCGGCGCGGATTAGTCGAGCCGCTTCATCGATGGCAGCAGGATATGGACCTGGTGGATATGTCGGGGGAGATGCAATAGATCCCCAAGAGATGAGTTTGGGATGGATTGGAGAGAATAGTACATCGATAGGAAAATCGAGAAGAACAGGACCTGGTTCGTTTAAGAGAGTACCGGGACTCTTAATATTCCGGTGTCTTCCGTATATGTATTATCTTTCCATAAAAACATATATTCAGGCTTCGGTTATATCAATTATTTCACCGTGGCCTATTCTACGGTATCTTACCCTGTGATTCTATGATCCCTGTTGAAGTCATACAGAAAATTTATTGAAAAGATGTAAGTGTTATTTTGAATCCCGTTATGGGGCATGACATTGTGTCAACCCTGTTATTTAAAGCGTGGAGCGAATTTCTCCATAGCCCTCCGTACCTTGCTAGCATTAAGATGTGCGACCGTCTGACTGTTCGACGGCGCGGCTTGGTACATCGCCTCTGCCTCTTTCAGCTTCTTTTGATCAGAGTACAGAAGGCCAAGGTTGTTGACTATATCGAGAGTGGATGTATGATCTGGACCGAGGGCCTTCTCATAGCCTGCTAGTGCTCGCTGGTACATCACCTCTGCCTCTTTCAGCTTCCCTTGATCAGAGTAGAGAATGCCAAGGCAGTGGACTGAATTAAGAGTGGATGTATGATCTAGACCGAGGGCCTTCTCAAAGCCTGCTAGTGCTCGCTGATACATCACCCCTGCCTCTTTCAGCTTCCCTTGATCTCTGCAGAGATTGCCAAGGTTATTGACTGAATTGAGAGTGGATGTATGATCTAGACCGAGGGCCTTCTCAAAGCCTGCTAGTGCTCGCTGGTACATCGCCTCTGCCTCTTTCAGCTTCCCTTGATCAGAGTAGAGAATGCCAAGGCAGTGGACTGAATTAAGAGTGGATGTATGATCTAGACCGAGGGCCTTCTCATAGCCTGCTAGTGCTCGCTGGTACATCACCCCTGCCTCTTTCAGCTTCCCTTGATCTCTGCAGAGATTGCCAAGGTTATTGACTGAATTGAGAGTGGATGTATGATCTGGACCAAGGGCCTTCTCATAGCCTGCTAGTGCTCGCTGGTACATCACCTCTGCCTCTTTCAGCTTCCCTTGATTAGAGTAGAGAATGCCAAGGCCGTGGACTGAATTGAGAGTGGATGTATGATCTAGACCGAGGGCCTTCTCATAGCCTGCTAGAGCTCGCTGGTACATCACTTCTGCCTCTTTCAGCCTCCCTTGATTAGAGTAGAGATTGCTAAGGTTGTTAACTATATCGAGAGTGGATGTATGATCTGGACCGAGGGCCTTCTCATAGCCTGCTAGCGCTCGCTGGTACATCGCCTCTGCCTCTTTCAGCTTCCCTTGATCTCTGTAGAGATTGCCAAGGCTGTTGACTGAACTGAGAGTGGATTATGATCTAGACCGAGGGCCTTCTCATAGCCTGCTAGTGCTCGCTGGTACATCGCCTCTGCCTCTTTTAGCTTCACTTGTTTTCTGTAGAGATTGCCAAGTCCATGAAATCCTCCCCAGAAAGCAATATTGTCGGAAGATAATTGCTTATTCTGCAAAGCAGCTGCATGTGGAAGAAGTCGTCGCTCAAGCTCTGCATAGTTGTGATCAATCATACTCGGAACTGAGTATCCAATACATATTAATGCTAGCTCGGACAGCTGGATGGGATTCACATTGGTGTCTATAGCGGTCATGTGGTAGCACCAGTCCTGTACCACAGGATGCATCGTATAGCTTCCGTCTTGTTGGTTGCTCTCAAGAAGAGAAAATTCTAAAATGGGCCTTATACCAAGTTTGAACGCGAGTTCATCTGATATGGCACTTTTGAGCCAGTCTGGTACATCGGAGCTATTAGAAGCAGACTGAACCAAGTCATACCAAATATCTCGATTATCAAAATGCGCAAGTAGGAGTAGCAGCTTTGCTGCGTTTGGGGCTCGATTCCGAATCTCATTATACGAGATCTCCCATGTTTGTAATATGTTGCCTTGCTGATACTGACGTTCAGGACTTGATTGTAACTGTAGATTAGACCATGATTGTTGGTAATAGGTCAAGTACTGAGCGATACTAGTACCAGTCTGACGCATAAATGCCGCAGCGATGACAATTGCTAATGGCAGCCCATCGAGACGCCGAGTAAGGGCAAGGGTATCTTGATATATCAACATGATTATTGAAGTCTATCTATTTGGTATTAACGTACCTGGACTGCTCTTAAACTGCCTAATGGTGTTCTTCTCCGACAAGCCGCTCTTCTCTAAAAGAAGTTGAGTAGCTTCCGCAGAGCTAAGTTTCTGTACTGGAACGGACTTTCCTAGTTCAGTGAGACCGGGGAGTCGAGAAGTGATGAGAATAGAGCCTTGATCTGCTGCGGGAAAGAACTTTCCAATGTCGTATGCATTCCCGACGCCGCTATCGGTTGGAGAATACTGATCAATGTTGTCGAAAATTATTAGCCAGCGATTATTACCATCCTTTGCGAGCCACTGCAACACTTCTCTAGCTCGTTTTTCTAGCTCCTCATTATTGACTGCCCCGTTCGTCAGGGGTCTCCCCGGTATCCGAGGTAAGACAGAGCTCAACGATTGTAAGAGCGTGACTCGGTCTTTGCCACTTAGCCAAAAGACAGCAGTGAAATCGTGTTGGTGTTTTCGCGCGAGACGGACTGCTAACTGTGTTTTCCCCATGCCACCAAGTCCATGAAGAATCGCGACTTTTCGTGATGGAGAATGTGTTGGTTGTAGATACTGCCATAGGTGGTCTAGCTCGGCTTGCCGCCCCACAAAGTTTTCTATCACAGGTATTGTAGTAAGGTCCAATGGGATATTATAGCAATTGACTGAGTATATAAAGTTTGTTTAGTAATGATTCTAATAGGAAGATATGAATAAGAGATTTAAAGCCTCTCACCAGAGTTTGCGAGAGTGTCTTGTGCTGTGGGTGTATCATTGACCTGATTGATTGGAACCACTAGAAGCAGCTCTTTAGCATAGGCTGCCGCGACTGCTGCTGCAAATCCTTGCCATTCCTTATTCTTGTGTGAGTCAGTATAGTCACAAATGCCTCGAATGACCACGCATGGAAAGTCATTCATCAGCCCCGCCGCTTCCATCTCCACACAGTATACCCCCAAGTCCTGTGCCAGTTGGTCTCGCCGTCTGCCATCTTTTACCACCTGGTTTGCGGATGCGATTAGTCCATAGTGAATCAGTGGTTCGTGATGGTCTCGTAAAGGTCGGTGAGTCAGTTTCGATCGGTCACAATCCGCACATGTATCAGCTGCACTATGATCATATTCTGCTTGGTATAGGCAGTCCTCTTGGGTGGGACGAGTGAAGTTGGCAGCTTTACGAGATGTTGTTTTGGTATGGATGTTGGATATGAACTCGTTGACTTGACTATCTTCTGTAAGGTGATGGGCTTGCAGTGTAGCGAGAGCGGTTAGCAGAACCTTCGGGGGCCGGTTTAACATCCCAGTCCGCTGGAATCGACCGTCGTGTAACACTTTTCCAAGATCGTATTGGATCACGCCTCCATATGTATCCCTTGGCTGGCTCACCACGATATCGCCTAGTCGAATATCTGCGTTGCTGCTTGGTACACCGCCACCAATACCGACCATCAGACCGAAGCGGATAGAGTGGAAGCTCGATAGTAAATGCATCGCCACCGTTGCAGCTGATACTATGCCATATGCGCCGCCTGGTAAACAGGCAATGACAATGTTATGCTCTCCGATGTTTCCAACGATATAGGTGTTATGATCGGTTGATGGACTCGGCAGGCTTGGATGGATTGTGTCCAACATCAGCTTTGCAGCCGCCATCTCTATTGGCAGGGCGCATATCCATCCGACCGTGTAGTCGCCATGAGATAGGGCGGTCCTAGTAGCCATATTGTATTATATAGGATAGGTCACGTGAGACTGAAAGACTGGTTTCTCATATGAGGGTTATCAATGTCTATAATCGCGACACCGCGGAAATGCAGTCTTGGAATGAATGCCAAAGTGTGGGAGTAGCGGGGTTGGAAAGTGAGGCTAAGGCATTATGATCTCACAGCCAATCATTTCTCGTATAGTGGAGATGGGTGTGATCAACACGTTACCTGATCAAGGATCATCATGTTTGCTCATTTTGCATCGAAGCTTCCGAAGTTCCAGCCTGGAATGTCAGTAATAAATAACTGTATATTTCATATTTGTATTTTAAGCCCATGGTAAATATTACCTGGTCAGCTACAAAACGCATGAGACTCATTACTCAGGAGTCCTACCTGGGGGACTAGATTGAGCGACTCGCATAGCATGTGCTACAATCCTTGGACATTCTTCCGGTGCCACAACTCGATGAACGAACTTGGTCAACGACGTGCAGCAATGACTTGATCAACTGATCCTTGAAGGGAGTTGTTTTCTGTATCTCGTATCGGAGAAGATGTTATACACAAGATGGGGCTTCGATCGGCAAACGCCGTGGCGAGACCGGCAAGCCCATTTGAAAAGCTACATTCTAATTTAGACGCGAGCTATGAGAAAGCAAATTAGAATTTGGACTCACCCACTGTTGGCAGTGACAAAGCAGACGCCAGGCTTTGTACTGATCCGACAATACCCCTCTGCAGCTTGGACAGCCACCGTCTCGTGTCGAGTATCGACAAGGCGAATTCCGATGCTCTCGCATCCCATTAAAAAAGCATCTAGATGGCCGCCATGGAGTCCAAATGCAACTTCCACGCCAAGCTGCTTCAGGGATTGGGCTAGTAGGTCTCCACCCGTCAACTCGCGGCCTTTTGGGTACTGAAGTGGAAAGCCGGACATGTTGACTTGAACGGTTGTTTCTTTTCTTTCGTCCACGGGAATCATACACAGGCGATTGCACTATTCAAAAATGGAATAGTCAGATACTTCCACGAGGAATCGTCGATGCCTCGGTATCTATATGTTGACGTTGCGGGGTCGGCTAAGCTGAGGCACCCAGAATGTGGAGAAGAAGGGGAAGATCCATGCATACTGACTTCATTTTGAACTTGGCCCGTATGGATGGACCTTGGCGTTAAGAGACACAAGCAAGTTGCTTCTATTTCTGAGTACATAGTGAAATGGAAGCAGACGAAAGGGCACATATGTGCACGGAGTCAAATGTATACGTTCAAAATACATGAACTGGGATAGATCAAACCGATGAAGCCTTCGAAAAAGCAGCCCGAACCTTGAGAACCGCACTCTGCTCACTGGCCGTATTATCAAGCAATTGACCGGCACTCTCCAAAAGTCCACCCTCCGAGTTATTAATCTCCCGGTAGTTGCCATCCCAACTGTAAAGAACATCCCCGTGTCTCTTCTCATCCGCAAAGAGCAAGACCACACTCCTGGCAACCACTTCCGGAGTCTGAGTGCCCACATTGATCTTCTGGAGCAGAGCAGCCGGCATAATACCAGTATCCGTCCATGAAGGCGCGATCGCATTAATCCGTACTTTTCCTTCCAAAGGCTCAACGAAAGCCCGGAGCATACCCAGAACGCCGTGCTTGGCAATGGTGTAGTCGCCAGTACTGAAGGTCTGGAATGAAGAAGCAGATGCCGCGAGCACAATACTACCAACTCCAGCGTTCTCGGGAGCAAGTTTCGTCATGTATGCATGTGCAAGGTGAATAGTATTGATGACCGCGAGGAAGTTCACATTGATGACTCGGAGATTCGGGGGTTCAACTTGGCCATCTTCATCGAATTTCACTTCTAGGAAGCTGGGCGTTGGGGCGATTCCTGCATTGGCGAAGACGTGGTCGATGCGGCCGAACCATTCCATTGCTTGGGTGAACATGTTGCGTAGACTTTCCCATTCTGTCACGTTGACGTTGAGGAACTTCAGGTTCTCGTTGCTTGCGAATTCGGGCTTAGGTGGATTCACGTCTCCAACTACTACTTTTGCGCCTAGGTCTAGACATAGTTGGGCGGTTGCTCTGCCGATTCCGGAGCATCCACCTATACTTGTTAGATGCAATGGTGTTGAGGGGATGGGGTGGTTACCTGTGATCAGAATGACTTTATCTTTGATGCCTTTTAGGTCATCTTCGGTGATATAAACTCTCGTCATGATTGAAAATGTAAATAGTATGAAGAACATGTATTTCGTGGTGAAGTTTCTCTTTATAAGTTTCTGCGGGGCTGTATCCTAAGGTTTGGTTCCTTCTTTGCCGATTGGACGTGCCTAGGCTTGAAGCAGTGAGGCTGAAGGGTCTCCATAATTCAAATGGCCTCAGCTTATATAGGTACCTAGGTCTAGTCGTGTGAGAGACGACGATGTTAGCCACTACACCATATCGGATTCAATGTATGAAAACCGCGAAGTACAGGATGGAGTAGCAGCGGCTAACCGGCCGGGGAAATGGTCATGTATCCAGGGATGGCGTGTTGTGAGGTGGAAGTAAGGCGAAAGTGAGGGCAAAGTGAGGTGGAAGTGAGGAAGAATCGATAGACTGCACTTAGCCTTAGAAGTGTATAATAATCGATAGTATACGGGAAATGCTGGGTTGTGTAAATGAAGACCATTGGATTTAGAAGTAAAGTAAGCTAATTAATAGAACACGATCCGATTCGTCTAGACATGAATAGGTAAAATAAGGTAAAAGTGCTAACAAGACAGGCAAGGTGAGGTAAACAAACAGAAAAAGATGAAGCTAAAAAGAAAAGCGCCGGGAACGGAAGCTGGGTCTTGTGGAAATCGAACTAACAAGGTCACTGCTTGTAAATGCGGTGGCCGTGACCAAGTCCATTCTTGATACTATCCCGCTCCCTCTTAACACAGCCATCCAGGAATTTCAAAGGAAGAATTGCGAGTCTCGGGTCCTTTCCATTCAATACCTTGGTTGCCATCCGGAGATATTGGGCGGTAAACACTTCCCAAAGTTCTTGGTCTAAGTCACTTTCCATCAAAGGAAGTGGAAAGTAAGGATCGTTTTCGAAAAACGACATCACTAGATGCGATACTAGTACCTCAGGGGCCGATAGGGCAACCCAACAACCAACTTTTGGGAAGGCATGTACCACACAGTATTGAGAGGGCTCGCTTCAAAGGATTTTACTTTAATCCGTGACTATAGAGAAGTATTTTGAGAAAATAATGTAAAGATCCATATAGCCTTTTAGTGACAATAGAGCGGTTGGAAAGTTTATGTATAAATATGGATGACCCGCCGAGGCATTCACTGACCCCTTTCAACATTATTTACACGTTATTAAAACAACGACTTTTTAGGTTGTATCTAAAGCTTATTTAAAGAGGAATATATAATCGTATTTAATAGTACCTTCAGGGGTATGTAGCAGAATTATGGTGAGTAATACTTTACGTGAAAATCAATGTGTTAGTATAAAGGGTGACGAGACAATTACTTGTGATTAAAAATCTTAGGGTAGATTTTCAAAATATTAAGAGACAATTTTGTGTGTCAGATGGGTATTAATTACTAGGAGTGATTATATAGAATTCCCGTGAGAAATGGTGGTGTGGTGAACTGTTTAGTGAATATGTGTAATTGATGAGGTAGGCCCGAAAACTGATCTGGGGAAATACTTTTGACTAGATAGTGTATAAGCACGAAGAACCGTGCCCTTTCCTTTGAGACCTCGACTTATACCATATCGGAGTTGATGTCAGAAAATCGCAAACTGGGACTTAAGAGTTCACATAATGCACTCAGCCTTCTTTATACATGGCCCTAATAGCTCTCTACGTATTCCGTACTCTACCCGCTCTTGCCGTGTCTATGACCATGTAGTATAGTTGAATAAAATATCTGAACGCGGTTACGCTTATCATTATGGGCTGAGGCTGCAACCGAAGTCGGCAACATCTACTCAGTTTAACTCGATTTATTAATGGCTTAAACCGCCTAGGAGATCTTGCGAGGCTAATTTACTCTTTACGTGGCTACTACTACGCAGTGAGCAAAAGCGGCGAGAGGTATGAGCACTAATATGAAAAGGGAAAGCAAAACCCATCAGCAGAAATCTTATACCTAGGTAGCAGAAGGCAATATATGCCGATCTGCACATATTTATGGAAATACAAACACGGAGACACCAAAATAATGGGAAAAGACGATCGTATTCGAAAAATACTACAAATAACTAGCCATTTTCTCCCGAGCTTGCTCCACTTGATCTTGTACATCTAAATCCCATAGCCACCTCATCCGTTCCTGGAATGTATTTCTCAACTTCTCTGCGTCATCCCCCACCCCATCCAAACATAAACAAAGAAGATAAGCATTCTCTTTACTGCTTGTGACAACTCGTTGGCTACGAGGTCGTCGAATCTCATCGTAAGCCCGAAAGGCGGCCACAACATCTTCCACTGATTTAACCCGTGCATCACCAAGCAATTCCGCCAGAACATGTGCATCCTCAATGGCCTGCCCAGCTCCGGCCCCTTGATGCGGCGTCGAAGCATGGGCCGCATCACCCAGAATGGCAACACGCGACTGGCAAAATGACTCAAGGGTAGGATGTTCGAAAATGGCCCATTGAGATGGATCGGGCATATGCTCCAAGAAGTTAGAATAATACGGACCAGAAATATAAGATTCAGACCAGATAACATACCTCAACGAGTTCCTTCCAGTACCTCCCCATCCCCTTCGCATCCCGACGCATATCCTCTCTCTCCGCATTGCGCACCCAAGTCTCACAATCCCACTTCTCACTTAGAATATAGAGTCCCACATTCACCTTCTTCGCCCGCATAATCGGGTATGAAATCCCATATACCCCCTCCCCAAGGTAAAGAGTCGATACCCTTGCCCGCTGATCCCCAACCGCACGAACCATATCGTCCATATCAAGCACAGCACGATACCCATACATCCCACTATACCGAGGCTGTCCCGCATTCGGGAAAACAGATTCCTTAACTTTAGATTTAATCCCATCACAACCAATTACCACATCAGCGTGGACTTGACTGCCATCTTCGAAGTTCAAATGTACTCCGCCCCCATCTTGAACGAGACTCTCAAGCCGCTTTCCAAAATGCACAATCTCGCGCGGGATAAGGGTCACGAGTGCATCTAGGAAATCAGATCTGCGTACTGTCGTTTGTCCGGATGGATTGGCTTTGAGATCCATTAATAGGTCCCCTTCGTGGATCCCGCAGGCCCATAGTATCTCGAACCATGTTTCTCGGTATGATTCGTAGCCTGGACTGTCTGCGTGCGTGGTGACGAGTGAGTCGTATATGTTGCGGATAGATGGGTCTAAGAGGGGGGAGGGCGCGGTGTGCGGCTGGTCCTATTGAGAGGCCGAGGCCGATTTCTTGGAAGCAGGATGCTGCTTCGTAGATTTGGACTGGGATGTGGCGGCGGAGGAGGGCTGCTGCTAGGGTAAGGCCGCCGATTCCGCCGCCTACTATTGTGATTGTGAAATTTTTGGGTACATCCATTGTTGTGTTGAGAGATTGTTTGAGGGGTGTACAAGGGTTGGGTTTGTTTAATGCGGGGTTTGGCTTATCCGTCAAACCAGGGGCCCGGGATTCATGAGCCGTGGATGGTTGGCGGGAAGAGCCGCTGATGATTTGGAGGTATAAAGATGTATCTGAGTGGAGATTTAATTGGGTATTTTTATGGTATTCGACTATCAACGCGATCCTGTCGCGGGCGAAAGGTTACTCTGACATCAGAAGAAAAGGAGCCTCTATAAGCTCGACAAGGGAGACTAGGCCCTGGAAGGAGTAGATTTTACATTTGCAGTGAGTGGCATGCCTATGTGGATGTTAGCATGCGAGAGACGTAAATTGTCGCGCGAGGACGAACCTTGAAAGTCGGCAGATCAAATCATCGAAACCCACCCAGGCGTTTCAGACTCATAGCCTGTGAAACACGGAATCGAGACAGTAGATTGAGGAAAGCGTCCTCGAAATAAGGTATTCTAGGCACAGAATCAAATCATAGGCGCCGTCACAGACCGTTGTGCATTATCCCATTTATGCGGCCCAATCGGATCATCCCGTCCATACTCCGACACATCTTCATAATCGGCATTCCCCCGCTCCCTGTCTCTGGAAATAGGCGAAGTCGAATCCGAGTCATCAAGCGCACGCCGGAATCGCAGGAATTCTTGTGAGTCCACATTATGGATCGGGTACATGGTTCCCATTTCCATCGACTGGAGCGCTGCCCGCTGAAACTGACGGAGGTCGTCACGCAGACCGGAGACCTGGCTTTCTAGGTTGCGGCGGGCAGTCTGTTCGCGGCGCAAAAGTGTTACTAGCGTACTGTACTGCTCGATAGAGACGCCGCTAAATTCGGAGAGGGATGTCGCCGATGGTGCAGGCCGGATGCTTCTTTGCATCGTTTCTTGTCGGATTGTGCTTGTGCTGGATGGGCGCACTGCGGAGAAATTGGCTAAGGGGCTAGGGGATTCGTCCCGGTCGCGGTCGCGGTCTCGGTCGGATGAGCCTAGGTACCCGGATGATGGTTTGTTGCGTGTGTGAGGGCTGTATGGATCGGCGGAGGGGGTGCGTTTCTGCCTGGATGAGGATCGATCTGTTGGGCCATCGACGGGACTGGATTGCATGCGGGCAATTGCGAACTCCAGATCTATCATCTTCACTTCCAGAGTGTTTAATCGTTGCTCCACTGTGAGACCGTCGTCTTGTTGCATGGTGTGAACAAAATTGCCCAAATTAGGGGGTAGGCTCATTTGCTCTGCCCGTTCGTCTACTTCATTGATTGAAGGTGCCGCAGATGCTTGTGTCGCGCTGGTCACTGTGGTTCCTGTGGACGGTCTCGCGGAATGGGCACTGACAGAGCTTCCGAGGACAGGCGATTTGTCGTCGGGGCCCGAAGTCGGAATGGAGGTGGTGCGGGGTGGCCAGTCCTCATGTGATTGTCCAGCTACAAGGTCCTGCAGCGCTTCTGCACTTCTCGATCGTCGGTTCAGAAGCATACTGTGTCGGCGCCCTTCTTGAATATGACGGTCGTCTTGTGGATCGGAGATTGCAGACGCCACTGCAAACCGTGATTCGTCGTCGGAGAAGATCACACTGGGCAGTGTTGCTCGTCGACGGCGTGTTGGCAAACCGGGCGATGGCAAGGAGCCCCCTGTGGCGGTTGTTGGTGATAAATGTGTCTCCGCAAACTGCAACTGTAGGTTTTCCTCCGAAAGTGGACTACTTCGTTTCGACTCCGTAGGTGTGGGAACCGCTAGAAATGATTTGCCTTCCGGTCCTGGTTTTCTCACGGGGGTGATATATAGAGCCTCGTTTGGGCTTTCCTCCACCCCATCCGTTGCACTCTGCCTTTTTCGGTTAAAGATCTTGCGCATAACAGTTTTCAATGTACTCCCGGTTCGTCGGTGTGCAAGGGTCGGAGTCTGAAAATTGATGGGTGGTAAAGCGGTATCGTACTGGTCTAGGGAAAAGGTCGCCGGATTCGAAGCTGAGCGCTCGGCGCGCCCAGACGATAATCGATGCTGTACACTTCCGACCGACTCGCTCCCAGCACTGGCAATAGATCGAGTGTAATGTCCCGACATCGCTGGGATGTCCGTTGAAATCACCCGTTGAAATTCCACATTAAAGGATTATTCGTCACGGCACATAGGGGTATATCGCAAAAAAGACAAAGAAAAACAAAAAAAAAAGTAAAAATAAGGGTTCGATAGCGAGTGTCGAGAAAGGGTATAAAAACGCGAATTATGAGCCGCTCAGCGGAGACTGAATCGAGAAGAAGAGCTGACAAATTAGTTGCAGTCAACAAGTCACTCGATCCCTACATACATAATCAGGATCATAATTGCACTGTTCCCGCCGGTTGGCCGTTTGCCTTGGTTTCACAGGGAATTTGAAATGAGGGAAAGAATGAAGGACGCAAACGAGAGGAGGTTGAGAAGAATAGGAGTCAAGCTTTGGAAAAGCTGATAAGAAGAGCTCCTGCCCCCACAAGCCACAGCCGAGTCACTCACTCGTATGGCCCCGAGCGTATCCAGCGCATAAATAACGCTAAACAATTAGCTTACTTTAGCTTCCAAACTTGGAATGCGACCGAACCTTCATTCCGTGCAGGGAGTGGATCATCGCCGTTTTGAACTTCCAGGCGCATCCAGAATGTCTTCGGATCCGATCCAGTCTGAAACACCACATGGTCGATCGTAAGAAATCTCAAACGCCGCACAGACTGGTTGGCGAATCAAGCTTGAGTAGTCTACGGGGGGATTACAATGCCTCTCACGCTTGTCCTACTTCTGGTAATGTATTTCCGACAAGATCGTGATCATCTCCCTTCAGTGGAGAGCGGATTTTGAAACACGGCTTTTGCCTGTTTAAGTTGCTGCGCTGGAATCCTTTCCTGTGTGTCTCGGCAGCGCCACGGCTTGGCGCGTTCTCGCGAACACTGCTGCCCTACTGTACGTGACTGTATTTACCGTGAGGGGTTCCCAGGTCGGGCCTTGAGCCTTGCGTTGCTGTATCCCCGAAGATCGCCATTTCTTCACTGCGGGCCCTCGTATCGTGCCTTTCCCGTGTTCGCCCCACATTGCTTCAGAGTAGATCCCCGGCATCGGGGTATCGTAGGTCAGCATTCTCCTCCAAGTAATCCATCCAGTGTTTCAAAAAGGTGCTTCCTCTGTAGAATATTAACATCAAGATTTCGGGGAAGGGAGTTTTCAGGACACACAATTACTTACCGAGTAATAGTGTCCGAGTCCCCGCAGATACACAGGTGTCGCTTTGGTCGGGTCATAGCGACTGGAAAAGTTAGATTGTGCCCGAAAGTTAAAATGTGCATAAATAAGATAGGCGTACCATTGAGACGTCTCTTCTCCCCGAGAAATCCCACCTCATGTTCCTCATTACTGCGCACCAGACTTACAACAACAGCCTCCTTTTCACGGCCCTGGAATCCATCCACGCTGCCCAATTCTAGCCCGGGGTATTTCTCACGCAGCATCTGAGACAGGAGGGCCCGCTGGCCATTGTAAGGTGTGATCACAGCAATATCCTCAGGTCTCACACCTGCATCCACCAAGTTATCAACGTGTCGGGCAACTACCAAGGCCTCCATCTCGTTGCTTTTGCTCTCCCCGAGAAGCGTTTCTTTTTTGCTGATCTCAGCGTCTTCGGTCTTTTCGGGGAAATCACCCCCCTGCGTATCCCAGAAGACAAGGGGCTCCTGCGTATCGTCTGTGCCGCGTACCTCGTATGGTAAATCCACCAGCAGACGGGCTTTCACCGAATCGGCTGCCATCAACTTGGATTCATACAACTCGTCCGAAGGAAATCGCATGATCTTCTCGTGCATGCGGTATTGTGTGGTTAACATGCGTTTGATACCGGGTCCGTGTAATGCTAACAAGCGGTCAAATAATGTGCGCTCCAGCGAAAACCCCTTCAATAGCTCCTTATCATCTGGCGCGTCTTGTTGGGGCCCGTCCTTGGGTTTTTGATTGGTTGATTTGACCGTAGGTGGCAGCTGTAAATGATCACCTGCGAGGACCACTTTCTCAGCCGACATCAGTGAGATCCAACATTGTGCCTCGAGCGCTTGACTGGCCTCGTCGATGATAACCACATCAAATTTCTGGTTCTTGAGCTGGTGGCCGCCGGCGCCATGAAGAGTTGCCAAAATAACACTACTTTCTCGCACCAGGTTATCTACACACTTGGATTCGCGTTCTCTGAACTCTTTCCGAAGGTGCTTCAGATCGTCATAGATCACCCGTCTTTCCCGGCCACTTTTGGTCTTTCGAATGCTAGCTTGTTTCTCGTCCATCTCCTTGCGTACGTCCTTTACAATACTAGCCGCATCGGATGTCTGCGTCAAAACCTCAAGGGAATGCTCCAGGACAGAGGGAAGAAGACGTGCAGGGTGCCCGATGCGAACTACCGGGACTTTCTTCACAGCCAATCGCTCCACAATGTTATCGACAGATACATTCGATGGACCGCACACGAGAATGCGTTTATTGCGTTGCACGAATTGCATGATCAGCTCGATCAAGGTATGTGTCTTTCCCGTACCAGGTGGTCCGTGAATAAGAGCAATATCCTTGGATCCCAGTGCAAATTGAATAGCATCTTTTTGCGAGTCATTAAGAGTCGGGTCAAGGAACTCAATGGGCTCGGTAATCTCATCCGGTTGTAACGGGGTAGTATGGCCAAAAGCCACGCGCATGAAATGTGAATGATCTCCCTCGGTCATCTTAACCATCTTCTCCATAGTTTGTCTCATTCTGCATAACCTTTAGCAAAGCTCTAGACGGAAGATGTAAATTCCTTACCGTCTATACGTAACGTCGTTGGCAAGTTTGATCCTGCAAGTCATTAGCAATATTCCCACCCACGTGAATCGTAACATACACCCATAACTTTTTACTCCACAATTCCTCAATCGCTTCATCATCCTCTTTGGATCGCGCACCACCCCCTCTTTGGCCGAACGCAATCCAAATAGCCTTATCACTTACACGCGTGACAACACCCTCCGGACCCTTCGCTTCAGCCCCATCTTTCGGCTTATCCCTGCCGACCTTCTTTGTTCCCGCAGACACATCGTTGACACGAACAACATCTCCGACCCGTATCCCATGAGTCCCAAGACGAGGCTGTCCATCCGTAGATTCGGAAGATGCAATGGCAGGGTCGGGCGCGAACTCACCCACCACGCGACCTCCCAGACCGGTACGACATTGTGATAATATAAGGCCCGTTAGGGCATTTCCGGTTGCTTGGAGGGTTCGTCGGGTTGCTGGCGAGACGGAGGCAGCGGTTGTTGCCAGGGATGAAGATGAGACTTCGGCTTCGTGCTCGTGGAGTAGGAGTTGGAGTTGGGTTTCGGCGAAGAGGGGAATAGATATTGGGATGGGTGCCATGGCGGCGGGAGCCAAGATAGATCGGGAATTATTCTATTTAGAATGCTGTTCCATTGGCCATGTAACCGCTCGCTGTAATGAGTGGTGGGATGGTTGATTTCGATGTTGTGGTGACGTGCGTGGGGTTGGAGCTCAAAATGGTGATCTCCCCGCGGGTTTAGTCATCTTATACATCACAACCCTGGATTGAGGCGAGATGGATAACCCTGGAAATGCCATGATCAGATGATTTAAAAGCTCGTATCGCTGCTACTTGGTTGGGAAAGACGGTAAACACGTCAACTGAACTATGTACTCTATGTGCTGATTGATGGACTGGAGATCTTGAGCCAAAGGGCTAAATTATTATTGAATTTTGTCTTCCACGAAGATCCTAACAAATATGTGCCGTATGTAATGAGGATTTGAAAATATGTGCGCACGATGAGATGTTCCGTTCTAACCCATTGCCAAAAACAAAAACAGACCGAACCAGCCAGAACCCAGAGTCAGGTGAAGCCGGATAATTTGAACGCCGAGGGGGATGATGATAAAGGAGGGACGTCTGTCGGAATTCGTAAGGATCGTAATGTGACAATGTCAAATGCTATGCAGGGTGATTGATGTTGAAAATAATATGCAATGGACGCAACTTGTGGCGTCCGTCGAGACTAAACAGGTGGCTGACTTTTAGAGAGCCATGGCGACAAGAACTGCACCACCGAACATGGCGACGACCTCGCGAGTGAGGCCGTTGGTCATGGCGGCACCACCGGTCTGGAGACCAGGGTGGGCTGAATTGGTGGTAGTGGAAGCTGACGAGCCAGTGGGGGTGACGTGCACAACTGTCACAGCGGTGACGGTGCTGAGACTGCCATCGGGCAGAGTAGTAGTACTCTCGTAAGTCGAGGTGCTGAGGCTAGCAGAGGTTGTAAGTGTGGTGTGCGTATCAGTCGAGCTGGTCGACGAGCTGGAAGACGAGCTGGACGACGAGCTTGAGGTGGAGGAAGAGCTGGTCGATGTGGAGGTAGACGATAATGTCGAGCTAGTTGAGGTAGAGGAGCTTGAGGTAGGGGCGGAGGTGGTGGAGGATGAGGAGGTTGAGCTGGAAGTAGTAGCCTCACTTGTCGAGGTTGGGGCGCTAGATGTGGAGGTGGTAGTCGCCTCAGTCGAAGTGGGGGTCGAGATCGAGCTAGAGCTGGAAGTGGAAGAAGTGCTATCGGTCGACTCGGTTGAGGTAGTAGTGTCGGTGCTTGAATCGGTAGAAGTCGCGGCGGTGTCAATGGTGGTGGGATTGGCAGATGCGCTAGCGGTCGCATTGCTCTCTCGCTTCATGACCTTGAAGATACTAGCGATGTTTTGATCTTCACCTTGAAGGGCCTCGGCGGCACTCATGTCAGTTGGGAAAACGCCGTCTTGGAATTTGTCGGACAACACGTGGAGAGCAAGATGAATGCGGTTCGCATCGGTGCTGGCGAATAGATCCTGGAGAGACTCACGGTGGACAAGATTGTCCTCGTTGCGCTGATCGGTTGCAATGACCACAGACAGGATCATCAGCACTGCGATGAGCAGCTGGCAAACGTTGAAACGAGGCATGATAAGCGATAAGCCGAGGAATGTGGGATTGCGGTTTATCTGAGGGTGATGGGGAGGAATGAAGAAAGAAACAATTGAAGAGAACACAGAGAAGCAGATAAGGGAAAAAAGCAGTCGCTACCAGAAAAGTCGGAGGCAACGCAGTGGGAAGGACGCTACTTCCCAGTTTTATCAACTAAACTCCACTAGTGGCTGACGCGATCCCCGAAACAAGTAGTTAAAGAAGCTTGGATGTTTTCCCCCATTTGCTCCTATTTTTAAACCCTCGTTTCTCTCCGATGAGCCGATTTAAATAATAATTTTCAAGGAGTTACACTACAATTCTAACGTAACAATAACATGTGGGATAAATATTAAAAAATCAATCGGTGTTTAGGCAAGACACAGTGAGGTGCGACCCAAGGTTTACATGGTGCATGAACAAGGCAGCGTACAATGGCTTCCGCTGATTGGCTGCGTGTCAGCGCTGCAAATAGTACCGCACTGCCGCATCCGGTAAGTCGTGTTGTCATACAACACTATTAGCTTAATAGTAGGAAATAGAATTCCTGTGCCTGGAAAATCTTGAAAATGGAAATTGCTAAACAAACACTGGGATGCTAGTCGTCAAACTGTCGAGTAGACGAACAAGTTCAAAAAGTTGGGGTGATCGGCACACGTTTATCTTCCCCTCAGGCTATCAAGGCCCCCGTGTACATATGCACATTGTGCAGCCTGCATTAGGGGCTGACGCCGAATCAACTTCATGCAATACGACAGGTGGACGAATTAACAAACCCCACCGAAACACAAAAACACGAACAAATACAAAAATATCAATAATAATCTCACGGTTGAAACTCAATCTTTACTATGTATATTTGTAACAGTACTTGTTCATCTTCGGACTCATGACCTCATGAATCGGCCGAGGCCGATCGAGTACCCCCCACTCCATAATGGTGTCTAAGGTGACAAGCGACGCCCATGGCGGATTCGTAATGACATTAGTCCCATTCAATGCGTTCCGCCGACTAGCGTCGGCATCCTGCCACTTCGCCCAGACTCGGTCGATCATCGCATGATGCAGCATGAACGCCGGATCCTGTGGAGAAGCAAACAGGTCCTGTAGCGTCGCGCCGAGACTAAAGTGCCCGGCTCCGTGTACTCCCAGTACGCCATCCGGTCGGGCCGGCCAGTGGTCCATCACCATCTGGAACCCGTTGATGTCGGGCGCGGCCATTAAGCGAGACACGATGGTCGTATTGCTGTAGTGACTAGCGACCCAGTCATTCAGACTTCGGTTCAGGCACCGGGGATTGTAGTCAAACCCCGGTGCTGGAATCTTGGTCAGAGAGGCTAGGTTGCGGGAAAAGGGGCCTAGGTGGGTTTGCATGTCTTTGAAGGGACCACTTCGAGCACAGCCTCCGCCGCTTCCGCGAGGAATCGTGACTGCGCCGCCAGAAATACTTTGTTCCTCCGGGTTGTATTTTCCATCTCCCGAGAGAGATGTCTCACTGCCATCGAAGAGAGGACTATTGGCTAAGTCGTTGGCCCAGAGAGGCCAGTTCCAGTATCTGGGGTTGTAAGTGTCTGCTTGCGGTACTGGGGAAGCTGCCTGGGTTGCCAGGCACTCACGGAAGATGTCCTGTGTATCCGCATTCTTCTCTCACTGCCTTTTCCCAAAGCCATAGGAATTGGCGATGCCATGGCAAGAAAAGTCCACTATAATGAACATGGAGGGTATAGTTGATGTGAGTGCTAATAAAGTGTTAAATTTTGCCGAAGATTGTCGGTTCGTACTTACGCCACAAAGTCATCAAATCGGCTTCGGACACCCGGGTATTTGGCTGTTGGAAGATGTGGTGGAAGTCGCTGTAAACATAGAACAGCATCCGTGTAGTTGATCCGCTCAGCAGGAGCCATCTCACCCCTGTACTTGGTCAGCAATGGAACCTCAATTTGGATTGTTCGAGTCCCACCATTCTTTCCGAATGACCATGTTGTGTGGGTTGCATGCTGGCTGTGGAGTAACCCACGCTGCCGACACCAGCGTTCCCAGACTGAGGAGCAGCCCTAGAGGCCTGAGCATGATCATGGTTGTGCTTGTATGTACAATAAGTCGGCGTAAATACTACTCAATGTATCGGTATCGAGTATTTATTTTATCAAATGATTATTGATACTCAGCTACAGAATACCATTGATGAATTCTCCCTAAGGGGGAGCCCTGGCCATTAAATAAAGAAAAGTTGAATTCCAAGGTTGTGTACGTCAAAGCTGGTATACTTCCGAGTGCATTCCTTGGCTTGTGACATATCTATGCAGATCCCGCCGCAGGCACCAGGGGCTAACATTCTTAGCCAAAATCTGAGATTTGGATTTGACCATTTGCCTAATTCTTGTGATGATCGTAGAAATTTCGATCGAGTGAGAACAGCAAGTGCTAGGAACATTTTCTCTGCCTCTTAGTTTTTTCTTCTGGTCAACAACACTGACGTTCGTCACAAGAACCTGAGAATAGCGGTAAACGCCAACCTTGGAATGTGACAACTCAGAACGCAGGGTCTAGAGGCTAAATGTGACAGGTGAACCAAGGAGTTTTAATCGCCAATCATATACAATCAATCGAACCTCCATCTCCGTATCATAAAGTACGCTCTTCAGTGTACCTCGGTTTATATGATATCTATCCGCACAGAACCTGGAATCTATAAACTTTACAGATAGTTAGTGCAAGCAAGGGGTACCTATTCCTGGAATTTAGTCGCCCAAAGGCGCGCTACTACACAGCGTGGCATGGGATGAATCCAAGCAAGCGTGGTGGCCTTAATGGCAATGAGGAAGTCATACCCTACTGCCTTCCTTCTTTCTATCTATGACATATAAAGACGAATGTGTTTTCTGTATGCCTCACAATAGCTTGTCACAATGCAATTGCACTTCACCCTTTCATTCGATCATTCGGTGTGACTGACAATATTCGTATCTAGCAGCTCAAGTCCTACTTTAAAGCCAGTTTGTCAAAGCCTATTCGGTTGCTCTGATTGGCTGCATAGAAAATTTGGTAATCTACATGGAGGCAGTTCTTTATGTGAAATTGAAAAGTTGCATCTATGTAGAGAAAGAAGAACTGGATGAAAGATCAAGTCACAAGTATGCGGCAGAGTTGAGAGCCTCATGTCCTGGATGCAATGTTGTGGGCACATTCACATTGAAATCTTGATAATGATGAATTTAGACCCGACATCTTAAGATAGAAGAGTCTACATATTGTCCTTAGCCTGGTAAGCGAGCTTGAGAATGTTTAGTTATTTGGAGACGTGCCAGAATGACCGTCTCCTCTAGATCAAGGGCAAAGGCAAGACAATATTTCTATATGGTATCATCAAAGACGTAAATCTATGGTACGCCCTCCCAACTATCTTCACGGGTATTTTAGAAGGCTCGTCTTTAAAGGGTGCCCATTATATCGTTGATATACTAGATAGGTACACAAACAATTATTTGTGCCAAAAGTTCCGATCACACCGCTGGTAACCCAGATGGTCGTCTTGAATACATTGAACTTACGGTCTAACCTGACTCAAGAATTATTCAATATTTTCGAGCCACTTTTCAACGTGCATCTCCTTTGGGTTACGCTGTACTTCCAAATCAGATGCTATTGGGCCTCTCTTCTTCGTCGGTGCCTTCCTGATCAAACCAAGAATGTTGGTATATGGGTCGTTCGCTGCAAGGATACCCTGTTGATCTTAGCCACTTAAATATCCCACGTGTGGCCACTTCGGAGAGTGTTTGCGACTATAAGTCATGGTTATAATCATCAAGCCCAGCCAATGTCTTATTAGCGGATGAAGATGATGAGCCCTGGATAGGAGGCTGGCTCTTTGCTGCTTCGGAACATTGAATTGAGCTTTGATTCGCCAAAATCCACTGGCAGCGGCGGAGTTCGCGTGTGTCTACTGGATGAACATCTTCAAGATAGCACGCGGATAAATCCTATGACTTAGCCTTGATGACAGAGGTCCGGTGGGTGAATTACTACAAAAATAATACCTTGATTGGCTCGAGGCTTTTAGTATTTTAGGGGGTGTTGTAAATGGCATCCAAGCAATGCAGAAGCTTGTCGTCATGCAAAATAGAGTCCACGAAAAAATTGAAGAGAGTTCAAAGGTGAAAAATAATTAGAGCGCGTCCGAATCTTCTTTCGCCTTTTGATCAACTTTTGACCATTTCCTAAACACTTGGCATTTTAAATTGGACGCTTACATATGACTTTATCTGTGAAAATGTGAAGTATGCACTTGATCCATCCATTAAGAATACAACAAATGCGGCTAGTGTAGTGTTGAATTAATAGCTGTGGTGTCGAACTAAAGAATTCTATCTCATAGCGCTTACACCACACAACAAACATTCTCATTTCAATTTTCGAGGATGAGGGTTTGTGCTTCATTCACGTGGTATGAAGATCCTGCCGAGACCCGCTAACAGCACCTGTCGATCGATTGCGGGGCGGAGGATGGGGAACCGAGGTTCTCATAAAGGTTGAAATCCTCCCGAGTTATGTGATTTTTTTTTATCCTATCACTCGCAGTGACATTGACAAGCCATGGAGACCATCCAAAACCACACTGGCCAAGTCATGGCCTTATGGATCGGAATCGTGAAGACCTACTCTCCGCAGAGAATAGAGTTTCTGGGGACGCTCCTAGTCCAAGTTCTGTCATTCTGGCTACCATCATTATTTTATCTGTGTCTAGATGCCATCGCACCATCCTTCTCTCAAAGACATAAGATTCAACCGGCTCCGAAACAACCCACGAGGCGCGACATCATGCGCTGCTTCCTTGTCGTGACACAAAACCAGATTCTGTCTTCTGTCTTGCATCTCGGTCTTCTTTTCGTCTCGAGTAAAGCAGGATCTCGCTCATCCTATCGCGTGGAGGCATCTCTGCCCAGTGCAGCTGAGTTCGCGCGAGACTTTCTCATCAGTATTCTCATGCGCGAGACGATGTTCTATTACAGTCACCGTTTGTTGCATGTACCGTACTTTTATCGGAAAATCCACAAGAAGCATCATCGCTTCACAGCTCCGATTGCGCTTGCCGCTCAGTTTGCCCATCCCCTTGAGCAGATTTTCGCCAACGCCTTGCCTATCTCGTTGCCCCCGCAGCTTTTGAGAAGTCATGTGTTGACATTCTGGGCATTTCTTGCCTGGGAACTGTTTAATACTGCCACGGTACATAGTGGGTATGACTTCTTCGACAACAAGGCGAAAATGCATGATTTGCATCATGAGAAGTTCAATTTGAACTATGGATCGGTTGGATTGTTGGATTGGGTACATGGGACGAACAAACTCGGCAAGCGACACTCTGAATAATCATAATGGCGTAAGCAATGATATGTGAGGAAGAATAAGAAGATAGAAACCTCCTCATTCTCTGCAGCACTCAATTCAAGAAGCCGTATGGCCCTCCTGGGGCCCCAGTGCCTGTAAGGTCCTTCAGAGTTCCTATAGTATGTAGCCGAAGCCGATACAATGTGAAATCGTATGGCAGTCTGCACTTCCCGATCCCCGCTAAACTTGGAATTCGGCCGAAAGTAAATGTTTATCTTATATGCATGGGCATCTCATTGGCGTCTCTTGCTTGGCATTACCCCATTCAAACAAAGGACCAGACTCTTGGGGATGAGAGATAGTGTCATCTTCCAAGCGAAACCATTTGTTATCCAGCACAAAACTACCCCAAGCCGTTTGAGATAGTAAGCCTCTTATCGTATTACCCCAACAAGTCTATTGGGGTAGCTTTCTATGAAAGAAAATCGTAACCTATTCTGACATTCCCTTATCAGCGGAGTAAGTAGTAAGTACTGATATGAGACCGTTCGGGAATCCCCTCCAGGGCTGCATACAAATATGTTGCGGGGACGCGTATTGCGCAAAAAGGAATCGGTGTGTTATCAAGTCCACCATTCGTACCAGCAATAATGGCAAAAGACCTTCAAGTCCTGCCACCCAGCGCAGGGTACGGCATTGTTATCGGCATTGGAGGCATTTTCGCCCTGTTCATGCTCAGCCTGACCTGGCTACAAAATCGATATACCCGATTCTCGACTCACCAAGCTGAAGAATTCAATACAGCGTCACGATCTGTCAAACCAGGACTGATCAGTGCTGGGATCGTCTCCTCGTGGACCTGGTCTGCAACTTTATTGACAAGTTCCACGTTCGCATATGAATATGGAGTCTGTGGACCGATGTGGTATGCCGCCACCGGGACATTGCAGATTCTCTTGTTTGGTTTGATTGCCATCAAGATTAAGCTTAATGCTCCCGGTGCGCATACGATGCCTGAGATTGTACTCTCTCGCCATGGCATGATAGCGCACCTGACGTATCTTTACTATGGACTTGCGACCAATATGCTTGTTGGCGCTTGTTTGGTTCTTGGAGGTGCACAGGTTGTGGGTGCTCTGACTGGTATGAGTGTTTACGCGGCGATTTTCTTGATCCCCGCTGTCGTCGCGGCATACGTTATTGCAGGTGGACTACGCTCTACTTTTATTGCTGATTATACACATACTGTTATTCTTTTCGTGGCCATCTTGGTTTTTGGGTTCTTGCTCAACGCCACCAGTGACTTGGTTGGTAGTCCAGCGAAGTTGTACGATCTTCTGCAAGAAGCATCGAAGACTATGCCGATCGCACGCAACACCGGGGGGTCTTATCTCTCATTTCGGTCTGTCGGGGGTCTCATATTTGCTTGCGATCTGTTTGTCGCTGGCTTTACGACTGTTTGGCTTGACCAAGCGTATTGGCAACGTGCCATTGCCTCGAAGCCGGAGACGTCCGTTAAGGCATACATCCTTGGTGGTATTGCCTGGTATGGTAAGTTGCTCTTGGTTCAACTTATCTCTCATTCAGATCTAACGAAGATAGGGATTCCATTCGGGTTTGCCACTGTCATGGGCCTAGGCTGTGCAGCGCTGACGGGCAACCCAAGTTTTCCTACTTACCCCAACCCGTTATCCTCTGCACAAGTTGAAGCAGGACTCTCGGCCCCTGCCACAGCGATCGCACTAATGGGCAAAGGTGGAGCCGTCCTAATGCTGATATTGCTATTCATGGCAGTGACCAGCTCCACATCCGCTGAACTGATCGCTGTATCGTCGCTGTTGACATTTGATGTGTACAAGACATACTACCGACCGAATACCAGTTCCGAAACTCTAGTCAAAGTCAGCCACTGGGCCATCGCATGCTATGCGATTGTTCTCGCCTCATTTTGCTGTATTCTGAATGCAGTCGGTATCAGTCTTACCTGGGTTCTAACCGTGTTGGGCGTCATTGTCGGTGGCGCTGCCCTTCCGGTTGGCATGATCCTTCTATGGGAGCCCATGTCCACAGTAGCGGCCATCGCTGCTCCATGGATTGCCTTCATCTGTGGCCTTATATGCTGGTTTATAACCGCATGGAAGCGCAGTGGTGCTATTACTGTTGCGACCACTGGAGATACTACCAATGCAGTAGCTGGAAACCTGGCGTCCTTTGGGATGGGATTCATCATGGCTGTTGTTTTGACATATCTGTTCCCGAAGAAGCATGCCCCTCCAACAGTGATTGTGGCCGCTGTTTCTGGCGTTCCGACATCCTCTAATGACGCTGGTCAAGACTCGTCTCCCCCTGTTGAGAACGGCGAGGAAAAGAGCGAGGCTGGAAAGGGCAATGTCCCTGCGAGCGCAACCGAAGTTGCGACCTCGACAATGAATGAGTTGGTAGAGTACCTCAACTCCAGCAATATTGAGCCTATAGATCCTGTCCTCGCACGAAAAGGCGAGCGCATTGCTTGGGTTGCTAACGCGATATTCTTTTTTGGCGCTGTTGTCATGGTTCCGTTTACGCTTTTCGGCACGGGCTATATCTACAGCAAACCCTTCTTCACTGGTTGGGTAGTTGTCTCCTTCCTCTGGATTTGGATCAGCGTTTTTATCTGTGTCGTTTATCCTATTGTAAGTCTCAACTCCTTGTTGCCTTAATATTTTGGTATTGACTTTTTTCCAGGTTGAAAGTGCGGGAGCTTTGGGAAATATATCGAAAGGGGTGTGGATGGACCTGAAGGCGTTGGGTGGGTACCGAAAGGAGAGGACCACGAGTCCTGTTCCTGCTTGATTGCTCCTATCTTATATATGTTTTGCTCGGTCCACGGTTTGGTTGTGTTCAAATATTTCACCGTTGGCCACATTGAAAGTCATCGTTGGTGACGCGATTGTACTAAGAATAGAATGACACCGTTTCACAGCCAAGAGCTTCACGTATGTGAGAGTTAAAATCACGTGCTCGTGTTCCCTCGCGTTGTCCCGGATTCATATTTCCGATTGCTGGTGGCAATGTAGCTCGTAAGACTGACTGCCATTGTTAAGACCTTTTAGGTACCCATCAAGTTGTCATCGCCATCAGCTCAACCTCCACATGCGTCACGCTGCCAAACATGCGACATGCCAAGACAATACTATGCGTCCAGGGTCCAGCCGAGCCCACTCAGAGAGTCAGACATATGACCTGTGCATTCGCCATCGAGAATAAAATAAACAAGAGCTATTAATGGACCTTGTACTTCTTGGTCGTACGGCATGTTGGCTCGGAACGACGGACTTATCCAGGGAACCCATGTCGAGCATCAAATACCAGCAAGTTGAAACTTTGAAAGACAAGTCTCAAAACAAATTGAATACCATAAGCTCAACCTTGAAAACCGATTCATCAGTTGCTAAAGGCCAAATTTCTAGCCCAGGGTCGTCAAGAAGTCCCTGACTTGCGGAAGCCCCTTGCATGATCGACGAGTAGGAAGATATCTCCTTATTTGCAACAAGTGTTGTACAATGTAGCAGCCTGCCAATCATCATGAGCCATCCCGCCCAGTGTTTAATAATCCTTGCTGTGGCCAGTGACTGTTACGCGCCAGGGTTAGCCAAGTCCCAAGTGGAGGGGTGACAAGCTCCTTTATAAGGTGCATAGCCCACCCTTTCCCATCCCTGCGTTCTTGAGCAACAGTCCTTCGTTCTTGCCTTTCACGCGCGACATCGAACTCATTCCTTTGCTCCTCGAGCTTCTCACATTCGTTCATTGTTGATTCAACCACACCATACTGTTTACTTGTTACCCTGACTTTACTAACCAATCCCATCCACAAAACAAGCCCGTCATCATGAAGGCTGGCATTGTTTCTCTCGCTGCAGCTTTTATGCTGGGTGCATCTCCTGTTTCTGGTGCCCCGTCAACAACCGAGCAACGCGACACCATTACCCCCATCACCGTCAAGGGCAATGCCTTCTTCCAGGGCGATGACCGCTTCTACATCCGCGGTGTCGACTACCAGCCCGGTGGATCTTCCAAGCTGACTGATCCCATTGCTGATGCCGACGCATGCAAGCGCGACATCAAGAAGTTCAAGGATCTTGGTCTCAACACTGTTCGCGTTTACTCGGTCGACAACTCGCAGGACCACGATGAGTGCATGAAGGCACTGGCGGATGCTGGCATCTACCTGGTACTTGACGTCAACACCCCCAAGTACGCGATCAATCGTGCCAGCCCCGAGAAATCATACAACGACGTCTACCTCCAGTATATCTTCGCCACGGTAGAGATGTTCGCCAAGTACGACAACACCCTGGCCTTCTTCTCTGGAAATGAGGTTGTCAATAACGGGGCTTCGTCTTCGGCTGCCCCGTATGTGAAGGCTGTCACTCGTGATATTCGCTCATACCTGCGCGCTCGCAATCTCCGTCACGTCCCTGTTGGATACTCTGCTGTAAGAGCCATCTTTCGATTGTATTAAAACTTCTTGCTAATATACTACTAGGCTGATATCGATACCAACCGACTCGAGATGGCCGAATACATGAACTGCGGTCCCGATGATGAGCGTAGCGACTTTTTCGCCTTCAACGACTACTCCTGGTGTGACCCGTCTTCTTTCACCGTCTCCGGATGGGACCAGAAGGTCAAGAACTTCACTGGCTACGGGCTCCCTCTATTCCTTTCCGAATATGGCTGCAACACAAACACTCGCAAGTTCGAAGAGGTCAGCTCTCTCTACTCGACTGACATGACTGGCGTCTACTCCGGTGGCTTGGTCTACGAGTACGCCGAGGGGGGCAACAAATATGGCTTGGTCAAAATTGACGGAAATGACGTGACGGAGCTCCCTGACTACAGTGCTCTCAAGACTGCTTTTTCCAAGACGGCAAACCCTAAGGGCAACGGAGACTATAACAGCACTGGTGGTGCCAATGGATGCCCGGCAAAGAACGCACCCAACTGGAACGTTGACAGCGATGCTCTCCCTGCTATGCCCTCTCCTGCCAAGAAGTACTTGACTGAAGGTGCTGGCAAGGGTGAGGGCTTTGAAGGCAGCGGTAGCATGGATGCAGGAACTGAGTCTACCACCACTGCTACTCCAGGATCTGGATCAGTTACTTCCAGCACCTCTAGCGGCACCAGCACCAGCTCCAAGGGTGCCGCGGCGGGACTACAGCCTCCTCACCTCGCCATAGCACCCATTGCTGTCGGCTTGGTGACTGCTCTCTCCGCCCTATTTGGCGCCAGTATTATCCTTATGTGATCCTTCTCGTTCCTTTGGCTCTGCGCGTATAACGCTATGTTGGCTCACACACGTTTGTACTTTTTAAGTCTATGACCTTTGCCCTTTATGGGACTAGCTAGCTGCTTTTGATGGTGATGTAAGTTGCGTTCAGACTGTACAGCAGACAAATCCATACTGCAACTCAATGAAATATGATATTCTGGACTAGCTTCGAGCTTACTCCAACTTTCTTTTTTGAAATAGTAATATTGTATTTGAATATCAATGTGATTCTAATTTACAGGCTTTAAAGGCATAGTCTCCACCATGATCGGCTTTCGTCGAAAGCCGTGCACCGGTATCATCCATTCGAGTCCATCATTCGTCAAAGGCATTATTCATTCCAGCAGCCCACTTCTGTCTTCTTGCACGGGACGACACAAGCATGTCAAGCTGTGTCCACACTCGTCCACGCGACCTCTAAAATTGACGGTCTATTCAAAATGACCTCAACTTCAACCCAGATTGATGAAAATGAAATCCATCCGTCTCAGAGTGGAGAGCCCAGCACAAGCCCAGTGTTGAAGTCTTGCTCTTCGCATCCCCACTCAAACTCGCAGAAACAGACGCGCCAATGCGGCTCAAAGTAGATTTGTTCAGTTGTTTCAAAATCCACTCCCCGGTCTGCATCAACTTGGGCAAATCGACACCCGTTTCAATCCCAGCATCGTGGAACATGCTCACAAGGCTTTCGCTGGCGACGTTCCCCTTTGCTCCTGGTGCAAATGGGCATCCGCCAAGACCACCCACGCTACTGTCGAACACGCGAATCCCGGCTCGATACGCTTCGCAGACGTTCGCTGCTGCTTGTCCGTACGTATCATGGAAATGGCCAGCAAGATTGGTGAGTGGGATATCGTTTTGCGTTAGATATGTCAATAAACTGCGGACGTTGGATGGTGAGCCCACGCCTAGTGTGTCGCCGAGGCTCACTTCGTAGCATCCGGCGTCGAGGAGTGATTTCACGCAGCGAAGAACTGATGCTGGTGATGTGGGACCATCATATGGATCCTCGAAGATGCAAGATACATAGCTGTGGTTGTTAATGCAATGCTCCAGATAGCTTGGTGCTGGTACTTACCCTCTCACAACCATATTAGCTTTCAGCGCTAGTGAAGTCACTTCCTTTGCTCTCGCAATCCCCTCTTCAACGCTGCAGTTGATATTTGCTTTGCTGAAACCCTCCGTCGCACTGATGAAGACAGCTATCTCCCTCACGCCGTGTTGAATAGCAATATTCAGTCCTTTGATGTTAGGAACTAGGACTGGCAGTCGTAGACTGGGATTTGTAATCGACTGTTGTACTCGATCATTCCCCAGGACATCGCGACAATCCGAAAGTTGAGGCACAGCCCTTGGCGAAACAATCGAAGTCAGCTCTATAGTGCGAAGCCCACATTCCTGAAGCCGTTGAATCAGCTCCAGCTTTGTCGCCGTGGGAATATTGTCTCGAATGTTCTGTAGGCCGTCGCGCGGACCTACTTCGACGATACGAACCGCCGCCGTTTGAATCGTCATGGTGGTGTGTAGGACAGCGTGTAGAGTGTAAAATGCATGAGAAGTGAGGCTTATCAGTGAGTTTGGCAGGTGTTCGTCATTGATCGTGAATGTCACCTTGGCCCCCGATCCACTTTCAGCCCGTAGCCGTACACCTCGGCTCGGATGATCGGGGCCGATTTACTCCCCCGCAAAAAAAGGTTGGGGGTTCCACTCCGATGGGATCCGAGGGGTACGGACTCGGACTACAAGTAACAGCGTTCGCCTCTTTAGAAGACGCGACGCGGCGAAATGTTTTTTCTAATTTTAGTCCGTATTTCTTAGGTGAGAAATACATTGAATCCGAATGGGGCGTGGCTCGGAACAAAGAATTCGGCCCCCGAACTACTATTTTTGAGGTTATACTGGGTGTGTGGCCCGCCTTACCATGGTTCGCTGCCCGATAAACTCAAGTGTTATACCTTCATTAGAATGGATGTAACGTTTCGCAGCCCACCGTATTTGAGTTGCTGATGTCAATAGGATCTCGCTTAATCATCCATTATCCTTGTCAATCATAGACAAAGGATAATGAGTTTGTATCTTCAGTGGCTTGGCTCAATGGTGCTAAATTGACGGTTTCAGCCGCAGCGGGTGCTTGAAGCATCAACAATGTGGTAGGATAGGTCAACTTCAATTCGCAGTTGACAACAATCAATCTGAATACAAAAAAGAAACAGATTGTGAACATTAGCGTAGATCGTGTGAGAGACAAAGCACAGGGGACACTCGCTCCTACACAAATTATGCTAGCGTGACCACACCCACATAAAGCCCATCTCAGCTGCAGGCACCTGGCCCTACTCGGAGCCGCTGAGCTCGATGAGTCAGCCTATTGGCAACTCGAGACGGGCACGGGGAACAGAGCCTCATCAGAGAGGAAGATATTCGAAGGTGAAGGAGCGGCCTTATCCTCAGGAATCACTACCAACCACTAGGAGCTGTTTCAGGTATCCTAAGCGGGTAATCATGGCTTAGCAGCCGATGAAGGAGTCAGCTGACTGGACGAGGTCCAAATCGATCCATATGCATAAATGTTGCACGTGGACAATTCTGCATTTCAGAGGAGGCTGAGAGGATTGAGAATTTGACCCGAAAGATCATAAATTATTTGCCTTTACCAGCTGAACCCGATTAAATGTCTACTATTGCTTCCGAGGACTCCACATGTGCATTACCGGACCAAAGCGATGGTTAAGTACGTGGATGCACGATTTCTGTAATCGATTATATCTGAACCCACCCAAATATACAGTCAACTCCCGATTATGGTACGGCGGGTTATAGAACACTTCCGCTTATTATACACTCGCTTATAGAACACTCACCGTTGTACACCCCCATTTTTGCTAAGTCATCTGCTTGGTCAGCTCTATAACCGATCAGAATGCCTGAATACTCTACAACTCCCCCTGCCAAAGTGCGTCAGGCCAGCCACCCAAGCACCACCACTTGAGCTCTATATAATGAATTACCTAATGAACAATGTTAGTGATTTAGATACTGTATATTTTGAACAACTTTTAGACTGTATTCGAGGAAGACATGGAGTGTAAACCTAAATGGGCAATAGGGTATTATGTCATCCTCTCAGTTATTGTACCTCTCACTCATTGTACACAATTTTCCTTGGATGGTCGATTGTACTATAAGCGGGAGTTGTCTGTATCTTCTATGGCAAAGATCTGCGCTACAAAAGCCGATACAGGAGACAGGGTGAAGATCATGTATGCAGGTTGCTGCGGCATTGATAGATATGAAAAGTTCAAGACCTCATGGTAAGCTTCAACCAACAAGCAGCAACTGAACATATGCCTTACAGGTACTTGGGGCGAAAAGTGCTCCATTAACTTACGGTACTTAAGAGGCCATAAATCATGGAATAGACCGAAAAGAATCCACGGCAATAGTTATGGGTGCGATACCTAGTCGAGGGATATTTCCTGTGTAACTGAACAAGGCAATCATATTATGTGTAGGCTACTTCATCATGCATGGTTAAAGAACAACTAGACTTCTTATTCCCACATGCTGCGATCCACCAATTGTGATGAGGTGGGCCCCACTCGTTGCCAAGGTGCGTAGGGCTGTGTTGTACCCAATGCAACATGTTCTTCACCGACAGGATCTGATCGGTGCCCATATGCACCAATGTTGATTTGCGAACTGAGGGAGGAGTATCTATTAGTGACATCACAAAAGTCCCTATCTCGCCATGAGTCCCGATGTCTCTAGATGTGGATCGATCTCCTCACTCTATTGAAATATGGAGGTGATATGGACTTTGAATTATATATTAAAGTGATTTAAATCCAACCTATCTCCATGGTTCCGAGATGAAGAACTCAGTTCTATCACTTCTACTCATCTTTTTCCTGGTTCTGACACAAGCTATTTCACGATTTAGTCCTGATTTGAAAGCAATAGAATATGTCGCAAGAACCATACCCTGTGTGAGCTCATTACTCCCATCAGTAGTTTATATAGGAAGCTAATATGCATTTTATCTAACAATTTAGAGCAGCGGCATCCATTCCCTCGGTTACCTTCACAAACTACTGAATCGCCTTCAACATCGTCAATTATCGAATCACGATCTGTTACAGCTCCTGTTAGCAGTCCAGCAAACTTGCCAAGAGGTGGGAGTCGATAGTTGAACCACTATATGTGAAGTGCAATGTTATGCTACACAAAAGCGGAAAGAGTTTGGTCACTGCTCTCTTTCGTCAAGTCCCTGGACGGAAGACTGCACTGGGACAGGGAAACCCAAAGGTGGATCGGTAACCTTCCCAAGGTCCTTCCAAGGTCGGAACTTTTCGAATTAGAACACTCAATGTCAGCAATATAGGTACATACACAAGAGACTATAGCCATACTTGCATTTCGTCAAAATCACTACATCCTAGCACTTCGATTCCAATCATTGTATCCAACATCTACGAGCTTACAGTCCTTGAGGATAAAACATACAAAATAATTGCGACTACCGCGAGTTCGATTCCCTCCAAATCAGGCACTAAGTTAAAGTTCCATGACTAAATAATCTTAGCTTAATTGGTATAGTGGCCTTTTTTCCGCGACTATTGAACGCGTCAGTGTAAACGAATTACGTTGCAGGAGTCCGGTGTTTCAACCTGTTTTTTTTTGTCTTTCCTTCTCTTTCTCAATATTAACACCTTGTTTCTATAAAATGCCATGTTTCGCCTCGACGTTAATCACATGGTGCACTGAATCTGAGGTTGTAAAGGATGAAAGTGCAAAAGCTGAGTTTTGTGCGATGATGCTTTACCATTTAATACTAGATCTGGACCTCGACCTTATCCTTCTTCACTGTAGTGCTAATGACTACGTCACTTTGTAAATACTAAGCCTTTGTTTTCACTTTCTTTTTCTTCTGCTTCTAATGAAATGTCCAATTCTTCATTCACCGCATTCTAACAATAATTCTCTGATTTTCTGCATCGATCTCCTAAATTGCAACATGCCAAGAAAGCACGTACCATTTCCACAGCTTGACCGTGACGCCTTCTCAGCAGCATGTGTACTGTGTGGTGTAAGGATCCTGGCGATAGAACGCGCAACGAGATCTATCTGGCCGAGGGCTGTTCACAAAGAGGATGAATTTGAACGTCATCGCGAAAACCGCCTAACTCGCTAGCATGTTCTAGTGCCGTCGGCTGAAGTCGAGAATGCGAATGTCACCAGGTTTCCTTGGTTAGCATCCTGCTATTATCGAGCAGGTAAGCCACGTTTTGTCAAGCCTCGTATCTCAAATTAAGTGATCTTCTAGTGGTGCAGTCTCCCTCTTCTTCAGAGTGGCATCTCACAGGCATTGGTTCATGTCCAGAATTCGGGTGGTTTCCTTTTATGGCTCCCAGGAATAAAGATACTGCCCGTATTTGTGGTAAGATGCAGGTAAAGCAGTATAATAATGTGCTATTCAGGCGATTTTACAAAGCAAAGGTCCTATCACAAACACAACCAAAATGCTACAAAGACCAGAATATTGGATACTTCTTCCATTCTCACTGTTGGCAGGTCTTGGGTCATCTTCTAGGGCATGACGTGATTGAGAATAATCTTGGTACCGTTATTCTGTCCGTCAGACAATATTGGTATGAGCGTTCGTTGAGGTATGTGAAGCATTCAGATGACGGAGGGCTTGATATCGTGGACTGGGATCTCCTTCAGCGCGGGCATTTGTACAAGAAGGGTGCGTACACGAAGTACGCCTACGGTTGCGATATCCACCGAAGCCCTTGGGTGGTGCCTGAAGTTCAGAATATAATCAAGTTAGCTCGAGTCCAAAGGAGAGATCGGAGGAGCCCTCACCTCAACAAACTGCAACTCGAAATTTGTCTCCTCGTGTTGGAAGTCATTTGCCCTCCTGATTTCACTCAATGGGATGTGCGGAACACACGCATCATGTTATCGGTGTTTGCATTGGATGTACCTGAATCCTTTTGAAGAAGCCGGTTACAAAATAATCATGATTTGTTCTTTTGAGTTGGATCGTGTTAGAAATCATAATTCTTTGAACTGGCAATGCGTGTGGCTAGGTTTGTTGGATCTTCTTGCCGATCATACTTGGTTTATATCCAGCGGCTTAGCAACCCGCAAACGAGCACTTCGGTCGATCAAGCCAATTGTGTCCAATTTTGAAAAGCTTCGTTGTGTGAAATGATTTTGCCGAGCATTTGAAGTGAGAATTGATATTTACACCTGATTTGCTATTCGTGCTCTCCCAGAAAAACGCTATCTAGCTATAATCATGTCTTTTCATTATAAGGCCACGTTCTTCACTCTAGAGTCAGAGATTTGCAATTTTGCAATTGATCATCATCAGGATACTTGACGCTACCCTCAATGAAGCGGTAGATTGAAGTCATGATCAGTCTACACTCGTGATTTCTCAGAGCATTGGGTCTAAATTTTAGTCTATTGGGCTCGACTTGGCACTGCGCCGCTGAATTCAAGGGCAAATTGATACACACTATCCCGCAATTGATGCTTAAATCTTTTTTTTTTGATTTGTCAATCGATAGCGGCTTTATCTCCAACCAATCCCTATGACCAAGTTCTGGTCTGTAGCAAACTCCAAGCTGCGAGCCCCTGTTATCATATTGCGCGATATAATGGGGACGAAGGAGAGCGGCGGTCTCTGTCGACGAAGTGATCGCAAAGCCGGTAACTCCGAGGCTTCCGGCCCGAGACAGCCTGATTGCCACGTATAAATAGGGCCTTACACCAGGAAAATTCTAATATTTCTTGCAGTTGTAGTGAGCTTTTCAAACAACAGCCTGAACAGGATGCGCCTCTGTTAACTTTCGATGGCTAACATGGAGCTGAGTGGCCGTTGTGGAGTTTGGTTATGCCCACGTCCTCTTGGAAATGCTTGTGAGTATATTGGAATTATCACCGTTCACTAACCGCAATCCAAGAAGATAAAAATTTACAAAAAAAGAAAGGCAACGAGGAAAATGAACAGACATACAACCACATTTGACCCCAATGTCACCCGGGTGAGAAATTCCCCAGCACTTTAGTGGGAATCACGAGCAGAAAAGAAAAATCAAGCTATCAATTCCACTAGGAGCGGTCCATGACATACAGCGGAGATCGCGATATCCAGATTCGACTAGGATTACATGCAGCGGGTGAACACGAGCCTCTTCCCCGGGGGCCTCTGTAACGGTAAACGAGGGCACCAGACTCTACTGAGAACAAATCTGGTGTGGACAAGTGTTCAGCAGAGCAAGCAGGATCAAGTCGTATTTTGGAAGATACGGTGTGAAAAAAATCGAGCTCGCTTGGTCGGAAATCCAAACAATTGGAAAAGAAAAATGCCTCAGGTATACAAAATGGCGCATACTGAAGATCCGGCTGTGGAGATCCTGCAAATTACATGGCTGGTTTTGCGGGCCCTAAATTGTGCATTCCATCGTTTTATGATTGGAGTAGGTTGGAGCTTATTATTCCTTAATTTTGCCTAATTTTATTTTCTTGTTGCCGCGTAGGTGCGATCAGTTTTTGGGCGTTTCCGAGGTCTGGGATCCGGTGTTTCTGTGTTCAGGTTCTCGAGTTCTCAGGTTCCTGCGGAAATCCCAAGTTTAGGAAGTTGGAAATTCATGTGTGGTATGACATAGTGTTCCCTTGTGAGACGGAAATTAACTCCAAATCCCAAGGCTACAGCGGGTGTCTAGAAATTCAGACAACGCAACGCCACTTAGCCGAACGCGATGCACAGCCACCTCCAGTTAAATTCTTACCTTCGCGTGGTCTGTGTAGCTCAAGTGGGGGTGATATCATTCCCTGCAACTCACCAGCCCCATTGTGAACCGAGCGGCCGTTTCGTCTGCCGAGCAAAAAAGAAAGGGAACCATTCATCGATTGGCGATTGCCTAGTTTCTGGGTTCTGCTAGTATTTTTTTTGTTGGTCCCCGCCCTCGGGACATGAGCCATCCCGAGTTCAGACGGGATAAGTATGAGGCATTTGTAGATGAGATCTAGGACCGATCTGGCAGCCCGGAAGCGCATCAAAGGGGCCGGGTTAGTCAACGGAGTGGAAATGGGAAATGAATTTTCATTTCCAATTCCCGTACATTTTCCATTTTGCATTTTTTCGGTCTGCTATCACCAGGCAACCGAGACAAGAAATCCCTCATTCTTGTCTATGAAAATTTTCTCTTCCCGCCCTGTCTAGAGCGTTATCCCTCGTGTAGACCCACCTAGAGAAAAAGTCGCAATCCATGCCATTTGAACTTTTGCACTGGTCCAAGCTCCTGGGATAATAGTAAAACAAAAGTAAAAATTCAGATCAAACGCATGGAACCCCTCCCGAAACGCATGCACAGTCCCACCTGAAGGCGATCCTGTGGCTGTGAAATCGAATCAGTGTCGTTGGTTGGTTTTCACGACACACAAAAATTGCCCTATACCACTCTATACCTGTGGAGCCAGGCAATCCGTGTCGTAGTATGTCATTGCTCCCAATGGGGGGCCCCAGTCCTACCGTAAGAAATACATGGGACCTGGATCTAGTGCGAATGAAAGGGTATATAAGCTCACCCGACCTGCATCTGGTTCATTCATTTCATTTTACTAAGGGATGCTTATCGACGGTCAAAAGTGGGCTTGTGAAGCTTGCATTCGGGGCCACCGTGTGTCGAGCTGCAAACATCATGGTACAGTGCCCTTAACTTTCCCTTTGCTTTTCTTTTCTTTTTTTTTTTCTTTTTCACCTTCGTCTCTTTCCAATGTTGAAACCTAGAAACTGGCAGTGTTGATCTATATGCTAACTATTCAGATCGACCGTTGATTCGCATAAAGCGCAAAGGTCGCCCCTTCGCTACATGCTCCATCTGCCAGGCTACGCCCTGCGAATCCCCCACAGACCACGCTCGCCAGAAGCGCGAGACAGAGCTCAAACATCCAAAAGTAACGCAAACACAACAAATTCACATGCCGTTCCGTTTAACAACACCGGATTGGCACATCTTCGCTGAAGATATGCAGACGGCGTGTCGCTGATCGCTTTTTGGTTTTAGAAAGCTTCCCACGCTAGACTTTATCCGCGGCACCACAATCCAAACGGTTTCCAGCCCATTGCGCCGAGACCGACGGCCGGTGCGAAGAGGGATTTGCATTCGAAGAGGCAGGGGAGGGGCGAGAGATCTGGGTCGACTTCTACTTCGGCTGAGGATTCAAATTCGAATACCACCGCCGTTGGTGAAAGGGAGCGACTCAACTCTTCTTCTTCTTCCCAGATGAATATTGCTTCTAATGCTCCCGCCACTGCCGACTCCGTGTACGGAGAGGGCTATTGGTCTGGCTCTGAGACCTCTGGGAATGAGTCGAGTAGTCGGACCCTGTCTGCTGCTACTGCTACTACTGAGAGCCCTACCGGTGGAGTTGGTCCGAGTGAAACTCTTTCCCACTCTGCATCGGGGACCTCTGTCATTGACCCTACTATTATGGGGAATACTATCTTTGACCCCATGTATTCGCTTCTGCCTTCTTCGTCCGCTGCGTTGACGCAGCCGGGTCCACTGGTTAGTCCGCTTGACAGTGCTAATCCGTTTGAGTTCCCTTTGGATCCTGGGTTGACTGTGAACGGTACAATTGGGTGTCTGGAGGATATGGATTTGGACATCACGGAGGGATTGGAGGAGGTGTTTCATGTAGAGGATTGGTCGCGGTATATGTGGTCGCCGGAGACTGGGTTCGAACATTTAGATATGGGGTATCCCCCGGTGACGCGATGACAATTAAGTGTCCCTGTAGGGAGTTAATGTCATGATGATTATGAATTATGAGTTCACACGGTCTCACCGAAGCTGGAAGACAATTTGGGAGGAATGACTAGTCGAGGAATGAAGAACCTGAGAATATTTAACTACAGTAGACATGCAAACACCGATTGAATGTTATGATAGATGCTATTGACTTAAATGCAACATGAACAACCCGCCCTCAAAGCTCCTTGCTGATGCAGACAGGGCTGAGGGACACAGAACGCCATATGGCAAGAGGCGAAAGAGAAACTTAGAACGCAGAACGCAGCACCAAAATTCACCATACAACCCTCTCTCACTATACTGAGGCTATCTACAATGCGTCTACGCCTCCTGGATATAATTCGCTGGGACGCTCTTCGTGACCCCACCCCGCTCCACATCTGCCCAGCCATCTCCGCTGTCGCGATTGATCAAGACGAATCTATCCCCCTCTGTCATGTTCCACTCCATATCACTGCGGGCCTCGTAGTCATACAACGCCTCCACATATTGGAGTTTCTTGGCCCCCCTACGCGGCGCCACTGCCGGACCCACTCGTTTCGGAGCTGCCAGCGAAGCAGACGAGTTTGAGTAGACAGACCCCGGTCGATCTGGTAAGCCCGAGCTAGCTGACGGGACTGGAGAGGGGGCTGGTGCCGCTTCAACGTAAGACGCTGGCACAAGGCCATCTTGACCACCAATGCTAACACGCAGCCAGCCGGATCCATCTGTAGACAGTCAGATTATGTTCTTTCAGCTCTAATCCCCCCCGCAGAACTTACCATCGGCTTCAACGATTGTCACATTATCTCCATCGTGTACCGTCACCTCGTCGGGGCCAGTGGCTTCGTAGGAGTATAGCATCTTGCCCTTGGACTTGGACGGTGCAGCTGGCTCGGGAGATGACGCGGTAGTGTATGCAATTGGAGGGGGTGCCATGATTCGGTGTTTCCGACCAGTGTTGGGCTTGGTCTCAGCGAGAGTGGGAGGGGCTTCATCTGTTGGGTCTTCAGGTGTAGGTTGCGTGGCCACATTGGATACCGAACGGGCTCCACTAGCCGCATAACCTGAGCTCAGAGAGTTCATAGTATTCTGGCGAGTAAGGGATGGCGCAGTGGTCGAGGCTGCGGAGGATTCAAGATCAACAGTGGGCACCGCACCGGCTTGCTCTTGTCTAGCAGCTTTAAGCTTCTTCTTTTCCTCCTTCGATTGTTCACCAGGGCACTCTGCTGGCACCTTCATCTGACATTTGCTGTGACATGTGTAGCCACAGTCCTGGCAATCAAAGCCCTTGGCAGACAATCCCCAGATACGATCACCACAGTAGTCACAGTTGGTAGGGATTTTGAATGTTTGCGATCGGAAATTATGATTTTGCGCCCCGACAGACAAGTCCCCCACCGCCGCGATGATGGTAGACGTTTCAACCTCGGCCGTCAGCCATTTGCGGTCCACTTCATGCAAGCTCTCCTGCCACTGGAAGATGTTCCGCACAATGTCAAGCTCATTGCGGTTGTCTTTGCCTTGTCGAATATTGTCTCTGATCTTTTTGCTACCCTCAACCTCACGCTTTCTTCGATCTGACTCCACACGCAACTCACGTACTTGCGCTTTGCTTTGGCCTAGCAGATTGCGCAGGAAGACTTTAGCAGCGTCATCGGTGATGAGAGAAGCATCATCAGACCAGACCGGACTTGGTTCGAAGCCCATATTGGCAGGTTCTTGGGTCTGAATGGCGTTGTGCTGCAGGAACATCATTGAATCTAGTCGAGGATCATTGCGAGGGATCTCAGTGAGGAGGCTTGCGGCATTGTTGACGCTATTAGTGAGGCATGTTTTCTCTAATTGGGTGGCAAGAGTCCACAAAGAATTCAACTTTATCACTCGAGTCTCATTAAGGTCTTGCAGTCCCTGAATCATTATGAGTATTTGCGATTAAAACATCCCATCCAGCAGTGCGACTTACATCCAGAACCTCCGGGACATATTCGTGGAAGAATTTCTCCTTTGACTTGTTCGTCACATTGATACTGAGTAGGTATAGGTTCTATTGGGTCAGTCATAGCTTGCAGCTTATCTCTGTGAGACATACCTTGTAGTTGTTCATCTCCAATAATTGTTGCTGGAATGCGCTCTGCGCCTTGGTCTTGCCATGGTCAAATGATGAGTCCATCTTCTTGCGCCGCGACTCGACCTCCTGACAAGCGCCATCATATTTCCCCTTGGCCTTTTTCAGTTCCCCGTATGAGGCGTCCCGCTCTTTCTCAAGCTTACCATGGTAATCCGCATGGCATTTGCGAATCTCCTCATACTGCATGGCCGCCTGCTTCAGCGGTTCAGCAACATGGGTGACCAACTCCGTTCCAAACTTGTCGCGCTCGGCCGCGTTCGACTCTACTGTTGCCAATTGGGTCGACCATGTTGTAAGGGAGGCGCTTTCGAGGGAACCAGGGGTCATAGTCGGGGTGTCACCGACACTTAATGGGCTGATTTTCTTTGCTTTTCGATCCTGGTATTTCTTGCACAGAGCAGAGAGTCTGGATGCATATTCCTTTTCTATGGCGCTGCGTTCGCGGTAAAATTGTTGGATTTCTTCGAGCCATACTATGCCATTAGATACCTGTGCAACGTGGTTGCATTAGCTCCGCCCCCGAAACGTGGTTATATGACGCGCTGCGTTGCGGGGAACGAGAAGGCCGGTCCGGGACATACCCAAGCGTTGACTGGTTTGAAAGAGTCCTACGGAGAGGAGAACATTAATAATAAGAAACTCGACTGTCATTTCGGAGTTCATACCTTTAGTTCCGCTCCAAACTGGGGAGTCACGTCTGCTGCCGCCATGGCTGTCTAGAGACCGAAGGGAGATCGCGCATGAGCTGGAAGGAAAGAGCCAGTGCCAGTTGTGCAAATCAAAATTGACTGGAGGTAGCCTTGGACCCGGCTATGAAATATAAGAAAGGATCGAGGCTCAGAGAAGGTGGAAGCCAATGGGGCAGCAAGGACGATGATCTTAGAAGGCGGGGAGCAGCATCTCCGGTGCCTGTGACGATACGGTATCGTTATCGGGCATTTGGGGGCGGCAGTACGATGGTAATACACTTCCTGTTTAGGCCTAGCTCCTGGAGTTCCGTCATTTCTTCGAAGCTCGTTGTTCTGTTTTTTGCCCGCAACATCTCTTCCTTCACTCGCCTTTCCCCAATTCAGTGGTGTTGGGCTTATTTTCGAGCTTCATTCACTGCGGATAAATCTCATTTCTTTTTTTCAGCAAAGTGTCTGTGGGCCCCACCTCCCATCGATTCTTCCGTACCCCGCGAGACCCCTCCACCTCCAACCTTGGACTCCCCGAACATTGTGTCGCAACCCCAACTACATCATGTCTGACAATCCCGAGACTACTCCTCAGAATGGAGGCTCCCTTGCCGACCGTATCTCCAAGCCCGACGCTCCCCCTGCCGGTACGAAGATCACAACACATGAACACCCGCCATCACCATGTCATAAAGGCACGGCTCCTATATCGAGCGATTAAACTAATCAGCTATCTCTACCTTTCTAGGTACCTCTGATGCTCCCCAGGATGGTGCGGGTGGTGATGCCTCAGGCTCAGCCCTCCAGGAGCCAGACTACTCTGTCGAGGTCAAGCTGAGTGACCTGCAGGCGGATCCAAATAACCCTTTGTTCTCCGTCAAGACGTTCAATGATCTTGGCCTGTAAGTATTCTGTACCCTGGTACACATAACTATGGTAACGATGATTCCAGGGATGAGCGCATCCTCAAGGGCCTCTCCTCCATGAACTTCCGCCAACCCTCCAAGGTTCAGGAGCGCGCCCTTCCCCTTCTCATGGGCAACCCGCCGAAGAACCTTGTTGGTCAATCTCAATCCGGTACTGGCAAGACTGCCGCCTTCGTCCTGAATATTTTGAGCCGCATAGATCTCTCCACCCAGCAGTCGCAGAGTACCCCCCAGGCTCTGATCTTGGCTCCGACCCGTGAGCTGGCACGTCAGATCGTTGGTGTCATTCAATGTATGGGCCAATTCCTCGACGGATTGATTATTGGTACCGCTGTACCTACCGACGCTGCCGCTCGCCCGTCCCAGATGGATTGCTCCGTCGTGGTCGGCACCCCAGGTACCGTGCAAGACATGATCAAGAGGCGTCGATTGAACCCTACTCAGCTCAAGGTCCTTGTGTTGGATGAGGCCGACAACATGCTGGACTTGCAGGGTATGGGTGATCAGTGCATCCGTGTCAAGGCGTAGGTTGCCCATTTATCCCAGTCTCATTGTACTTTGCTTACAAGACGTGTAGGATGCTTCCCAAGACCATCCAAGTTGTTCTCTTCTCTGCAACATTCCCCGCCCATGTCTACCGCTACGCGCAAAAATTTGCCCCAGAGGCCAACGAGATCACTTTGAAGCATGATGAATTGACCGTTGACGGCATCAAGCAGCTCTACATGGACTGCAACAACGAGGAAGAGAAATATACCAACCTTGTGCAGCTCTATGGTCTGCTGACCGTTGGCTCATCCATTATCTTCGTTCGCGTAAGTAGCAACTGACCGTTTCACCATTGCCTATGCTAACGACAAATTTAGACTCGCAAGTCCGCTGAGGAGATTGAGAAGCGCATGGTTGCTGAGGGGCACACTGTGGCCTCCCTGACCGGTGGCATCGAGGGCTCTCAACGTGACGCTGTTATTGACTCCTTCCGCAGTGGAGAAGCCAAGGTTCTTATCACTACCAACGTCCTTGCTCGTGGAATTGACGTCTCGACTGTTTCTCTGGTGGTGAACTATGATATTCCTGAGTCCTACCAGTCTGGTTCGCGCACTACTGAGCCTGACTACCAGACCTACCTTCACCGTATCGGTCGGACCGGTCGATTCGGCCGCATTGGTGTCGCTATCTCGTTTGTCGCGAACCGGGATGAATGGGAGATGCTTCGCATGATTCAAGAGCACTTCGGCTGTACTATTGATCGCATCGACACCAGTGACTGGGACGAGGTTGAAGAGATGATCAAGAAGACCATCAAGAACTCGCGTGCCCAGGCCAACTTTGCCACCGGGCAATAGTTGACTCATGAAATGTAACGATCTGTGAAGATTTGAAATCTTCCAACAGGACTTGAAACCTGCATGTTCAAGTAAAATAAGATACCAATTTACGAAATGATAGCAAAATTATCAAATTCTACCTTTCCAATCAACTCAACAGCTGACCGAAGCTCACACGCACATTTAAGGTTGCTGGACCCTATCTATGCATAGGAATTGACGTGTCTTGCGCCTTCCCAGCAGGCATTTGCCTCTGTTCATCACATCTACCTAGTCACATAGCCCATCAGCTGCGCGGATATCATTTTCTAACGTTACTGAGTGTTCTGATGTGAACTGAGACTTTTCATACAAAGAGGGGCTTGCTTCTCTGACCCTTTAAATCTTGTAGAGCGTGCGTGGTCATCAGACACACTCGCTCCACCTTCTTGTTGTTACACGTGAGCTCACCTTCCAACATTGGAACAACCTCGGGTTGGGAAGCGTCGAGTCGGTATAAGATAGAACGAAGCCTGTCATTATCAATAGGTTTCCAAGTCTCTCCATTGAGAAGAACTAGAACTTCTGTTCAGCCTATGGCGCAAAAGAGGGAGGCTGGAAAGCCCTAAGAAATAGCATATTGTATATCATGAATGTACTTGAACCCTGAAAGCTCACCAAAGTTGACATCTCACCTCAAGAATTGAGTCATTCTAAGGTCCTACATATCAAACTAGGCTTGGTCTTGTGCAACACGGTCACTTAATCTGCTCTCGCACGTTGAAAAGCACCCCAAGGAAGAACATCTGTTTTGGTGGACGCCCATTTCGGGCTCCACGCCGAGATGCCGAGACTAAGTGGGGGGATGGGTCGATCGCTGACCGCGGGTTGAATAATATACCAATGGGCCCCATCTTCTCTCACTTTAGTATAAAAATTCTCAGGTAACAAAACTTCATGAAATAATAGGAGATATCAACGATGCGAACCAAGAGAATCTCCCAAACAATGACGCATAGATAAGCCGATAACAGTGCGGGGGAAGTCACATGGTCCTGCGCTGCCCGATTGCAAACAAACCGGCTCCGCACCTTGCACAAGATTTCTCTCTTTGACACACTCTCTTATTCAGGATGGGAGACCCAGAGACTGCTTCCAATATGCCAGAGCTAACTCCTCAATCGCCGACTTCACCGAAGTCGCGAATCAGCAAACATATCATCGTAGGGACATGTCTGAAGGAGCTATTCTAGGCATTTAGCGGTGAAGATGCTAATTCCCTGCCTAGTTGACAACGTACCCCGGCCAAAGTGGAATCGAACCCGTACCGTTGGAATGGGGAGCATCGGACGCGAAATCTCGCGGCCCGGTCGTGGTTTCTCGCAGCGGAAACCTGGTAAAACGTCGCAATGCTATCGGCGCCCACGGAGGCAGTTACAGCATTTATAACGCACTCGCTATTGCAGCTGGCGATTTGGATGCAGACTTCAAACCTGATCTGCGGAATAGTCAGCCTGTCTTCAATTTCCCGTGGCAGGCTGCTTGGGCGGATAAGACGAAGATTGTGTCGATGGATCCGTATGGTCATGATATTGTGAACCAGTACAAAGAGGAGTTGCAGGCTGGATGGGATATTAGACCTACTATGGCCGTCACCAGGGCTAACATGAAATTGGCTGAGATTGCTGATGCCGTGCGCGATGGTCAATTGGAGGTGGATGGTAATATTGTTGTTGACTCTTCGGGTGAGGTGCGAGTTACTAAGGTCGCCATCGAGCCGGTATGGTATCTGCCTGGTGTGGCTGAGAGATTTGGTGTTGATGAGGGCACACTTCGTCGCCATCTGTTCGAGCACACCGGTGGTAGCTACCCAGAGCTTATCACACGCCCTGACCTCAAGGTATTTCTACCGCCAATTGGAGGTCAGACTGTCTATATCTTTGGACCACCGGAGCGAATCTCTGATGAAAACGTGAAATTGTCATTGCGCGTCCACGACGAGTGCAATGGAAGTGATGTTTTCCAGTCGGACATCTGCACATGTCGACCCTACCTAGCCTTCGGTATCCGTGAAGCAATCCGCGAAGCACAGAATGGTGGCAGTGGCGTAGTCATTTACTTCCGCAAAGAGGGTCGAGCATTGGGTGAAGTCATCAAGTATCTGGTGTACAATGCGCGCAAACGTGGCGGAGACACTGCGGACAAGTATTTCACCCGAACTGAAAACATTGCCGGCGTGCGAGACGTAAGAGAACCCTCTATTTTTCCTGGCGCGAGCTAACATCCATGATTTTAGATGAGATTCCAAGCACTCATGCCTGACGTTCTTCATTGGCTTGGAATCAAGAAGATCGACCGCATGCTATCCATGTCCAATATGAAGCACGATGCTATCGTGGATACCGGGATCAAGATTCTTGAACGAGTTCCCATACCTGAGGATATGATACCTGATGATTCTCGGGTGGAGATTGACGCCAAGATCAATGCGGGCTATTTCACAACCGGCAAGCAGTTCACAATGGATGAGCTCGCACAGGTCAAAGGGCGTGGCTGGGAGAAGTGGGAAGACATTACTGTGAGTGAATTAACAAAAGTCAACACATCTCTGGGGGACCTGAACTAATTTCCGCAGCACTGAATATGATATCCGATGCTCAAACGGAGAAGGGAGTAGCGTCGATCGATTGATTTCGAAGGTTTTTGAACTTCATAAGCTCGGGCATAACTAATGAACTTCATTTACAATGATAACTCAGGAGCTATGAATAGGTAGACTATTTTCGTGGTGTCCCACAAGGTCCTCAATAGATTTGGCAATCCCCACATGTTCATCTTATCTGGTAAAGTAGGTACTCTCGAAAGGCTTCAGATGAAAAATCTTATCTCCGAATCTCCGACGGAGCTTCAATTCCCCCTCCTGGCTGGCACATCACGATTTGTAAAATTTGAAGCAACGGTAACATGATCACAATTCCTCATGAAAGAGCTTTTTGAATATACCCACATCATAGGAAACGGTGCAGGAATAGAACTCTGCTTAGTGGAAAATCGAGGCATCCAGCCTGTATTCTCTATAGAGGTGCAATGTATGCCAAGTTTGCAGATATCGACATCGAGGGTAGAGTGATTCGAAAAGGGACTGGATTTTAATAATGGTCAATGATATTTTCTAACACCAACGCTGATTAAGTATGCTCGGGTTTTTAGTGCGTAGTCATAGCTCTCACCCAGCGAACGGGAATGGTTTCCCAGCCAGTGTCCACTACGCCCATACCGATCCGGTGGCGGGCACTAGTATAGGTCAATGACGCAAGTTGCCAGCAAATCGTCTCAGACTTCGGTCTAGAGACTCATTGAGCGCTAGTCTGCCTGGGAGAGGGGTATTTTGGTCCTTTTTTCCTAAAAGTGAGACCCGCCGACACCGGACGTTTGACCCACTGGCTCTTCTGAGGGTCTTGTTGCATGTTCCTATTCGCGCCTGCCGCCGTCGCGCAAACTCCGCGGGTTGCCGGTGCGGTCAGAGTGGATACGCTAAACGATCAGATAAGATCAGACCGCGCATTCGTTCTCTGCCGTGCGCCACTCAAGTGGGGTGCCAAGGCTGTTGATCCAGGGTATGAGCAGAATTTGGGGTGAAAATTCTGATCGAGTCAGTATCCAGAAGACGCAAAAAACGAAACGAAAACACAAGGGCTGGTTAAAAGTCATGGGAATCTCGCTACTATTAGCTAAGGAGTTAAAAAAAGAATCACATGTGAGTGGCTGAGTCATCAGGCGGTGGGGGAACTCAGGACCACCAATGATAACGGCAATAGATTTCAGGTCCTGTACAGCTACTTACGAACAGGCTTCAGCCAAACCCGCACAACTCGCTGTACCATACAGTGGTATTACAAATATCCGTGGGAGCCGGCCAGCCGGAAGTGCGGCCAGCCGCGATCATACGACTAAAAATGTCTAAACTCATGTCTCCTTTATGCCTGCAACAACAGAATGCTATTCGCGTTCTCATTCTGGCAACCACCATCTTAACTCAATACTTTTCAATTTGTCCGATTTGCGTACGGAATAGCGCGACCTGCATCTGCACCCTGGTCCACTGTCCACACCATTCGGCGATGATCTTCTTCGCAGGGGAAGTCCAATTGATTTGAGAACCCACCCCCCCCCCCATTCTTAGTCGGGCCCGCAGACGCTACTGACTTGAGTGGGTATCTCTGCCTAGCTGCCCCCAAACACGCTCATGACTCTGACATCTTCCCCTCTCCCAAGTTTCTTGCGTCTTTCTCTGCATACTGCTCGAGCTCGTCAGTCACTGATACGAATTGATTCTGCTCAAATCTTCAGGTCCAGTAAGTGTACACAGCATTCTTATCATGGTTCTATGTTTGGCCGCCAATAGCCGGGACTAGCATGGCCTAGGCACCTGGCAGGGGGTGATCATAGCAAAATCTCTAAGCTGTCCTCCACATTTTCAAAACTAAGACATGATGCAGTATCAAACACCTCGTCAGGTGCATTGAAATTCCAATAGTGAGCTGAGGGTCGTCACCGCGGATGTCCAGGCAAAATGTCTGTCCCCGGTATGGAAAATGACTTTCAGCTGTTCTCTTCTCGTCGACATTCTGGCGGGGGAGATTCTCGATTCCAACAACAGCCCAGCGAGAATCACAACCAAGACTGGACGCAATGGATGCGGTGGGATGAGCCGATGTTCAACGAGAGTGACCAGAAGCATGTCGACCGCTCCATGGATCTCCCATTCGTCTCCCCACACACCAGTATGAGCTCATCTCCCAATCAACTTCAACATACAGATTTCTCTCCGCAACTTCCGCTGGGGTTAATGGAAATTCCGTCCGATCATACTCAGCAACGGGGCTCGATAGTGTCAAACTACCAGGGCTCAACCGGCCTGGTCTCCCCCATTTCTAGTGTGGGGGTTAGCCGTAAGCGAAAGACAGGTAGCGACGATGATGCTACCACTGTGACTGGTCCTATTCAGCCGGGCAAGAAGATGCCGGCGAAGAAGCGGGCGCACAACGTCATCGAAAAGCGATACCGGGCGAACCTGAATGAGAAAATCGCCGAACTACGCGACAGTGTGCCTAGTTTACGAACAACGAAGAATACCAACGGTGAATCCAACGAAGATGAAGAGGATGGGGAGGGTGCTCAGTCTGCAAGCAAGCTGAACAAGGCTTCTATTTTGTCAAAGGCAACCGAGTACATCAAACATTTGGAGATTCGCAACCAGAGATTGGAGGACGAGAATACCGCCCTTAAGAACCGTCTTCGTCAGGTCGATAAAGCAGCCGACCAAGCTGTTACCTCGTCCGCCTCCGTGTCTTCTCCTAGCAATTATGGTGCTTCCAGCGATTCAAATGCGGGGACATCGCCAAGTGTGTTCTCCCAGCCCGAGGAACTCGATGGTAGTTCCCCCGTCTCGTCCTCATCACATCCCCCGGAGGGCCTTATCAAGGTTCCCGATGCATTTAAGCGAATGCGTGAGGAGGGTAAGAAGGGAATATTCGCAGAGTCATATATGAAGTCCTCTCCTCGGGCTACTGGTGGCTCTGACTATGGCCGCGAGGATGGATCCCGCAGACGGTCTAAGCTGCCCAACAAGTATATGCTGGGTGCTCTAGCTGGGCTGATGGTGCTCGAGGGCTTTGGTTCAGATGAAAGCGAGACTGAGGCGAAAGGCTTGTTTGCTCTTCCTTTGAACCTACTCCGTCGGTTGCAGTCCCCCAGTCTAGCTCACTGGGAGTACTACCTCACAAACTTCTGGCATTCCTGGCATGCACGAGCTATTTCTCATTTCCTTGTTCTGGCTACTCTGGTTGTCGGAAGTGCGTTTATTGTTTTCGTTTACCTTTTCAACGCTCAACCAGCCACACAACGTGCCTCGCCAAAGCAAGTCAGTGAGACCCAAAATGGCGCTCCCACCTCCAGCGACTTTAGGCGGCAGGCTTGGCTTACCAGCATGCAACGAGTCGGTGTGCCACGCCACCGCTTCTTTCGTGAATGGTACGTAGTGACGTCTCGCTGCTTTGAATATGTTCTTCGATGCTTGATGGGATGGAAAATCTACTCTTGGGTTACGGGTATCACCGAGGAGGACGAGAGAGGCCGAGTGAAGACATGGGATATTGCCATTGATGCCCAGCTTACTGGAGGTGATGCTGAGATTACCAAGAGTCGCTTGGTTCTCACAATATTTGCAGCAGGTACACTTCCTAGCAGCCCCATGCGGATGATGCTGAAAGCGCTGCATGTGCGTATTCTGATGTGGAGAGTTGGAGAGCCTGGCTCTTGGACCTTCCATGTCTCTAATGATATTGCTCGTGCTCTTGCGAACTATCAGTGGGGCGTCGCGAGAGAAATTAACAACGCACTTCCGGAGGGCCATCCTGATCAGGTTCCAAGCCATCTTTCTGAGCTACTTAAGCTTGAATGTGAAGATGTCATGATCGATGCTATTATTCAGCGCGCCGTGAACCTCACATGGAATCGGCCAACCCAGGAGGGTACTGGAGATGATGAAGTGCTTCTTGACGTTGTTGAGGAGGACCCTGCCATCCAATGTTCTGTCGATGCTCTTGCAGCCTGGTGGTCCAGTCACCTTCTCCAGACTGCCCTCCTTAAATACATGGAAGCTAGTGAGGGGGGCCCCGTGTCCAAGGCAAGCCGTGACTCTTTCAAGGAGAAGATCCGCATGGCCCTTGAGGTTGCTCCCCGACTTTCGGCTGCTTACACCCGCGCCCTTGTGATGAAGGCAGTCTTCTTCGACCAAGATCGTATCAAGAATGTAGGCGCCGTTCTAGCTACTCTTCCCAAAGATAAGCGCAAGGGCGAATGGAGCCGGGCTGCCAACTTCCTCGACTCTTCACTCCCTATATCGGTTCGGGACGAGATCTCCATTGCTGTTCGCTGCGCTATGATCGCTGCTATTATCACCGCTCGATCTGCTGGTGACACTTCTCTCCCCGAATCGTTCACCATTCAAAAGGCAATCAACATGTTCAATCAGCTGCCAATAGACCCCGTTGAGCTAAGCCTGCTTGGGTTCTCCGCAGTGTACCACTTGCTGCATCTGTTGGCATCCGACGTCGACTATATCGTGTCTTCTGATTCGTCCTCGCCTTCTTCGCCTGTATCCGAGGCTGGATCCTCTGCAGACGACGAAGCCGACGAAAAGCCCAGAATCCCTCGCAAACTCGCTGTCTGCCCGCGTGATATTCCCAATGTCGGTCGGGTAGCCGCGGAACTCATCTACTGGTCCCGGAATGCATACAACCCGGCTTTCTACGGCTTCTCCTCCAGCCTTGTGGACGTCATCGTCAAGTCCTGCACCACCGTTTGCGAAAATGCTGGCGTCAAGGTGGACGACTATCTACAGACTCCACCCGAACCCATCCCTTCTCGGAAGCGAAAGTTCCGTCGTCGCCGAAATGGCTCTGACCAGTCCTTGCAGAGTGATGCGGACCAAGATTCGGTTGAGACCCGCATGGGAAATCCGCTACGTCGGGAACGCTCAGCAAGCAATGATACCGGGTATGGAAGTCTCAGCCTCGAAGAGGATGCGCAATCTATTCCTAGGGTTCCTGAAAAAGTTCAGGAAGTCTCAGCTTAATATCGAGCATGACTATAAATTATCATGGGGTACCAGGTAATAACGATGGCGTTTGGGATTATGTTTATAGCACTCATCTAGGTAGTCACGATTGGCGGCCGGTCTCGGAGGGAAAACAATTAGAATGGGAATATGGACCTGGCGCATCGTGGCGTTTCGTGTATGTAGAAATAGGAATCAATTACTGCACTTTCGGCAATTTTAGCCCTTCATTACGATCATCTTGACTCATTTCTTTACATAATTGAGCCTCATAAAAATTACCCATAGATGGTTTGCACATTTGAGCCCATTGGCTTGTAGACTAGCTCAGCCTTGGAAGAGCAGAGCAACGGCCGCATCTGTACATGAAATTGGAAGAAGACGAGAAATGAGACAGAAGAGAGGTTCGAGAAGCCACATTCCTACGGTGCTGTACACCCTCAGATGGTCACGTGACGGGGATAGCAGCGCCACCTTATCCCCAGACTTCTAAACTTCTACCACCATAGTGGCCAGGCCCTAGATCTTGGAATGGCCTAGTCTCCATTTGGCCTGGGTGATCAAGTATACCCCTGTCCTGGTTCCCACGTTGAGCATTTCCACGTTGCTGTCTCCTCGTTCGCCCCTCTCACGCAACACTTCAGCCCGGTCAAGCAGCGGGCGTACGCCACATTCTGATCTCCAAGGGCCTGGAAAACAAGGACTGTTTATTTGCCTGAGGCCGTGCATGGCTTGCTACTTGTGTACATGTAATGGCCTCTTTTGGAAAAGGAGAAATTAATCAGGTTTGAAGGAAAGTGGCCTCATTCATCACATAGAGCACTTCCAAGGCAGTGACTTATGGATGCAGTGACGCCGGGGCCTATGATTACTTGCAACAAACCGGTACCTGCTATGACGAGTTTTGACAACAAGGACTCAGTACTGCGTCATTTCCCCTTCTCTTTGAGCCGTGGTAAACCTGCACGCTCGTGGTCTATGAGCAGGAACCAATAAGAGAAACTGCGACAGGGGACGGTCGATAAAGTCTAGAACGTGGAATCAATGGTGTATTGCTTGAATTTCCTTGTTCATACGATATGGAGTTACGAAATCTCCAAACCTGCATCATCGCTCGCATTGAGCAACCCCGACGTTGTATAGTTCGTAGGCGGGGGTTCTTTCCAATTTGGAAGGACTTCAAGCGATTACGTAGCTGGGGACCAATGGGTGCTCGTAGATCATCTACTACCCTGTCTCCACAATGATCGAACTGACCCATTGTTATAGTATAGCGTTGCAGTTGCGACCCAACTGATCAGACTGGTTCCATGCTCTTGTGCTCTCCCGAGCTTATCCGACAGTAGGGTGGTTATGACGTGTAAGTCGTTGTAGCCCCTCTATCAAGAGCCAATAATGAATCATTTTCACGCATTAGAATTCAACATACAATCAGAATTATCCAGTGTTAAGTTCGGACTCCCCGGGCTATAATTGGAAGTGCCAGGGAACAAGGGTCGCAGACGGGAGAGCCGCGTCGACATCCACATTCCATTTCCGTTTTCAGAGCTTCACCTTCAACAATGCCGATCCGCGTCTAGACCGGCTTACCTATCCCTTGCTAAATGAAGTAATTACATTCGTCAAAAGCCCGCACTTGTCCATGTCGTTTCATAAACGGCCGAAATTACGCACGCCGTGTCTCCCCTGACAGGAAGGTACAGCGGGCACTAAGATCTAGACTTTAAAACCTTACCAGCGATTGAACCACCTACCGGGTGCAATGATCACCAAATAGACTTTGCGATTTTCATGATTAGTGTTCCTCCCCGATTGACCCGACCCGATTCGTCTGGTTACACTCACTCGCGTTTGGAAAATGACGATGTTTTCAATTTGCTTGGAGTTATACTCCCGCTTTCTACCCCCAGGGGTCGATGACGGCATCCATAGTAGAATCCCAATACCACACAATCATGCTAGATTGACTTTCTGACCCCAGTTTCCACGAGGTCCCGTGCTTTTTCTATCCTTCTATATCCGCGGTTCTTCCCCTTTTCTTTTTACTCCCATCTGCAGGCCCGAGGTGTTGTTGGAGATCGCTGTATAGCGGTTGACGAATTTATACCCATATTCGACACACCCGTTATCCGATATATACACCGCAAAGCTGGACTAGGGCTCTCCTTGTATGGCAACATGGGTGTTGAACTCGCAGGAAATGGCCCTGGAGAGCGGCCCATGAACCCGGAGATTGCGGTTCCTCTGTTCGTTGTGGGAGGATTCGTCGCCATGATATTTATATATCGGACTGTCATTCGGGTGAGAGATCGTCGACGAAAGAATAAGGCCTTGCAGGGTGATGACCAGACGCAACTCTCCATGACAAAGGGGTCTATTGCTAGTCTGAAGAAACATCTGCTGTATGCGCCACTCTGGGGCTCACGACATAGTCGAGAATTTCGATTCTGTCGACTTCATATGGGATCAATTCCACTTCGAATGGAGGTCATTCTCTTGACAATTTATCTTTCTCTGAACATTATCTTTGTCTTTGTCACGGTGGATTGGTGGGAAACTTACTCCAACAAAATGTTCCAATTGAAGTACGCTGCGGGTCACTTGGCCGTGATGAATACGCCTGGGTTGGTTCTCAGCGCTGGTCGGAATAATCCTTTGGTGATGATGTTGGGTCTTTCGTTCGATACGTTCAACTTCATGCATCGATGGGTGGGGAGGGTCATCGCGGCGAATGCTGTCATTCACATGAGTGCTGTTTTGGCGAACCAAGCCTACATGCGTATGTATAACTCACCCTCCCCCAAGGAAATCATGCTAATTGTATCTGTATTAGATGGCACGGATTACATTCTATACACAATTTGGCAAATGCCATTCTATATCTATGGCCTTGTGGTATGCTAAACTTGACTGACCAGACTCGTTGAAGATCCCTCTAATCCTTGCTTTCTTAGGCAATCCTCGGCTTCGTCTTCATTTTCATACAATCATTGTCGCCGTTACGACACTCCTTCTACGAACTATTCTTGCACCTCCACATCGCATTAGCTGTCATGTCTTTCGTGGCTCTCTGGTACCACCTCAAGAACCTCCTCCAGCAGCGAGTATTATTTGGAACCCTCGTACTTTGGGGCCTAGACCGTGCGAGCCGAGTCCTCATTCTGCTTTGGAGAAACTGTTCTAAGCGTCGCACCACCGCCACCGTTGAAGCTCTACCAGGCTCGGTCGCGAAGGTCGAGGTGGAAGTTGCTCGTGCCTGGAAATTTCGACCCGGACAATACATGTATCTCTACATGCCTTGTCTGGGACTGTGGACATCACATCCATTTACCGTTGCATGGGCGTCGACTGGCGAGTCAATCTTAAATCACAACGAAAAGCGCAGCTCAAGTGATTCTCTCGCCGCACTTCTTGGTGGGTCTGAGACTACCACCATGTCTGTCCTTATTAAGGGACAGGATGGGTTTACGAAAAAGCTTCTTGAGAAGGCGGAGGATTCCCCCGAGGGAAGAATCCAGGCGATGGCACTAGCAGAAGGGCCATTCGGTACGTATTGAATATCTACCTCTTCTTGATATGCCGCTGACTCGATCAGGTGGTCTTCATTCATTGAAATCATACGGAACCCTTCTATTGATCGCTGGCGGTATCGGAATCACACATCCCATGTCCTACCTGCACGAGGTAGTCACAAACTTCACGTCCCGGACATCCGCGACACGGAAAGTCCATTTAGTCTGGATGATCCGAAGTCTAGGTAAGATCGACCGCTCCCCATAAAGCCTCGCAATTCACGCTAATCAATCTCTCAGACCATTTATCTTGGATCCAAACATGGATGCTCGACGTTCTGAGCCACGACGCACTAAATACATCAATCAACCAAAAGGGCGAAACCTACTTCCAGTTCCCGGGTCTAATGCTCTCTATTCGTATCCATGTCACAGGACACAAGGAAAATGTCGAAGATTACATTCCTGCACCCGAGACGGCCTGGACAGACGCTGCTCCGGCTAATGTGCCAGTAAGTGTGGAATACGGCAAGCCGTGTTTCACGACGCTATTGGAGAATGAGAAAGCGGAGCAGGTTGGTGCGTTGGCGGTTAGCGTTTGTGGCCCTGGTGGTCTTGGCGATAGTGTTCGTGAAGCCGTTCGTCATGTACAAGGTGAGAAGACGGTTGATCTCTTCGAGGAGTCTTTCTCTTGGTGATAGGATATGTTCTTGTCGGGCGTTTAGTTGGTAAATAGTTTAGACACTTTACGCTTTTGGCTTGAGATACTATATAAATACGAACCTTTACATTTGAATTGAGATTTTGTAGCTACTGGGAAGCACTAGGTCTGGCGTAGCGTGGGGATAGAGCTATTTATTACGTACCTCGCCTCCATTGTGTGCTAAGCATATCCACTATTAGAACCGCACAGACGCTTAGGGCAATTTGACCCCATGATGGTTGTTAATGCCTTGGCTTCATAAAGTGCGATCCCCCGCGGTGGATCCAACAGCGGGACACTCCGCTAAGATGGATAGTCATGAAAACAGGCTCTCCAATTTTATTTGCTCTGCAATTTTCCCGTGTCATCAACTGTGGAGCCAGGCACCATTTTACCGGTTCAATTTGATGATGTAGTCACTAGATACAGACGCTGATCCCCAAATCTTTACCTGCACACGACCACCTGCCGCATGGAATTGAATTTTTGCCGATCCGTGTGCACTAGCCAGTGGTATAAAAGGCGCTTTGGACCGATCGTTGGAATAAAAATACAAATATCTCCCTCACACAAAAGCCAGAATTATGACCACCAGCTTCTCCTCCCTTCCCGTCGTTGATGTCGGATGCCTGGCGTCCGAGGCATCCGAACAAGAGCTAGCAGCGCTCAGCAAGCGTCTTCACGATGTCTTCGCTACAACCGGATTTGCCTATCTCACCAATGCGCCTCTGAGCTACAGTCACGAACAAGTACTCAATATGTCGCGGGACTTCTTTGCCCTTCCTAATGAAGAGAAGATGAAACTTGCCAAACGATCGTTTAGACGAGACCACAAGAACACATATCGAGGGTTAATACACATACATCCCTTTCACGACTCAAGTGTAGCTAACAAGAGCGGACTTCCTAAAGATACTTCCCCACGCAACCAGAGCTGGCAAACGACAATCTAAAAGAAGGCTTCGAAATCGGTCCATCGCAGCCCATCCAGACGCAGTCCACCACTTCTTCCAAATTTAACTTATCCGAACCAAATGTCTGGCCCGATGCAACGATCTTCCCCACGCGATCTGCCCTGGAGACTCTATATATTGAGCTACAAGCCCTCGCGTCTAAGCTATTATCCCTTTTGGCCATTTCACTCGACAAACCGGCGGATTACTTTGCCCCATACCTGGATGAATCCCTGAGTACCCTACGACTTCTTCATTACCCTGCCAATGCATCAGTTGCCTCGGGATCTGGACCCGCGTCTGGATCAGAGGCTAAACTAAGCTGTACACCACACACCGATAGCGGCATTTTAACCCTTCTGCACCAAGACTCATCTGGCGGGCTAGAGGTGCGCAACTCACGCGGTGAGTGGGTCTCGGCACCGTATATTCCCGGATCTATTGTTGTCAATATTGGAGATTTGATGGCCAAGGTTTCGGGGGGTCGGTTTGTTGCCACTATGCATCGCGTTCGGGCTCCAGGGCTGAATGCCTCAGCTTCTTCCATTGGAAAATTGGGTGGGGAGGATCGAGGTCTGGGAAGACTCAGTGTGCCATTTTTCTTTGAGCCTGGAGAGAATTGTTTGGTTAGATCTGTCAATGGAGATGAGGGATTTGTGGTATATGGCGAGCATGTGAGGGCTAAGATGAAGACCTGGGTGGAGTTCCAGGATGATGAGGATCGGTAGACCATGATCACTAGTCTGAAATCCTCAATTTTTATGGATCAATTTGATGCAGTTGTCTCTAGACTTTTTATGCTAACCCGGGGTTGACGTGAAGCCTCGGATGCGTAAATTACTATATTATAAAAGCCTATGAGGTCAATCCGTTGGCTCGCTGAGTAGATATTTCACCTAAATATGTTCGCTATCCAAGCGCTTCGCTCTATGTGAAATCGCATAGTTCAAGATCTATGACAAATCATGGACATGGCCGGAAAAGAAATCCCAAATAAGACCAAAGGTCCACTTCTATCACACTTCACGGACTTGCTCCACAGCCCACTCAAAAAGCTCCACGAGCGCATTAGTAACAACTGACTGCCGCGGGATTTCATGCCCGCCCCCATGGTTGTAGCACCGACGCTTCTCGGGATCACAAACACCAGACAACTGCACGCCAGCTGTATATCTTGGATCCTTTGTGCCATAAACGTGAATAGTTGGAATCGAAATCTGAACCGGCCCCTTGACTTCCTTCCTGATAGCCTCCTCAGTTAAACCTCCCCCAGAATTATCACCCTGCCACCGATTCGTCCCCATCCTCAAGATCGCCTCGACACTGGCGGAGCTAGCCAGTGCCATCCGCGACGCAAGATCCCGGTCATGCATGGCCGGCGTAATATTAAATCCAAGCTCCTGCAACACCTGCAAAGCGACACCGCCGCAGTGAAAGATCGCAACCTGGAACGGCACCGGGAGATACGGTGTCTCCTCCTCATGGAATAGTAGGTATGCCGAGGCTAGGACGGTTCCCTGCGAAAATCCCATTACGGCGTCGTAGGGTCCGTGCGTGCTGATGTATTCGCGGAGCCAGACGCAGGCTGTCCGGATGTCGTCCACGGAGCCCCGCTCCCAGAATCCATAGTAGGGGGGTGGGTAGAACATGTCTACCCCTGCAGCGGGCTCTGATTTATAAGGGCCATCTATGAAGTCGAATTGAATATCCTTTTGTTTAAGTTGGGCGCGGAATGAGGCTGTGGGGGCGGGGTTAGCTTGGGTGTCGATCGTTTTTGTTTTTGGTTTTGGTTTTGCAGGGGTTCAACCTGGGAGCATTACAGGTTTGAGATTTGAAAATGGCGCCACTGGTGCCTTTTCCGTGGAGACAGAGGACCTTCATCTTGGTTCAGGTGGGGATGCGAGGGGGAAAGAGTCGGTGAGGAAGAGAGAATTGACTTGCGTGGCGGTAAATTGTTGGTGATGGTCCTGATGGGGTAAGCACAGGATGCACAGGATTGGGGGCGATAACAAAACGATGGGCAACCGGGATTTAAATGCGGTCGGTGGAACAGTTGGAGCTCCGAAAATGAGGAATGGCTATTTCAAGGAGGATGAAATTTTCTTTACGCAAGGAGATCTTATAGACCGACATTCATGCCGCGGGATTAGGTTAGGCGGGACATCTGTCATGGATGTATACTCCGAACCCAGGGTTCTGAGTATAGGCGAAAGACATCAATGATAACATATGTTCCAAAGGTGCGTATCAATCTGATTTCAATTTCTTTCAAGTTAGCCCCTCTTTTCGAGTTTGAGTAAAAGAAACCAATGTCGGACAAAAAGAACTGTTCGGCCAAAGGACAGAAGTTTATCTGGGATTAGCGTGCTTCTGCTATCGTTTGGCTTACTCCATTGACAGATGCACTCCTGAGCTCAGTCCTCCCCTGCCGACTCCCGACAACGGCCTGGCTGTGATGGCTCTAGATTATATTGACAGCACCTTTCTCTGACATCTTATGATTCTTATCGGATCTCCTGGGTTGCAATAGGGTAGAACGTAAAACTAGCAACGCTGAGGTCCGCTTTTGATTAAGCCAGATGCTTGGTAATTCCTCTTGGACCCCGCACATGTTGAAGCTCGATTTGTCATCTGGTCACAGCAACTATAAGAAGGCTACCATATATTCATCCACTTCAAAATCACAATCACCTTATATTATTTAAGTGTGCATTACTGCACTCACCTACAAAATTCATAGCATCATGTCCACGCAAAAGGCCATTGTCATCACCGGCCCTCAAAAGGCTGAGCTGGTCACTAACCGCTCCATCCCCATTCTACGTGATAATTGCCTTCTCGTGAAGACAATTGCCGTGGGATTAAACCCAACAGACTGGAAAACAATCTCCAGATCTCCCCCTCCTGGTGTTACAGTGGGATGCGACTTCGCCGGTATTGTGGAAGCCGTCGGTAAAGACGTGAAGAAGCAGTGGAAGAAAGGGGACCGCGTGTGCGGGTTCTCCCACGGTAGCAACCCGACACAACCTGAAGACGGTGCATTTGCGGAGTACATCGCCGTCAAGGGAGACGTAGTGATGAGGCTACCAGATAACCTGAGTTTCCAAGAAGGAGCCACTCTTGGTATTGGCATCGCCACCGTCGCTCAGGCTCTTTACCAGAGCTTGAAACTTGCGCTTCCTTCAGAGCCTATTAAGGATGCTACTCCTATCTTGATCTACGGTGGTTCTACCGCTACCGGAACCCTGGGGATTCAGTTCGCCAAATTATCTGGTTACACTGTCCTCACCACCTGTTCCCCACGCAACTTCAGTCTCGTGCGTTCTCTCGGGGCGGATGCAGTATTTGATTACAGGGAGCCCACGGCTGCTGCTGAGATCAAGAAGTATACCAATGATAAGTTGAAGCTTGTCTTTGACTGTATTGCGCTAGAGGATAGTATCAAGTTCTGTGATGAGGCTATTTCTTCCTCGGGTGGAGATTATCATACTCTGCTGTTTGCGAAGATTGAGCGAGCGAATGTTAATAGTCGGTTCTCTTTGGCTTACACTATCGCTGGAGAGGAGTATAAATACGGTGACATGATCATCCCCGGCAAACTGGAAGACAAGGCTTATGCCGAGATGTTCTTCCCTATAGTCGAGACTCTCCTGGCACAAGGCAAGGTCAAGGTTCACCCTCCCACAGTTAGAAAGGAGGGCTTGAAGGGGGGTTTTAGAGGGGCTAGAGTTGTTGAAGAATGACAAGGTTAGCGGCGAAAAGCTGGTCTACAATGTTGAGGACACTCCATAAGAGAATGACAGTTTGTTGCTACATTTAGTAATTCATTGAGTATATGCCTTTTGATCTTTACCATATCGCAATTGCCTACTTGAAATTGTAAAAAGAAAAAGAAAAAGAAAGAGTACGAGAAATCTTCATGACCAAATGTTTTTCAAAGCTCCCGTTGATCGAACATAGATATGCCATGGCAACCAGGAAATCATCACAAATGAGCAATTATTAATGCATAAGTCAATCTCTAGAAGAGTCTTTCTAGTTTCTTCATGGACGCTGTCCGTATGGAGTTTAGCCTCCACCTTGTGGCGTAACATTGGGAACTCGGTTCGGCATTGGCAAAGACAACCAATCATAGCTGTTGCGTGTAGCTCCACTTTGGTTAGATCCGGTTTAGTCTCCGCGTTAGGGGATTAAGTCATTGAGCATGGCATGTCTGATCAAACCCTGAGACGGCGCAAAACCGGCCGTATATAAGCTTGGTGCCTGTCAGTCTTGTGCAAGTATCCCAATCATCAATTTCAACTTCACAACACAAGCAATTTTTGAAAATGCCATTCGAGTACAAGAAGGTCTTGGTCATCGGTGCCACCTCTGGCATCGGCAAGACACTGGCCACCAAACTTATCGAGAATGGAACGCATATTATCATCTCCGGTCGGAGAAAGGAAAACCTTGATGCCTTCATTCAGCAGCACGGTGCTGATAAGGTCAAGTCCAAAGTGTTCGATATCATGCAACTAGACCAGGTGAGTGACCCTCATCATAAATCTTTCCACAACTAATGCATCACCAGATCCCTCAATTTGCGTCAGACATTATCGCTGAACACCCTGACTTAGACTGTATCTTTGTCAACTCAGGCATCCAGCGCCCATTCGATTTCTCCCAACCAGAGACAGTCGATCTGGACATTTTCGACCAGGAGTTGATCACAAACTATACATCCGCTGTATACCTCTCCAAGGCATTCATCCCTCATCTTCAGCAGCAGAAGACACAAACTGCCCTCGCATTCACCACTTCTCAGATGGCTCTCGTCCCTATGATGCGGTGCCCGAACTATGGCGCTTCCAAGGCCGCTCTCCACCATTTTATCCTTGCTCTCCGTACACAGCTGCATGATGGGCCTGGCAATGTCAAGGTGTTGGAGATCTACCCCCCTGCTGTGCAAACGGAGTTGCACGATGCCAAGCACCAGCCTGATCTGAAGGATGGACATTTAATTGGCATGCCGTTGCAGGAATTTGTGGATGAGGTCTGGACTCGATTGTCAAACGGAGAGGATCAGATCCCGGTCGGATCGGCGAAGGATATTTTTGAGGCTTTTGAGATGAAGAGACAGGAGTTGTATCACCAGATGACGGAGTTGCTTTCTGGTTTGTTGAAGCAATTCTTGCGGTAAAGTCATCATGTTATTCCAAGACATAAAATGAATATGCTATATTGTATTTTGGATCAATTACTAGTCGCATTCACCACATTCGTTTCAGCTCTCGTAATAAGGCATCGGCGGAGGAAATGGTATAGACGAAACTTCTTTTCCTTTGCAAGCAGCTAGGACCAGCGCACCAAAGGAAGAGATATTGCGAAATTGTCCACTTTCCAAAGCATCTGAGTACCCATGCAAAGATATCATGGAATCAGGAGATTCGGGTGCTTCAGTCGCCCACGTATAATCTGAGTCGTCCTCCCACAATTGCGTCCGCACATCGAAAGGCAAAGCATCAACAAAAGGTGTTCGGGCACCACAATTCCTCGTATTGAGTGAATACGCAGTCTTCAACATTAAGCTCACGATAATGGTGCGTCGAACACTCTCGGCCATAAGCCATGCACGTCGTCGACTAAACGTAGAAGGAAGTTGAACAGGAGCCTGCTCCCATAATCGCATTGCAATTCCGTCAAGCATGACGCTTATCCTTTCTGAGTACTGGTTTGGGTCGCCGCCTCCATTCAAGGCAAGGATGCATTGCGCTAGAAGAAGGGCTTGTGAACAGCCCAAGAGCTCCTCGAATGTTAAAGATTGGTTGAAACGGCGATGCAATTCGCCGGACCGCTGATGAAGTAGTGGGAGAAGTACGCTAGTGCGTTGTTGCTGTTCCGCCTGAAGATGTGATTTGCAAATTACTTGCATATCCCGAATTGATGCTGGAAGGCCTGACGCGTAGAGATCGGGATGCACGAACGTTGTCTTGCAGGTTTCGGCAAATGTGTTTGGGAGCGCACGCAGCCCATTCACTAGGAACCGAATGGCTGATCTGTCATACTCCTTGGCGATCTCCAGCTGCAAGGGGAGACGAATCGGGGATGGGGAGCCTGTAGTGTGATTGGCTGGGCTTACGCGCTTTCTTGGCGCTTTCTGAACGCCGCTTAAAACTGTCAAAGGCTCATTCACGTATTCGCAGTTTGCACCTCTCGCTTCGCAGCGAGTACACCGAGGCCATCGCTGGTCGCATCGCCGCTTGCCCCTGGCGCAGGCTTGGCATGATCGCCGCAATGTAAGGGGTCTCAATGTGCCAGCGGTCATTCTCAAAGACAGACCAAAGTATTGGAGTGGACTAGCTTGGTTGAAAGATCGTGGCTGGCTCGATAAACTGCTTATGAATCAATTGAGACGTCGCTGCCGTCAAACCTACATGGTCACATGACGTTGTCACCATCTGTACGCATCCCAAGGTTTTCACGCTGACGAGACAGAACCTTCAAAAAAATTCTAGTAAAAGGATTATAAGAGTTCTGGACACTTGAGCCTTGATGTAACCGTTAATTGTTCTAATTTTTGACCCTTAATGCTCCTAGTCAATTTCGTTTTGGCAATCGGCTACCGCAGAATCTGTTTTACGTTCATTTGACTCCACCAGATGTACGAGGTGTGCACCGTGTCAGCAGTTCATTTCACTGCAATACAACTGTTGTACTAATCTGTTTAGGGCTTCAGTGACCTCGAGATCAGTCAGACTCTAAGTCCACGAATGATACAGTAGAATGGGCGAACATGTTGACGGTCTCGTCTTTGGGGTGTATGGATTTTGCAACCATTTCGGCAATTTAGATGGCGACGCGTATAACATAAATGCAAAATAAACCAAAAAAAAAACAAAGCTTCAGTAGGTTGATGTTGAATCAACTACCCAGTCCAAAGTTCCTATTTCATCTCCACGCTCGTGTTAGCACTGGAAGACATCAACGTCGGCGTGTTCAACCCAGCTCTCATCTCAGCGTCCTCCAAAGTAAGAATGCTATGCTTCCCACTTCCGATACCAAATGCCCTCTTAACAGCCTTCCAGCTCTCAACACACCCAAGATAAGTAAGCGTGCATCCAAAAACAATACCCCATTCCCACGTGATAGAGTGATGCTTAAACACAACCTGGTTAATAACAGGAAGGTATATCACCGGAAAGGCAATGATGAATCCAGCCATTACCGCCCAAAAAAGAAACCGGTTTCTCCAAAGGGTAGGAAAAATTGAAAGTCGCTGCGGACATCTAATCGGGTCCATGTTAAACAGAGACCTCGAGAAATCCTTGACTTCCCATGCTGTGACCAGTAACAAAAATGTCAAAGTTGCATATGTTGTAGCCCGAGCTCGGAAGACCGTCTGGCAGGTTGAGTTGTAGCCCTGGTTACACCCGTCTCCTAGATCCGAAGATCCTGTCCCTGCAGCGTACACGACGCATACAAAGGCCACCAGGCATAAGGATCCCATAAAGGTGCCGTATATCATTTTGTCGACTATTAGCTCCCGGGTAAAAACTCCGATGCGTAGGTCGTGTGGTGGCCGGTACATGATGTCAGGCTGGGCTTCCTCGAGGCCTAGACCGACAGCTAGAAATGACGACGTAACGAGATTTGCCCACAAGATCTCGAGAGGCGATAGTGGGAATACGGAGTTACCTCCCACATCTTTGAAAGCCAACGCAATCAGAAGAAGAATGACTTGGGCGATATTTGATATGAGAAGATGCATCAGAAACTAAAATTGTCAGTAACAAGATGGAAGCATAGGAGCATGTGATTCAACCTTTTGAATATTATCAAACAATCGTCTACCTTCCTCGACTGCTTTGACAATGGATGCAAAGTTATCGTCAGTGAGAACCATATCGGCGGCTTCTTTCGCGACATCGCTTCCATTTTTCCCCATTGCTATACCGACATCAGCTCTCTTAAGCGCAGGAGAGTCGTTGACACCGTCCCCAGTCATTACACAAAATGCACCACGACGATGCATCGCCTCGACCATGCGCACTTTCGTGGCAGGGCTACAGCGAGCGATTACAAGGGGAAGCTCCTCGATATCGTCGATCTCCTTATCGGTCAATTTGTCGAATTCATCGGCAGCCATGATCAACTTCGTTGGCTTCGTGATGAGCGAGACACGATCTAAAATACCCACCTGGGCTGCAATGGCTGTAGCGGTCTTGATGTGGTCTCCCGTAAGCATGTGCACTGTGATACCGGCCACTTGACACTTGCGTACAGCTGTTGCGCTCTCGATACGGGGTGGATCGTATAGTCCCACCAAACCACCGAACTGAAGGTTCGACTCGGCAGCGGAGCGTGGGGACACATTTTCGTCTTGGTCGATTGGTGTCTTTTTCACGCCTATGCATAGAACCCGAAGGCCTTCTCCGGCCATTCGATCTGCTGCTTCGTAAATAACTTTCTTTTCGTCGTTGGAAATTGATAGAGAGGGGAGAATGGCCTCAGGTGCACCTTTCGTATACACCTCATTGATACCCTCCCTCGCATTACTGTAGACGACTGTCATCTTTTTGATGGCAGAGTTAAATGGATACTCTGTGTATAAGTCGATCTGGCGTTTGGCGATTACTGCACATTTTGCAAAGTCGAAACGCATAGCCAGAACATGAAGCGCGGCTTCAGTTGGTTCACCAACTGCACTCCAGACGTTGTTTTCATGGTGCACAACTGAGAGGTTGCAGAGTGAGAGAGCAGAAAGAAAAGTATGCAATGCAGGATGATTCTCAATCGAGTGATTTGAATTCCATAAAACCTCATCAAGCTGCACGATTCCACTTGTGGGATCATAAGGGTCGGTGATCTCACGTACTGTCAGAGTACCAGCACCCGGGATCCATGCCGCACGAGCGACCATCCTCCCTTGCGTGAGGGTACCAGTTTTATCTGAACAGATATTGGTGACACCCCCCACAGCCTCTAGACATTGCAGCTTTCGGACAATGACATTTCCTTTCGCCATTGCCTGGGTGCCAACAGCCATAGTGATGGTGAGCACAGCTATTAGAGATTCAGGAATAACAGCAACCGCGACGCATATGCCATAAATGAGGACTTCACCCTGGACGTCCCAGAGGTTGACTGAGAATACAATAATGGCTAACAGAATAGCTAGCGCAAAGAGTAGCAACGCGAATTTGCTCAATTTGACCTGCAGGGGCGTTCCTACCAGGCCCAAGATCTTCTTAGCGGAAGAGATGACACTGTTCAAGACCCGGGAATGAACTTTTTTACCCTCGCTATCTTGGTGTTGTAGCAATTGAGCAATCTTTCCAACCTCCGTGTTCATTCCCGTCGCTATGACTATTCCCATGGCTCGGCCCTGCGTGGTGCTACAGCCGGAATATGCCATGTTGCTCCTGTCACCGATGAGGATATCCGGGGATTCAAGGGTGTCATATGGAGTCTTGAGGACAGGAAGGGATTCGCCGGTGAGGAGTGCCTCATCAATCGATGCATTCATACCCTCGAACAATCGTAGATCAGCGGGTACAATGTCGCCAACCGAGAGACGCACAATGTCTCCGACAACCAATGTTTGGGCCTTGATGGGCGTTACTCGAGTATCCCGAATGACTTTACATTCTGGAGCTGAGAGACGTTGCAAGGATAAGATGGTTTTTTCCGCACGGTAGTCCTGGAAGAATCTTGACATTGTCAACAATAGGCTAGACTCATACTCATCATCTCACTTACCCAACGATGATGTTTAAGAGGATCACCGCTGTGATTACACCTCCTTCGATATAATCGTCAATCCCGAAGGACAAACCCATGGTGAGGAGTAAAACCTTTTCATCGTCAGCATTAGATATTCACAGATGCTCTATCAAGAGACTTACGATTGTCAGGCTGTTGGAAACCTGTCTTAGGAGTATCCCCCAGACGGAGATGCCCGTGACTTCTTGGACGGCATTCGGACCATCTCTCTCGAGACGGAGGAGTGCCTCGCTGGAAGAAAGTCCATTTCTAGAAAGGTCAATAAAGTTAATGAATTAAGCCAATCCTCACCCTATCTTTCTACGTACTGCAGGTCTGTATCGAGGAACGAAGCGATGTGAGACGGTTCCAAGATATGGGCATTTTTCAGTCGGTCATCGACGGTGCACTGGCCCTCGGGGTGGATTGACGGATTGAGTTTCTCGTCGCACAGCTCAAAGCTTAAGCTGTTAGTTGCATGTGAATTTGTAGAGGACTCCGTATAGCCACATATAGGAGGTTCCGTCGATTCCTCGACGTCGGGGAGAGTCTCTATGCCCATTCAAAAGGTGGAGTCGGGAAGATAAAGAAGGGTAAATGGAGTTATATCCACTATCTAGATGATCTAGTCTCGATATCCCTTATCACAATTTGTGATATTCTCCGAAGTAAAAAGATGATCTCGGGGGGAAAAAGGTGCAGCAGTGGATTGCATTTATAGGAACCTTCTGTTTGTGCAGTCTTCCGAAAAGAGGGGAATGAGGGGGAATCTCCTGGTCACTTTTCTTGGAACTGCGTTATCATTGGGGCGAGTCGATGCAGATGCTTGGCCGGTATCATCGGGTTGGTAGCCTGCGACGCTTGCTCGCCGGCCTGTCTTGGACCCCGCGCTGATTGGGTGCCGCTATACGGGGTGAAGCCATCTGCCGGCGTTCTCATCCCTGCTTCCTGGGGCTTATCGCGGTAAAGAAGAGCGTGATAGTACATAAGTTCTTCTCTGGCGATTTTGCGAGAAAGACGTTAAAGGAACCAGATTTGTTTCCGTGTTTGTTGTCTTGGGCATGGAAATCCATGGTTCCAGGGAGTCCATGACTGCATCACGCCGCCTTGCCTCTTGCCAATATTGCAATGCCACACTTCCAAGATCTCGGCATGGCTAGCTAGGCTCGATTTTAGAAGCGGTGAGTCTTAATCATGGAAGGCTAGCACGAATCCCAGTCTGAATGTCACTCGCTAGAACGCGCCACAGAGATGATGATCTCAAGAGTTAAAGGTTAAAGCCACACCTGTAGCCACCTACAAGTCCAGGTCTCTTTCCAGGGGCTTGCTTTCGCTACTCATGTCAGTCTTGACTTATATTTCCATAAAGACGATTCACAAATAGTGAAGATATCCTGGGTGATATTCATTACCAAATAAATATATGAGGCCATGTAAAATAGTTCGCAGGTCTGGAAGTACAGTTAAAATATCACATGGTACCAATAGATGGAGGCGTGCAAAGGCGTTAACCATGGAAACTAGGTATTCTACCTTGATTATGTCTATACTCATGAGTTTTTATGAGTTCTCAAGCATAATGTTCTGAATCGAGAGATCGTTGATGGACAATTCCTGTCAGGACTGGCCAATCAGAGGCCGGCCCGCATCCGCTCAAAAAAATCACAGAGCTCGTCCTTGCTCTTCAACATCAACGCTTCAATCCTTAGCGTTCTCACATATCCACAATGGTCGGCCCTTCAGCTTCACTTTCGGCTTTACATCGGGCGGATGGCTCTGCATCATACAAATGTCCCGCTACTGGCTTCGCTGTGCTTGGTGCTGTGAATGGACCTGTTGAGCTGCCAGCCCGTCGCGACGCTCTGAAACCCGAAGAAGCCACCGTCGAGGTATTCGTGAAGCCCGGTAATGCCGTCCCTGGAGTTGGCGAAAAATACGTGGAGGGCATCTTGCGCGAGGTCCTGAGCACAGTGATCCTCCGGCGCGAGAAGGGACTCCCCCGTCGCGGAGTGGTCATCACACTGGCAATTGTGGGGGGTGAGGCCACAGAACGCGGTGACTCGGTGGGTTTAATCTTCCTTCTCACTAGAATGAGCCTAAGCTAACAGACCTAGTATCTCACTCTCCTCCCAGCTCTCCTACATGCCGCCCTACTGGCCCTGATCTCCGCTGCCATTCCCTTATCCATGACCCTCGCTACTACATTGCTCGGTGTGACTCGATCCGGGGAGATTGTTCGAGACCCGTCGCCCGCTGTCGCTAAAGCTGCTACTTCCTTGCACGCCATTTCGTTCTCCTCGAAGGGCCACCTGCTGATGAATGAAAGTCTGGGACGGTTCGATTTTGACACCTGGGAATTGGTTCGACAGCAAGCCGCTACTATCTGCGGAGCAGCGGCCACACCTGCTTCCGATGGCGACGCCGCCATGGGCGGAACTGAGAATTCCCATGTGGATGAATTTGTTCGTGAGACCGTGGAGGACCATCTGCACCGTGACTACAACTGGAAACTCGAGTCGATTTGAGCCCGTGCATCTTATGGCTGTTGTTCTGGGGACTACACGAACATGGCTGCAACAGATTAAATATCAAAGTCCCAAGCGACGAGCTGCCCTCCCATTGCCTTGACCCCTTATCTCGGCGGCGGACCTCATTCGCTACCACCATACGAGGCAGCAGTGTGACAACTTGGTGGCTGCGTAGCACATCCAAGCCCATCACCTGACCGTCACTGCATGTGCAAGACAAACCATTCCACTGGTACCTTGGAGTCGGCGTTCTTTGGATCATGAACGTCGCACTGGACATGGGCCCTCGAAAAGCGGGGGTATCACCGACTCAAAACAAAGAAGCCGACGGGATTAGTTGTACCGGATCCGAGCGAGGGACATAAGGATTTAACCCCGACAGTGCTCATATAGAATCCTAAAAAAAGAAAACCAAGGCTTATCAGTCATATTTCTTCCAATTGGCCAGATATTGCGCTCGAGTCATGGCTAGAGCAGCATCGCGCGTAGAGCGGGCATGTATTTTTAGATATAGCAGGTCAAATACTGAAATCTATGGCCTCGAGACTAAGATTATGTGGAGTTTGAATGTAAACGTCACAGTTCGACCTGGAACTCCGCATCGCAATTCGGGCAAATCACCACTAAACAGGATGGACTATTCCTAGAATGATGAAACTTCCAAGAATTAAGCATAAACGACCCAAGGAAAACCTCTTGTGGCATTCTCTGATCGGCATAGTCGCGAAAGTTTTGACTACAATTTCCCCCCTGGCTAATTGCAAGTCTCCTTTTCTTTGTTTTAAATTTTTCTTGCAATCTCCGATATATCACCAGTATCAGGCTTCCCAGGGACCAAGCCTCTCAGCAGTGACCCCCACTGATCAGGGCCGCCCCAGTCCAAGCGCAAACATCCCTGTCAGCAGATCCAAGTGGAAGACAAAACTCCAAACTCTGAGAAATCGAGAATCAGAGATTCATTCCAAACCGAGGGAATCAAGTGAGGGATACCCCACGCTGGGGGATTTCCCAATTTCCAGCGCTAGCGCTCAAACCCCGTTACATCCGTTCGGACTTACATCTGGGAAACTGGGCACTTTTTTTTTTTTTCTGTCATCTTCTGGAATCCTGCCGAGAATCCACTCATGGCGTCGCCCGGTAGTGAATCACCCCGATCTGATGTCCAGTCTTCACTGCCGTCATTGCGTTCCCCGTCTCACCTAACTCCGTCCCCAACTACCGCCCCACCCCCATCCGCATCGACCGTCGGTGCTGCTCTACTCCGTGACTATGCCCTCCATATAGAGCCCTCCCAGACACACATCCCCCAACCCGACCCGACTCCTCAGGCCCCCGGCAGCGACGCGCTGCCTCCCCGCAAGATAGATTCGGCTCAGGAGGAGGCCAGTAGGTCACTGCCCTCCTCGACTTTGCGCCGATTCCGCCAGAAATCAATCTCCGGACATCGTCCGCAGAAGGCCCTCTCCACCGACTGCATCCCGCGCCAGACCATCATGAAGGCCCTCGCTTCACGAACCTCCTTCCCCGGCCCCGGCCAAAATTCAACATTGGGAAACTCCTGGTCCGGTCTCATTGCCAGCAATAATACCAACCAGAACTCCTCGCCTGAGGATCGGGAGCGCCGGTGTAGCAATGCGTCATCCCAAGGATTATCGGCCGCCTTAACCAACTTGCAACTCAGCAACTACGTGGAACGATCCCCCGCGACCGCTCGGTTGGTGCTACAGTCGCCTTGTTATTTCCATCAGCGTTTTGATGACGCCGTCAATATCAAGAAGGTCCTCGAGGAGATCGCCGACGATGAGTGGCTCTCACATTCGCGATTAGTACAGACCGCAACCGGGGTTCGAGAGGTATCCAAACAATTACAACGGCGTCCAATCAAGCGCGCGGTCCGCAACATTATGATCGTTACCAAGGCGCGTGACAACAGTCTTGTACTTTTGACGCGCGAACTCGCCGAATGGCTACTGTCCACCCCACGATACGGAAGCGATTTGGGTGTCAATGTCTACGTCGATGCAAAGTTACGGAATTCCAAGCGATTCGATGCCCCGGGCCTCCTACAAAAGGAACCACGGTTCGCTCAGATGCTGCAATTCTGGACACCAGATCTGTGTTGGACGTCACCGGATAAATTCGATTTGGTCTTGACGCTTGGAGGCGATGGAACGGTCTTATTTACCTCATGGTTGTTCCAGCGGGTTGTGCCGCCGGTGCTCTGTTTCTCACTAGGGAGTCTGGGATTCCTTACCAACTTCGAGTTTGCGGAATATAAATCCCATCTCAATGGAGTTATGGGAGATGTGGGCATGCGCGTCAATCTGCGGATGCGATTCACCTGTACAGTGTTCCGGAAAGATCGCAGCAAGGGCGCAGAAGTTGGAGCAGTCGAGGAGGGCGAGCAGTTCGAAGTACTCAACGAAGTGGTCATTGATCGAGGGCCATCTCCCTACGTGTCGAACTTGGAATTATATGCCGATAACGAGCTTCTGACAGTCGTCCAAGCGGACGGCTGTATCTTCTCTACGCCCACTGGTACGTTTCATTCATTCAATGCCAATCTCGTCAATGCAACTAACATGTATCTAGGCTCTACTGCCTATTCTTTGTCCGCTGGCGGCTCCCTCATGCACCCCTCTATCCCTGGAATCCTCCTCACACCGATCTGTCCTCACACACTCTCCTTCCGCCCAATGGTCCTATCAGACTCCCACCTTCTCCGCGTCGCAGTCCCCAATAGCTCCCGTTCAACAGCCTACTGTTCCTTCGATGGCAAGGGTCGCGTCGAGCTTCGACAAGGCGACTACGTCACCGTCGAAGCAAGTCAATACCCCTTCCCCACAGTCGTCTCCGACAGCGGCGAGTGGTTCACAAGTGTCCAGCGCGCTTTACGCTGGAATACCCGAGGAGCCGTACAAAAAAGCTGGGACGGGGACATTAACGGCGATGCCGAAGATGAACAGTGGGACATCGACACCGACACAGGACTAGCCGGCACAGACAGCGGCATAGGTCCCAGTGAAGATGGCGATTATTTCTCCCCGAATCCCATGCGCCGACAAATGTCCATGCTCAACATGTGACCGCAACACACCCATGGTCCCTTCTACTTGCACTTTACTTCTTTTTACCCCTCATGACCCGCATATACCTGCTATCGTTTGTTTGGCGTTCCACATTATCTGCATCCGACTGCATCCTACCATTTTACGGATAGATTCACGATTTTTTTCTTTGGGTTCCCTGTTTAGACAGTTTAGCGGTCGCTACATCATTTTGCTGTCGGGTTGACTCGGTGTCTCTTATGTTCATAGACAGTCTCTACCTCTCATCTCGGGGTTGAACAATATTCGGTTAGCTTGACTGGCATATATTCACCATGAATTTAACGAGATCGGGTGTGTTATGCAATGGCATTTGAAGACCTTGACGTATACGAAGTACAAGTGTAGCAATAGCCAAGAGATCAGGGTCCCTAGTCCCTGCGTCATCCGCGCCGATCACATGTTTCACACATAGTGGAGGCTTAAGCTACCCAAGAGGGCGTGATCTAGATCTTTCCTTGCGTGGCTAGTGTGTTTCAGAAAATGCACTCGTACAACAAGCTTGGAAACTGTAAATCGTCGCAGTGAAATCTTATCGCAATTAGATTCAGCATGCGAACACTAAACTAGTCTTATACATCAATCCGAACTTTTATGAGATTAGTGTACTCGCTCCCTCCCATCCAAAATAATTATATCAATCGTATCCCGTAGCATTCCGTGTCTCGTGCCATATTGGAGTAAACGTGACTACCAATCACAGCTCGTAGCCAAGATCTCAGCAAGAGCCTCAAGGTATTTCTTATCCTCGTCATCAAAGCCATTAGGCTCAGTGCAGTCGATATCAATAATGGCAACAGTCTACCATATCATTAGCACTCCACACTGCGACACGCAAATGTACTTTCGAAGCATGACTTACCTCTCCCCGAATAACAATCGGCACAACAACCTCACTCCGGCTCTCCGCGTCGCATGCAATGTGTCCAGGGAACTTGAGGACGTCGGGCACAATGAGAGTTTCCTGGTTCGCGGCGGCTGTACCGCACACACCCTTTCCAAAGCTAATCTGTTGGCAGGCCGGCTTGCCGTGGAAGGGGCCTAGAAGGAGGACCTGGTTTTCCGGTGAGGCATATGTGGTTGAGATTGTTACGCCGGAGACGCCGTCTGCGCCGGAAAGGGGAGGCGAGGAAATGGGCGAGGCGAGGGCGGGGAACTTGTCATCGCGGATGTAGAAGCCGGCCCAGTTGACGGAGGAGGAGGGGGCTGGGAGGGCGGCGTAGGCGTGCCAGAGGAGGGAGGAGACGTTGGAGAGGTTGCTGGGATCTTGGTTAATTCCTTTGTTTCAAGTGTCGTGTGCAATGGGAGCTTGCTCACCTGACCTGTATTTTTTTTGGAGTTAGTGAACTGGTTCAGTTCTGGGTGGGTGCGACCGCGATCGAGGACTTACCCAATTGCGTTGACCTGAGCAAAGGCCTTTTGTTTGGTCGAGCACCTGCTCGTAGATGTCGGCCTTGGAAGAGCCTGGGAAAAAGTATGAGGCATCGGCGTGAGGCTGGAATGTGTCAGTGACTTCCGTTCCTGGCGCGCTTACTGAAACATGATATGCAGGGGTTGACAGGAGGAATAGATTGACAGTGGGTCAATTTCGCCTTGGATGTAGACATACCATTGTGAAGGGGAATTAATGAATGAATTGGGCGTAGAGAAAGGAATCAATGGTGAGTATAAAGGGCAGAAATCGAAATCTCTCAAAGTGGAGCCCGGACGAGCTCCGCACCGTGCTTGGACCTTTCACCCTCTTTGACAATGATTTCCTTTGTTCGCGCTTTTCGCTTCGAACCAATCGGATCTTGTCTGCTTCATTTGATCTGAAATCCCACACAAAGAATCTTGGTTTCTCTGTTTCTGCCTCGATTGCTGGCGCGTCCATCACATTGAGGCTTAACCCTTTGCGGGGTACATCCACTGAACCGTGTGCCATGTCAAACCTTCCACGTCTTCTCCGAGAATTTCTCGTTGGAAGCGGGGTTCATGACTCGAAACGGCCGACTTGACTCGATCTTTGGTTCAGTACGGCGCTTAGCCATTGGCTTTGGAGCTTAGCAGTCCTAGCTTCATGCTGCCAGGGACGTTTTCGCGGCTTGAATCGGCCTTGCCGGGCCAATTGATCGAGCGACCCTGTGTTGGCCATCTTCTAGATCGCTCTCTTCCGGATCGACTCGGGTCTCATGCGCTCCTGGTAAAGACCTGAACGGGGGGAACGGCGTACCGAACACCCGATGTAGCTGGTGTCTTTGTACCAGGCCGCGGATGATTAGGCGCACTTCCACCTGGAGGATCGATCTAGCTCTTGAGATTGATCGCTTCTTACTTTGGAAGCGCTGGCTGGCCCTTTCTGAGAGGTTCCGGCTAGAGTCCAGTCCGTCAGTGCCTTTGATCCAGCCGTCGGCGTAGCTGGTGTGGTACAATTGCTCCTGGACGTGTACTTCGTCCGGTGTAATGCGTACCACTGGTCCTTTTTTTTATCAGCATCGGTCAGGGTGGATGATTGACATTGGTTACTTACCATATTTTTGGTGCATTCGATCAACCTCGTCCTCGAAGGATCCCACTCCCCATGCCGTGAAATAGATTTCATACAGACCAGTGACAGCTGCGAGCCAAGGTCCGGGATACTTGCTCAACGGATGAACATGTAGTCGATATAATATCATGACCAGGCCATAGGCCAGGACACTGCCCAGAAAGAAACAAGCAATCATTTCGATCCTGCGGGTAGAATAGTTTAGCTGAGTTGTATGAGAATACGACATTTTCCCCTTGAAGGTGCATCATAGACGTGATCTAAGCGAAAGGAATAAACTGAAGGGATTACACACCTTGACTTTGTATATCTTCAAGCCAACCAGTTGACCGCGATAAGATCAGCCTCTTTCGTGTTGTAGAGTGTGGTTGTACAACTTCAACTCGAGTACAAAATGACAAAATGGCCAGGGACTCGTAGCTAAAAAGAGCCCTCTGCATTCGCTTCTCAGGGCAATTTCTTTGCCCATCTTACACGGACCAACTGCTCCCAGGGCTGTCCCACTGCGTGGCACACCGCATCGTGCGATGATCAGCTCCATCCGACATGCTGATTGGTCCCTCCGCTCGTCATACCGCCAATCCCACAAAGCTAACAGAACCTGATGCACGGCTTCCTATCGTGAGATCTGGTTTGTTTGGTCTCCAGCCCCGTGGGTTTTTTTGTCATTGAGGATTGGTGGTGTACTCTATCTCGGGGCTGATGGGGTCCACTACCCGGATCGAAGGCCCCTCCGTCGGATCCATAGGGTTCCAGGTCGATCTATTTCATAGAGCTGAGGCCGCGAGGTTAGACCGCTACTTGTCAGTTTTTCCTTACCGACTCTGATCTATCATCGGGCTTTCATGCACCAAGTCGGTGTTTTGCACGTCACTCTGCATTCTGCATTGGGTATGGTGGTGGTTCTCCAGAACTCGGGGAATTTATGATTCTTTTCACTTCACATTCTGGAGTAGAGAGTTTTGAGTTTGGGACATGAAATCGGCGATCACATCGAAGTTTGCCTCCGGGTCCTCTATGGGTCTGTTATCCACCTGTGGAAAGGACGAGAAACGAGATTTGTGGGGTGGTTTGCCATCGTCTCCGCTCAAGCGCACACGTGCAGGATTAGCGTGCTAGGGGAACACAGGGAGAATTACACGAATTCTGGGGATTTGAGTTCCTTTGAGATCAGACTGAGGTCAATGGAGATCGGCTGTACAACTAATATGCGCATCACTAGAAGTGGCTTATACTATATGCCTAGCGGCGTTATCGTCAGAGATCGCACCAGTGATGGTTGTTCTATAGATCGCGGAGATACCCGTCGAGCCAGTCAAAAGATGACAGCATACTCTCAGACACTTAGGTAACGTCATTGCTGTATTTATTGGGGAAAGTATCACATGTGATGACCACGTACGGTCATCCATTAGCTGTGCTAAATGCATCCCTTGGTCTATCGGTCTGATGTCTGACGGTACAGCCGTCAAGGGATGAGAGACAAGCGCATACTTACATTGAGAGATAGATCATCTTGAATACCCCACCTCGATGCAATCATGTGGTCTCGCTTGAAGTGCCGCCTGGGTCGACATAAAGAACACCTGCGGAGCGCCAATGAACAAGCACTGGGGCAACCTAGGCCGGCGCTCTGGGAGGGCTCAACACTCACGCACGGGGAGACCGGAAAGAATAAGAAATATCTACGAAGGTACTCTTGGTCGCGTAGCGTAATATTATAAGATATTCGAATTAATAATGGTATAATGATCAACTTGAGTTGACAACCTTTCAACGATCAATCTCTTAGCTCTTTTTCTGTTCTACTTCCTGAGGTCGTGCTCTGTCTGCAGCAGCAGTATGTCCGGTCAGAAAACTGACAGCACCTGGACCAGTAAAGTTCTTCTTGCCGGTCGTGATCCAGGTAACGATACTTAGAAGAGCAACAACCCCAATAGCAGCACTAGTATAGTTCATCGACTCGTGGTTGACCGGGTAAGTGCTTGGGAAGTTGAAGGTGATGGAAGCGAACAAGAGGAATACGAGTCCAATAGCGTTGAGCGCAATAGACACTGGGACGGAGAATGAGTATGGGCCGTCCAGCTTGATCACATGCCCCGAAAAGTATCCGAGTAATCTACTCCCGAGAGCCATGGCATAGGAAAGATCTAGGAACTGTTAGATGTTTCTTTTGATATAGGGGGTAGAGGTTGAAGGTCTTACAGAATCCCTCGGTGGATATCGAAATGACTGTTTCAAAGCCAGTAGTCGTGCCAAATTCAATGGCATCTAAAGCCAGTTGGACTACAAGGGTGAGTAACACTGCATTCACAGGCACCTGGCTTTTGTTGTTGACCTTGCTGAAGACCTTCGAGAAAGGAAGTCCATTGTCACGAGCAAAGGCATACACGGAACGCGATCCCTCAGCCAAGATATTGTTTCCGGCAACTATAACAATCACAGTGATCATACTAGACAATATCACGGTCGCAGCCTTGCTTCCAGTTGAATCGTAGATGATCTGGATGACGGGCACTCCAGTGCTGCTACTGGCAGTCGATGCGATATCGCCGATGCAGAAGCAAAGAGTGACAAGGAAGACGAAGCCAGTCACCGCACCAAGTATAACTGCGAGAACAATCGCCTTCGGGGCTTCCTTGGAGGCAGATTTCATTTCCTCCGTCATATGCGAGGGCGCATCGTAGCAGCACATTCCAAAGCAGGCTTGCAAGATACCTATGATAGCGGCCATGCCTGTGCCCCAACCGGTTGAGTTCTCAAATTCCGTGAAAACAAAGGAGGGTGACTGTTTGTGATCGTTCATTGCGAGAAGTGTAATCGTTATAATAATAAAAGAGGCGACGTTCCAGATCAGAATGAACTTCGAGATGCGGTGGAGTAGATGGGATCCCCATATATTGACGGCAGCCGAGAGAAAAGCAACGAGATAGGCGACGAGCACGGTCTGCCATCTTTCAATGACATAGTCGGGGAATATCAGGTTCGCCATTCCAAGCACGAAATTCGATGCAATCGAGTTGTTTGTCGCACCCATTGCTAGGACACCTATTCCCCAAACATGTTAATGTTTCTTCACGACATATACCCAAAAAAAAAAAAAAAAAAACACCATACCAACGAGCATAAACCAGCCAGTAACATATGATAACCCTCGAGCAATCTTTGGAGGAGCGAGAGCAGCAACCCATGAATATTGACCACCAGAAACCGGAAGCATGCTGCACATTTCCGCCATTGGAATGGCAACGGCGAGTGTGAGAAGACTAACGCCAATGAAACTGAAAATCATCACCGGCGGACCACCAGATGTGACTCCGACAATGAACACACCACTCAGAGCCGTCCATCTGAAGGATCCATAAGCTTGTGCTAGGAGGCGCCTTGGGAATTGTTACTTACGATGTCACAACACTGAAACTAAATCCAATCATGCTAAGCAGACCAAAGGAACGCTTGAGCTCTGAAGAAGGAGATTAGCATCCCAGAAGCTTCCGAATCTCTCCTTCCTAAGACAGACTCACCCTGCTCATAACCTAAATTTTCCAAACGAACATCTTCGCTGGTGGTGCCTTTAAACACCTGTGTCCCGTCTTCATTCGACATTCTTCTGACGAGCCGAAAGCTCTATAGTTGGCAAGGCAAGCTTATACTTTTCACCCGGCGGGCGAGGATATCCTTAAGAATATCCGAGGCATGGCATTCGTATTCCTACTTCCCCCATGTTTTGCCCATAACCCCATAGAGAGATACAGGGACGATAAGATAGATTGGCATACTGTCCTTCCTGATCGAGAAGGTCTGCGCGACGCCGGTGGGGCTAGTCTACCAGTCTCGGGCAGGCAGCGAACTTTGTTGGCTTCTTTGCGGGGGCGCTCCATGACCGTTGATAAGCATGGCTACACTTGCGCGGTTTGTCATTTGTCCGGGAGGCTTGTGGCCCAGGGCTGATATCAATTCGTGGGGTATATGTCGTGGGAATTGTGTAATAAGATGCCTGGGTATATTGGGGGAGGCTTGGTGTCTCTTGGGATTGCCTTTGTTGTTTTAGCTTCGGAACTTGGACAGAGGTTGTTTGATAAGAGCATGGTGTATTTTGTCTTCGTGATAATTGACATTGCCTTTATTATCTACTTTTGAAATTCCATTATGACCACGAAACGGTCTTCTCTATTCAAAGTCCAATCGGATGGCCTTCAGTCCTGTTCCGATGGCACTTCGTCGTCTTTCCTGGTTAGGTGTTAGGGCATAGGGCTTCGGAAGATGAAGCTTCCGGCCAAAGAAAGTGAATACGCCCCCTATACGCTTTCTATACGCAACACTGGTTAATGTCAGCCGTGTCTGGTTTCGTGTTCATATTCTAATTCCAATCTAGTAATCGCCTCTCGCCGCTTTAAATCGATCAATAGAGTTGATCAAAGTACAGCGCTAATTGAATTGTAACCTTGCATTTTATTGTCGGGTCCAGTGACCCCTTGGAACAAAGCCAACTCGTGCCCGATAACTCTAGATCGTCTGGAGGCGAACTCGAAAAGCAAGAAATGATAAACTCGTTATACTCTTCCTTTTTCGTCTTTTCTTTTAGGCGCACGCTTAGGCAGAATAGAGGCACCCACCTAAGGGCGTCTTGGAAAAAGAACCAGCACCAGGCATCATGCAAGAATGGAGGGGCTCGAGCAACGGGTTTGAGTCGGAAGTTCTCAAGCATGATGGACATGAAGTCCAAGTGCAAGTGAGGAAGCGCGAGTGGGATGAAGAAAACAATAAATTGATGGTAAAAAATGATAGTAAAAATTGATAGTAAAAAATGATAGAGATCCATATTATGATTGAGAGACAAATGTGAGCTTTTAGTTCATTTTATGTTCATAGCCTTCCCCTGTCTACGGCTGATCCGCGAGTGGCCTGCGTTATCCTTCAAATCCTCACACCTGTATTACGAGGAATACAGCAATCGTGGCCTGTCATTAGAGCCAGTAAACATTCATACGATCGATACTAAGTTAAGTAAAGGCTGTGATTCGCAACTAAGTATATCGTAAATTTTTATACGGTACAATAATACCATACAATGTAGGATGGCACTATATATCCAAATTTTGCTACCAATATCACATCATTTCACCAATAAGTTCTTTCACTAAGTTCTCACATAGATTTTAGGCTTCAGGCGCTCGATGGAGTGGATATATCATCTGTGTAGTCCTTTACGGTCTTCTTCTTGACCTTCCAAGGTTGTCGAGCACGATCTTGACACTGGCCAGTTATACTTTGCACCAGCGAAAGATGCGATCCGATGAAATTCGATGCATGTAAGCCCGCTGCCCAGGCATTTGAGGTACGTCAAATGCAAGCTTTGCGGATAATTGGGACGAGAGGAGCTCCTTAGGTACATTTTCTTACTTTGTGGCCAATCGTCTGGAAGTCCCGATAGATTCCGGAGCCCGTCCCAAGTCGCAACTAAAACGCAAAATAATTGTGATACGTTGCTCGGATGTTGGAAATACCACTTATCTAATTTCGTACAGACGGGACGGCCGAAGTACTTCTTCACCGACATCATCAACCCCGCAACAGCAACCTAAATACACCCACCAAATCCACGTTGACACCGAAAGAATGGGCATGAAAGCGCGTTGCCAATGCTCAAAGGTGCAATTCACCACACCAACAGAGAAGCCACTCGCACTTTACGCATGCCACTGCACTGAGTGTCGTCACCAAAGCTCTGCGGCGTTCGGCATCACCGCCATCTTCCCCTACTTCGAGCTACCAGAAACTGCATTCCACCAAGGTTTGATTGGAAGCTATACTCGCGTTACAATCAAGGGCAGATACATGGAGTGTTTGTTTTGTAAGAACTGTGGCGCGCGACTGCTACATCTTATTCATGACACAGCACCTGTGCCTGGCGAAAAGCCGAAGCCTACTTCGACTGCGAATGTGAAGGGTGGTTGCCTTGAGGATTTGGATCAGGAAATGATGAGGAACGTTGTCCACATATGGACCAAGCACGCAATCGTGGAGATTCCCAAAGGTGCAGAGAAGTGGGACGAAGCGCCGCCAGTTGTGAATCCCTTGGAACGTAATTAATCCAACAGAGCTTCGACGGTCTATATTGATAAGAACAGTTGATGGGTTGATGTGAAATTGATCATGTTTCAATCATTACTCAAGATTAAATCTGCCTTACATACACGGTTGCATACTCGGATAATATCAAAGACAACATTCCAATGAGATAAGTTAGCCGAAATGAGCGGTCCAGCCGTTGTCAGCCGAAAGGCAGCCTCCGTTCACGATACCGACTCCCTTGCCGCCAGCCAAGTGCAGGGATAGCTCGGCAGCATCTTCCAGTTCACATAAAGGAATTTGGAGCGCCTTCATAGCGGCTGTACATCTGTTCATACCCTCGACATTCACGCCCGATTGAATCGATTCAAAGATGTTGGTGCGCATACCACCCATCATCAAAGCATTACAGCGAATGCCCTTCTCGCCATAGAAAGCAGCCGTATTCTTGGTCAGCCCAACAACGCCATGCTTGCTAGCAGTGTAAGCCGCGCCTGAGTAAAGCAGAAATTAGACATGTCCGAGAGCAAAATGGGGAGATGATAGTCAACGTACCAGCAGCACATCCCGCCTTACCGGCGACGGAAATGATGTTGATAATCCGTCCTTCAGGTTTCTCCTGCTCCAGCATATTGCGAACAGCCAATTTGCTCAACAAGAACGGAGCAGTAAGATTGATAGCAATAACCCGATTCCAGAGCTCTGGGTCAAGATCTCCAATGGGATCGAATTTATCCATGATACCAGCATTGTTAACGAGGACATCAATCTTGCCGAATTCCTGAATAATCGCTTCAAAAAGACTGTCCACCTCGCTTGGACTGGTAATATCGGTTTTGACGGCCTTAAAAGGTCCCATTGGCGAGAGTTCCGTCGAAGTCTGCGCCAGACGCTCTTCATTGATATCGCAAATCACCACGTTGGCGCCAGCTTCGAGGTACTTTGTCGCAATGGCTTTGCCCAGGCCACCGGCACCGCCAGTAACAAGGCATGTCTTGCCGACGAGAATTTGTTCAGTCATTATGAAATATTAATGGTTGTTGAAAAAGAGGGGAATATTCGTGGCGCGGGCTAGATTTAAGTAATTGGTCCATGGTGACGGAAGACGGCGTATCCGTATTCCGTAGATATTAGCTTCCCCTATCCACTGTGTTCGCATTTTGCGGGTCAGTTGTTCAATTTCCCAGATGTCGAACCACCCCCTGGAGAACGTGGTTCCGGTAATGCTGTCTGCCGACCGTCACATTGGATTTCGGAATAGGTGGGATCAAGGGCCCGAGTTTACTACGAGGCGGTCAAAGCCAAATTGTGCAACTAACACTCCATGGCAATAATGATATTGAAATCAGTTCCTGTGATCCCTGATCTATAAATGCATGTCTGTACTCGTGGTTCGTCGTCACTCGTCGTATGCGGCCTTACATAATACGTCGAGTGGGGCCATTCAAGTTGCTGCTTTATAGTGCTCAGTAGATGTCAGCACGCTCAATAATCGGCCTGAAGGGCTATACAGGTCATAGCCGTAGCTCGAATTGGCCCATGAGTTCTATGCGAGAGGCAACGGTAATTTGAAACTGGACTTGGTATGAGCTGCAATATTTACTTTGCATCGAGCCTATCCCGTTATTTCAAGGACAATGGGAACGAGACTCAGGACTACAAACTTTGCACCTTATAAAGTAAAGAGCACATGGTTAGTAAGCCTATCAGACAGATATCAGATCGAAGGTTCATGAAAACTAGTGATATACGTAGGCTTCCTTCAACTTGTAGAAAGAATGTTCAATCCGAAAACAAATATTGCATCTCAAATGAATTAAGCCAAAGCACAGGCATTTGCTTGATCTTAATAGAAGGAAAAGAAATCTCAAAGCCCCAAAGCTGCATCTAATCCCATATGCCTGCCTTTAATCCTCTCCATACTTGTCGAAAACCTCCTTGGGACGTCAGCTCCTGATCTCGGTCATGTTCCTATTCGGTATCAGAGTCGGGCACTGGCTCGAGGGCCTCGAACGGCTCATCATCAGCCGCAGCCTCGGGCTTGGACTTGGTAGCGTTCGTGGTGGGGCTGGAGACATTCTCCTCAAGATTCTTCCGGAGTTTGTTCTTGGTTTTGGTGTAGACGGTTTTGGCTGTGGCCACCTCGACCTTAGTCCTCTTGGCAATTTCGACAAAGTTGATCTAGTCAGGTTCCCTGTCAGTATATACAATACAAACTAGTATCGCCATTCAAATATCGAGTAACGGGATGGGTAGGCAGACATTCATTAGAGGTCTGATTCTCGTAACTTCTGTTACTAACCTTGCCATAGTCGTCAAGCACGACCGTAGAGAGAAGAAGGAGACGTGTCTCCCCCTTAGTCAGGCCATAAGTTTCAGAGTGGATATTAGATGTGCGAGGCATGATGAAAGACTTTTGTCAGTTCAAGTCCGAAGTACTGAGTATAACTTTGAGTTGAGTTAGAAGGTGAGTTGGAAGAGGTAAGTTGGATGGAGAAGTAGTAAATGTATCGCAAACTAATTGATCTATCCCATAACTTGACATGTGAAAAGCTTGCATTTGGCTTAGAGATGAAGCGTCTGAAGACCTGCGTTAATAATGATTCACTAACGGACCTAGAAAACCGCTTACTCTCAGCCTTTGAACAGCACAAACTCACGCATCAATGAACGTAGATCCTGATAAAGCGAAATAGCAATGCTATTCATAGTCAAGCCAACAGTTTCCGCAATTGTCGACGGGCTATGATGGCCCATACCACCCCTGCTGGTGCTAGTGGAGATGTGAAAGCCAATTGGAAGAGGTATGAGTTGATAGATCATGGATTTTGTATACCTCGGTCACTAGTAGAGCCTGTTGAGCCTGACGCTTTGCGGAGCTGGACAGTATCTCGCCTTGTGAGCGCTGGTGACGAAGTCCTCCGAGACGGGAATCTATGGGCGTTTTTGTTCAAGCTCCTTGAATTCGACCGGTGTTATCTCCGTGGATTGGGCCTTCAACTGATCTGCTTCGAGCTCGTGAGGCGGTTGGTGGTGTTAGAGCGTCATCAGTGGGCAGCTGCTTTGTTTAGCTTATTAATGCAACCGAAAATGCTGACGAAAGGGGAAAATACCAACATTTGGCTCAAATCATGCGTCCTTGTCTTTGTAACTTCACAATGGTCTCGTTCTCCGAGTCTGATAGGCTGTAGCATCTCCGAATTCATTGCCGGGTCTTCCATTGGGCCCCAATTGTGCTGGGCCATGATCAAATGTGGCATTCTCAGCCGAGTCGAATCTTGAGTTGTGGAGCATAGCCTTTGGCACCCTCATCACCCTGTAATGAGCTAGCTTGAATTTCGAGTAGCACTGCCTGTCGGATGGAGCTGCCTGAAAACTTCGCAGATCACATGGGTCCTGGGAATGGACAGCAAGATGGTAAATGATGCTTTGTGGCCTCTTTGTATGCAGTATGCTGGTGACAGCCCCATGACCTCATCTTTATTCCCAGAAAGCACCTCGCTGTGCTTCTGCACGGATAAGGGCTTCGATTTGATCATTTCAGGTACTTTTGGTACGTTCCTGTCGTCCGGTATGTCAAGGTTGGTAATTCGGAGGTCGAATCTTTCGTCGGATTCCCTTGGGAATTGCGATAGCGCCGACTTGCGACAAATTTTTGTTTCACAGATCATTATATATCAAATAAATCATGATTAGTGAGATTTGAACCATAAAAAAGGGGTAACATGCTTCTTCTTAATGCAATTCGAATGAGCTATCATACATACGAAAGATGGCGGGGGAAATATTCTAAGAGATTTTGCGCTTTCACTGCCTTTAAGCCCTACGCAATGCAAAACGTGGCCCACGTTTTGAAGCACTCTCTTTGTTCCCACCGTAGCACTGGTTGCGACGCAATGCTGGTTGTGGGAACTTACGATAACAGTCCTCTTTGCTTCAGGTAGAGCTGAACTGGTTCTTTAATTGTCAATACTAGGGTAATCAAGAAATCAGAAGAAACAACAATGACGGGTTGTATCATAGGTGTCTATGTATTAACATGTCGGACTGCACGACTTAGTAAAGGCCATAATGACTGCCACTGCACGAATCAAGATCCACTTCATCCTGAGCCGAAAAAGAAATCACAAGGACGTGTTGACTCTTAAGCCTGGACCTCTTCGGAGTCGTCACACGGGACGAGGGCCTGAGACGTGTTGTCGTCGTCGGAAACGGACCGACGCTTAGGCTTGGGACCGGACTTCGAAGGGTGGTAATCTCCGAGGGCCTTGAGAATCTTTGCCTTAGCCTTTCGGAGCCCACTGCGAACACTGTTCACACCAATGTTGGCGATTTCAGCAATCTTATTGTAATCGTGCTATTTGCGTTATTAGTCAAGGTGTCCAATATAAACGTATCTGGCAAGTAGAATATAAGGCGGATGGATGGGCTATTAGATATTCCCATGAGGGTCATGGATTCTTGAGTCGTGGGTCACCAACCTTGCCGTGTTCATCCACATAGGCGTACGCAAAAGCGAGCAGGCGCATTTCGGCGGTGGTCAAGCTGAATGGCGTCTTCGAGAGAGAACCAGGGCCCGGCATCATGTAAGAGATAATGAGTATCGAATAAAGGATGCGATATGAGTCTTGCAGGGAGGATGGTTGCTTAGTCCAGGTGGAAGTGGGAAGAGTGAGTAGAACGGAGCAAAGGATAAATTGATGGGAGCAAAAGACCTCAATTAATCGCTGGACCCCTAGCCCTCAATTCGGGAGTACTGGCCTGAGGACTTCGCAATAATAGGATGAATATAATGGCAAATCAACATAAGGTGATCCCTAACGTCCCCGCACCCAGGTCCGGGCCTTCTTACCACGTAGCTATTGAGTATGGATGGGCATGTGCCCTGATTCTTATGAACATAGAAAGCTTAAGCCATATTTATACGAACCGGGCTTGAATTTCCTTATTTTCAGCTAAGTAAATCAAAAATAGAAGTGGGCGGTAAAGCGTTTTTTCCAGCTACCGATTACTTTCTGTATGAAATCATACAAATCAAATGCTCGCTATTCACGGGGGCAAATCGAAATCCAACAACATGCATCAGCATCTGTGTCCCGTCAAAGCCAGAGAGGTAATGATTGTAGCTACCCGAGTGGCTATTTATGTCATGGAACGAATGAAAAAGAACGACTATATAGACATCAGAGATATGGAAAGAAGAACTACTCGTAAGCGGCAGAAAAGCCCCGAGTGCTATTTGAGTGCTGGTAGGCTCAGAGCTGTCACCTGACAAGTTTCTCGTACCATGATCATAATTGACTTCCAGGGAGGGCTGTCAGTAACTTGGTAAAAGCGCCGATAGATGGTATGTATGTCTCTAATCTTACCTTGGGAAGTTGTATTCCCTTTGCAGTCGCGGCATCAAGTTCAAAATCTGGAAGTAGAAAGTCGTGGTCCAAACCAGAATCCTCGTGGCCTCTTTAATGCATTCTATATTTATCAGCTAGGCAGCGGTTTACAGATACAGCGTCGAATTTTTGGGAATTAATTGCCATGGTTACCTTAGGATGAACAAGATATTTCAAAGAGGCTAGTCAGATGCTTTACGAGCCAAGCTGACACCTACTGCAGTGGTAGTGGGTCATATTCAAGGCAACCATATAAACGTGAAGAAATGTATTGATCACCTCAGATATTAGGACTGCACCCAATGCCTGTCTACTCCCAAGGTTGGCACCTTGCCCAGGCATCGGGAGTCTCTCAAGCCGCACTCCCGTGCGCTATGATGCATAGACGCCTTATTTGGTGGATCCGCACACACAACGCACGTCTGTAAGCCACCCTAGGTAATCGGGGATATCGAAGTGCGTAAGTGGGACAGCAAACCGGCCATGTGGGTCTTTATGCGGGCTTGTAGGTATGTTTGCAAGATATATTATATGCTCACTTCTGTGGATAGCTACCTAGGTAGATCGACAACTTCAGCAGTCCACATGATACCCGCCCATTTCCCCTTATGCTAGATTAGGCAGAGCGCATGACGGGATATTGACTTGCGATAGTGGGGGAAAAGTCGGTCTTAGAGATCTGCTCTGTCGCAACGGGCCTAATGGCATGCGGTTAATAGATTGTTCAAGGGTAGCCGCACATGCTTGGCTGCCAGCAGAGAATGATTATATTTTAAGTACCATGAAATCATCGAGTGAGTAGTCAGTTTGATCCCATCATCAAATATATTTCCTATGGTATTGATAGATGTGTGGGTGGTGTGGGATGTAACGAGTAACTATGCCATAGTGCAATGACAGTTGAGGGAGGGGCAGTAGGGCTAACAGGGCCAAAAGGGGCAAATTAATATGCATCAAATTAGATGGGTTACCCATATGCAGGGGAATATCTCATGTCGCATCGCCTAATTCTGCACAGATTAGCTTATTCCTTGATGAACTTCTGCAGAGTCTGAAAGCGGGCAAGCCGGGACAATCCAGATCGATCCAACGGCCAGGATGCGGTTGCTGCAACCCAAAACCCTGCCACGAACATAGTAGTCAGGAGCTATCTTCTGACTCACTCCTCCAAGGGGGTGCGAGCAAGCTCAGGTGTGGTGGGGTGAAAGATCAATAATAGTCACTCATCCGAGACATCCACACACAACTCCAGTGATGTAGGTGTGCGGATAAAAGAGGCGCAATTAGTGACATTCGTCATGGATCTCTACCAATCAGAAGTGGTGTATGTGTGCCTGCTGGGTCGTTGATTAGGTGTCGGCTGATCGGAAACGTTGAGGGCCGCCACGACTCTGAGTGGTCAGATAGGATCTCTCTTGAGGGGTGCAGGAAACATTGATCCCGCCCTGAACCCTGAGTGGTCACTGCGCCCTGGAAGTGCGCGGGAGGAAGGACGTCATCCCTAGTATGGATCTGCGTGCGAATCACAGAATGACCTGGCTGTATCTCACGCATGACCGGCGGGCGATCAACCGCGCCTGCTCGGAGATCTTCAACCCCGTTGCCCTCTCGAGCTCCGCCATTCAGACTCGATGGAGCCTGTGCATGATCGCTATAGATGGATATATCAAATATTATTATTTTTAATCCCGGGGATTCTTGTCTCTGTGCCTTGAAACGAACCCTTTTGGTCACCAGGCGCAGCCGCGTGGGAAACAAGCCTGAGCTGTCGGGAGTCATCGAGGTTTCACAGGTGCCTGGCCGGAGCATTTTCTTTTAAAAGGACCGCATTCCTCTTTGTCTTTGCTAAGGGAATGTTTGTACCTGTTTCCCGTCTGTGCACGATTTTATCTGCAGGTTTTGATTTTCCCTGAGACGTTTCCACTCCAGCTACCCGGATTACACGGCATATGCTGTACAGCAACGAATCGGCGGGGGAATTGGGAGCCTGGTGGATCAACTCAGGCCGAGACTGAATTCGACGGTCTCTACAGTTCAATAGTGAGTTGGAAGTTCTAGACTTTTTCTTCCCCTTCTGGTCGTCAGGTACCGACGCCATCCGGGACGGGAGCCATGGATATCATAGATAGTGGATCTCGGAAATAGGCATCTTAGGGAAGAGCCTATGAAATGAGATGAAACCACCAACAAAAAAAAACGCCAAAGAGAAAAATGACGCCATGTCCCGGCAGGATTGAGAATGGGCCCCCCCGAGTGGAGTCCGGAATCCCCGCAACCTTGGAAGCCAGAGTACGAAAATATGAGAATCCCACTAATATAAGGGCAGATGCGCCGGAAAGATGTAAAATCCCCTTCGTCTTCGGAATCCTCCTATTACCCCTCTTCGCTGAGTTCATTTTCAGGTAAGTGGTATGCTTCCATAACTTTGCCCATTCCCGCTATCTTGGAAATCTACATTCCACACTTCACTCGACACGTGTGCGCATTCCGTAATTACGTCCATTTCTGATCGCGTGCATAGGGCTCTCCTCTCCTTCACCTCGTTTGTCACCGCGCGATCATCTTGAAACTTTGATTCTGAGGCACGGTTACCCCACTCCTGTCTCCTTGTCCTCCCTGCGGGACTTGACCTCCACCTCATCAACTTATAATCCCCCTCCTTCCCCACGCTACCGCTCCGATTCTCCTCCCACCGAAGCTTTTGAGTCTCTCGCTCTCTCCTCCTCCACTCGTCCAATTCCCATCCCCAGACGGGCAATTCGGGTCTACGGCGACGATCTTCCAATCACTCCGCTCACGGGCCGTTTCGACCACGACGACTACTTTGACGATTGGGAACGTGCCTCCTTGTCCGCCAAGTCCCGGCACGTATTGCCTCGACCATCCGGCCGCCGTGGTCGATACTCAAGCATGCGCTCTGATACATCTCCCTTCTACTCGCCAGTCGCTTCGCCAACTATGTCGCCCAGACGGCCCAGTTCACCCCAACCTTCACGCTCCTCGCGTAACCAACCCTCAGCCAAGGCCATGCCGGCATTCCATCTAGGAACCTTGCCCCGCTTCCACCCCGCGGTCTATCAGCCCGGTCCTACCTCTCACACGGTGACGGGCCAACCACCCTCACCTCGCCAGTCCCGCCAATCCCATGTGTATCGCACCACCTCGGGGTCTCGCGAGATGAAATTTCAGTACCGTGACCTCTTAGATGCTTCAAGCCAGAGCCCGTCCGCGCCGCGCCTGGACCCACTTCTCAGTCCCGGCCCGGTCACTCCCCTTGCTCTCGAAGCAGGCGACTACCTCGCCGCCGGATCCATCGGCAAGGATCTCGCCATGCGGGATACGACGAATCAGCATGTCGGACCCCCGCCAGACCTGGTGGAAAAGCTGATTGCCCGAGAAAAAGAAAAGGCTCGCCAGAAGAGCCGCAAATCTTCCAAGGGCCGATGACGCTGTGGCTTGAACCATTGTTCGTGCACGGATACCCCGGCAGCTACTGCTACTGCATGAGGGCCGTTATCATTGGTGCTTTCGCATATCCTTTTCCAATTCCTTTGATTAAGTTTCCTTGTTCATTTCCTTTTGAAAGACTGAGACCCATTGCCTATCATTGTCTCATCCATTATTTTTTTTCTTTGGTGTTTCCGGCATGAAAACACGATCTCGAGAACTACAGCATCAGATCGTGTATGGGGGTTTTTTTTGTTTTTCCCATCCTTTTCTCGTCTTTCTCCCCAAGGGCAACAATTTCGATTCAGACTCGTGTTGCCCCTTTTCATAACGACATCATGTATCTATACCCCCTTAGTCGTCATATGCATATCAGCTCCAGTTTTTTTCAGAGTGATTCAATTGACATATTCAAGACCAGGCCTTATGCCTTGGTTCGGTTTAAACATACAAACTTCGTGAATTCTAGAAGTGCGTGTCCAATTGGGTCACCTATACCATCCCCAATGAGCTGGAGGTAGGCCTGTTTAGTAAGGCAGGGACGCCCAAATAGGTATTATGTGTAGACTTCTGAGGCATCTTTTGGGGAAAGAACGAGGCAGCACTTTCTAGGAAGGCACTGACTTGAGTACACCCTTCACTCTCACTTCGTCTCTTCTTGCCCTTCTTCTTTCTTCCATCTCCTCATCTTCCCCCTTCATCTACCTCCATCTCCCTCAACGCCATCCTTGCAGATTTCATCATTTCCCATTTCCTTGCATCATCAAGATCATCAACATGATTACTATTCACGTCTCATTTCATGCTTATCATCTTTCTGAGGTATCCATGATTGGGTTTTGTTTTTAACTGACCGGACTAATTAGGCACTCGACCAAGAACTGGAATGGCATTTTTCTCGATCATTATTCTCTGGAATTCACTAAGATACGCGCACTTGAAATACTTTGCTGACACTGATACAGAGTCTGGAATGTTTCGGCAATCTATGCTCACGAATACTCAAACCGCCCACACGGCAAGAATGAATGGTGCATACAAGACGGCTCGGAATTTCTTTCACGAGACTGCTCACTGATTACTCACGCGGGCAAAAGGAAGAGTGTCTTGTAGAAGGCCGATACACAGAATTCGACTGCCCACGCGGAAAGGATGAAGTGCCTCTGGAAGAAGCCTGGCTCACGGAACCCTACTGCTCACGCGGAGTCCCACTGCTTACGAAAAATAGATAGTGCCGCCTACAAGATGTCTGAATTCGCCCACGGGACGAAAAAAGAGTATTTGAGAAGACTGGCTTACAGAATTTATCTGCAAGCGGTTTGGATGGGGTGCCGCTTGAATAGCCCTCGCACGGAAATCCACTGCTCACGCGGAAAGGGTTATACGAAATCCCAGACTAGGTCAGCTATATCAATGTCCTGATTTAGTCGGATGTACCGATTGTGGAGGATCCAGTGTCCCGATCATTGAAAGTCTGCCTCCCGCGCTATTTTGAGAGCTGGTTCCCTATGGCTCATTTCGCCCCGAGGACTGATTCCCAATGACGGGTATGGCAGGCTCACTTTAGCACCCCGAGGTTTGATCACCAATGACGGGCGTGGCAGGCTCATTTTAGCACCCCGAGGTTTGATCACCAATGACGGGTATGGCAGGCTCAATGTATCACCCCGAGGTTTGATTCCCATTGAAGGGGACTTGGTAGGCTTAAGTTGGTCATTTCGGTTATTGAATGTCATTGGTGAGCTCTACTCTGTCTCCTTAACATCCTCCTCCAGGTCTAGTGAACGGTGATCAAGAAACATGTCATTTCGTTGCGCCAGCATAACATCAAGGTACGTGTTGAGCTGCTCAGATCCTTGATCGCTGATTGGCAGAACTCTGAATACCTGAGGTGTCCGCGAGATCGGACCTGATCCCGGAGCCGCACCCTTCCTCCCCGAAAGAAACCAGCGGATGCGGGGCCTTCAAGGCCGATCATTGAAGAGTTTCTATTCTTCTCTTCACCCTTACCAGTCCCTTGATACCCCATAGATCTGGTTCAGGGCCCCGCGCGATATCTTGCCCCTCAAAAACAACCCCATCCGCAGCCCTGCCAGCCATCATTGAGCTGCTCTCTGCTCCCGCTTGTCGCGCGACCACTCCGCTTCATCGAGACGCGCTGACGCTCCATTCTTGGTTCTCTCAGCTGGAAATACCGGCGCAGGCGCCTTTGCAATTTATACACTTTCAATATGACTGAACACAGTTCTCCATCCAAAGGAGCGGGGAGTACGAACCTTGCGCCAATGCCCACACCCGCATCAGCTCCCGCTACCTCGACAAAGAAGGACTATAAGGGCTTTGTGGGTGGAATCTTCTCCGGCATTGCAAAGTTGAGTGGTAAGTCAATCGCAGCCGTGGTTATTTCGCTGAAAAGTCTTGCCATAACCTGAATCGTTGCTTACTTTGTTTCTTAGTTGGTCATCCGTACGTGTCGCGAAATCCCCAGTATATTCCCTTCATCCTTATTGACAAGGTTCTTTCTGGACAGCTTCGATACAATTAAAGTCCGCCTTCAGACAAGCAAAGATGGTCACTTTAAGGGGCCTTTGGATTGCACCATGCAGACAATAAGAAAAGAGGGTGTGCGAGGCTTGTACAAGGGTGCAAGTCCACCGCTAGTTGGGTGGATGGTGATGGACTCTGTGTAGGTGTTTCTTACGATACAACGTACATTTCGACGCTAATTCCTCTCATTTATGCAGTATGCTAGGATCACTGACACTATACCGACGGCTCCTCCTCGAAAATGTCTTTTCTAATCCTGGCCTCCGCCCATACATCCCTTTCACACGCAGCCAACCTGATTTAAAAACGCTTCCAACATTTGGCCATGGTATCGCTGGTGTCATGTCGGGAATGACGGTTAGCCTTGTTGCCGCCCCAGTTGAACACATCAAGGCTCGGCTTCAGGTGCAGTATGCTGCGGACAAGAGCAAGCGCATGTACAGCGGTCCCATCGACTGCATTCGCAAAATTGTAAGCTTCAAGGATAAACTGGAAACATGGCTTGATTTGCTGACAGTCTGGGTTTAGCTTCGCACACATGGTATCAGCGGGGTGTACCGTGGCCTGTGTGCTACCATGTTCTTCCGCTCCTTTTTCTTTTGTTGGTGGGGCTCCTACGACCTGATTACTCGGTACATGCAGAAGAACACCAACCTCTCGGCGCCCGCAATTAACTTTTGGGCTGGAGGCATCTCAGCTCAGGTCTTCTGGGTCGCCGCTTATCCATCGGACGTGGTGAAACAGCGTCTGATGACAGATCCGATGGGCGGGTCTCTGAACGATGGCCATAGACAGTTCCGAAGCTGGAAAGATGCGGCTGTGGCTGTCGGGCGTGAACGTGGGTGGAGAGGGTACTGGCGGGGCTTTGTGCCATGCTTTATCAGGGCGTTCCCGGCGAATGCTATGGCCCTGGTTGCATTTGAGGGAGTGATGCGGGCCTTGCCATGAGCGAGACTATGATGATTCCGAAATGTACATAATAAGACTTTGAAAATCGCACAAAAGAACATGGACATACATAGACATACATCTACTGATTAGCATGAAGATATCCGATTCTTGCGATTATCGAAGCTCCGTACATCATTCGACGGAAACGCACGGGTCCGAGCTCAAGAATGTTCACAGTCAAATAATATAGCCGCTTTCGGTGAACAGGTGCTCGGGCAACTGTTCCTGGATTCTCGGCATCCTCGGCGAGTTGATTCCGAGACCATTTTGGTATGAGAACCATTGAAGGCCGAGGCTGCTGAGGTGGATAGTGTAGTATAGTGCTAGTACCATATGTCTCTTTCCGGTTGGCCAAAAGTACATTTGCAAGATTTTATCTCTCTCTTCCTTCAAGTTCCTTCCCTCGTCCTTGCTCGTCCGCCTTGAAACGACAGGGGTCATTATTATTATACTCTCTCGTCAGCGAAGCAATTTAGGTTAACGCCAAGGTTTAATCCTGGACCCTTGTTGCCTGAGGCATTGGGTCAATCGCCGTTTCAGATTGAGGATCCGGCCACTTTCAACACTTGTACATCTTCAATTTGGACATTTGGTCGGAACGGCCATGGCCGTCGCACGCTCAATGCGACGTACAAGTCCCACCAGCCTTGTGCTGGCAGCTCTGCTGGCCTTTGGATTCATCTGTTTTCTCTTATCGCCCTCTACACCCTCCGCAGGAGCCGCCGCAACATCGCAACAGCGACAAAACGATGCAGCCGAACACCCTCTCTCCCCACCGACAAAACCCTTTCTCAAGTCACAGCCGATTCGAAGTGATGGCTACCGAGCGGCCCCACCGGTTGTTCATTACGATCTCAACAATCTCACCAGCACGGGCACCTCCGCGGCCAACGGCGAGCGCATCCTCATTCTCACCCCGCTAGCTCGCTTTTTCCCAGAATACTGGAACAACCTGGAGAAACTGTCATATCCTCATGAGCTGATATCTCTGGGCTTCATCGCTCCCAAGACGAAAGATGGCAACGCGGCCGTCGCAGCTCTAGAGAAAGCCATCTCCCGCACACAGTCAGGCCCCATCGACGACCGGTTCGCGAGTATTTCAATCCTACGTCAGGACTTCGACCCGCCGATTCAGTCCCAAGACGAGAAAGTCCGTCACCAAATGGCCGCGCAGAAGGAACGCCGTGAGTCCATGAGTCGCGCCCGGAACAGCCTCGTCTTCACAACCCTTGGCCCAAGCACCTCGTGGGTTCTCTGGCTCGACGCCGATATCGTGGAGACTCCCTCCACGCTCATCCAGGACCTTACACGTCACGATCAGCCCGTCATTGTGCCCAATTGCTTCCAGCGCTACTACGACTCGAAGGAGCGCAAATGGGATGTCCGTCCCTACGACTACAATTCATGGGTGGACAGCGAAGAGGCGCAGGCGTTGGCGGCGAATATGGGTCCCGATGAGATCCTCCTCGAGGGTTATGCGGAGCTTCCTACGTATCGCACCCTCATGGCGTATCTGCCGGACTTTTCTGCTCTTGACCCCCACCGCATGGTCGCCCTGGATGGCGTTGGCGGTACTGCTTTGATGGTGAAAGCGGATGTACATCGCGATGGCGCCATGTTCCCTGCGTTCCCATTCTACCACCTTGTTGAGACGGAAGGATTCGCTAAGATGGCACGACGATTAGGCTATGCGGTATTTGGGCTGCCGGATTATTTCGTATGTGGTTTCTATCTGGGTTTCCGTGGCATCAATTCATACTAACATGCAATATAGGTCTACCACTATAACGAGTAGCTGTTGCTCGTCTTCCATTCGCAAATCTTGTTTTAAACTCATGCATGGGTTGGGCGCCGTGCGCCAATCATGTATTTTCATCTTGACCTTGCTTATGAGGCAAATTGCGCATCCTTCGGCGTCTATATTTTCTGTTCGGGGTCCTTGTTCATTTTCTGGGATGGCCATTCTTCATTTTCTCGCTTGATTTCTCTTTTCCTTTTTGCAGAACATCAAATTTGATTATATCCTTTGCTTGCATGACGAAATTGACTAACTGGTCTCTCCATAGTCAGGTCGCTAGACATGGGGAGTTTGTTGGCGTTAGAATTGAGAATTCAAAGACATTTGGATTTCTAGACATGAACTCTGAAAGAAGTCTGTATCTTGATTTGTTGATGTCCAGGTGTAGTCCATAAACTTAAACGGGTCAAAAAGGTTGATCGATTCTCACTAGATTTATATTGTATAAAGGAACCTTGGTGGTGATACATGTTCCCACCAGGTTCGTCCGCACGGACAACTTAATCTTCACACTTATTTTTCTATTGGTGGAGCAGCTCCTACCAAATATCACTAGTCCAAGCTTGGAAATTCTCAATGCCAAGAGATACTATAACCATGTCAGTAAAAAGTAATCAAAATTAATCCAAATGATGATACTCACGCAAGCATGATTCCCGCACCGAGAGCAATGGCCAAGAACTGAGTAATGGTCTTGCGTACCTCGGCGCCCTTGTTCTTTCCAGTCTCCAGCAACTCAGGAATGACAGCCACTGTTCCAACATATAGGAAAGTTCCCGCGGTAAAGGGAAGCAGCATATCACCCCAGGTGAGGCTAGTGCCCCAAAGACCAGAAGCAGGCGCATCCTCCAGCACAGCGCCGCTTCCGCCAAACTCCTGCACCGCGATTCCAATGCAGGTGCCCAGGAATGCGCCTATGGCGGTGACGAACTGAGCACCCATAGCCTTGCGCTTTGAGAAGCCAGACTGAATGAGCAAAGCGAAGTCACCGACCTCATGCGGGATTTCGTGGAAGAACACGGCAACAGTGGTGGTTGCACCGAGGGTAGGCGAGGCATAAAATGAAGAAGAAAGGGCCAGACCATCCGTGATATTGTGCGTGAAATCAGCAATCAGGTTGAGGTATCCGCCTAGCTTAACGCTGGGGTTGATTTCCTTCTCCTCGTGAGAGGGGTCGGAAGCAGGTTCGACGGACTTGTTGTTCGACTTGCGCTGCTTCAGATCACCGACCTTACCAGTCTCCGCACCGCTTGTGGATGCAGAGGATACTTCTGTGTGCGAATGTCCGTGCGAGTGGTCGTGGCCCCCTTCGCCGCCCGTTGCAATGCGCAACGTCTTGTCCATTGCAACAAAGGTAAAGAATCCAACCATGATCCCTAGACCGAGGAGAAGGTTCTTATTCGGTTCAACCATTACAAAACTGACGTGATCGGGGGAGTCTTCACCAAGGAAAATCTCTGGGAGAAGGTGGAACAGGGTGTCGCCCAGTAATCCGCCGACGGCGAAAGCGACCATTACGGACAGAGAGGAGGGATCGATGTTGGGTGGACATAATGCAAGAAGGAAGTCTAGAGCTGTCAGTATAGTACAATTGCATCAATTCAGACTGTATGAGCTTACTGGGAGGACCGGAAATGTACAGCGTCGCGAGCAGGGCGTTCACGGCAGGGCTCCCCGGAAAGAGAACAGCGAATATCTGGGCAGTTAAGCTCGCAGTTTCTGGGGCTGTAGCCTGTTTGTGCTGATTGAGAGATTCAACAAGAGGGCAATTCTACTAATGTAAGTCTAACTGCAAAATGAGCCGGCGTGTTCTTCCGTACCTGCAGCTGTTCCTCGATCTGGCTAACAGACATGTCCTCCGGACGAACGTTAGCCGCGGCTAAAGCCGAGAATAGGAAGCATCCTGCCGCAATCGCGAGGCCTGTCCGATGAGAAAAAATCCGGTAAGCCATTGTGATATAGCAAAGAGAAGTCTCCTGAGAGCAGAAAGTGGAAACCAAAACAAGCCGTGGGGGCGGTCTTATCGACCCGGCATCGCACCACTAAGCACTTATCGGACCCTGATAGACTCTGGGCAGCTCACCGCCTTCCGTGCGGAGGGCGAAAAAAAAAGTTTCTGGGCCGCGCAATCTGCAAACCAATACCACTTTTTATACAACAAAATGGGTAAACTCCTGCAGAAGAAGAAGAATCGGTCCGGCTTGTCCAAGGCCAAAGCCAAGAACAACCGTCTCAAGAGCGGTAACAAGAAGATTAATGTGCTGGGCAACGCCATCATCGCTGAGAACTGGTACGCAACGATCTGAAGGAATGAAAGAAAAAAAAATCAATAGATCAAAACACTAATGCCGAATCTAGGGACAAGAACCTCACTCTGACACAAAACTACAAGAACCTGGGTCTTCTCCACAAACTCAACGCCCCCACCGGTGGTCGTGAACGCCTTCCCGGAACAGAAGATGATGCCAACGCTTCCCACTCTCTGCAGATCCGCGACAGTGGTAAGGCCGCTGCTCAGATCGAACTCGGCGAGATTCGTGTCGAGCGTGATCCCGAAACTGGAAACATTATTCGTGTCATCCGTGAGGATGAGCAAATCGAAGTTGCTGGTCGCTTGCGCAAACGTGCCAACCCGCTGAACGACCCTTTGAACGATATCGAGGACAAGGTTTTGGATTTTCAGGGTAATTCTTCCGGCACCGATGTTGTGAAGAAGCTTGAGCGTCAAGCCAATCGGGAGGGCGTTGCCGAGAAGACTAAGAAGCCCCGACACCTGAGCACTCGCGAGATCGAATGGGTTTCACGGCTCGTCGAGAAGCACGGCGATGACCTTATGGCCATGGTCCGGGACCGCAAGCTCAATCCTATGCAGCAGAGCGTGGGAGATTTGCGGCGGAGAATCGACAAGTGGCAGCAGTGGAAACAGTCCCAGGAGTAAATTAACGGGCTCTTGCACGTATCTCTCTAGCATTCGGTTACGGCGATTCGGGCGTTCTCTGGGTTGTGTTTCAGAAAACAAAAAGTGGTCTAGTGTTTGTACGCATATCCATGACAGATAAATCTTGAGCAGTAAATAGTGGCTCGGATCGAGCAAATATTATATTTTCATTTCGTGACTATTCATTAATGGCCTAGGGTCGAGTATGTGACGGTCGTAGTGCCCGCCGGAGGGATGTTCATGCGCTGCACAATCCGCACCCATCGACGACGTCGCCATTCTCCCACCCCAAACGAAGCAGGGTTTCCTTCTTCCCAGTCTCGGATGGCAGCCTTGCCCCGGCTTCCTTTTGACGGTGTACGATCTTGTCTTCTCTCTGGTGGCAAGTCTCCATAGGCCATCGCAGTCATTTCTTCGTCTTCGCTGGCGGATAGTTCAACCGGAAGGTCCCAGACCCAGCCTCCAACCTCGTCGATGATAGCATTGCCTTCTGGCGTCACACCTGGAATCTCAAAGCCAACGCCAGTAATCATGCGCTCCACCACCCATTCCCGGCAGTCTAGGTCAAGTTCCCACTTCTTGCTCTTCCACTTCCATCCTGATGGCGCGCGGACATCGTCAAAGAATCGACACCCACGGGGCCGATCGCCTGCGATCCGAGACGGAGACAATGGATCATATGGTAGTGGGCTGAACAAGAAATTCTCCCAGCCTGATTCTGAAGCCCCTGGAGCTCGGTGCTGAATTTCAAAGATCTCGACCTCCCGTTCTTCCGGTTCGGTGTCTAGGGAGATGTCCGCTAATTGTTCCAGAGCTGACGCGGCCGCGGATGGCGTTTTCGGGACTGGTTGTCCAAACAACTCACGCTCAGCTTCATTGCTGAGGGGCACGTCTTGATCTCCTACTCCGCTCACGTCCTGCATCAAACCGTAGAAGAATTGTCGCACTTTGGGGTTATTCGACAAGATACCTGCATTCCCGGCCGCTAGCATGATCAGCCGAATCGGTACAAGATGTGCTGTCAAAAATAGCACCACTGTAGCCACTGCACAGCCTAAAAAGATAGCCGAGGATAGCTTTTCGTTGGAGAAGTTGGTGAGTGGCGCAACTACGGAGACTGTTGCATCATGAGCGTCGGAGAAATCTGCCATGCAATTCTGTAGATCGCGCATGTTGCGGAAAAAGTCCTTAGATGTCTCAGGGGCCGGCTTGATGGTTTTGGCTGGTGCTAGTGCTGGGCCTTCATAGGAGTAATAGGGTGTCGTGCTGGAGGTGGATGTAGAAGGTGGTGGAGGGTGGCGAGTCAGGAAAGCTGGCACCATGATAAAGAGCAGGAAAACCACCAGCGGGAGCACTAATAACAAGTGTGGATCCAAGCAGATGAAGGAATATACGAAGAGAAAAGACAGGGTGTGGGTTGGTGTCTTCCAACTGAACAGACCCTCTGCCTGGGCCTGGAAGAGAAATACCACACCGATTCTATATGAGAGTCAGTCTCCACATCTAGTATACCTAGAGGGGTCAAGTGGGCTGACACTTACCTTGCATTAAATCGGCGAAAATTATTTGTCATTGCTGGGAGACTGAACGGTGGTTTTTTAGGGGAGTTCGCCATAACCTTGTCCCCAGTGACGGTTTCCGCGTCATCGTCTGCTGGGATGACTTGTTGCAGAAGCCTGGATTTATATCAGACTACCCTTCGTCACATGCATCTTCAGATCCTAGGCAGACACTTACTTGTTAAATAGTCGGTCCTGAAGGGAGTTTTTCGACATGGAAGATGATCGCGAGTGCGCGCTGTCAGGTGAGCCTTGTCTCTGCCGCGGCTTCAACATGGACAAGCCCGAGCCCGAGGGCTGGTTGCAATCCGTCCGATTTTCTGAAGCTGGATCATCCATCTTGAAAGATCGGGAGCATGGCAGTTAGACGAATTTAGAGGAAGAGGTAGACAAGAAAAGCAATATGGAAAGAGGAAAGCTGCCGAGGGGAGATCATTCTATGGCTCCAAGCACATGCTGTTGCTAGTTCGCTGCCTTATAGATCGGGCGATAAATCGTTGTCCCCATGGCTTAACTATGTGTATTGCTGATACGATATTACCTCCTACGATCAGCACGTTCTATGTGGGGTTCATTTCCAATGGCGGGTAATCTAGTAAGCCGTTGTACCATACAAACACAGTTTACAATCAGGGGAAGTTCCGAGACTAAATGCGGATACTCTTGCTCCTGTCTTTTGGTCCTTTTTGTCCTTTTCTTTTCCTCCTTCACAGGACACATTAGGTGTTCTTTGACATTCCTACCTATTCCTAATTCCCTTTGTGGTGCTTTGTTGGTGGATCCTGATACCCTGCGACCGCCTTAGCACCTGCCCCAGCAACACGACCAAAGCTACACCAAAATTATTTTTGGGTGATTGGAAATTTCCCACCCTCAGTGATCTCCCTTAACGTCCCGACTGCACATTATCTCGGGCATCGCATACGGCCGTTCCTTTGTTACGCCCCGATATGGACCGGTAACCGCAATTTGACGAGTCGCGCGACTGTGCTCAAGGCTCTTCCGAGTGGGGATTTCAAACCCGCTTTCTCCTGAATGCCATTGCTGCCAGTCCCTGGCATTTCTCGGTCTGGTCAGCGCATCGGGCTGTCAAATTAAGGATCGGTCCTGTTTCAATCGGACTGTGATTGGGAAATATGCCCGCCAACCCATCCCAAACTCCAGGGAGGGGTCAAGCTGGCTCTGTACAATCCCGCTCATCCAACCCGTCTAGGAACGATGACTCGGGCTCTGGAGGTAAGTCAGATGAGAGCTAATTCTCATAATGTAAGAATATTATCGCTCACATACTTTGCAATAGCGGAAACCCCTGCCCGCAGACGTCTTGTAAAGGCCGCTTCAACCAATTTCCATACGAATTCTACGACCAATTTTGATTCTCAACCCTCGAGAGGGGTAGCAGGACCCCGTGTTGGGGGGACGACTCGGAGGCAATTGTCTGTTCGAGGCAATGTTCCTCAGGGGCCGCGACCACAGGACGCTTCGCGTTGGAGGTGGGTGTTGACTGCCCCCTGATTTTCGCAGCGGGCAATCATTGTTTCAGCAATAATAACTAATTGTGGCTTTTTATAGCAAACCGTCCGGTGGCTACTTCCACTCCGAAACCTCATCGGTCGACTCCACCAACGAGTCTAAGGGTTATAATCTCCGATCTACGAGTGTGGGAAATTTGGCAAAGCAAGACACCACTCAGATTCCCCCGGACAACATGGATTTTTTGGCGCCAATAAATTTCGACGACTTCCACAACAGCATAATGGCGGAGCCAAGCTTGAATCATTTCCCCATGCCTGGTAATGGAGGCGTAGGGTCTGAGAATAGGGACTCAGGCCATTCAACCAACAGCTCCTGGACGAATCACAGCTATGAGAGCAATATCTCGGATCGCACAAGAAACGCGTCCACCCGCCGGAAGAGTGAAGTATCACGCTTCCATGGTCAAAATGTTCCAACCCCTGGGATGCTCACGACCTCCAGCAACACGCGATCGCGACGTCAAAGTCTCGCTCAGCCGGCCGCTAATGGTGGTAATAGTCCCACTGTCGGGGCGCGCGCATCTCGCAAGTCAATCAGCTCCGGCGCATTCGCACCCACGAGTGCTTCAGCGAGACGCGCCAGCTTGAGTGCTCGCAAGGTCAGCACCGACCCATCGCGAGACCCGAACAATCTCCTTCGGCCGCGGGGTACACAGCCAGACTCGGGACGGGATGAGCCTAAAGTGCCCTCCTCCGTTCGAAGCCTCAAGGCAAAGTCTTTCCAGCCAACTGCGCGAGAGCCACGCGGGGCTTATTTGACCGCGACTGGAACCTCGGACCACAGCCGATCGTCCTCGACTAATGCTGTTCGCACACCGGTCAAGAATACGACCGGGAATCCTGCTGCTACAACGCCCACTTCTTCGTGTTCATCTTCCAAGCGTATGTCTGTCATGCCGCACGCAACTGGTTTAGGCGCCCGTACCATTAGTCCCACGGATGCACGCCGCATGAAGCGGATGTCCATCGCACCTCCTGCACCTCCCATGCCACATACCCCCCCCCACACAAACAGAGCCCCTTCCTGTTCGGCCTCTTTCCTCGACCCAATCCCCCTCCTTCCTCCCAAGAAAAAGCATCACCCCATCCTCTAACCGGACCACGCCAGATCCAAACCGCAAGTCCTACAGCTCTGGGTTATCGCTGTCCTCAAATACCAGCTACAACTCCATCCGGAACTCCAGCAGCTCGCTTCAGCCACGTCTTTCCCAGAATTTCTCATCCTCGCGATTACCCACGCCCAAGCCGCGCACGGAACAATCATCGTCGAATGCGGAGGAAGAAGTGCCTCCGGTCCCCGCAATCCCCAAGGCCTATGAATCCCCCAAGGGTGAATTGGACGCGCCGGTCTTTCCGGCCCCAAGGAAGTCCAGCTTACCAGTGGATATCAGCCTATTGAATATTACACAGGATTCGGACAAAGAACCCCAGAGCCGACACGGTGCTATCGCCGATGACAACAATAATGAATATACGACTGAACGGGCGGCGAAAACGCCGGAGTCGCGAACACGGACGTCCACGGTTTTGGGTCGCAAGGGCTTGCAACCATTGAAGCTGCCTCCTTTGAACCTTCTACCGTTGGGCACCCCAATGACGACCAAGATCGAAGCTTTAAGAGACCGGGAAGCAGAAGAGCGGAAATCTTACACTCCTTCCAACCAGGTCACTTCGAAGACACCAAGCACGCCAATGACTGCATCAAAGGCATCCAACTTCTGGTCTTTCCGCGACGATGAAGATAAAGCACCTGCTACTCAGGTACGGAGCAGTACGTCCCACTTCGCGATCAGCTCTAGCGCAACGGCGGCGTCGTTACGGGCGGCCAGCAGTACTAGCGCGTTTGAGTCTCTCGATACGCCCAATAGCAACCGGAATATATCGCCATATGCATCCTACACACTGCCCAAGAGCAGCAGCGAGTTCAATGCTCTCCGTCACCAGTCTACCGGCGACTATTCCGATAACCGAGCATCTCATTCGTATAAATTGACTGGTCCACGCCCGCAGACGCAGAGTGCCACTTTTACCCCTGCTGCGGAAAGATTGAGTCAGATTTCGACCCCATCTGAACCAGAAATCACTACTGCGGTGTCAGGCCCCTCGCTTCGGGATCGCTTGAATGTTGCACGAGTTCGCAGCAACTCCAAGATAACTCCCTCGTCTGACATGGATACGGATCCAGCCAAATACGACCATATGCCACCACCCAAACTCCCGGCATCCGCAACTTGGAACAATTTGTCTTCCGTGCCTTCGACAAGTCCTAGTGTCAAGACATCTTACCTCAAGCCCCGCCGTCAATCTTCTGTGTCTAGTATAACAAAGCAATCGGCTTCCCCTCGCAAGCCCAGTGTCAGCAGTGAACAAGGCGTGAATCTGGAGCCAACTCGTTCCAATGATTCTTCTGGGAGTCTTGAACCCTTAAATGCCCGACCCAACAGCACGTATGTGTCTCCGGTCCATAAAATCATCAACTCTGCTCGTTCTAGCGCCGCAGCTTCTTCTCGGCCGACCGATGCCAGCGTTGATGCTGACATAGTTGTGGCGGATGAGGAGATGCGCAGGCTTGGAGCCAAACGAAAAGACTTTGAGAGCGCCGCCAAGGCATTGGATGAACTGCGTCGCAAAGCGGGACCAAAGGATCGAGTCAGTCCCGCCGCGGCTCTCAAGATGGCCAATTTGAACATATTTGAGCGCGGTGAAATTATTGATTACCGAGACATTTTCTTCTGCGGCACTCAAAATGCGAAGAAGCATGTCGGGGATCTCCACTCAGGTGCTGCAAATTTCGGATACGATGACGATAGGGGCGACTATAACATCGTGATGGGCGATCACCTTGCATACCGTTACGAGGTTGTGGATGTCCTTGGTAAGGGAAGTTTCGGACAAGTGGTAAGATGTGTCGACCATAAGACTGGTGCTTTGGTCGCAATCAAGATCATTCGCAATAAGAAACGTTTCCATCAACAGGCTTTAATTGAAGTCAACCTTCTTCGGAAGTTGAAGGACTGGGATCCCGATCGCCGCCACAGCGTTGTCAACTTTGTCGAGAATTTCTATTTCCGTGGTCATCTCTGCATATCAACGGAACTTCTCGGAATCAATCTTTACGAGTTCATCAAGGCGCACGACTTCCGAGGTTTCAATATCAAGCTCATTCGGCGGTTCACAAAGCAAATGCTCAGCAGTCTTACCCTCTTGCATGCAAAGAAGGTCATCCACTGCGATTTGAAACCCGAGAACATTCTTCTCGTTCACCCGTTGAATTCTGAAATTCGGGTTATCGATTTTGGCTCTAGTTGTTTCGAAAATGAAAAGGTCTACACTTATATCCAGAGTCGTTTCTACCGTTCACCCGAGGTCATCTTGGGCATGTCATACGGTATGCCCATCGACATGTGGAGTGTTGGATGTATCCTGGCTGAGTTGTTCACCGGTTATCCTATCTTCCCGGGTGAAAACGAACAAGAGCAACTGGCCTGTATCATGGAAGTCTTTGGTCCTCCAGAGAAACACTTGATTGAAAAGAGCACGCGCAAGAAGTTGTTCTTTGATTCCATGGGCAAGCCACGTCTGACCGTTTCGTCGAAGGGCCGGCGCCGTCGCCCCAGCTCCAAAGAGCTTCGTCAAGTTCTCAAGTGCGATGATGAAGCTTTCCTGGATTTCATCACTCTCTGTCTGCGCTGGGACCCGAGCCGGCGCATGACCCCTCACGAGGCGCTGAAACACGAATTCCTTACCGGTATCAAGCCGACAGCTCGGCCCAGGATGTATGCTCAGACTACCGCAAACTCCCCATCTAAGCGTGGCGCCTCAAGTGGGCGCCCACTGCCTGAGCCCCCCAGCTCAACCTTGAAGACTGGCGGATTCTTGCGCAGCCGTGATGCATCTGGTAATTCTCCGGTCAAGGGCTCCGGGAAGCGCCATTCAACAATCAATGGTCCACCGCCATCCAGCCCCGCCAAGCGAACGGTCAAGGATTCCACCACGCTGCCTCGTGCTTCCGCACGAAGCATCAGTGGGAAGCCCGACCTTGCTACCGCGGCGGCAGCGACCAGCTTGGTGAGTTAGCACGGAGCCAGTGGCTGGTTAGGAACCATAAAACAAAAGCTGACCAGCCGACAGAGGACCAAATAAACCCTCTTCTCCCCTACGCCCTGTAATAATATTTGTTTTTATCGTTTTCCTTTGTTCTTGTCTCATGTTCTCTCATGCATCAGGTGGTTTGTCATATCATGCATTTGTTGATCTGGTTCAGGGAACCCACGGCCAAAAGGACGGCATCCATCCTATACCCTTTTATGTTCGTGGACAGCATTTGCATCTGGGCCCTGATATGATTCATGCGACGGGGTTTTATTATGTTCATGTCTTTCGTTTGTGCTGTCTCTCGCTTCTATACTGATGACCCATCATTACCCCCATCAGGCCCTTTTCGGTCCTGCTTTTGTACAGTTTGACGTTGTTTTATTTCTTTGCATCTCTCCGAGAGAGTTTCACGACCGTGGGCTTTCTGTAGAGCATTCGGATTGGCTTTGAATCAATGCATTACTACGATACATACCTACCATAATAGATCTGGAGTACGAATACTAAGTACACAATTGCAAATTCCCTTTCCAAGATTATCTTCCAAAGCATCTACCCAGGAGGGTAATCCTTCATGTTTCGAAGTCTCAGTGTTGAGTCTGGGCCTTGGAAGCTTGGTGTTCGCGAAGGTTATCGACGCAAAATATATATACTCGTGGACAACGAAAGGACCCTCGTTAATACGGGACATACAGCTTGATATTACCAAGTCTAATGTTCTAAAAACTAGATACACTGGTTTGTAGGAAATTCAATAAGTAATCCTCAGTAGTATAGCTAGATTTTCCATTACTGAGCTGGAATTCGGGCAATTAGTGAGAAACGCTGCAAGTCGCGGCTATCATGTACCTGACAGAGTGGGTCGCGGCGAATCGACTACTTGGCCTCATCGCCTTATCTGACCCGCACTCCACCTTTCCTTTTCTGTTCCTTCACTGTTGTCCTTTCAATTCGCAATGAATGGCTTTGACTCTAAAGGCCTCGATGAGGATGCCTTTGGAGAAAAAGGCGCTCTTTCGGGACTGAAGACATTTGATGCTTTCCGTGAGTCTCCTTTGCCCATACGCTACACATATGCAGACAAGCGATCCGCGAACATCAACCTTAAATCTCACCCAATTTGACCACAAATATGAGACAAAGACATGGCAAGCTTATCTTTCTACTCTATTAGCGAAAACAAAAGCCTCCTACACAACCCCAACCCACCGTGGTGGCCAATGGACCGTCCTTATTCTCCTCGTCTGCACTGTCTTTAGCTTCTCCGAGCTAAAAACATGGTGGCGCGGCACAGAACAGCACCACTTTAGCGTGGAGAAGGGTGTTTCCCATGAACTTCAGCTCAACCTCGATATCGTCGTCAACATGCCCTGCGATACCCTCCGTGTCAACATCCAAGACGCAGCCGGCGACCGCATCTTAGCTAGCGACATGCTCAAGCGCGAGGAAACAAACTGGAACCTGTGGATGCAGAAGCGAAACAAGGACAAGCACGAGTACCAAACACTGAGCCACGAGGAGGAGGACCGATTGACAGCACAGGAGGCAGATGCACATGCGCACCACGTTCTGGGCGAGGTGCGACGCAACCCCAGACGCAAGTTTGCGAAGGGCCCTTCGATGCGTTGGGGTGATACTGCGGATTCTTGTCGAATTTACGGTAGTCTAGAGGGAAATAAAGTGCAGGGAGATTTCCATATCACAGCAAGAGGTCATGGGTATAGGGAGTCTGCGCCGCACTTAGATCACAGTGGTATGTTTTGAATTTGCTTTCGTCCCAAGATTGAACATCTACTTATCCTTCAATCCAGCTTTCAATTTCTCGCACATGATCACCGAGCTTTCTTTCGGCCCTCACTTCCCGACGTTAATGAACCCTCTCGATAAAACCATGGCCGAGACCGACAAGCACTATTATAAATACCAGTACTTCCTCTCCGTCGTGCCTACTCTATACACTAAGGGTCGAAGCGCTCTCGACGCATACAACCGGTCTCCGGCGTCGGCCACCGCTCGCACTGGCCGTAACACGGTCTTCACGAACCAGTATGCGGCGACTAGCCAGTCCGAAGAGATGCCTGAGACCCCCTTACTGGTTCCGGGCATTTTTTTCAAGTACAACATTGAGCCGATTCTGCTCCTTGTTAGCGAAGAAAGGGGTGGTTTTCTGGCGCTTGTCATCCGGGTGATTAACACTGTCAGTGGAGTCCTTGTTACTGGTGGTTGGATATATCAGATCTCGGGTTGGGTGAGCGAGATCGCTGGAAGGAGGAAGAAGGAGCAGCCTGAGGGATATTTGACAGGAAAGCATTATAAGGATTGATTTTGTCGAGCTTTTTGGTTTTAGTTTCAATTTATGGTTACATTTATATCTCTATATGGGTGCTTGTCATCCTACTTATCGCGTTTAGGTGTCTACGCTACTCATTAGATCGAGTGCAAGCCAGCGTCCGAGGCGCCGGTCATCGCTCTTAAATCCTTTCCCGATCTCGATCATGAGACGTGAATATTCATACTCGTTCGCGGTCCAAGAGTTGGACAGTCCTGGCTTCAAAACTGAGGTAACAGCAGCATATTTAAAACAACATTGGTGCAAGGTTTAGCTGAATTCCGACCAGGCCTAGAACTGTGGGTCATGAACTTATGATAGCATCGAAATTACTAAATAAACATCGTCAATTCATAATTTAAGTACACTCAAGCTCTAACTCATTGTGTAAATGGCTGCTTGCGCAGTGCTTTAGCCTGGCATTCCCACACAGGCTGCGCAATGTTCTGGAATTGAGGACCGAAATCCTCTATTAAGCTTCGAACAAAAGTATCATTTGATCCAAAAAGACATGAGTCGGGTAACGAGACATCTTCAAACTCCTTGAAGGTCAGATATTTCCAAAGACTTCTCCAATGCGACACTGATTGCTTTGCAACGGGGTGATCCAAGTCGAGATTTCTCGCAACTAGATAGAAAGACGATTTGATAGCATGGCACTTGGGGTGTTTGTAGAGCTGGATATCTGAGAACTGATTAAAAGCATTGAGTATGCAAACAGTATCCCATGCCTCAATGCGATGCAGAAGTAGGATCATAGAGCCGCCGTTTTTGAGACGATTCATCGCGAACACCATTTGAGAGACTGTCAGTCGTGTTCCTTCACAGTCTCTACGGTATTCCTCTCTAGGGTGGTCTCGGCCTACAGCTCCTCCACAGATGACAATATCATAATGGTCATCAAGCAGAGGCCGACTCGTGTTGAAATGGTTCGCATCAGGATGCCCACTCGGAATAGATCCCTCGTATCCCATTTCCGTGGGATACATCGTGATGTCGGCATAGATAATATGCTGACAGTATTTCTTCGCTAGCACTTCATAGCCGCCGATCTGGGGTGGCAGTGTAATACCGTCGATCAGTGGCTTTAAGAGGTTGTTCGCGGCTGCCGTTGTGAACCCGCCTGGTGCCATGCAGAGATCAAGGACCTTGAGCCCAGGAGACTTTGGTTTGAATATGTCAGTGCCCTCTGCTAGTCCCTCTCCGATTTGGCAAGTCATTTTGTAGAAGCTTTCTTTTGTTCTTCGGGTTGGGTTCGATGCGGTTTTTCTTCGTTCCTCAAAGAATCGATCTCCGTCTTCGTTCTTCCAGCCCTAGGCATGTTATAGGGTGTTTTAGTTCATAATGCTCAAGACGCTACGTACTTTTTCCTTCAAGTCCCTCAATAGTTGGTAAGTTTCATTTGAAGATATGAAATCCATCCACATTTGGGTTGATTCGGCCATGGCTTCCCTTTAGGGGCTGTGAATAGGATCTCTAGAAGTGCACAGGTAAGCTTAGCTGCTTTGGTATCCGAATGATAGCCAAGAGACTTGAAAATTAGGTCAAAGTGAGAGCAATAACGGCAAGTATCGAGAGTTGTGAGAGGGTGGGAGGAGGGGAAAGGGAGAGATAGAGAGTACGAGAGATAAATATAGTGGTGCGGCTGACTATGAAATATAAAAGCCAAAGAATAAGGCAAACTGAAACCTGTAAATGTATTTGCTATTCATTTAGATGCCCAAAAATACGGTTCATGCCTAATGTAGAGTACCATTTTTGTTATAGACAAGGGTATAGCGACATTCCAAGTGGCCAGTGGGGCGTCCTTGTTACTACATTTGGCATGCTTTATACGGTAGTTACATTCTAAAGTTCCTGAGAATGCTTAAACCAAAGGTTCTCTCAATAGCTAGTCTCATTGAGAATGAAAATCTATGTAGGCAGTGGCGCATGGCTATTATAACTGGATCTTACTATGTTCAAAGAAGATGCAACCCCGCGCTAAAATCATCTATGGAGAAGGGATGACATTGTAGATACCCAGTGCGTGTATGGAAACTTCAAGGTCCTTTTGATGCCTATTATATCAACAATAAGAATCAGTATGATCAAGCATAATCCATAGATCATCCGGAGACATGCTACCCTCGAGCACATTCCCACGACACATAGGACAAGTAAAGCTTCGCTCAAACCATGCCTGAATGCAGCACCACTCGAACCAATGTCCACACGGAAGTATAATAACCTCCACACAAGGACTTACAGGCTCGCAACATATAGAACAGCTGCAGTTCTCATCCTCGGAGACATTGACCACGTCATATAGAGGCTTGCGTGGTAAATGATCAGAGGGGTTCAACCGCCAAGTTTGATAGGTTTGAAGATCAATCAGTATATCCGAGGGGTTGATTTCGTTCTCTGAGATAGGGCCTGTTGCGTCAGGAGGGAGGGGTCTTCGTGGGATTTCAGAACAATGAACTCACCGTCGTGGGCTAAAATTACTCTGCCGTTTGGAAATGTTCCATTCTCATAATCGCGGAGGACTTGAAAGACATAATTCTCCTCTGCTTGATGTAGATTCTGTGCGGTCCGGTCTAGATTCCCCACTGTGGCTCCAAATTCTGCAAAAAGGTTGTCGATAGCCTCTTGAATTAAGCGAGATCGATCCTGTGCTGCATGACGGGTTGACATGGTGAAGAGGCGAAATTGACATGCAGAAGAACAGAATTTGTTGATGCTTGGTTGAAAGGGGTTCAATGTAATTCCGCATAGGCCAAGGGAGATAAATAGGTTGTTAATTTCCTTTGTGAGCCCGAGACCACCCCTGGAGGGCAGGTTCTTCATAGAGGTCTTTGTCTATATTGTCATGTAGTCTCGATTGCAAAGCCTGGCAGGGCATCCTCTTTGAGTCTTTGTGCTCTCATTGATCTTGTTGCAATTGTTTCATGTGAATGTAATGATTCTTCTCAAAATAGAACATGTGGACGAATCAAATGTATCTAGTTCCTATGATCAAGTCATGATACTCGTTTCATGATTACTCATAAGATCGAGGGGTGTGTATGTCTATTTTAGCTCAAAGAGAACATCCATTCAAAGAAACAACGCAACCAAAACATGATTGTAATGTTCAGTAATTATAAGAAGTCGCTAAGTCTCGTGGCTTTTGGACTCCATTATTTACATCATCTACGTTTTTGAAGTACTGCTCAAGTCCACACTCCATATCACTCACCTAACTTTGAATTTGTTTGCTAACGTCAAGTATCTATGAAATGCCTCGACATCGTCATACAGCCCGTCACACCCCTGATATTGCCGAAATCAATGACCTGGTTGCACGACTATACGTGAGCACGCCTGATGTCGCCGAGGAAGTGCGCGAACTTCTGGAAGAAGGCCTCCAGCGGCGAACCGGAGCTATCAGTCTACCACCAAGACTGCTGGATCGAGTTGTGTCGGCACCTGATGAACGCCGGGCAACCTTGCGTGATTGGATTGTCCCTATGATGGGCAGCGTATCGGACGGAACAACTCCGCATGCAACTTCGGCTCCGGAGCATGGAGGCCCAGCTCATCGACATGAAACCCCTGCGCCTCGACGTACAAGCCGACACGCAACCCCCGGAGCTCAACATGCGCCTCCACTCACGACGCATACACCTCATCGTGAAGTTCCAGTTGGCCACCATGCCCCTCGACACACTTCCCGACATACATCCCGACATGCAACCCTAGCTCACCAGGAGGCTCCAGTGGCTCACCGTACACCTCGACACACTTCCCGACAAGCAACTCCAGGTCATCACCAACCCGGAGACCGACGTCCAACTGCTGCTCGCCATGCTCGCCATGAAGCTCCAGTGGCTCACCATGCACCTCGACAATCGGCTCGAATCGGGACTCCGGGTCATCGCCATGGAGGCCGACACGGAGCCGTAGCACCTCGGCATGGTCGGCATGGTCGGCATGGTCGGCATGAAGCCCCAGTGTCTTACATATACGAGCCTGTCTATTCAATAGGCGAACAGGCTGCGGTGCCTCAAGAGGTCCTTAGCCGGCTGACCCGTCCAATTGTCACCCAGACCATGATCGACTCCGAGGATGCGGCTTGTGTTATTTGCCAGGAGGATATTAAGGTAGGGGACGAGGTGATGCTTCTACCTTGCTCGCACTGGTCTTTCCATGCTACCTGCATTGAACCATGGTTTCGTCGATCTAATACCTGTCCTTCTTGCCGTCAACAGGTTCGGTAGGCAATCATAGTCTAAGGTAAGTTAGAGTTGTTTTTTCTCCCCTTCTTTATCAAGCTTGGTTTTGAACATAGAACGCTGTCAATACATTATTTTTGCATTTTATATCTTTCACTTTGGATGTTCATTCTAGTAGAAAGGGAGACGTACCTCATCTCAAGCCTCTAACCATAATCTCTGAAAACCGTCTAGATTATCTCTTTTATGATTGATATGGCTCTTGAGAGACCGATCGTAAAATGAAAGAAAAGAAGCAAAGAAAAACAATCCTCAATTATGATGTCCTTCACTTCTAAGTCTAATTTGATTTTCCCGCCTGAAAACTCCGAATTCTTACTGACCAAGCAGCGCCTTTTTCACAATCTCAACTTCCTCGGCCGTTCCACAGATCAAACCCGCTCTCTCATCGCAATTCTCCAATGGTCGACTCAAAATATCCTCTCCATTAGAAGGATCAATAGCCCTTTCCCCCAGCACATTCCACCACCAGTGCAACAGGGAACAGCTCATACAAGCGGCGTAGCTTCGCCTCACTCGCACCAGTCACAGGCGACAAATACACGCCGTGACCCTTCACAAGGGCGTGCACTACATCGGGTACCAATCCGCCACTATACCGAAGGGTATACTTCTTCTCCACGTACTGCGTAATCAGGCCCATGTAAGCCGGACTCTCAGCGGCAGCGCGAAGATTGGCTGGAGCAAAGTAGCGAGTCTTGAAAGGCGCGTCTGCGAGTTTGACATCGGACCGAATGATCTCGTGGTTCTGTCCCGATTCTCCAATGCCAATCTCCAGACATTGGGGCTTGCCACCGGGGACCTTCAGCGCAACGATGGCAGTGGTACGGGGTCCAAAGACGCCCAAGATGGAAGCGATTTGTTTCTCTGAAGGCTTCTGATGAATTGCCGAGCTTCCGTCCCAGATACCGATAATAGTTCCCACGGTCCAATTGGGTGCAATGATAGAACTTCCGTCTAGCGGGTCAAAGGCGACAGTGTACTTTTCTGAGCCGGCGGGAACATTCTCCGCGTCTTCGCCGTCGCGAGCAGGTCGCTCGATTGGCTCTTCTTCACTGCTCGCCGTCAAGACAGAGGGACACTTGGCAAGTGTTGCTCGGAGAAGGTTCTCTGCTGCGATGTCGACGTTCAACTGGCCATCGCCGAATGTGTTTGTGGTTCCCGCCAGGGAGACGTGCTGTGACTGACGTAGTGACTTTGCGATGTCAGCGATGCAGTCTAGAAGTCCCGGTAGCACGGAATTGCATAATTCCGTGCGGCCGTGTGGCATTAAAAGGTCTTTGAAGTCAGCCATTGTGAGTTGTTGGTGGGAAATCAGCTCGGATTGTTCAATGACGTTGACTTGGAAGTTGGTTTGGTGGGGCTCTTTGGATAGCTCATTGCCCCACCTAGCCATATTCAAAGAAAACAATTTGTCGCGTTCAACATTCCTGTCTTTCTGAAATGCGAATCAATGGATGCCTCGATGACCTTTCAGCATTTCTCTTGTCAATGAATGTCTGTTCAAGTAATTTTGGATGTCGGCCTGTCTTGTTTCATCCTAGGTACCCAGACGGTGAACTATCTACACTACACACCGAAACCCTTATTCGTCAACCGTAGAAATTTGAGGCGAGATATCAACCGGCTGAACATACTAACGGCTTCTTTGAAACCGCTGTCTATGATACACCCAAGACTGACACAAGTGGGATAGTATCTTCAATTCCCCACGATTCCATTCGACACAGTTGCTTTTACCTTTGCGATTGCTGGGTCAGTCCAGTCGACACGGAACGCTGGTCTTGCCATTTTGTTACACTGGTGACTTGATATCGAAAATTTTTGATACCGCAATCTCAACAAGCAAGGCCGTGGTGTCAAGTCGGTCAGAATACAACATTAGCATCATGATGAATCGAAAGGGCCCCGCGAGAATTGAACAATCATAAATCAATTAATCTTGTAGGTGGTCCAACAATCAATTAAATAAAGGCTCGAAATACATCATGATCAATCATAGACCAGTAGTTTCGAAATCACAGAGTATTCTGCTCGGCGACTACAGCAGTCTCCTGCTTCTTGGATTCGATACCAGACAGGCCATATACAGTGATGAAAGCCATACCCATAAAGGCAGACACGCAGGAAAAGACCATCGCGACGATACCCTTTGCTGTGAATCCAGCGGGCAGCCACGGGAGCTGCTTGTTTTGACCAGTGAGGTCAAGCAGATTTACGGTGTTAGCCGCGGCGTTGCCTTCGTATGAGACGTCAGCAGTCTTGCAGATATTGATTTCGTTGTCGGTCAACGACATCTGCTTTTGAAGCTCCTCGGGCGCTTCGATAAATGACATTGCCAAGCCCTGCTGCAAGTGCCAGTCGATGTGGCAGTGGAAGAACCAAACACCCGGGTTATCGGCCACGAACCGGATAACAAAGTTGCCCTGTGGAGGTGCGACGAAGGTGTCTCGACGAGCAGGGTATTTCGGAAAACTACTGGAGGGGTTTTCGGTAGCATTATAAGCGACTGGGTCGCCCTCAGCGAAGTCGTAGAAAGAAGCACCGTAAGAGGGAGTGCGGCTGACGACTTGGAAGTTGTGGCCGTGTAAGTGGAAGGGGTGGGAACCCGTGTCCTGGTTGTTGAGGATCACCTCAATGACGGCGTTATGCTCTAGAATGAACGGGTGTGTGTATTCGCCGTAAACCTCGGCATTGGTGGAGAAGTCCCCGGATGTAAGGACTGAGTATAATGTTGGGACCTTTGGCTTCGTGTAGGAAATATTGTTGAAAAATGCGTATCCCGCACCATTATCCAGGTTAGCCATAATGACATCGACCTCGATGGTCATGTCCGGGTCCGGGAGAAGAGCCATCCGGTCGTGGGGAACAAGCTTGAAGTCATCGTATGGAACAAGGTCGGAGGCAGTGTCTACCGTCATCACAGCCTGAGGGTGAGCCGCACTGCTATTGTACTCAAGCCAGTTGGTCTGGTTGAGCTTAAGGGTGGGCGAAATCGTATCTAATAACTCGGAGTCGGCAACGGTCACGATTGGATAATTTTTGTCCGTCGAGTTTTTCATGGTAACCAAGATAGAATAACGTTGCGCCACGGCGATATAGAGAATGTCGGCCTCTTGTTCGTCAACATACACGCCATCAATTTCAACAATCCGAAAAGTGTGATCCTCGATGTAGAAATACTGCGCCACAAAGGCACCGATATTGATCAATCGCAGTAGATATGTCTTTCCTGCTTCGACGGGGATATTCGTGGCGCTCACGGTATCATTGAAGAGGAAGGAATCCGGAACAGGCTCGGCCCCAGTAGGGTTTTCAACACGGATAAACGGAATATCCTCAACAAGCTCGTGGTACCAATCACTCATGGTCACGGTATATTCTTCATCATACATATCGTTGAAGTATGACTGATTATCGTGCACAATCAAAGCTTGGCGATATCCATCCGGGTAACAGGCATCAGTGTGACAATGGTACCAGTAAGTGCCATTTTGCGGAATAGTGAAATTATAGGTGATCGAGGAACCAGGAGGGACTGGACACTGGGTAACCATTGACGGACCATCCATGTTGTTGGTCCCATTCTGGAACATGCCATGCCAATGGATGGTAGTGTCCTTGTCGCCCAACCCGTTGTACATATTGACAACTAAGCGATCACCCTTGTCTACCTCAATGACGGGCAGAGGCCACTGGCCGTTAACACCCACCACCTTGCGCTCATGAAGACCGTCGGGGTTCACATTGACCCATGAGACATTGAAATCCAGAGTCACTGTCTTCGCCTGGCAGTACTGCGCAAAAGGCAGGACTGCCATAAGCCATAACAATAGGCTTTGTAGAACAGCCATGTTGTGTTTGACGTGTTCGCCAAGGGGTAAAGGTGAAGGAAATCCCGTCAAAATAATGAAAGAGGCCTCGGGCCCGTCAGAAAAGCGAAAGATTGATTAGCAAAAAAACACGAACCCTTTTTAGTCAAGACCAAAATCCCGGTACTAACGAGAAAGTCAAAACCCCGCCCGGGTTGGCCGATCTTTCCAATCTTCCGTGCCCTAATCAGATGAACCTTGGAAAAGGCCAATGCGGGTTCACGTGTGAGTCAATCAGAGTTCCATTGGGTCGGCTCGCATAGCTAGCCTCGTTATTCTCGTGTCGGATGGGGCAATCGAGCACGCCTGCTATCGCTTCTGGCGGCTCAGTTTCATGACTTGAGTGGAGCTTGAGTAGGAGCCCGTGGTCGTTGGTATGAAATCTCCACCACGGCGAATCATCAGGCGAAAGGCTAATGAAAAAGCTTACGCCAAGCATGATACCGGGTCCGCGTATTTTTCAAAATTACGTCTAGTTCGATTACCGGACCCCATGGGACCATAACAAGCCGGCTACTTCTCGTTTTGTTGAATTCTTGAATCACTTCTCTTCCTAGCCTTGGGCTGTCAAAAGCACATCAGGCAACATGGGCAATAACCAAGTTTTCGCGGTCACCGGTAAGACTCAATGCTCCCATTTTTCGACGCAGTCGCTAAATCTTTCTGTCCAATTTAGTCTTTTTCATTTGTTTCCGAGAATGTCTCGAAACGACAGTCGTTGTGTCGGTTCTACTGGCCTTCTTGAAGCAGTCGCTGTACAATGATGATCGCCCGACATATAAACGATTGGTAAAACAAGTATGCGGAACCTCTCCTCAATTTCATGCGACTTGATGTGCTAACAGCGACAGGTCTGGCTGGGAATCGCTGCAGGCTTATTGATCTGTTTAGCGGTGGGCGCGGGTATGATCGGTGCTTTCTACACTCTTGGAACAGACACTTTCTCTAGCACCGAGGACATTTGGGAAGGTGTTCTGGGAATTATCGCATCGATTATCATCACCATAATGGGAGCTGCCCTCCTGCGCGTGTCTAAGCTTCAAGAGAAATGGCGCGTCAAGCTTGCTAAGGCCCTTGATCATGAGAAGAACCCTACTGAGACAAAGAAGGGTCGGGTCAAGAGATGGTTGGAGAAATACGCCATGTTCATTCTCCCATTCATCACCGTTCTCCGTGAGGGTCTTGAATGCGTTGTCTATGTAGGTGGCGTGGGATTGGGACTTCCTGCTACTTCTTTCCCATTGGCTGTCTTCTGTGGTCTTTTGGCTGGTGTTGCAGTGGGCTATGCTATCTACCGGTTCGTGCATCCCCGTCGATAAAAATATACAGAGCTAACCTTGGCATGTTCTTATAGAGGTGGACGAGAGACCTCAATGCAGATATTCTTGATTATCTCTACTTGCTTTCTCTATCTTGTGGCAGGTGGCCTATTCTCTCGAGGTGTTTGGTACTTTGAAAACAACGCTTGGAACCATATTATCGGAGGCGACGCGTCCGAGACTGGCTCTGGTGCCGGATCCTACGATATTCGAAAGAGTGTCTGGCATGTGAACTGCTGCAACCCAGAGATAGGAGGTGGTGGCGGTTGGGGTATCTTCAACGCCCTTCTCGGTTGGACCAATTCAGCCGACTACGGCTCCGTGATCTCCTACAACCTTTACTGGATTTGCGTGATGATTGGCTACTCGTTGATGTTCTACCGTGAGAGGCGTGGAGCTATTCCCGTCATTGACCCAGCCATGAACAGCATCAAACGGAGAAAGGCCAAGGTCAGAGCCTTCATTTTGCGCCGTCCCTATGAGGACCCGGTGGCACCGGTGACACCGGTTGAGACAACAGGCCCCGTGCCGGAAAAGCGTGCGGAGGCTGCTCTTATAGCTCTTTAGAATTAATCAGTTAGGGCGCACAGTTCCTGGTATTGAACGGGTCAATATGGAAGAAGTTTCCAATCAAAATAAACATATCAGTTGCCATTCGAGAATATGTACGAGAGGCTGGAAGAAGAGGAAAATTCCCAGGGCTGAGTTGGCAGCATTGTTTCCCACACCACGTTGTAACGTATTTCACAAGCGGGGGAGCTGCATATCAATCCCTCACTCTCAAGGTTTCAGAAAAGAATTTGAGGACCCATTCACCCTAATATTCTTTAACCCGTGGTCCGTGGTCCCTGTCCCTCTGTTACCTGAGCGTACGGTGGGGCGCCAATTTTTCTTGGTAAAACTCAAGCATCTGCTGGTTCCACACTCGTATCACGCTAGTATTTTAGATTGATAATCTTATCATAAAACGAATTCGACGAAATCTGATATGCGAAAAAGTTTGATTCGGTGGCTTCGCCAACGTCAGCCATTGGCTAGCGTGCTCCGGTAGATCACGTAAACTGGAACCTTGAAATGCCGAGGTGGATTGACTTCCGTATCGAGCGGGTCTCGCTTGGTTTTACCCTGATACACTACCGTTACTTGGGAAGTGCATGATCTGTCTCACATGTTCCCTTTTAGAGGTTAGCTTCCGAGCTGGAACGCTCTGGTTTGGCTCTCAGGATCATTACCGCCATTCCCGAGGTCTATTCCTATTCGGCTTCGAGTTTCCCACGGAACCTAATCTTCTATGGAACTCCTTGAAAATGACGCACAGAAGAAAATTTGAATCAGCTGTCACGGGCTTTTTTTTATCTGATTGATTTTGATTCTGATTAGATAAAAAAAATTAGACTTTACCATACTTGCCCCAACTAGTTTCTTTGGCGCACGACACATTCTTTTTCGCTGATTTTATCATCCATGTGCTTAGTACTCCGTTAAAGTCTCTTAAAACTACAAGCCACCACTGATCGATGTCTGATCTATAGGGTGAAAAATTAAGTACTGTTGAATGCCCAGGTTTCAATGCCCAACGGCGAATTTCCAACGGTTCCCCTATCAGATCGTTGGAAGAGTAATTTCCAAGATGATCTTCCGGCTCTATTTCCAATCTCGATCTAAAAATCATCTTGGCATCTTGGCATATTATGCGGCAGTAACTCATATATGACACCATTTTGCTCAGTGTGGATCTTAATCAACGGAGAGATACCGAATTGGCAGCTTTGAAGGTCTGCCTTGATCCGAGTTCTCGCTCTTGGCCCTCGCTGCAAATCTCTTCGGTGGGGTGGCTGATTGATAACTGTGCTCCTCCCAGTAGTCGGGGAGAGCCGATCGTACTCAGTAGAGATTTTCCTTTCATGCTTAACACTTAATATCCAAATGCTACCATGAGTGAATCCAAAGCCACAAAGGCTGCTGCAAAGAGATTGCGCCAATCTAATAATGAGTGGAGCAATGAATACTTTGCCATTGCTATCGGCTCGATTATGTGTCTATTTGCTATGTACCACTGGTTAAGTGTGATTCACTTTCACTATGGCCCAAGAAGGAGGTATCCTGCGTTAACTCGGAAGTATAGGTATTTTGAATCCATTCCTCTACTCCTACAGGCTCAGTATTAAACACACGTTTCTTATATGCAATAGGCAAGCTCGCCGCTTTCTCGCCAGCTCAACGATGGGACTAAGAACCGATCGGTCTATTCTGTATATCATCTATTGGGCTATCAATCTAATTCTTGCCCTGACCAATGTTGACCTTACCGAAGTGACATATGTAAGTGAAAAACAAAATCATGTTGTGGCTTCTGTATATTCTTTGCTGACGGGTTCTCGGATTTGTAGATTGCTAAGCGATTCGGCTGGTTTGTACTTAGACGCCTTTCACTTCTCCCGTTCGGTATTGACAAATATTTATCGATAGGATTTCAGTCGCGAATCTGGTACTTTTGGTCTTTCTGGCGTTAAAGAATACGCCTCTCGCAATATTGACTGCGAAATCCTATGAGAAGCTTCGCCCGCTCCACAAGGTTGCCGGTTACACCTGCATCTTCACAAGTGTCCTGCACGCTGTAGTGTACCTATCTACGTGGTCAGAAACCGGAAAGCTGAAGAAGATGGAGAAGAGGAAGAATTATGCCGGTGCTATTGCAGGTCTTGCTATGGTAATTGTTGGATTTTCAACTATCACCTACTCCATGCGCAGACATTATGAACGTGAGATATTCACCAGATTACTTCTTTACACTCAATACTAATGACATATCTATAGTCTTCTACATGTTACATCTGTACATGTTCATCTTGATTATGATTACTGTCGGGATGCATCGTCCGGAATTCTCAAGCTCAACCGTGATCATCGTGATCTTCACGGCCTGTCTTTGGGTCATGGATCGCCTCATCCGGGGCGCAAAGATAATGTGGAACTTCTTTGGAAATTATGCCACCGTGACAGCTTTACCTAATGAGGCTCTTCGGGTAAAGCTCAGTCGTCGCGTGCACTCCAGTCCTGGTTCCCATGCCTTCTTGTGGGTTCCCGCCATCCGCTGGGTCGAAAGCCATCCATTTACTCTCCTTTCTTCGACCCCCTCAGAGTTCGTGATTCGAGTGTATGGTGGGTTTACACGGGATTTGTATAGAGCTGCCCAGCAAGCACCGGGCATGTCTTTACGCTGCTCCGTGGACGGCCCATATGGCCAAGTCCCTAATTTTAGGAACTTTGACAAGGTCGTTCTTGTCGCCGGTGGCAGTGGTGCTAGCTTCACATTTTCCGTTGTGTTGGACTTGATTGAGTCAAACACTCCGGTGATCAAGTCAATCGATTTCATCTGGGTAGTAAGGAACCACGGTAGGTTGTACTTTGATATTGAAACGACGGTTGGTTCAACATAGTCTGACTATTATCCGTAGATAGTCTCGAATGGTTCGCCCAAGAGCTGAAGCAACTTCAGTCTCATCCGGAAGTGAATGTACTCATCCATATCACTCGCCCGACCGATATTACCAGGCTATCATCTCTGACCTCAGGCCCACTCTCAGAAAAGGTTTCTGTGGATGGAAACTTATCTCTAGTAGAAAGTTCTCGAGCCGTTTCAGCTCATGACCTTGAGAAGAGCACTTTGCAAAAAGTGACGGCAAAATTGCCCTCAATCAGTGAATTCCGACCTGGGCGCCCAGATATTGGAAGTCTCATCGAAGCCGCGGCCACAAAAGGCGGCAACTCGGATGATCGTGTCATCGTCGGCGCTTGTGGTCCTAGCGACCTTATCAGCACGATACGAAATGCCGTCAACGATGACATTCGTGATGATGGGTTATCAGTCACACTTTACACTGAGGTAAGTTGAGAAAAGCCAGACCATAGAACATGACTAATATTGTGATGCAGGAATTTGCATGGTAAAATAGTGAATAGTTGATCTTAACAGCCCCATTAGTCAGAGACAGACTTTTAGAGCCAATCATCCCCAAAGATTCATGTGTCCTTGTCTTCTTGGGCTGCAACGGCCTGTGTTGTAGAGTTGGTTGTCGGCTGATGGTAATATTTCAGCGTTGAGACTTTGCAAATGCTTGATAAGCTCTATAGACGTTGCGAAGTGGCGGGGTCTTGCTAATTTAGTGAGATAGGCTGTAGATGACCGGGGCAAATTGTCCGAGGATAGGCCGATGTCTGACATAACTCTCATGCATAACATTCATACAAGAGACATTTTGGTATACGTAAAGAATAGTGCGAGAATCTGACCGAAGTCCTTTCGGAAAATCAGAAGATTTTCTCGGCATGCGCATTAATATGGAACATTGTATGTTGAGAGGCCTGAGATACTACTCGCAAAAATTTTCAACAAGGTGGTGTCTGGTATCCTAGATGAAGAATCTGGATGTGATGGCTATTTCATTTCGCCTCTGATGGAGTACCCCGAAGACCAGTTGCTGCTGATTAATTGGAAGTCTGTCGATGTGAGTTCGCGGGCCATTTTACAAGGTGGAATAAAAGCTGACTCTCGCTCCCAGGCTCACCATGAGGAATTTGAGAAGAAGCCTGGCTTCAAGGGGTGCATTGATGCTTTGTATGACTATTACAAGGAATTTGTTGTTCCCTGGCACATTACTGAGTTGACTCGGGTACAATAAGTAGCTCAATACTGTCCGTTGAATCCTATCAATCATTCAGGTGCAGAATAAACAAGATGTGAATAGCTCGCAGTGTGTGAGACTTCCCAAGTTTCGCTTTGTATGTACGTCGACTTCAATCCCCGCATTTTACGGATGAGGTGGAACCGAAATTAGACCGAAATTGGTCCACGATGATGGCATGTCATTTCGTCGAAGATATAATACAGTACGCTCTTCCATTCATCACTCTTATCATCCAATATCCAATGTCAGGAACACAATGAGCTGTCCCAAGTTTTTCGTTGTTGCACGCGTTGTTGGACGCGATGGAGCCCTTCCATTGGTATTCCCCCTTTCCCTCGAACGAAAACACGAAAACGTGACACATATGGATAACAGTGGAAGGACCGCTTAGTGGCCCCTTGTGGTGTATCCGCAACAGAGCCCCTTGGTGACTCATACTACTGGGGCCTGTAGGGCTACACCCATCCAATCGGATTCTTTCTCGGCCATGTCTCAACTGATATTTTCAAAGAAGAGATGGCCAAAGTTAATGCAGATGCGCTGCTTCGACATCAACAAGGTCTTGCGAGCCCTGATTATGATCTCCGCCACTATGACTGGGCTGGAGGCTGGCTCAAGCGTGATGATGACCCTGATCGCGACTCGACTACTAGCCATGTAGCCGTCCATCATTTCTAGGTGAAAGAGTCAAATCAGCGTGGAGATGTCCTCGATAAGCTGCGAAGCTTTGTGGCTGGTCAGAAGGGGCTGGCGGATGGGCTGCTTCAAAGCTGTGGTCTTCTCGAGGAATGTAGGGACGATAAAATGCTAACAATGTGGCTGCAGTATGTACACAGTTTCGACGAAAGGAAGATTACAAGCGCTGACCTGTTTCCTTTTTTTTTTTCTTCTTATTTTCTTTAGAGCCACCACTGCCGATGGATTTGAACGGTTTGTTTCATCGAGTTCATTCCAGTCGCTGCTTGCCGAAATCAAGCCGATGGTAGACAAGGAAGAGGTGCACAGGTCATTCCTTCAATGGTCACTTGGATATCAAGCCAAATCACCGGAACTAGTAGGCAAACATATATTGATGAGATGCATGCATTCCTTGACCTCCAATTGTTGTACCTAAAAGAATCCATTTCACTCATCGAATGTAACAATGTATTTAAATGACCATGGACCAAGCCACTACAGGGCTGATATATGGAACCTTCCAACCCAAAGTTAAAACCCAAAGTTGATCGGTTTCTGCGCTTTATAGTCTCTCTCCTTTCCCCTTCTGTCCAGACTCTAGATCCTGTAATCTTTTTGATTATTTTAGGTATGAAGCCAGCAATACGCTCAGATTGGCGGTTGACTACTTTTATTTCTCTCGATGAGAGCAGAACTTTCAATAGATATTCCTGAATACACACTATAATCTCTCACCATACGTCCTCCTATCAAACGGTTAGCACTACGGCAGACTGATATTTAGCTAAATATGGTTTCACTCACTTGATATCGTGCAGCAGACTTCAATTGCTGTATTGTTGCTTCTCCACTGCACAATGGTTAATGAAGAAGCTCACCAAGGGTACTTTGCACCTCACGAGCCATACGCCCAGAGCCGCAGATATAAATATATCCTTTATGATCTAGTACTAGCGACCGGAGACTCTTCTCGTTCTCCGCTAGCCGCTGCTGAACATACACCTTCTCATGAGGGGTCTGCCGAGAAAATGCAGTGTATATTTGGAACTTGTCACCAAGAATACTCTTATATTTCTAAATTGCTGTCAGTCGAGTTTTATAATATCATTGTACAGTACTGGATGAAATCTTCTTGCTCCTTGCGACAACCAAAGAATAGAATCATATCTCCAATTTCTGTACCAGACTCTGCCTGCTTTATTCTCTCTTGCACGAATGCCCGGAAGGGAGCGACACCCGTTCCAGGTCCAATCATCACAATCGGTCGAGTAGCATCGTGCGGTAATTTGAAACTTGAATGTCGGATGTGGATTGGGAGGCTTATATTGTATTTTTGTCGAGGCCCGGTTATCGTATAAGAGCTTTCTGTTTTGTTTGGCTGCTCTCCATTCTGCATGCGCTTGATAGCCAGCAGATAATTGGACGCTACTCCTTTGAAATCGTGTTGCGCCACGTTGACGGACTCAACAGCTGTGGTCAGGGAAATGGAATCTTTTTGCACTAAAGATGAAGACGAGATAGAATAGTATCGCGGCTGCAGTGCACGAACACCTTCGAGAGGAACTTCAAAGGGAATCGGACAGACCGGATGCTCTGGGCTGATTGACTCGATAAGCTGGGCCAGGTTTAAAAACCTGCTGCCAATTTCCTCTCGGAATGTGTCTTTGTTTTTGCTTAGTTCAAGCAATGTGTTTTTCTGAATACCATCCGGTGCAAAAGCAGCTAGTACAGCAAGAAACTGCCGCGAAACTGGACCACAGATCTCCATGTAGTACCTCAGAGCTGCTTCGTATGTTGTTGGTGATGGGCATGGTAGGTGTTTGACAGAGTCAAAAGCTGACATATGGATCACTGTCAGTCGCTTCTCTACCAGACCAAAAACGCGAAGAAAGCGATCGACCTCAATGTCGGAATTCGAATGCCAGACTGCAACGTGATCGCCTGTTTCATAGACTAGTCCTGAGCCACGGAGATCTATATCGATATGGAGGCAGTTTCAGTCCGGAGATTCGAAAAGTTCCTTGGACTCCAAGACCTTCGCAACGTACGGACTTTGGGGACCGTATTCCGTAGAGGTCTTCATGAGCTCCCCTTGGCACCTCTCTCCTAGAAATATGGACTCGGCCGCAGCTGTCTTCTCAATAACGGAGAAAATTCGGTTCAAACTTCTCTTCTTGCTCGTGAAGGTGCATGACGTTCTTGAGAGAGTCCCACATGACTTCCATGCCAGAAAATCTTCTTCCTGCGTCCCACTTCCATCATCGCCTTCTCCTCGGTCGGCGAAGGGCGTTGTACCGAATGGAATGGCTTACAAGAGACCTCCCCACACCCAACGAAGGCCAATCACTGGCAACCCGTTGGGCGAGCTGACGATGTTCTTATTCTGTCAAATGGGGAAAAGCTGAATCCCGTAGACATGGAAGGTGCCCTGACAACACGCCATCCAGCAATCACAGGTGCTGTCGTGATTGGCCAAGGCAAATTTCAGCCTGGGTTACTACTGGAAATCACTGGGGTAGATCTACATGATGAAGCTGAAAAAAGGAAACTTGTGGATCAGATTTGGCCGTTCGTTGTTGAAGTCAACAAGAAAGCACCCAAGCATGGACAACTCATGAAGTCTTTGGTCCTGTTGTCTTTCCCCTGAAAAGCCATTCCTTCGAACTCCCAAATTCAGCATTCGTCGACAACCGACAGTTGCTCTGTATGCCGAGTTGAATATACTAAAAAATGAGGGTTACCCTGACCAATGTTACCAGCGAGGTTAAATAGAACTTGCATAGTGCTTTCAAACTAGCATTAGAATGCCTCTGCATGTTCAGCATTGGTCATTTTTTCGGGTTTCGCTTCATCTTCGGGCCAATTTCCTCATTGGCTTGGTGTTAGTTGCCGAAGTTTGCAATTGTGGGCTGGGCACGTCGGTGGCGGCTGCGGCCACTTCGCTATGTATTTTGATGCAAATAATCACGGCCAAGGTCCCACCGCCTATCGTGCAACTGAAGAAGCTAATGGCCCACAAGCGGACCAAGGTATGTAGGTAAACGCCCAGATGGAGCAACGAAATTACTCCACTTAACAATTTATGTTGTAAGTTATGTTGTTAACCACTCAACTTTCATTCAAATCCCTGGTTCTCGAGATCCCTGGGTTCATTTCCCTCCGCATTCCGTTTATTTGGTTTCTCTAGGAGTATCTCACATTATTCGCGATATTGCAAGCTACACTTCTTTACAAAATGGATCGAAATCAGTTTCACCACTTACACAGAGATTCTTTCTCGAACCCTCTTTCAAAACACGCTATGCCTATTACAGTTACTTTACCCCTGATTTCTTTCCTTGGCAGTATTCCAGTATATTCGTAAATATTAGTACAAAAATAGCCCCGGTATTACGTTTGTATGGCTTTCGGGGTTCTATAATGTCGAACCTACAAACAAGGCAAACAGAATGGGGATCTCCCCAATCTGGCTACCAGGCCAGACATCGGATTCCAATCTGTTAACCATAGCTAAGTGAGTGTGCCAACTATAGATTGGAACCTCTTCGGCCTGTGATTAGGGCCGTTACGCCCTTATGTAGGAGTATATCAACATGGGATTTCACAGTAATCAGGCCGCGCCATAACACTTGACTTACTGACTGACCATTGAAAGATACGTTCGTGAATAATTCGCTATTAAATCGCGTCAAAACGTAAATGTCTATTAATAATAATTAATTCCTAGTGTGGGCTTGGGTGTTAAATACATAGAACATGACCGTAGGTCTCCCCTCGGGAATATAAGAACAATCATTTCTCTGAACTATAATAGGACCGAGAGAGGTATTGTGATCTGGCTTCCTATACTTAACTGGTAGATTTGTCGATAGCATAAGCTTAGGATTTCAAGGAGGCTATACTCCAACGCTCTGATGGAGAGATTTCTTTGGATGCTCGGGTTTTCCTAGCTAGAGATCGTGGGTACAGACATCCCGCGACTCGTCTTGTGTTGCAGCGCCCCATATTATGCGAAACAGCCGCATCGTCTTAGACTCCTGTCGGGCACATAACACTACTCCTCGCGTGATGAGATGCTCCGTAATAGCCTGATAGACTCTATCCCCCTCTGTGCGATGTACTTTGACTTCCAGCTCCATGAGGTGCAGGGACTGAACGGTTACGTCATCAAAAACGGCCCTATACCCATCGATGCGCAACGTCTTCCACTTGGGATTTAGGTAGGGGCCGTAGCTAACAAGGCTTTCCCAGGCGATATTGCTCTGGAACTCTTCCGCCAACTGCTTCTGCTTTGTGCTCCAGATATGATTTGTATTTAAGAAAGCTTGCCGCTTACACACAAACGTCGTCTCATTGCCGTACCTATCCCATCGACAGTCTTTTGCGTAGTGGCGCACATTAGATTCTGGTGTTGGCAAATGGGCCTTTACTACCGAGATCTGCCGGTCACCGCGAATTTTGGTCCGGAACATGAGTCCCTGCTGTGTGTACACCGGGAGAGTAGTATCATAATATGTGATCGGGTCAAGCTTTTCTGGATTGTGTCCCACTGCATTCAGCTTCGTTAACACAGTATGAGGATTCATATCGCAGATCGCCCATTGCAGGCTGATTTGGTCTTTGATTTTGGGCCAGCAGTTAGAAGGGGCTATGAGGTAGAGCAACGCAACGAGGCCGAGAGGCTTCATGGATGGAATTCGCGACCGAAGTTGACTCGGCTCGCAAAGTTGGATGGAGGGAAATATCGAGTCTGCTCCCTGCTTAATGGACAAGACAAAAAGTGATTTAAAAGATATTTTACGTTGGAACTCAATTCCTGGAGGTAGTTGCTTCTTATCTGTAGGGGCAAAGACAAGCTCAGTCCATGACATCAATGATCCAAAACTCGGACATCACCGATTCAAATACCATCTTTGTGACTTCTCTTTTCTAACCCAAGGAATCTATAAGAGGCCTTTATATAGCTACGTCTAGACCCTTTATCGTTTTCTACTTAAATAAGGATATAATACTCTATATATCGGTTTATTCCCGCTAGGCTACTATATTACGTAGATATATACTTAGGACTAAAACGGGTTATAGTGAATAGCCTAGGATTCGGGATAGATTCTATGAGAGCAAAGTGGTGAAACTGAATTCGATCCATCCTGTACTGTATGCACCTTTTTCTACTTCGAATACTCTGGCTACTCCCTGAATGTAAATGTATCATTTTTATGACCTTCACAGTTATGACCTTCACAGTTATGACCTTCACAGTTATGACCTTCACAGTAAATGTAACGATAGATTTACATCTTAGGTCACTTAACTTAACCCCTTGGAAGTTGAAATGTGGCAAATTATGATAAGTAATTTGAGATAAATTGAAGACAATACTTAGCGAATGCTAGGTCTTTAGTGAGATTCTTACTGTGATAGACGGCTGACATTTGGTGGAATAATGCACGCAAAAAACTTCAGAATACGTCTTCGTATAAAAGTTGCTACTTTCTCTTAGGCATTTAGCATGCACTGTATCCTCCATCAACAGTCCAGTGTGCTGAAACGTTGTCAGTTAAATGAAAATCCTCGATATAGGTCAAGAGTACTCCACACGTACCTCCAGTTACATAAGAAGCATCATCGGTGAGAAGGAAACAAAGCACCTTAGCAATTTCATCCGGATTTCCCATACGACCCAGGCATGTGGCTTGGCTAGTCATTTCTGAACTGAAAAGACCCTTGGCTTCACCGTCGCGGAATATGGGAATGTCTATTGGACCACTTCACGGTATTAGCAACAACACAACTGATAAATGAGATATTTGACTTACGGGAGCAACGCATTCACGCGAGTACCATATTGACCAAACTCTCCAGCGGCAGACTCTGTCAGCCCTATCACGCCAAATTTGCTGGTCGCGTATGCAGCATTATGTGGGAGACCGCGGAGGCCAGAGGTGCTCGAAACATTGACAATCGCACCGCCGGGACGGGGCAGATGGGGAAGCTGAGCTCGCATACAGAACATGACTCCCCTGATATTCACGTCGAGCATTTTGTCCCAATCTTCTGTTTTCTGTGAAAGAGGTTAGTCTCAGAATGCTGGACTTACTTAGTCATGCATCGATATGGCTTACAACCGTCGCACAGGTTGTTTTGCCGTCACCCTCTGCGATGCCAGCAACGTTAGCGGCGCCATCCAAACGCCGAAGTCGCGAACTGTTGCTGCAATCCAGTCTTCGATCTGGTCATTTTTACTAGCGTCGACCCGTGTTAGGACCACTTTTGTGTTGTATGTGACACCTGACGCTGTCAGCTGTCATCCGCTACAATGCACATCCATACCCTTACATTTGCTCTTTGTCTCTTCAAGGCCCTTAAGATTCAAATCACTTAGTGCAAGCCAAGCGGCGCCCAACTCAGCAAGGCGAATAGCAACTGCTCGACCGATTCCCGATGCTGCACCCCGACCCGGAAGCTTATAAGGAAGGTATCGCCCATGGCCCGTTGCCTTATCAAGTTTTATTCAAGCCCCGCAGTCAGGAACACGTGGACATTATTATGAAGGACTGTGAGAGAAGCTTGAAGATTCTCCAACAGTGGGAATGATCGGAGTAGGTGCTGCCGGGAGAATAACTAGACATCAACACTCCTCCTAGACTGTTTGTTTTGGGTTTTTCTATAGCTATACGGTATATGAAATTAAGCAGCAAATCAGTGGTTTTACCTGTGCTATTGATCATATCATTGATCGCTTTTTGCCCTTGTATATTTGTTCCCCTTTTCATTGCACAATATATATCACCCCTAAGTAGAGACTATCACATACGACCATAGGGTGTGGAGAACAGGGCTTCCCGTCCGCTCAGCCGTACTTAAGCCACACGCCGGTTAGTTAGTAGTATGGTGGGTGACCACATGCGAATCCTAACTGTTGTATGTTTTTTTTTCTCTTTTGCTATACTCCTGACTCGAGTTCGACATGCGTTCTAGCTCTGATTGGTCAGTTCTGGAATTATTATATGCAAGAAAAGCCCCACACTCTCAAGACCAGTTCGCTAGCTTCACTGCAACCCTGTCTCTTCTACCATTGTATCGACGCAGTGTGTTCGCGCGGAACCACCTGTAAACCACTGTAAGTATTGAGTCTTACCACTACTGTACTATGGACATGGCCCGTTGAGTTCAGGATGACATATGGGTTTAGACCTTATGCATTCGGACGTATGGACCCTCGGATCAACTCTGGTGCAATGTCTCGGTCGATCTTCGGGGCATCTCGACAACTACACTGCATAACTTCCAAATCCCCACAACCCTTGAACATGGAACTTTGGGAGTATCTGGGGATCATGACTAATCGCCAATGACAATGAGCTACCCCTTATAGCGCTGTCTTCCGCTCGCTTTTTGATGATTGATAGCACTTACGCCTCATGGTGGTCAATCAAACACAACGTCAAGCATTCTATCATCAAAGACCATTCTCAGCGCAGCCGGGCTGCTCCTTCTCTATGGCATTTACCGATTGCTCAAGGTCGGGAAACGCGACCCACGACTACCACCAGGGCCGCCGACCGTGCCGATTCTTGGGAATATGCTGGATGTTCCCTCCACGGGCCTAGGCAAAAAGTAAACATCCGCATGATCTTGTTCTCAATGGCAGGGCTAATTGCGATTTAGATTCATGGAATGGTCACACCAATACGGCAAGATATATTCCCTCAAAGTGGGATCAGGAACGATCATTGTTATATGCGATCGCAAAGCTGTTCACGAATTGATCGATAAAAAAGGCAGCATCTACTCCGATAGACCGCCTAACATCGTCCCGCTCTTCATCACTCGCGGCAATTATATGACTATGGAATGCCAGAGTCCTGCATGGCGTGAAAAGCGGACAGTTGTGACTAGAAACCTCAATCCAAAATTACTTGATGAGAAACATTTCAGTGTCCAGGAGGCCGAGTGAGTCTTTGTTCTCAAACTGGACCCTTTGAGTAATGAGGTGACTGACTTTTGTCGACCAGAGCTGTCCTTTTAATGAATCGCTTAGCGACTGAACCGAAGAAATTCTTCCCCTACGCCAGACTATACGCGTCCTCAGTTGCCGCTGTACTGGCTTGGGAATTCCGTGCCAAGAGCCTCGACTCTTTCTGGTTCAAGGATGTCTCTGAAATGATCGAAGAGGTATCTTGGCCAATTTCACTGTTTTCAAAATCACGATCACTAACTTGAGTGCAATAGTGGCTCGAGGCAATCGAACCCGGTGCCAACCCGCCAGTGGATCCAATTCCTGCTTTGTGGCATTTGCCCGGCAAATGGAAGAAGCGTGCCTACCGCATGCGTGAGAAGATGGACACGATCTGGGGCAAAGGGCGCCAGTTGGTCGAAGAGCGCCGTGCCCGCGGCGACAAGCGTGAATGCATGATCGATATGAAGCTGGATGAGTACAACAAGGGCGGTTGGCCAATGAGTCAGCAGGGGCTCAACAACCTCTTTGGTGAATTGATGGAGGCTGGCGCTGATACCACTGCGAACCAGATCCTCACTTTGATCCTGGCTTTGGCTAAGAACCCCAAGTTTCAGGAAAGGGCTCGTGAGGAGATCTATGCCGTGTGTGGGACTGAGCGAGCGCCGCTGTTCTCTGACTTCGAGAAGCTGCCTTCTATCAACGCCATTGTGAAGGAGGGTCTCCGGTGGCGACCTACGTGAGTCTCCAACCACTTTTATTCGAAAGTTTTTGCTGAATGTTGGTATACCTGTAGGTCTGATCTTGGTCTTCCATCTTTATATAGATACGCATTATGAGGCAACCTGTACTCAGTCCTAGTCCGACCCCAACTAATACCTGGTTAGCCGTTCGCAACCATGGCGTTGAACCTGCCAAGTCGACCAGGTTTGAACAGAATCCAGCCATTATGGCAAAGGCTGAGATTCCCGGTTGCTTCAGGCGCCGGGCATCATGTGAATCTTAGCTTGATTGATAATTTATTTAGAAAGGTTGAACTTCAATTATAACTATGTGGGGTCGAATATGAATCATCGATCTTTGTGTTGCCCAATGACAATCGCGCAGCTCTTCTGAGAACCTTTTACTGATTGGTGGTCAATCTCATCGCCTAGTTAACATATCATACAACCCTTCAAAATGCAGAATAGAGCATATGCTCAAGCCTTAAAGGTTCAAGTAATAACCTGTGAGGCTCCTCTTTAGGAAGGAACTTTGACCAGTCTGAAGGAGCAACTTTGTGGATGAAATGCATATGTAAAACTGCAATAATATGAAGTAAGCTCTTACTTCTGCGCACAGACTAATTGGTCGGCAAAGAGAACTCTAGAGTAATATGAAACAGCAGATCAATGACTCGAATTGGCAGCAGAGATCTAGCTAGCATTCATAGAGAGACCATTGTTGTGATGTGAACTTTGCTAGTCCAGATACCACCAAATACGTTCGTTCTTGCATCTTGGCTTGCGGTTTGTATAGAATCCATTCAGGTCGGTAAATAGATAGAGAGATTAGGGATGACCACATGCATAGCATGTAAGCGAGGCCTCTCACTTTTCACTAGATTAGTCGTCCCAATCAAAATAAACATTAAACCTTGATTCTCCGACTAATCTCCTCCGTTCCAGCCGACTTCTCCAAGTCAACCGCCCGACCAAGATTAACCCTTGGCCCCAAAGCCCTCCGAATAATCCACTCCTTACTATTAACCTCCTCTTCAATCTCGTCTCTCTCCAATGGGGGAATCAGCTTCCCCTCTAACCGCCGCAATATAACCTCATCCTCAGGACGTGCAAAGTAAACAAGACTATACCTTGTGTACTCGGCCTGCGCACCAGGTGGGGCGCTCACGCGGTGAATATTCGATCGTAGGAGTCCATTGCTGAATTTCACCATTGCGTCGCCGAGGTTGATTATCGCGTGCCCTGGTAATGGACGTACGTAAATCCAGTCGTCGGTTCCGGGCATTTGGACTTGCAGTCCCCCGAGTCGGTTGAGTAGCACTGTAACTGAGCCGAAATCAGTGTGTTGGCCTAGTGCGACTCGTCTGTCGTTCATGGGTTGAGGCGGCGCTTTCACCCAGCGGACCTGATCGCCGCTAAGAGCGTTCTGGCGGTGCATGTTTGGTAGTGTGTTTGGTGGGAGGCCCATTTTGTCGTTGAGGATCGTTAGGATTAGAGTTACAACGATATGGGAGTTGCGCATGAAGGATTCGATGGGCTTTCTGTTCTGTTGGAGGAGGTTTGGTGCTGGGAGTTCTGCTGAGATACCGAGAATATCATCTTTTGAAACCTGTTTATTGTTATTTTTGGTGGGAAAACGTTGGATGGGAGATTTGGGTCTGAGATGATATCAAGAGAAAAAAGGTTGTTTGACTCACATTGTAGAATTCGTTTCGGTCCAAATTCCCCTCCTTATCCACCAGTGCTACACCCTGTGCTTTATACCCAAAGTACGAGTTCTGCTTGCTGAAGTCATACTTGTTCTTCTCTTCCAAACTGAGTTCAAAAAGCTCTTTGCCTACCCCGAACAATTTGTCGACATCTTGGAGCAGGGAAGTTCCGAGCTGAGAATCTTGGAAATCTAGGTAGAAGAATCCGATTTCCACGGACGCTTTGAAGAGGTAATCCAGCTCCTTTTTGTCTCCTGCTAGTAGTCTTTCGAGAGAGAGCCGAAGGAGAGGAGCGGTGGGTACGTCGTTGGGAAAGGGTGGAAGGTCGGGGTAGTTCATGCTGGGATCTCTCAAATCCTGGGGCTGCATTTTGATATTCGAATAGAAATTATTGAATACTGTTGTGGACTTGATCTTAAGACTTGGTGGCGCAACTTTGGAAGACCATGTACCTAACCTTATATATTGTGAAATGCGGGGGTATATGGGGTAACCGAGGAACGAGTCCGTATGGCGTGGACATGCGAAGATACGGTAAATACACTGAATATGTTCAATCTCAAGATTGTCTACCGATCTAATCTGCTCTCACAGACAGTAGGGACGGGTCAGCTTCGTTATGTTGGCATCTTTGATCACTAAAGCACAATCCCTCCGTAGAGGACTCGAGGATCGCATGACCTCTGTCGGAGTATGGAGGTACAGAATTACAAACTGTGGAAAACAAAACTGTTGAATTACTCCAATCAAGATCCCATTGGACTCATCGTATATTCACGGCGAATACGGAAGGCATGATCGATTGATCAATCTTAGGAAGGCACGACATCTCCAGATATGGAAGGCGCGAGTTTCGAGTACAAATGCCTCGCATTTTCGATTACCAAATCTTCTCTTCTTTCTATATCATCTTCCCTCGCTCTCAAATAATATCTTTTCAAGGGGTTTCTCATCCTTGGCCTGTACACCCCTCACTACTCTCTTTGACTAAAGCATATGCTTGATGAACTGATCACACACCTTCCATCGGTGCAAAAAGAGGTATCTACATTGTTCGACCTAGCTTGGTACCTTCATTGGCTTCGATTGGTCACCAAATTCAAAGTATGCGGGGGATATGAACAAAACTAGGTCATATGAACGGCAATTGTGGGGTGCAGAAAGCGGACCAGTTGACGGGGACTCACGCTACCGAGGTATAATGGACCCTCATCGAGGAGAAACTCACAATAAACTCGCATCCCTCGGCTACTTGACTTGTTGGACACATTATATAGCCAGACAATACTTCAAGGACGTAGTCATAGCTTACAATCCTTCATTGCAGGTATCCCGTATGATAGACAAGATGGTATAATATAACATTGAAAAAGCGCCGCTTCCACCACATGCCCAAGTTCATACACAAACAAAACCCTAAACTTCAAAGATCTCCCCCATTCCAACGCCGGCACCCGCAGCACCAGCACGACTGTCAACCAAGTCCAAGCGCCAGGAGTTCCAGTCGCGAAGCTTGCGCTTGATTTCACGAACCCATTCGACACGCTTGCGCGCTTCTTCTTCGGCCTGGGCACGTCTAAACTCAGCTTCATCGAACTCGTCTTCCAGATTCTCTTCGGAAAGCAGTTCTAGACTACCGCGCGTTGCGGGACCATGCGGGTGAGGCGGGTTAGAGGAGCCGGCGCGGGCGCGGTTGGGGCTGCTGCCACCTGTGAACGCGGCAAAACCACTTGATAGTACAGTGGAGAAAGAGGAATGCTGTTGCTGGTGTGCCATGCTACGGCGGCGGGCGTGGTCCGGACGGCCACCGACAAGATCAACGTCGTCAAAGGCGTTGGCTGCGGCATCACCGGCGGAGTGCTCAGGGTTCTCATCGGAGAAAGGCTGACCTGTGAGTTCATGGCGCCTTTCTTCCCAGACCCCGCGGCGGAGGTCGAAGATTTCGCCTTCCAACTCACGGATACGGCGCTCGAGGCGCTGGCGTTCTTCATCCTCAAGCTCGTCTAAGGCGTCGTCATCTGTTCCTCCAGCATCGCGTTTCTTCATGCGATCAAGCTCCTCGCGGAGCCGGAGGTTCTCATTCTCAATGCTGGCCAGTTTCTTACGGAGCACAGCCGTCTCCTTTTCAGATTTCTCGCTTTCGCGGAGCCTGGTCTGATGACGGGTCTCTGATTCTTTGTGCAGGTTGCCCATGGCCTGAAGTTTCTTCTCCAGCGTTTCAATCTTCTTGTCGGCCTCGGTCTTTTCATTCTTGAGACCCTCGATATCTCGCTCGAGGGTCTTGATCAGGGTCTCGGTGGATGTCTTGTCCACGCCTTCTTTCACGGCTTTCTCCGAGGCCCGCGTCAACGCTTGCTTGGCGTCTGCCAACTCACTTTGAGACTTTTCAAGGGCACTTTGGCCTTGGGCGACCTTCTCTTCCAGTGCCGCGAGCTGGGTCTCATGCGCACTGTTAGAAGTCGACTGGGAGTTTATTTGGGCCCGCAAGTTCGAAATTTCTAGCTCCATAGCCTCAATTGTAGTCGATTTGGACTCCAGCTGGCGCACAAGGTCAGCTGGAGGTGACTCTGATTTTCCAGGGACAGCGCTGGAATTATTGCGGTGTGATCGGGACTGAAGCTGTGAGTTTTGTCGTTGGAGCGAGGCAATTTCCTCCTTCTGTGGCAAGCGATTAGCATATTGTCTTCTTCCGCTGTTCAGCATATTTAAAGGCCCATACCAGTGACTCAATACTAGCGACCTTCTCCTCCGCCTCCTTCAATTTCTCTCGCAGCTCTACAGCGTCTACGCTGGCTTCCCGAAGATCCTCTAGTTGATCTTCTGTCTTTCGCCAGCGCGCCGTAGTTTCACTCAACTCATTCTCCATGCGCTTATTATCCTTCTCCAGATCTTCAATCCGCGTCGATTGTTTCCGGAACACTTCGTGCACCGAATCTCCATCACCAGTCAGGGGCGGTAGTGATGGCGGGGGCGATTTAAGATTTATTGGAGAAGGTGAGTGACTGCCTTGAGACACGGACGTCTTGCGGAAAGATGACGAGCGCATCTTCGATTGGATTGACAAGGATGGCGCGCGGCTGTGGCCCGCTCGCGGGGTATCCAGTCGAGCTGGTTGTGGCTCTGCGTCTGGGTCTGGGGAGCCGGGCGCCGGAGGCATGGGTTCCGTTGAGGACTCGGTGGATTCGTTGCGCTTTTCTTGCGCTTCTGGCTCAGCTGCTACTGGTTCCGCATCGGTCGGCTGCTCCGTGCTGGTCTCTGTGATGGCGTCTTCCCGCGGCTTCTCCTCGGCGGGGTGGGCATCTGCTGATGGGCTGTCTGCTATCTCTGCAGTCTCTTCGGTCGCAGCAGCTTCGGGCGCCTTAATTGGCTCTGTATCTTTAGGGGCTTCTGTGTCGGGCGAGGCCTTCTTATTGGCCTTTTTCTTCTGTTTCTGGAGCTGGGCCACCTACAAAACATTGTTTGTTAGAGATGGACATCGGGCAATTAGATGGAACATACTCTTTTCTTGGCAGCGGCCAGCTTCTCAGCTTTAATGCGCTCCTCCTCGTCAGCCATGACTGTTATTGATCAAATGGAAGGATTAGCGTAGGTGATGGGAGGACTGGAAGTGGACGGGGAGAATGGACAGCTTTCCCCATCTGGCGCACGGACCACCTACAATGTATACTATAGCATCATGGGATGTGAAGTTACATAGCAAGCCCTAGTACTTACGGATATTGTACCTCCCCGAGTTCTGTTCAAGGTTGGATCTTGTCTCACCGACATAACAGTCATCTGTCTACACCAAACAATACTAGTGCTGGTCACCAGCTTCACCAGTTCAGTTGTTGAACAAGATATCATTAAAGCGTATTAACACGAATTGAAAAGGGCAACATCAATATAGAGGCGTGTTGCATGTCACTCTTGCCCAACGCCCGTCGGGAATAAGAGATATGCAGGTTGAATTGCGCCCCCAAGTCCAACGAAAACCATCCGAACACCAGAAAGGAAACCAAAACAGAGAACTACCGATCAACGGAGTGAACATTACGAAAATAAGGTAAAAAAAAATCAACTCAGACTTCCATCGTATCCATCATCTCCTCACTCATTGCACGCACCATGCCCTTATGACCGGAGCGAGATTGAATCTCCTCATCGCTGAGCATGTAGTGATCATCCTCATCCAAGATCGGATGCGAGGGCTGCGGTGGGTGGTCCAAATCATCATCATCAGACTCACTGTGACGAAGCGATGACTCAGCACGGGGTCCAAGCCAGTAGCGGGTACGCTTGCTGGAGCTTAGATCGGGTGTAAGGTATCCATCGTCGAACGTGCGCTTGCCAGTCGGTGTAGCAACGCCCTCCTCGGGGGGCGTATGGCTGAGAATTGGAATTGCGCGCAAATGAATGTAGCAGACACGCTTGCGCAGCGGATTGAAGAAGAAGTAGTGCAGACTCCAAATCGCCCCGTCATCGGAGTCGGATGCGTCCTCATCAGGTGAATACGAGTATACCGAGCACTCTTTCAAGGACATATGCTCATCCATAATTCTCCACATCCGCGGGCCCCAGGCATATCCAGAATTGTATGATCCGGAGAGGGTCGCCGGAGATGATGGAGAAAGGTCGATTGACTCACGCGGTCGCAGGTTGTAAAGGGTGGAGTTGACGGTGTTCATGACCCGCTTAAGATGACGCTCGCGGCGGAAATCGGTCGGGCGCAGCACATTAGAGAAATCATAGTCAGGATGACTGGCATTGAGGGTCGCGATCAGATAGGCAAATGTCCGACGGCTGGAGTGCTCGCTCAGGGGGCCGAAGGGGCTGGATCGCGACAGATTCAAGGCTTCGGCGGCATCGTGGGCATTGGGAGGAGATAAGGAGGCGGATAAGCGGAGAATTGATTCATATTGGGCTTCCAGAGACTGTTCGATGTGGTTGTACAGTTTCCGGTCGGATCGGGCAGCCTTGGTGGTGTACAGATCGCATGCACCAACAATATGGCAATCGGCTGTATCAAAGTTCAAAGAACCCGTGACATCCTCAAACTCTGGCAGGGGGAGAAACTAATGATGCAAACGTTTGAGTATCAATGAATGATTGATGAGGGGTTGGGGAGCGATGGACACCGATCAGGTCACCGTAGCGACCGGGGCGATCAAGGGGAAGCACCAACGAACCTTCATTGTGAAACACTGGGCGATAAGGATGTCCAGTCGCGATATTCCAATAAACTGACGATGGCTGGTATAACTATGACTAGCGCAGGCGATTCAGAGTTGACTGGGGTGATGGGAGAGATAACGCGGATGGTCGCGCCGGAGACGGAGGTGGTTGCCGATCGGAGGTAACCGCAAGCAGTCGGAACAGCGGTGTAGGTAGCGCGAGAGGCACCACACAAAGATAGACAGAGGGATTGCTGGTGGTAGAATGAAGGGGATTCTCGTTGCCTTTTCCCACCTGATGATGAGTTGTAAGAGGGGGGGTTTGCGACCGGGTGTCACGTGGATCTGGTCTAAGCCAGTGAGATCACGCACTGACCTCACGCTGTTGCACCTATTCCATGGTTCAGGCGGTTATCAGTCATCATCACAGACCAACTCGGTCCAAGTTGCGCGCCACGTCCTCATGGTCCTGAATCGGCACAGTTGGTATTCATCAGTAAAACAAACGCTATAAATAAACTTCAAATGTAAAAATCAAATTCCAAGAATCTCTCCAAGGTCACTACATAATCTTTGTGACCACATCTTCCTCAACCTGGGGCAGAAGAGCATTAGCCCGATTGCGCCGGGGTGGGAAAGGGGTGAGATGGAAATTGAATGGTCTGTTTCATTCAGCAGTCCCATGCTGCATGAAAGAGGCCATTCAAATTCAAAAGGGGGAGCATCGAGGTAGTTGAGGGGAAGGAACAGCTCTCGGGGGATAGACTCACCTCCATGTCTTCCAGGCTGTCTTGTTGACTGATGCAGCGGAGCACATTCTTTTTGCTACTTTCTTGCATTTCTCCGGCCAGTAACAGCTCGTCCAGGATGAAGTACGCCTTTTGGAAATTGAAAATGATATCCAGCTCACACACATTCCCGTAGTATTTATCCATCTGTTCGACGTAGCGGTGGACCACCTCGAGGCTGATCAATTCATTGTCGGTCGAGGAACATCCGGCGATAAAGAAGAGAGAGGCATAACGACGATAGACGACCTTGGAGTCTGTAGGCAATCCACGTTAGTCCCTCGTCAATGGGAGCTCGAGGGTATATAGAGGGGGTATAGAGGATGAAGCCACCTTTGTATTCGAGGAAATTGCACATGCGCGTGCGACGCGACAGAACCAGTTGGGTCACATCCTTGATGATCTTGGCCTTCTCCTTGGGAGAGAGAGTAGTAAACCACTTGGCTAGGCGCTGAGGTACAAGAAAAAAGTCAGTCGGCTTAAATGAGGGACGGGAATAAGGGTGGGCCACGAGGGAGACGCACCACTTTGCCCTGGCGGGACAGGAGAATTAGATAGCTGAGAGGGTCAGTACAGATGAATGCTACATCAACGGATTCCAGAACTCACTTGATGGGCATGATGGTGGGGTGAGTTGGGAAACGGAAAAGGGATGGAGAAGGGGTGTCGAAACCCGTGGCGGATCCGAGCTCTGGAGAAATTATTCGCAAGTGGAGCAGAGGGGAGAGACGTGCCCCGCTGAGCCCTAACCAACAGGAACCAACGAAGGGAGTCAAAGGAGATGAGAAAGATGATCAAGTAGAGAGGAGTTAGAAATCCTGGAGGTTCAAATTGAATTATGAATTGTGTTCTGCGCACGGTTCGGGAATGAGTCAACTTGCAGTCACAAAAGCATATGTACGTCAGCCAGTTGACAGACATAAGCACTAGATCTACCTTTCGACTCAAAATAAGCTCCATAGATTCTTCTCGTGTTTTCAATGTAAAGCTTGAAGCTCAAATATTAAACCAGTAGGTATTATTAAACATAGTAACACATCCCAAAATACGCCATTTCGAACACAGAATAGAGATCCCAAACAAGTATCTTTTCATTTTTTCGAATCATCGGGGTAAAGGAAGAAGCCGGCAATCACCGATCCCGCAACCTCACCCCGAGTACCCATTATCAAAGTCATGTCCATCCGTTCATGGTCATGTTCATCATATCAATCACAGTCAGGAGATCCAGGCCGGGCAGGGAACGCTGACTTGGCCAAAAACCATCAGGTACCACCACTTATCCCGACCCAGAAACCTCATCAACTAGGTTTCCTAGTCCCGGTTTAGACCTGAGCCATGCTGGGTCGGGCAGGGCGGCGGGCACTGCCAGTGCGACCGCGCATGTTCACATTGGCCGAGCGGGACATGAAGACCGAGATGATGGTCGAGGCCATGTACCCAGCCCAGCCAAACCACAGGAAGGCAGTACTAGCCTGAGCCTCACGGCAACGCTTTGATGGGTTGTTGGAGCCGTTGGTGATCTCATTGGTGCTTGTGTACGACTGGACAAAGAAGTTAGTCGCTTGGTCCTGAGTATGGTGTTCTTTTAACTTTTTTTTTTCAAATATCAACATACCGAGTTACCACAGGAGTGAACTTCCAGCTTCGCAGCCAGGGCGATGGCCGCGCAGAAGAAGAAAATGTTGTTGAGCACGTCAACAATGATCATGATGATCGGGTGGATGGCCCAGTCGGAACTGAAGGAAGCCGGCACCAAATAGAACAGCGTGAACATAGAAAATGCCGACACGAACATGGTGTAGTTGATCGAGCTTGGGTTGCCGGCGATGGCCTCGTTGATCATGTTACCGATGAGGGACATGATGAGGAGAGTCCATACGAACTATGCAAGCTCAAAATTAGCGATTTTTTTCTTTCTATAAAAAAGACAGATTTTTGGAATATGCATCATACCTCCCATACGCGCAGACCCAACTGAATACCCCGCAAACCCATGATAGTTGATTTCGAAGAGGTAGAATATGGTTGAGTGTATTAAGTGGAAAGGTACAGTACAAAATTTGATCGTATATCTGTGGAAAGATAGAAGATTATGGCAGGCGATTAAGGGATGTAGTTAATAAATGGCGGATAGGCCGGAGGATGGTGATGACGATATAGAAAGGCCAAGCTCCAGACTCGCTACGTCATGCATTCATACACCGATGCACCCGGGAACTGGCGGCACCACGACTGATTGGGCTTCGAAGGAGGGGCAGGATCAGGTGAAAATCTTGCAACGCAATTTTTGGTCGATGACCAAATGAGTCCGCACGTCCAGAGATCTTCGTGCTCCAAGGTGACAGTGGTTGATACCCCACACGGCCGAAATGCGGGTACCCTTTACAAATGTACGGTGATCTTGGAAACCGGATCATCAACCAGGAAGTATGTATCTACCTACCCCTTGCTTCCATCTATAGTTTAGAGCGTGTATTTTGTGTCGAGAATAAAGAGCACGAGCTCATTTGTATGTATAGTTGCACTTCAAGTTAGTGGCAGTTTGCTAGAGCGTATAGTTTACATTCAATTGAATAGGGCTAGTCCAAGTATGGTCAGGATGAAAAAAGGGAAAGAATAAGTTTGGTCGAAAAAAAAGAAGCTTTAACTTTCGCAAAAACTAATGAAGGTTAAAAAGAATTGACAAAAAGAAATGGTTCCAGAGGGGGTCGAACCCTCGACTTTGGCGTTATTAGCACCACACTCTAACCAACTGAGTTATGGAACCAGCTGTTGAAATTAAAACATAAATTAAATCTATAGTCTCAAACGGTCTGCCACTCCCCTTAGGTACTAGTTCATGACTTCTTCCCGAGGTTTCTTGTTACTCTTTTTGAATGTATGCGACCGTCTCGATTATGAGAGATAAATAAAAAATAGCCTAAGCTTGCGATAGGATAATGCTTCCAGTCAAAATCTTTGATTTACTTACACTACGTGATCAAAATGGTGCCTTGCTACACATAATTCTGCGGGACTGAAGATATATACCACCCATCAATCACGCAGCTCTAGCGGCATTCTTCAAATGTCAACACAGGAGAAATATAAAGAAAGCCTTGAAAATCTAGGCCAAAAAAGTTTCATTTTCATTGAATAATTCAAAAGCGCTTATGACTATCGAGATAACCATCTTAATCGAGTATTATATGATATGTAGTACTTTGATTTTCGAAAAATGGTAAATCCTTGAACCGGGCAAATATGACGAGTAGTAGAGATAAATCTCTTACTATGTAGGTTTATAAATAACTCGCATTCTTCCACGAGTGCCTAGTGACTATACGTCCCTTCTTTGCACATATCCATAGATGTCTTGCGCAGCGTACTGATTATCTGCGTAACGTATCATTTCTTCATAAATCACCATGGGTACTAAGCACCCCGACTCTTCTTATGGCAAAGTTCTTTGCTTAATGTGCATTGTTTTCATCAGTGGACCCCTGCAATCACGTCCTTTCTTTGACCACCTTTCTATCTTATCTGAAATCCATTCTATCTTAAAGATGAGATTCTGAGATTCCTCTTCTTTCACCATCAACGGCCCAATGGAAACCTCTCATTCAGCTTGGGAGACTCCAAAGGGAGTGAAGAGACAATCTTCGAAGAGGATTGCTGCATTAAAGAAGTCTTCACATGATAGAAGGAGAGCGAAAAGAATGAACATGCAGAACGAACAGAGCAACGCCAACCAGGAAGAGGACCACGAGAAGGAAGACACACCAGGAGAAGATCAACAGCGACTCAACTGCCTGTGGCTGCTTTGGAGAGCCTTTTTGGATTTCCTGCTTTTCCTCTCAGCTCTCTATGGCTTCAATGCGTGACAAGAGGTACATCAATGGCAAGGAAATGACCCTTCTTAATCGCATGTACTAGATGTTAATCTTATCAATAGGAACCCTTGAAACATCTACTACAAGGGCGAAATCATGAATTGGACCCAGGAAGGAAATTATATCTTTTAATGGGCAGGTGGACCTATTTTTAGGGTTTCTAGAACAAATTAGAAAGCGACTGGGCATATGTATCTATTATGTGGGATGAGTTGGAAGCAAGGGTATCCATCCATAACCCGTGGGCAACCACTTATGCACTCTGACTGTTGTATCTCGATTTTTATTCATCTGCTAGCCTTGATTTATCAAGAAGCGTTTTCTTGCCAGTCCTTCCCCGCATTACTTGGGGGAATGTGGAGGTAATATTCTGTATATAGGACAGGGTTCAAATGATGAAGATACGTCTTGATGATCTACATTTGATAGCCTGATCTCATTATCATTAGCATCACATGACTCTGCTCTTCACCTGCATATGGCCCATGATCATTGATATGAGATCTTCAGGTACCTGTTTTTGGAGATCTCCGATAGGTAGTCATAGACGGTGATGGGTTCTTTCTCCTTGTACCGTTCCTATAAATCATTGCGATAGCTTTTGTTGCAATGGATATGCAAATTAAGTAGCATGCTTTGCTAGACGCCTAAAGTTGGTTGCATAAATATCGCCTTTTCAGTAGTGAAGAGAAGGGCTTGGTTGTGAAGATGTAAATGCAACGAAGAATCGCAGTCAATGGAAATAGTAATAGTTCTCTATGAATATTCGTAACGGATATTGCAGACCTAAGGAAGAGCAACTATCAAAGATTAGGCACAAGAAAATCCTCTATGGCGCATCCGCCGAGTACGCCAACAAAAAATGCATCCGTATGTAAAAATGTCCTGAGCAAACCGAATGGGAATGTGAGAAATGTGAACTGACTCGCTTTAATTCACTGTGAAAGCGCTCTGCACGGAGCCGTACCTAAAAAGTAAAGTGAGCAATGTTCATTGGATAGATGCTTAAAAAGACAGCATGTGATAGTAGCTTACCCTTGGGGACAATTGTAGCCCAATCCAGCACTGCCACTACGCATGTAGCAGATCTTGGCTTTTTGACACGCCACAGTGTTGCAGATAGGGCTTTTGACACTTAACTTTCCTTGCAGAGCATTTTGTAGAGTGACCAGATTCAGGTCAGTCTCCATGGCTTCGGTGACACGATGCCAAAATGTGGCGTTCAGAGGTGCTCGCTTGTCCCACCCAACAGCTGGACCATATGTATCACGAGTGGAGTACTCAAGTTGAAAGATTGGGCCCGTATCACTGAGAGAAGAGTAATCCGACACATTACTGAAGAATGTGTAAGCTTCGTAGACGTTGAAATCACCGGTGTCAACCTCGTACAGCCGGAAGCCGCTGTTGAGATTGGTCAGAGGTGTGACGCTGGGCGCAACCCAGCCAGTTGAGAGCGCGGTTTCTGAGTTCTGAGTGGTTCCATTGTTTGCATAGTACACCATGAATTGGTCTTCGTGGTTATGACCCCAGAATGTATTCGCAATAACATGTGGTGAGTAACGGTCCAAAATTTGATAGAAAAGGTTGGTTGGGTCAGGCAATGGGTTGTAGCCATCCCATCCACTGAGGACATGCCCGATGATCCAGACCCGCTCGCCTGCATTCTCTGCCTTTTGTAGCTCATTGGTCATCCAGGCCAACATACCTGAGTTGTCGGGGTTGGTCGTGTTGATAAAGTTGAGGATGTTTGATCTGTACCAGAAATCTGTGCGACCTTGTCAGCATATGGAGGAACATGTGGATCAAAATGTGAAATCAGGAAGGGAATACCAGTGTTGATGGAAATAATGCGCAGTCCGTAGTGAGTTTTGATGGAGTAGCCGCCATAGTGCGTTGCCGCTTCATCTGCAGTCTGATTGCTAATCCAGCCCTCATGCTGCCACAGACGGGCTACATGGTCATAGTTCCAGCTTGACTGCTCACCAAGGCGCCCCGGGAGATTGTGAGGTGAATCAATGTTGGATGGGGCCGAGTCATGGTTCCCTAGGGTAACAAACACGGGCCCTGTGAGATATTCTTTGAACATCTGAAAGATGCTGGTCTCGGTATACTCAAGATATTCACGAGAGATCTGTAGCTCTGGATCATGCGACTGCAGATCCCCGGTGTAAATGGTCCATGCCAGATTCTCATCGCAGTGGTCCTTTCCTGTACCAGTCAGTGGGCCCACAGCCTGCAGAGCAGCGAGGCCGAGATCGTATGGAGTATCGCATCTGAAATTCCCATAAGGGGTTGCAGGAACAAGTACTCTATCCTCTGAATGTTCATTGTGATTGTCACTGCGACAACACAGGGATGATGTGCAGTTTGCCTCGGAGCTCACGGCGAATCGAGCATCCAGGTGGAAATCCGACATATGGAGCACCTTTACTCGTTCTCCGCTCGCCTTCGGCGCCTGGATATTGACCGGCTTGGGCTTAGCAAACCAGTCAGATGTATCAAATGGACGAGTATTGGGCTGAGGACAGAAGCTCTTCTTGAGTGCATGGCAGATGTACTGACCATCAAGGCCTTCGACGTCTGCAAACGCCAAGACCTGGGTCCAGATGGTGCCCATTGCATGAGCAGCGTATTTTTCTTCACATTCCTCATTGGAGGCAAACTTAAACGCCTGGCAAAGACTCACCATGGCCTTCGGAGCCATGGCTGGAGTAAACAGAGCAGCAGGTTTGGCTGCAGCAAGCGCTCTCTTGCATCTGTCGCATTGGTTTCCGGTAGTGTTGTTCTTGATGACATTTGTGACATTGGTAACCACGGCTTTGATGAAAGCCTGCCCCTCGTCTGGTGACAAGTCTGCCAGAGGTGGAGGAAATATCAATTCATCGTTACCCGCGGGAATGGCATCGGGGTTAGTCAACTCAAAAGGGTAATTGTAGTCTAGAATTGGGTCGTAGATAATGGGTTGAGGTTCCTGAGTTGGCAAGGCCGGCGAGACATAGTACGATCTGTCACACCATTAGCAATGCGCTGATATCAATCCAAGTAGTTGATCGTACGCGAAAGCAGAAGTTGGGAATCCCGGTGCTGCGACGTACGACACCTCCCCAGGGAAGGGCGCCGTGGCGTTCAACAGGGCGATGATTCCAACCAAGTCCTGCAACATGTTGGAGAAATTGCAAGGTTGACGAAGTTAGAGAAATCAGAAAGAGAGATTTCCTGCGAAGGAAGAAGATGAGGAGAAATGTAAACATTAAGATTTTCCAGAGCCACGTTCTCCAGAGCCACGTGGGGAGGGGAGTGGCCAAGGAGAGCACCAACAGCAATTGCCTATTGAGATGAGTTGGATGGGATCACTTTGATATCACTAGTATACGACTAGTCAACGGAGACTGATATTTCTACTCAAACTCTCCTGCCACGCCAGCCATCTGGGTGCTCAGCCATCGTACCTGACTCCATAGCGGATGTTCTTGACCCTTCCTGCACCAGCATTATGCAAGGAGCTCAAGACCTGTTCCAAAATACTTGCTTGTCAGGAGTGGCCCTGACACATCTTGGAGACATTCCCGCGACAGGTGTCGTAAGAAGAATTGCTTTCAAACATACATAGCTTCTCATTTAAGCTTGTTTTGTTCAAGTGTCACTCTATATCTTCATTACCTGAGGCCTCCAAACAAATGAACTCAGATTAATCTTTTTTCAGCTCGAGGCTGAATAAGGGTAAACACCTAGTAGATCCAAACATCTTCCCCTTATGGTAGTACATTTACGTCATAAGTGTGGATATACATGTCCCCCCAGATAGCCGAATCACATCGAGGACTGATCATTTCAAATCTTTTTGGCGTGATGCATATGAGGTGGCCCTTGAAACTGAGATCACATCCCCTGTCCTGGGGGATCTGGTTCCAAGCACTGACACCCCGCGGACTTCTCCAGGATCTACCTCTATGCATAACGCTATAGACTACCATGATCACAGATTTTGTAAATTTTTCCTATGATCGACGATTCGTACCCAAATTTTCCTATTCGTTTAATTAGTGATCGCTGCATACCTGAATGCCAGTGCGCTTCCCTATCGAGAAGCATAGGATTGAGATGTCACCCGAGCTAGATAGGCGTCAGGGCGATGAACTTTTAGGTGGGACCTATAACGGTTGTGGATACTGATTACAGCCTTGAAATGGAAAAACACCGGCAATTCCGGTCTTCATTGACTAAGGAATATTGCCGATACAATTGCCGCCGTTCTTTAAATCTTGATTGAGAGCACTTGACCCAGACCATGATCCCAGATGAGCTATTTGATCGACTTGCTAAGCTTTAATCTCCGTCGAAACTGGACCACCTTACATATCCCATCTCCGACCTTGGAAGTCAATGACGTGCCAAGTGCCGAAATGGGTTTCTACGGACCGGATGGGGCGCGGTACATGAGTGGACCGAGGACGTCACTGGCAGAGGAATCGAAGAAATCATCCGTGCGGAAGTTAAAAAGGATATTTATTAAGATCGAGGTTTCAAGATATTCGTGAAGAGTATATCCCATGGAATTATGATTTATTAGATCCGAAATCAATTCCTGCACCAACTCAATCGAGAATCACATTCAATATGCCCGTTCGTCCTTCACTTGAAGGCTCCACCTTCGATGCCGACCTGCGCGACCGGCATCTGATCTATGATTACGCAGCACAAGACGAGCACGGCAACCCAGAGAAATGGCGATATGAGATGTGGTTCCAAAATGAAGATCGCATCAACTATGCGATCCATGGCGGACCGATGGCAGGTCGCATCAATTTCCAAGCGGCCGAATACCAATGTATTCGACCGGGCGAATTGTGGCAATGCAACTGGCTGGAAGAGACGGGAACCGTCTGTTCCCTAGTATACGACATTCCGCGACGGAAGATCACCACCCTACTTGGCTTCTCTAAGGGCCACTGGGAACAGGCCGAGGAAGCCCACGGCGACAAGCGGAACCCGAAGGATTTGGAAAGGTGGCGTGGTCTGGCGAAGCTGGGTATCCAGACAGATCGTCATATGTTGAGTGAGCAGGCGGATATCTTGGAGGATTTCCGGGGTGCAGGTGATTTGAAGCCGGCCGACAATAGTTGGCCTACCCTGTAGGCGAGTGGTGGGATGAGGCCACGTCGCGATGTGGAAATGGCGGGTGCTGGCATGGGCCAAGACATTTGGGATTATGTTCCGGGATGAGAGGATGTGTTTTGCAGGGATGTCTGTACATAGCCTTTGGTCACAGCAAGAATAATCAAGCCTGGAGTACATGAGACGTTACATCTCGTAGAAAAAGGATAGTGGTGACCGGGTATGTTTCAAACTGAGGACTGCTTGGCATGCATGCTTGGCCAGTTGTCAGTGTAGTAGCGCAGTCTTGGCACCGGGTGGAAAGCCGGCGGCGACAATAAAGTCGATTAGAAGAGAAAGAGATCAATGGACCATCTAAAGAGAAAGGCCTCGGCCAGATCGATCTCAATCGTGGTCCTCCGGGGATCCGGATCCTGTGGGTGGGCCTTGGGGTGCCTGAAGGCAGACGAGCTCGATTTGAATATCGTCGGGGCTGAGCGGCGGGTGGCTATCAAAGCTGGGGGAACGACTGACAATTCCTACCGCGACCTGCGAGGCTTGTTGAAAATCTGTCATATGATCAAGATACCACACCTGCCACGGGTGATGACTCGATCCTGTCTTCATAACGGTAACCTCCTGAGAAGGAGCCTCCTCATAGGCAAAGTCTGGGAGCAAAGAGTTAGTTCAGAATTCGACAACAATATATCATCCGGACGTACCTTGCACAGGGATGGCGGCGACGTCGAATACGGGCGCACCGCAGGATGGTAGCTCTGGTGGTGTCATCATGAATTGGTCCAAGGCGGTCGCTAAAGGTTGGTGATAATAATCGCCAGAGGTCGCCAGTTGAAACATGGTCGCTTGCAACGAAGTCTTGATATCGTGAGAACAATGTCCACCCCAGATACCATCGCATCCATTATTTGGTCCCATCGGTGTGCCTGTCAAGTTTCCAACTCGTAGAGCAATCTCGGAGGTACGGTTCGTGTCGACGACGTGGGGGTTGATGTTGTGATCCTGGTATCCGAGCCAGAACGCCGTCTTGGTCATCGGGCCCTCGCCTTTGCCGGAGGAGCTGGAGTCGAAGGAGTAGAATAAGGTGATAGGGTCGAGGAATAGAGGTGGGAAGCTGAACGCCACAGCGGTCTGGGCAAGCGGGTCGATACAACCATTATTCCAGAATGAACAGAATTGGGCCGAGCCGCACTGTAGTAAGGTGAAGGCGACCACCAAGACCCAGGACCGGGACAGGAGTCCAACCCTTCGACAGGAGGCCATGGCGACTCAAAAGAGAGGATCAGGTCCTCGAGAGCGACCGTGAAGGCCCTCTAAAAGCGCAGGAACGACGAGTGATTGGCCCGGGCAGCGTTTTCCAGGGTCATCCTCTTCGTACGGTCGGGGGGGAGGCAAAGCGGGTTGGATTATGACAGAGGAAGAAACGGGAAAAGGAACATCAAATGACAATCCAACGGCTCATTAATAAATTAGGCCGCAGGGTCGAGTTCCAAGGAAAAATAGCCCCCGCAGGGAACTTTTGAGCGGATATTTTGACCCTGTCCCTAATCGGCGGATCCTCCTTAGCACCAATGGAATCCCAGTTGCGGAGTCAAGAACGAAGAAAAAAAAAAAAAGGGTCTTTTGCCAAGGTGGATAAAGGGAAGAACCAAGGGAATCGGAGCTTCCGAGTACGAGAGAAAAGGAAAAAAGAAAAAAGAAAAAAGACAAAAATTAGGAACCGGAGCCTCGTTCAACGCAGGGTAAACCCATGCAGAGAGAAATAAATAAACCAATTTCTCCCGAGCATTCTCATGCATTCAGGAGTACCTCGGGGTTACTTGCTGCAGGGTCTTGCAGCCCACAGGAACGTAAGTCACCGATAGGTTCACATTGAGGAATTGAAGAGAGCACGCTAAGTGCCGGTCCCCGCATTGCATTGGACAAAAGAGGCAAATCGAGGCGGCGATCGCAAGTCAGGGTTACAGAGCTCGCAGGGTCTGACCAGTCAGAGCGCGTGTGTGTCTCGGTATGGGTCCGCAGTCTCTCGCTAGGGCGTCCATTTGCCATTTGGTGGTGGCCTACAGGACCCTTGTTGTGGCCCCAACCCCCCTTCCTGTTGGTGGCGCTATTGAACCCTGTGTATCACAAACTGCGCGACTCTCGTATGACTCGCGTGAGACCAAGAATAGATCTACCCATTGTTATCGCGGAAGTGGGAAATGAAACAGTGGACTCCGGCTAAGGTCAAGATGGCCCACCTCGGGAATAAGGCTGGGCAAAACCTACGCGAGATTTTTTTTTTTCTTCCTCTTTCGCCCCAAACATTACTACAGGGGGGTCAATCTTGGCATAGTTGGCATGGTCACATCAGAAATGCCTTGGTGCACGTCGTCTCTGGCCTGCAATAAATGAATGCATAGGGTCTTTGGGCGGATACCAAGTGTATCAGATCTGAGACGTTGATCGGGTAATCTCCTGTCAATCATTCGGGGTCTCCATAGGCTCTGGATCGCAAATCCTCTGACGTAAGACGGTCGATTCGGCGCATTCCGACAGGAGGCTTTGCGCATATCGAACTGCGTCATAGATTGGACTGGTGGGTGTCTCATTGGCGAAAAGGCGGGTCTTCGGGATCTGGTGGACACAGAGAATCACTGGGTCAAGTCGGGACTGGAAACCCTTGGCAGGCGAATTTTTGATGAACGTATTCACCGACACCATCTCGTATCCATGCGAACCGTGAAAAGGGCAAGCCAAATATGAGCGAAACTCTGAGACTGATCAATATTGAGATTTACACATGACTATCTGACAAGCTCGTTGATTCGTTTGCATCCTGCATAATCATGTGCTCGTATCGGACGCCACAAACTAAGAGAAAAATCAAAGATACACTCAATAATTACACAACAATTGAAGGCCGTGCTACTTGGTCAACCTCTGGAGCATCTCTTCCCTCTCTCGGAGTACCGCTTGCGACTCCGTGATGGAGCCGAGCAACTGGCGTCCACGCTCTCGTTCCAGTGCAATGCTATTGTCAGCCGAGAAAGTAATGATTTGAAGGGTTTGAATCTCAGCAAGCTGGCACCCACCCACGCTGGAGAGGAAGTGGATATTAGACACAGCCACAAATTTCGTTACGGCCTCTAGCGAAACCGCATGTCAGGCTTTTTATCGTTCACCCAGACCGCGTTCTCTAGCGCTGCACATTGGACGTTCTGAATGGTATTCATAGCCATGGCATGCAGAGGAGGAAGGTCTTGATGCCGGACTCGTTCACGTGGGAGCGGTGCCGCTCTCAATCTTTGCTCGATAGTGGGAGTTTTTCGCTGTTTCCAATTCTTAGCATTCATTCGTCCGTGGGCGATGTTATCAAACAGACCATCGGCATGTCCCGCCTCTCGGCCCGTGATGTGATTCGAAACCCTAGAACAACATAAACAGTGGACAATAAGAATCCACACGGCTCACGTTGTTCGTTTTGGAAGTACTAGAGAATATACTAGATCAATCAAAGCAGAGACAGTTGATATAAAAGTGCATAACGAACAAGTTAACATATAGTACAGATACACTTGTTAGTGGCTATTTCATCCTCCAGTGCCCTTATGATACAATGCTTCAAAGCAAATGCTTGAAATATGCAGGCCTTCCAAATTGGGTGGCTATGTACAGTGGTTTTCGTTTTCGAATCAATCACCAAATCAGATATTGTCATGGGAGAGTGTCCATCGATGCCCATAACGCCAGAACTCCATGCTGGAAAATGAAAAAAGATGCAAGTAAATGTTTCAAAAGGAAACGGAGAAGCTGCCAGAAGCCCGTCGCCGAATTATCGTCAGGGTCGCAATAGACCTGATCCTTGGGAGGCGGTTGGGTGCATCTACACACGCGTCAAGGCCTTATCGAGTCCCAATGCCTCGCGGTCTCGACGCATACCTTCCAGGACACCGACAATGCCGCCGCTGCGCAAGCGTTCCAGAACGACGTTCATTCCTTCCTTGCTCTTCAAGACGGCGTCCCGAGTGCGACTCACGCCGATCAGCTCAATGGTCCGCTGAATGCCGGCAGTGGACAGAGAGGAGAAGAAGCCCTTCTTGGGGGCTTCATCTTCCGCTTCGGTGGAGTCCACCTTCTTCCTGCCAAGCAATTTACCCTGTCCGAGACGAGACTTGAAAGTCACAGTGGTGCGCACGGTAGTCTGTTCGGCTCGCTGATCGATGGAGAGACCGTCAAGAGCACGAACGTCATTTTCGGCTTGGAGGCGCTGGTATCGCTGCTTTTCCACGACACTGAGGATGCCGGTCCATTCCATGTTGCGGGATTCGGTCTCCATCCAGCCCTCCTGCGGATCCACGACGGTGGTCTCAAGGATGTAGCTCTGGCCGGAATTGTCGGAGCCACCCATTCCCTTAGGCAACAATTTCAAGATTCCTGCAGGAACCTTGGACTTTTTGAGATGGAGTCGAGTGGTATGCAGACGTTGGGTGTTGGGATCGACGTAGCGATCAATCACGTCGGTGGTGAGGACATGGCGGGAGTAAGGGTTGGGATAGCGGAGGAAGTAGGCGAGAGAGACAGCAGGAAAGGAGTAGTCGTAGGTGAATTTGTTCTCGAAGAATTTCATGATGGTGGATTCATAGAGATGAAGGCGAGGGGCGAAGGCATTAGGGGACGAATTGGCTGATCGTGACTTTTTACTCTTAATGGCAAAGGAAAGCTACCGAGCGGGGACCGGATCAATAGATGACCCGGGCGCCGCGGGCCTATCACCGCCGGGGAATAGTAAATGGTGATGTAGACATGATCCAAGTTGATGGTCAATACATGGTCGTATGATGGTATGGAATCTGGTTTCAAAGCAGATCCCCCGCATCCACAATACCTATCTATGAGTGTGTGCCCAAGGGTCGTCGAAATCACAACAGACACTCTCGCTCCCTGTGTTTTACCTCGGTAATGCAAGTTAACCCAATAACCTAATGTAGATCAACCAGAGTCATCCGTGTTTCTATCTTTCTAACACAACCAGTTTCAAGCAAGCGCAAGTAATACAAACGTGTAGTATCCACAGAATTGTACATGGTACTTGATCAACATAGGCACAGCATCTCGAGACCGGTCTCTAATGGCAGAACATATACCCGTAAGCCTAGCCTCATTAAGAAACGAAAATGCATCGGAGAAAATTTGATTTGCTTACTTTTAGTTCACTGAGTAATTACCTCAGAACGCAGGTTTAAACAACAATCAGTTGATGAACCGTTGGAATATTTCATGTCAATGTGAAAAGGACTGAGATGGGTTGAATGGTGTGATCTAGTGGAGGATGGCATCAGACCCCGCAAAAAAAGTTGCCGTGGTTTTGCCGGTAAACAGCATCAATTCTCCTGACCTCAACATGCATTCGACACGTGCGAAATTCGCCCATACACCTACACGGGTACCTCAAGCTTATATCGCTGAAAAAAATAACATTTGTATGGATTCAAAAATATCGAGAGCTTGACCTTTCTCGGGTACCTAACTCCTCATGGGCCGTGTCCAGCACCCTCCATGCTTTCAATGTCGATGTCGAAAGGTATATCCCTCGGTGCCCAGCCCTGCCGGTCTTATCTATACGCGTAAGATGGAACTAAGACAAAGCAATAGGTTCGCTGTGACCGCCAGCAAGACAGATGCGGGAATTGCGAGCGGTTGCAATTCTCTTGCTCCTTTCAAAAACGGACTGGGCCTGTGACTGCGCGGGCAGATCCAAGAGTGCTAGAGCATCCTGAGCGCCGCCGGGGTAGCCAAGCATGTGTGGATTGTCGTCGTGAAAAGGCGCGCTGTTCAGGGGACTTCCCTGAATGTGCAAATTGCTTGCGCCGTCACAGAAGATGTCGATACCCGGCAAGATTGGGTTCTCGTCAAGACCAAACAACTGAGGGGCCATCAGACCTTGATACAATTCGATCTCATGGACTGGAAGAGTCAGCGCAAGTCTCTCAAAAACTACCCAAGTATCCGACAGTGGTTGATGATCATCAAATCAGATCGAATTCTCTTGTTCAGCGAGATGAACTTGAGCAGAGCATCAATAATTATTTCCAATATCTTTACCCAATTCCGACATATGCCTTCTTGCATGAATTCTCCATCCGGAAACAACATAAAAATGGCATGCTTGATCGGAGTTTGGGCCTGTCAATCGCTGCTGTCACCAGAGAAGTCTTATCATCCGGTCCAGGCCCCTTAGACAAGACCCGCTGTTGGATTTCCGAAGTGGAAATGGACATCTGGGACCACCTGGAGAGGCCTAGTATTGTTTGCCTGTAATGCCTCCTTCTCGTGATCCAATACTATATACAGATCGGTCGGTTCTCACGGGCTTACATGCTCGCTGGACTAGCCGCTAGAGGGGCAACTGCCTTGCGGTTGAATCATGAACGGCCCGAGCTAAGCTTCCTAGCCCAAGAGATACGTCGACGAGCTCTGTGGGCTCTCAGCTCCATTGATGGGTCATTTTCTGTGGGCCTTCCGGAGTATGAAACAATTCCACACGCTGTCATCTACCAGCGACTTCCAAGTTCAGAAGAAGCATTTCGATATGGTCGGACCACACTTACAACGGCTACACACTGGCCATCGGTAGACAGCGACCAAGTAGCGGGTTGCAATCTATTTTCAGCTTGCATTCGGATTTCCAAAATCTCGAAGGACATCATGCGGCTTACGCGGCAACTCGCCCTTTCGGAACAGCCACTCGCGCAATTGAGCGGGCTTGTCCAGGAGATCCAGAACGACCTGTGGAGACTCCAGGCAGACGTCGAGCATTCCTTTCAGTACCAGATTGCAGCCCCCGCCTATGTAGCTCAGGTGGCCAGCTCGCGCTGGTTCGTGCGCTATCTCCAAATCTCCATTACATGGCACCAAGCACATTGTGACCTGTACCGGCTGTTCCTCGCTAACTACAATGGCGCCGCACCAAAAATAATCACAAATTCCATCGAGCCCAGCCTTAGGGCCGAAGCCGTGGAAAAGTGCCAAGAGCATGTGCTGAGCATCAATTGCATCATCCGCGGGGTTCTAGACCTGTCCTCATCGCCAGTCGTACTCCCGCCCTACTTTGCGGTATGCGCATACCACGCGACCCGCTTAACATTGTTTCTTCCCTGCGCCCCAGATCTGGATGTGAAAATTGATCTGGATAGTGCGCTAGGGAGCGCGAATGTGGCACTGACTGTTCTGCGGCGATTCTTTGCAAACTCTGCGTCCGCCGAGAAGATTATCCAAGACATGCAATATCTGGTAGATTTGTCAAGCAAAGGACCTGAGTCGATTTACAAAGAACTCCGTTACCCTTTGCCACCCTATGATCAGGGTCTGCATCGCCACAGCCATCTGGCAGTCCACAGCTTGATCCGACAGGCTAATTTTATCGATGGAGGGTATGATGACTATGGGGGACGGTCTTGATTCATTGGTTGGGCGAGCCTGTACCTTCTGGACCAGAATTTTCCAGTCGCCCGAGAGCCTTCTCCTACTTTCTTTGAAGTTGGAACCTTGGAAACCCCCCAGGTTGAAAAGGAACCCGGACAAAAGGTACCCGACCTAACACAGTGTCTCATTCGAGAACCCCAAATTCGAGAAGTTTCTTCTTAGTATTATGAATCCCGATGGCAGGTACCGCCAGGAAAAAGTTGCCGCCTGTATTCTTTGGTACCGACATGATGAGAGGCGAACCTTACCTTGGAGAACCAAATGTCTCCAAATGGGGACAGCTTATGTCAAAGTCGCCTCCGCTCTAGACGAACAAGATGTCGTACCGTTGAAGTGGAGCGAACGGATTGGAAACATTCTAGAACTCGATGGTATGGCGTCAGAGGATGACAAGATGGTCGAGAACGCCTGGGCTTCCACGCGGGATCCACTCGAAATAACCTTATTGCTCAACCGTTCTTCCGAATTCCCCAAATTCTTTATCCCCAAACTTTTTGGATTTTCATCGGTTTCCAGTCATTGCCGGGTCCACCATGGGGGATAAATAGGACCTCATGTCTCCCTGAGATGGATCTTTCTGTTTCTCAATCAGTCCAGTCTCTCACACTCTCTCATTCTCTAGTCTTTTGTTTTTTGTGTCTTTCGACACGTACATTCTCTTGTTCTTCTTTTGAACAGACGGCCCTTCGGTCACAGACTATCACTTCTTCTCTCTTTGAAGACTTTCACTTCGTTCATTTGAAGACTTTCTATTTCAATCTTCTTCAAGATGTACTTCTCCAACGTTCTTGTCACCAGCATCCTTGCTGCCACTGCTGCCGCCCTGCCGCGCCCCAACAACGTGGCCCGCGATGCTACCTCCACCTCGACTAGCACCAGCGCCAGCTCCTCTTCGTCGAGCTCCGGCAGCGTCCAGATCGTCAACAATCTGGACACCGACGTCTACATCTGGAGCACATCCGCCGACTCCGGTGACATGCAGACCATCAGCACCGGTGGTGACTCCTACAGCGAGAACTGGCAGACCAACCCCAACGGTGGCGGTATCTCCATCAAGATGTCCACCTCCACCAGCGAGGACAGCGTCCTCCAGTTTGAGTACACTGAGGAGGGTGAGAAACTTTACTGGGATCTTTCCTCCATCAACCTCGACTCCGACTCCGACTTCGTTAAGTCTGGATTCTCGGTCACCCCTAGTGACTCTAGCTGCTCCTCTGCTACCTGCCAGGCTGGTGACTCCGACTGTGCTGCTTCTTACCAGCACCCTGATGACACCAACACCAACTCGTGCTCTACCAGCGCCCAGTACGTTCTGACTCTGGGCTAAGTGTCATCTTTACTGTGTTTATACTTTCATTTATCTCCTGCTTGGGTTAGGATCATTCAAGACTGGATTATATTCTACATTTTCCTTGTTCATTGTCGCATGCTGGCTATGCCCCGATGCTTACAAAAGATTGTTTTATATGCGCTTATAGATATAGATATAGACCTCAGCCCTGTATATAGAGGAAACAAGATTTCAATTTCAAATAAAGTTTGACAATTCACCCTGTATTCCTGGTTGAAAGTAAATTGAGTTCGCGTAGAAAGCAAAAAAAAACTCTTCGCTAAATCCGGTGAAATTCTCTTATTATACCGTCAGACTGTTTGCCGAGCATCCGAGATCCCGATCAATCAGACTGCAGTAAAACCCTTTCGTATTGGTGTACCGCCGCATCTTACGGCATTGATGCTAAAGTGTCCACATTCCACAGAGTCAAACGCTCTTATATAATCACCAACCACAAATTTGCCATTATGTCAGTGCTTATGCCTTCTCTATGGCCCTGTCTCTCATCATCCGAGCTTTGCGGAGATAAGTGCCACATTATGCTAATGAATATCTGCCTTCGCCACCACAACTGCCACAACTATATTAGGTCATCAAATACGCCAAAGATCCGAAGTAGTCACATCCTCATATTCGAGTAAGAGAGGATAAATATCAAAGTAAGCCACAATAAAGCAGAATCAACCTAAAAGTAAGGTCAGTATTGATGCTGATTCAGGTGCGGTGTCTTATATACCGGCCGATCATCTACACATTAGGTCTAGCAGTGTGGCTCTCCGGAGCCTCCACGCCTCCACCAGCGTGGATAACCGGTCCTTATCCTACCCATTAGGATAGGATCTACATTATCTTGAGATCATATTACCGACTGACACGGCGAATTTGTCCCTGCAACTGGCTACGTCTATATCATCTAGCCACGTTAGAGAGATGGGGGCTCTTGGCAGAACATATCCATTGTCCACCGTTACACTGCCACGGGCACCCAACACCCCGCTATTGTGCGAAGAGCAATTGCGAGGATACTCCGCGCGGGGATGAGTTTGTGGGGCTCTTAGTTCCCAACAACAAACTCACTTTGACCGCAATGGCCACCCCTCCCGTTTAAGCGTACTCGTACAAGCGGGCTTGTCACGGACTTAGAATGAGTGTTGCTTCAATTGAATCTTGTTCTTCTTCGCTACATTGATCCAACAATGGCTACCAAGAACCCGAATCCCCAACCTATCTTTGTTTTTGTCCCAGGTGCCTGGCATACCCCTGACACCTTTGACATTGTCCGTGATGTACTAGCCAAACGCGGGCATGACTCGGAGGCTGTTCCGAACGTTTCTGTTGGCGCGACGGATCCGTCGTTTGGCTTGTATGCTGATATCGCGCATACCAAGAGCGTGCTGCGGACTTTGGCTGAGCAGGGACGGCAGATTGTCGTGGTGAACCATTCTTATGGAGGGCTTGTTGGTGCAGGTGCGGTAGAGGGTCTTGGTTTCAAACAACGGGAACAGGCAGGTTTGTCTGGCGGTGTGATACAGGTGGTCTGGATGGCTGCCTTTGTGGCTTCGAAGGGAATGTCAATTGTTGATATGCTGGGTGGCAGTTATCTTCCCTGGATGTTGTTGAAGGTAAGAGACTGGCGTGACAGGTGATACCAGCGTGTTAGAGGGCTAATTTCATGACTGCCTCACCAGAACCCGGACGACGGGTACTGTTACTCTTCTCAAGAGGAGACGATGTTTTATCATGATATGACGCCCGAGGCTCAGAAGCAGGCGATCTCAAAACTCAAGCCTCATGCTAAGCCTGCCTTTTCTGAGAAGGTTGTTTATGAACCTTGGCATGATATGCCGTCTTTTTATCTGTTCTGTGATCAGGATCAGGCTGTTTCTCTGCAGCGTCAGGAGAGTCTTGCTCAGAAGTTGGGAAATCCGGGAACTTACAATGCGGATGGGTCGCATTCTGCTTTCTTGAGCGTGCCGGATCAAGTGGCAGATGGATTGGAACTTGCTTTGAAAGAGGGATTGGAAAAGAGAGCTTGAGAGATCTCTGACACATATCATTTTAAAGTACCCTTCACATACATGGAGATTAAGAACAAGGTATGGCGACTTGAACCATAATTAAGGTGTGGCTCCGGGAATGCATGGGACGAGGCTTATATCATCGAATAATTACGGGCTTAGTGCAGCCTTGCAGCTGTCCCATGCCAGGATGTAGTACTGTATTAAAATTTTAGGGGCAAGTTTGAAATTGAATGCAAATCTTTGAAATTGCTATATCCAAGCGTAATTTATATAAACATAAGGAGAAGATGATACTCGGGGTATTCGGGGTATTCTAACAGCATAATGGGCATCCTTGTACAATCTCCCATGTTCGAACGTGCCTTCGAAGAAAACAGACATCCAGGAAGTAAATTATTATTATACAAGAACTGCACTGTCCATGCTCCAAGAAATATGTTCAGAGAGAAAAGACAGATATATCCAGGTTGGAGGGGACCAGGTGCAGCAATTGCGTATGATCGGGGATCTTTTGAACCGCTTACTCGTGGGAGAGAGTCTTCTCATCAGAAGCAGCGGCGGGCAGGACAAGGTGGTCAATGTTGTCCTTCTGCATGGCCTCCATTCTCGGGCTGGTGCGCTCGAAGTACTTGTGAATGGAGCCGGAGAGAACACTCTCATCGACGTCGAAGATCTCAGTGCCGGACTCGGACTCGGTGGAGCGGGAGGCCTGAGCAGTCTCCCACTCACCGCGGAACTCCTCGACCTTCATCTTGTAGTCCAGGGCAGCATCGTAGTACTTGCCCTTGCCGGTCCAGCGCTCCCAGATGGACAAGTGCTTGGCGTGCACGGCAGGACCGTGGTAGTCTGCCTCGCGACCGGAGCGGAGGTATTGCCAGCGGCGCTCCTGCTCGCGGAGATCAAGACCGGTGGTATCGGGGAGGAACAGGTAGGTGACGAGGGCACCAAACAGACCGAACCAGGGCACAATGTAGAAGCGCTGCTGGGTGGTGGTGTAGGAGCTGACAATGGCGATGATCAGGGCACCAAGCTTACCAGCGGCAGCGGAGATACCGTGAGCAGTACCACGGATGGGGGTGGGGAAGACCTCAGCGGCGACCAGGAAGGTAATGCAGTTGGGACCGAACTGGTTGAAGAACGAAGACAGGAAGTACATGGCCTGGAAAGAGTGGATGTTCTCGGGCTGGGTGTAGTAGTCGTACTTGAAGCAAGGAATGACGAAGAGGATGAAGCACATCATGAAACCGATGATCTGAGCCCACTTGCGACCGTAGAGCTTGTTATCAACGGTCCACATGGCACCGTAGTAACCGGCCATCTCGACACCGACGTTGGCGAGGGTCCAGAGCCAGCTGGTCATGACAGTGTTGTCCTTGCTGATAACCTTGATGAAGTTGGACTGGAAGAGCTTGTTACCGTAGAAGAAGACATCGTTGGCGAACCATCCACCAGCGGTGGCAATGAGACGAGGAGTGAAGTACTTGAGGGTCAGCTTGAGCGACTGGGTGTCGTATCCAGTGACGGAAGACTTCTTCTTCTGGGCCTCGAGCTGCTTGCTAGCAGCGCGCATGTGGTAGGCACGGTAGTAGACGAGCCACAGAGTACCGGCGGCGGGGATAGCAAAGGAAACACGGTAGGTCCACTGGGTGGTAGTGGTGGAGAATCCAGTGGAGTGACCACCGTTGAAGATCAGCAGGAGCAGAATGAGGATGGCCTGGTTGAAGAACTGGCCCCAACCCTGCATGGTGAAGGCACCGACGACGGTACGACCACGGTGAAGACGATCCTGGGCGGTGGTGACCTTGCCGGATCCGTATCCGTTCTCCATACCAATGGTGGCAGTCATAGGGTACTCACCACCGACACCGATGGAGTAGAAGAACAGAGACCACATGTAACAGATAACCCAGCCGTTTTGGGTAACACCCCAAGAGGCAGTAAGCATGACCAGACCGACAAACATGATGACAGCATCCTGAATGAGACCCCAGCGACGACCGATACTATAATTCCTGTCAGCAAATTGTGCGCCAGAATCATTCCAATTGAGGATCTCTTACGCATCACCGAGGTAACCAACGAGAATCTGACCGATAATGATACCGACAATCTCCATGTAGCTGACGGCAGCGACCCAGTTGGCATTGCAAGTAGTGCCCTTCCAGCAATCCTTGTAAGACACGTCGAATAGACTGGTGACGTTACTGATGGAGAAAAGGACGTAACTAATCAAAATAGAATTGTCAGCTACTTGATTCCCCGCATTGTATATATTCTGGACTCGAGACTCACCCCTCCAGACCCAGACCAGCACCAGGCAAGACGAAGTTGCGGAAGTAGTGGGAGATGGGCGACAGAGGATCAGTCTTGATCATGTCCCAGAGCCAGGCGCTCTCCTTAGCCATCTCCTCGCGGTCCTGCTTCAGACAGAAGCCGACCCGCTCACCCACGGGCAGATCAGCCCAGTAGCGACCATCGGGGGTATAGCTGTCGGCGGGGCGGATGATCTCATCGAAGGCAGCCTTCTCATGGATCTCCATCTCCTCGAAGTGGTAGAGAACTTCCTTAGGGGCCTCCATTGTGAAATGGATGTCGAACCCAAATGGGTTAGAAGCAAGGGATTGCTAATAAGGGTGTTGGTTTGAAGGGAGAGAGCGACACGGAAGGAAAAAAAAGAAGGAGCAGATCACGGCATATTTATCTTAGAGAACGACGGGCGAAACCCGGGCGCGATGCAACGGGAAAAAAAGACCCAGCAGGGCGCTAGACAACGTGAACCACGAGGCGGAAGTCGAGCCAGGCCCAGGGGCCTATAGAATGCATGTACGCGAGCACGATTTCCGATGCAAGTGGAGACGGACAATCTCCCTTTCTGCACTAGTCCCCTGGGTCGATTGGATCCATTCGGGGACGTCTCGGGTGCACTGACCGAGTGTGGCATTGGAGGCACGCGAGTGGTTGAAACCCTCAACCCATGCAGCTAATCAATGTAGTCCCGGGGCGAAAATAATTGGAATAAAAAAAAACAACAGGAAAATAGAAAAAAAGAAAAAAATGATCCAATACCGAAGTGGCAATTCGATCCCTTCTAGAACAGAGAGCACGCGCATGTAATCTGAGACGAGCAGGAATGATTGAAGTCTGGGCTCGGCCCCCCCTTATGGAAACATGCGTGGAACGAGTGGGTTCGTTGCGCCCGTTAGGGGACCCTCCTTCGTCTTGGAACATCAGTTTACAATGCAATTATCGATTTTGATACTTGAGATCAACTTTATAACAGACAAGCAAAACACAAGAACACCAAGACTCGCGAAGGCGTAACTTGGCAGTATTGGCACCTGGGCATAGACAGACATGGCTTGCTCGCATGCGACACACGGGAGTCTGCAAACGTCGCAGCTCGTGTGTGCTAAAACGAAACTCTGTATACTTGTGGCGTCTGGCCAATCAGAGCCTCGGGTGCCACCCCGTGCTAGATTTCAACCTTATTTAAGACATCGACCCGCATATCTAATCTCGTCGCCCAATGAGAGCATCCAGATCACGCTCTGGGGGCCCACTTTTTCCCCGACTCACAATGCTCGCTCGAAGCACATGGGGTTCTGGAGTCCATTGACTGGAGTTGACCGCGCTGCCCGCATTCGGCTCCACTATTGGCCCATTCCATCCTCGGAGTCCCCGCCCCATCCACATCCACATCCTCGCCTACGGCTTGTTTACGCTTTTACGGCCTCCTCCGTCTGCCGCGCTAGCCATATGGCACGAGATCCGCTGATCCAGTGACATTGCCCGGTTGTCAACGTCAAAACCGGGAACGTGGGCCATGAGAGCTTCCATGGGGCCACCGGCATGCACACGACTTTCCTACACCGGCCCACGGTCTAGGCAAGATGGAACACACGAGCATATCAAAAAAAAACCCACCCGGCAGAGCTGACCCAGATTGGCTACGAAGAATGCGCACCATGGAGCTCTGAAGCTGCCTAGCCAAGAATATCTCAATCGCCGGAGCTAAGATTTGCCGCAATATCCAATATCCTCCCGATTATGCGATAGAGACCATTTGCCTGATATTGGATCGCCTAAATGTGGTCAATGCAACGCAAGATCACTAGTTCAGCCCCTTTGGAGGCGTAGGAGGCGTCTAACGCCCGTTAAACATGAACGCAGGTTCGCTACGCCTTGCAGTCCCCACCGTGTCATGCAGGAACGTGCTCCTAGATCGCCATATCGACTGGCCGATCCCTTGCCTTGTGACTGAACTGCCGGTCCCGACTTCCATAATCATTCTAGACGCTTTACTCCGTACTCCGGCTTCGGCCTGAGCCGATTGGACAACCTAGGTGCCAGTTGCCTCTTATTTCTCTCGCTTGTGATTCGATAGACGATTTTAGCCCGCTGGTCACTTTTCGATTTCCGCTTGCATATCGGATCGGCTTAGGGCATGCAGTCTTGCCAATAGTCGCCGCCACTTAATATCTTGCCTCTGGCCCGGAAATTTGAACCTTGAAATTCTTGAGCACGCTCCCAGTGCCTGAAACACGTGGCGGTCAACCGAGGCTGATGCGAGATTGTTTGGATAACCATTGTGAGGCACAAAACTGCCGATCTCAGGATTCCTCTTATGGATAAATCTAGATTTGACATAAACTATAATTATGTCACCCAGGTCGCTCATTTGAGGCAATGGGCCGAGTTAGGAAAGGGCTGTAGCATCCCTAGTTAGGTAATCTGATATTTACCCTAACTATGTCAACTATACGGACATTTTATGACATCACACGGCAATTGACACGAACTAACTACCCATACGTATTATATTAAATAAGTTTACGATCTAGATTTTTCTTGAATAAGCTCAAGGTTTGCTTGCATTCCTATTGTGAGGTATTCCTTTCAAGGTTTAGATGCCTGATACCTGAAGTCAGAGCCACATTTTTATTGGCAACTTCTTATTGGCGAAAATGCTCAAACAATCTTGGCATGCAATGAAATGCTTACGATAAATGTTACATGGCTTTTTATTTTTGTTGGATTCCGAGGCCACATCTGCGCAAGTTCGATGCTATAGGCTTCCAACATCACCTATGCTATCTATGACAATAGCCAGAACATTTCCAAGATTATTTTTCTCAATTCATTCAACGTAAAATAATGGTTTTTAGAATGGATGCACATTGGAGTCGTGTAGGTATCAAGTACTCTGCTTGAATAGGTTATTCAAGATGTGGGAAGTTAGGTCGAAGGATACATATATATAATCGAACCGTGGAAGTAGAGGTATTTAGGCTAAGGTATCATTCTATATCACAAACCCCCAAGGTTCAATATTGCCTTTCTCAAGTACAATCGGGAATTTGATTTTGTAATGGTTTCACAAATATATCTGAGGATATAGGAGCCTTGAAGGAGCCTCAAAATGTCCAATGGGAAATTCATATCTATAATTTAATCGCCCAATAGTCACTAGGTGTGCTGATCCATTTTGTTAGAGATGTGGGGGCATCTTGGCAGCAACGTGACCAATCAACTCTCCAAAATAACGACTCCCGCCGACTGCCGTTCATTTGTGGATCCGCGGGGGAGATGTTGTACCAGCGCAACTCAGCGTGTCTCTGCCATTCACATCAACGCAGATGATAAATTGCGGGGTTATCGCAGGAGGGGCTACAGAATGAAGCTGCCCAGTCTCCCCAATCAGCGCATCGCGAGGTGGTGTGATTCGTCATTTAAATCATGCCTCTGCCGCTTTGCAAATGTTCCATCCTTTCAACCGACTTTTCCCTACGCGGTTATAAACAAGGTCTTGGGAATCCCCAATCCCTTTCTCCAGACCGTTTCTCTTTTTGTTCGATCAATCGACAGAGCCCATAGTTTTCAACCAGTAGCACCATGGCCGACGCTCGCCCAAACATCGTCTTCATCATGGCCGATGACCATGCCTCCAAAGCCATCTCCTGCTATGGGGCCGGCATCAATCACACCCCTAATCTTGACCGCATAGCCAATGAGGGCATGAGATTCAATCACTGCTATGTCACCAACAGCATTTGCACCCCTTCTCGTGCTGCGATCTTGACAGGCACCCACAACCACGTAAATGGCGTCATGACCCTCGATTCCAAAATCAACAAACACCTGCCCAATGTAGCCAAGCACCTCCGAGTGGGTGGCTATCAAACCGCCATGATTGGGAAATGGCATCTGGGCGAAGGGGAAGCACATGAGCCCACAGGATTCGATTACTGGGAAGTTGTCCCCGGACAGGGCGAATATCACGATCCGCAGTTCATCGGACCTAATGGGACTGTGCGCGAAAAGGGGTACGCCACAGATATCATCACCAACAAGAGTATGAACTGGATGAAAGCTCGGGACACCAAGAGGCCCTTTTTCCTGATGTGTCACCACAAGGCACCCCACCGCAGTTGGGAATGCGATCCAAAGCACAAGGACTTGTACAAAAACCCTATCAAGGTGCCGGATACATTCACAGATGACTATAAGAACCGCGCAAAATCGGCTGCTGCTTCTAAAATGCGCGTGGCACAGGACTTGACCTACTTTGACCTTGGACTTGCACAGCCAGATGGACCTGCTCATATAGTCGGAGAGAAAATGGTCGATGAATGGTGGTCACAGGAGCGCAAGATTCCTGACCCTGAGGACGTGACAAAACTCAAATTGATCGATAAAGAAGATGGGACAGTCTTTATTTTTCAGACACGCCAGGAGCTCGCCGAGTTCAAGTTCCAGCGGTACATGCAGCGCTACCTGCGCACGATCCAAAGCGTCGACGATAACGTGGGTCGGATGCTAGACTACCTGGACACAGAGGGTCTTTCCGAGAATACTATCGTTATCTATACGTCCGACCAGGGATTCTTCCTTGGCGAACATGGCTGGTTCGATAAGCGCCTCGTCTACGAGAACAGTTTTAATATGCCCTTCCTCATCAAGTATCCGCGGGAAATCCCCGCTGGAAGTGTCTGCAACGATATTATTTGTAACGTGGACTTCGCACCGACGTGGCTAGATTTCGCGAAAGTGCGTCTACCCACGTATATGCAGGGTGTCAGTTTCAGACCGTTGCTACAGCAGAAGACCCCAGCAGATTGGCAACAGATTGCTTATCACCGATACTGGATGCACCGCGATATTATCCATGATGCGCACGCCCACTATGCCGTGAGAGATAAGCGGTATAAGCTTATCTATTGGTACAACGAGAGTTTAGGTATCGAGGGGGCTAGGCTGGGCGGTGAAGAGAAAGAGTGGGAATTGTTTGATTTAGACGAGGATCCGTTGGAACTGTTCAATTGCTACCACGATGAAAAGTATAGCGATGTGGTGAAACAAATGACCACCCTACTGGAACTGAAGATGGAGGAGATTGGAGATGAGCCTGTTCACCCACGGTGAGCTGGACTAACACCAAGACTGGTACCTTGATCAAAGATTGTTTGAATATGAGCTGTAGTTGAAATCCGACTAGCATACTTATCCATGATTACAATGATGTGGTGTAATCATCGACTCCCGCACAGAAGCTTCTGGGTTTCTCCATGTGACCGGTTCCTACAGCCACATGTCTAATAGTAGGTCTCAAAAAGGCACGAACACTAAAATGATTCATAGCGCCCCCCTGGGATACTCCTCCCTTTTCAAAAACAAGCGTGTCCAATGCATCCTTCAAACGGCTATCTTTTACCACCCCCTCTTTAACATCTCCACTCGAGTGAACCAATGACGAAAAGAACTTTGGTAGAACACCCTATGCCAGCAATAATGGTTTCAGCCAAACATCGGCAATGAAAGAATAAAATCGCATTGGTCCGAATCTCTGGCTTTCTAATTCTAATTCTAATTTAATATTTTTTCTATCTTTTTTTTTTTTTTTTTTTTTTTTTTTTTGTGACATGTACGCTTAGCTCTGGGGAAAAACTCTCCCGCTTATCGCTTATCGACCTGCGTAAAGGATCTAGACCTCTACATGACCGTTGATTGGTCACTTTAATCTCATCTGGAGCGAACTATAACAGGTTATTTGACCCTGCGGTCGCATGCAATGAAAAATTTATCTTTTATACCACAAAAGTCAAGCTCTATTATGGCTCCAAGCTCTATTGAAATGGCTCATTTGCATGAACAACCGGAAGGACTCACGAATGCGAATGCGAATGTGCAAATCGCCAAGACTATTAGCCTAGAAGATACCCCGCCAAATGGAGGTTACGCCTGGGTGTGCACATTCTGTGTGTTCATGATAATCATACACACCTGGGGCATAAACAGCGCCTGGGGTGTGATTCTCGATCACTTCATCACTAATTCCACCTTTCCGAAGGGGACCCGAATCGATTATGCATTTATCGGAGGCTTGTCCATTTCCCAAGCGCTTCTCACCGGGCCGCTTGTGCATAAGGCACAAGGCGTCGTCGGGACAAGAGTACTTCTTTTACTGGGAACTCTTCTAGTTTCTGCTTCCATGCTTGGCGCTGCTTATGCACGCGAAATATGGCATCTCTTTCTCTCCCAAGGCATTTGTTTTGGGCTCGGAATGGGCCTTCTCTATATTCCCTCCATGTCGGTGTTGCCGCATTGGTTTTCGAGCCACAGAAGCCTTGCTATGGGCATCGCAGCGTCAGGTGCTGGTATTGGCGGCATTCTTTATAATCTTGCTACAAGTTACATCATTCAACACCTGGGATGGCGCACTGCGTACAAGGTTCTGGCTGGTTGCTCCTTGGGAGCCAATCTCGTGTCATCAATCCTCCTCAAAACACGAAAAGTTCAGCACAATCAGCAAGCTCACGCCCTTGATTCGCGCGACTTGAAGCGTCCCGAGGTTCTTTTCGTGATTTTCTGGGGATGGACAACCGAGTTTGGGTATATCGCCTTGTTCTATTCGTTACCCAACTATGCCACCTCTATTGGCCTGACAGCCAAACAGGGATCTGTCGCTGGGGCTATGTTAAACGTGGGGATGACCATTGCCCGTCCGCTCGTTGGCTATGTCAGCGACAGATTTGGCAGGATCACTGTCCCTGCTATCCTGACAGCCACCTGTAGCGTGATATGCTTAGCCATTTGGATACCTGCAAGCTCCTATGCTGTCTTGCTCCTCTTTTCTCTTCTGTCCGGGATGGTTTGTGGCACTTTCTGGGCGACTATAACTCCCGTGTTGGCCGAGGTTGTTGGTCTAGGTCGCATGTCGCGCACTTTTGCCATCACTTGCCTGGCTTTGGTAATTCCCACCACTGTCGCTGAGCCAGTCGCCCTTAGTCTTGTCAAAGGCTCCGGGTATCTGCATACGCAGGTATTCGTCGGGTGTATGTTCCTTTTGGGATCTTGGGGCCTATGGACTCTGCGGTGCTGGAAGTGTTTCGACATTGAAAGGAAGGCCTCCTATGAGGGGGGACTCGGTGCTGGTAGATCATCCACATTTCTGGGATTTCTCAAATGGATGGGATTCCGAAAGTTGTTCATGACGGGTCGAGTATGATTTCACCATTTTGATTATCTAGAGATTATATTAAATCGACCCCTACACTTCAAGATTTCACATACGATGAAGTGGAATAACATAAAAAGACCATCATGGCATGTCCTCTCTTCAAATTACGTCCTTCCCAATGAGAATACATTCATCATTCGCTGTATCATCGCAGACTACAAATATTCCCAAGTTTTTCTAGCTCTTCTCTTATTCCTCCCTTCTTCACCAATTCCTTTCCCAGCAAATTGACACCTTCGACCTTTTCTTCTTCTTTTTTCCACCTTCCTTTCTTATACAGCCTTTTCATATAAATGAAAATATCTCATTGCTTCATTCATTCTCTTTGGGCTTGCATAGATTGAACTACCTCGAACTATTATCTAAATACGATGTATACCTCGATGCTTCACCGCTATATTATGCCGGACAATAACAAATAGCGGTGAGATGGACCCTGTCGTGCTGATCGATGCTTAACCCGGAGTCGATCTTCGTGTGTGCCGGTACTCTGTGCCTTTTTTCCTTTGCCCGAGTGCTCACTTCCAATTCAATTGCTTTACCCTTCCTCGCCCCGCAGATCGTTGAGGAGCGATCTTGGTTGGTTACAAGGGTCAAGCACCGCACTTCCGCCCCCGACCACACCCCGCGAACACTCGGCCCACTCCCGATGAAGTGTTCAAGCACCGAAAATGCCGAACGGAAAGAAAGGGACGGCGCCAGCCAAGCCGCGCAGGGATGTGCTGGCTTCACTACGCATGGCGTCATTGGAAGAGATCTCCCGAGCTTCTCTGCCTGCTGGTATGTTGCACGGATGATTAGCTGATAAGAACCAGACGTTGACAACCCACAGAGATCATGTCGTCGATTCTTGATTACCTTGGTCCGGTAGACCTTATTCGGGCAGCCAAGTCCTGCAAGCTCCTACACGAAATGGCGTACGACGATACTCGATGGGTACAACGACTAAAGCGAATTGGATGTTGGGATGAGTCGGATGCACGCAAACACGCGGAGCAGGTGTACGGAACTGTCGCCAACTTGGAAGTCGTCGAACAACATGAAATTGCTGAAGAGACGAGTGGTTTAGCTCCGACCATTGAAAATGCTCGGATTCCCGATTCCAAAGTCAATGCCATATCCGATGGCTTCGATAAGATCGAGCTCGGCAAGTCCGCCGCACAACTGGAAATTTTGGAAAACGAAGCGAGCGATCCTGATCTGGTCGTCTTGAAAAATGCCAGGTCAATCCGAGGTGAAGCTCGACAGGAGTATGGGAAAATCCATGCCGCACTAGGCCCCTTGTACGATGACATTGCGACATCCGGGCCTTCCACTGATAATCTGGTGTTTACAAAATACAAAGACCCCCAGCTTCAAGCAACCATGCTATCACAACTGATGGCTTTCGCAAAGAGTGACATGACTACGGGCTGGGAATGGCGAGAAAATCGTCTGGAAAGCGCGATATCCATGTTTGAAACCGCTGCATTAAACGAGTTCCGAAAAGGCTATGAGACAGATGATATTGATGGCCTCATGCGCAAGTACGCCCACATTCTGTACGCACTCAATGGTGGCCAATCGGCAGTCGACCTATTTATCCATCATAATCATTTGATGACTCGAAAGTCTGATCTTGGCACTTTGGCGGATTGCATAGATGGCGTTACTGGACGAGTGAAGATCCAACATACACAAAGCTTTTTTACACGCCTGAGTGTCGCTTATAATGAAGAAGTCACAATTATGAATCGCGCTTTCCCCCCTGAATTACAAGTCGCAATGGCTTTCATGGAGAAAGTTGGACAGGATGTTCTTTTCCCTTTTTTGACGGCCATTTTCGACGAATTGCATCGCACCAACAAGGAGTCCTACCTGACTGCTATATCCCTGACCTTTATCCAATGCATGAATTTGTCAGAGACCCTGTTGCCCATACGAAACTCTGGCGAGAATTTCGACCACTACCTAGACACTGTCGTGGCCAAGATTTACGAACCACATATCGACCTTTACCTAGCCGAGGAGCTGGACTTTTTCCGCAAGGGCTCCGAGGCCACGGTGAATGACTGGGATCGCCAGCTTTCGGAACAAGCCGCGTCGACAGAATCATTTTTGATGTCCAACGTCAACCGGCAAGCTGATAAGCGCGACTTCCTTACATCATTCAAAAAAGTGATCATGATGCCAGTCAATATCCTTCCTAGCTTTTCCAGCAACAAGGCCAGCGAGGAAACAAAAGTGGAAGGAAATACCGGTCCCGGGGCTTTAAAGAACTCCAATCGATTTTCTACTCTTTCCTCGCCCTCTCCCCTTCCAATCGAAGAAGCCCCAACAACAGAATTGGCAGCCAAAGCGCTGCTCATGAAGTCTAAGATGGAAGGCATTAGATCATTATTCAGTATTGAGATCGCACTGAACCTTGTTCATTCCGCCAAGTCCAGTCTTGAGAGGGCCGCTCAGTTTGTCAGATTAGGTGGTGAGTATGGCAAAGCAGCCAAGCATCAATGCCAGGCCATTTTTGTGGATCTGCTGCGTATTCTGGGCCAGCGCCATGTTATTGTCGGCTTTGATAAAGCCGTGGACCACCTATCGAACTACCGACCCCGCGAACAGGAGGAGCGAGACCAGTCCGGGGTTGAGCCCCTCGTCACCTTCCTGGAATTGGTGAATGTCGGTGATCTGATTTTACAGATGGTGGATGTATTTTACGAGCAAGAACTGATTGCTACGCGTCTCACCGACCGTCACGATTTCCTCGACCCCGCTGTGAAGGAGAAAAAGAAGTTTGAGCAGATGCTGGACGAGAGGGTCGCAGCTGGCCTGAACAAGGGAATTGACGTACTCATGGAGGAAGTGGACTACATTCTCGCTACGCGGCAGCTAGCCACCGATTTCAATCCAGAAGTCTCATCGGATCCTCACCGACAAACCATGGACGTGGGAGTCAGTGGCGTTGCGGCAGCTGTAGTGGACGTGGTGTCATCCCACACGCAGATGCTGGTAGGCAGCACCGACAAGAGCACATTGGATGTTTTCAATCAAGAAGTCGGACTGCGCCTGTTTACCGCATTGTGTAAACACCTCAAGCGTCAGCGGATCAGCACCGAGGGATCCTTAAAGCTGATCAGGTAAGACTTTCTCCATGCCCGCCCTACGATCCATGCTAACCGTTTATTTTTCAGCGACATGAACCACTACTTCAAGTTCATCCAGACCCTTCGGAACAACGAGCTTCTCTTATACTTCAAGGCCTTCCGCGAACTCGCACAGATCTACTTGATCGACCCGGCCCATGCCAAGGAACTAGCGACGATCATCGCCGACGCCGATCGGTTCCAAGGGATCTGGCGTGTGGAGGAAGTGTATGAGTTTGCGGAGCGCCGAGCGGACTGGTACCAGGTCAAGCGTGATGTGGAACGAGCGATGTACGGAATTGGATGTAGCGTGATGTAAACAATGACAGATACCCGGAATTGCATAGCGTGATTGGTTGTATAGAGTTCCTTGCATGAATGTCAATGCCCTGAAGTATATACGAATGACTTTCTACACCCAGTAATTACTTGCCTGTTTAGTTTCCCATGACTCTTTCATACTCAGTAGAGTACTCCATCTCCGACTCATCCGCGACGTAGCATCTGACGTCAACGGCGGCTACTGGAACACCACCCCCCGGCTGAAACAGCATCCTGACTTTCCGAGAACCAACAACCACACAATCCGCATGCAGGGTCAAACCAGCATTCAAACCAAAATAGAGCATGTGCCCCTGTAAGCCTGGATCTCAGGTACTTCTACATCTCCACAGCAACTGATCCATGGCCCAATGGTCGTTCGGAGATGTGACGCTGGGTTCTTCACGGGCGGAAACGATGTTTCTTTTTCTGCTTAGCGCTGGTCTACCGGCTGATAGGGGGATCTTGAATGTAATATATGCCCTGGTGACGCACCTGAAGAAAGGTTGTTCATTCACTCTTCTACTCTGACACACCTTTGCAGACTTGAAACGGAGCCCTTTGTTCTGATTCAGGCCAAAAAGTGAATTGAGTGCTTGGATGATGCGGTGATCGGGGGAGTACTTCGCTTTCCTTTTGGTTTCTTTTCTTCTTATATATAGGATTAGCTCATTATGATCACCACGAACACCCGTCGCTTATTGACCCGATGGCTTCTTTTGATGGGAAGCTTAGTTGTGGGGATTTCTGGGGAAGAAATGATTATCGTCACAGTCAAGACTACCGTCCAAGCAGCGAAGACTGTCTATGAGACGCCAACTATCCCCAGTCCGGCCTCCTATACCTCGCTTTCAGATTTCAAAGAAACCGTTCTGCAGGTCAGCAATGAATATCGCGGGATCCACGAAGCAGATGAGGTAGTATGGAATGAGACGCTGGTGAAATACGCTCAAAGTTGGGCGGAGACTTGCATCTGGAAACACTCGGTATGTACCTGTTTGCTTTGGTGCTGGAAGTTTGGTCTAATGCATTTACAGGATGGTCCCTATGGTGAAAACCTCGCATTCGGATACCCCAATGCTACTGCTGCGGTGGAAGCTTGGGGTGATGAGGGGAGATTGTACAATTTCAAAAAACCAACCGGGTTTACCGAGGCGACAGGCCACTTCACACAACTGGTGTGGAAGTCTACAGAAGAGGTGGGATGTGCGGCCGTGAACTGTGGATATACTGAGGACTTTTCTAAAGTGCGACGGGAGGGAGACGGCCTGGTTTCACGGACGGCTGCAGATGGTAGCTCGAGGGCGCAGGGCTGGTACGTTGTGTGTGAGTACACGCCGCCGGGTAATGTAGTGGGAGACCATGACGAATACTTCAAGAAGAATGTGTGGCCGAGCACTTCAAAGACAAAATCCAATGCATCAACCACCGGATCAACGTCCACAAATGGCACGGCATCTACGGCCACGAGTCAACCAAGTGGAGGTGCAAGTATGCAGAATAGCGTGGAATCCACGGTGGGAATGATGTTTCTAGCCCTTGGGGTGGTAGGGGCGGGGATGAGCCTGTACACATAACACATAAAAGAATAAGGAAGTGGAAACGGCGCAGGGTTTATTTCGTAGGGCATATCTCATGCTTATCCACATTGCACATCAGAGCTTCGCAAACAGCTCTATCAATCAGATTTTTGGAGAGGCCCCGATCCTCGCTACACAGGACCAAAACACATGGGGGGCAGAAAGCCGAGCCTCAAGCACAGAGGACGCCGGAGAATAAAGGAAAAAAAAAAGAGAAATGTGAACACATTATATGCGAAAGGGAAAAGAAAAGGGTTCGTCAACCAATGACCTCCTCGGTCTCCTCGATGATCTCCTCCACAATCTCCTCCACCACGGTGTCGCCTTGCTCCTGGCCGCCGACAGGGGCATCCTTGGCAGCCTGGGGTGAGTCGACATCCTCGGGGAGTCCAAGAGCCTCCTTCTCCTCGGCCTGGAGCTCCTTCTCCTGGCGCATCCAGGCAAGCCACTCGTTGAGCACACGCTTGCGGGTCTCGACGACAGCGGTGTTGGCGATATCCACGGCGAAACGGTCCTCCTCGTCGAACTCCTTGGAGTACTCGCGCAGGTTCTTGCGCACTTGCTTCTGCTCCTCCTTGCTGAGAAGAGTGGCGGGACGTGGGCGCCACAGGAACTGCTTGAACTTCTCGGTGGGGTTCTCGGAGAGGGTAGTTCCGGAGAAAGTGTGAAGGTTCCAGCCGTTTTCCATCTGTAAAACGAGTTAGTAACGTAACATAGAGGCAGGGAGAGTATTCTTACTGAGTGAGTCCAAACACTGGCACTGGTGACGACGTAGCGACCTGTGGGGTCCCACTCGACATCTGTGACACCGTAGTGCTCCACGGTCTTCATCAATTGCAGGTTGGCAGCGAGATCCTTCTCGGCCTCGACCTTCTCACCCTCGAAGTCCATATCCCAGAAGTCGAGATCGAAGCTGGACTGGGAGTGGACAGTGGCCACAATGACGAAGCGACCCTTGGGAGACCAGTAAATACCGTTGCTGGTCTTCTTCTCGACTGTGCGCACAAGCTTGAAGTTACCGGCAGTGCTGCCCTTCTTTTCCGTAGCAAAGAACTGGACACCGGTCTTGGGAGGAGCGGCGGGACCAGCGGGGTTCTCACCGGTAGTGATGGCGACGAAGCGGGATCCATTGGGCTCCCAGGCGAAGTTAATAACGGTATCCTTCAGGCTGTCAACAACCTCAACGGGAACACCCTTCTCCTTGACGCGGAAAATCTCCAGGTTGGTAGCCAACGACTTCTTGGACTTGGAGTGACGGTCGACCTTGACACAGACGTAGGCACCCTGTGATTGCCAGTGCAGCTTGACATCGGACACGTTGAACAGGTTACGGGTACGGACAATCTCCTTGGAGGGAACGCTCATCATGGCCACACGGGCAGGGTTGCTGCCAATCTCGGGGGTCCAGAAGCAGAGCAGCTGCTCGTACTGCTTGACGCCGTCACGGGTGACAGTGGCTGGAGACCACTCAAAGTCGTTCACACCCTCGATCTTGACCGAGGTCTTGTTCAGAAGATTCATGTTGGGCAGCTCATAGATGGAGATCGACTGACCCTGGAGCATGCGCGCCACGTACTTCTCATCCGCAGACCACTTGAAAGCCGGCCATTGCACCTTCTTCTTGGGGGCGACCTCGCCCTCATCGGCGGGACCAGCAGCCAGGTCGTGCGACACGAACGAACGGAGGGGCTTTCCGGTCTCAATATCCCAAACAATGATGTTCTTGCCATCCTCCTCGTAGGTCAGGATGGGCTGGCCCTCCTCGACCTGGATGGGGCGAGAGGACCATGTGGTCAGGTAGCCTTCCAAGGGAGAGAATTCGACGAGCTGGACGAAGGGGTGGGGGAACTGCTTCTGCTTGGAGAAGGAAGCTCCACCCCAGAGTTGGACACCCTGGGGGTGGACGGAGGCGAGGAAGGTACCCTTGGGGGACCATTGAACAAAGAGTTGTGTCCAGTGTGCGCGATCGACGACGTTCTCGGGAGGGTTCGACTTGTTGTTCCAGAAGACACCAACCTTGTCGTTGCGGTAAAGGGCGAATTGATCACGGGCGTTGCTATCTCCCATCCAAGAGCGCAGGTGCTCCTTCTCCTTGAACGCCTCAACCTGGGGCTCGACGTATTCATCCTCAATGCGACCCTCACGGCCATAGCGCTCGATATCCATCAATTTGTTCACGGAAAGGGTGTGCTTCTTGTCGAGGGGGACACCGTGCAGCTGCTTGACGGCGGCGACGGCCTGTTCGGGAGTCTCGTACTCAACGAAAGCGAATCTAAACACCAAAGAAAATCCAGTCTCAGCCAAAGTTGTTCCACCGTAAGTATAGATATTGCCATGATACGCACCCTTCGGTCATGCCCTTGTCGGTGACCGGCATAAAAACGGCATCTTCGGAGGCGTGACCAACGGAGTTAAGCTTTCTCAACAAGAACTTGATAAGTTTTTGGCGGGAGTCCTCGGGGACAACAGGAAGGCCATCAATAACAACAAAAGTATCCAGACCCTCGTCGAGTTTCACGTCAAACTGCTCCTTGAGATCTGGAAAGTCTGTTAGAGAGGAGGGGCATCGGGGAAAGTTTCTGCACACGCACCGGAGAAATCAATCTCCTCCTCTTCCTCCTCGTGGAGGTCCTGTTCGGACAGGGTATCGAAGCTGGGCGCCATGATGGGTGAGCGGTAGGCGACCGGGTGCAAGAAGTGTGGATTGGGGGACTTCAAGGGAGATTTTCGGCCAGGAACACAAATCCACAAATCTTCTGCCAAGCGGGTTCTTTGTGCGTAGATCATGTGATGCAGCCAGAGCTGACTTATCAGCTGAGTCAGCTCACCCCAGACCAAATACGGAACAGATTGGCAGAACGGAAGTACGAACAAGTCGCAGTTGCTTCCGAGAGCTACAGCGGGGTCTATTGATATATCGTTCTTCAGGTGGTTCTGATGGGTGTTTACTTATTTCTTTTACTCCAATCCATTTCAGGGCTTCATTGCTCTTCTTGCATCTAGCTACCGTGGACTTTTTCGTGTTCTTCGAGGTCTCCCGTTCCCTGCCTTTCTCCCCCCACCGCCGCGGGTCTTAAGCGCCAGTGCGACTATATCCACCTGACTCCGTCCGCCTCAAGTACCTTCAACCCATTGCGCATAATCGACATCATTCCCATCATCGGCAGAAAGCTTCTAATCATATTCCAAACCACCAGCTTTGCCTGGTTTCTGTACAATTCCAAAGGCGATTCACAATTGACCCGCCGACACGATGTCGCGTAGGTTACCTCGGCGTTGCCCCGGCGCCACTCTCGGGTGCTCTCCAGATGGCGCAGTTCAGATTTTAACGTGTCGCAATAGTTTCATCTGAGGTGCGCGATCGGTTTACCGAGATAATCGACTCGATTTTAGCGAAAAGTGACCTCAATACTATCTCCGAGAAGCGCATTCGCAAGGGTCTGCAGGAGGAAGTCGGCTATGACCTCACACCCCAAAAGGTCGGATTTATTCGAGATCGTGGACCACCAACACGCAAATCACCAAGGCAGAGAACTGACTAGAAATTATGTAGGCTGAGGTTAAGCAGCTCATCATGGAGCGATTCGATATCTACGCGGAGAAAAACGGTGTCGGCGAATCCCCCGAGGAGGCCACAGAGGATACCGCAAACAACGGTCACCAGGATGGTGATTCTGCCTCCGCGGTTCCCTCGCCACCCCCATCCTCATCCCCCGTGAAGCGCCAGGCCGAAAGTGAAGAAGCGTCCGATCCGAGTGAATCCTCCCCTCCCCCGAAGAAACTCAAGCCTGACGCCGATGTTGACGCCGATGCCCTATTTGCTGCCAAGCTGCAAGCTGAAGAGAACTTGCGCGCGCGACCAACACGAGGGGGAAATACACGACGGGCAGCTCCTACAAAGAAAAAAAGCAAAACCAAGGCCAAGACGTCCAAGAGGGTCAAGGCAGAAGATGATTCGGATGTCGAGTCAGGCTCCGACACAAAGAAAGAGGTCAATCGGACCGGTGGATTCCATGTGAGGACCATTCATGCTTGATACTTTTATATCTCTCTAACGTATTACAGAAACCTCTCAATCTGTCACCTCCTCTATCTGCGCTCCTGGGCGAGGCCACGGTATGTTTTCTTTTCAGGACAATAGGCTTTGGTCTTCTGCTTACACGATGTATAGCTGTCGCGGCCTCAAACGGTGAAAAAGGTCTGGCAATATATTCGGGAAAATGAACTCCAGGACCCAAGTGATCGCCGCCAGATTCGTTGTGACGATGCGATGCGCGCTGTCTTCAAGCAAGACCGGGTGCACATGTTCACCATGACTAAGATTCTCAATCAGAACCTGTACAGCCCCGACGAGTAGTCATCGGTCCTTGGCCGTGATGCACTCTTGGATTGGTTCAGTATCCGACGTAATGACTCTCATCCGTTCAAGATCAATCTCTTGGATATTTTTCTGCGATGCATGGGGATGCTGGCGTGACTCATTTAACTCCTTTGCCCGTTGAGGCTTTGGTTTCTTCTGGCGCTTTTACCTCCGTTTTACTTGATTAAAGTTTTGCTTTCTGCCCTCCAGCGGGAGTTGGCCCTTGAGTGGTTATCATTATTAGCAATTGCATCTAACTTTTTCAGACCTCATTTTCATAGACTCCAATGTTTGAACTTATGAACTTCACCGAATAATTAAAAACTTGAAAATTAGTTCGTAGTCGTTCCATATCGCGATTGGAGTAGTGTAGTTGAAATGATACCAACGAGCGAAGTTCCCAACGTTGCCTTCACATTTATAGATCATGTGACAAGCCCCCTTGCGCATCTTTACCTCCTTGTATTATAAATCTGTTCTTCACTCGTAAAGATTGATGATACGGAGATCCTGACGGAGAATGATACTCCGATTCTGATGAGAACGCCCTCTCGGGTCTAAAGATCAAGCTGGCCTGCGAGGCAGAAAGGACCTGACATCCTATTAGCCCCATCTCGATGAGACCTTGAGTGCAGGGCTGACTGCATAAATAGCTAAACTCAAACAGAGCCTCACTGCCAAATGCCAAAGAGTTTCAGGAGCTTGTGGAGCTTTGCGAAGCTGTGAACACATTCTTTCAAATGCCAAGGGTATTAGGCAGAGCTTCGAGGTTGCAGAGAAACTCCTCGATATCTTAAAGGGTGTACTCTGGAAAACACGGTATTTCAGCTAAATCTTAGTGTCCAGCTTCAACCTATTGACATACATTCTAAGTAAAAGCTACTTTGGAATCTCAAGAGAGCCTCATCGTCGATATTTGAAGAAAACTGGAAGCCACCGATGGGCGTTTACAAGCTTACATCTTAGATCTCAGCATTTGCTGAAAGTGGTGTCGCCAGGCAGCAAAGGCGACTCACTATATGAACCAAAAGAGTCACTTATTATGAATTACGACGAGAGAATATCCTAGTACTCTCCGGTTCCAAAGCAAGCTCAATATTCTGCTATGCGATCCCGGAGGTCCAAGATCGGCGATATAGATGGTGGACACATATTCCCGACGCCGACATTTTCAATCGATGCAAGTCATAGGGTTCAACAGAAACTGTAGACAGCTTGGTCTCATAGGAAATACACCCCGCTTGATTCGCAATTGCTATATAAATTACCCCTCCATAATGATGCGCAAATGATTTGCGGTGGGTGCGGCCCACTTTCCCAATTGGGAAGCTCCGCGCTATGGATTTGTTGAGCGGGGCGGAATGGCCTCACAGGCCAAGTCATGCTACGTTCTCTTCACTATACACCTTGAGATTGCATACTCGGCCTTCAATATGCGGGGTCGGCAGAAACTTTTCACCTTCATTGCAAATGATCCAGTAGGTCTTCCCCAGAACCGCAAAGGAACCCACCGAGCATGTGCACATTGTCGCAAGCGCAAGCGGCGCTGCAACCACGGACCGAATGCCTCTCGGCATCCCGAGACTCAACCTGGAGATACCCGAATCATTGACACGGTATCTCCGCCGAGTGTGCATGAAGAAAGAGTATCCACGAGCCCTGGTTGCACTACTTCGGCTGTGCAACATATTACCCAGCCACATGCTCCAGGGTCTCGTATAGATAGTGAGTCTTGGTTCGTCGGTGAAATGGATCCGGCAAGTGCATTTTGGACTGCAGCAGGCTCTTCAAGTCCCAGTCCACTTCGACGGCATGATGTTGGCATCTGGCTATCACCTGATAAGACATGCTCGGAGCTTGCAGCCAAGAAGCCTAAATCAGGTGCATCCAATTTCAAGCCTCTCATATCGACTAGTCTCCTCCCTTATCTGCAAGGAAATTGTTCCATTCTTCCATCTCCTGGTAATGTGGAAGGGCTTCTTCGGATCTATCTCGACAACATCCATCCCATTTTCCCGGTCCTGGACTATGATGCATATCGAATGATGCCGAGTTCATCCTCGAACAAAATTCTTCTGTCGCAGTCAATATGTCTTGCTGCCAGTTTAGATCGAAAAGCGAAAAGATTTCTCAACATACCCCCAGGTAGCACCTCGCGAAGTGATTTTTCTCTGAGTCTTGCGGATGCAATCAACACCTCAATAGCATTGGAATTAGTGAAAGACAAGTTGGTTTTGATTCAAGCCTTGTCTTTAACTTCACTGTTCACACAGTTCTCAGGACATCGACAAGAGTCAGCTGAACTTTTGTATCGCGCCATTTGTCATGCGCATACCATTGGCTTGCACCATCCCTCCCAGCCAGTGACCCAACACGAGCACATCTACAACCGAATGTTCTGCTGCCTCTATGCTCTTGATATGTTGAACGCTGCATGTCTAGGTAGGCCCGTTCAGTTGCATCGACGAGACTTTGGTCGTGATCTTCCATCGTCGATAGCAGCACAGGAAGGCTGTTTCCAGCTTTTCCTACGTACAATCGTTCTAATGGAACGAGTGATCGAAATATACCGACCTGCCGAAATTGGAATCTGGAATGGGCCATTTCCGTCATTCGAAGATTTATTGCAGGAGGTCGGGACGTCCGGTACCCCCGTACACTTAATCGGTAATTCTAATCCCATTGAGAGGTTGACCAAACGCTGATGATATTTTACAGCCACGATAGAGGTGCTTTATCATGCAGTGGCCATTTTATCTTGTCGCTTGATAACTCCGCATGGTGTCTCGCAATCTTCAGAGTCGAATCTGCGGCAAAGTCTATCTGTATTGAGAGTCACGTCTATAGTGGGAGATGAGTTCCATAACGAATTATCCTCGTTTCCAATCATTCCATATGCAGTGGCTCTTTCGTTACGGGTCTCGTATCACAACCTGCAACGAAGCAAAGTGCCCATTCTCCAGACAAGAGCCCGCAAACAAATTGTTTCGAATTGTATAATTTTGAGAGAGCTGGGGGAGGTCTTTGTTTATGCTTCGCTGATGGCGAATCTGGGAGAGTACCTCATCAGCGAGGTGGATAAGCAACATCAAGGTGGGGGATCGGAAAGCTGTAACGATCCACCCAGAAGACATGCAGATATATGGACCGGTTAGAAGAACCTTGCCCTTGCCCGAGACCTTTGCTGACCTGATATTCAAAGATTCTGCTGCGCGGCATGTGCAAGTTTCGGAGCCTGCTGAGACATTATACCAGCCATATAACCCGAGCCTATTAGATCCAATGTCGATAACGGGGATATACGACAATTTTGATATTGATTTTGGGGTGATCGGAGGCATGAATCAATTTCATGGTGCATCCGTTCCGGGCGACATTTAGCGAGAGATTATTGATGAGAGATGCATGATATACAATTGATTTTATAGGAATGAATATGCACAGGCTAGTGCCGATGAATTGATCAGAGGCCCAGGAGCTCTTTGGTGTTCTCCAGCACACGTCGCTGTCCGTGGTTGAGGTTCTCCTCCTCGGTATTTTATTCAAATCCAAAGGCACGCAGCGCCTACTCTTTCGACGGATTTTGGAGATCTTTTAGAGTGGCACTGCCTATTTATTTACCTCTCTCTCTCTCTCTCTCTCTCTCTCTCTCTCTTACCCCCAGCAAAGCCAGGCGATGGAATTCCCTCTAGGAAGTCCATCTTCTGGCGTTTGACATATGAGATTTATGCTCCCTTTCCCTCGTGGACTTTTTCCAACAACGCGAATGGCTAATATTGCTAATATGCATCTAGCAACACTATTTATGGAAACAAAAGCAAAGAAACACGTCTGTCACAGTGGCAGGCAACATAGTCACAGACGTGGATAACATATACCATCGTCTTTTCAGGCTTTACAGGAATAAGTTAATATGAAGCTAGCAACTACATGATTCGCAGTCTCGAAACTGAAGCGTAGTATGCTTGTCATCTTGATTCCTGACCGCAGGGCGATCTTGAAGAGATCGTCCAGTCAGAAACAGGCTGCTGTGATCGTAAATATCTTCGCACACACCTTCCATGTGAGAAGCTGCCTTTCACTGATAATATGCCTCGCCCAAAGATTGACTGAAGTATCAAATCCGGGTTTTACGGCAGGTCAAAATCCTCAAAGCAGTGCCAGTTTCATTCAAGAGATCTATGGTAGTGTGTAGCCTCCATCAACAATAAGATCGGCTCCGGTTGTGTAACTGGAAGCATCGGAGGCGAGGTAGAGATAAGCACCCTTCAACTCTTGTGGCAATCCTTCTCGACCCATGGGGATTTTGTCCTTCCAGATGGTCTTTGTCTCGGCGTCAACAAACTGAGAAATCTCCGTCGCAATGTAGCCCGGAGAGACGGTATTCGCACGGGCAAACCGAACCCACTCGACTGCAAGTGACTTGCCTATTGACAGTTAACAAATAGCTCTGAAGCGATTGAAGGTATAAGTCAAGTGAAAACATACAAAGATGAATGACTCCAGCTTTAGCGGCGTTGTAGGCAGCCTGGAGCTGAGGAACGTTGACGATGCTGCCACTCATAGAGGCAGTAGCAACAAAGCTGCCATAAGTGAAGTCTTTCAGAGGCTGCCCAAATATATCTGTGTTCTCTGATTTTTGACGTCGCCAGTGAGATGCCGCTGCTCTGGCACAATAGAAAGTTCCATCCAGATCTGTCTGGGTCACATTTGAGTAGTGGTCGAGGGGGGCATCCACCATAGGTCCTTTGGTCCATGGGATTCCAGAATTGGCAATGAAGATGTCGAGCCGACCTTGGAATTCACGGACGCATGTTTCGAGGAGCTTTTCGATCTCTTCGCTCTGTTTGATGTTGACTTGATAAGCGCGGCCTGGTTGAAAACAAACCGTGAGTCAATGTACAATGTATTCGCTCCATTGATAACCTACACTGAACTCCGTAGACTTTCTCAATATCTGCAGCCTCTTCAATCGCTTTGCTATTGCTATTGTACCAAATCGCAACATTGGCACCAGCCTCAGCAAGGGCATGCGCAACGCTCAACCCAATACCCGCGCCTGCTCCGGTGACAACAGCGGTTTTCCCTTTCAACGAGAACATCTCCATCACACTGGCTTTGCCTTCAAACGTGTTGTTGCCATGGCAGAAGTTGCCCTTCACAATTGGGTGTTCCGCCATTTCGAGAATATTTTCAGCGAGAGGTATAATTGAGACGAGGACGGAGAATAAAGCTAAAGTGACGGTGTGGGTGGCGGGGTTCAGCTATTAAATAGCAGGCGGAATGGTATCCTGTCCGAAGTTCACGCGACTTACGTGCCATTAATGCGGAAATTCCTTCATGGGTAATCCCTTTCAAGAATTGTCCGTGATATTCATGGCGGAATAGTGAGATAACCGCTTCATTAGGGCGGAGTTTCCGAATGAGGGAATTGCGCCTTCTCCACTCTACACAATACGCGGGACAAGAAACCGGTCTAAACCTTAAGATATAGACGAGGTAATTCTGCATATCCCACACAGCTATGCAGGAAGACAGCAACTGTAAAGAGGTGTAAAATATGACACGCTGCATAAGTACACAGATAGCTGAGTTTAAAGTCTAATATTAGGACTCAATATATCTACGCATCGCGTGTAGGAAAGTCATCAAAAATGAACGCTAATACGTTTCCATCATCATCTCTTTGGACAAGTTGTTCAGGTTGACCTTTGTGGTAGGAACCTCCTTATCTTGCCCATCGCAAGCACCGCGGTGGAAATCTAAAACCTCAAAGTACCTTCGAATTGTTAATATATATTCACACCCAAGAGGTCACCCAAATACTTACATGTTGGTCTTCCACTCGTCTGCCGATAGCTCCGACTCCAATAGGTCCCAGCTAAGTTCCTTTCCAAAAGCAGGTTCGTCTTCAGAGTCCTGATATGTTGACAAATAAGGGTGCATGAGAGCCTCGGACGTAGTGATTCTCTTTTCCGGGTCGAGGTTGAGCATTTTCTCTAAGAGATCGACCGCTATGAAAATTAGTATTGCAATATGGTGACAAGACATCATGGCATTGCGTACCTTGAGGGTCGGCATCTCCCATGCGAGATGCAAGTGAACATGGCTTCGGTTTAGGTAGGTTCTCGACGAATTCCAACGTCTGCAAATTGATTGTCAGCACCTGTACACGCCTGTTTCACAATTGAATCATACACTCTTGCTATACACTTTTTCCATGACCTCTTTGGGTGGTTTACCCAAGATCTCAGTGATCAGTGTAAACTGGTGCACATGGTCTTTTCCAGCGAAGAGAGTTTTTCCTAAGAGCATTTCCGCCAAAATGCACCCGACACTCCAGATGTCGACAGCATAGGAGTATTTCTGCCATGTCAACATGATTTCCGGTGCTCGGTAGTACCGAGTAGTGACATAGCCCGTCATCTGGTGGTCCTGCTCTCGAGCCAATCCAAAATCGCAGATCTTCAGGTCACAGTTGTCATTAATGAGAATGTTACCGGGTTTGAGGTCGCGGTGAATCACGCCGGCTGAGTGGAGATATTTCAGTCCTCGCTGGTTCGGTCAGTGGAACGCTCTCACAACCAACTGAAGTGGACATACTAAGAGTTGATAAGTGAAGAATTGCACAAATTGACCCTCCAATGGTTTTGATTTTGACCGGATGACATGAGAAAGGTCTGTTTTGATGTAGTCTGTCACAATATATCTGCACCAAAGATTAGTTACGTCGGTCCCAATTCCAAGGTGGAATATCATGGAGTTTCTCACAGATCCTCTGAAGGGGAAATAAAAATGTCTCTCATGTTGATCAACTATTGCAATCGATTAGCTCCCACGACCGTGATTCCGACTATAACCCCACGCACATTGTCATGTCGCATATTGCTTAACAGATGAACCTCACGATACGCTCGCCTGGCCACGCCGTTATTCTCAAACGGCTTCGGTATTTTCTTTATCGCCACTGTTTCATTTGCTACCGTATCAAGTGCTGAGCTGCCAGTTGTCAATACTTAATCAAACCTGGGGGTATTGTACGAGGGGGATACCATACCAGACTACTCCCGAAGCGCCAACACCCCTAAGTTCCAGGTTTGAATACCTATTGGTGGTTTCTAGGGTTGTACCCATAATTTCTTGAGTTTGAAAATGTGCCATTATTGCGGGGTGAAGTCGGGGTTGGATTACTATTCTGGGGTAACTCAATTGAACGTAAAGGGAAGAAGAGTATGCAGGTAGGGCACAATTATATTGCTTCTATGATGTCATTGTGTCTGTCCATATGTTGGCAGTTACATCATGGATTCGGGGTTAAAACAAGATGGCTACACATCAGGATAAGGTGATATATAACCTTGGAAATTTGGCCCACGGGTATTCCAATTATGTGTTGCAAATTTGGTCTGGTGGGTGCATTCCACGCAGCGGCACCGCCCTCTGACAATCCGGTTCAGGTCCCCATGGAACCACCCGCTTACATGGATTCAAGTGATAACGCAAGTTTTGGCGAATGAGCTTCGTCAACCTGATTCACCTCTGGTACATCAACTTACTTTGTACGGTATGTATGTACTTACATATAATACAGGGCGGGTGCGCCTTTTTACGAAGTTTCTACACCATACAAGTTACCCTTGCAAGAAGATCAACGTCCAAGATTCGGTCCTTACCAGTACTACGGTAGGGGCATTACCCACTCATTAATAAGACTTGGCGAATGTGCCATTTCGTCCAAAATGTCCATCAAAATACGCTCATCGATTCGCTAACTACAGCAGTTGAGTGATACTCAAGATATTCAAGATATGGAACACAACATCAGACCATGCTCATCCTATGCCCGGCAAATCTAAAACGAAAATCGAACCTCAATGGCAGGCATTGAGTTACGATTGCTAGCTGTATCGTTTGACTCCTCCAGCTCAGACACTTCAGCGGTCATGTCCTGACCATTTGGAATTCGCTCGACAACATCATCATCAATCATTACTTTCATGCCGTTTGGTTTGAGGTGAATCAGGTGGACTTTACGGTCCCGATTGATGTTTTGCTTCCGGGAGATCTTCTCTACCAGTTCATTCACAGTCGGCTCGGTCAAATATACCGCAGTGTGATAGTCATCCTTCTGGACACCGCTCTGGTGAAAGCGGATGTAAAAACATTTCGCTGCACAGATATGAGTATGCATGATTTCTTGATCTGGCTGAGAGAACAGCTTACCAGGTGCATTAGACTTTGATCCAGTCTCCACTAATTCGGCATCCTCGGTAGATATCAGGGGCACCGCGGGACTTGTGTGTGCTGTTGTTATAACGTCCGAGTGATCATCGCTGCCAACACTGCTGGTATATTGCATTGAAGGACCACTGCGCTCATTTCGCTCTCGACTTTCTGTATCACGTTGCGTCCCGGGTAGCTGGGGATCGACCGAGCTTTGCGACGTGTTGCTGGACGTGCCGATTGATGTGGATGGCGGAGTCACAATTTGCAAGTGCGGTTGGCTCTTCGCTGTTCCTCGAGTTTGGTCTTCTATATAGACTGGGAAAAGATCTGGATCATCCTTCTGCTCACCTGGAAGGCAAAGGGTGGTCACAGGTCGGTTGGAATAGAATATGTTTTGCATTGATGCCAATTCCGCATCCATTCGGCGTTGCAATTCGGCTTTTCGCTCCTTTTCGGGAATCTGGTCGTTGGTATAGACCGAACGACTCCCACGTTTTCGCTTTCCGAGGCTGTCCCCACTTTCAGCTTTGAGAAAGTCTTGCTTGCGTTTTTCAATGGCCCGTTTCAGCTGGGAAACGTCGTTGAACATTTTCCGCTCAGCCCCATGGTCGCGGAATAGCTTCACATGGCAAAAGCTCGATTCAGCGGTACCGGGAAGGGCCGTCTCGGTCTTCGCACACAGTCTGAGAGGGGCGCCCTTCACACCCTTCGAATGACTGAAATCCGTTGAGAGGAAATTAAACCGGATCCCTATTTTGCAGCTTGATCTTCCCGTGGTGGGATTTGCACACCAAGTAACACAGAAGCCATCTAGTGATGTTCTTTCTAGATGAACTGGGTAGCTTGGATCTTCATTTCCTCGCACTAAATCAACCATTTCTACTGCATGCATATTTCCACCTTCATGAGTCCCCACATGGCCCCGTGACCCCTTCCATAGGCTCCAACAAGCAGCAGGATTCGATATATGCTCCGGCTCTTCGAAGGATATGCGGACTGAGGTACGATACTGGACCAATCCATTGGTCAAGGGAGGGGTTGAATCAACTACCGATAAAGTATAAGTGTGCCCTTTATTGAGGTAGGTCACTGGGGTATCATTTGGATCGTGAATCATCGCCGTCGGTGTGTTCAGCGTCACCTGGTACCTGAGACTGTCGACTTGTTAGCTTACATCCTCTAGTATAGGCATAGCAAAGAACTTACTCGGTCTGACCGTGGCTAGGAGACCTTTCGGTCTTCATACCGCTTTTTTGTGGAGAAATGGGTTGCTGGGGGTCCCATTGTTCCTGATTACCCATATCACTTGAAAGCAGTTGTTCGCCGGGTTCATCGAGAAATCCATCGGCTAAATTGGAGTGAACAAAGGCGCTGGGCGGGTATGCCGCGCTTGGGTTACTCCAGTGTGTGTTTTGGGGCTCTCTCGCAAAGAACAAAGGATCTAAGTTGTCATAAGCAATTCCACCCGTGTTCCTAGGCAGAGGCGTGACTGCAAATTGTTCGAGGAGCGTTTTGGGCGTTAAAAGACTTGTCCCAAGAGATGGGGTATGTAGATCTCCGGCCTGGCCATGATAAATTGTATTCAAGTCACCGAAGTTCTGATTGGGGTAGGCCGGCGTTCTTGGTGACGGAAGACAGTGGTCATCTAGAAATGGCGTGAATCGGAGGCTAGGGGTGATCTGGGCGGTGTGGTTCAGGTCGCCATTGACCGCAGATCTGTACAGGAAAAGCATCAAATGAGCTCTTGATCTTTCTTCAGGCAGGGATGGATGACATACCCAGAAGAATTGTGTTTTTTAGTGGGACGGACGACGTCAGAAAACGTCGCTTGGAATTGATTGATTAAACCCTCTTTGGGTTTTTTCGCAGTCCGTCTAGACAAAATTAGCTCGGTAATGAAAGCGCAGGGCTGATATGTACCTATTGCCAAACATGATCGTAATCCCCAGGGGCGAGATGGTGTATTGGAAGCTGAAAATGGGAAGCGGAAAGTAAATAGCGAGTATTGCAGGAGGGGTCGATGGAAGGTTCGATGACATCATTTGATAGCAAATTGGTCTCCATTTTTTCCATTTTCGGACCGGATGCTATCCGCCAGTCAAATCATTTCTGTGCCTGTTGAACGTCCAATGAGAATATCTCTTGTTACATGTCAATCAACCTCGGCCCCACTGTGAGATGACGGGCCAATGGCATTCATCAGTGGCGCCCACTTAGTTTGATCAAACGAAATGATCCGCGGCGGCGACTTTCGCTGGATAAAATGGCCGAGAGTATCCCGTACGTACGCCGTACAGTAATGTACAGTTGTTCATGCCGGCTACATATTTGGGCCACGTAATCGGGGGCTAATCATGAGCCAACTATGGGATCTTGGCCCTGCCCGGGTGGGACCTTTTTTGAAGAATGAGACATGGTAGAATGACACTACGGGTTCAATCTCGAATTTTCGCACCACAGTATGAGAAGCGTGCGCAAAAGTCTTTGTAAAATTCTCGATGACTAACACTTAACCCCTCGTACTGTAGATCAATGTGGGTTTTGCTCAACAGTGGTGCCGCCCTATCTCAGTACACGCTTATTTTGCTCTGCTTGGTCGTGAATACTTCCATCAATGATGGATGCAGCTGATACAATATCCTCAAGGACCTATGAGCTATAGATGTGAAAAAAGGGTCCTCATAGCGTGCGTAAGAGGCTGAGAAAGAAGGTCCAAGCTTCTAGAGTCAGAAAGAGCACTAGGCCCAAAGTGGACGACGCAACGGCCCCCGGGGCCCTTGATTGCTTCCATGCTGAGTCGATTTGGCTGTGGTCAACAACCTTGGAAGGTCTACTCTAGTCTACATGCTGCTTCTCCCCAGATCGATCGTACATCCTGCCACAAAACTTCAGAGAAGAGGGGAGAGGAGGTTTTGAGAACCGTCAGCTTTGAACCCGAAACTGCCCCTGTTGTCCACACGTGTAGTATTTCAGGCTTGGCAACGGGGCCGTTGTTTACCCACGAGGCAGCAACGTGTTTCCATGTGCAGTTGTATTGCATGGTGGACTCCATCCCTCGCCAGCCGCAAATATTTTTTTTCCCATACTCTATATTTTCTTAGCTACACCTCAGCTAATATGTCACCCAAAACGTTCATCGTCACCGGTGCTTCTAGAGGTAAAGGACCAATTCAATCCATTGCTTAAGTCAGCAATTCAACTGAAGCCCGTGAAACCTGACTCATTCTACCCACGATACAGGCATCGGCCTCGCAGTCTCTAAGTTTCTTCTCGCTGCGCCTCAGTCACACCATGTGGTTGTGATCGCCCGTAGTGTTGAGCCCCTCCAGAAGCTGAAAGACCAGTACCCTAATCAAGTTGAGGTGCTCAATGGCGATCTTGCGGATTTAACTCTCGGTCAGAAGGCCGTCGATCGGGCACTAAACTCATTCGGCCGTCTGGATGGATTGGTTCTCAACCACGGCGTACTAGGACAAGTGGGCAAGATCGCCGAGGCGGATCCAGAACAATGGAAGCAGGGATTTGATGTCAATTTTTTCAGCTTGGTGGCTTTTGTAAGTTGATTGCGGATTTCATTAATGTCGGGGGGACGGTTATGTCCGGGGGAATCGCTGAACATAGGGCTGTTAATCAATGGTTGCTCACGCTTATTTCGCTACAGATCAAAGCTGGACTTCCTGCGCTTCGCCAATCCAAAGGCAGGATCATCTTCACTTCAACTGCTGCAGCCGTCTCAGCATTCAGGGGATGGGGTTTGTATGGTGCGAGCAAGGCGGCTATGAACCATCTGGCCCTAAGTCTTGGAGAGGAAGAGCCCGACGTGACGTCCGTGTCAATTCAGCCGGGCCTGGTCGATACTGAAATGCAACGCGAGATCCGCGAAGATCTCGCTACCGCTCTGGACCCTCAATTCCATGCGATCTTCACTACCGTTCATAGTGAAGGGCAGTTGCTAAAACCAGAACAGCCCGGCCACGTCATAGCCAGATTGGTGATCGATGCTCCGAACTCATTGACTGGCAAGTTCCTATCGTAGGTTTGCCTCTATTCGCTCTGCAACCTTTCTCTCTGCTTGTGACTGATAAGACAAAGATGGAATGATCAAGATCTGGCAGCTTTCCAACAATAGACAGATGGAAGGGATCTATGCATCACGTTCAAAATGTGCCACCATAGAATATCTTTGTGATATGGGCACCATGTCTCAGAAGCATTAAGTGCAGAGTACGACACATCGAAACGTTCGATAAGGATTCTAGGGGGCCAGGCTCTTTGTGAGTTTCTTCATAACTGGGTATTCAATTGAGTGTCATGAATGACAACTTTCACAAGTTGTCGCGCTATGTACATGGAAAACAATAAACCTTGTGCCTGTCTGTAAAGCGGCAGCCCGTAGCGTCATCATACAAATTGAACTCCATCAAGTTCAGTGCTTAGCCTGCTCTGTACGATTGTTAGCATCACATTCGACTTTATTGTCACCACAGACCGTCCACTTACCCTTGTTGAGATCGGCCTTGACATCGTGGGACTTCTCGTCCTTCTTGTCAATAATGGCGTCCTTGGCAGCAGAGGCACGAGTGCTCAGCTTGGCATCGTCATCCTTGGCGACTTGCTTGTTGGTCTCCTTGGAGGCCTCAGCACCGGTGCCCTGGATGGACTCGGAGACGTAGTTTGCGGCGTTCTGTTAAAGTGTTAAATATTGCTGGGGTAGTTGTCGAACACGATCACGAACCTTGACGGTGTCCATGGCGAATGTGAAATTTGAAAATGAGTTGTTTGGTTTGAGAGAGATGATAGATGATTGTGTGTTGGGGAAAAGATGTTGTCCTTGCGCTGAGAGGAAGGGCTATTTATACTTGGTTGGGAGCAATCTCTCATATCACCACTACGTCATCGTTCCAAGGTGAAGCTTGAACGTCAAGCCACATCCCAGTTTGACTAACTCCCATAACCGGTCATGATGATCTCAAGCTAAGCCTCTTTCTTGAATAATGAAAATTCAAGTTTGCCGTATCCATAAGCTCAATTTACTTCTTGAAATTGTGGCAAGTCGTACTGCACTTTATTGTCTGAAGATCCACCTCACAATACTGGAGCAAACCAGGCCCGGCCCGATTATATCATACCTCCCCGGATTGAGGGCGGTGGCCTTAGCTCACCAGCAGATCGTCTTCAAAACTTGGTCAGCTGGTGAGTTAATCTACGCCGGATCATAGCCGACTTGAAACCGGGACTGGTGGTGGTGGGGTTTGAGATGCCTCAGGTACTTCAGGGGGCCAATCCGGCCAGTTGATCAGAAGCTCTAGAGATGATCTAAATCATTGTCTTGATGATGACCTGGAATTTTGCTCGAGTCATGGGAGCAGGTCCATCCAAAGGAAACGACAAGATCTTCACAGAGTACTCCGTACAGTCATTTGGAAATTTAAAATATGAAGCCCTGTTAGATAAGACTGACCATTTGATATCTTTCTGATCGCGAAATGCTTTTTTTATGCCTTTTACACTTTCCTTTATTCCATACTTTTTCTTCCTCTTTTCTTCGCAGGATGGGAGTCTTACTGGTAAGCGCAGTGACCCATCCCGCTGCCCATGAGGCAAAATGGCCCAGGGACCAGAGGCATCGTAACAAGTGGAAGCTTGGCATACTGATCTTTTCTCTCTTTGAAGACTTCTTGATAGAATGATAATTGCTGGGTAGATCTTGAATATTCGAACATGACTCCAGTGATGGCTCTACGTATCTGAGCAATGGGCGTGGACGATATATATCGCACGCTTCACTGTGGACTTGCGATCGCGTTCCTACCTACGTCCTGGAGCTAAGACATGACGGCAATTATAACGCTGGTGGTCAAAATTTTCAGTGGATCCGAAGCTTGGAAGCCTTGGAAAAGATTCATATTCATATGGTTGATGGTGTAAAGTAGTGGCTCAACGTTTAATCTAACTGAAGAGTTCATGCCGATGTGGTCAGCGGAATGGATCAGTCAGCGACGCAACTTTTTCCCCATCCCCCCACCAACAACCCCGAGCTCCTCAGCTCAAGGCCTGTCATTGATAATTGGTTCCTGTGTCGCTCTTGACTGCTGATATCCTGCTATGGCTGACAACGCTCCCGCCACTTCGGAGCCATCAGGACGGGGTCGTGGTGGTCGCCGCCGCGGCCGCGGAGGGGCTCCCCCGTCCGGCCAGACAGATGGCCCACGCAACGCAGGGGGCGCCGCTAGCAGAGGTTCCAAGCCTCGCGGTCGAGGAGGCAAGGGCGCTGGAGGTCGTGATACATCACAGACGGTGAATGGGTCTCAGGATAAAGATACAAAGGCCGCACCAGCTTCAACTGCGACGGTTGGTCCAAAGGCTCTCCCGGCTGCCACCGACGACGCCGACGACGGCGAGGTTTGCTTCATTTGTGCCTCGAAGGTCGAACATACCTCTGTGTCTCCATGCAATCACCGGACCTGCCATATTTGTGCGCTGAGACTACGTGCGCTATACAAAAACAAGGGTTGTGCGCATTGTCGGGTAAGTTCCCCCAATCTTGGCCGCGCATCATTCGCAAGTGCTGATCTGTGGGGATATAGACCGAGTCAAGTTTTGTTATCTTTACCGACGACCCAGTCCGACGATTCGAAGACTTCGAGAAAAAAGATTTTGCTAGGACGGATGACAACCTCGGGGTTTTGTATGAAAAAGATGAAATTTTTGAGGACACCGTCTTGTTGCTCCGCTACAACTGCCCCGATGAGGATTGTGATGTCGCCTGCTTGGGTTGGCCGGATTTACATCGCCACGTGAAGAGCAAGCATAACAAGGTTATGTGGTAAGTTTCCATACAACCCTATTGTTACCGACTAGTTGACTAATTGCTATGATTCTAGTGACCTTTGCACGCGGAACAAAAAAGTGTTCACCCACGAGCATGTCCTCTTCACGAGAGACGAATTGCGCAAACACGAAAAGCACGGCGACGACAAACCAGGCGCGATCAACCAGAGTGGATTCAAGGGACACCCGGAGTGTGGCTTCTGCCGCCAGCGATTCTATGGCGATGATGAGCTTTACGCCCACTGTCGAGAGCGTCACGAACGCTGTCACATTTGTGACCGACGCAGTTCCAACCGCCAGCAACAATACTATGTCGATTATAATGCCCTTGAAGACCACTTTCAGCGGGACCACTTTGTGTGCCTCGACAAGGAGTGTCTGGAGAAGAAATTCGTGGTATTCGAGTCTCAGATGGATCTCAAGGGACACCAAATAGAGGCACATCCAGATGGTGTTTCGAAGGATATTCGAAGAGACGCACGATTAGTCGACCTTTCAGAGTTTGATAATATGCGCAGCCCATACCAGCCACAACGTCAACGGCGTGGTGCTGGTCGAGGACGAGACCCCAACGCTGAGCCATTACCGGCCTCAAGTGCGCAGACATTATCGCGGGCTGAACTTGCCTTTCAACGACAAATGGACATTCAGAGCGCGCAGTCCGTTTCAACGCGTAGCTTCGGCGGCCAGCTTACTAGAAATGACACTCAAACAGTGCAAGCACCATCTCGGTCAGCCGGTGCTACACCAGTCCCGTCATCCTCACGTCCTAGACCTCCAGCTGCAGAGCTTGAGAGCCTGAGCCTCGCCGCTAACCCAGAGCCTCTTGGCCCACAAGATCAAGCCCGAAAACTGCGCCACACGGCAGTGGTTGAACGAGCTACTAGTCTTCTCCGCAACGACACGAATAAGCTTGCCGAATTCCGCTCCAGAGTGTCCAGTTATCGGACCTCTGCCATTTCAGCCACTGAGCTCATCGACGCATTTTTTTCTTTGTTTGACACATCCAGCTCTGATCTGGGTAAGCTCATCAAGGAACTCGCCGAAATTTATGAGGAGGACTCCAAGCGTATTGGTCTTTTGCAAGCTTGGAATGATTGGCGAGCCATCAACGAGGACTATCCTGCCCTTCCCGGTCCCGGTGGAATCTTGCCTGGCATGTCACCAGGTACCGCCAACACTGGCGGCAATCGCGTCCTGCGTCTGAAATCTTCCACGGCCCAGTCCTCGCGGTCCGCTGTCGGCCGGAGCGGTGCGATGCCATCTCCATCCTCAAATCCCTTCCCCCCTCTCGCTGCCTCGGCTGGCCCCTCCACTCGACGTAGCAAGCCTGCTGCCTCCACTCCATGGGCCGCTGCTGCCCCACCACCTCTTGCCCGCCCATCCGTCCCTAATGGCCCCATTGGCTCCTCTTCTTCAGGTCCATCTGCGCCTGCGCGCGCCCCCCGGTGAAGACCAGTGCTGACGCCTTCCCGGCGCTCCCCGCAGCTGCTCGGCCCAACGTGATGATGGCCGGCAAAACGCGTGGCTACGTCCGTTGGGACGATCGTCGTGGCCCAGCTCCCACTGCTTGGGGATCCAACCCCTCTTCTGGCCTTGCTTCTCCTGCTGAACCGTCTGATGGAGATTTTGATGATGAAGCCGGCAACGGTGGCAAAAAGGTTAAAAAGAAGAAGGGTAAACAGACCCTTTATCACTTCGGTTAATTTGGAATACCCTAGATACATGCTGCGGCCATGCTATGGTCCGATCAATAAAAAATAAACTTTGAAATTACTTCTGATGATTGAGACAGTTCGTCATTAAACAAAATACTTTGTCAGTTGATACTGATTGATCATATGTTGATATCACGCTCTACGCCTTGCTCTTCTTCACCACCAAGTCCATATAGCGATCCAGCTTTAATGCTACAAATAATGAGATAATCATACAATCCCTCATGGCCCTCACTAGATGAGCACCACATCATCATTATCAATCCTGTCTTCCTCAGAGCCCGATTCGATCAAGATTGGATTGTCAACAGATGATTCTGCGAATGATCGGGGCCATTCCTGATTCTGTCTGTCTTCCCCTAAAGAGACCTCATCTTGTGATTCCAAGGCCTCTGGAACCGTTTCACTCTCCTCCGCCCGCTCTTCCTCGCTTTTCTCAGCTGCCTCAACTTCCTGACTAGCCGCAGCCATCTGCCATGCAAACTCATCCTGTAACTTCTTCAACCATCGGAAAAGTGACTTGTCATCCATCGTTCCGTTTCGAGCGATGATAAGCTGTTCGTGCAGAGATAGCAATAGTTTTCGCTTGCGCGCAATAGCCACAGTATGCGATGGATTGTTCCGACGCTGAGATATCCGATCCAGTTCTTCCGACACGGTACTCGCGACTTCAAGGACTTTAGGTGGAAGATCCACCAACTTCGCAAGCGCAATTCCATATCGATGACCTGGAACTGGACCCTCGGCGATGCGGTACAACATAGTGATCTTGGCTGCGTCCGAGGTAATCTCAGCTGCTAAATGCAGGTTGATAACACCACTGCGCTCAGACAAAATGCGTGCTAAATCATGAAAGTGTGTGGCGAACCAGACGAATGCGTTACTTGCGAGAAGCGCTTCGGCCAGCGCAATGGCGATGGCGAGCCCATCATTCGTGCTTGTTCCCCTTCCTAACTCGTCGACAAGAACCATACCCCGAGGCTGGACGTTACGCAGAATAAAGGCCATTTCGCGCATCTCTGCTGCAAAAGTTGACACATTTGCGTCCAGGTTATCGGTTGTTGCCACGCGCGCAAAGAGCTGGTGCATGATTGGGAATGATGCATACTGCGCCGGGACAAAGCAGCCAATCTGTGCCATAACTGTTGTCAAAGCAAGGGACCGAATATACGTCGATTTACCACTCATGTTGCACCCGGTGATGATCTGGAACCGGGTCTGCGGTGTTGCGTACGCGTCGTTGGGGATGAATTTGCTGGCATGGATCTGCTCTCGGATGGGATGGCGTCCGGCTTTCATGGCTAGTATGTCCGTTAATTCGGGTCGGATGTAGTCGTAGCTTGTTGATAACTGGGCAAAGGCTGCAAGCATGTCGAGTGTGGCTATCGCCTCGCTGATTCGGAACAGTCCTGACACTTCGGAGCAAACGTCATGGAGAAGTCCTTGGATGGTCTGGTCGCTTAGGCTGATCACTTCGTTGTGAGCATCTGTGATTTTCTGATTCAGCTTTACTAGATCGAGTGTTTGGCATTCGATGCGGTTCCTCTTTCGAAATACATTGATAAAAACATCGGGCAATGGCTCGGGCTCGGCGGAAGGAATGCAAATGAAGTACTGGCGAGCAGAATCATATTTGAGGTCTAGAGTCATGTCATGGATGTCTAAAAATATCAGCATATAAAGATCCCTGTAGAGAGACATTCGACTTTACCCCCTAGCTTGGACACAAGTTCTGCTGCATCGGCATTCGCTTCCTTGTAAGTTTGCCTCGCTACATCTAGAAGGCTATTGAAGCCGGCCTATGACATTTGTTAGGCATATTTGAACAAGGTTAATGGAAAACAATATCGCACCTTTACACAGTATATTCGCTGGTTTCGAAGATCCAGTGGCTTGCTTTGATAGGTGACATTCTCATTTAATACATCCTCAATGAGCTGCTCCACTACGTGATGCTCTGCGGGATTGCACACCTAGATCGATTAGGCCTTGCAGTGCACTGACTTTGTGGATGAGTAGATACCTCACGGATCGTGATAAGCAAATCACTTTCTGCTGCCCCTAAAGCCTGATATATCTTCTTGATGGCAGAGACGTAGGTTTTGAGGATTATGACATTGTTGACCGACTGTTCAACGTATTGGACAGTCTGTTTTGTCGGGACCAAAATGATCTAAGTACTGATCAACAGTGTCCAATGCAAAAAAAAAAACATACATATGCTCACCGAACTCAAAACTTTATCAGCATCAAGAAAGCCTTTCAAAGCTTGTCGGACTGATGCAAACATGTCTTCCTTGATGGACAAGTCTTCCACGGCATTGTATCTCGCCGTCAGCTTGTGTCGCTCCGTGCAGGGTTGAAGAATGGTCAATCGGAGGAGCCTAGCTCCCATTGGTGTCAATGTCTCGTTGAGCAGGCCATACAGGCTATCCCGGGACTTGGCAACATGGAGGTTCTGGATCAACTCTAGAGAGACGATCGTCTTCAGATCAATTGTCATAGACCCCTGCGAGGGCTCAAATCTAATCCGGAGCGAATGAGGAATAAAAACCCGCTGAAGCTCCGATTCGACATATCTAAGCGCCTACATCGAAATCAGTCAAAGCACTCATCGGGAGGACCTCAGTGCGTACCGCTGCAAAACAGCACGCTGCAAAGTAGCTTCCACCTAAGGTGACCTTCAATGAACCTGCCTCATCCGAGAATGCTAACCGATCCAAATACTCCTGTCCTGCTTTGTCAGACCAGTACCGGCGATCGAGGAATGTGAGGATGGGGTCGGGTAGGCTCTCTTGGATAATGAAGCGCAGCTTAGACTCGGCGACAGTGCTCATGAAAAGGATCTCATTCGGTTCGAAGACACTAATTTTGGTGACGGTCTTGACGTACGTTGGGCTGTCGCATATTTGGCACAGAACCACCTCTGCTGTAGCCAGGTTGACAAATGCTAAACCGACGGTGGATGAAATACCACGGGATTCACTGACGGCACAAACAATGTCTTGTGCTGCGATGCTGGTCGCCGTAGTGGTTGGTCTTGCACTCGCAGGGCGTCTACTGGATGTGATCCTCGTCGGTAAAGAAATGGACGAATGAGCCGAGGACTCGCGAAACAAGGTGGACATGGTGATTGTCGGGTTGGATGAGGGGGAAGGTAACTTCTCTCGCTTCGAAATGATAGTACATACATACTAGGGCTAAGGTACATGACTGCCACATTATTTTGGCTTTTCATCCAAATGAGTTTCAGCCTATATTCTAAATGATCAATTTACCCACTAGCTCAATCTCATGGTCCTCCCTTGCCAGATTGTATCGATCGAATGTTGACATTGAGTCTAGTGGTGATCTATATCCGCTATCAGCAAGTGACGTTGGAGCCCCGCGATAAGATAAGGCCCCGATCTCAAATTTTCTTCCTTCTCCAACTACCACAAGAAAAAGACAATGTCGACTCTCGTGCCCCCACCTAGTAAGCGCCAAAAGCTTGCGGCAGCCGAAAAGGCGCGCGAGCAGCAGGAGATTCAAAGTATCCCCAGTGATCTTGGCAGCGTTCGTGTGCAATTCTTCGACCAGGCCACTGGTGATGCTACCGGGCCTGCAGTCTCAGTCCCCGTGGCCGATGCGAACATCAAGAACCTGGAAACACTGTTGAACACATTGCAAGGAAATGTATGACCCTGATTTTGGCTTTCATCAACAATTGTTCGTTCTGACCTAGTTTGCCCAATAGGACGATGATGAACGAGTGCCGTATCGCTTCACCCACCACCCCGACAAACCAGAAGGACAAACCATTGACATTCTCTCTGACTTGTACCACTCGCTACTCCAGCCTGGCGTTAAGACTACCGAAGATACAATCTCGCTGTTCTTTACTCCCCAAGCCGTGTTCCGGGTCAAGGCTGTCTCCCGCTGTGCAGCCTCTATCGCCGGTCATGGTGAAGCCATTCTCGCAACCTCCTTCTCCCCCGTCTCGTCCTCCACTATGGTCTCCGGAAGCGGTGACTCAACCGCTCGTGTCTGGGATTGCGATACTGGAACTCCTCTCCACACATTGAAGGGTCACACCAGCTGGGTGTTGGCCGTGGCATACTCGCCTAACGGCGCCATGATCGCGACCGGTAGTATGGACAATACCGTGCGGTTGTGGGATGCGAAGAAGGGACAGGCGCTCGGTGGCCCGCTCAAGGGTCACGCAAAATGGATTACCAGTCTGGCCTGGGAGCCGTACCATGTGCAGGAGTCTGGGCGGCCTCTTCTGGCGTCGGCGTCCAAGGACTCAACTGTCCGCATTTGGGATGTTGTCTCCAAGCGCATTGACAAAGTGCTGACTGGACACAAGGGCTCTGTTACCTGTGTGCGGTGGGGTGGCACTGGCAAGATCTATACTGCGTCGCACGATAAGACTATCAAGATTTGGAACTCCAAGGACGGCACCCTTATTCAGACTCTGTCGGCGCATGCCCACCGTGTCAACCACCTTGCTCTTTCTACTGATTTCGCCCTGCGTGTTTCTTACCATGACCACACTGGTAAGGTGCCTTCGACAGAAGCTGAGAAGGTTGCTGCGGCGAAGAAGCGGTTTGAGGAGGCTGCGACTGTGAACAACAAAATTGTTGAGCGCCTGGTGTCGGCTAGTGATGATTTTACCATGTACCTGTGGGATCCGTCCAATTCGACCAAGCCCGTGGCTCGCCTCTTGGGTCACCAGAAGGAGGTTAACCACGTTACTTTCTCCCCTGATATGGCATACATCGCCTCTGCTGGATTTGATAACCACGTCAAGTTGTGGAACGGACGTGACGGAAAGTATGTTATCCCATTCACCCATTGTCAATCGGAATTCGTCGCTAATAAGTGCTTTCAGGTTTATCACTACTTTCCGCGGCCACGTTGGTGCGGTTTACCAGTGCTGTTTCTCCGCAGATTCGCGACTTCTCGTGTCCTCATCCAAGGACACAACTCTCAAAGTGTGGGATGTGCGCTCGGGCAAGCTGTCAGTGGATCTGCCGGGTCACCAGGATGAAGTATTTGCCGTTGACTGGAGTCCCGATGGGCAGAAGGTCGGCAGTGGAGGCAAGGACAAAGCGATTCGGATTTGGCGGAACTAGACAAAAAGTATAGAATGATACCCATTGCCCGATAGAATTTTACGTACAGAGTATTTTGGTTTCAATCATCTCATTAATCGGGACAGTTAATAGTAGGCTTAAGGCCAAGTGGTAACGAAACAATACAAGACAATGTATGTACAAAAGGCTATATGCCCGAGTAGATTTTCACCAACTATCACACCAACGAGGGAGCGTTCGGGGGGCAACTCCCTTAAATGTACTGCCAAGCAGGGATATCACCGCTGTAGGTCAAAGCGATGGCAGAGAAGCCCAGACAGTCAGCCACGTCGCCGGAGGGCACAGTAGCGTTCTGCAAAGCAGCGAATACCTGCCAACGGTTATCGGTAGTCGGGCAAGCCATGAAGCCCTGAGCACCCCAGCTGTTCACGGTGTAGTGAGACCAGGGCTGGCCAGTCTCGTAAATCAGACCACCGACAGCAGAATCCGCGGGAATAGAAGCAGAGTGGGCCTGAGTAAAGCTCAGAGCACCAGTGGGATCAACATAGACCTGCTGACCACCAGGGACCTCGACATCCTATATCATGAGTTAGTATCGTTTTCATATGTCCTGTTCCACATTCCAATATATTGTGTCACATACCATGGCGTTACCACCTGCAGCGAAAACGGTCTGGTTACCCGGAGGGCACACGATGCCGTCAATACTCGGGCAGTAGGAGGCGGTAGTGCCGCCGAGGTAGAATTTCCGGCCTGCAGCGTTCATCTGCATGTAGTGGATTGGCGAGGCAGAGCGGACGGCCATAACGCCGAAAGCTGGGGGGTTGGCTGCGGCTGTAGCAACAGGAGCTGGCGCTGCCGCAGCCAGGAGAGGAAGAGCGATGGAAGCAATGACGGCCTTCATGATTAGATAGGAATATAGTTGAAGATTGGAATTGAAGTAGATTTGGATGCGATGAGATGAGTGAATAATATTCCTACAATTGCGCGCATCTCACGCCCTCTTTATAGAGAGAGAGCATCAGACATGCATCGGTAAACCCCGCGGATATTGAACAAAAACAAGGGTCCGCTGTGCTTGAATCCCAAGGAACCAAAGTCGATGACAACGTTCAGGGCCGATGAGGCGGGGTCGCCGAGTGGCGAATCCCATTGGTCGTGAGTGAGACAACATGACTTTAGGCTCGTTGCTATGCGCCACTAGTCTCTTGTACAAGATCGCGTGTGGCACAATCCTTTCCCGAGTTGCCAAATGTCTCTCCCCTCGTTCTCGAGATGGTATAGTGAGCTCCATGAGTGAGACAAGAATGCCAAGCGGCATCAACCAGGAAAAATGACTCGGCGGGGCCATTATATCCATGGTTTGCAGTGCAGGCGTAAACACGAATGCTGATCTGCATTGCCATGTCTCATTCTATTCTATTCTTGTATACTAGTCTTGTCCCATTTTTAGTCGGCGTTCAATTTCTTAGACAAATACGAGAATAAATCAACTCGATGTAACTATACTCCATAGAATAATGTAACCGAACGGATTCAAGGCAGACCTTGTCGTTCCTCTGTGCGCTCATTCAATCCCCACGCCGAGCTACTCCCGTCATGCACCGTCGCTCTACGCATATCGCGCCGATACTTTCCCTCGAACTCACCGCCCACAGACCGATGCATGACACTTGTATTATCCCAGAGCACCAAGTCCCCAGCATGTTCCCATCTCACACGAAGAACGTATTTCGACTGCGTTGCATGTTCGAATAATCGCTCAAAAAGCGCCTTCGATTCGTCCGCTTCTAACCCCTCGATATGGTGAATATGCGCTGCTATATACAGCGTTTCCCGACCGGATGCTTCATGTCGCTGGAGTAAGCGGTGTCGACTCATGGGGTACTCAGCCGGGTCGACATTGAGGAACGTTTCGGGTGCAGCGACTTTGCGCGAATGCCACAGTGAGTGCGCAGCTATGTAATCTCGTTCCCGCAGCTCGGTCTGGAGATGAGGTGGGAGGTCGGCAAAGGCTGTGCGGACATCTGCAAATTCAGTTTCTCCCCCCATGTCTGCGGGTGGGAGCTCATGCGCCCGGAGAAGTGAGTACCCGGCTCGGCGGGGGTTAAAGCTTGAGTCGACGTGGAACAGTCCGTTGCCCTGTGGCCTGTTTAGATGGGATTGGAGGATGCAGGGTTAGGCTTGTACCTTGTTCCACTGGCGTCGGACGTTGTCTAATGGGAATACCATTCCGTCTAGATCAATGTTGCTTACGTCGAATAAGTGGACATCAGAGAGACGATGGGCCCGTCCGCCAGATATGTAGGGGGTTACGTCGTCCAGCTCACCGAACTGGGCTGCGAATGCGACGTGGTGGGCGTCGTCGAGCGCTGTGTTGCGGAACACGCAGATGCCATACTACTATTGTGTCAAAGGGATGCGGCTGCATGACAGGGGTATACGAACCTTGCTGATGGCAGCTAAGATTTCTTGGAAGACATCCTTCTCTACGGGGCGCGAAAAGTCGACACCACTGATTTCAGCTCCGAATGTGGGATGTAACTCTGTGATGGTGATGTGAGTGAACGGCGCAACTAGACCGGGCATGACTATGTATGGTTATCTCGGAGGAGCGACTAAAAAAGGGCCTTCGTAAAATTGGTAAACTGGTTCTTGCCAATGTAGGGTCCAACGATGATGTTTATACATGTAGCATAGACCTCGGGATATGTAGTCTAGTGTATGGTGATCTCGGCTCAAAGAGCGCGACGTGCGGGGAAGACTCGGACTTCTGTCCAGATGATAACATGCTGATAGTGACTTCAGAGTACACCTCGCCTTTATCATACCGGGCTCTTGCATCTGCTTTGTACAGGGGTTGGTCGAAGTATGAATTTAGACATGTGTCTCAGTACCCACACCTGGACCTGGATCTAGGCAGTGTATACGGGGCTAGAACCGTCTAGTTCCTTTTGAAAAGATACTCTCATAGGTCGTAGCGTGTAGGTTTGAAATCCATGCTCATTTAAAGTGATTAAATTCCGAATAAATAGCAAAGTACCTATCGAAGGTACCTAGTAACACGAATTGCTGGTGTCAAAGCATAAGTGTCACACCGATTCCAATCTTCACCACTGCTGACGCACCTAGTGACTATAGTCAATAGCTACCTGTCGCCAGCAATGGTATGATACTTGTAACCTTGGAAATCCTTCAATGTCACCCGCTTCAGATGCCTGAGATTGCAAGGGCCAAACAATGAGAATTACTCAAGGGATAGTCCAACCCGAAACGAGCATGGATTGACGACAATAAAGGTGTATATATATGACCGGCTGGTCCGACTCCTGGTATAAACATGGCCGAGGCCAGCAGAAATGAAAAGCCAAGCACCCCACCCAGAACCTATCCGTTTAGCAATATAATCCCCAGAAGAATAATGAAAATAAGGAAAAGAGGCCACCGAGAACACCGTAAAGCCAACACGCCCCCTTTTAGTTGCCCCACGTCTTGATCCATCCAAGCAAGAAAATAACCCTCATCCATTCATCCATCTCCAGGCGGGGAATGCGTCTCCGCCCCGGGGGAATCGTTTCGTGTCGGAGCAAGATGGGTCATGCCCATCTGTGATTAAAGGAAAGAAAAAAGATTGCTTTTATGCTCTTTCTAATAGTCTCCCTCATCATCGTCGTCATCACCGCCACCACGACCGCGAGGACCCTTCACTCCGTCCTTTCGGATGGGGATCTTAATGCCCTGCAGCGCGAAGCATTTGCTCAGCTGAGTGCTTTCAATGACACCGGGGAACTTCTTTGCTGAGAAAACCTGGAATGGCTCGCTGAATACCGACGCGAGAACCGGAGCCGTTCCATGGTTAATGACGGGAGCGCCATTGCTGGTTTCGGTAGACTGCGTCCCCACGTTGACAAAACTCATTTTAAGTCTGTTGACCATTAGCAAAGGTTCTCTTTTTGGATGAAGGGGGTGCCTACCGGAAGGAGCCTTCTGTGCGGACGCTCAAATCTTGCAAAATAAACCATACACCAATCTTGTTATCGGGATCCGTCAGTCTGAAGGCACTGGCACTTAAGCTTCCGATCAAATTGCGAGTGAACATTCCTCCAGGTCCGCCGGTAACCGCCGGTGCGGGAGACATGGCGGGTTGCATCTGAGCTTGAGGTGAATAACCGTACTGCGGGTAGCCTACTTGCTGGTTGTAGGCATTCTGATACTGCATCTGTGGGGCGCCGTAGTAGTTGTTCACTGGCGGATATCCGACTGGATTGCCATAGGGCTGGCCATAGCCAGGCGGGTAGGTCGGAGACATGCTCTGGGGTGGAGGCGGGTACGAAGATGACATGGCCGTTGAGATTGAAGGTGAGGTGGCAGAATGCTTCACAAGGTTGACTTCATTGGTGCCCTCGGCATTCCATAAGTCGACCGTCAGTACGTAAAATGAAGTATCAATCTCACTGTAGGGTGTTAGAGAAGAATCGCCCAGAGCTGCCACGGAGAATCTTACTTGATATCAATCTCTTTATCCGTTTGCGCATCTCTCACAATGAGTCGAATGCACGGTGGCGGTGTAATTGGTCGTCGATCCTACAGACATTCATGTCAGTCCGAACACCAACAGCAAGAGGGCTCATTATGAGGGAGCAATCGAACGCACTTTATCACCGAAGCCACACATGCGAGCTCGGATGGGCTGTTGGACGACTTGCAATGACCAGAGACGGCCATCATGCATGGTCGTCACGGGTGCGAGGTGATCGGAGGGGCGTAGCGGGCCAGTGCCTGGCGTGGGATATGCGGCGGACGGCGCAGAGATGCGATCCATTGAAAGAGGTGGTGGTGGCGGCGGCACCGGATGGGCCCTTTCCTGCTCAACGGCGTACATGGTTCGTGCAGGCGATGAACCGAGGGCCGAAGCTCACGATCGAAAGGATGGGTCCGATTGTTTTTTTGAGATTCTCTGGGGTGCTGGTGGACCCTTGTTTAAAGTTGTTTAGAGGCGGGGGGACAGGATAAGTGGCATGCGACCCCGCTAGAAATCCACACGTCAGAGTTGAAGCATCGACTTCCCGGGGTTGGGGCGGTCGCGAATATGCGAGTATCCGGGGACAAGTGGTTTATCGAGGGAGAGATAGATGGCTGAGGAGTGGAAAAGGGGGGAAGGAAGAGAAGAGAAGAGAGAAGGAATCGAACAAAGTGTAAAGCCAGTAGAGGAGGGGGTGGGAGAAGAGTGACGTTCTCGAAGCAGACTTTGGTTGCAGTTTCCGCCATGAAAGATCCGCCGCGCAGGAACCTAGACCCAAAGACTGTAAGGTGCGACGATTGCGGTCATTAGCTAAGCGGGGGCCCGGCAGAATTTAGATTGCTTTCCGTTACATCTCGAGGAGCAGCGAGGAATCGTAGAAGAACCAGGATGATTATAGGGGAAAAAAAATCACTTCCATTTCAGTCATTGGTCATTTATTCAACATTCCACACGATCGATTCATGGATCTGCTATATGGGGGGTGTTAGCGCCTATCTAGCCCAAGAATGTAGCATGTAGCTCATCGATCTAGCGCGAGAGATCGAATTGATTCAAATGATGACCACTCCGATGATTGACTCATTCGTAGAGAGCTAGACCTTGAATCTACATGATCTCCCTTTCATGATGCCTCTTTTCTCTACAAACCCTCATCTACGTCTCAAGGCGGAAAGAAAAGCGGTCAACCCTGTCACCATCTGGTCTGCCACATTCGCCCAAAACCCAGACGGTCGGGTTCATTCAGCAACCCCGGTCCTGACGAATCGCAAGCCCCCATTCGCGCGCGACAGAACCTGCCGATGTAACCGCGAACTTGCAGGTTTTTTTTCTTCTCTCTTTGGGAAATCCCTTTCCCCCTACCACCGCCGTTTGCGGACAAGCCGGCCCACTCAGCGGGTCAACCGGGACACGAGAACCATAAAGGAAATCCGACTTGACCGGAACGGGATTGGTTCAGCAATTCGCCTTGACTCGGCTGATTCTCGGGACCGTGCACGCTCGGAGATTACGGAGTATAACGTCCCGCAATGAGGTCGGTTGTACAAATGGCTAGGGAGGACAGGGAAATTCCGTTGTGAGAGGTTGGCGACTTTATCTTCCGATTCTATACATCTTTGTTTTCTTTCTGATGGACACCGGGCCCTGTCCCGGAACCACTTCCCGTCGGCCCATGTTTTAGTAGGCGCCTCCTGTCCCAAGAATACACGAACCTCGCCGGCGTGTCCTATGGTACGATCTGTGAATGATGCGGGGGATCAAGTCCATGGATGAGAGGGAACACGGAGCCTCAATCCGGAGCCCTCGTGGATATACCTCGACATGCGCTGATCTGCCAAGGTGATATCTTCAACGTACTCATCGTGGTGTTTCTTCTTGCCATGACATATCACACTGACAAAATCCAAGCCACCCTCATGATATCTCTCAAGATTTTTTGTGATCTGTCCACAAAACCATGCCTGCGGAGGATATGACCACGCTTCAGAAGTGACCTGACAGGGTCCCTTCCATGGTTTCTACTCTGCATGCTGTGATACATCCAACGGCCAAGTACCCAAGAGATCAAAATATAGCCCGGTCCGTGTGTCACCCACTGCAAAAATAGAAGAAGTCATGAGTTTGAATGATCGATCATTCGTTCAACCTTGGTCACATCGGTGTGCGTATTTGGATGATACTCACGGGCTCATGTATCCACGAGGAGTCGCGGCCGTCATTTCCCTCCTGCATCTAGCTGCGTGTGGCCGCGTAGATAGATTGGCTGCAAGAGTTCAGGGGTAAGAAAGCAAATACCGCATAGATTTTTCATCTAGACCAATTGCAGGCGAGCCACCTTGCCTTTTATCTCCGTCACCAATGAGGCGCCTTATCCACATGTTGCAGCGCCCGCGCGTTCATGTTCCACGATCATGCAAGGAATTTCTTTTTATCCCATGGGAAATTACATATCTCGGATCGGGACGAACCCCCGTTCTGCCCCACGCCCGATATTCAGGGGAACGTGCTTAAAGAGTCAGCCCCTTGCAGCCACCCCTCCAGTTATTCATATGCGATGAGCCCAGTCTCGTGGTAACTTCCGGGGGAAGCAATGCGTCCAGATCGGTGAGTGGTGAACGAGTCTAAAGTCGTCGTCAGCTTGCGTCATCTGATCTGCGTTTTCCCCTGATTATCATGCAAGCTCAGACTCTGCAGAACTCGACGTGTTGCACGAGAGATCTTGTGGAACTGCGTATGATAGGAGAATTTTGGGGGGTTTCTAAGGAAAGATAATCACCGAGGTATTTCTTCTTGCTCTGGTGATCGATGGTGGGCTCGCACATCATACTTTGTAATCATCGCTCAAAGGCGGGGAAACGGTGCAAGAGACCTCGAGACCAAGAGTTCCCTCCTGGGGATACATTGGGATCTGGTGCGCTGGTCGACTAGGATAAATCCGCAGTGACCCCTGGTCCATGCCGGGGTGGAGTCATACGATAAGGGACACATGGCCCAGATCCAATCTCGAGCTTTGGAGCAAAGGTCCTGGGCTACCCGTAGGGTTTTAAACATGCTGCCCGATGACCTCAACTCACCGCAAGTGCCGTGCGCTCGTCTGATCAAAAGCACCCTATTGGCTCGGGAATCGATCATACCCCGCACAAGGGAGAGGAATCTGCGTGTGATGTCGGGCTTATAGACGGGAGATATAGTTGAGTCTAGCGATCATGGCGGTGGAGAAATGGGGCTCGGGGTCATATATGCCATATTGCTCCAAACTGGTGTGATGCGTCCACCCGACTGTTGATCCACGTTCTGAGCGGACATATGCGAGTACAATGTTTGCAAATTTGAGTTTCGTTTCTCTCTTTCACCGTGGTTTTCGCTCTGTGTAGGACATGTGGGGCTGTTCATTTCCACCCCGGACTAAGTCCAGCTGTCTAACGCCTTGGGGGGCTACCATCCGAATCATTCCACGAAACCACTATATCCCTTGTCTAGGTCCCGATCCTTACCTTGGCAAATACTTCCAAGGTTAGGATATTTTTCATCAACCCTCCACGTCAGATGTACAGTAGTGTGGTTACAATCGCTTAGTTACGTATTCTCTCAGCAAACCTTGGAATCTGATGTGAATCCTCATGACGCCATTCTGCTAGGGGTTTGCGAGTAAGTCCTCCAGTCCGATCGGCTCTCGCCTGTCGACTAATTGGATAGGGTTAGGGAGATCATTTGGTCAGTAGTGGTCGGGGCTCATCATGCCTGCACTAGATGGCGTGCTTAGTGTCGACTAGTTCAAGCCCAATATGGAGTATATAGTATACATCCGCTTATCAACTGACATTGCATCCCCACTTTCCGCTATGTGCATCCGGGCCTTTCTCACGCAAGGAGCACTTGACATGTTGTGATATGCGAGATTGGATGGCGCATCGCGTCAAGTCCTCAACTATTTGATGGTCGAATTCCCCCGTTTCCGGGCAGGTTATTCTAGCCTGGACCGGCTTGTATATTCGTTGGTGTTGGACAGTATATGATTTGTGATTTCCCTCTGAGATTTGCAGTTCCAGTTCAACTTGGTAAATACAAATCTGGTATACCTCTCTCCCTGACACAGGTTGAGAGCTTACGATATGATCATGTTCACTCATACCTGGGGCGCAATTGTTGTGCTGGCCTCATTTCTGGTGTCGCCTAGTAATGCAATCACCTATACGCCATTAAAGCCTCCGTCATATCCCTTGGCGGTGCGGAGTCCCTATCTATCAGGTGAGTGCTGATCCTTTTGTTTTGATTTACCCCGGAATCGGCGATCTAACTAGGGTGATCGGCAGCATGGATCCCTGGCAATGAAGTTGAATCATTACCTTCCTACAATGCCCAGTTCTGGGCCGGGAATGATTTGGTCTGGTCGGTAATCGCTCGTGTGGATAACACCACCTATAATCTATTTGGCGTGGCCAGCCCCAATGACGGCACCACATCGGGCACCGTGACCGCGGCCACGTACACCTCGACACATTCCACTTTCACCGTGACAGCCGGCTCGCGCAGCTTCAAACTAGACTTCTTCTCGCCCGTATCACCCAAGAATTATCTCCGCCAATCTCTGCCCTTCTCTTATTTGACGGTGACGCTCGCTGCAGGCGACTCAAGCGCCGTTCAGATCTACTCCGATATTAGTGGCAGTTGGACAGGCCAGTCCACTGATTCCAGCTGGACTTACTCCACCAACGGATCGACAGGCGTCTTCCAGATCGAGGCGGTCGGGCAAGCGACTTATTCGGAAAACAGCGATGGTCAAGCTCTGTGGGGCAGCGCCGTCTACGCCACCCGTCCGTCTAGCAGTAGCACGCTCTCCACTCAGGCCGGCCCACGGGTCACGGTGAGGAAGCAGTTTGTCAGCGACGGCACCCTGACTGGCACGCACGCGGACTGGACCTCGGGTGCAGTCGTAGGATTTGCCCATGATTTGGGAACAACTGCGGACGAATCGGCGGTCACTTTTGCGATTGGTCACGTGCGCGAGGCGTCCATTAACTTTCTGGGAGCCGCGCAGACAGGTTACTACCGGGCAACTTACCCTGATACCGTCGATGCCGTCTCGTACTTCCTTGAAGACTACGATGCTGCCAATACCGAGTCAACCAAATTTGATGACTTGATTTCCAGCACGGGAGCCTCCAGCTTTGGATCCAATTACTCCGATGTGCTGGCCCTTTCTGTGCGCCAGGTCTACGGCGGGATTGAGGTGACCATTCCGAATGAGTCCCTCGACACCAGCGAGGTCCGTGCCTTCATCAAGGAGATCTCTAGCGATGGCAATATCAACACCGTCGACGTCATTTACGCGACCTTCCCTATATTCTACGTCCTGAGTCCCGACTATATCAAGTTGCTCCTCACCCCCGTGTTCGAGTACATGGCTACCGATGCCTACTCCGAGAGCTATGCAGTGCACGATATTGGGGCGTCATATCCGAATGCGACGGGCCATTTGTCTTCCGGCGAGTCCATGCCGATTGAGGAGAGCGGCAATGTAATCTTCCTCATCTACGCATATCAGAAGGCCGGTGGGGACACCGATTTGTATGACACCTATTCTTCCCAAATCAAGACTTATGCGACCTACCTATACAACAATGGACTTTACCCAGCTGCGCAGCTGTCCTTGAATGATGCGCTGGGAAGTCTTGCGAACCAGACCAACCTGGCCGTCAAGGCTGCTGTCGCGCTGACTACATATGGCAAACTGGCTAGCGATACAACATATGTGACTACGGGTCGTGACTGGGCAGACAAAATCTGGACAGATCATTTGGGCACCGATGCTGCTGGAACCCGCTTCTTGATCCAGTACGACATCACCCCCTGGTTCCTCGTCTTTAACCACTACCCAGACAAGCTGTTTGGGCTGGATGTCTTCCCAGATGATACGTACAATGCTACCACCAAGTTCTACCCTACTGTGCGGGAAGATGCAGGTGTGCCCCTAGATGGTACCATCGGCTGGGGTCAGACAAACTGGCAAAGCTTCGTGGCCGCCACTGTCAGCAGCGACGCACGGGACAGCTTCATCAATGACATTTGGGCATACATCTCTAATGGTCTGAACACCGCTCCATTTTGTGACCGGTACTGGGTCACGGCTAGTGGCAGCTACTCCGCTGGCGAAGCCTATTCCTTCCGTGCGCGGCCGACATTAGGCAGCCACTTTGCATTGGCGGCGCTCTCTGGCGCCAATATTTGGTCTTGATGATTTGTGAATATTTGCATTGCATTTGGAGGAAGTAATGACCTCGAGGCTGTTTTTGCTCTTGGATACCCGTGGATTTTGCCTGATATACAGTTGTCCACTTAGTCATAATATATGTTTCGTGCCTTTCAAAGGTTCATTTACTTGTTCATCTGCCGCAGTACCACAGCTCACTTGCGCCTCCGAGGTTGGGCTGTATATCATGATTAAAAGAGATCAGCATCCACCGCCAATCGTCAAAAAGCTTCCTTTCATCTTGAATTTCCCTCCCCCTGCCCGTTTTTCTTGTGCCTTTACTAAAGCCTTCTCGCGGGCGCGCACCCGTTTACTGTGTTCCCTTGAAAATCGCTTCTGGGCCTTTTCCTCGCTCTTGGTTGGTTTTTCATCGGCGGTCTGTTTATATTCGCGCTTGGATGGTTTCTCGGTATTTGACCGTAGTTTAGATATCATTTTCTCGAACATCTTGAGCCGCGCATGTAATCCAGGATTGCAAACAGGTGGTTGTAGTGATCTGGAATATAGAAGCGTGTTGGCTATCAGCTAACCAGAGATCCATGGAACACATACAAACGTTATCTTTGGGTTGAACCTTGGAAAGTCGTGGTGTCTAGCTGGTACAGATGTAGGTGGGAAATTGGATCAGGGTCGAAGATGGGGCCGTGGTTCATATACTGTATAGCCCCAAAGGACTAAATTAGCAACGATCGTCGACAAGGCTACGGATTGTGTCGTGCGTGGTCTACAGTAACACCTGGTGACTCTTGCCTAACCTTATATTGGTTATATTGGTTACGGATATAGTTCGGGATACACGCAGTAAGATTGACTGTCTCGGATCAATTAAAGTCCTAGTTCGAGATGAAACGCGTACATCTAAACTTTATTATACTACAAGTGTAACAAAAGATAGGTAATGAAGATGGTAACAGTCAGATTGTGGGTCAAGAAAATCCCTTCTATGCACTCTATGCGTGGTATATAAAAAATAATCCATAACTCGTTCATCGGTAAATTCAACGTGTTTGTTCATCAGCCCGAAATTACACTTTCCATTGGCACGAACTCAAATCCGTTTTCGTTTTTGTTTTCTTTTTTTTCTTCCTTCGAATCCAATCCCCCTTACTCAATAGCAGACTGAGAGTTGCCGTGCATGACAGGGTTGATCTTGGACTCCCACTTGAACTTGAAGTCGTCGCCAAGCTCTTTGCGGATAGCAGCCTGGACGGCCTCCTTGACGTTCTTGAAGACACCGAAGTTGGCGGGGTTCTCCTCGTCGTTGTCACCACCCTGGAAGACACCAGTGCGGACCAGACAAGTGTTCCAGCCGTACATGTTTCCACCGACGATATCGGAGGCCGGGTTGTCACCGATCATGTAGATGTTCTTGGGAAGCTTCTTCTCGCCGTGCAGATCCTCCATCCAGTCTTGCATCACCTCGTCGGCGTAGATGTAGGTGGCCCGCTCGGGCTTACCGTACAGCACACGCTCGAGGTCGTTACCGGAGGTGGCCTTGTACATGGCTTCCACACCGAGACGGAAGGCACCGAGGTGGAGACGTGGGGGACCCTTGTGCTCGGTGGGGCAGAGAAGATCACCTTGCGAGAAGTAGATGGGGATGTGCTTGTGCTCCTTGGGGTTCTTGGTGCGGGTGAGGAGGTATCCGTCCTCGGACATGAGGAGATCGTTGATGATCTGGAAGTCGGTCATCATATCCCAAGACTCGGCGAAGCAGAGGATGGCGTCGAACTTGACCTTGGAGAAATCGCGAGGGCGGGCGCCCTTGAGGTCCTCCTCTGTGAAGTAGCGTTGAGGGGAGATCGTAGGGTCCCAGGCGACAATGTCCTTGGGGTGGATGACATTCTTAAAACCGTACTGCTCAGCCACGTCGCGAATCTTGTAGCCTTCGCCACCGCAGACCAGCACGGTGTCGTAGTACTCAGCAAGAGCCTGCATGGGGGTGTGTGACTGAATAAATTGATCCAGGTGGACGGGCTGCTCCAGAATCTCGGAGAGCTGCTCAGTGCGAGCCTTCTCAGTCTTACCACCACCGTTGGTGAGGAGGATGTAGGGGAACTTGATGCCTGCGGAAATACCGTGTTAGATGACTGGTCCAAATGGCTCCTGTTAGGATCAGGTTGGGGGCTTCTTACCAAGTTCGTTGTCACCGTTCAGCATCTTCAGGGTATCACGACCCTCCTGGATCGGGTTGTTACCGTGAACCAGGACACCATCGATATCGAAGGCAAAGGCCATGTTCTTCACAGCAGCCACCTTCTCCGGGGACATGTCCTGCACCTGGGAGGCCATGATATCCCGTCCCACGACGCTCGGCCGGGAGGCACGAGACAGACGTGAGCTCCGCGACATCCGCGGGGATCGGGGAATGGGGAGGGAGGTACCGAAGGAGTTGCGAGAGCCACGACGGTCCCGTGTGGAGGGACCCAGGCTGAGGTGGTGCATCATGGCGGAGGTGCCGCTCATGGAGCTGCGAGTGGCCGGGATCTCAATGGTCTCTCCCTGCTCATTGGGAATGGGAATTTGGTGGCTGTCCCGTGGGGAGCGAGCGGCCTGCGCATCGCCAGGGGCGGCGGACTCGACGCCAAGGTCAGCGTCAGAAAAACGAGGCATGGTGGATGGTGGTTGTGGTTTGGAGGGGTATATGGAAGAAAAAAAAAGATCCACGGCCGAGGGGTATCTGAAAGGGTATATATGTAGAAGGGCAGAAAGTGGAAAGTTTCAATAGACCCCTCAAAACTGGGTCACGGAGCAGAGTACCGAAGAATAGTGTTTGGTTGATGACGAGGGACCCGATTTACTTATAAACGATGACGCGCTGATCGGTTCCCTTATGAAGCATTCCCGGTCTACGAGCTCTGACTGGTGGATCCCCATAATTTCTTCAAGTCTTATACGGCCAACGTCCGACCAAACGCCCGATTGTCTCAACCCAGCCTAGTCAGACCGCTAACAAAGAGCAAAGGGAATAAAAATTATGGAGACGGTATGTGACGTGGCATTGAGTACCAATCATTTCCAGAAAAGCGCGCATGGAAAGCGCTCATTTAGAAACCGCCCTCTTGGCGGGGTGTGGGAAGGTTTGGAATTTGTTTAGAAAGGAGTTGACGTCATCGGTTAATTTCAGATTCGTTTGGCACAGATTCGAAAGGCGGGATGTCAGAATAAGCTTGTGCCCCTCGGCCAACTTTCCTTGACCCTCAGTAGCTTCATCCTTGTCCATAGAGCTTCAAGGATTCAACCTTCCTTTGAAAAAAAAAGAATAGATTCTTCTCCTACCTTCTGCCTCACAACTGTTGCTGTCTACCATGACGTAGGGTCGCTAACAATCACCCATGCATTAATTCGACAAACCCCTCCGGGTTTACCCATTGCGGGCTAACCGAAAAGGACGCATTGAGGTGGATATCAGTGGATTTGAGATCCACTATACCAGCCGTAAGTGGGTTGAGGTGGCGCCGGAGATGTAACATGCGGGTTCCCGCAACACCGAAGTTATAAAGAGAAAAGGAAGGTATGCACGGAGAACAGGAAGTGACTGAGACCGGAGGATCTTCGTAGCGTCAAGGCCCAAGCACGAGAGAGACCGAGACCAGGGCACGATCGGTATGTGGGAAGACGCCCAATCGGTAGAAGCCGCTTATCTGCGCGCCGTGATTGGCTGATTAAGCCTCAAATCCCGTGCTCTAGCGCACGATGACCTAATGCCGATTATGCCGAAGCCCGGACGTTTTCGGGTGCTGTTTGCATTAATGTTCTTCCGCGTCGTGGAAAACCGGATCCCTTCTTTCCTTATAGGGCTCGCGGTGTAAACAGTCGACGCCCCTGTATCAGACAGATCCAATGAGACCCAAAATTGGAGGGTTTGGGGGATCAGGTACGGAAACTTTGGTTCATGACTGAAACGTCGTGTTGATGCGATCCTCCATGCGCAGCACCCCACCATCCCTCTCTTCCCAGTTTCCCTGCACGATGTGCCCAATGCAAAAACGTTTTGCCTCGGGAAGGCTTGCATGATGATCATTGGGGAAACCTGCAACATAATCCCGCATCGGCTGAACCAATGGCTGGTTTCGGTGCTCTCCAAGGAGGGCCCGAGAGAGATCAAAAGCACAAGTGGCATGGTAGATAGAGTTTGCGTCACCGCTGGATCATAGGCTCTTAAAATTTTGGCCCATTGGACGCCTCAGCCGTGCTGCCTATGCAGAGAATACTTAGTGCAATGGATCGCCCGTGGTTTCGCCGTGGTGGCCATGATTCAGGTTGTTGCCCGAGCTAAAGATCTAGATCATCCACAACGGAGTGGACTGCTCCGTGGAGTATCCTGATTGACGGAAATGAGAGTCCATGCTAAATGGTCTGAAATACAATCTGCCATCCCCTATGTAGAGGTATATGGGGTCTACATGTGGCTAAATTACTGTAAGCCGATGGATTGGCATACGTCAGGTTCATGATAAGGACTGATAACGGTTCACATCTATCGCTGGGGATCATGGAAGAAAACAACCTGCACAGTTATATCGTCTCGTGCGTACCGAGAGAATGGAGAACTGAAGGCCAGTCGTCCCGCGATCAGCTCATGGTGATTCCCACCCAGAGAATTGCGAGTCAAATGAACGGCAGCATTATCATCTTGGACGGTCGTCCGCTCCTCTACAAATTTCTCTTCTACTCCCTCCCCAAAGACAAAGTCCTGCGGCGCAGGCGTTGCTACCAGGGTTGGCGGGCTCTGCTTCTCCGATCCGAGCCATTTGCCCACCAGGCCAACCGCCTGCGCACTGGATAGATTATCCCATAAGCCATCGCTGGCCATGATCAAGAAAGACGGCCTACTAGGATCGATCTTTGTACTAGTCACCACGGGCTCGGCAGTCAGATATGGTGGCGTCCGAACATCATACCGAGGCGTCAAAGGAGCCGGTCCGTAAAATCGCCTCTGCATCTCTCTCTGAAAGTCTAGGGGCCATTTCCACCGACTATCCCCGAATGCCCGGGACACCATCAGGCCTAGTACACGTCCACCTTTGACCATGTTCTCTTCGCCTGGATGCTCTTGATGCAGCCTGGCAACCTCCTCTTGGTTACTACCGCTTTGGTCCACGGACAAAGGAATCGTCTCCCAGGTGCCGTTGGGTCTTTGTTGGCCCAGCACAGCTCTAGAATCGCCGGTGCATGCAACATGCAGCGTACTCGTGGTAGAATCCAAGATAGAAAGCAAAGCGCATGAACCTGCATACGCGGGTTCCATCTTTTGGGCTCTGTCTTGCAGTGGCTCTTTGCTGCGAGACGCATCCTCGGCTGTCTTGAAAATAGTGGCGTCAAGGTTCAAGAACCCTTTGACAAGAGCTTCTTGGATGCGCTCTGGCGGGACTGGTTCATCCGATCGGATTTGGTCTAGACTGTGTCGTACGTAGGGGAGCAGTTGGTGTTTCAATAATTCTGCTGTTTGCCAGCCTGCATGTCCATCAAAGACTGCCCAGGCCATCCATTGTTTCCCGTCATTCCACGGCGAGGGAAATTGACCATGAAAGAAGCGATCCTCACAGGGGCTATTAGATGCCCATTGGGTGCCGTCGTATCTATGAACACCAGCAATGCCAGCGACTGGGAGCGAATAGGCATTCTGTGAGATTATCTGGGTCACCTGGTCTGGTGAAAGGCCCGGCCCGAACGTCAAATGATCCGTGGGCGGAGTGTCTAACCGTGGTACATCAGACACCGGCACTTTGGGTGCATCGTTGCCAGAAGTTACCCACCATAGACCTGGGCCACTGATGAGACCTCCAACCACGGCATTTCGAACCCAATGCGAAGACGCTGTCTTTGTTGAATAGAAACATCTGGCGGACGTGGTCACACGACCTAGACGTGGTCGAACCCGAGCGCCCAATGAGATCGAGGAGAACATGTAAGCCAGGGACGAAAGACGACAATTCGGGACGGAATCTTGTCTTTCCCAGATCCAGAGTCCTAGGAGAGGAAAAATTTCCAAGTGATTCCTTGGGGATATTATAAGACCAGCACAAGAGGCAAGGGGCAAGTCTGGTCTTGACTAAAACATTGGAAAACATGTCACATGACTCCCGCGCAAGCGACAAGCTACTGTAACTATATATAGAGACATTGGATTGGAGATACGGATATAGGGATTACAAACGCGCTTCAACGAGTGAACCGTTAGCTATCCTAGGATCCCCCTCGCCTCATTCACTTTACGCAATTGCCTTGACGGTCTGTCCACGGGGGCGTCTCACAGAGTGTACATGAAATCGGGCCGCTTATCACCCAGCAATTCGATCTCACTCCGACTAAGGCCTTCGATCCAGTGATCTCGCTCACCGCGCCGACGTTTGGCATTCTCTCGGCGGAGCAGGATGTATTGGACGATGGAGCCCCCAAAGAGAAACACCACGAGGTAGGCGAGCACAGTGCCGTGTCCGGGATAGAACCGAGGAGCATCTGCTTCACGATAGATATTGGAGGAAACAATACCGTTCAGATTACCCCAACCTATGATAAATCCTAGCGACACGCCGCGCTTATACACCCCTACACAGATATCGGTTAGTGGATTTGATTAAATATAAAAAAGTTGCAAGAAACTTATTTTACCCTCGATGTTGTTGCTCGACCAGGAGATTGTATTGGCAATGGCAGGGTAGATACCCATTGCTCCGAGGAATGTTCCTGCGTAACGTCCACCCGCAGACTGACATCCTAGGAGCATGGAAAATCCCACGATACCGAGGATCGAGGTGGCGATGTTGCACAACCCTCGCTGGCGCGTCCGATCAGCAATGAAACCGACCGTAACGGTCAAAATGGCAGCGGCAGCGTATGGAGGAACACTCAATAACTGAGCACGGATTGAGCTGTAGCCTGGAAGATAATTAGTTATTTTCTTGAAAAGAAAATCCAGACTGAACGACGGAATTTACCCTAAGAACTCAAGTTAGTAACGGCCTTTCGCAGGAGCCCAAGTCATTAGCTATCACTTACCAGTTCGCTGATAATCGTAGGCACAAACAGTGAGAAGGCATACAATGATCCGTCAGCTCCCATGTACACTATTGCTCCAGTCCAGGTCTTCCAGTCCTTAACGCTGGCCCAGAAGTAGGACATCTTAAACTCCTCGTGCTCGGCGCTCGACTGCGCATCCAGGGCGAGTCGACGAACCACACGGATACGGTCCTTTTCAGACAGAAATCGAGCCTGGTCGGGGAAATCGTAAACACACCAGAAAGAGGCCACGCCGATCACGACGGTTGCCAGCCCTTCTAAAATAAAGATCCACGCCCAACCAGCTTTGCCTCCGACGTTGTCCATTTTGGCAATGGCGGCTGCTAAGAGCCCACCGAAGGAACCAGCGAGGGCGGCAGCTGAGAAGAAGATGGCCATTCGTACGCCAAACTCCTCGCGCCGATACCAGCAAGAAAGAAAGTAGCCGATTCCTGGGAATAATCCAGCTTCGGTAAGGCCGAGGAACCATCGCACTGCCATGAGTCCGGCATAGTTATGCACTGTGCCCATCAGGGTCATGCAGATACCCTGGAGGTGAACATACATTAGAATCAGAAGTCAAGATTTGATCTGAGGATCGTTCATTACTTACCCAGCCAATCATAATAGAAGGAATGAAGATGCTTGGTCGTAATCGTTTAAGCAGGACGTTTGTGACGGGCTCAAAGACGGAGTATGAGACGAAAAAGATGGTCAGGGTGGCATTGTACTGATTCGCCGTCATACCCAGGTCCTTGCTTAGGCCGTCAATCTTGGCATTACCGATGTTGGTACTTTCCCATGTCAGCGCAAATAACTCAAATACCCTGGTGGCTAGATGATCTTGAACACACCGATCGAGGAAGGAAGCTAGGTACAACAGACTCAGCCATGGAAGTAGGCGAAGGTCAAGCTTCCAGAGAAGCTTCCGGTCCTAGAAGCATGTATAGTTAGTTTCAGAAAAGATCAGCCCTGCATGAGCCTATGCATAGCATGTCTAGGGATGGCAGGGATGCTTATACAATCTTGGCCCGTTCTTCATCACTGAGGCCCTCGTCGGGATCCTCCAACTCTGCCAATTTGTCCGATTTGACATTGAAAGGCACCTCCGGATCTAAGCGGACCGCCTTGTCAACGTCAATGATCTGGGTAGTCATGGCGTTGAACAGCGGTTGCAATTATCCGTCTTGACAATCCTACACTATGCGACACAAAACTGAAAGAAGGACAAAAAGAAGAAATCACAGGTTGAATGCACAGGCGGAGCGGGGAATAAACGAACTAGCGGAGTCTAAACGAGGGGACAAGTGAATCTGCACGATGTAAGCACTCGTGCAACGTGAGTAAGGGTCTTAAAACCCGCTGGGCCAATCAGTGGGATTGACTCCGCATTTGCGTGCAGGGGGCAATGCCAATAGTTTCCCCAGGGATCGGCACTGGCCGCGATCGTCATAGTAAGATACCTGATTGGGGTCTCGGGCTTACAATTCCCCTCGGGGTTGGGAAATCGAAGGTTAGATACATAGAGCCAGGGACTACGTCATGTAAAGCTGGAAACGATATAGTCACTAAAACCGTCTCAATTTTGAATCTACGAATTCCGCCCCACCTACGGGCGATCTTCCCCCGAGGCGTTCAGACAAATCAAGACCTTCATCCCGGTGAATGGTGATTGGACAGAAAATGAGCTTACATAGTGGCATCGCAAGCACCCGAAGCAAAGCCTATCGCGGGATCACCGATGGGACCAAAGTCAGCCATCCAGTGCCCAACAGGAAAAGTACTGGTATTATACCACTACGAGGATCAGAAAGATAGTGATTTTTCACACTTCACTTCAAAAGAACGGTATGGGGTTATGAATATATACGCTCGTGGACATGATAAACTCTAGGAGGCGCGGCAATGGGCATATCATGATTAAAGCAGGTGAGTCGCAAATAGGATTACAGATCGAAATGGCAGTGAACTTTGCGCATAAGAAGCGGAGCTCTTCTTGCTTTAAAATGCATGCAAAGGTCGTAGCTGAAGGTCACATATCTATCCGAAGAACTCTCCGCCGGCTAACGCAACCCAGGGAATATTTTCTTCCCAACACCGTTGCATTAACTGGCGAGCATCTTGAATCTGGATAGAAATGTCAGTGAAAAGAGAATTAAACAGTCAGTCCACAGAAAATTACCTGTTTCATCCCTGATTTCTCTAACACCAAGAAGCGATTTAGGATTCTGGCCTGTTGAGAAGGGTCCCGAGATTCACAACCCGCCGTGAACAACGGAAGCAATGAGCAAACCTCGGTCGAGGCACCGAGTCTCATACGCCCGAGGGCATCAATCAGCTGTCGAAGAGCTTCTTTGACCGGAAATGAATCTTTTGACGATCCTAACACACGACGATGAAGATGGACGAGCCCAGCACACCGGAAGGCCTCTTCTGTTGCCATCATATCTTGAGCTTCGAGGCCCTGGTGGTGATCTGGGTCAGCATGGGCATGATTCGTTATTGCATCTAGATCACCTAGCACGGCTTGGGCTTGAAGAACCATGTCCGCAGATGGGTGCCACCCCCGGCGAAAGTTGCCCAGATCGTCGAAACGCTGGTTGTCACACTCCTGCACCAGCTTTGCTAGGCGAATGAGAAACAATCCAGTACGAGGAGTGAATCCCGTGAAGCAATCCACACTGGACTCATCATAATTCTCTGCATTTGAACAAGCCTCAAGAACAGAATGATACAGCATCAGCGGTCGACCGGCTTGACGACACGACAATGCACCAACGGTGTCAATGTACCCCAACCAGCGGGCAAAGAATGCGCCAATTCGATTACCAGCTTGAGCGAGCCGATCACTTCGCGCAATGAACAACTCTCGGGCGAGCTTGAGATGGCTCTGCCATGTGATGGGAACTTCAAATGTTCCCGGGGACACAATCTTCAAGGACAAGAGCAGGATTGCGGTAGCTAAGTGGCTATCGGTAATGTCCTCATGGGATGCTTCTAATGCCACACGCAGGGTTGGAAAGACATCACTGACCCAATGCGCAATTCGATTGGCTGGCTCAGGATGCCCTAAATACCGCGCACGATGACTGGCGGAGTATGCCAATAACAAATTGAGCAGATTGGGGTCGCCAATGGCCACTGAGCCAATTAGTCAGTATAAGAACACACGGAAACTTGAATAATCTGACTAGAAAAACTTACTTGAAGGCAGGACCGACGTGAACGGATTATTGTCACAGTCGTGAGGCACCAACATTCGAGATGTATGATTGAGAAAATGATGAAAGTACATCAGATTTATCGGATTGCCTAGCAACGATGGCGGCAGGGGAGAAAGATATCTTGGAATGTTAATTGGCACCGGAGCGGCATAATAGCCACCAAAATCGGAGTTCTGGAGTTCAGATGGCGAAGAACTACCTTTAGGCGAGGTCTCCTCCGAGTGTCCCCGCATGCCAATCATGTCCAAAGAATGATTGACATCAATTGCGGCATGATCGTTGTTCAATGCTACATCACGATCTGGTCGCCCGGAATCAAATCCATAGTTGTCTGTCACACTGGTGAGGTAAGCTTGCCATCTGCTCTGAGCAGCGAACGATTCGCGTGCGGCTTGATCATCTTCCTTGTGATCATTCGTTGTCGCCTCCACTGGCCGTTTCAACGTCGTTATTATATCCTCTGGAGACGAATTCGCATTGTTTCGGGCCATTGGCTGGTGCGAACCGAGCATCAAGGTCGAGATACCACTGTCATTCGGCATATCAGGAGAGTGGTGATTGTGCTGTACCATTTCGTCAATCGAGTATCCCATACTGTGCTCATCCTGAGATATGGAACCGTGCGGGCCTTCATTTTGATCGGGTGCCAGCCTTGGACTATCCACCGTATTTCGCAGAAATGATACAGGCTGCGATACTGAGTTTGAATGAAACGCGAAGGCCGACAGTGAACGAAGGCCTACACCTTGATCGGCAGCCGCTGAGAAAGTCCCGTGGAATCCTGAGCCAAATGGATAATGCGCCAGAGGACCCGACGACACTGGGGATGTCAAAGAAGATTGCTCTGGCCAAGTTGATGTAAACTGAGTATCGACTTGGTCTGGAGAATTGCTGCTTTCTGGTCCTGTGGGCGGCTTGGGCGACTCAAATATGCCAAGTGATGGCGGCGACATGGCTCCAGGGGAGCCCAAATCACCGGAGTGAACATTGACGAAGCCATCCACCGAATGTCTGTTTGCTGGTATCGGAATTGAAGTGGAGTTGACATTGCTTGCTGGCGTTGCATCAGAGAAAGACATAATTGTCCCTGCGTATCCGCTTGACTGGGAATTGGGAGAGTCAACGGACGTTCTTTTGGTCCGGCCCCCCAATTGAGACGGACGCTATAGTCACAAGCCTCTCCTTGCCGTTGGCAATTCAGACATAATGGCTTTTCCTCTCCGCTAAATAGATCGCAGTTAGTTGGTTGTCACGTTGCAGAACGCACTGGTTGCTTACCATTTAACTTTACGTGCTTTACACGGCCTGCGTTGAAACAAACGAGTCAGTCCTCCGAAAGGCAGAAGCTATTTTTGAACTCCCAGAAACATATACATACCAACAACCTTTTCGGCTTCTTCTCTTTGGCTCTGGCGCACCAGGTCTTCGGGGACGAGGCATTGCACCTCAGATAAATTATATAATCGACCGGTCCCAGACCAGAGAACGGCGAAACCGAATCAAAACAAGAAATCAAGGTCGTCTCCAAAGAGATTCCATCCAACAGCAAAAAGAAAAAAAAAGTGCTTTGAAGGAAACTGTCGAGGCCTTTTCACAGGGCACACAGGACGCGACTGGATCGCTTTTTGCGTCCAGAACTGTGTTGACCCCAAGTGGCGACGAAACGATAGTCGACCAAGCACCCACACCTTGTAGACAGGGACATCGAGGTGTGGGAGGGAGATGTACCCAAGAAAGTCTTCAGAATCCCGCTGCGACTGCAGCAATGGGGGTTTGGTATTCTGCAGATGCAGAAGAGTGATAGGGCTATGACGATCGTGACGATCACAGAATGTGGGACAAGCTGCAAATATCCAGTCAAGGGCCCACTTCAAATGTATAACACCTGTTCACCATGTACACATCAGCAGGCTCAGGTTATGCATAAAACAAGGGGAAAAGCACGTTTTGGAATGGCCATGGAGAAAGCCGCGAGAAAGTGTGGGGAAGGCCAATGATAAGACTGACTCAGCCGGTTCCCGGATCAACCACAGATCCGGTGCGGGATGCCGCGGGATACCGGTCACGTGGACTATCGTCATTGGGGCCAGCGGACTCCGATTTGTCCTTGGTTCCCTGGGTTTCCTTGATCTCCTGACCTCTAGAACCCTGGAGTGGTCACAATCGAATCTCGGAACTCTATTCACGACATGGCCAACATTCTGGTTCAACAGCACCCGCTGCAGAGGCTTCCTAGCCCGTCCAGGGGCGTTTCCGCTCTGGTTCATGTATGACTTCTTCGGCCGAGTCTGACTAAAGAGCCTCATCTAACTAACGTACACAGCTGACCGGTCTGGCGAGCTTTTTCTGGTCATTCAAGTTGTCAGTCATCACTTAATCCTTTCACATATTTCCCAAATTATACCTGCCAACTAACAAAAACCAATAGTATGCATGACAACCCGAACAGAGCGTACGTTGTTCTTTGGTTCTCATAAAGCCTAAAGGGAGAAATGTCAAAATAAATCGAATAACTAATGAAATTAGAGATGAGGCATATGGTTGGCATTTCCAGTATTTGACCATTATTGGCCTGACGTTGTCTACGTTGACCTTCCTTGTTGCTCTATTGGCAGATATTACATTATCACGGCGTCTTTTCTTGGCCAAAAACCTGCTGTCGGTATGCAGTGCCCCGCTGGAGGTTCTGGTTAGTGTTTTGTACTGGGGGCTTCGAGTGGTGAGTCACGTATACCAGCTGTTATCTGACGGAGAACTAATCATGACTCCAGATCGACGAGCGACTAGTGGTGCCTGATTGGGCTGTCATTCCACTCCATGCGGGTATGTTGGAATATTATATCCCGCTTTGCACTGGCTGCGCGTGCTAACTGAATGCGAGCAGATCTCAGCTTCCATGCAATCCCGTCTATTGTCATGCTGGTGGACTTACTATTCTTGTCTCCCCCGTGGACTATCACAGCCCTCCCTTCACTGGGATTGTCTGGGACTATTGCCTTTGGGTACTGGTTTTGGGTGGAGCAGTGCTTCCTGTACAACGGGTGGTACCCGTACCCTATCTTTGAACAGTTATCGACAATGGGCCGTGTTGGCCTTTTCTCACTCAGTGCTGTTGTGATGGCGTTGAGTACTATCTCGATTCAATGGTTGTATGGTCGCGTCAATGGATTTGGTACTGGTACCCAGCCTCAATCTCGTCCAGGCGATATCAAACGAAAGGAGGGTCTGTGAATTGCTTTCGCTGCTTTCGCTAACATGGTATGAGTGTTGTAAGTATTGGATGTTCAAGTCCCGCAGCATCACTCCAGATGCCGATCTCTGGTGCGAAAGGAGAATTCCGTTTCGAGGATTTTATTGTTTTTCCTACCAAGGCACCTACAAGATCATTTCATTTCTCAGGTATAGACGACGGCCTTACATTGCAGCGTTCACAGTGTCTGAATATCGGCTTCGTTCGAGTCTCATGTAGTGCTCAAAGCAATGATGCTTGAGATCTCGGGAGTGGCCGTCTAGGCACATACATAAGTATATAGCCTAATGAAATTACATCGTAATTCAAGACGAAAAGTGTTCTCGAAGTCGCCTCAATTCTAGTTTCGTCATTTCGATCTGGATTAATGGATTTAAAAAGAAAGTAGATCCGGGGCCATCTGCGCTAAAGTCATGCAACAGAGTAGGTTGGCCATGATGAGAAAAGCCAGGCGAAACTGATTTCGAGTCCCATGGGAGGAACGCATGCAGACCAATATCGATGAACAGCAAGGGTCCCAGGCCGAAGCGGGCGGATGCATGCAGGTTGCGGTCAGCAGCTCGGCACGGAACGAGTTAGTGGGATTTGGACTAGCAATCGAGAAGCGGCCACCTCGAAATCGAAAACTGAAACAGAAAACCCTGTCCATCACATTGGGTGCAAGAGCGGAGCAAAATCCATTCTCTGCGGAGCTGGCAGCCATGGCACATGTGCTGAGCATGGTTGTGGGATTGAAAGACTACAGGATCACGCTGCTCACAAGCAACAAAGCGGCGGTGCTCACGCTAAGGAACCCTCAACAACAGTCTGGCCAGGGATTCGTTTCTGGGATGTACAAGTTGATAAGAAGATTGCACAGAAACGGAAACCATCTCAACGTCCTCTGGATCCCCACTAGCGAAGACAATAAGCTGTTAGGCCTAGCTAAACAACAGGCTAGAGCCGCGACGCAAGAAGATGCTCCCCTGCAAAAACGCGCCCCGAGGATGAAGTCAACCACGCTGAATCTCGCACGGTCCCAAGCAGTCCCCAGTAATGGCCTGCCAGGGAACGTTGGAAAGCACGTCAAACGAGTGGACGCAGCACTCCCAGGAAAACACACGCGGCAGCTATATGATCGCTTGTCGTGGAAAGAAGCAAGCGTACTGGCACAACTCCGAACAGGCATGGTAAGGCTAAATGGATACCTCTACCGAATCAACGCGGCAGAGACGGATCAGTGCGCATGCGGACAAGCCAAAGAGACTGTGGAGCACTTCCTCTTTCGATGTCGGAAGTGGACTGCACACCGGACGGACATGTTACAGTGTACCGATATCCACCGAGGGAACATATCCTTCTTCCTAGGAGGGAAATCACCTATCGACAATGAGACGTGGGCACCGAACTTAGAAGCAGTACGGGCCTCAATACGATTCACCATCGCCACGGGCCGCCTCGAGGCCTCTTAACCAGGCCGACGAACATAAATCCCACCCCCCCCCCTTTTTCTTTCCGATCTAGCCCACCAACCACCTCGTGCTACAAATGGTAGACGTGCTTCAACTGCCGAAGATAGGATGTTGAACACTTGGAGAAACGCCTTCAAGATAGCCTACTAACAAAATTACTAACCCACGAGCATCCGCTGCAACACTGCGTGCTGGAAATGACACATACGGCAAGGTTTTATGTATGGGCTCCAATGGGACACAGAACTGTATATATCAGGACATGTATAGTAGTTTAGCGATAGTTGCCCTTTCGGCCTAGCCGCCGGGCGTTAATGAATTGTGTGTGTGTGTATGTACGTATTACGCGAACAACAAATATTGTAACTAAGTTGACCGTTGTTGAATATTGCGGGGTGACTTACCCTCTTGCGTGAACTCTTGCATGGTAAGTACTGTATAGAAGTAAATGTTTCTTTGTGGATTGGATGACAAACCCATCGACATACTCTTACGCTAGTCTCAAAATTAAGAATATTATAATTTACTTTGCTGAATGCTGAAATGGAGTGCTGAAATGGAGCCGAAAACGCACAGTGAAGAGTACGCGGGAGATACATTCATCTGTGGACCCGCATTCCCGTCGATTAGGTTTTGGTTTCGGGCTTAGCTCGAGACCTGAAATGTCATTAAGAATTTTTTTGATCTAAAAGCACCTAATGTCAAAAAAGGCAAGTATCACTACGAGACGCAGAATGTGTGGACATTAAGCTAATCTCTATTCAATCTACGATAGACCATGGACAACGACATATTCTGTGCCGAATATGCCAAAAATATACGATTGGCACCTCGCGTACGAGAAAACTATATTTATACCGGCAGTAGTAGTACTAGGAGTAGTAGCAGTAGTAGTATTCATTTACATCGTCGTCTCGCCGAAGCGATAACTTTGAATCCAGGCGCGCTCGAAATTAGTTTCATCCTTTTCCTCTCTTCTCTTCTTTCTCAAACTCTATTTTGAGAAACGCTAGTCTACTTTCAAATGCTCCTTCCTTCTAACACAGCAAATTAATTCATCTTAATGGCATACCTCTTTGCAAAATTCATATTGCACACCTTAGCAAGCGAACTAAATGAGGACTAAGATTCTCGAAATCGTTTGAAGTTATTCCACCCCAAATTGCGCGCTCTCTTGTATATCCCTAACACTCAAACCAATGTAAAGCTAAAGAAATGGACCTCTAAATCGATAGCTGCTAGATCATGCTACAATTACCACTAAAATACCTTTAATAAGACTGCATAAATGGTACGTATTCTTACAAGGCTTAATCAAAATGGCACTGATGCTCATGGGATTGACCGGCATCATGCTTGGGAAGCTTGAGGTATTCTTGTACTCTCTTTTTGAGCAGGAACAATGTGGGCAACCGCTTAATGGAGAAGCCGAGGGGACGTTTGTAAAAAGCCTTTTTATAATGAAATCTAATCGCCAAGATTGGTTCATCCGAATTCTGGGCAAATTGCCATGAAAGTATGGGAAAACATTTCTGAAATTATTCAATGGCCCAAGGAAAGAAATCGTTAGGCGTACTCTCTGCTCTTTACATCAGAGTTAGTCCGAAGAGGCACGCTTTTAAAAACGATCATAGTCAGCATTTAATGTCATATTCTGGTTGAAACTTTGAAAAGACTCCGCCGGTGTTTATATGGGCTTAGAACATAAAGTGATTTTGCAAATTCGGTCTCTGGCGGCGGTGAAGCACCGGTACTTCTTTATATGCCCTTTCTTGCTTAGCATTCTCGACTCATAGGGGCATATAAATAGTGGTCCTGTTTCTGGCTCTGGCTCTGGCATAGATTCTGGGTCCGTTTCCGGTTCTGACACCTGCCCTGGTGTTGGCCCCGTTTATGATTGTTGTTCTGAATTGCTGCTATCTAGAATAACTTGATCTAAGTTAGATATAAATAATAATCCCTGTGACACGTTGGACTATACTGACTTTCTGTATCGAAGTGGCTATCATTATCTTTGTCTTCGCGGCGAAGAGTATTGTATTTGCCTTTGTAAGCGAATTCGCAAAAAGCGATGAAAGTATCCTCTTCTATATCATCTAAAGTAGTAGTTCTGTATACCGCCTCTTTCATGCCGCCATTTATCAAGGCATGCAAAGGGGCTGATAAGTTGTGAACAAGACCGGCGTGGATTGTTAGCTTCCGTTGATTCTATCTGATAAAAAAGTGAAATTCAGGCGATCGAATGACTCTTCGGTTGTTAGTTAGTACCTCTACACTCTTAAGTTTTCTTTCCCGAACCCTAGCTTGAAACACGCTAATCCATATATAGTAAATTCGTGAATCCCCTGGTTTTTGAAATAGAAAGTGTATTTTACATAACTCGGCGAGACTTCCTTTGCTGTAATTTACACGAAACTCCTATACGTATGATACCACTCTAACTCTTCTCCCCTAACAACCAGGAGCTTCCTTTATGCACGACGCTTAAGCACCATAATACATTGAGCTTGCAATACGGCCCTAAGACTTCTCCCGTCGAAGCTACTTCTTTTCCGCGATATGATAGAGAGCCAGTCACTGACCATAATTGAAATGGCTGAAGAAGCTGAATTCAGCAAGGTCACGATCATAAATATTCGCAGAGACTTGCAGCATTTCGACGGCGTCTACGCACCCCCAACTCGCATAGGTCGAAAACCAATCGTAAAGCCGTTAATGATCGATGCGCTCTATGACTACCTGTCGGAAGAACGGGGCCTGTACCTCAACGAGGTGGCTGTCTCCCTTTGCAATGAGTCTCGCACTATGATCACAACCTTTAGCGTCAGAAAAACCCTTATCACAGCTTTTGCCTTCTCTCATATGCAACTTATCAGTTGGAGTATTGAGGGCGGAACTAGCAGGATGCATCAATTGGCAACCTCGGCGTATCTGTCTTGTTAGGTAATTTACGTTTCCATTCTGACGAGGTGAAAGTGTGGAATACGTCATTTAATCGATTAACTCAATATCAGTGATTGATAACAGGGCCTGTGTTCGTGAAAGATTTACTCGCTCGCCTTTTTATGAGCGCCTTTACAAAACGGTGTCAGCTATATCAGGGAAGTCATTTATGCGAGGGAAAATCAAGTATACAGAGGCGGGAGCCTTAGTGGCTATTCACGCTACGTCAGCGCCGGCAATTCTTAGAGGCTACCAAGCCCGAGTTGCTTCCAGTGGCCCTAGCTTAGCCGCTCGGCCGGGCTTGCCTATTTCGGCATGGCTTACGACGGCTCCTAGTTCTACACCCGAAAATTGGCAATCAGCAAGCTTGGTTCTGCGAGACATGTTTTTGGCTTAAATTATGAGATTTCTGAAGCTCGGATCTGCAACGAAGTTACCATCTTTAGACCTGGGTCCGCGTAACACGACTGCTCATGCAAAATACTATAGGACTTGCATACCATGTCTCAAAACAGAGGACCAAGACTGGTCTGCCCTAACACCCAGCCCCTAAGCTACTGCTAGCTGCAGGGCAGCTGGTAGAAAATAATGAAGATCCTTACTTCAGGATGAAGTGGATTGCGCGTGCAATGGACCCAGCTGCCGATCAGTTGTTTCCACCCTCTGATAAGAAGTTAGTGAAAGGGATTACAAAGTGAATAACTATCTGCCCTGTGTCTGGCTCCATTGTTGTGTTCACGGAACTTTCTTTGCCACCATGAGGCCTTCATCCCTTCTCCAACTTCCGCTTCTCGGCCTAAGTTGTGCTTCTGCCCATGACTCTCCTCATAGGAGATCTTCCTCGTTCCCATGCAATTATTCCACCCTGAACACCACCGTCGGCAGCTACACGGTCAAAGAGAATGAGACTATCTCACAAATTTCCACCGACGTCGACCGAGGAATCTGCGATATTGCTCGCGCCAACCGCATGGCAGATGCAATGCTTCCTTTCTATGAGGGCCAGAAATTGATCATTCCAGCCGAGGTCTGTAAGCCGGATAATTCGACATGCCTGATCGTTCAAAGCGACAATGCTTCTTACGCCAATTGCGTGATTGGAGGGCCTCACACCTACTACACACTTAAGGGAGACACTCTCCGCTATATCGCTCTAAAACTCAACATCACGGTGGATACACTCTCAGCTACTGCGCAAAGTGACTCCAACGACCCTGACGCAGCCGTTCAAGTCAATAATTTCCTAAAACTTCCCCTTTGCAGCCCAAGTCAATGCTCTGTCATCCCTAAAACTTTCACCTACGGCACTTATAAGGATATTGCTGAGCAAATGGGTACTACACCAGGTCAGCTCATGGCGCTTAATCCCACGTACAATTCCTCCAGTGTTGCATGGGGCGAGGGAGCTGTCATCTCTGTGTTGAGTGACTGTGAGACTATAGGATCCAATGTCACGGTCGTATCCTAAATCGACAGTCAACTCGGTGTTTGGTATCAATGTCACCATGCTCATTATTCTCAATACATGCCCCCGTCTCTACTTTTGTTATGACGCAAATGCTCAATTACACCGAGTCCTTCGTCTGTAAATCCGGGTTGAAAATTATGTTAAACAACATGAAGATTCTGCTGTGTCTAGCGGCAGACGCGGCGTACATGCATGCATCGAATTTGTCAGATCGGGAGTGAAAGTGCTTGGAAATAGGATGGCTAACGCGCCCATAGAAACCATAAAATTTTGTGCAGACAAAGAGTCGAGTTTCTCAATCTCGTTGCAGAAAAGATATACGATCGGCGTCCGCCGTACCATTCACCCCACGTGGTACGAAGTACGAAGATTTTTATTTCTCCTCGGCGATACGCATGCAATTTGGAAGTGCGACAGAATGGTCAGCGTGCCGATCTACTGTACACTAAGTTTGGCCCGTGTTTCCAGCAATGAGCACGCATTTGTGCAGTGGTAGGCAGGCTGATAGGCAATCCGAATTGGCCAGTTCTCTCCGAGCTCAACTGTGACTTAACATAATTTCCCTGTATCGTAGGAGAAAGCCCACCTAGTGCCAATCTTTCCATCCCCGATTCGCCAGGCCACTAGTGGGGAGGCAAATCGACCTGCTACATGGAACGCGTCACAGCACTACTCGGGTCAATATCCCCGAATGGCTATGTAGGGAACCGGTGCTCTTTCCATTAGTCCATCAAGGTTGATAGAATTGGTATACACAGCCATTCGTCGCTTTTTGAGAGCCTGCATGTAACAGCACAGCATCCATATCAATTCAATACTGCCTGCTCATTATGTTTGAAAACAATGGATCAGGCTCTACGGAAGTTACATGATATTACTTCGGATAACAAACAGCACGATTAAAATGCTCTGTAGTAGATATGAGCAGCTGAAACCTTCATTTGATACAAGCTCTTATGTGTGTTAAATCAAGGTGTCCGGGGACCATTCGCATATTCACATTAATTCCTCGTTTCTTCCACGCCCAGCGGGTCTCCCAGTCCGCGCAGTTTACCATTCCTGGTTCCGAGAAAACCACTCCTCAACATAGCTGATTCTGGCGTCGTCTGCGATAGGTCCAACCCCCCAGGAGTTACCCAGCCACATCGTTTCCTTTGCATTACCGCTAACGGGCCAGAAAGGCAAGCCTGCATTGTTTGGGTTGCCTGTGCGAATAAAGTTGGCCCAGTAGCGAGTCATACGTGATTGAATGGCGTAATCCTTTGATGTCCATGGTAGCGACGTGTCGGTGTAGGGAAGATTGTTGAAAACATAGTACATCTCTGCTCCGTGGAATGCTCCTTGATTTTGTCCTGGGGGAGCGTGTGTCCAGAAGTAGGTGAAGACGTCGCTTTTCGCACCTCCGCTATACCATTCCTTGGCCCAGACCCAGGTTGAAATGCGACTAATGTCATCGAAAGCAGCATTACTGGCGTTATTCGCGGCCGCGGCAGTCTTGTCCTCGAGAGGGTACAGCGGGAAGAATTCAGTGGACAGGTTCCCTAGCATGGCGGTGAAATTGGAATAGAAGGTGTCGACCGTCAGACCTGGTGCCGTTGAAGCCCCCGACTCGTCGACATTGTTGCCTGTTAAGATAGGGACATCATTGTGTAGACCCTGGCGAAGGGCGGCACCGTAAGAGCGTGGCATTACGTAGCCATCAAGCACAGGGCGCCACTCGGGAGGTCCAGGCACGAATGCGATGACGTCTTCATAAGAGGAGCCGTCGAAGAGAGTGCCATCTAGCAGGATATATTCCAGGAGTTGTGTCATCGTCAGGTTGCGCATCTCAGCCAGAGTTGTCGCATTCAAATCTGCCATGACCTTGGCACCGGAGCTCTCGGCAGCCTCTTTCTCGCGATAGCTAGTAGCCAGGACCCCTGTCAGAGGATCGTGGGTTGCCCGGGCGCCACTCTCCGCGATAACACCACTAATCAATCCGTTGGCCAGTGGGCTATACATCATGTTCAAAGCACATGCTGAACCCGATGACTGTCCTCCAACGGTGATATGGTTCGGATCGCCGCCAAAAGCAGAGATTTCATCTTTGACCCATTGGACCATGTGTATCAAATCCATCACACCATAATTCCCCGAACTGCTGAATGGCGACTCGGCAGACAGTTCTGGATGAGCCAAAAATCCAAATGGCCCAAGTCGAAAGTTGAATGTTACAACAATAATGTCTTGTTCGGCAAGGCCTGAACCATCGTAGGTCACAACATCACCGGAGCCATCCACGTAGCGGCCTCCGTACATCCAAACATACACGGGTAGTGCTGAAGAGCTTGTTGCATTGGCAGGTGCCCAGATGTTGGCATACAAGCAGTCCTCGCTCATCGAAGTCGTTCCCGTGGTCCACAGGCTACTGCCCATCTCCAGTGATTGGGCACATTTGGGCTTGAAATCACTGGCATTATAAACACCAGACCAAGGCTCTGGCTTTTGAGGCGGAGTCCATCGGAGTGAGTCAACCGGCGGCTTTGCATAGGGGATGCCTTTGAAAACATTGATTCCCGGGCGGTAAGTCGATTTTGTACCGACGAGATCGCCGTAGCTGGTTTGAACAGTAGGTGAAAAGGGCACGGTAAGTGCCTGGGAAGCACCAATGCTCAACAGGATCAGAGGTAGCTTCATTTTACCGGTGCAATTAGGGCAAAAGTGTTTTGGAGAAGAAGTGATGGGTTCTTCTTCATCGCTTTATAGCTAATCTCCAAGAGTCTTCCCTGTTCATCTGACGACGACCCCCCCTAAAACAGTAGTGATCCTCTGTCCGACCAGTTTCCATTCTCCAAGTTCTGTGATAGTCACAATGTTTGACTGCATGAGATGTGTCGGAAATCAGGATGTACATGATCCACTTACCCCTCCCAGAGAGGTGTAATTTCGGAAAGATTCTAACAACTGCCTGCCACAGGTCGGAGGAAATTTCCCGAATAAGCAAGCACTCCATTTCTTCGGATATCCCTTGAACACGCTGCTTCATTTATAATTATTTTCCAGTATGCCCGATATTTGACCGAGAAGAGCGGGGTTTGCGGGGTCTGTGGATTGATAGAAGGAACAAACTGTTTACGTCCGTTGAGTTTGTGGGGTAGAATCCGAGGACTTTGTGAACGAGACAGGCGAAAGAGCCACATCCTAAAAGTCGGACTCATCTATAAAAGCCGTGGTACTGCTGTTCTCTCCACATTCCCCTATGTTCTGATACAATACTTGTCACCAATCTCCCCAGTCTGCTTCTGTCTCTTTCGTCCCCAGGTTATAGAGATGAGGTGTCTTTTCTCGCTCGGATGTATCGTATTGACAATCAACCTTCTTTATGACCAAGCCATTGGTCTACCAGTGAGTTTCTTGCACAAGTGGGTGGCAGGGGCATTTGTGAGGAAGAATGCTGACCGCACTTAGACGACAGTAAGCTTAGCAAGCACGTCGACATCCTACCGCTCGCAAAGTACGCTCACCGCGGAGGCAGCGCCCTCTGTTTTGCCTAATATTGATGACCCAAGTGCGGTTAACGCGCAGTCAATTTGCCCGGGCTACAAGGCCATCAGTATTAAGACCTCCGAGACAGGGTTAACAGCGGATTTACGCCTCGCTGGGACGGCGTGTAACGTCTATGGTATAGATATTGAGGCACTCAATCTCACCGTCGAATATCAGACAGAAAGCCGACTCCATCTATTGATTACGCCTAGAGACCTATCTGCAGCCAATGCCAGCCAGTATCTGCTATCGCCCGATTTGGTGTCGGAAGGCTTCATCGAGGAGTCCGCGGGCTCTCACACACTCAATGAGCTACAATTTACCTGGAGCAATGAGCCGTCTTTCCAATTCAACATTTCTCGCCTCAGTACTAGAGATGTTCTGTTTTCGTCCAGTGGTATGCAGCTTGTCTTTGAGAATCAGTTCCTTGAGTTCGGCACCGCCATGCCGGACAACTATCACTTATATGGCCTTGGAGAAGTGATACACAGTCTACACCTTGGTAATAACTTGACACGCACGTTGTACGCTGCAAATGCCGGGAATAACTTGGATGTCAATGTATATGGAAGTCATCCGTTTTATTTGGAGACTCGCTACTTCCAGTTGGATGGCGAAGGCAACGAGCATATAGTCACCAACGTCTCAGACGCACCCTCTTCCAGCGAATACCGCTCTTACTCTCATGGTGTATTCTTCCGCAACGCCCATGGTCAGGACATCTTATTACGTCCTTCGAACCTTACCTGGCGCGCTATCGGGGGCAGCATTGACCTTTACTTCTTCTCTGGGCCTTCGGCCAAAGCCGTCACTGAACAGTATTTGGACGTCATCGGCTTGCCCGCTATGCATCGCTATCACACGCTTGGATTACATCAATGTCGCTGGGGCTATGCTAATTGGTCTGAGGTAGAGGAGGTGGTCACGAACTTCGCCAACTTCAAGATTCCACTTGAGAATGTATGGAACGATATCGATTACATGAGCTTTTACCGCGATTTTGAAAACGATCCTATCCGCTATGGTTATGCCGAGGGTAGTCGACTCATTGACAAGCTTCATGCTCAAGGGCAGTTTTACATCCCCATCGTCGATGCAGGCATCTATGTGCCGAATCCCCACAACGCTAGTGATAGCTACAGCCCCTTCACTCGCGGCAATGATAGCGACGTCTTTATCAGTAATCCTGATGGCAGCATGTTCATCGGTGCAGTTTGGCCTGGTTATACCGCCTTTCCGGACTGGCTTGATCCTGAAACCCAGGACTGGTGGACGGAAGAAATGCGGGCTTGGCATGAAAAGATTTCTTGGGACGGTATCTGGCTGGACATGTCAGAAGGTTTTGCTGTCTAACTGTCTTCTGAATTATAATTTTACTGACTTGTTCCAGCATCATCGGATTGTGCTGGTAGCTGTGGTACTGGTAATCTCAATCTGCAACCCATCATTACGCAGAGCAGCCTCCCAGGCGATGGTGAGTGGCAGCCGTTCAATCTGTAGCACTGATATATGACTTACTTTGGCAGCCGGAAATCTTGTTCTCGATTACCCGGAAGGGTTCAACATCACTAACTCAACCGAGGCTGCTGCCGCTGCCGCTGCATCAAGCAGTGAACTGGTCGCGGCCGCTAGCACCAAGACACAAGCGTCCTCCACCACTGTATCATATGTGCGGTCAACTCCGCAGTCTTCAAGGAATGTCGAATTCCCACCTTATGTGATTAACAATGTTGAGGGAGCTCTGTCCGCGGGCGCTATCTCTTCTAATGCCTCACATTACGACGGAACATTAGAGTATGATATCCACAATTTATTTGGTCACACAGAGATGGAGACGACCTACAAAGCCCAGCTAGCAATTTATCCGAATAAGCGACCTTTTATCATTGCACGAAGCACCTTTGCGGGATCCGGTAAGTATGGAGGCCACTGGGGTGGCGACAATAACAGCAAGTGGGGCTCTATGTGGTTTTCCATTTCCCAAGCCTTATCCTTCCAGCTGTTTGGTATGCCAATGTTTGGCGTGTGCGTAAGCCTACCCTTTATTTACTTGACACAAATTAACTGTTTTTCTTAGGGACACATGTGGTTTTAGTGGCAATACGGATGAGGAGCTCTGCAATCGTTGGATGCAGCTCTCGGCATTTTTCCCGTTTTACCGAAACCACAATGAAATAGGAGCAATTTCACAAGAGCCATATCAATGGGCATCAGTCATTGACGCCACAATCACAGCGCTGCAAGTCCGCTTTGCCTTGCTACCGTATATGTACACCCTCATGTATCAGGCGCATACAAAAGGGTCTACGGTGATGCGCGCTCTGGCATGGAACTTTCCAAACGACCCAAGCCTCGCCTCTGCCGACCAGCAGTTCTTCCTGGGCGATGCTATCCTCATCACACCAGTTTTAGAACAAGGCGCTAGCAGTGTTAGCGGAGTCTTCCCGGGCTTGCTCGAAGGCACTGATTTGTACTATGACTGGTATAATCTGAGCCAAATTGCCAAGCCTTTAGAGAAGAACACAACGATTGCCGCTCCTCTGGGCCATATCCCCGTATACCTTCGTGGCGGCTATGTACTCGGGACACAGGACATGGCTATGACGACCACCGCTGCGCGGCTAACGCCATGGTCTATCATCATTGCACTCGGAGTCTCGCGCGAGGCACAAGGAAGTATATATTTGGATGATGGGGAGTCGCTGGTGCCGGATGCGATCAAGACGGTCAAATTTTCTGCTACAGAAAACTCTCTCGCAGTGAAAGTGCACGGTGATTTCGTCGACAACAATCAGCTAGAGAAAATCACCATTCTTGGACTCTCGAATGTTCCAGCAGGACCTGTCTCAATCCTTGGCAAGACTATCACCGATGCGGAGATCTCTTGGAATGCCACGAATAACGCTACCGTCATCAGGGGTGTGTCTGGCAGTCTCCATGCTGCCTTTGACTCGAGCTGGAAGATAACGTGGTGAAGAGAAGTTATTTTTTATCTCCCTTTCTGGTCAGTGCCATATTTCCCCGTCAATTGGATAATGTACTGGTAGCTTAGGAACGGCGCTTCCCACTTAGTGTACCTAGCTGGGCCTCGAGATTGACTGGAAAAGAACATTCAAAATCATATTCTGATTAGCTACAGTGCGCGGGTGACAAATGCTATGAACTTTACATTTGAGAATCAAATTACGAATCCTACTTCTGCTGGAGGCTTCTAACCCAGCATATGTGCTGCTCATACGTCAATTTATAGACTGCTGTCCCGTACTCAAAGGCTATTTTGCATCGCACATTCTTGAAAACTCATAGTAAGAATTTTCAACACCAACTATGAGGTACATTCAGGTATACATACTAACCCACGTCAAGGCCTATGGGCACTGCTAGGCAGCTTAGATTGTGGCCATGACTTGGGGACTCTCAGTGGGCCTGATTGCCGAGAACTTACACATGCAAACCACCAAAAGCACATTTCCTCCAGGTGTATATGTCTACCTCTAGCAGAAGCAAGCCTTTCCTATTGGAAAATCCGCAGAATTGTCAGGTGCTGCAGAGCGAAGCTATGTAGTGTAAAACAGAGGGATTTCGGAGTCTTTACGTCTACAATTGTCAAGACAGTTGTAGAGTGAACATTAGCAGAGAAGTAAAAACTACGTGTGCATTCAGATTAACAGCGAAAACATAGGTAGTGATACAGGTAATATTTCAAATCAACTTTAGTAAAGTGTAAACAATAGTGAGGAAAAGGTCTACTTGCTGAAAAAAAAAAAAAAAAAAAGAAAGAAAGAAAGAAAGTTCTGATATCCATGGATATATCGACACGCTAGTTCAAATGCTTTTTTCCACCTGAGGTTCGAAAAATGCCACGGCCTGTGGTTCACCCCTATCTTCTGCTCTTGTCGATTAGGTAGTCATATGATATATAATCGTCTTCTTCTCTCCTGACACCACATCTGATATCCTCCACGTCCTAAATTCTTGCTCCGTGCGTACGTTCGTTGAACAAAATCTTTCAAACGTCCTAATTCTGGACGAAGCGCAGCATGTCCTCCAAGTCCATTGTCGGTCTGCCATTGACAACGGTCTCGGCATTCCGCAGTTGAAGCTTTCCTTTGTAGCCGAGCAGCTGTAGTTCCAGCGGAACGTATTTCTTGTAGTCATGGGAAGCATATTTTGAACGTGCCTGATGAAGTTGTTGGCCCAAACCCTCGACAGACCCAACTTGAGTGATATCAACTTTAATGCCTGTGACATTCTCGTACATCCTAGCAATATCAAAGGGGCTACTCTCTCCTGATTTAACAGAGAAGTAACCTCCAGCTCCCTCCTGTATATCCTTCCTGGCCAGGAGGTCGATACTGAATTCCGCCGCATCTCTCATAGATGTCCAAGCCCACTTCACATCTCCCTCACCCCAAACTTGCACGCTGGCTGCCCCAGATACGCCTTTCGAGAACATTCCGGGGCCTGCCGGGCTAAAGAGATATTCTCCAAAAATTCCAGTAAAGACGTAAATTGGCTTTATCGAGGATGTTAACTCGACGTGGCGCTGGAACGCAATGTGCGAGTCATAATGCTCAAACTCTCCCCAGTCGAATAGTCGCCAATCAGCGTTCCACGAAGATGCGTGGAAAATTTTGATCCCAGCCCGCTCGGCAGCGCGCAGTAAGAGCAGATGCCCTTCAAGGTCAAGCACTGGATCCGGTTTGTAAGCGCAAACTACGGCGTCAACAGATGCGACTGCTTTGTCCAAAGCGGCGATGTCGTCGTGAGACCCGCATTTCACGAATGATTCCAGTTGCGACGCAATTGCTGGGTCTAGACTCTCAGGGTGACGTCCAAGTCCTCTCACTCGAAAACCGCCGCGCTGCAAAGCTGCACGAGCCAAGTGGGTCCCCAGCTTTCCCGTAATGCCGGTGATCAAAATCAGCATTTTGCTCCAGTCAATAACAATGCAAGATGAGGAGGATAGAGAGTTAGTAGAAATGATAGGACCTTTTATAGTCTTTGATTTGGGGAACAGTCTGCCCCTTATTTTTTGTGCCTTCTCGGAACACGGTTGGAGGCGTATCCGACCGGCTCAAGCCTGAATCCGGGTTCGAGGCGTATCCGATCGGTTCAAACGTGAACCCGGATGGGGAAACCGAACCCGAACCCGAACCTTCAATAATCAAAACACTAGCCAACATGTTTTCCCAACCTAGTTTGCAGCAATGAACTATGATGAGATAATAGTGCCTTCTGCAGCTTAAGCCATATCAAACAGACTAAATTGAAGTTTTCTGTACATGAAAGGGTTGGATTCGCATGTCGGTGCTTCTTCGGTTCCTACAGTGAGCGCTACACTACTTAAGAAGGTTCGCAGCTTCCAGATATCTACTAACTTCATAGGCTCCGGCGCTCTTTTTCCAGTGGCTCTTCTTAAACCTTTGATCAAAAAGTAAGGCTATGATTCTTTGCGTAATTCAATATTGGTGGAGCCCTCAGATTCATTGGCCCTTAGTAGCCCATCAGTAAGTTGCAACCTCTGAGATATTTAGTGGATAGAGGGGTCATAGAGTAACAATAACCACATATGCTGGCATCTAATAATGTGTGTACTCACTATGTTCGTCTGTTTCTCTTTGTTCTGCCTTGTACGTGTAGTCTTCAAATTCGCAGAAACGCCCGAGGCGACCCTTGTTTAAAGTTTAAAATGATTTATAAGATCATCCTGGAACCTTACACCTAGCTGCCCAATTAGCACAGAAGCCGATAACCAGGTAAATGCAGTAATGTCTCCTCATCGAATTAAGCAATAACCTGCTTTGGCTCGGAAACTTTAGACCTTTCGTCACTCGTGTGGAGAGAGGAAATAAGCATAGCCTGTATTATCAACGTCGATTTATTTGGCATCGCACGACTCAGTATTCCCATTATTTGGTGGCTGGGTACTCATTACAACTAAGCAGAAACAGTGTAAGGCATATTTCAGATCAATCCCCGCCTAAGATATTCCAGTCTAAGTTATTTGAGTCTAAGAGGTTCTACAGCAAAGGTGATGATATAATACAGTTACATCGTGGTTGACCAAAATCACCACTCCTTCAAGGTAGTATACCAGTCCTCGATGAAAGAGATGCGCTCTTTGCTTTCCGATACCGGGCCGACACCCCACGAATTTCCTAGCCACATAGTTGAAAGAGAGGCATTGGTAGAGGGAGGGAAGTGCACCAAGCCGTCGCCGTTAGGGTTACCAGTGCGAATAAAGTTAGCCCAATATTGAGTCATCGTTCTCTCAATGGCCAGATCAGTCGCTGTCCAGTTGGCCGATGCATACTCAGCGCTGTAAGGAATGTTATTGAACACATACCAGAGCTCCGAACCGTGATAAGCACCCTGGTCACCGTTCACAGGGGGCACATGCATCCAGTAATAAGTATAAACATTACTCTGGGCGCCTCCTGCAGCCCACGCATTTGCCCACTGCCAGGTGCCCACACGGCTCATATCACGGAAAAGCTCGTTGGCGCTATCATCAGCCTGACTAGCGTTGGCAGCGGGGTAGGCTTGAAGGAATGTCTTGTAGAACTTGGAGCCAAACACCTCACGCCAGCCACTTTTGTAAGTAGCTACAGTGAAGCCCTCATCCATGCTTGCGCCGGATTCTTCAGCATTGTTTCCAGTGAGAATGGGAACGTCTGCATGTGCTCCCAAGCGTAGTGCTTCCCCGTAAGTGTAGGGAAGAACATATCCATCAATCACAGGTCGCCACTCTGGAGGCTCCATGAAGAAAGTGGTCATATTGGCAAATTGAGTGCCTGCGAAGACAGAACCGGATGCCATAGCGTAATTGACGAGTGTATCCATAGACACATTGCGTAGCTCGTCGATTGAGGAAACATTCAAAGTCTTTAAGAATGAGACACCGTATGCTTCCGCTGCTCCCTTTTGGCGATGGCTAGTAGCTGCAGCTCCGGTATAAGGATCATGAGGACCTAGCGCACCGCTCTCAGCGATCACACCATGGGCCAATCCTTTAGACAGTGGGCTCCACATCACGTCCAGGGCGCTAGCTGAACCGGCGGACTGACCACCGACTGTCACGCGATCAGGGTTTCCACCGAAATGGGCAATGTTGTCCTGAACCCACTGGAGAGCGAATTGCTGATCCAGAAGACCGTAGTTACCGGAGCTGTTGTGGCCTGACTCGGCTGACAGTTCTGGGTGGGCAAGGAAGCCGAAAGCACTCATACGGTAGTTCAAAGTGACGACGATGATGTCTTGAGTAGCAAACCCAGAGCCGTCGTAGGTTGGTACGTTGGCTGAGCCCATCTCAAATCGGCCACCGAAGATCCAGACATAGACTGGGAGGTTTTTGGCGGCGATTTTCTTCGGATCTGTTGTATTGTAGCTTGGCGTCCAGACGTTCAGGTACAGGCAGTCCTCACTGATGTTACCTTTGGTCGTCTGAAAGATGCCGTCCATAGAGACAGCCGCCTGTGCGCATTGATTTGGCCATTCTGTGGCTTGCAGAACACTCGACCAGGAATCCGGCGCTACTGGTGCCTTCCAACGCAGTGGTCCGGTGGGCGGCGCGGCAAAGGGAATGCCTTTGTAGACGGTTACGTCATCACGGTATTCAGAAGCAGTTCCTTGAACCGCTCCATAGGTGGTCTTAACCACAGGGTAGCGGTGCGAGCTTGCACCACGGCCATTAAGAACGGCAGAGGCCACTGTAGGGATGGCCAAGGCCAGGCCTGTGAGAGCAGCCAAATGCATGAGAGATGAGATTATAGAAAAACCTGTCGAAAGATACAAGAGAAGCGCAGTGAATTATTGAATGAGCAACTTCGATGTTTTCCTACAGGCTTAGGTATCTGCCCGCTTTTATATTCGGCATTTTTGTATCTGGCTTTGAAAAGTGGGACTTGGAGACCACCCCCTGAAGGACATCGGCGTGATTGAATGACGACGATCCGAAACGTAGGGGACCAACTGTGGAAAAACTCGCCCAGCTTCTTCAGCAATGCGTGACGCGTTGATACACGCAATCACGGAACTCCGTGATGGCTCCGGATTCTATTTCCATATTAGGCATGTCGGGCCGAATTTTGAGGGGAAATATTTCATCTGTAGTGAGCGCATTGATTGGAGTCGAATACTCAATTTTCCAAAAGGAAATCCGAATTTTGGCATGTAGATACATCAATCATATGTCGTCAGCTATTTTCAAGGCATGGAGTCAAACCTGAGTCCGCGCACGGCTAAAGTTCCCACTCCTGAAAGTTGATCAAGTGTACGCATTATCGGTGTAACGCGCTGTGGCTCAGTGTAAACGACCCGTGGTGAAGAGTCTTGGCTCATTAATCTACACCCTCCATCCACCACTTTAGCTGCCGACTTGACGGAGATACGTTTGCAAGGGACACGTATAGGTATCGACTTAGCTCAGCCCAGAGTTTGTCGAAACATTGAGGCAGTATATTAGGGTTTACGCGAAAACAGCACTGTCGATCATATCCGTTAGCTAAAAGCGGGAATCATTTTGCTAACTAACGTCCCCACATATTCAACCGAGCGCTCGCCCTCGGTTTCCCGAAATGGAAATGGCCAAGGATAATTCATTCATGGCCTAGCCGGATTAGGCATAGGCAATTTCACCATTGTCTTGGTGGTGGGGCGTGAGTTAGTCTCTATGTAAAGCATGAAAGCCGATTTCGAATATTGCTGTATTGGTAGGAACAACCCAGGCCAAAACTCGACCATTGACCTAACAGTGACAGACAAACCGGAACTGCTTGTCAAATGCCATCTGTATCATGACAATTATGGATCCGATCATCGCGCCACCTACTCGGAATGGAACGTTCAACCTTAGAGCACGCCAAAAGCAAAGACGAGGAAGGCGTACGAGCGGGCGGACTGGACCAGGATCGGCGAGGAAGTCGCCCGGCAGATGAGCCGGTGGAGGGAGATTCAAGTGGTGGAGAAGCTCACATCCGCAACAGCGCAGGCAGTGGACCGGTTGACGCCTGACACGCGGCCAACACCATACTCCAAACGGTGGTTTACACCAGATCACAAAGTCCAATAAGTGGAAGTCAATCAACTGTGCAGAAGAGGGTAGGCAAGCTGTGCGGAGCTTGGACGAGACCATGCTAGCAACACTGCTGTCTTTCAGGCCATGCAAACTAAGCGCCGAGCATGGACTCGAACTATCGAAAAGGCCAAAGCGTCACATTGGAAACGGTTTCTAGATGAGGCGGGCGAAGGAAAGCTCTGTGAAGCTGCGACTTACATAAAGCCTCGAGAAGTATGGGGGTGCACCCCGGCCATTTGTGAGTTGGGTTGGGTTGGGCTTTGGGCTTTGTGGGTTTTGGCGATGTCTACTAGGGCGTGAAAAATCGATCTGGATAACGAATCATCCACGCGATCCTCTAGATAGCGACCGAGGTTTAAGTAGAGAATATCAGGCTCCACCTCTAATAAATGCTAGGACATTATGAAAATGATAGGAACGACGCTGCGGATCGACTGGCCGAGGAAGCCGCGTAGCTGGGCAAAGCCCATCCCTTCTAGCCGCTGCTAACGAGGGAGAATGCATTTATTCGCGATAAGATTTATGCTTAGTGGGAGTAAGAGTGGGAATTAAGCACTAAAGGCGCTCACCTACGGAAAATTGACAACACGCTACCGGCGAGACACACTAGCAAGCCATACGGGAACCTGCCTAGGAATCGAGCGTATTTACTCACTTAGCTACGCACGAGCCATCACTGGTTATCCACCTAAGCCAAGAAATTCGGCTTCCGCGACGATGATCAATGCGAGTGCGGGACGCGAGAGACCGTCGGCCACGTGTTATTAGAGTGCCCGAGGCTACGGGAGCTGCGGGTGGAATTAACAAGACAAGTTAGAGACGCTTTCACAGCGTATCGAGTCTGCTGGGAGGCTCTAACGAAGGTGAGAAAGGTGAACCAGACATCGTCTCGCGAGCCAAAACAGTTCAAGCTATGCTGGACTTCGCCAAGGCGTCACAGCGATTTCGCAGTCGTGCGCCAAAGGGCAGCCTAACGATGGGAGCGGCATGGGCCACGATAGACCGTGACGAGGCTCTAAGTTCATGTCAGGAAGTGGGTCGATCTATCTATACATACTTGGATATACAGTCGTCGTATACTGCATATCGCTTCGGCGAGAGGTCGGTGTAAATGAAATCTACTACTACTACCGCTGCTGCTGCTGCTGCTGTATTGGTAGATCCTGTAAGCCCTCGACTGTCTTGGACCGGACCATGGGAATAACCACGAGAAGCCAGCGGGTGGGGCTGAACACTCGGCTTCCAGGTCCATCGCCCATCTCCCATCCCCGAAGCCGCAAACTCCGCAATCTCACCCGAATACCCCAACGTCGAGGACTTTTATTTTGCCGAGGATGATTTTCACGATGAGGATTACTTTCTCGTCTCAATCACCTACGACTACTCCACCATCACAGCCCGAGCTCGTTCGTTCCAAGGGATAGTGCTTACTAGGGCCACTCCGCTCCAACTGGCCCAGAATGGCTCCCATTACCGACCTTCAGGAGTCAGCAATATGGCATGCTGTTTTACCTACCAATCGACCAAGCACTTATCCACCTTTCAATGCACCCCGTTCAAGGAAGTGCAACAACTACACGAGGAAGACTGCATATGGCAGATAATCTCGTGCGATTTAAAACATCACCTTAGAACTCCCCACAAAATCCCCTCCTCAACCACCGCATTCTCCTCCCCTAAACGGTCAACTCCTACCGCCGATTCTAGTACATAGGCTATAGACGACTCCAGTACAAAGTCTCGAACTCAATCCACGCCGATTACATTTACTATAGCGAAGGAACGGTTGAACACTAACCTAGACTGCCGTTTTAATCCGCTACCCGCCATAATAGACCCAGAGCCTTAACAACCTCCAACAGCCCACCCTCCTTAGCCTCATCAAACGATACTGTCCACCACTTCCTCGCCCCAAAACCAACAAACAACCCATGCTTCCGTCCTCCAGCGACCTATCACATCCATACCGCAACCGACTCCTCTAGTGCAAGAACCTTTTTTTCCCGCTAACCCCATACTCACAATTGAAGATCTTCATCTCCGTTTTCACAATAAACCGTCACCGTTCCAGCTTGAGAATAAGACAAGCCAACACCCAATCAAACGAACTCGGAACAAAACCGCATCTGTCACACAGTCACTGTCCAGATTCTTAGCCTCTGCTTTGCCCGCGTTCTTGCGGTTCCTAGCAGAGATGCAGCCAGAACCGGATAATTCGTATCCGTCTCATCCGCAATTCCACTACAGCCGCGCCATGAGGGCAGCCTGGCAATGGAAACGGCAATTGGCCACAATAGGCCGTGACGAGGCTCTAAGTTCATGTCAGAAAGTGGATCAATCTATATGTACATATGAAATTGCTAAATGTTCTTATTGCACAAAGTGATTGTTTTTTTCAATTCTGGTGCACATATGTTTTGCCACTTTATTTGCACCTATATCCAGTATCAGAAGCTTAACATTTCTAGCGAGAATCATTGTCTCTAGTACCAAATCATTTACGAGAGATTTTTCGAGATTGCAAAAATTGAAATTTTAGAGAGAAGCGAGATATGGCAGTCTTGTAACGCATTGAAAGGTCCGCAGAAATCGTATATCAGAAAATGAATGAACGCCAACCTATCTCATAGGCCTTCTCCTCGATTTGAAAATTTCAAAACATATTCAATCGAAGGTAAGGTATAAGACAATTGGTTGAAAATGATTGATGTTAACCACGTATAAAGAAGCGGCCTTGTGAAATCATCAAACCCTAAATCTGAACCTTGGCGAACCGGAATAGCTCTATAATTTCTTTTTTCTGTCTTTGATTCATTATTGTCTCCGAGAGAACATGAATTAGCTTTGTGAAACTAATGAGGCTAAGCAAAAATAGTCGATGCTTCTCTGCGAAGATGTATATCCGCAAATTGAAAGACAAGCTAGTTTTTGGTTGGATATGTAGTTGCCCTTTAATGGGATTTACCTCCGCTCCGGAGGATCGAACTTGATGATTGTTGGGTTCTCTATCTTTGTCAGTTTTATTTGGTAAGCTGCCGCTCCTTAACTGAGCATAGAATTGGTTGCTAGATCCAGGACCGCTAAGGACCTAATCATGAACAGGATCATCCTCTTCTGGTTTATCGATAGCATAAGAAATGCAGTAATTCCTAGTGTATAAGTATTCCAATACTGGACTAAGGATATCTCCGATATCCTCTTATATCTCAATATGGCCCGATATATATCTTGGATTTAGAATAAGATGTTGGAGTCCTTACTCCAATAATTTCGCATGTACGTAGAATTTTTTTTTAGAAGGCCCGACCAAGAAAGTGATTACTAGAGACCTGAAAATGCTTTTTATAGATTAGCATTGGCTTGAGAAGTAGCATGAGCACTTACTCTAGGTTCAGCTTTAGCATCTTGATAATGATAGTATAGATCTATTCTTCTGGGGAGATACTATAGATTAGACTAGTATTACGAAGTTTTTCTTCTAAAATTATATAGCTATTTTTTCTTTATTCATACAAAATAAGACATCATTTAAGAACTTACTTAGGAGTAATAAATTTTCACTGCGATGAAACGTGAGCGCTCGGAGAGCCAATAATTCCAGGTCTCCCATATGAATTGATCATTTCTCTCAGTAAGAAAATAGCCATAGATAAATGGACACATTCCCACACTAGCAATTATTTATCGACTCCTTAATTAAGTGATCAAAGCATGGTAGGTAATGAGACTAGCCAGCAGATATCCCATATTATACACAGTCATAGTCCTATTTAATGCGAATGAATATTCTGGTTCTTGGTAAGCCCCAAATCATAGAGAATATTCCACTAACTCAATTAAATTGAAAAATAGAGTGATCAAACTCAATGATATGGTGATAAGATCTAATCGCCAAAATATTTCATTCGAGTTCTAAGTAAATTACCATGAAAGTATGGGGAACTATTTTTAAAATTATTCAATAGCCCAAGAAAAGAAATCATTAGGCTTACTCTCTGCTTTTTACATTAGGTTTAGTCCGAAAAGGAACGCTTTTAGAAACGATCATAGTCGGCATTCAATGCCATATTTTGCTTAAACCTTTAAGACTCCTAAGCAAGGAAGTCTTTCCTCAGAATTAAGTGGAAAATGAGCTCAATGACAAGGAATTCATCGGCAAATTAAACAGTTTGAAGTATTAATTTGGCCAGAACTGGCTAACTAAAGTTGATAGAAAGGATGCTTAAATACGGGTTCCTGAGAAGCCACAGAAATTTTCATGCTCATTTCATAAAATCTTGGCCAAATTCTGAATTACGAACACGAGGAGTAAATTATTTTGACAAGCACCAGATACGTGGAAATTTATATAACAATACCATATGTGTGTACTTGATTCATGGGGAGAATATAAAAAGGGTAAATATGTGGCTTATTGTGATATATTATGGCTGTGTGTAAATTACATTACGTACCTTTCGGTATAATGCCAAGAGACCCATCATAGACACGCGCCTTAAACTGTTATTTCATGGGAGATATAGGGAAAACATAATGTAAAGACTGAGGTTCCAACGATATTCCACGAACAATAACTTCGTTATATATAGGAGAAAGAGTTACGATTTAAAATACCTCATTTCTGGCACAAGCTCCGCCTTTATCTAACGAACTACCCAGGTTTTCGTAGTAGATGAGAATAGAGGCACGTCAAGATATATGTACTAACTTGGAGGAGTCAGTTCATCGTATACAAAAAGAGCATGAAAGAAATCCTTACAGTCAAAATTAAAGACCCAGTCATTTAAGATCAGTATCTTAAAGCTCCTCTAATGAATAGATAATAGCGCTAATATGAAATGTCATTCCCATAAAATTATAGGCCTTAGTCGTAAAAATGTTCTTCCTCTACTATGCATCTTTCTTTCCGTTGAGTAGAAGCTAGCGTGCCGCATTAAGCTAGATCGCTATTTACGGGGACCTCTAGGATAATATCCTCACATCTGCGTTGCATAAGTTTAGCTTCGAATCGTAGTGCGAGTCGTAAATTCTCAGATTCATTATGAGATGCATCGAAATAATCGGAAAGTTGCTTCAAAAAAACTACCATGTCGTTGATAACCTCCACGTTAATCATAACTTAGTCCTTTCGATTTCTCTTTCGCCCCGCGTGAGTCTAGGTTTAGGGCATCTTTAATGCTGATATTAAGAAGACTTTGTTTCTCGTAATGGTCATTTAGCGACGTTGACTCCTAAGAAGTCGCCACTTCCGTGGCTATAGGCGAAGTGGCTATAGCACGCCTAGGAGCGGATAGATTGTATGATAATTAGTCGATCTTATGTTGGCGGTAATCTTAGAGAGCCACGGAATCGGGCCCGTTAAGCCGTAAACGCCCACGTCGGGAAAGTTTAAGATCTTCTAATGAATAATAAACCAAAGTAATAAAAGTCGGTTCGCATGATAAAAAAAGTGACTAGCCTACCTCTGTTACTCAACGGAGGGGCGGTCTCCTTAGAGGAGTCGGCTGGGTACATCTTTCTGAATCCATAGTGCTTTAAAATCTAAATAATATCAAAATACAAGATTTTTTGGGGTTTTAATATCGAGAAGTGCGGTCCTTCTTATCCTGACACTAGATGCATTTTGATCTTTTGATCTCCTATTCAAGAGTAGCGATCTCCCTGCTCTTCCTTTTGCTTTTACCGACTTATGGGAGCGTGCGCTTGATGAAAATGATTTCAGATTCGATATATAATATAAGTCGAAATTTATTGTCTTAAGAGTTTAATATTCTCCACGTCACATATACTATGCGTGATATACTCTTAACCCTTATCTATTTTGAGTCTCGCGTATAGGAGGGTCTATAATTAATGGTCAGGAGGTAAGAAATAGTCAAAGCGCGCCAAAGCATAATCGTTTAGTGTGGCATATACTAAGCTCCTCGGACTAGTCCGTGGCAAAGCTCAATTATAATTTCAATAACTTTAATTACTGTTGATACTTGGTTCCCAGGAATTGGTTAAAGATGAACACGCTTAAGCGAACTATAGTACTTCCTAGGAGCATTCGTAAAGGTCAGATAGGGGATACTTAAGGGGCAGCTGAGAATAGATGAGCAGTGCGTGTTCTTGGGAGCAAAGTGCTAGGTAGAAGTTGATAGGCCAAAATCTGCTACCCGGCCTATTTAATCACACCTTTTATTGTCAAATGAGGATAGTATGTAATAAGTGGGAATGGCCACTCGCTTCAAGGTGGGAGGATGAAATTATCGTTTTGAGCGAGTGGGGCGCTGAGGCAGCGTAGTGAAACTCGTTTTATTGGGGTAGCTCACGCATGTATATTGGCCTGCTGTGGAGTACGCTCAGCGAGCGAGTCACGTTACTGCGCAAGCTCAGTGAGCCGATCAGTCTGCTCAGGCCCGGCTCACCGAGCATGGGCAAGGCTTACGTAAGACTCACTAATCCGATCACTGAGCCGGAGGCCGTGCTCAGACCTACTCAGTGAGTAAAAGCGGCGAGAGGGTGAGCACTAATCCAGAAATGGAAGCTAAAAAATTGCTGAAGGAAATTCGGTACATAGGTTAGTTCATTGTTAGGACTGCCTTACATAATCACGACTCCACCTTTGGTTTCCGCTGGAAACAACGCAATCTCTTGTCCCCGATTCAATTCCCCGGTTTCTGACATTCCTGAACATATTCACCATGTCAGCTCGCACAGTGATCGGTGGTCGATTGAGCACCTCTGCCCTTAGCTCCCTCGCCACACCCTCCACACGCATCGCATCCCAGCAGCTTCTACGTCTCCACTCGACCGTTGTCCGTCCCTCTCCGAACGTTGCGTCCAAGCTCTCCATCCAACAAAATGTCCGTCCTGCTCCCACAGTGTCGAGCCGCGCGGATCTGCGTATGAACTCCACCTCTTCCGCCGGTAAAGATGATGTGAAGCTCGACTGGAACTCTTTCTTCAAACTTCGCGCTTCCCGCCGCCGATACTCCCTCGCATCCTCCATTGCGACCTCCCTCGTGTCTACTACCGCCGGTGTGCAGATTCTGTCCGCACAGGATCTTGAATCTCTTGGTGCGCAGGTGATGGGTCTGGATCCGTTCGTCGTTTTGGGAATGGCGACAGCTGCCTGCGGTGCCGTCGGATGGCTCCTGGGCCCGATTGTTGGCAACGGACTGTGGGGCCTGGTTTACCGTCGGTTTGCTCCCTCGGTAGCAACAGTTAGTTTCAAACCTTGCCTGCGCGATGACCGCGATGACAAGATAACTTTTGCTAATGAGATAATGTGTTCAACAGAAAGAGAAGGAGTTCTTCGATCGCATTCGACGATTCCGCGTTGATCCCTCGACCAACTCCATCGCTAACCCTGTCCCGGACTACTACGGCGAGAAGATCGGTAGTGTACAGGGATATCGGCAGTGGTTGAAGGACCAGCGGGCGTACAACCGGAAGCGCCGAAACTTCATTGCTTGATCTCTATTTTCGAGACGTTACCACTGCATGTTTGTCTATACGCCTGACCCTGCAACTCGCAGATTTTTGACCAAGGCCGGTCGCTTTCTTTTCTTTTCTTTGGATTTGGATTGGTGTTTTGTGCTTTTTATTCAATCTCATTAGCGGTCTGGGCGACCTGGGGCATCATATTTGTATTTGAAAATGACCTTTGATAGCACCATCACCATCTTCAATTAAGCTTATCTACATAACTGATGATGGTTCTTTTGACCTTGCTTCCGATATAGCGCTCGCTCTATGGACTCGACTGACCATAGGGGTTGCCTACAGCTTCGACGGAGTTTGGGCCTTGGGAATACGGCCAGTGTCAACCTCAGTCCACCAAGGCACGTGTGCAGGCACATCGTCATCCAAGTTGGCTCGGAAGCTAGGTTTCCGCTTCTCGAAGAACGCGGTGACACCTTCCTTCTGGTCGCTATAAAACCGTCAGACGTGGACTTGCAGTCGAAACAGATGGCATATACGTACGCTGATGCGAACATGTGGTAGATCGTCTTTGATTCGACCAAATGCGCCCCCTCCGGAGAGCCCACGTTCCGCCACATCATTGCCCGGTTGAGATACGACGCAGTCGGACTGACATTCTCGGCAATCTCGGTGGCTAGTTCGAGAGCTCGAGGCAGCACCTGGGAAGCCTCCGGCATGATTTCATTAAATAAGCTACCGAAGTGTTTTGCGGTGGGTGGGAATACAGCACCGGTGCTGACGAGGTAGCTAGCGTTTGAGTGACCGACCAGACGAGGCAGGAAGTACGATGAGCATGCTTCCATTGTGATACCGCGGCGGCCGAACACAAACCCGTATTTCCCTTTCTCGTAGGCAATCCTGGGCGTAATTAGTATATATGGCATGGATATCGGTGCGGAAATTACTGGACACTCACCGTATAATGGTGGGCAGAGTCATGGTCATGCCCACTCCCACAGCAGATCCTTGCATAGCTGCGATAGTAGGCTTGCGGCAATGATGAATCGCAAGTGAAACGCGCCCACCACTGGCTATGTCAATGGAGATTTACTTGTATCTCTGGGGCTTCACGTACCCATCCCGGTGATCCGCCGGTCTCTCTTTGCCGACATGTCTCGTAAATCCAATATCCAGATCTGCACCAGCGCAGAAGGTCTTACCAGCGCCAGTTAGCACGATGACCTTGACGCGTTCATCGACGTCAAACAGGGCGAACAGCTTCTCAAAATCGAAGACCATTTGTCCAGTAAATGCATTTTGGTTCTTAGGGCGATTCAGCGTAACCACAACGACGGGAGTCACAGTTGAGGCACCTGGTGGATGGTGCTTGACGATGACATGACCAGACGTAGGGACGGTCTCATAAGAGGCCGGGAGATCTAACGGTTTGGGATCGAAGATCATATTGAAGAAGTATCAGTGGAGAGGAATAAGGGTTGATTCAAGTGGAGTGAACAATTTTTTTTACGTGGAAACTGGACGATTATATCTATTATGATTACTCTCTAGATATTCTCGGCTCTTGAAAAGCCTCGGCCCGTCACTGTGGGGAAGGGGGGTTTATGCGGGGTATTAGTACGTAGCTTTGTTCTGAGAACATAGGGAAATTGGAATGAATACAACACCAAGAAAGATACGGAGACTGGACCTTCAATTGAATTAACAGATTCTATCAACCACTGTATCCGTCGGCGTCAGTGGATGGACCCCGACAATGTTGGTCTCTACATGTATACGGAGTTCCTATTTGGGCATCAGCCTTCTACAGTTGGAGGATTCGAAGACAGAGAGTTCAGCCAGGCTGACTTCCACCAGACTGAGATATTAGGGATGTTCAAATCAATCACTTCGAAACAGTGTCTGGATCCTTTGAGCTGTTGACGCACAAACCCAACGCCGCTCTGGTCCTTTCATTTGAAAACCACCTCACACGAAACAATGGCCACAAATCACTGCTTGGAAGGGAACGATGGTTCCATGTTATTTGAGACCACCATTCCAGGGTTCAACGAAAGCCCCTGCTGTGTTGGAACAGGTCCCTAGTTCTGGACCCGAACATCACAGATATCCACACTCGCCCACATCGATTCAAGTCATTCATTCACTTCGATCAACGATGTTTGTAACTACCTTGCTCTTTGCTCTGTCGGTTGTTACCAGCGCAATTCCCAACCCATCCAGCTACTACCTCGACCTATGTCGCCCGGAGACATTGATATCCAGTATTTCTCACCCCTGACCATAGATTACCAGTCTGAGGAAGCTCCGGACTTCCGCATTGTTAGCATAGTGAGCTGGTGGGCAAACGGCATGGCTCAGGTTGCAAAACCACAATGCCGAGACGGACAAGAGTGAAGGGAAAATTATCTTCGCCCAGTTTCAAGGTCCACTTGACTCTTCTCGCCCAGCCGAGCATGTTGGCCCGGCAAGTAGCAACACGAATGTCAATATTGGACACACGAAGCACTGCACTGCCCTGGTCTATAGCTAACGACTAAGGCTGCGGGTGTCCTGTGTATATCCGACAAAAGCGAGCCGTATAAAATCGATTTCTCGTTCAATCTGGGGTACCAGCCTGGATGTTATGCTGGCAAGAAGAAAGCCCCTGGGAATGGCAGGGCAATGGCTGCAGAAAAACCTCATTTGACAAATACTGTGGATGTCGCTCCTTATCAGTTGTCAGAGATAGACTTTCCTCCAGGAGCTGTAGATAGGCATCTGTAGATAGGCATCTGTAGATAGGCAAATCGATCCCGATCCGTCGTTTGGCTCATGACCTCATCGGGGGGCTCTTGGCGCGGAAAAGATTTCAGTGGACCCAGTGCGCACCATCCGCGGTAGACAACATAGGAAAACCGCCTCTTCCCTTGTCTGGACCGGACCATCTTTCAGCAGATATCAAGATCCTCTCTCTTTTGCATATATCACTGAACGCAGATCCAAGCAACTGGTCACAACGCGGAGCTAGAATCTGTTCTGCCGTCTCCCCCCACTTCCCCTCTAAGCTCGTTCTCGATTGCTATCCCCATATCAGATCGCCATGTCTGGTCGGAATATCTCATACGGTCGCGGCGGAGCCGGTAGGTACTTCCGAGGTCTGGCTTTGATTAGAATGCGCTCTGACCTTACTCTTACTAGGCAACATCTCCCGCCAGCAGTCTGCTACCACGCCGAAGGATCTCGTCACTCCAACCATCAAGCAAGAAGTCTATACCACCGGTCGCGGAGGTTCAGGAAACATGGTTCAGAATGACCCTGAACGACCAGAGATCGCTCGTGAAAGTCAAGACGTGGAATCTCCGCCCTTGCGGGCGCAGCAGATCCCCCACCATACTGGCCGAGGTATGTAAATCCAATATGCAGGATGAAGTTGTGCCTTCGAATACTGATCTCTTTCTTTTTCTGTTCTTCTAGGAGGTGTCGCAAATGCCTATATTCCGACTGCTGAAGAGGAGGAGCGCGCTCGTCTGCAGGAGGCTGAGCTTATGCGTGTGCGTACACAAGACAGGGATCGCATCAAGGATATCGAACACGAGCGACAGGAGTTGCGGAATCAGGAACCCTCGACCTAGTCAGTTCTGCGATGAATGCGACAGAGCCTCTGGGGTGCAGTGTTCTCCCATTCGGTACTCGGGTCATACTGCTCTCAGCACAACCATCACAGACAACAGCCCTGGACGGGAAAAGTGAGGGAAGAAACTGCCAGAAGTGCTGCGGGCAGTACTTAATGCGGGGTTGTGCTAGTCTCTTATCTTTGATATTAATATTTTTGCGTTTTTTTTTTTTTTTCCTTTTTTCCTTTTTTCTTATCTTTCCCAACTCCTATCGGCGGGTACCACTTTGTGCGCTATGGGTTTGGCGCACGGTGTCATCATAGCTTTCGGGTTTGAATGCTTTCACTGATTATCTGGCGGCTTATAGATGCTCTATGGACATTAGGTCTCTATCCTAAATACATCGCTCTCATGATTCGTTATCTAGATATAATTGTCCCGGCCATGCGGTACTTTTGCAAACATGGGACCACCTCCAGTCACCAGTCGGATTGATATGATTATTCTCGTGGAATTGCGATCGTGCAGTCTACCAGCTCTGCGATATGGATCCTGTTAAGCTTTCATTTTCGGCAAAGACCATCCCATAGCATCTGCTGGCCAGCTAAGCAGATCATGCCATTCAGCGTCCAGCTCATTCACGACCTCTTTCAGTATGCGGGTGGCCCAGTCTCCCATCCACCATGTCTCTCGCAGATGGTGCAGTATAACGGCAAAGTGGGCAAGAATAACGAGAGCAAACGGCTTCCGCTCGCGAACCAGTTCTGGAAAGCGAACGGGGATGTAAAAGGTCCAGCAAAAGGCAAAATCCTTGGGCTCGCTCCCACTCATCAATTGCTCGAGGAAGGTGTCCAGGTGGTTAATCGTCTCGGCATATGTCTCTTTCTCCTGAGTGAAGTCCTGCAAGGCTTCACTTTCATTATACCGTCGCAGGGCTAGAATAACCAATTGAGACATATTCGGCAACCTAGGCCGTCTTTGTTGAGGGTGAGCCAACGAATGAAGCTCGCCAGTGCCCACACGGTCCAAGGATAACACCATGGCACTTATGAGCCACCGAGTGAGCTGGAATACCTCCAGAAATTCATCGAGGATCTCAGGCGGTTCGTCATCTTCTTCCAGTCCATCGTCTATCAGACAATACGCAAAAGAGAACACGGTCATGACACTGCACAGAGCAAAATGGGCATCACACTGGGCGTCTGTAAGCTCTTGTGTTGTGTCGAGATGGATGTCTACTAAAGCTTGGCTTTGATGTTCGCGCGCCGCAAGTAAATATTGCCATTTGCGTTCCGGGCTTGCGGATGCCCCGGATAACTGCAATGCTGATAAGGCCAGTAGTCCATGTCGAAGAGAGGGAAATTCTAGCGACAATCGAGGGATGACTGTTTGCCACAGAGTCTCGGTGGCGCGATCCTTGGCCATGGAGCGATATGTCGTTGTACACCAGTGCATCATCAATTCGAGGTCCTGTAGGCCCAGGGTTTCCTCCATATTCGCCGGCAAAATTTTGGGAGACCCCTTCGTTGATGTAGTATGAGCTGGATGAAACCTGAAAATGGTCCTAGCCGGCGATGAGTCGGGGCAGACCGAAGTAGGCGTTGACGAGCCTCTTGAGGCTGCCAAGGCCCGAGTTTTTGCGTCTAATCGAGTCATGCGAGGTCGACAGGTCTGGCCGACCATCTTTCGATCTACATAGTGGGAGCAGGTCGGTTCAGAGAACTATATACGGTAATTGTCAGATTAAAGCCCTTTTCTTTTGGCGAGGGGTCACGATGCAGGAGCTATGGGCACGGATCACACGGATCACCCATTGGGAAGGGCATTAGACCTACCTGGTTTTCGCTTCTCAACGTTCCCTGACGAAGTCTTTTACTCGACGGCATGATTCGGATCGTGACTAGATTTCGATCGTTTTGTTTTCTGGTCTCGTTTGTCTCGGGCTGCATCGACATCTATATAAGCGATAGGCAAACAAAGATAAGAAGAAGAGTCAACTCAAGGCAGTGGGGCCATAGCTCATCAGGTCAATCTATTCTGTGAGAAGGGGACCGTCCACCATGCAGTGAAAAAAAAAAAAAAAAAAAAAAAAACAAAAAAAAAAAAAAAGTAAATCGACACAGAATATCCTAATTTGGCAAATGCAGCTTCACTCGGATGACATAACTGGGCCGAACTCCCCTTGCCATTGTTAGCTTTGTTTTCTAACCTGCAGGTTGGGTCCGATGTAAAGGTCCCGAATCAAAGGGACCAATGAGAAGGCGACCAACATGAGCCTATTTAGTCAAGAGTCCAGCACGTAAGGCGCATTCCAAGGGGTCTCCGGCGAGTCCATGGATTTGATAGGCCGAGGCTATCCACATGTGTTAGTCAGCGGGCCATGCGTTTTCCACATCGAGGCAAACGCAAGATGGTCCGTGCAGAATGAGTGCTCAATCCTGCCGTTGATCTACGCCTTCCTTCTACATGGCACGATGTATCTTGGTTATTGTCTTGGCCATGAAATCGCCTGAGTCGCAGTCCCCTGAGTCGCTGACTCGTGTAATCTTGTTCCTGAATCACCGTCATGGCTACTAATTTCCCCCCACTTTGGCGGGTTCAGCCTTCCAGCCAGAAAGGGGTTCATGACCTTTCATGTTCTATCTTTGTTCTCGAATGCCACTAGGATTTGCCACCGGTCGCAAGGTCCCGACTTGGCTATCATTCAGCTTGCATCCTTGACGTCCGCCACGCCTCGGTCTCCAACCGATGCCCTTGCTCTTACCCGATAGAGCCACTCGCTACAACTTTTTTAGTCCAGGGCTACGGCTCCGTTAAGAGTCAGCAAGGGGATAAAACCTTTTCCCTCGCTTGTTATTCTCACGGCGAGGTCAGCTTGATTGGCACTGGCTAGAGGTCCCTAAATACCCTAACTGAATACGGTATATGCGTCGTCTCTTCGAATGATCCTACTGTACGCTACCCAAGTCAAAATGCATGGTCCCCAAACAATTTTCCAATGTGAATTCAGGGTTCAGCGAGATGATTGTTTGGTTGCTTATTTGCGAATATGCATGTCATCTCGACAACTCAACACCTTTGTACTCCGTACGGGTCAATGCTTCAAATCGGCATCTAGAATCCTGGATCGTTATGTGGCCTGTGCGTCACGCGTGCTTTTCCCGTACTGTAGGTTTCGGATATGTGGGAAACTGTTGGCTGCTGAGTGGAGATCGCGATAAAGCTGAATTTCTCCCGAGGTGAGGAAAATTGCAGTCTAGGTGCAGCTCAACGTAAATGACCGTTTTTCATGCAAGAGAGGGACTGATTGCTGTTGACCCGCATAGTCGGCCTTGTCAATTGCTCAGACTAGCTGCGGGGAGGACCTGATCGGTGCCCCACGAGCTACCAAATCGAGAAAAAGCGACTCTGTATCTTGTGGGCCCACTCGCCCCTCCCGGATCATGGAGTCACCCCAGTGAGCAGAGCCAGTCATGTTCATCCACGCAATAAACGTGACATGACCAAGTGGCGGCGATGATAATCAGAAAGTGCTTCAACTGCATGCTCGGTTCGAACACCTACCAAAGAGCGGTATGACAAATGAGACGCATGGACCGGGGACCACAAGATTGATACGGATATTCTGTGATAAGTCGAAAGCGTATGTCGCGTGCGTATCTGTTGTGACCTCGGGGGGGGGGGGGGGGGTGGGGGCTTAGGATGGTCTCCAAAAGGCTGTTATCTACTGGGTTAAAATTTGTAGGAGTCACCCGCTGGCGCCATTCATTTCCCATCCGAGGTAAGCATTGGAGAGATGATTTTCTGTGATCAATTTTCCATCTAGGAAGGAATCTTTTAAGAATTCGCAGATATTCACTGCATGGGGCCTGATGTATCGGGCACCCCTAGTAACAAGATCCGGCCTGCTTTTCCTGGTCGCGCCGACGTATTGAACTGCCTAAGGCTTTCAACTCCATACTTTAACCGAGTGAGTGGTTACCTTTTTGGTGCGTTGGCGATACCTCAGACCTCTCATGGTCGTGCATCTTTCGCATGGGATCTGTATGATTTGAACTTTTTTTTCCTTTCGTGGTTTGCGTGCAGCCGTATGCTGGCACATTCACAAACTCAATACCAGCAATGTGAATTAGCGAAGCCGATAATAAGCGGTCCGTTGGTGAATTCAAGCGGATCTGTTCGCTCTAGCCTGGGTCCTCCGACCGTTGAATTTTGTAGTATATTGGTTTTGGAGTTGAGAAAAGACTTATCGGTCGCGTTTCTTTCCACTGCAACCGCAATGCTCTTCACCTCGATAGATTCGGCGATACCTATGATGCAATTGCCAGAGATCGAAGTAACAATACGATTTGCGGCTATTCACATCTCGCATGTTTCACTTGTACTACCCCATTTAACGATGATAGTGAGACTTTGTCTTGATTGCGAGAGTCATGCGGTCATGAGCTTCTTCGTAGCTTGGTAGCTTCTCATGGGCTACTTCTGGGCAAGGAGTGGTCGAGGTGGGGGATGTAGCTTGTAGTGCTAAAGAGCCATCAGGAGGAATTTTTTGCAGAGGTTCGGGCGCTGTAGCGTACACTGATGTTGGTTAGAGGTATCGACAAGACATTATTGTACCCAGAAACTTGGCTGGCGCCGTTGACACTAGGGCCAAACTCTGATTCGAGCGGGGATTTACCCAGATCCACTCTCCACGCGTCAAGGGCACGGATCCGCTCGGACTTTTATAAAAGAGGGTCTGCAATGCCCCTTCCCTTTCAAATTCATCGAGTTGATTCTCACGGGGCTTCTCCACAGTCTGGCAGAAGAAGCCCAGCCTGGTCGGATGTCGCATGCCTTGAATCCGGGCCGATGATATCAGTCGTCGTGGGGGATGACTTGTGTGGCTGAAGGGCTCCACTCAAATAGATTAAAAATGATGAAGGGATCGATCATGATCTCATCCGGCCGAGACCCGTGCTCGCCATGTGGCGTTAACATCTTTGCCCGGTTTACAGTACAAGCATCATCCTTGGTCCCTTGCGATCGGAAAATACGGTCGAATCCACGGAGAAATTGTTTCGCTGAATGATTTGTCGCCTCCGTTGCTGAGAATCATGCTCTGGTGTAGAGGGGATGATTGCTGCACAGTTAAGCACAGTTACACTGTACAATGTCGGATCTGGCAAGCGTTTGATGTAATGATGACCACGCTTATCATGGGAGAAAATCATGCTGCACCGTCCTACGTCGAGGCCGACGACGAACCAACCATGGCCCAAGTTGGGGAGCCTTCAGCCACACAGTACAGGCACAGCGCGTAGAGGCAAATTGCACAAATCTATTTCAGTCCCGCTCTGATTCGTCCTGTCATGTTTGATGCCGGGTGGCCAAGTTGGATCCATGGGTTGCGACCTGCCAATAACCGGGTTAAGACTGCTGGGTCTTTCCCCCGTGTACATGCGAGGTACAGGCACTTGAAACGTGGGCGCTGAACTTGTCACGTCATATTGGAAGGGAAATTGGCCAAGTAGGAAGGGTCGAGGAGGATAGCATTAAGATAGATCTGAATTCTCCGGACATGACGAAGCCATCGAAGCCTACTTCCTCGCTAACCCCAGATTGGTGACACGGTGGTCCGCGTCATGTTGGACGGGACTCCACTTGGCTTTCAATGACTTTTTGGACCCACAAGCCTTGATTGGTGACTGGTGTGGCCAGACACAAGGATCGGCCCTCCTCAAGGGCACGTTTCCATCCATTCTAAACCTGCCAGACCCACTATGATGATACAATCAATATCAACGCTCGGTGGCTCCTTGTCCACTACGCACTGTGTACCCTGCAGAAGGTTTGGATCGATCGACTGGGATTGGAGAAGCAACCAGTCTCGCGATGATATCAACGGCCATGACGTAGTAGGCTCTGTCCTGTACCTGGGATGCGATCGCAAGGTATATAGTGTGCCTCTTTCACACGAGTTCCTGGTCTTTGTATATTTCACTCTCAAGTCACTTGAAAAGTTCTTTGTTAATCTCTATATTCTTCTATATTCTGAATTCTACCTCGATCTATCCTGTACATTATATCTACCTTCCTGATACGACTTTCACGACCTCAACTGTGTCAAACAGAGTTTACGCCTTCCCAGTCATTGATTTAAACCGCCCACTCTACTCTCTTATCGATTCTTAAGCTTGGAATTTGTTACATCCACGATCCAAATGTCGTCCCCTGCAGTGAGCAAAGCACCCCCCAAGCTCGGTTCAAAGGCCGGAACCCCCTCCAAACTCCGCAAGGGTTCCGGTTCGAGCGTCGCCTCCAAACCCAGTGTGACTGAATCCCCCAAGCCCGCGAAGAAAACACCCTCCCGCAAGCTCGCTCCCAAATCGCCCAAGCCTATCCCAGACGACGAACAATCGATCCCCGAGACCCCGTCACCCAAATCGAAGAAGAAGGCCCCTTCATCTGAGCAACGTCGCCCTATCTCCCCGCCCGATGATGCTGCGTCCCAGGCTTCTGGTTCTGCAGCCCCTCTTGGTGGAGCCGCATCTGGGTTGACTGGCAAGGCTAAGGGCCTTGCGGGACAGGCAAAGGATACTGTGAATGATGGAGTCAAGACTGCCACCGATGCTGCTCCACTCGACCTCTCTGCATTAAAGGGTCTTTTCGTCTCGGATGGTGGAAAGATTCTGGGTGAGAATGGGAACCCATTGGGGGAAGTGGTGGAAGGTGATCCCGAGGATCTGGTCGGTCAGGCTGTCGGTGATGATGGCGAAATCGTCGATGAAGATGGCGATTTGATTGGTCGCGTGGATGTCCTCCACGATGCTGTTGACCAGGCTCAGGATATTCCCGACGAAGCTCAGTCCAAGCTCGGTGAGGCCCAGGATGTTGTCACTGACCTCGCGGAGCTGGAGGGTCTACCTGTCTCTGATGGCGGGGTGATCAAGAACGCTGCTGGTCAGGTCTTGGGCAAGATTGTTGAGGGCGATCCCGAGGATCTCATTGGATACACTCTCAATGATTCTGGTGAGATCGTCGACGATGATGGTGATGCGATCGGCCGAGTGGAGCTTCTCCCAGTTGAGGAGCAACAGAAGGCCATGGAGGACGTTGTCGGTGACACTACTGAGACTGTCGGTGACGCTGCTAATAACGTCGACGGTGGCAAAGCTGATGTCGATGATGAGTTCGAGGACGCCCAGGACGGCCTCCCTGTCGATGACGAAACAGATGCCGGGGACAACGTCGCCGATAAGACCGAGGGTGCTCTGGATGATGCACCCGACGCTGAAGGTGCGACCAATGATATCGCCGACGACGCTCAAGATGCGGTGCCTGAAGAAGCCGACCAAGCCAAATCCGCCGTTGAAGGAGCTGCTCCTGATGTTGATGATGCCGAGGAAGTTGCTAAGGATGCTGCCGACGATGTCAAGGACACAGCCGACGAAAATGTCGACGGAGTCCCGGACGACGTGGAAGGCATTGCTGAAGACGTTCACGAGGCCGCAGAAGACGCTGTCGACGAAGCTACTCAGCGCATTCCTGGCCTCGATACCCTGGAAGGCTTGAAGTGCAACAAGCGAGGATTCGTCATTGACGAAGAGACTGGAAAGCCGGTCGGTGAAGTCATCGAAGGCGACCCCAAGAAGTTGTCGCGACTCGGCGCTACCCTTGATAAGGAAGGCCAATTCTGGGACAACCGAGGAAATGTCATTGGTAAGGTCAAGGCACTCCCCGTCGAAGACGACAAGGACGAGGAGGGACCATTCGCCGGCCTGGAAGGTCTCGTCGTTGGCCAAGAAGGCTTCGTCGAAGATGAGAACCAGACTCGTGTCGGAAAGCTGGTTGAAGGCGACGCGAAGAAGCTCCTCGGTCGGGGCGTTGACGAAGATGGCGAAATTCTCGATCGTCACGGCTCTGTCATTGGTCGCGCTGAGCGATGGGAGGAGCCCGAGCCTGAGCCTGAAGAGGAGGAGGCCGTACCTGACCTCTCCGCTCTCAATGGATTGAGTTGCAACAAGGCTGGATATGTCATTGGCAGCGAGGGCTTCCCTATTGCCCGAGTTGTGGAGGGTAACCCCAAGGAACTTGCCGGCAAGAAAATTGAGGACGGCGAAATCTACGACGGCAAGAAGGTCGTCGGTCGCGTTGAGCTCATTCCTGAGGAGGAATTGGAGAACAAGCCCGAAGGTCCATTTGCTGGCCTGGAGAGCCTGGTCGTTACGAAGGATGGCTTCGTTGAGGATGAGGAAGGCTCCATTGTCGGAAAGCTCATCGAGGGTGACGCGAAGAAACTTCGCGGTCGCGCTGTTGATGAGGACGGTGAGATCACCGACAAGTATGGCAATGTCAAGGGCCGTGCCGAGCCTTACGAGGTTCCTGAGGAGGAGGAAGAGGTCCCCGAGGAAGAGGATCTGTCGTTGCTCGAAGGCAAGGTTGTCAATAAGATGGGCAATGTCGTGGACCCAGCTACCGGTGCTGTCGTCGGACGCATTGTGGAAGGTGATAAGCGCCTTGCCGGTCGCAAGGTCGACGGCAAGGGCCAGATCTGGGGTGATAACGGCCAGGTCATTGGACGCGCTGAGTTGATCCCTGGTGCTGAGCAGCAGAAGGCTGAGGGTCCATTCTTCGGATTTGACAATGCCGAGGTTGGAAAGGACGGCGTTGTCCTTGATGCCGGCCGTATTATCGGACGCCTTATTGAGGGTGACGCCAAGCGCCTACTTGGCCGCAAGGTTGACGAGGATGGTGATGTTGTCGACAAGAATGGCAACACCATTGGCAAGGCCGAGCGCTGGGAGCCTGAGGAAAAGGCCCGCGATGTCAACCCTATGGCTGGTCGCAAGGTCAACAAGGAGGGGGAGGTTCGCGACGCAGATGGCAACCTCATCGGAAAGCTAACTTCTGGAAACTTGGCCACCCTTGTGGGCAAGTCCATTGACGACAACGGTTACGTGGTTGACAACGACGGTAACAAGATCGGCGAGTGCACCTTGCTGGAAAACATTCCAGAACCCGAGGAGCCTGAGCCTGAACCCGAAGTTGAGGAAGAAGGCCCATCGCCCGAGGAGCAGGAAGCACAAGCCAAGGCTGAGCATGACCGCCAGCTTGCTGAGAAGATGTGTCACATCCTTCGACAGACTCTGGATCAGGTCAAGCCTATCTGCGATATGATCACTGAGGTAAGTAACTGCTATTGACTGAATGTCAAATTCATTGCTAACACATTCTCTGTACAGAAAATTGAAAAGGCCGATCGTACTCCCAAGGATGAACTTGATGAAGAGAAGCTGGTCAAGGACGTCAAGCCTTTGCTTGAGCAGGGAGGCGCAATCCTCCAAGAGTGTAATGGTGCTATTCGCGCCCTTGATCCCGATGGTCGCATCGCTGCCACGGCCAAGGCCCGCGCTTCTTCTCGTGATGCCACACCCGAGGAGAATCAGCTGGCTGATCTGCTCAAGACTCTGACTGAGACTGTCATTAAGACAATTGACAACGGCAAGAGGCGGATTGCTGACATGCCCCATGCCAAGAAGAAGCTTAGCCCTCTCTGGGCTCTTCTCTCCGAGCCATTGTTCCAGATCATTGCTGCCGTTGGACTTTTGTTGAATGGAGTCTTGACACTGGTTGGTCGTCTGCTGGATGGTCTTGGCTTGGGTGGATTGTTGAATGGTATCCTTGGTGGATTGGGATTGGACAAGTTGATCAACGGCTTGGGGCTAGGTGGACTGACGGATGCCTTGGGTTTGGGCGGCAAATGAATCAATTGAGCGTCTTCGTTTCACATTTTCTGACTTTTGGTTGTATTATTCTGTGGTTATTTGCGTTTCTGTTTTATGGTCGGATTTGATATACCTACCTACCCGAATGGGTATGGGTTTATGTACCTAATATGCTTTGGTTTCTGAGATTTCATATCAAAATACCTTTTTTCCTATTGGTGATTCTGCATTCTATTATGCGCTAGTTTGTAGATCTGCCCAGAATTTGTGTAATTTTCCCTTTATTGGTTTGTGCACTGCCTTCGACTGGGTTTAGTACCGAATTCCAAGCTTTGACAAGGGATACAGGGGTGACCCGCGGTTAGAGGTCTAGGACAGTGAGTCCCGCTGACTCAAACTCTTTCTTCCGGTGAATTTACACACGTGGACTCTCTTCCGTGTTTGATGTGAATAAGCTTATCCCTTATCTTATCGGCCCATCGGCTTATCAGCGGCATGTTGGGCGGAAATCGTCGGTTAATGTAGGCTTTCCCCGTCTTCCCCTCCAAAACACCCGACTCCTTCTCACGGCATAATCTGAATCACGATCTCCTGATTCACCCCCGATCTCGGACAGGCACGGTTCATTATGGATGCAAGGCCATCTCGCCCGGACCGGCCGTATCAGCGGACCTACAAGGCATGCATTCCCTGCCGGCAACGCAAGGCTAAGTGCGACCTGGGTGCGGGCCCAGATGGCTTACCCATCGGCCCACCTTGCGCACGTTGTCGCCGGGAAATGCGAGAGTGTGTGTTCCCCGAGAAACGGGCTTGGGAAAGATCCCGAAAACGTGGTACGTGAGAGCCGGAAACATTCGACTCGTTGTGACTGACTGGCCTTTTGAAGCTCGATCCGTCGAAGAAACCGAAGAGCAAATTTCTCCACATGCAGAACACTATCTATCTGATGTGGCACCGGACACGGCTAGTGGAAGATATTCCCAAACCCACCAGTCGCCAACTCAGCATGCTGGCACTAGTCCTTTCCAACCAGGTTGGGCACTCAACGGACATTCAGCGTCCCTGCAACATGAACAAAGCCCTATAAACATAAGCCCAAGACCCGGCAGGGAGTTATTAAGCCATGGGAATCATTCTTCACCCCATGCTCCTAGCGAGCATCGGCACCGGTCTAATCCGAATTTAGCGAGCTCTATGATGCGGACGGTCGTCGCCAGCGGAAATGACGCCCTCAACATCCTGTTCGAGGCAGCTACAGCACAAAGCCAAGAGGACAATACCCACAATGAGCCTAGCCCTTCCATCGGAGACATCCCAAAGAATGGAAATACCCATGCGAAGGAGCGAAGTACTCCTCGGAATTTTGAAAGCCCCATACCCTTCGAGCCGGTTCCCAGAAACACGCGCCCGGTAGATCTAGTAGAAGTGTCGCAAGATACACTCCAAATCTGGCAAGCTTGCCGCTTTGTCAGGATGGGTTGGTTTACAGCTCGAGAGGCAGCGACGTTCATTGATTTGTGAGTTAGTGTCATTTCATCTCCCATGTCATTCCAACATTCTCTCAATTCTACATATCAACTGTGTTAATGATGATCTAGATTCTTTAAGAATATGTCCTGTTTATCTCCTATCCTCACTGACTTTTATTCAAATCACCGGAATCATTACACGCTCATCACTCGCGAACCAGTTCTTTGTTGTACCATCCTTATGATATCGTCTCGCTATCATATTCTCCCCGGGGCCGGGGGCGAATCCAGAAACTTTTTCATCCACCACCGTCTTTGGCAACATTGCCAGCAGCTAACGATGCGCTTGATTTTTGGGCAAGAAAAGGCAACCAAATCCAAGATTCGTAGCCTTGGAACTGTGGAGGCCCTACTGTTAATGGCCGAGTGGCATCCTCGATCACTACATTTCCCGCCAGAAACGGATGGCTGGGACGACGATTTAATCTCCGTGGGCCCAAAGCCCTTTGAGTCAACTGACTCGAACAATGACTCCGCAAGCAGATGGTTAGAAGATATGATTGAGCCCTCGCGGAGGTCCGACCAAATGTCTTGGATGCTACTTGGATGCGCTCTCTCCCTTGCACATGAGCTCGGTCTCTTTGAGACCGAGGAGGACGACTCTGAGGAAGAGGATCCGCAGTGGAAAGAGCAAATAGCTCTCCGGCGGCAGAGGGTGCAACGCTTACTTTATGTCTACATAAATCAACTTGCATGGCGCATTGGGTGTATGTCGCCAATCCCCCAGTCCCTCAACCACGCAGTTCTCGGTGGGCGAAAACCTCGAGGATTAAGTCAGCCCGGTAGCACATGGCTCACCTTCATGGACTCATGGATTGAGCTTACCAAGTTGGCGCAATCAGTCACTGATATGTTCTTTCCATCTGCAAAATTTGCCCGTCAGCAGCTTCATAGTGGCCGGTATATTGGGCTCCTTGACCATTTCCGGCCTCTCCTCAACCAATGGAAAGACAAGTATCTACACCCACACGTGCTTGATAAATCTTTCTACAATGATCTTTTTATTGAATATCACTTTGTCCGCGTGTACACCCACTCCGTGGGTATGCAGGCCGTGGTAGAGCGTGCCCTGGCAGATGCAGACTCTAGCTTGGATGAAGTACGACCGATGACGATCGAACAAACCGACTACGAATACATTCAAGAGGTCATCGATGGCTGCTGCCAGATCTTACGCAAAGTCACGCAGCTTGCAGAAACCGGGGCATTGCGGTTTTCTCCTGTGCGCATCATCTTGCGCGTTACCAGTGCATCGATCTTCTTAATGAAAGCGCTCAGTCTAGGTACTCGTGAGGCAGTGCTTCGAGAGTCACTCGAGGTACTGGAGAAAAGCATCAGTGCGCTCAAGTCCAATGCCTTGGATGACGTTCATTTGAGTACCCGATACGCCGCACTTCTGGACATGCATGTGTCCCGCCTACGTCGTAATCTGTTGGCTTCCTCCAAGACTGTTAAGAATAACCGAGGAGCTGCTAGTCGATCTTCAATGGGTCCTCCTGCTTGGCCCGATACGAACGATCGTGCCAACCAAGTCCATACCCCGGCATCCCAGGACTTGTCCTCGGATTTAGCTTTCATGCCGTCTCTAAACGAAATGACAGATGACTGGCTCTCGCTGCCTTTTGATCCATCAATGGCACCCTTCGGGATGTCTAGTGGTAGTCAATTCCCCATGTGCGAAGGCGGCGCCTTGGACTTTATTTGGAATTTACCGTCCTGATCATGTTTAATGTACATAGCTACTGATCAGAAGGACTTATCACGCCCATTCATGTTTTATAGCATTCTTGAGATACCCAATTGAAGATATTCTCCCTAGGATCCGAGATTGATCTTCAATGCATTCCATTTTTTGGTTACTTAATACTAGTTCACGCCTAATTTGTTCTGTGACTTCTCAGCTTTCTCCTATCATCTCTTGAAGGAGCAAGAGCTTGGAAGATGAAGCATAATGAGAGCTCATATAGAATCAATGGTATTGGGAGAACTCATTTAGGGCAGCGTGGTAAGACCAGTCTAATAGTCGAACATGGTAATTAAATGCGGTTGAAAGATGTTTCAATCTCCCCTTTCTAAATAATCCATATACATTGTCTGGTCTTCGACTTGCCACGACCACCTAGCTCTCTTACGCCACATATTCTACCGAACTCAACGCAGAAGTAAACCAGAGGTATACCACCAAAGCCATCACCGGTACTCTTTGACTAATTTTTATGCTCTGACATTGTCTACGAGGTACGTCAACGTTTTCCTTTACCTGCAGTCATCGGACTCCAGGCTGAGCTACTTTACGCTTCTACATACTATTCGGCCCCACAATGAACATTTTCAGTATTCTCTGACTCTCTGGCCCGAATCAACGGACGAGATCAATATTGTTTCTCTTTCCACATTTTTGGAATTCACCAGATACAAATCTAGGCCGACGCCAGGTATCTCGTGGACAGTGTATATATTGCCTGGGTACCAACGGGTCCGTATATCAGGGCCATGGTCTTACCACCGAAATCATGATGGTGCAATACGCGATCATTGCATAGGAAGAGACTATGGAAGTGCGGACCTCGGGAGACTTTCTCGTTCACGCTCCCAATGTTTCCTCGACTTCACCTTCACCTTTGCTTTTGTCTATTATTTGATCATATTTCGCTCGAGAGCAGCATTACAACATAAAAGAAACGGAGGGACTTGGTTCGTGAATCTCGCACATGGCCCGTCCTCCTGGGGTCTTTCTTTCTTCGACTCAGCCCTAAGTTGACGAATTGTAGTCACCCTCTAGGTGCCGAGGTCATCATGAGTATCCATACGGTCGAATGCCTTAATGACCTCCTTGTCCCATCGACTAATAGCAACAATGATCCACTGCACAACTCCAACGCAGTATAGTGCAACACACTGGCCAACCCAGAGGCCTTTTAGTCCCCAGCCATGGAAAGCAAGGTAAATCCCCAGCGGCAGGGCAAAGAGATAGTAGCTGACAATATTCACGACAGCGCCAATATGCTGTCGACCCATGCCACGCAGACTGCCACCACAACTTCCATTGATTCCATCTGCAATCTGGAATAGAGCAACCAGTGGCATGATTTCCGATACCAGCTCCGCCACTCGCGGATCATCGTTGAAGATTTTGGCAAAGTGATCGCGGCTTCCCATCAACACTGCCAAAACAATCGATCCCAGAAAGATCGCTAGAAAAGCCGAAATATGAGCCGTGCGTGCCGCCCCCTTTGCATTGCGGGCTCCGAGCAGATTGCCGATGCGGGATGACGTTGCCACACCGAGACCGAAGGGGATTGTATTCATCACGGAATCAGCAGTCATGATCACGCTCTGGGCTGCTAGGGCGATCGTCCCGAGACGTCCTGCTGCCAATGCTACAATCTCAAAGGCCAACCACTCCGTGCCGATGTGCATAATACCCAGGAGTGACAATCGCACGAACGTCCACGTGTTGTCGAAAGCCGCCCATGACCACCCGCCCCAGCACTCGGACCCAGCGATGAATTTGCTGTGTAAGACCAATAAAGCAAATGCGAACCAGTAGGAGATATCGGAAGCTAGAGGGGCACCGAGAAGACCAATTTTGAGTGTATAACAGAATACATAAGTCATTCCGATGTGGCACGGTAAGACAATCAACATCACGTACGTTCCGGCTCTCGTGATTCCTATCAACACAAGAAATGGTCAGCAGTTTTCCGATATTCCCACGTTAGCGCTGTCGATAACCGTACCTTGCGCCTGCAAGTACTTCTTCATGACTTCAAAAAAAATATACCCCAGCCCCCCTGGAATCAGTACGGTCAGATACTGTGAGCTCAGGTAGGAAAGCTCCGGGTCTTGACCAAGAGCCCGGAAGACAGAATCGGAGCATGCCCAGAGAATGGCGACCGGGACAAAGAACATTGACAAAACGAATAGGGCTCGCTGCAGCAGAATTCCAAGGTCGTGTTTATCCTCACTCCCTGTAAAGGTTGAGGAAGCAATAGTATCGAGGGCGGTTGTTCCTCCCAGAGCAATCATCCATCCAGTCACCAGCGCAAACATCTGTGCAAAAGCTGCGACGGCCAGGTTCATGGGGGATGATTGTCCTATAACAATCGCCGTGGACGTTTGTAGACTCATTTGCAATGTATATCCGAATATCACGGGCAAAGAGTCCTTCAATAATTGCCAGCACTCTGCGAACAACGATTTGGCCGGAGCCGTCCATTTTCGTTGAGCCTCAATTTCGCTCCATGTGGTAGGATTTTGGGTCGGTTCGGGGATTAGTGAGGTATATTCATTGGGCGGCGCGCCTATATCAGGCTCATGGATGGCACGCGACATGATTTCACGGTGGTGGAAGAAAAGACAATGACCACAAAGCCCACTATGGAAAGTTCATGTGGACCTACCTGGTCGATGTATGAGCGGGGGAAATGTAAGGGAGCAAGAGCTGCCAGCTTTCCAAATATCAATTGCGTAGTGATCGACAGTTGTCGGCTCAATGATCGAAACAGGGCAAAGCTGCCCAAGTGTGGAGTGTCACTCCACCTGCTTGCATATATACTTGTCAGCTCCGTCGAGAATCCATCTTCCCCTTTGCGCGGTAATATACTACCCCGGACCATGCGTCCCAAGCACCGAAGGAATCATGTCAGATCGATCCAACCTAGAAGCACAGACAGGTCGAAGAAATTTTGATTCATGCAAAGTGGATCGGGGCTAGATCAGCATCGGATACCTGAAGGGGTATGGACTGGCCCACCTCGGCAGGCGATCTACCTATCACAGCTTCCTCTTGGTCGCATCTGCAGCTAAACTCCTGCAGCACCAATCACGATTGCTGTTCTCTGTTCTTTGTTTCTTTTACGTACATAATTTCAATTTCAATACCAGCTGCCCAGGGGTCCTCGAACTCGCTATACGAGGGTATGGCGTCATGATACATATGCTCCGTGAAGACCTCAGACTCAGCTCAAAAGCTAAAGAGCCCACTTCTTCGTTTTCCATATGGGTAAACAACCAGAGCCGCTATAAACAAACCAATCGTAATCCCAATTGCCACCTGGATCATGCCAAAACCCAAAGTAAACACCGAGGTACTGCTCAGCCCGGCTCCAGGCGTATTGCTGGACGAGGAATGAGAAGAGACATTTTGCCGGATTTCATCTGCAGACTGCACGCCCGTAATCAACGATCCGGTCGCAGCAAGGCCAGAGGGCACAAGAATAAAGATGCCCGGTAAGATGGCAGTCGCGGCATGACCGTGCCAGAGTCGACTGTACAGATTCCCCAACATGCCAATCGTAAATGCCCCAACGGTATTCGCCACTTGCGAGTTCGATCCAAGTCGCTTGGTGCTAAAGTAGTTGGCTGTGTACCCGGACAAGGCGATAAAGGCCATTGGCGGAAATTGTTTCCATTTGCCTTGATTGATGATGAGGAGCCACACGATCATAATGGACACGAAGGGAAACCGCGCGACATAAGGGTTGGGAAATGCTCCGGTTTGGGGACAACTCAGATCTGACACTGCGCTGTTGTCCATCAGGCCATAAATCGTGGTGCCAACAGTGATCCCGTATCCGATGAACAGGGAGAAGATGATCGCGTACACCATTCGAATCGAGCCTGCGATGATCTGATGCGATTGCAGTTCCAAACTGCTACACAGAACCAAGAACCCGGGCAAGATTAACGCAATCGAAGCTTGTGTAATCGCAGAAAAGCAGAACAGATATTCTCGCTTACCATCGACAGTCCTCAATGGAATACTTCCGAAGGCACGAGCAATGAAGGATGTTAGCACGGTCGATGTGACCTCAAAGACATTCGAATAGAGAACCGATCGAGGGGCGGCGAGATGTTGCATAGCTCCGACCAGTAACCCATTGAGGAAGATAATCGGCATGTCAATAGGTCGGGCGTTAAACGCAAAGGGGCCAACGGTGGCCGTGGCCAGGCCATATACCATGACAACGATGAACTTGTTATAGCGTGGCCCCTTCTTCATCACGTCGTCTAGGTCCTGAATCGCTTCTTCGATCCCAATCACATCGTGAATGACATTTTTGTAAATGAGATGGGTATCAGAGAGGCGAGCTAGGTCCACTCCCTGTGCAACCCGGACCAGTTTTACCTCCGTTGTTCGCGTCGAGGGATCATCAAAAGACATGATCATGCAGCCCGGCAAATACAAAAACTGGCTATCGATCTCAAGGACCTTGGACGTCATCTGCATGTACTCTTCTAGTCGATGAGTGGGTGCTCCGAATTGCATCAATGCCCGACAGAGCTGCATGATATATCGCTGTCGACAGATGATCTCTGCAATGTGAATAGTAACTCGGATCTCATCTTCCAGTCGGGGTCCGCGATCGGCTTGTTTGCCACGTCTTTGAGATGCCGCCGACATGACCTCACTTGAGATTGGTGTGCTCGCTCCACTCAGACTGCTCGACGCTCCGATCAACGTGGACGTTGATGTATTTGGAGGCCTTTTGTACCATTTCGGTATATCTTTTTTTGATCTTGGTCCCTGGCTCGTGGAAGACGCACCACTAGATGTAGATTCGACTGAGGATTGACTCGGATTCCTAGACGCGCTTCCTTGTTGATGCTGTCCGCCATTGAGCTTGATCAGCTGGGACAACACACCTCCACCACCAGATCGATACCGCAAGCCCGAGTCAAGACTCGACTCGTTTTCCGCTCCCACAAATTCGGTAGCGTTGCCTGGGTCACGTCGGCCTCGTGTTTTGCGCCGGTTGCCAGAATGATCTTGCATCAGGTCGCGGACGAGTCGATGTGCTTCAGAACTACTTGTTGCTTGGTGCTGACGCTTTTCTTCATAAGTTTTGTGCTTGTCGTCGGTCACATCAGACATTGGAGGTTCGCTGCCGGTCGCCCAGTCTGCATGGTACATACCCGACCCAAGATCATCGCCTCCCTGTGTAGGCCGACCTAGCCGGTCCCCCAGGCGCGAAGCCCTCTGTTTGAAGCTTGAAGTTGCCGAACGAAAGCGTGTTTTCGCAGTGTTGATATTGAATGTATTCGGGATAGTCCTTATGTTCTGTGCTTGTTCCGAGAGTGGCTTGTCGGGTGCTTTTTCATCCTTCACTGTCCCCTCGGCTTGATCAGTGGATTGGGTCTGTCCCCCCAGCGCGGTGTCGGCGATATCCGCAGACTGATGGGCATATGGTGCCGCAGGGGGTGGAGGTTGATCCTCGGGACCAGACCTTTCATGCGGCGATTGACGAGGTACATTATGTGAAAAGCTGGTCGATGATCGGAAATGTACCCGCGGTGCCGGTGATTCTCCTTGGTTCTTGTCTCCAAAATGCTTTTCATCAAGACCCCCCGTTGCCTCTGGCCCATTTGCACCATTGTCGCTGCCGCCTTCGGTTGACGAGCCGCTGCTACGACTTCCACGGCCAGACATGAAAGCCAGATATTGAGATCATCAAATTTCACTCTTAACGACGTGGGCAGTCCCAATGGGCGACTCCCTCCGGTTAAGAGTCTATCTACTCGAATGAACCAAGTAGTCGGCAAAGGACGATGATCGGACGTGGGATATTGTTTACGGAATGATAGAAGTCGACAGAAATAGGTTGAACAGTGGCCTGGACATTCAACATGCAAACAAAATGACAATTGCAGTGACACCAATGATCTCATGCGCGCCCCTCGGTATATACTTCAGGTGTGCCAATCAGACGACAGTACCGTTCAATCTATTCCCGTCACCAAGGGCTAGTGAGTCTTATCATGCGGAACAATTGTCCGTCGGCTTCTGTGTTTACCTAGCACCTAAAACAAGGTATGTTGCGTAATGGCTATGTACGCCCGCTATCTATATGCCCAGGGGCGAGATCAACCTTGGAAGTCTGCCTTCAAGGGATAATGCCGAGGGCATGGTCATGCCACGCGAAAGAAATGAATATCAAGAACATGGAAAGAAATGGATATCACAAGACTTCGATATTGCATCCAGTAAAGAGGGACAGCCCGATATCAGGAACTGATAGGAGCTATCTGCTCCAAGGCTGGCGAAGTTTACCGGACTGTCCATTGGCGAGGATATCCCCACCGGGTCCCTCACTGTTACTACTTTCGGCATCGCTGCTGTCAGACACAGAGTAGACGCTAGATTTATTCGGGGTGGGCGCGGATTTGATAGATTTTGCTGGATCGGAGGCTGCTGCGCCCTGCGTGCTTGCTGATCCTTTTGATCTTTAAGGAGACCTTTCAACGTTCTTCTCGGTGTCACTCGTGGGGTTGTTTTTTCCGGCATTGGAGGCTGCGCAATTGCCTTGGCAGCAGCAGGAGAAGGACCAGCTGGCTTGGTAGTGGCAGTGGATGGACCAGGGATGATAGTGCGACTAGGTTCATGGGTCAGTGGCTATGATGGTTGACAAGATATGAAACGGGCATACCCAAACTTGGAGGAGTCAAGTTCATCTTCACTCTCCGAGTCTTCTGAGGAGCTGTCCTGGACTGGCTGGACTTTATTTCTCTCGGGAAGCTTTGTAGGTTCGGCCATGGCCTTGTCTTTGACTGTCCCGGTCTCATTCTTGTCTTTGATGGTTGCGGCGCCGTTCTTATCATTGAGACCATTCTCTTCGGGTTCGGATCCATGGTCGTCCTCTTGAGAATCACTGCTCTTGTCGTCCGATTCTTCTTCCTCTTCTTCCTCTTCCTCCTCTTCTTCCTCTTCCTCCTCTTCTTCCTCTTCCTCATCTTCCTCATCTTCCTCATCGCCATCGTCATCTTCTCCAGCCTCATCATCCACCAATTCTTTCATGGGGTTCTCTGCTACCGATTCTGACCCATCATCGTCCTCGGTATCACCATCGGATCGAGCGTCAGATTCAGCGCTTATCATCCACAGATTCTTTCGCTTGATGAATAGTCGGCAACTCTGGCTCGTCATCACTGTCAATATCAATCGCAGCGTCCTCGTCCACGAGTTCTTTTTCTGGGTGGTCTGCTTCCGGTTCCGACTCCCCTGAAGATTCAGACACATTCGTCGATTCCTCCTTATCTTCTGCAGCTTGAGGTTGGCCATTGACCTCGACTGGTTCCACATCCATCATTTCTTCATCATTGTCAACAGCCTGTTCGTCGGTTTGATGTTCAGGCTTCTCGAAATCGCTATTTCCATCGACCTCGCTCGACCCTTCGTCATCTGAATCTGAAGTATCCGAAACTTCCACTGACTTCTCAACTTCAGGTGTCACATGGCCATTCTCCTTAGGTGGTGATAAAGACTTAGCAGCAAGCTTATCCTCAAGCTCTTGCAGTTCCATCCGTAGTTTTTCAAGATTTTTCCTAAATTTTATAAGGTCGTCGGTCACTCCACTTCTCCTTCTCTTGCCCTCTGAGTTATTACGGTTCTTTATTTTCTCATAGACATCCAGCATATTCCATAACACCGGCCGTAATGATGCATCCGTATTTGAGTCATTCAACTTTTGGCGAATATCGCGCATCTCCCGTTCTTCTTTCCTCTGGCGTTCTTGAATCTGTTGAATCCTGTCGCGGCCAACGCCAGGTGGATAGACGATTTCTGAGATCTGGCTGCTAGGGAGAGCAGAAACTTGCCCGCTGGGTGGGATGGAAGGTTTCGGCGGGTTCCGGGAAATAGGAGTGCTAGTGTCGCTGAAGGATACATGGCGTTCACGATCGTAGGCGGGCCTTTTCGGAGGACTGCTAGTGATACCAAGTCCTAGTCCATTCTTATGGGGTGGGAGCACATTAGATGGTCTGCGATGTGGACTGGTCCAAGACGGCCCAAGCTCTTGTCTTCGTGTCGAGGTTGGACTTTTCGGGGATTGAGAAGCTGGCCGGCCAGATTGGCCCTCCATTCGAGGCTCTTTTGACGGTGCATCGTTCTCAGGGGGTTTGAAGCTTTCGTTTCCGAGTGAACGCTTCACTGGCCGCCTCGAAGTCCAAATCGACCGAAGGGAACCGCTGAGCAGGAGCATCAGGGCGGTCATGAGGTTTTTGAATAACACGGACAATACCGCGTTGGTCGTGACCATCCGCGCGGGCTTTTCCGCGGTTCACAAAAACCTCCTCAACGGACATCCCAGCATCGAGGTCCACCATTGGCATTGTGTCATCGAGTAGTTTTTTGATTACAAGAGGCCTAAGGGTGAGGGGATGTTCAGCGCTTCCAATCCTTTCGATATCTCTTCATTCTTACTCACTCAGAATTTGGACGAAGCTCTTTCCATTTTCGTTTAATCAAGTAGGTAAGATCAGCCAACGATAGTTCCTCCGGCTTCTCTAATGTCAACAAAAGCCCTGCGAAGCTCTTTATCATGTTTGTCTCCTCGGACTCTGGCTTCTTAGTAGACAACATTGAGCGCAGGAACCCCGATTCTGGGGGAATTTGCTCCCGCGGGTACACCCGGACTTCTAAGCGTAGGAAGACCATGGCGACAGTGGTTGCAATTGCGCAGGGTAGTGGGAAGTAGGAATGAGTGAAGAGATCGAGCAGGTAGTATTATGTAACAGGCCCAGCCATATGACAGAACGTGAAAGAACGACGAAAGAACGGCGCCGTGGTCAATGGGGGGAAAAAGGTCAAACGCGACAAAGGAAAGACGCGGGGATTCGCGATTGATGCCTCAGGCCACAAACCCTTCGATAGATGGGTCAGAAAAAGGAACACCAATAGAAGGAAAGTATGTCCATTATACCTATCATTTGAGATTCGTCAGAGAGAATAGGAGTTGACCCGGCCGTTCCAGACCGTCTGGGCGTTGCCAAAAGTGTGAATGATCGGCATTATCATTCCACCATATTGAGGAAAAATACAAGCTACCTGCTAGCCTCGTTGCAATACATATTCACGCCCACCTGGGCATGTATAGTAGATACCTATGGGTAGGAAACCAATTCTCTGCATTTGATCTATCCTAGGTACGTATTTAAGATGCAAAATTTGAATATTGAGAGTGGCTATTCCGGTGGCTGAAAGTACCGCTGGAACCGATCGATCCCGGTCAATTGCAACTCGGTAATGACCCAATGGCAATTCATTAGGAGACTAGGGAAACGGACAGTCCAGAAATTCAGATAACCTTCTGGCAATCCACCGATATGCAACTTCAGATGTTCCGGCATGTCATTATAGTGGTTGCGCTTGTTGCGGAGAGCACGGAGTAAATCCAGCATTCGGGAACCAGTGTACTTGCGCTGCTTGCCCAGGTTGTCTTTGAAGTCGCGAGGGAGCAGGCGCAAGAAATCCATGTCAGGTCCGAGGACTTGCGGGGCTACCGACTCCAAGCAGAGCAGTGCGTCCGATGGGGGGTCACGCGGTTCAAACTCGAAGTGGTCCGATACGTCACATAAGAAGCTTAGTCGGTCAGAGGGCGCCCAAAAGAAAGGGTGCATCAAGACAGCACTGGCATTGGGGCTATAGGAACGAGAGTCAGTGGATGTCAAATAAAATACGAAGGGGTCAAAGCATACCGATGGCGTGGGTCAAGAGCAAGCATGGAACGAATTAAGTCATCCGCCTCAAAGGCATAATCACCCAAACGATCCAACTCTTGCAAATCAAAGTGGCCCTTCACGATATTGGCCTCTCGCATGAACTTGCCATTCTTGTCGAACGGATGGCTGCCCCGAGTCAAAACGTAATAGAATACACAACCCAGGGAGAAAATATCAATGGCGCGAGTGGCGCGGCGATTGGTCTGAGGGTCGACGACAGCGGGTTCGGAAGATTCAGTGTGCTGAGATGCAAGACTTAAGGGCCCAGTGTCATCATCGACAAGAAGTTCCGGGGCTCGCCAACCAGAGGTTCCAGCAGCGTGAGCAGTAGTAGCTCGAAAAGAACTCTGATTATCCTCCAGTTTCTTGCACAGACCAAAATCCGAGATGAGGAGGCGAATAGCCCGCGACGCTGTACGCCCACGAGGCATGGCCACCAGAATATTCTGAGGTTTCAGGTCACGATGAACAATCTTGAGCGAATGCAGATATCGGACTCCTTGGGTGATCTGACGAAGAACATCTGGCATGTCAAGGCCACCTTGAACCAGTTCAGGGAATTGAGTTGGCCGCTCAATAACATCCTGAAGAGAAGCTGGACAGAGCTCTAGACCGATGTACAAGAACCCCGCTGCCTGTTCACGGCAGAAATACCGGATGACGTTATGATGGTCATCGCTCTCTTGCAACAAACCTACCTCGTGTGAGGCAATGTCATAGAACTCCATGAGCATGCGCTTGACAGCTACGTTCCGTCCATCGAATGTACCACGGTAGACCACAGTTCCGTGGCTACCGTGACCAAGCACAATATCGGTAAATACCTCCAATCTTCCAATGCGAACAACCCCGTCCATTTGGACTACTTCGGATGATGAAGTACGAGTGACGCGAGCATCGCCCTCAAGTCGGGACTGCGAAGCCTGGCGATTCACAAGTTCGACTGCTTGGTCGGAGTGCTCTCTAAAGTCCCCCTCGGAGCCAGGCTTTGGCTTGCGTCGGTGGCCTTTGCCACCCCGTGTACCACGCGAACGTTTCTTCTTCGCTGGTTTATCAGGATTTTGGCTCCCCTCGTCTGGCTCGCCTTCCTCAGTTTCACGGTCGGGCTCGCTGATCTTCACCCGGGGTGTTTTGTCCGGTGGTGCGCTGCGATCCCGAGATGGTCGTGGTGTGACAACCCCCGAGTCGATTAAATCAACATCGACGGTCACATCTGTCACGGGACGAGGAGTAGATGCGCGGGGTAAATCTGGGGTTGTACCGATGATCGGTGTGGTTGGGGTCGAGAGAGAGGATTTGTCATTTGAGTTGATGATGTTCTTGATATCTAGCTTCTGCTTCGCGAGGTCCCGAATATGATGCGAGTTGAAGTAGATGAATGTACCAATAAAGAGCAGAATAAGAGTAACAACAATGTCAAGGGCGTTGTCCCAGCTTTTGCGAATGATAGCACTATGGCGCAGAGCAGGAGGAAGAGCTAGCTCTGATGGACTGCGTAGAACCTCCCGTGGTGTGTCATTCGAAAGCTCAGTCGTGGAACTGCCCAGTCGAGGAATGGATGGCCGTATTTGTGGGCCATTTAGCGAATGCACACCAGCCAAGGCGTCTCGCTGCTGATGTGGCGTCAAGCTCATAAGAGACTGCCCTCGACGGAAAAAGTCTTTTTCGTAGCATTGAGCCATGGGGGCACGACCAGTGACCAGAGGGTAGGTCTCTTCTGAAAGAGCAAACCATCCGCCCGCGCTAGTCGAATCGATGAACACGCGCAAGTCTCGGTCATCATCTAGGGTGCCGTAGTCGGGGTCCGGTGGCTGAAGAGGTTGGGAAAGAAGTACCAATGGGGTTGAAGCGTCGGGGGCATCCTTATTAGTTGGCCGCACCACGTCGAAAACTCGGGCCACGGGGGACTGGAAGCGCTGCGTATAACGCGGACGCTCTGTCCGAGAGTGATCAAAGCCCAGTACAACACCATCATGCATGCTGTAGACATGACTCAGGTCCATTGTACGGTAGTATTGACTCTGCAAATCCATATCTCGGTTATTAGGCGCCCATTCCGAGTATTTCAAAGTGCAAATGGGATCTCCCGTCTCGGTATTTTGAATAGCCACCGCATATTCCACACGACCAAGAACCAGTGTGCCGGAGGATGTTTCGCACTCATCCAGGTCCAGGCCTTGTCCATCCACCTTGCGACATTCTTGACCGGCCTGGAATGGCCCACGAGAGCTGAAGACCCGCAGTATGCTTCCAGTGCGGGCGTCAATCGTGTATAAGGTCGTTTCTTTCCGAGCAGTATATGTCACGGCGGGTTCATAACCGGAATAAGGTGTTTCATCGACCAATTGCTTGACCGTCAGACCAAGCTTTTGTAGTCCTGCCTCCGGGCCCGGGCTATAGATGTACAAGTTTCCATCTTGACTGGGTTCCACAATCCAAAGGAAGTCGTCCTCGGGTTGGGTGGCGTCAAAACTGGTTCGATTGGCGCGATGGTAGATACTTTCGACCACTGGGCTGCTGGGGACTTCCAAGGCCCAGCGGGGAGCACCAGTCTTGCGGTCTCGAGCGTGAATGGTTCCGTCAACGGTCGCCAACAGGACAAAGTCCTCAACCTCCCAGTCCTGCAAGGACCGCGCGTGAAGCTGCGACGCCAGACCAGCAGCTGTACTGCTAGCCTGGGTGAGAGGGGCTCGAACGGCGCGGCCGGAGCCCGCCAGAGCCAGAGTTGCCAGGGCGCTCGCATCGTTGGATTTCACGATGGGAGGAACAGCCGCGGAGACTGTATGTTTGGAATAAGAAGCAGCTCCGTCAGCCGCTAGGGGCACGGAGATTCGAGGAGCGGATTCATGAGAGTCTGGATGTTGCTGCGGAACAACCAGGCCTGGAAGAAGAAGAAGGGCGACGCTGGCGGGGAGGGTCGAACTAACGCCCGGTAACCGCCACCGCATCGTGGAGCTTTAGCAGTGCAATTCGGTCCAGCGTGTGAAAATCGGAGACTAGACAGCAGGAGATGCCGATTACAAACGTCGAGGTAGGAGGAGGTTGGAGTGGCTGATTTGAATGGATGGCGGATGTGGAGCAAATAATCGAGAACTCGGATAGCGGATCATCCCCCACCCACAGTTGGATGACGGATCGGAGATAGAAATCCGCTACAGCAAAAGGGCAGTATATTCGGGTAGTCACCGGATATAATGATGGGGGAGGGGAGGATTCGAGGCTTTCTCCCTGGAAAGATGAAAGGGGAAAAGAGAAGAATCGAGAAGTTGGGGATGGAAGGCAGATGGATTGTGTGTAATACCAATGTACAATACACGGAGGCCCCGGCCACTTCCGCCCTGCCGCCCCCTTTATTGCTAGCGGTATTATACGTACAAGCACCGTAATTAAATGGGGCCGCGCCATCGAGGCTACGCAAGTGTTTCAAAAGCCCCTTGAACTGTTGCTATTTTACATGGAGATGCATCATATCGGGTCGCACAGCGTGTGATGCAGGTGTATCTGCAGTACGAATTTCATAGAAATATTACAATCCCCCCCATTTTCTCCAATGTTCATGTGGGAATTCGGCCGCCTCATTTGACAGCCAATCATATTGAATCTTCGAGATCAGTTTGTTTCAGAGATAGTTCCGAGAGGGACTATGTCAAAAAGGTATCCCCCGGACGCCTGATGGAATCTTCCACACTGAAGAAAATCTCGCCGGTCAGGGAGAAATTAGAAAGAGAGGTGGGGGAAAAGAAAATAAAAACAAAAAAGTCTTTAGATACAAAGAATGGAAAAAGTGGAGACATACAGTAGGTCAAGGGGTAACATATAAAAACAACAGACGCATGCTTTGCATGACAGCAAAGGAAAAATGATGGGCGATACAAGAAATTAGAAAAGAAACAAGGTCTTTGAAAGATCTCAACCCCCTCGAACCATCCATGTGATGGCCACAGCCCAGCCAGTCACGAAGACAACGGTCAAAATTCCAGCGCCGGCCCGATCTCCAGTACGAACTGTGTTCATTTGAGGGACTTCAACATCCGAGGTGTTGGTACCGGCGCTGGGGTTACTTTTGGAGGTTCCACCGGTGTCGGCTGTGAATGGTGCCTTATTTTTGAAGGGGACTAGGTTCGCATTGAGGACCCCCAGTACAGCCATCTGGTTTTCCAGTGAATCGGAGCCATCCCAACTCTGCGTGTACCATTTGGTACCGCAATGTGAGCCATCACTGAGACCAGTGCAAGTCAAAGCGGCGGCGACAGCTGAAGTCCTGAGTTTCGGCATCACCAGGTCAGAGGTTCCAGGAACGATCAAGGTCATGAAAGCCAGCCAGGAAGAGAAGTAAGCCTTGAATGTGATCTGGTTTCGGTCACATTTGAGGATTGGTTCACAGGTGATTTCGCTGAGGATGTTCCCGTTGGCGTCACCAAAGGTTTTGCTTGTGGGATAAAATTGGTCGGACGTTTTTACCAGCCCATTGATGCCTTCTAACCACTTTTGGGTGCCATTCGTCTATAGATGATCAGCTCCTCCCGGTGCCATTCGGGCAGGATATTGAGAAGATAAATCACTTACGTAGTTGTACATGTAAGCTGCTCCGTTGATGTATGTCGCATAGTTATATGACCACTGATAGTCGCCATGATCCGTACATTGCGTTTCACAGCTGGTAGTGTCCGCAATAATCCAAGTTTTTCGGAGCAATGGGGTACTCGCACTCCAGTCCCAAATACGCTCAGCCCAGCTAGCATATGTCGCATTGTTGGTATAGAGGGCCAAGCGCGCGGCCAGCTGAAAGAGTCCACCGTTGGAAATAGCGTTCTTGGTTGTGTATCCCCCCTGGTAGGGCCAGATCTGCCAGCGCATACCACCGTGACAGCTGCTAGTATCCCAGCGTGGTACCTGAGTGTTGAACACACCCTGGGCTAACGAGACCCATGAGGGCTGACCGCTGCGCTCCGGGAAATTGAGTTCCGCAGCCGTGATAGCCGCAAGGCCCCAGAAGACCTGATCATCGTTTCCCAGATACTGACTGTAATTTTGCGGGAAGAAGTTGTCGTCGCCTTGTTGCCAGTACATCCCGTCCTGCACGGCGCTGTTGAACTGACTGTCCCCAGTCAAGAACCAATACTGAATGAGGATCATGAACATCGAGCCACCCTCCCACCAAGTGCCGTCGAGCTTGCCGGGGATGTCTTTGGACTCGCGGTCGTTGTAGTAATTCATCATGTCGACGGCGACTGTTTTAGCGGCGGTTTTGAGGGAGTCTGGAATGCGCGGCTTTCATGTTAGCTCTTACGCCCACGATATACACTATATGAGGGGTGGAGGGTCTGGAATGCGGGCCACCGACTTTCATCATCCACGTTGAGGGTGATAGCGAGAGCACACTGGGCGGCCAAGACGCCGCCTAGCAGGGCGGGAAGCCACTTGGAAAATATCATGTTAAACGAGGGAAGAGGTCAAGGCATCGAAACGAGGCGAAGGACCTCGGGAGGTGAGAAAAGCAAAATCGAGGACGATCTTTAGCGCGAGGTGGGGAAGAAAAGGATGAAAAAGCATGGGGAAAGAGTCGGGTCTGTATTCTTAGGTTTGACAGGCCTAGGTCCCTGGTTCGGTGGGGCTGACCAGAGGCAATGTAGTGCGCGGAGTTTAATTGCTTGGACAGATTATCTATGACGGAATTCGAGGGTATCTTGGGAGGTCCACATGCTGAAGTGTACTCCGTACTCTTACTATCTCATGTGGCATCTAGGAAATAGGGGCGTGTTCGAATGTCCCAAAATAACTTTGCCTGGGCTAGCAGCCGCTGCAGAAAAAGGGTCCTTGGCGTGGAGCCCCTTGCCGAGAATGTCTAAGAGAAGCAAGACCCTCCTATATTTGCATTGTGGTTAACCTATGTCTTACGCTGCATATATGTACCTGTAGGTTGGAGTCACCTGCCGCTTATCTAGATGGATGATCGTCCATGTTGTCACTTCCCCACTAATCATGGAAGATCGCGGATCAGCCCGGCTGACACCCTTCGTGAAATGCCAAGAGCGCCGAGAAGCAGAGTGAATTAGCGACAATTCAAGTCAGATTGTGGATGAGAGGTCAAGTTTGTGCCTGGAAGATCAACCCAGAGAAGCCTTCGAAAGTCGACAGAATCAAGCACGGTGGTGTCAGGGTCCAGGTCCATGATCCACAGGGTCCTGCAAGTGGATCGGGACTACATAGTGTTCATGCCTGGTAATCGGGGCAGACAAGGCATCTAAGGCAACCACGTAGCTTACATAATTAGTTGCTTCTGAAAGTGGACGATTGTACCGAGTACTGTATTCACAAATTCACCGCGGGGTTCTTCTAAGGATTTTCTCGTTCTTGATTCCAAGCTTGCAATATTGGCGTAGTCAATTCAGTAGATAAGGACATGTATGCAGGTATGTACCTATGTACATATTTCGGTAGGCATCTGACCTCAGGTGATGTACTGCATGTAAAACGTGATGTTCATACGATTCCCCAGGACTGTGTTTTTGTCATCCATGAAGCTATTCGATTTCATCTATAACTGGTAATTTGTGCTTTTTTGATTTCAGGAAGATACAAGTCATCACCCGTGAGTCGTAACATGACTTTACATACGGTTTCTTTGTCTAGGCGCAGAGCGAATGATGTTGTCGACACGCAGAAGAAGCTACAAAGAAAACCCCCATCTAGGTTAGCCTTGGTCAAGAATGGGAAGAAAAAGAGGGAGAGAACAGGAACCACCTACCTCAGCAGCCTCTGAGGCCGATGACACCACCGCCTTCTTCAGCTTGTAAGCCTCCACAACACCCAGCTCGCGCATGTCCGCGATACCGCCACCAGGGGTCAACAGGTCTAGACCGGAGCTGGTCATGCCATTGTTGATCGCTTGTCGCAGGCGGGTCACCAGGTCGCTCGAGTCAAGACCCGCATTGTCCGCCAGGATAGTTGGCAGCTGCTTCAGCGCATGAGAGAACGAGTCCACGGCGAGTTGCTTCTTGCCAGTGGTGTTCTGGGCCGCCTGCTCAACAGCCTTGGACATCACCATCTCGGCACAGCCACCACCAAGTGTGACGCGAGGATCCTTAACGGTTTGGGATAGAACAGCCAACGCATCGTGCAGGGAGCGCTCGGCTTCATCCAAGAGCTGCTCGGTGGCACCGCGCAGCACAATGGTGCAGGCCTGGCCAGCAGCCACGCCCGAGAACTTGATCAAAGTGTCCTCACCAATAATCACCTCCTCAATCAGGTCACAAGAGCCCAGCTTCACCTGATCTGGGTGGTCGAAGGTGGAGGCAATCTCACCACCAGTGACAAGCGCCAGGCGCTCAATACCGTCGAAGTCGGCGTGCTCAATAGACATAATGCCAGCCTCGGTGAACAGCTGCTCGGGCCAGTTGTAGATCAGCTGTCGGTTAACGAAACAGTTAATACCGTGAGACTTGATTCGCTCAACCTTGGCGCGCATCTTCTCCCGCTCGGCCTTCTCCAGGTCGGCCAGCTTGCCAGTAGAGTCAACCTTGACCCGAGCTCCGAAAATCTTGACCTTGTCTGTGTCCATGGCGGTGTTTGCCACCAGGATCTTGGCATTTTCCAATCGCTTGGGCTGGTTCACACCGATCTTCTTGTCCATGATGAAGCCCTCGTCCAAGTACGAGTCGATCAACTTGCCGCCGGCCTTCTTGATAATTTGGATGTGGCTGAGGTCGGTAGAACCCTTAAGGCGCAGGACTGCCTCACAGGCCAGCCGCGCGAAATGGTCACGATCTTGTGACAGAACCTTAGAGCTCAGGGTGGTACGGGCGATGGCGTGCAGGTCCTTGCGGAAAGCCTCAGCATCCTTGCTTCGGTCGATGGCAATGCTCTCGAGGGCGGCCAGGGCGGCTTTGCTGGCTATCCGGTATCCCTCGATGATGGTCTGGGGGTGAATCTTCGAGTTGACAAGCTTCTCTGCCTCCCGAAGCAGCTCTGCGGCCAGCACGGTGACAGATGTAGTGCCGTCGCCAACCTCATCGTCCTGAACCTTGGAAATGTTGACCAACACCTTCGCCGCGGCGTTATCCAGAGCAATCGATTTCAAGATGGTAGCACCGTCATTCGTCACGAGAATTTCTCCGGTTGATCTGTTGTCCCGCATCCTTCGTTAGCATCTCGATCCTCGCCCGCAATCATCCAGATGGTTATAATTTTGTGATTGCCGCACTTACGCAGACTGTAGAATCTTGTCCATTCCCTTGGGACCCAAGGTGCTCTTCACGAGGTCACCGACCGCGATGGCACCGACGAAGGCCGACAGACGGGCGTTCTCACCCTTCTCCTCGGTCACATCGTCGGCGAAGATCTGTGTGGGATTGCCAAACGACGCCTAGATACGAGTTAGCTGGGTCGGTATTCCAAAGTCTGCCTTGCAGAATCGAGCATTCATGGGAAGAGAGCATACCATGATGATCTGTGTAGACTAAACAATTGACTCAACTGATCCAAGCGACTGTTTGGAAGTTGAAAGCAATGAGTTCGTCAACAGTGGGGGGAGGGAAAGGAGAAAAGTTGGGTGGCCCGAGCTTCTGTTTTCTCCCACCGCCCGCTGCTTTCTCCGGCTTTCTCTCCCTTGGACCTCCTAGAAATTATCGCTTTTCTAAGGCATTTCTGTGCTTTGTTTGGTTATCTACACTCTGATCAAGAATGGTAGGCTCTGATGAAGCCGCTGCCCCTGCAGCCAAGCGTCCGCACTCCGCTGTCGATGGCGACGATAATGGTGCGTACATGACCGCCGAGCTCCCGCAAATTCCAGCTAGCGCAGTCTACTAACCGCGACGAGTAGGCGACGATTCCTCCTCCTCCGATGACTTCGGTCCTGCGTTGCCCTCTGAGGCCGAGCCCAAGAAGAAGCGCCGCAAGCTTCCCTTCGAAAAGATCTATGTCAAGGCGCTACCCGCCTCGCCTCGATACTCCAAGTCCCTTATGCACAAAGAGCAATTGTCTTTCGTGACAGTCACTCCGGTGACTGACTTCGTAATTACCAGTTCTGTTGATGGAGTAGTCAAGTTTTGGAAAAAGATGGCTGAGGGTATTGAGTTTGTTAAGGAGTTTCGTGCTCACCCGGGCGAGATTCATAGTACTAGCGTCAGTGCGGATGGCCGCAGCTTTGCGACAGTGGGAGCGGACAAGACAGTGAAAATCTTTGATGTCATCACTTTTGGTTTGTGATTCTCGTGGCTAGATTAGGAGATCAAGACTGGCTAACTTGCATGGACAGATCTACTAGCTATGTATACCCTGGAATTCGTGCCCCGTTGCGTTTGCTGGGTGCACCGCCGAGGAGCGTCTTTACCGCTACTGGCCGTGACGGATCAGTCCAGCAACACCATTCAAGTCTTTGATGGGCGAGGAGAAAACCCCGAGCCCTTGCATACTGTAAAGTCGGTCCACCGGAGCCCGGTAGTTTCATTGGCATTCAACAATGCATATGACTGTGTCATCTCCGCCGACGAGTCTGGAATGATTGAATACTGGAGAGCAGGGGATGGCTCCTTTGAAAAGCCCGACAATGTGTTTGAGCTCAAATCGTCGACCAACTTATTCGCTTTCAGAAAGGCCAAGTCGGCTGCGACGGCCATAACCATCTCGCCTTCAGGTGAACAATTTGCCACGGTATCTTTCCCAGATCGCCAGGTGCGCGTGTTCGAATTCGCAACGGGTAAATTATATCGCACATACGACGAGTCAATAGCCACTCTCATGGAGATGCAGCAGGCAGGGACGGCCCCGTACCAGCTGGATGAATTGGAATTCGGACGACGATTGGGAGTTGAGCGAGAGCTGGAGGGTGAGTCGATCCGTAACAAGGTCAACGTCTCTTTTGATGAGTCCGGTCACTTCCTGCTTTACGGCTCTCTCTACGGAACCAAGTGCATCAACACCTATACGAACCGTGTGGTGCGTGTGTACGGCCGTGATGAGCCGTTCCGTGCCCTGAACCTCGCCCTCTATCAGGGTCAGCCTCAACGCAAAGGCGTTGTGACTGTCTCCATGGCTGCCAGCAGCAATCCCTTGTTGCAGGAAGCAGAGGAACGAGATGCAATTCTGATCAGCACTGGATTTGGCAAGGTGCGCTTCTACATGTTCACAAATGAGACCGACATATCCAAGTCTTCACGAGATGTACAGAATGAGAAGCCAACCCAGGCTGCGGGTGGGGCTGATGCCGGGACTACCAAGGCCAGCGAAAGTGGCACCGCTGCCGTTCTCCACACGACCATGGGTGATATCCATCTGCGCCTCTTCCCATCCGCTGCCCCCCGGACGGTGGAGAACTTTGTCACCCACGCTCGGCAAGGATACTACAACAACACTATCTTCCATCGTGTTATTCGCAAGTTCATGATCCAAGGTGGTGATCCGCAAGGCGATGGAACCGGTGGAGAGTCCATCTGGGGCGGCGAGTTCGCGGATGAGTTTTCCACCCTGCGTCATGACAAACCGTACACACTGTCCATGGCCAATGCGGGACCTAACTCCAACGGCAGTCAGTTTTTCATCACGACCGAGAAAACACCTTGGCTAGACAACAAGCACACTATCTTCGGCCGAGCTGTGCAGGGGTTGGACGTGGTGCACAAAATCGAGAATGTCAAAACCTACAAGGAGAAGCCGGAAGTTGATGTGAAGGTTGTCAGCATCAGCATCTCCTGATAGCAGGGGAACTGTACATATATAAACGAATAACGATGATTGAAATCAAGTTGCATTGGCGAGGCCATGCACACGCTATGTACCTTAACACGAATCTTGACCAAATGAAAGCACGCCCAATCGAAAGACAGATCCCAGCCACTCTTGAAAATGAATGTGATAGATAGGCAAAGATCGATTCTTTTTTACCCAACGCCGATGAATGCAAGTGTGACGAAAACGCAATAGCATGGTCCTTGCATGTCTATAAAAGAAAAGAAAATAGATTAAAAAAGAAAGAAAAAAAAGATCGGAATCCCCAGTCAGAACGAAAGAAATACGTCGGACGAAATAGCGCAGGATTATGGTGGTGGGACTTGTTGAGTCTCCACCTTTCGAAAATCCACAGCGGCCGCAGGGCTTTGTTTCTGTAATCGATGATTCCCGGATGTAACAGACTTGGGCGGGGCGAAATTGGTACGAGAGCTAGCGACAGAGTTGGTCGGCAGACTGCGCGTCTGGGACGGGGGCAGCGATTGGTTGGACGGTAACACGCCAGATGTGCTCAAGATGCCGGAGCTTTGAAGGGGCCCGGCGCCGCTCACCGGATTGCCGTACAGCTGTAGACCTCGTTTGGTATCACGGCGGCGTCTGAACCAGACTCCAAAGGCGGCAATCAGGCCAAAAGCGATTACCAGCACGATGACCTGGGCTGAATTAGCAATTCCATTCAACGTCGATCGTCAAGTTTGAAACTCACCATGACCACCCATCTGTAATGTGAGTGCCACCTGCGGACAGTTAGTATTTGCGCTTTGAGATTGCGACGAATGCGATTCCGCTCCAGAAAGAAAACCAAAAAAGAAAGCTTACCATCCTTGATTCCCATCAGCCATCCTGGAGTTGTAAGGAAGGTAAAAGGTGAGAAAAAAAACCCCCGGTGCCAGGAAAGGCCGGGTGAATGAGGTCAGAAACGCGTGTCTTCCCAGCGGGGAGAAGAAATGCGCAGATCAATGCAAGATCGATAAGCGAAAGTTCCAAATCGATGAATTCGAAATTCAAGGTCGGGCCCATACGCAATGCGCCTATCGGGAGATGAGAAAGGGAAGAACCCACCGGAATGTACGGAATGATTGTTTATTATTAGGTCATTTCGGCTATTCCGTCCCCCTGGTATTCAAGGTCTAGGTCTCGAGTTAAGGTTCATTCCATTGCATCTGTCAATATCCATCTTTTCGGGAGGCATATCGGTAAGATCTCGTAAAACAATTGGGTTTGAAGCTCTTACCCCGAGCAGGGGCCCACTGCCCTGATCGGCACCGTTAACGGCCCAGGACCAAGGGAACCTTTGTCGATCAGTCCAGCCCTGGAGAGCATCAAACCAGATATATACCAGAGGAGAGAATGATCTATCCATCCACAGTGTACACAGCCTCAGTGCACCGAAAGAATCATCGCTGGATTGCGCTCAGTTTCCACTGTCTCAACTAGGGGAATAGTGGGGCTCTGGAATTTGCAAAACCCGGTTTTAAGCAGTTCAAGCAGCCCTAGGCCGAGTAGGATCGAGTCGATCGACATGAATCTTCCTTGGTCGATGAGGCTAGAACGTAGATGCATACACATGCCGTATACCGGAGATTTCTCGAATACTTAGAGGATCAAACTCAAGGTATGTCAGTCAGTGGAGTCTTGGATTCTGCTTTCCACAAGTCTAACGGTGCCTATTTTCTCAGGCAGCAAAATAGTGGCTCCAATGTTATGTAAGCGCCGATAGCCTGGATTCAGTGGCAGAAGTCGGGACTTAACTGATAGTTAATGTTTGAGTTTCCACTTCCCTAATCTCAAGGTTAATTACTGTCTCTATGTCTACTTCAAAGAGTGTTCCTTGCCACTTTCTAAGGTGGCCGTGTCCGGAATGATCTGACAAGGCCCCGGGGATGGCACACTTCAGGACCTCGGGCGCTTGGTTCCATGTACAGTCACTTTGTGGGCGACAAGAAAGATCAGTAAGTAACCTTGGCAACACAATCCCAGCATCTCAGTGAATTGAGAGCTTTAAGGTTAAACCCAGTAAATATTGAAAACTTGGACAAACCACGCGGACAATGGAAGTATTCAATTGCAGATTGACCAGGTGGAGTTCCAAGTTTCGGCATGGAAACATAGGGGAGCTCCCGAGATCCAGATATCCCCTCACCTTTGCCAGATACATGGATGCCATTCTTCAGGTTCCTAGCCTCAAAGTAGATTGATGAACCATTAAAATGACGCTACATAGCTTCCAAGCTTAGGCTCGACATGTTAGATAGAAAAAGATTTTCGATCTGGTTTTCACCGGGGCAGGGCTCTAGCTCTACCCTTCACTACACGTGCTAGAACCTTCACCTGCCTTCCCTCGTATCAAGGCTATTGGTCCAGTTCCTTTCCAAACAGACACAGTAGATGGAAACCAAGCTGATGTCTAGGCACCTGGGAGCCTAAGAGTTGGTGTCTATGAGGTCATCCTCTACAAAAGCTTTTGTACTGTACGGGGTTTCACCCGTAGCACTTCGTCAATTTTTGAGCCATCCCACATTGGAACCAGGGAAACAGTGGCCAGGCTTCGTCAATACGAAAATCAAACCGTAGATCCTTACGTATGCAATTCTAACTCGGTCGACAGTTACTATGATGTGTGTAGGGCTGAGGGTCAATTCAAGGCAAACAACTGTACGCGGTGGCGCGGATGACGTTATCCGATGTCAGCGACTGGATCTTGTTCTTCATTCCCCACTATAAGCGTCAACACGTTGGAACTTAATTAAACCCCCAGCTTGTGTATCTATGTCGATCGAAATCGGCGGGGCACGTCATCCCTCCCAGGATTGGTTCTTTGTCTCAGAAATGGCGTCACGGTGCTGCGGACAAAGTATATATACTTCGTCCACAATGGTCAATTCAATCCATATCAATCAACTATTCAACACAATATCCTCACATTTTCACATATCTTTCTTTCCCAGCAAATCTTCCTGAACCAGATACCAAAATGTCCAACATCATCCATAAAGTCAAGGACACGATTGCCCAGCACAAGGAGCATAAGGAAGAGGAAAAGGTAGAGAAGACTGCGGAGCACCACACCGGCACCAACGACAACACCTATGATTCTACCAAGTCTTCCAACCACGGTCCCCATGGCAGCAACACCGCCAATAAGGCCGACCCTCGTATTGACAGCGACCGGTCCAACTTGACTGGCTCAACTTCGGGCAACTACGGGCCACACGATAGCAAACTTGCCAACGAGGCCGATCCCCGTGTTGACAGCGATCTGGACGGCCGTGCTGCCCACAACACCTCCACTGCCACTGGTGCTGGCTACGGCTCAACCGGCACTAACCACGGCACCACAAACGCCTATGATTCTGCCCGCTCTTCGAACTATGGTCCTCACGACAGCAAATTGGGCAACGCCGTCGACCCTCGTGTGGATAGCGACCTAGACAGTCGAGGTGCCCACAATACTACAACTGGGTACGGCTCAACTGGACCTACTGCGGCTGGTGCTGGCTATGGCTCTACTGGCAACAACTATGGCACCGCCAATACCTACGATTCCGCCAGATCCTCCAACTATGGGCCCCATGGCAGTAATGTTGCCAACGAGGTCGACCCTCGCGTTGACAGTGACCGTGACGGCCGTGCTCACCATAGCACTTCCTCCGGTCACGGCGCTGGTTACGCTGCTACAGGTGCCGCTGCCGGTGCCGGCGCTGGCTACGCTGCCTCGCACCACAACTCAACTCACGCCCCTTCCACCGGTCCTGCCACCTCGACGTCTGGTCCCCACTCCAGCAACGTAGAGAACAAGGTGGATCCCCGTGTTGACAGCGACACTCCCAACGACCGTTATTCCGCTTCAACTGGCCCAGCCTCTTCGACCGCTGGTCCCCACAAGAGCAACGTTGCCAATGAGGCTGATCCCCGTGTCGACAGTGACCGCAGCAATGCTACCTTTGTTGGCGGTGACTCCCGATTTGATAAAGATGTTCACAAGGCCAGCCTTGGTGGCGGTGATGTGATGCACCTTTCTGGTAACAAGGCCCCGACTACTACCCAGACTTTTGAAAAGTCCCAGCATGAGAGTCTTGGTAGCGGTGCTGCCGCTGGTAGCAGCTACAACTCTCAGAAGACTGTTGGTCCTCACAGCAGTGATACTGCCAACAAGCTCGACCCTCGCGTCGACTCGGACCTTGATGGATCCAAGACTGTTGGCTCTCAACGTGTTTAATTATGAAGTTTACGATTGTCACGCTAGTTAAGGTTAATGATTGAATACATATTATTTCTCATCTGAACAATCTTGGAAACTTCAAAAGTAAACTTGAAAAATGTAGAACCTTGCGGGACTAAAGCCCTGTCTTTTCATGATGGTACTTTCGGCTTCCAAACGGCCTCGGAACTATATCTTCTCCACCGCGGGTCTAATACCCTCTGGAGCAGGCGTAAGCCTCCTCACATAGTTGAGGGACATCTGCTCATGAATACGTAAAAGGTCTTTTCTGCAAGTTGGAAAGGCCTTGGTCGACTGGCCAGCCCACTGAGTTTATGTCTGAATTGCTTTCAAAGGCTAGCGGAGATTTTGTACTATGAAAACCCTAGACTAGCACGTTCCCATATCCTCCTAGGAGGCTCCCAGAGACACGGGCTAGGCCCATATTCTGCTGGACGTTAATGATAACGACACCAACATCTATGATGGCATATTAGATCCATAAATGCATAGACGCCATGGCTGTCACGAAGTTTTAGCCAAAAGGTTCCATATCTGCACACTTACTTACGTGACCGGGTAGCTACGTACGCCTGTAGATGCACCTGTTTTTGATATCGGTCTTCTACTAATTTAATCATATAGCAAGACCAAGCCTGATAAAGTACTGTATTTAAGGAGCAGAAGTGGTGAAACAAGAAATAAAAAGAATCAATGAGAGATAACGCGCATGTATGCAGTGATGATTAGTAAATACAGTAGAAGGAAATGGGTGTAATGAGAGATACAGAAAGAGAGGGGGCGAGGAAGAGATGAGAGAGAGAGAGAGAGAGAGAGAGAGAGAGAGAGAGAGAGAGAGAGAGAGAGAAGAGAAGAGGAGAGAAAGGAACCCTACTCCTTATGAGATCAGGGCCGGGTATCATCTTTAAGCAGCAGCCTTACCTCTCGAGACCTTCGCCTTTGAGGTCCGGACTCTGAAGAGGTAGTACACGAGCACACTAGCAGCCATATTGAAAACAAAATAGCACCAAAAGATGCCATAATCACGCCAGCGATCCTCATAGTAGATCTCTCTGGCTGCGAGGTAGTCATCCGCCGATGTCATGCTGCAATATTCACAGCTGGAAGTGGCATTGGGGTTGTAGATGGTACCCGTAGAAGTTTCAAGGTACTTTGCCATGTACTCATAGCAAGTCTGGCCGGAAGGTGGGTCGAAAACGTTGAGCTCATCACTGCTGCACTCGACGGAGCGGCCATGAAGAGCTGTACCACTGATACCGGCGATGTAGTAAGTGAATGGGGACACGCGGTACATAAATATCCAGAAGCGAGGCAGTGCACTGGGGGGCTGCATGACTCCGTTGAAGATGAACGAGAGACCAAACATGAGAGTTGCCACCATGGCGGCAAGAGTAGGCTCGGGGATAGCGCACACGACGAATTGTGCCATGCTGGCTGCGTACATGTAGAACTGACAAATGTAGAGCAGAACAATACCAGTCTGTTCCGAAGTTTGATTGGCGCCAAAGACTGCCCAGTAAAATGAAGCCCAGGAGCAGACACCCAAGCAGAATTGCCAAGGGACCTCCACTAGCATTTGTGAGATGATGAACACTTGCCATGAGTAAGTCCTAGATGGTCGCTCGCGAACCTCGTAGAGGGATCTTTGCGCCACCAGGTTAGGCATGATAGCATTGGCGAGCGTGTTGAAGATAGTGCAGAGAAGGAAGATACCAAAGAGAGCGTTCTGCAAGCCTTGTTCGGAGTTGTCAGACTTGAAGAAGGAAAACCCAATGAATAGACCGCTGACAATGCCGAGGACAAACTTAGAATAGATATAGTCGGGCCTGCGGAAGTAGGCCTGGAAGCATCGACCAAGGACCACCCAGAGCTGGGTCATTATAGGCATAGCAAACTCGGCATTATCATCATCACCATCGTCATGGGTAGAAGGCTCATCTCTGGGTCCCTTGATGGAGTGGAGACGATCGACTTCCGCAATGACTTCCTGAAACTCTGGACTGTTCTTCCAAGCTTGAACCCAATCAACGTCGGGGCAGCCGTCTCCGGCTACCATGTCAAGAATATATTCGGCAGGGTTCTCCAGCGTTTCACAAGGCCGAGCTCCATTGCGCTCAAAGTAGTCGAGAAGCGTGGCGGACTGTTCTCCAACCTCGCCAAAGTAAACTGTCCTGCCACCCTTGGCAAGGAAAAGTAGACGGTCAAAAGTTTGGAACAGCGTCGCACTAGGCTGATGAATTGTAGCTAGCACAGCCTGACCGTGGTCTGCCAGTCGCCTTAGGAATTGACAAATGGTCCATGAACTCTGTGAGTCCAGACCACTGGTGGGCTCGTCGAGGAAGATGAGAAGAGTAGGCTTGGCGGCAAGCTCAACTCCGATGCTAAGAAGCTTGCGCTGCTCGACGTTGAGTCCCTCTCCGAGAGATCCGACAACGGCTTCGGCGAAATCCTCCATACCCAGGACTTGAATGACCTGTTCCACGTATTCATACTTTTCCTGTTTGGATACTGTCCGTGGCTGACGGAGCATTGCACTGAACTGAAGGGCCTCTCGAACGGTTGTAGTGTCCATGTGGAGGTCCTGTTGCTGAACGTATCCAGTTCTCCGGGGGAAGTTTGCCGTTGGCAGCTTGCCATTCACAAAGACATCACCAGTAACGACACCGATTGACACTCGCTGTGCAAGAACATCCAACAGTGTAGTCTTTCCAGCGCCAGAAACTCCCATCAATGCAGTCAAAGTTCCTGGCTTGACCCAGCCGTTTACATCGTCCAGCAAACGCCGAGTGCCCTCCTTCACAGGAATCTCGTATTGAAGATTCTTCCAGGAGAAAATGTCAGTCTGCTCTGGAAGGCGGATATCATCATTAGTGCGCTGCACTTCAAGTTTCGTGAGATCACCGGCTCCAGTCTCCGAGTCCTTTTGGCTGTCTTGGATGTGCTGGGGGACATGACCAGGGCGGTAAACCAGAGCTTCCGCTTTGGATGTGTCATGAGAGATAAATTCCGTGGCTGCCAAGTAGAGCGCATTGAAGAAGATCATGAAAGCAACCAAGATGCCAAAGTTTCGCCACAGGTGGGAGTAGTAGTACTCATAGTTTTGATTTATGAAGGTATCACCACTCACGTATGTCTGGCCGGCCACTGATCCCACAACAGAGCACACAAAGTTAGTTCCAGTGGCATAACTCGGGATCAGAGCTGAACATTGATAGTTCTTTCCATGGAATTCATTGGCGATGAGAGCCTCAAAGGTGTAGTAAATCGGGTTGATCCACCGAATCCAAGAGAACCACGGGTGCATGTAAGGCTGCGGCAAAGTAAACCCAGTGTAGACGACAATGCAGAGAACTAGAACACCCGCTACGGCCATTGCTTGACCGACCGACTTGGTGAGAGCTCCTAAGCTGCGGAATAGACCAGACATGGTCAAGACGGCGACCAACAAGAACAGGTAGAAGATGAAGAAATTGCCTGGCTCTCGGCGCAAATTTGTCATGAAGTAGAGAATGATGCTGAAAACAGTGAGTCGCAGAAGTTTGATGGGCAGATCGATGACAATGCTGGCGAGAGCTTCGGTAAAAGGATGGACGAATGCATATCCAGCCTGTTTTTCAACAATCGAGCGCTGGCTGTAGAGCTGGAGGATCTCGTTGATAGTAAGCAAAGCATTCATGAGAACCGCAAAGTAGCACACTGCGCCTTTTTGGAAGAAATAGCTAGAAGTGTCGGGGGTATTGTAGAAGGCAGAACCGATGATTAGAGATAAAATCAGTTGAACAATGACCGGGGATATCGCAGTGGGAAGATCGTTAAGAACTCGCTGGTAAGCGCGAGTTGTACAGAGTCGAATTTGCATGGGGATTGAAAGCAGATAAGGGCTGTGAGACCGGGTATGACGAGCCTGCTGTTCCTCGTGATTGATCTGGAGTCGTTTGGCAGCCTCGCTATTGGGCGCATGCTGAGATTCATAGGTCGTGATCTGCTCGCGCAAAGTCTTGTACTCCGGGCTTCTCTTCCAGAACTCATAGAATTCCTTTGCGGTTCGCGGCACCTTCGACTCCATTCCAGGGCGCGTGGTCCGCTCATTGGGGTTAGTGATGGCAGTCAGAAAATCTCCTGATACCTGGCGCTCTGGCCTTTGCCATCCTTGATCCTCAAAGTAAGACACAGCTCGATCGCGAGGGCCATAGTAGATCTGATAACCCTCGTAAAGAACCACAACCTTATCGAATAGGTCATACATCGATTGGGAGGCCTGGTAGGCGGCAATGGCGTGGCAGGAATTGCCCATGTCTGCGGCAAGACGCTGGGATCGGACGAATCTGAGGGCTGAAGCTGCATCCAAACCCCTCGTGCAGTTATCCCACGCTCCTAGACGACAACGGCTGAGGAACATTTCCGCAATACTGACACGCTTTCGTTCACCTCCACTGACACCACGCACGAATTCGCTGCCAACCTTGGTGTTGAAGGTATGGGTAAGACCAAACACACTCATCACCACCTGGACGAGTGTGTCACAGAATTGCGCTCGGCTCAAACCCTCCAGGCGCTTGTGGGGAGCTCGGGCATGGGCGGCGAACGAGAGGGTCTGGCCAACTGTAAGGTGAGGGAAATGAAGATCGACCTGGCATGAGATTGGTCAGCGTTGGGTTGAAGGCGCGTTTTGTAGAATATTGGAGCTTTACCTCTTTGTTGTATGCAACCTCACCGCGGTGGTATTTAATCATATCCTCAAAAGAGATACCTTCATAATGAATAGTGCTGTTGGGATCCATGGTCAAGCCTCCGAGGTGACCAGTGATTGTCTTGAGAAAGGTGGTACAGCCGCTTCCCGGGCGACCCAGCACGAGCAATAGCTCACCGGCATCGAGCAGGCCATCGAAGCTTTGTAGGATACGACGCGGTTGAGAGCGACGTCCGTTCAGAGCTCGTACAGCCGAGCGGAAGGGCACCGCGAGAACCGACGTCAGGGTCTCTTGATACTGGATAGCTGCACCACTGCCGCTGACAGATAGATCCTTGAACACCACACTCTGCTGAGGCGACTCAATACCCTCCTCGTGCATCTGGTCCAAAACGGTTTGAGCCCATCTGTAGTGATCAAATTCCGGGCTTGAAGGGTCCAATCGAGGATCATTCTTCTTTGATGAAGCGGAATGGGCGGAGACTGCTCTTCCCAGCTTGCTTGAAGCAATGCGGCCTAGCTGATTGATAGTTTCATTTTCCATCTCCTCCTCCACAGTGGGGGATTTCGTTGTGATGGGCGCGAACTCCACATCGGAGTCGTCCTGTTGTTTCTCCGTGCCTTTCTCCATGCTGGGCAAAGAGTAATCCGGTGCACGAGTTCAACCGAGCAAGAGAGAAAGAAATTGGAACTGGGATTGACGAATATAATAAATCATGCCCCATCTTGAATTTTTGGTACTATTGACTCGGGCACGGAGCGAGTTTGGCCGACAAATGCATATTTTAACTCGGAAGTCCACCTGCCCGAGCCCCTCAGACGGAGTTCGGGGTGAGAAGTGGATCCCAGTGCGTGGCTTTTGCTCCCGTTTCATGGACTTGTGTCCTATTTCCGAATTTAAGCTTCGTTCAAGCAAATGATATGCAGCTTCTAGAATGGAGGAGCCCTGATGAATAAAGGAGGCTGTACGCCTTACAGGAAAAAGAAACGACTATTGCCCGATACTGCAGATGTCCCCTTGTACGATGTTATCCATGTGGCAAATACGTCAAACTTCTGTCGATCAACTGCAAAATACAGCACATCTCATGCATATCTCATTGACCATGGACAGCTCATGATGACATCTAGACAAAACTTAGCAGCACCAAGTATCTTGGCAATCTTGTACACACCACTACTGTAAAGGTAAAGCACCTGAGCACTTGCATTGAGGCTTTGTAAAATCGAGGAGCTGATGATGGTTTCCTTCAACATTCTGTATGGCTTCCAGGTCCTGTTTAGAAAGACGCACAACAAGGCTGGAACATGCTCAGCTGGTTGGAGTCATAATTATCGTTAGATGATTACTAGCGTGGCAGGGTCGGGGATACGGAGTCCCGAGCGCCGACCCCGGAGTTAAGTTTAAATGCCGGGATCTTGGATTTGCCGACTTTTCGATCTGGAACCCCTATTAGCTGTGGACAACTACGCAGAGTTTTATCTCCTCGGAGAAGATCTGCGACTAGTCGGGTTTATTTTTATTTCGAGGTTAAGTCCGATTCGTGCAATCTTCAAGTTGCGCTTGAGATCCATCCCAATGAGTCAGCCTTTAGCTGATATCTGGATAATTGTGTGAGAAAATCTAAGGGATCATCATTACCGGACATGAATTCTAGCATATATCTCTAACGATAGGCGGGTCCTTACAGCAGAACATCCTGTGATGTAACTTGGAAAACTAGAATGATTTGAATGCTATAAGTCGCTTAGGCACGTGTTTGGAATGATGTATTGTAATTCTAGACACCCCCCTTGGCCAAGTCCGTCAGATGCCCAGACGTCTCTGACTCTTTGGAGCGTCTCAGTTCCTATTTGGGCATCATTGACTGGTGCCAAGGGTCGCTGCCTAAATAAATCAAAATTCGAATATGTAGCCCTTGATTATGTCGGATCATTCTCATGTCCGACATGGTGCTTCCAAGTCATATGACCTACGTATTCCGATATACCCCTGTCCCCTCAAGAAAGGAGAATCATACAGGATATCAGCCTGTGCTCTCCATCCTTGACTGATAGGCCTTAATTTTGTAGGGCGTTTGCAGCTCGTAAATATGTCCCGCCTGTGGGCCTGATGGGTCCACTTCAGTTCTACCAATAGGCCAATGATTATCTCTGTATACCGATCCGTACATGGCTAGATCCTTCCCAAGGCATGTGTACCTTGGCGCCCCTGCCCTCCCCAGCTCTCGTAGACAGCTCAAGCTTAAGATCATCCATCACGGACTATACAAAATCATGCTCCAACAAAGGTGACAAACTCCACCACGACTCGGGCCAGCGCTCAGGGTAGTCTCCAAGGGGGAAACATGCTTGATCATGATTTGTCCAACCCCATATTCATATTTATCATTCAGACATATCACAGCAACATTTTATACTTCCCCCTTCCAATGGCACGCCTCTGAAACTGGGTACTTGGAAATATCCATATCTAGACGGGTGTTCTCATCATCATGTGCTGCCTGGTCCATTCCAAATAGGTCAGCCCAGGGTCATCGCAAAGGTTCGGCGAAAGGCACGGCATCATCGAGCTTTTTATCAAATATGGTGTTCTTTCTGACTCGTCGTGGTTCTCTTCTAGCAGATCTCCACGAGCGGGTGGTGTTTCAGACACCGGGAAGGCAGGGTACCATCAGTGGTCCCCCACCCCAGCTGGCTTTTGCTGCTGTCCAGGCTGAGCTAGAGCAGACTTCCAACAGGTCTGGTAGTATTGTCGTTGTTGGATTCCGTAGTAAAGCCATAGAAGCGGGCATCAAGCTCAGCCCTGATGAGAGTGTCCGCACTGGCACTTGCCAGGCGCTGGGCATAATTGGATCCGTGATGGTTCAGCCTGAAAACAAAGTCTGTGGTGGCGTATTGGCTTTACAGGCTGGTTCTGGTCATCCACCCGACAGTCACAATTGATGACTTGGTATTCTGGATAGCTTTCATATGCAAAGCAATGATTTTTATTGGTTCTTGACATCTTATCACGAAAGACTTTCAGGAGGCAAAATGTTACAGAGTGTAAACTTCTAACGTTCTTCAGTCCCGGGTAATGACATAATAAAGGACATGTTCTAGGTACAGCTCTGAGCAAGAAATAACAAATGCCGAGCATTCAATTCCCTGACGATGTGCAGCTCGAGCGTTGTGAAGGCTCCCAAAGCCAGGACAGGCTATACTTGCGGTGATTGTTGCGACGAGGCTCGTTCGGTGTTTGAGTTTCTTGGGATGAAGGGAATGACATGATGTCGCGTGAACTGGAGGGTAATTCATCCTCGTAGGATCCCCTGGCGATAGCGACGAGCTTTCCGAGGATAGCGTATTCGAGTTTTAATTTAATGCTGTAGGCCACGGGCTTGAACATGACCTGGACGGCATAAAAGCCAACGTATTCAATGGCGACAATGGCGACGTCGAGAATAAGAATGATAATGTTGATGAAGAGGAGTTGATGAAGAATCCCTTGCGACCGGCCCTCTGGGCGTAGCCGCAGCAGCTTCCCAGTCTCCCATACGTATATACCGGAGATAATCAGCTCTTGGATGCAGAACCCAACGAGCTGGATCCGCTCCATAATATTGTACCCATTAGCCCAGACACTGTTGGGCGCGGCAGCGGTCCCATAGAGCAACACGGTGGTGGGAACATGGAAGAGGACGACATCAATGATGATCATCCACAGCACACCCCAAAGTACTTTTGTGTTTTGCAACACCAAATGGAGACGGGACCAGAGCACCACGGATTGACCGGTCACCATGGAAATCCAGCCGACGATAATCAAAGTGACGCAGACATAGGGTGAGACGCCGGTAGGGAAGAAGAGACAGACATAGCCTAGGCAGTGTGGAATGATGGCGGAAGAGGCAATGAGCATACTCCAAAAGTAGCAACCGCGATGTCGCTTGAAGGAGACAAAGCACAGGATGATGAGCTCAATGGCATTGTACCAGGCAATGGCGGAAAAGGCCGCAAATATGTGGGTGCGGACTTGGTCTCCGTTGGTGTACTTGCGTGTCAGCGAGTTCGCGATGTCGGAACCGTTAACAGTCGACATAGGTGAAGAGGGAACATCGCTCCAGAAGTTCGAAGGGCTGACAAGAAACGCACCCTGATGGGAAAACGCAGAGTTCAAAAGGAATGTCGTTAGGCAAAGGAAGGGGGCATGCACGGTCGATCATCTGGGGGCATGGATGGTCTCGACTATCGACCAATTTGCGGTCAAAGCGTGCAGATTTAAGGTTTTTTGGAAAAGAGGAAGCGGGCGAGAACAGGCGCGGAGCACCGTTGACTGAGTTGACACTGGGTTCCATGGGTCTGGCATGTCGGGCAATACGACCTTAGGTCGATGCGGGGAAAGAGACTAGTTCATGGGGGAATGGGAAACGGGACCTGGGGGATTCTCGAGTGGATCTGATCGACGGGGCCTAGGAGTTATTGATAATTCCAAAGTATAACCCCTGAGTTGGTGGAGACGATCAAGTTTGAAGGAGAGTTTGGACGAGATCGCTTGCATGTCAACGCTTCCGTAATTGGTCTCGATTGACTGAAAACCCCGACACCCATGAATAGTATGGAAAACAAGGGGGACTGGAGAACGGCTAGGTTTTCCGTTCCCGAAAAGAACCAGTAACCTGGGAAACTTCATTTATCATCATTGGGTCTGGATTATCTATGCGAGGAAGTCACGGGATCTTGCCAATTGATCTAGACTTGGTATCTGCAGTTCATGCAGGTTTCTCAACCATAGCTTGCAGCCATGGAAACCAGGGTTTGCATCTGCACCATCCCAGATCGGGTGACGTCAGGAATCTCGATCGCGCGATCGATGACATCCCAGCTCCCTATAAAACGCCAGCACGCGTTGTGGGAACACGTCTACAAGTGATGCGTGTGCGTTTGACAACCCACCCCTTGACATTTCCCATCCGACCGGGTTTTTTCACTCGGTTATTCACTCCAATTGCATCAATGGCACCCCGCAAGCGAAAAGCGACCAAAAGCGAGAGTCCCGACGCAGACACGAAGCAGGATGCTGGAATAACACAACATGCGCACAAGAAAGAACGTCTGACCGACCTCCGATCTCCACATCCCAATGCGAAACAGACTGAAGACTTTGGTATCGTTCTGCGCGACTTCTATCCCCCGGAAATGGCAAATGAGCGCTGTCAGGCCTACAACGACGGGACCCTCGAACGACCGATCGAGACCCTGGAGAAAGCGTGTCGGGATACCGCAGAACACCGCCGTTCCGCAGAAGCCGGACAAGCAGTCGTACACTGGTTCAAGAGCGACCTGCGTCTACATGACAACCGGGCCCTTCGCATGGCCTTTGATATAGCCAAGGAGAACGAGGTGCCCTTGATCTGCCTCTATATCCAGTCCCCGGAGGACTTGACTGCCCATCTTGCTAGCCCGGCGCGAGTAGACTTTACTCTACGTACTTTACAGCGGCTTCAACAGGACCTCGCCGAACTGGATATTCCCCTTTACATGGAGACCGTGGAGAAGCGCGAAGCCATCCCAGGCCGCATTGTGGAATTGTGCCAACAATGGGAGGCCAAGCATTTGTGTGCCAACATTGAGTATGAAGTGGACGAGCTGCGTCGGGATGCTAAGATTGTGCGCCTGTGTGCCAAGAACAACATCGACTTCTCTCTCTCACATGACAGCTGTGTTGTTACGCCAGGTGCCCTGAGTAGCCAGCAAGGCAAGCAATACGCCGTGTACACGCCCTGGTTCCGCTCATGGCTCGCATTTTTAAAGGGGAACCCGGATTATCTAGAGCTATCGGAGGAACCTGGCACGAATCCGGGCGACGCGCGGAGAACGTTATCTGACCTCTTTGATTGCAAGCTGCCAAGTGCACCCGAGAACAAAAAGCTTTCTGACAAGGAGCGAAAACGCTTTGAGGAACTCTACCCCGCGGGTGAGCACGAAGCTCTCCCACGACTGGAGAAATTTCTGGAGGAAAAAGGTCGTCAATATGAGGAGATGCGTAGTGTGCTGCCTGGGAAGCACACGTCCATCCTTAGCCCGTATCTCGCCAGCGGTGCCATCAGCGCCCGCACTGCAGTTGTGACAGCAAAGCGAGCAAACAAGAACCACCTGGATCGGTATGACGCAGGATACATCTCGTGGATTAGTGAGGTCGCCTGGCGTGACTTTTACAAACATGTGTTGGTCCAATGGCCCTTCATCTGGTGAGATGGACCTGGCATCCTTTCCGCTCTACGCGACGCTAACAATGACCGCAGTATGAATAAATGTTTCAAACCAGAACATACCGATATCGAGTGGGAATATGATGCAGATCAGTTCCAGGCATGGTGCGAAGGTAAAACCGGTTTTCCCATTGTGGACGCCGCGATGCGACAACTTCGCCATTGCGCATGGATGCACAACCGGACACGGATGGTGGTATCGTCCTTCCTGTCCAAGGACTTACTGCTTGACTGGCGTCGTGGGGAGCGATTCTTCATGGAGAATTTGATCGATGGTGACTTTGCGTCTAATCATGGCGGCTGGGGATTCGGCTCTAGCACCGGCGTTGATCCGCAACCATACTTTCGCATCTTCAATCCTTTGCGACAGAGTGAGCGCTTCGATCCTGATGGGGAGTACATCCGACACTGGGTACCGGAATTGAAGGATGTGGAGGGCAAGGCGATCCATGACCCATATGAACGAGGTGCTGGGTCTATTGCTGAAAGGAATGATTATCCCCGGCCCATCGTGAATCATGCGGAGAGTCGGGAACGCGCACTAACGCGATACAAGAAGGTCCTGCAGAAGTAGTGGGTCTGACTTTGTAATATTCGTCTATAACTAGTGTATGGAGGCTTAGAAATAATCTGAGATTTCACTAGGAACCTTTCCTCTAAACCTCGTGAGCATCGCGGCCACTCGAGACAGACTAGGACCCGGAAGCCCGCCGCGAACTTAGATTCATGCCTAAATCATTCGCTGCATCGGCTAACGCGAACGATTCTGTAGATTAAATTTTCAAACGACTCTACCGTTAGTGTGGGCAGTGCAACGCCAGCCTATGATTGGCGCTGCCCGCTGAGACAACCGCCACAATTTCCCCGCGCTTTAGCTTTCTCCCCCGAACTTCTTCCCCAAGTTCTCATTTTTATCCCCAATGACGCTTTTGCGATAATCCCGGACATGGAAGCCCAGTCCGGGGACCGGCAGTCTCCTGCGCCCGCGCCAGACGATCTTCCAAACGGCAAACGACGATGGCGTCGCAATCGAGTAGCGTGCGATTCATGTCACACTCGGCGCGTTCGTTGCGACCGGGCCTTTCCCTGCTCCCGGTGCCTGCGCAGTGACACCCACTGTGAATTTACTCGGGAGCGCAGGAAACGCGGGCGAATCGCGCGTGCAAAACTAGAGACCGGGGCTGCTGCTTCTACCTCCACTAACTATACCCGGAGGGAATCCAATGGAGACCAGAAAGTCCTCATGCAACCAGCATTGTCGCCAATGCTGCAAAGCTCACCTGAGTCATCCTTCCAACCCAGATCGCCAATGACAAACGAACCGAGTCTCTCGGCACCCAGCGTCGAAGGTCCGCATCCCGTGGTGGATGGCCGTCCTTCCCGAGCAGCACCAGAAGGGAACAACACAACGGAAGAATGGCTATCGGCGGCTCATCTATCTCCAGACTCGTATGAGCTTTTGGGTGGTGTGAATGGAGGGGATGGCCCATTACCGCGCTTGCTGGACGTTTGGAACCCAGTTGAACCGGCAGGTCATCCGTCTCATCCCCCGCAACCTCAGTCCATGCCGGCGCCGAACATTCCTGGCCAAAATTATGGCTCTAATTCACGATCAGGCCTGAAATACCCCGTGCTGGAACCTGTTATGCCGTTTCTGGGGTCCAACTTGCCCCGTCGCCTGGTTGGCGATTTGCTTGAACTTTATTTCACCAGTGCCTTTTCGACTCACATGCATCCGGTCTGTCACCATATCCACTGTTATGTTCTGCGAAAGGCCTCCTTCTTGAGCACCGACCACCCTCGGCCAAGCAGCCCGGCCTTACTGGCCAGTATGCTTTGGGTCGCGGCGGTCGATGATCGCGCGTTCTCTTTATCTATCTCTCCGCTCCAGCGACGGAAGATCTGCCAATTTCTGTGCGCTTTGACGATCCGACTCTTGCGGCCGTTAATTCATGTTTCCTTCAAAGACCAAGAGCCTGCAGAGAACCCGAATGGCTCACAAGACTTCGCAGCGGCAGCAGCGCATCATCCATTTGAAGGAGTGGGCGATGACAAGGGGCTGGTGGGCCCAGCAGGCTCCCTTGATGATGTGATCACGTATATACATGTCGCATCTATTATCTCTTCCAGTGAGCAAAAGGCTGCTAGTATGCGATGGTAGGTCATTTGCGTTATACGGTCTATCTCGCCGCCTTAGACTAACGATATCCCAGGTGGCATGCGGCCTTCACGCTAGCTCGAGAATTGAAACTCAATCAGGAGATCGAAGTTGTGCCGAATGTAGATGGCCAAAGCGATGGATCGAGTCCATCGTTTGGATATCCCCTCGGGAGCTGGGCGAGCTCGCCGGGAGGCCCTGCCTTTGACTACTCCAATCCATCGCGACCAAGTTTGAACTGTATCTGCGACGAGACACGGAATCCTCAGAACAGCTTCACGGTGACCGAGGAGTACCGTGAAGAACGCCGTCGCACTTGGTGGCTGCTCTATATCATGGATCGTCATCTGGCGCTATGCTACAATCGGCCACTGGCTCTCCTCGATGCCGAAAGCGAAGACTTGCTTCTCCCCCTAGACGAGGGCTCCTGGCAGGCTGGGAATATTCATAGCAACAGTCCTCGTTCCGATGGGCCTCAGTGTCCGCGATCTGGCGATCGAAACAAGCGTCGTGTCTTTCCCAATTTTGTCTGCCATGACCACTCAATTCTCGGCTTCTTCCTACCGCTCATGACTATCACTGGGGAGCTGATTGATTTGAACCAGGCGCGAAATCACCCCACCCTTGGTGTGCGGTTACAAGGCAAGGAGGCATGGGAGGTCCATGTGGCAGAGGTGCTTCGGCAGCTCGAGGTCTACAAGGCGAGCCTGACGACCTTTGCCGCGGCCACAGCTGTTGACCCCGAGGCATCTGTGTCCACTGCGTTTAACCCAAAACTGGATGAGCCTGTTGACCCAAAAATATCTGAAGCGTATTCGTGGCATACGCAAACCGTGATTGCCTACTCATCCTATTTAGTCCACGTTCTTCATATTCTTCTCGTTGGTAAATGGGACCCGGTGTCCCTAATTGAGGACAAGGATTTTTGGACGTCCTCCCCCGCCTTTGCATCCACCATCTCGCATGCCTTGGAAGCCGCGGATTCTGTGCAGCAGATCCTGCGGTTCGACCCAGACATCAGCTTCATGCCATACTTCTTTGGCATCCAGCTGCTCCAGGGAAGCTTCCTCCTACTTCTGATCGTTGAGCGCTTACAGAAGGAGGCAGGGGAGGGAATTCTGAACGCTTGTGAGACCATGATCCGTGCCACCGAATCCTGCGTGGTCACCCTCAATACGGAATACCAGCGAAGCTTTAGGCAAGTGATGCGCAGTGCGGTCGCTCAGGCTCGCGGCAGGCCCGTCAACCCCAGCGAAATCCGACACCGTCGTAAGGCGGTGCTGGCCCTGTACCGATGGACGCGCAAAGGGACTGGATTGGCTCTGTGACCCCACTATTTGGGGCTCTGCCGTTACCCCACAGTAAAGAGCTGTAACTATGTATACATACTGGTCTTTGGGTATTGTGCCTTTTTTTTATATATAATCTTCATGCGGCGCTAGGAGTCTCCCGAGGTCATAGAGTTGTAGTTTTGAATTGCGAATCTAATACATCAGCAGCATTAAATCCCTAAATGGCCTCGCCCTCCATCTTGTATGGACACTTGAATCTTGCAAGGTTATTACCATCGGCTGTAATGTATGGCAAATTCGGAAAGAGGTGTCGGATTATCCGATATTCATATATGCAGTACGATAAGCGAGATGTCATAACGTGGAGAGATGGCGACATTCAAGCCGTTGTGCAGTGTTCTCATCCGCCACGCAAAGCACGCAACGCTACGGGGACCCACATTCGACATGGATATGTATCATTCCCTTCCTCTCCAGCTCCTTGGAATATTTCCAGCTTCATGGGGTATTTCCAGCTTCACGTCGGAATTAGCTTTTTCGTGCAACCTTACACTACAGGGGATTGGCGTCACAACCACTCGAAAAACGTAGATGATGTAGGTTCGAGATTCAAGGTGGATCCCGGATCGCCATTGGCCTCACCGATGGCACCATCAAGCTCTCCACTTTTTGCCGAGCTCGACAATTGGATGTGCTGCAAGTGTGGATTAGAATCGTGGAACATGATGTATTAGCGATCAGACGCGAGGGATGTAGTCGACACGCGTTACTGTCAATGTCGCGACCCCTCATATCTTTTGGCTCCTTCACACCTTCACCCCAGGACCCAGAATGAAGCTGCTCGCCGCCATCACTGGGCTCGTTGTGGCCGCCGAAGGCGCCGCCATCGGCAATGCGATGGATGTGCGGAATATACTTCAGTCGGTCCTCAGCGTAGCCCAGCCGCGACCGTTGAAGTCATCGAAACCACCGAATATCCTGTTCGTAATCACAGACGACCAAGATCTACAACTAGATTCCATCTCGTATACGCCGCACATCCTGAAGCACATGCGCGACAAGGGCACGTCCTTCAGCAATCACTTTGTGACCACTGCGCTCTGCTGCCCCTCGCGGGTCAGCTTGTGGACTGGACGACAAGCACACAACACTAACGTGACAGATGTCAGCCCGCCCCATGGTCAGTGGTTCTGCTCCGCACAGATAGATCTAATCAGGACTGATCAAATTTAGGTGGTTATCCGAAATTCGTGGACCGCGGATTCAACGACAATTTCTTGCCGGTGTGGCTGCAAGAGGCCGGGTACGATACTTACTACACGGGTAAATTATTCAACGCGCACACCGTGGAGAACTACCACAGTCCCCATGTCAACGGTTTCAACGGCTCCGATTTCCTGCTGGATCCATTTACCTACTCCTACCTCAATTCAACCTATCAACGTAATCAAGATTCGCCCGTGAGCTACGAAGGCCAGCACACGATCGATGTTATTACTGGAAAAGCCTTGGGCTTCTTAGACGATGCCCTAGAAGGGGATCGGCCTTTTTTTGTCGCGGTCGCCCCCATTGCTCCCCACTCGAATGTAAATCCAATCGCGCTGGAACATCACGATTCAGTTGTTATGGATGCCCCGATTCCATTGAAACGACATCGGCATCTGTTTCCGAATGTGAAGGTGCCTCGTACTGAACACTTCAACCCGGATGAGGTACACCTCCCCCACTCTGCCACCAACGATCCCTGTTAACCAGATTAAAGCCTAGCGGAGTCAGTTGGATTCGTGATCTTCCACAACAGAATCAATCGGTGGTTGATTATGGGGATTTCTATTATCGCTCGCGCCTGCAAGCTTTGCAGGGTGTTGACGAGCTAGTGGATTCGCTTGTTACTCGCCTGGAAGACAGTGACCAGCTGGACAACACCTATATTATCTACACCTCCGACAACGGATTTCACATTGGGCAGCACCGGTTGCCACCAGGCAAGACTTGTGGCTTCGAGGAGGATATCCGGGTCCCGCTTTTCATCCGGGGTCCGGGTATTGCAGAGGGATATGTGCAAGATTCGGTGACTACGCATATCGACCTCGCCCCGACCATCTTCAATCTCGCTGGCATTCCCCACCGTAATGATTTCGACGGAACCGCCATTCCATTGACTCCTGACTATGCGGGACCCCGACACGAACATGTTACCGTCGAGTTCTGGGGTAAGTCTGTGTTCGAAGGTGACTTCAGTCAGATCGGTATGTTTGCGCGCCATGAGATCTTTTCTTTTTGGCCGATGCATAGAGGCTGATTCGAATATTTAGGCGTGGACGGTAGCATCTTCGTGCCAAATAACACCTATAAGTCGGTTCGCCTATTGGGCGAGGACTACAATCTGTATTATTCCGTGTGGTGCAATAACGAGCACGAACTTTATGACCTTTCAGTGAGTTTTATTATCAACGGCCAGAACGCCGTGCGCTGACATTGATGGACAGACCGATCCATACCAATTGCACAACCTTTACCCTAGTGGCCCTGTTCTTGACGAGATCGAGCCTCAGCTTTTAGGTCGAACCCTGTCACAAACTATCAGCCGACTTGATGCTCTCCTACTCGTCTTGAAGTCCTGCCAAGGGCTTACTTGCATTGATCCATGGAAGGTGCTCCAGCCTCAGCACACAATTCATACCTTGCGGGATGCTCTCGACGAGAAGTACGATCTGTTATACCAGGAACAGCCTCGAGTCTCGTTCGACTGGTGCGATTCCGGATACATTATTGAGGCTGAAGGCCCTCAAGTACCGTTGACAACTCGACATGGTCTTCCGTGGCATGTCTGGGTGTAATTCATGGTAATGTTTAGCGTGTAGAGATACCCCTGCGGGAGGATATGCAGCAGTAAAAATATCAAATGTTCACATATTCAATATTCATGTCTAATTGACTTTTCAAGTAGAGAAGGACCGTTCAAGGAGACTTGAAGATCATTGCTTAATCCTTTCGTGAATGAAGAGCGACCACAAGCATAATAGTTGGTACACCACAGTATATTGGCTCCCAAATCCCAGTTGACTTGATCCCGCATGATTTTGTTCTGTTTTAATTTATAAAATATTTGTATTTGATTCGATGATATTCCTACTCGGCAATGAGAATATCCAAAGTAGAAAAAAAAATGGGGCCGATACTTGCACGTCAAGGGCGCCATGATTGCGCCATTTCTTCCCACCGTGTCGCGACAGCGAATGGGGCCACAATGACAGGCTTTGGTGGAATCAAGATGCCGCACGTATGGAGAAGTACGCAATCCACGATAAGCGATTGAGGGGAATTTATGTATAAGATGCCCATGTTCCACCATTGAAGCTATCCGTAGAGTCCAGAGATCCCATCGTCAAGCCAAACACTGACATCCACAATTTTGGTCCCATTCTACCTCATCGCAACATCACGGAAACACCAAGATGGTGGATGGGGATTTCTTCATAGAGAAGAATGGAATCGAGGAAAAGGTTATTGACGCTCCTCCGAGTGAAGTGGAACATGGCATCATCAAGGACTGGGATAAGGAAGAGTCGGCCATTCGACGCAAGTATGTGGCTTTGAACCTTGGATGTGATATCTGGAAGTTCATGAGCTAATATTTGAATCCAATAGGATCGACTTCATCTTAATTCCTACTCTTGCCCTTGCCTTTTTCTCCCTCCAACTCGATCGTGGCAACATCAGTGCTGTCCTCACCTCAACCATCACCGAAGATCTCGGCATCACCACTAACCAAGTCAACATCGGTTCGCAACTCCTGTCGGCCGGCATTGTTCTCTCAGAAATTCCATCGAATTTTCTGTTGCAGCGCATCGGACCCCGGACATGGTTATCGGGGCAACTATTCGCCTGGGGACTGGTTGCTACCTTCCAGGCCTTTGTGCAGTCCTATCCGGCATACCTGGTGACACGCATCCTGCTTGGTCTCTGTGAAGGCGGTTTCATTCCAGGTTAGCTCTTCTGTTGATACCATCCTCGTGTCAGCCGACTGATGATTTCTGAGGATAGGCGCGCTATATTACCTTTCGACATGGTACAAGAAGGACGAAACCAGTCTTCGGACTAGCTTGTTCTTCTATGGTCAAATGTTTGCTTCTGCGACTTCTAGTCTGATCTCTGCTGGTGTGCTCAAGCTCAGTGGCACCAATGGCATGGCCGGCTGGAGATGGATTTTCCTCAGTGAGTGAACCCTTTATGTGTTAATTCAATCTCTCATTAACATCTATGATTAGTCGAGGGTGTTATCACTCTGTTCATCGGCATCATCTTTACACTCCTAGTCCCACCTAGTGTAGGTGACGGTCGCCCACTGATTTCCTTTGGTCGCTGGAGCTACTTCACCGAAAGAGAATCACAGATCATGCGCAACCGAGTCTTGCTAGATGACCCTAAGAAGGCTCGAGGCCACATTCAGATCTCCAAATCGGATGTCGGACGAGCCCTGACAAACCCTCGCATCATGCAGCATGTGATGCTGACGCTAGTGTCCATGACCGCTTTCCAAGGCTTGACCCAATATACCCCTACTCTGATCAAGTCACTTGGATTCGGCTCGGTCAAAGCCAATGCCCTGGCGTCTGTCCCGGTGTACTGCGGTATCATTTGGCTAACAGTCTTGTCATTCCTTGCGTAAGTTCCAGCAGATTGCGTTTGAAAACGAGTCTCACTGACCTGAGATAGGGATCGCCTTGGTCACCGCGGTCCATTTGTGTTGCTTGCCATTACCTGGAATGTGATTTCCTATGTATGCTTGCGTACAGATCCGTATGATTCTGGGAAGTGGCACCGTTATGCTGTCATTGCCATCACCAACGTATCCTACTGTAGTATGCAGTATGTTTATTCCTAACCGGCTATATGACCTGAGCACTGACATGAATGTAGCATTCTCAATGTCGGTTGGTTATCTATCTACTGCCGAACTCCCCAAGAACGTAGTGTTGCCATGGCGTAAGTCTATTCCTCCAGTTGTCTTCTGTCATGGATTCGAAGTACTGACTTTTCTGCAGACTGGTTGTCATGGGAGCAAATTGTGCTGGAATATCTGGCTCTCAGATCTTCCGGACCGAAGATGCACCCAAGTATCTGAATGGCTTGACAGCCATCTGTGTGCTAGCAGGAGTGTCGTGGTTACTCGCAGCAGGGCTTGGGGTGCAGACTTATTATGGGCGGAAAAGCGCGACCGCAACGGACAAGGAGTCCAGCCCTTCGACAGCCTCTTATATCCCTCAGGCATGCGTTCCAGAGACGATTTAGCTTATTTAATGATCAATGACTTTACCGAGATTGCATCGGACCTCCGCTTCAATATCGCTCGGCTCTGAGCTCTAGAAACTTGGCGCCTTTGTGTGAAGTTAATAAACCCTTTCCGAATCCAGGCGACCAGCCACTCAAGGTCAGCTGAGTATTATCGATGATTACAGTGGGACGTTTGTTTTAACTTATGGTATCTGCTTGCGCATGCTTTCAAGCTCAAATAGGCGGAAAGGCAAGGTACAGCCATATTGATCTATGGATATTTCTTGCAGCCATGGATATGCATTACTCTGCTCTGCCTGAAACGGTGGGATCTGCACGACGCCTTCTATGGAAATTCCTCACCTCGTGGACATTGTACCTTGCGTAGTGAACCAGGAACCCCATGCAAGATGAATCAACATTTGGATCACCAGTGCCCCTGCTCATCTCTTTGGCCTCCACATGCGGGGGCTGATCGGTTAAAAGAGATCTCCTTGCCGATGCCGAGTGGAATTCACCGATTGGTGCTTGTTGGACTCGGTCCGATCCGTTTGGGTCAGAATCCGGGGAAAGATCGGGTAAATTCATGCGATCATGCGGTGTCGCCGCGTCTTTCGCCCTTTGCAGGATGTTAATTTGCCGGTGCTAGGTCGGCTGAGCTCTCTAGCTCGCTTCGGAGCTTTCAAGTTCGCTTGTTCTCCGCAAATTCTTTTTAAGTCATCCAGGATGCCCCGGATTTGCGGGGAACGGATTCAATTTTTTTTTGTTTTCTTTTTCTTTGTGTCTCTGCCGTGCTGGTCACGCAACGAACTCGCGCGAAATCTGGGTTTATATTCTAAAGGGATCGATTGACCTTCAATAATTCAATCCAGATTTGGCCTAACATGACTGCACCTAACCTCTCCTACAGCCTGGAGTACTGGCAACAGGTGCATCCCAAGGATCAGCACATGTCAAATCGTGTCAATGACGCCCAGGTGTATGAGAAGGCTGAGCAAGACTTAATGGCTCGCATTGGCTTTCCCACTGTTCTTCATGGCGAGCCAGTTCCGTTGGCTTTGGAGAATTACGACTGGAGTGGTGAATTGGCTCTGAAGTCATCCAGTGACTTCGTCCAAGACTGGCAGCTCTGTGATGGGTCATATGCAGCAAATGTTGACGAAGAAAGGAACTTGAACATGGCAGGGTCAGTTCATGCTGCAGAGCGCATATGGCATATTTGCTAACGAGTTCTCCTATAGTTCCTGGATTCCAGACTATCAAACTCCCATCAGCCCCTTTCCATATACAGATGAAGCAGAAAGGCAGCACATGTTGTCGCGCGTGGCAGCTGAAAGGGCGCTCTTCATGACTCCCTCGGTTCATGCTGTATCGGTGTCCACATTTCCCGGTTCCCCTGTATCTGATCACTCAAGTACATTCGAGAGCGCCCAAGGCCCCTTCAGCCGATGTGAAGACAGAGGCGCATCGCCATTGTCCGATGTCAGGTCCGAGAAGAGCGCCGCCATGCATGACCCAATGGCAACAGGTTGGGTGGCCAACTGCCCCGCTTGGAAGACAGATAATGAAGATTTCCCCACGATGCTGGAGATGCCTGATGGTTCATCTCGAAAAACCTCCAATTGGCTTCCAGTCGACCCAGAGGCCGGCTTTACAATTGGATCGGGTTCGTACCCTGATGGTCCGGGCTTTCATCTGGAGGGTCTTCATGATATCCGCGAAGCCTTTATCCCATCAGCCTCCTCTCAGTGGACATACACCGGGTGAGGAGTCTTTCAAAACTCTGATCAACTACATCTAATAAAAGGAAAACCACAAATCCTTCACCCTCCACCATTCGATAGCGCCGGGCTTTAGCCGAAACACGCATATTTCCGAGAGCTTCATCCAGCCTCAGCTCACCCGACATGCATTCATCCTTCAAAGGAGATATATGGTAAATAGGATGTTGAAAAATATGGAGTGGTCTCAGTGGCCATTTGATACATCAGGATTCCAGAGAGATTGGTCGCTGTTATCAATATGGCGTCGTGTTTGCCAAAATAAGGCTACTATGCGGCATGGACGTGCTGAGAATATCTGCAATCGAGGGAGCAAAAAGCCTTGGGCAAGGACAAAATTTAACTATCACACGTTTGAGATTGTCAATATCATGGCATGCCACGTGTGACCTCTGGTTCCATAGACACAATGCTGGACCGCCAATTTGAAGAACTAGAAGCGATCCACACCGTTCCAAGACTCTATCATTGCCCCTGAGAGAACATAAAGTGCCCGAGAAATGTAAATAAAGCTGCAGAGCAAAAGCCGGTCCAATGATCGATAGCCGGCTAAGTTCTGCCACATTCATCTTTCTAGTTGTTTCTCATGCTCCGTACACCAGTCATCGAGGCCCTTGGTCCAATACTCGGGATTTCCGAGGAGAAGCCACCAAAGCGGTGCATGAGCGTACTCAAATGGTCCATATGCGGACATTGTATTGTTAAATTGTGCTTGCATAGGATTTGGAAATTTAATTCACCACGAGCCTCGAATCATGGCCAACTTCAATGATTATAGGTATCGTGCGCAATCACCTTGAAGTAGTATCCACATCCCCCCGCATGGAAACTGGTGAATGTTTTCTTATATTGAGATCTACCTTACTAATACATACTATGGTCTAGATCGTGGAAGCAAGTGCGTATCGAGGGGCTAGATACCTGTAATTGGTTGACAAGGCGTACAAGAAGGGAAACCTTGGAAGGGTCTAGCTACCACATATTTGGTGATGTAGGTGACCGTGAGCCATAAGACCTACGAGCCATGCCTGGCAAATATCTATTTTATAATATACTGTCTAGCCCCTATTAGCACCAGGCTGCGGGGCTTTGGTAGGCTTGACGCCCACGGTCTTCCAGGTCCACTTGTGGGGTTGGTTGACTGGCGTAGCACCGGGGCCGGCTTGGGAGAGGGCAGGAACATAGGGAGCTGGCTGAACCTGTCGCTTAGAAGAGCTGCCGCTCAGCTTGCCGATTCCAGCATTGCTGAGGACCGAGGATCGGACCCGACTAGCGCTCGTAACAGAGATGCCAGATTCGCCACTCGGCCAGCTAGACAAGACGGACTTGTCACTCGCTGAGAGACTTCCAGACGAGACCAGACTGTTGACGGCGCAGGTCCGGCCAAGCTTAGAGTCACAGGTAGACTTATCGCTGGAGCTCACTGCGTAAGACTCGCCGGGGCTGCTGTCTGTGAGGAAAGGCGTGTCAACTTGGTGGAAGACGTTGCCCTCAATCAAAGCGTTGGTTCCCTCGCCGACATCGAAAGCATGGCCGGTGTTGTTGAACCAGTAGTTGTTGTAGGCGTGCCAGTAGCTGTTGAATTCGAGCTTGGGTGACCGACCCGAAGTGTGATGGATGTAGTTTCCGGTGAAGGTCACCTTGTCATTTTTACCGTATCCAAGACTAGAAGAAGCAGCAATTATTAGTTCAAGATCTGACAGTGCTATGATGATGGCTTACATAGTCCAGTAGTGATGACCGTCACAGGTTGCTGACCAGCTAGTCTGACCATCAAACTCACTGTTCGAGATAGTAACCCGACCGCCTGAGAAAAACTAGTCAATCTTCATAGACAATTAACGCAATGATAACAACGCTTACTAGCCTTGTAGCCCGCAACAAACATTTGGCGACCAATAAGGGAAATCTTGACATGGTCGATCCAAATCTGGTCTGTGCCATCCAGAGTGATGGCATCACCACCCCAGATATATTGAGGGTTCAACTCGGTAATGTGAATGTTTTGGATGATGACGTTGCTAACACCATTCTCCATCCGCAGCCCTTTACCACGTATGACACCGGCGCTGCCGACACCCACGATGGATTTGTTCGAGGCCACATTGATACCCTCGATAGCTGCCTTGTCGTATGTGCACGTGGTCGTGGGGTAACCACTGCACCAGTCCGAGTTGTCGATAGCATTCTGGCCGGAGCTTCCACACGTGTTGGACGAGGGTTTGCAGCACTTGCAGTCGGTACATTTCCCCTGGCTCTCAAGATAGTTGAACTCTTTGTCGATCAAAATCACTCGAGGGGTGCTGTCCGTCAACCACTCTGTAAGCTCCGTAATGTCACTCGGAGCCGCAGCGGTCGCATCACCACCACCCGTGGTGCCAGTTGCAAATCCGACAGCGGTGCCCGAGACCCCAGTGGCTTGAACGGTGGTACCCAGAAGCACAACCGCAGCCAGAAGCGATTGAGGGAACTGCATGCTGGGGAGATTGAATGAAAAGAAAGGAATGACTGAACCAGCAGTTGGTTTCAAAACGGTAACAAGAAAAGTAGGAGAAAATAGCAAAAGAGAGACTGATTGCCAGCTGTAAACAGGGACGCGTCGGCCTAGTTATATTCCTAGGTTCATTTGCCATCGTCACGGATTGACGAACGATCTTGGCTTTGTTTGAGCTTGAGTAGACTAGCAGATATCAGTACAAATCTATACTGTTCCGTGGAACTGATTTGACGATTATCTGCAGTAACTGCTTCATGAATGCATGTGTACAGTAGTAGCGGTGGAGCCCCTGATCGTCAAAACACATACCCGTTCCTTGATCAACTCCACCAGGTACTGTTGTTTCAGGCTAACTCTAGCTTTCAGGTCTTGAGGGGCCAAGGATCCACTGGCAAGTGGAATCATTTTCATGTTGCATGATGACCTAGTGTGGTAGAGATTGACACAGGTGAGTGCCGATTGCGTGAACATGTCTCAAATGCTCTGGCGTGTCCCACATTCTCCGAAAATTGGCCGATGGAGAGCATTTCCGGTGTCTCGCTATCTGATCAAAAATTAACAGTGGGGCTTTCCCAGAATTGAAACAAATGCCCACTCGGTGGTTCAACCTGATAGAGGTTAGACCCGAAGGTTGATGTTAACAATAAGTAAGAGGGTTGTCTAAAGGCCAGGCTCCAGAACAATAGCAGATGGGTCAAGGTATTCAAGGTCAAACAGTCATTCTCCACCTACCCTTATACCCCAGTTTTATTAAGATCAACACCGCGCAGTCTAATTCTAACGGCAGTGATATGGACAGAGACATTATCAGTAGTGATCACCAATGCGGGCGGGCACATCGCTTCGCTTTCATGAATATTCATGCTAATTATATTATACATCCCTGGAAAGGGGTCACTTTTCATCTAAATAGTTGGCAAATGTAATTATACACAGTTAAATCGAAATGGTCTATCCGTCGTGCTCTTCCGCATATCTGGCCTTGTGGATTCTAAACGCCATATCGCATGCCGCGTTATAGAAGGAATGGAAATGTTGTTCCACGGGATCCTGGGATTCGCCCTCCAATGGGTGATCCTGAGGAATAGCCATGTCGAGTGAAACTTCAGTCGATCTGAGGGCAAGGAATGGTCCACTTTCGTAGAAGCGGTAGCTCAGTTGTCTACCATCAAAGTCGTACCGTTGAGCAGCAGCTCCTCGGGCGTCATTCAATGGGGGGAACATGTACTTGGCAGGGCCAGCCTGGAAAGGATTCTCTGCTAGGCAGATGTAACCGAATGCGGGAAGAGATGTGGGGCTCTGGTCGCTTGGTCGGGAGATGAAGGTGTCATGAAGGGGTTGTCTGATGCTTTTCAAAAGCTCTTCATACTTGGCTGGGTCAGCGATGTTTTCGATCGAGACTTGGGAGTATAGGGTGCGTGTGAAGCGTAGATCAAGCCCAGTTTCCGGGAGAAGATAGTCAACGCTCTTCGTATCAAGAATAGACTTGATACTCTTAATGTCAATCGCACCCTGGAAGTCCTCTGAACTCTTGGCAGGTCTGGGAACAAATTCGACGTCTAACTCTGGGAGATTATTAGACGATCCAGGGAACGGAGTCAGCCGAACAACATGAATGGGAATCCCATGCTCTGGATGAATTGGGTGAAGTGTGTCCAAGAAAGGCTTGATTCGGGGTATATCAGGCACAAAAGTTCGCGCCAAAGAAAGCTTCCCAAGTTGAGAGGCGCTAATCACTGTCTCATCAAATGCGGGCTTCCGGCCAAATAGACATTTTCCAACGGTGGCAGTCACCGATTCATGAATGGATAACCCACCCGGGGAAGGCAGCTTGGCATCGGTTTGGTTCCGAAGCAGCTTGAGCAACTCGTCAGAGAGCCGAGTTTGGTGGCCATCAAAAAAGGGGGTCGGCTGGGGTTCGGTGGCGGATGTCTGAACCGCAGGCATCGCCCATCGGAACCAGGATTTTTGCCGATCAAACCAGTTGGCACTGGCCTCGGGAGTATAATCGTATATGTTTGCCGGTTCGGAAGCTGGTAGGTATGTGGAGAACGGCCGCGGTGTCGGATTAGCATCATGAGCTGCTAGGCCTAGCGTCCTCCGGGCATCCTCGGCGCCCTGTTTGTTTTCGATGAGAAAAAGAAGCTTCTCTTGACCGTGCGTAGCCTGTTGGTCTATGGCAACACTGTATGCTTGGCACACCCAGTCGATGAAGCTTGGAGTGAGCCGCGAGCTAGCGGCAGTAAAGTCAAACCCAACTTCTTCCTCCCGAATTCTAGTCGTGGCATCTGAAATGACTTCCCGGGTTGACTCGCAGGCGGTCTGGGGTCCCGTAATTCGCACCAGCCCTAGAGACTGGGTGATGTCAATGCTGGATTTGTGTAGGCTAGCTACTTCATCAAAGGAGAAGTCGTTCGCTGTCAGGAGTAGCTTTATGTGTAGAGGAGGTAAACTGAGGTCCAGCTGGCCCACCTCATCCATGATAGAGAGCTGCCAGCATTCTCGAAGAATGCGTTCCACCAACACGGACTTTTTGGTCTGGTTCCCATGCCGCTGGCCATGGTGTAAGAACACAGATGTTCCCGGTCGCCAGGTCCCAATATTATTCTCGGACGTTGCTTCGCCGTGGTTATATTGAGCCAGATATTCAGACAGCTGCACAAGGGTGAAGGACGATTCAACGGACGAGAGAAGATTCTCCCAACTGCGGGCGGGGAGCTTTTGTTTAGGTCGATAGGTTCGAAGACTTTCCAATCTCTTCCAAACCAGCTCCGGGGTCGTTATAGATGCCTCATCGGCGAGGTCGTCCAGAATTGAAGAGAGCGAACCTTCACCCTCTTTTGGTAAGGGCCCTCCTCTTTCAAAATGTTTGCGACCGCGCCTCGCCTTCGCGTCTTTGGGAGGCACGAGGAATATTTCGCCGGGTTCGCCTAAAGAGTCCACTCCGATCGGAACCTTTGATGCTTCTTTGCGTTTCTTCGGCCAGCGACGGGTGGTTTTGACCGGCTGCCGGTTCAGGTTGGCATGCTCAGGGCGCGCCGGCTGGGTATCATCGGAGGAAGAGCTTTGGAAGCGGGGGGTGAGGGTTCGGTCCCATGATTGAACGGGTCCTCTCCGAGGTAACGGGGAGCCGAGGAGCCCCAAAACTCGCTTAGGATGTCGCATGGTGTGGGATTCAAATATTCCAAGTTTCCGTTGATTGAGAACAGAATTTCTGGGGAGATTGGCGCTAGGCTGGAATGGGAAGGATCTGTTAGCGCAGATCGGTGATCACAATTGAGTCAATCACTTGGAGCTAGTCGTGCCCAGGCACTTCAAAATACGACAAGTTCACTGTATTTATCTTTGAGAACTGGAGTAATTTTTGAAAATTGAGTTCTTGGCTTTCGACAATCTTCCAAATGAACCATTTTCGTGCGAGCTACACCCGGGGTTTGGGTACCTAGACTTTCAAAACTATATATTCATTGAAGGAGGACGCAAAGCCATGACCATTATCTCAGTAGCAGGGGAAGGTCCCAGACGAACCAAGCAATGACTTTACCTAGTTTGTAATTGTTCCAGATCTAGGCGAAACAGATTTCTAACGTTTCAAATAGGGAGAGGTTTCTCAGTACCCCTGTAACCTTCCAGTGTCCTGCACATCTTCTGAGTTCACAGTATGCGACCCATTCCCTAGCAACGTGTTTGACTAGTATACTATCGGTCCTATTGGGAATTAGGTAGACGAATAAGATGAATTAGAGCATTGGAAGCTATCAGATCATATGCCCATGTAGCCCCGTTTGTAGATAATGGCTGAATTGGTGGATCCTCACACCTGCTAGTTGGACCGTCAATATATACATACAAATAGACCAATAAGATTGTAGGAATGCCGCGTAGTAAGTCGTGGACATAAGGTACACGAAAAGCTATTTTATTATTTTCCCCAGTTGCTGAGCTTCTAATGTGGAACAAGGAAACGTAACTATGACTCGGCAATAAATCAGATGGAAAAAAAGGAAAAGGTTTACAATAGTGAGATATCTCTTTAGCAATTCTGCTTGAGACACTATCTCAAAGTAAGTAATATTTATACGCCAAGCTAGACTAGATGTCCCGTAAGCACCGCCATTGGCGGCACATTTCAACATCCGAACCATCAATGATGCAATTGAGGTTTGGAATGACCTGATTGGTCAATTAGTCAAGGTACCAAGCCGAATGCAGTGTTGCACAAAATAGCTGAATGAGAAGAAATCGACGGTTCCGATGACTCTACCAATTCAATTTCTGCAACGTCTTTAATCCCGAGTGGATTTGGTGGAATAGGAATCATCTATGGATGGTCTTTGACGGAGTGACAGTTCGGCTCCAGCCGATCCGGGGACCATTCCCCCAGAACTTGCTTTGACCCCCTCCAACCTGGCACACTCTGCGAAAGCGATGCCACTTCCAGGAACCGCTGCCCCATATGACAGGCTCAAGTACTGCGTTGCCGGTTCTGGGACGACCTTCCAGTGCTGTCTTGAGGGAGACCCGACCGTTGTCTTCGCAGCGGGATGATCGCGAAGCGCTCGAGCTACATGAAATCCAGACCCACGAGGATAACGAGCTGGATTATTCCTCACCATCTGCCTCATCCGGAGACGAGTATCGAGTCACTACTCGGCGAACGATATCTCGCGTCACGACTCAACGCTCCCATCACGATCGGACGGGGCTGTGGAGCCGCATCTGTCGACTTTGGACCCATAATGTCACTCTGACGGTGCCGCGGAAAAGCAACAGGGACCATTATGGTCAGTATACCACCGCCATCTCGAAGACCATATGAAGCGGCTACTGATCGCAAGTATAGCATTGGAGAGAACATTCCTTGCTTATATCCGTACCTCGGTGGTGATTGCGATGCAAGGGGTGGTGATCGCGCAGCTGTTCCGCCTTCAACGTGCCCCGTCGGATGAGGACCGCCTAAGATTCTACCAGGTCGGCATTCCGCTTGCCGTCTCTTGCCACGGCGTGGCTGTTCTCGTCGCCCTGATCGGCGCCTTTCGATTTTGGAGACAGCAAAACGCCATTTCTCTAGGGAAAATCCATGCTGGAGGCTGGGAGCTTAATTCAGTCGGTATTCTACTTTTCGCGGTGAGTGACTTATCCTCTGATTGCTCGGGGAGACGTCCGTTGACCTTGTCTAGATTATTTTGGTTACCTTGATTATTTCCGTCGCTATCATCGTTGAAATCGACAATGCTCAAACCACTTTACTCAGTCGTTTGTTACGACGGTGAATTGGCTGCATTCGAAGTGGTAGGCTCTTCATAGCCCCTCATAGGGCGACGAATTATTGAATGTATTTTGATGACCGAGATGAAACTGCAAAGGTATTTACAATGCCTATATCAAATGAGCCGACTTGTATTCAGTAAAGTGTGCGTTCCCCTTCAATTTTTCAACCGGGGCAGGATGAATTTGGTAGGCATAGTGTGTCTAGACGACAGATGATCCTTGTATCCCAGGCACTCTGAGATTTTACAAAATTCCGCACTAATTACGATTCATAAATACACTCCAGACCCATACTCGAGAATTAAAATGCGAGAGTCGCCCGGATGCAAAAGAAACTCAACAAGATGCCGGTTGGCCAGAGATCACCCATTCCATCAAATGTTGGCACCTCCATTCAGCGGCAAGATTTGACCTGCATATTAATTAGTCCGAATCCCAAAGGGGGCCCATGTTTCTGTATTCTGCAACTTACCGTTAATCCATTCCCCTCCTGGGCTGGCCAAGAATGCCACAACTCGGCCAATGTCGGCCGGCACGCCACACCGCTTCAAGGGGCTACCACTGGCCAGGGCTTGTTCAATCTCCTCCAGAGACGAGTTCTGGTCGCAACCCGGCGCATAACGCCACGAGTTCTTCAACCACATGTCACTCTTCACGCCAGCCGGGGCGATGGCGTTCACGGTGCATCGCTTCTTCCCGAAATCAGCGGCAAAGCAGCGAGTGAAGCCTTCGATCGCACTCTTGCTGCCGGCGTATAAGGAATGACCCGGAACGCCAACTCCTGCGGCGATCGACGACATCAACACCACTCGGCCGCCGGGCTGGATGTATTTGTAGGCATTCTGAGCCACGAAGAACTGAGCGCGGGTGTTGAGGTCGAACACTTCATTAAAATCATCGAGAGTGGTATCGGCCAGTGAGACAAATTTCTCGGTTCCAGAGTTGGAAACAACAATATCAAGTTGCCCGAAATGCGCTACGACCTGCTGAAATAGGGTCTCGATGGAGTCAACCTGGGTTAAATTGGCCTGGAACGCGGCCGCGTGGTTGCCCATGGCCTGAATCTCCTGGACAATCTTCTCGGCAGAGACAGGGTCCCGGGCGTAGTTGATAGCCACTGAAGCGCCTTTCTTGGCAAGCTCCAACGCGATTCCAGAACCAATGCCCCGACTACCACCAGTGACTAGAGCAACTTTGCCTGCAAGCTCGGCAGGGCCAGTTTGGGAGAGTGGAACAACCATATTGACAAGATGGGGGCGGGTGTGGAATGTGTAGTATGAAGAGAAAGTAAAATGAACAAATACTTTCAGAGCGATGGGGCGTAGAATATATTTCGTGATCAAAGAAAAGTTATAGCCTTGACGAAATCAGCTTCGGAATAAGACCAAGCTGTTTTCGAGTATTTGATGGTCGCATGGGATGATTTCCGCATGCGGAAGCGCCAGGACAGTGAGCTAGCTTTGACTCTTGAGCATCAGGTCACATCAACAGGGTCATGTTGCATTCCTTTGTGTTCAACAATTCCATTTATGGTTCGCGCTGCATCCGGGAGAGCCAAGCATGGGATGGTGGCGACAAGAACCAACAGATATACTCCAGAGGGATACTTGATGTCCTGCGCTCCCTTGGTACCAAACTCCCAGTTAATATCGATCGTCTAAATCATAATGTCTCCTGCTGTCAAGGTCGAAAAGCCTAATTTGGACATCAGCTTCCAAGGTTAGTATCACTATTGCAACTATTTGACAGTGGTCGCTAATCATGGCAGACTATCTGGTCTTGTCAAAGCTCGTTTTTGACTGGGCTGATAGCTATGATGCCAAGGTATGTGAATATCAGCAAATATTGCTAATGCTTGGGACTAACATCACTTGGTAGGACTGGGATCGTCTGCGCAGCATAATTGCTCCGACATTGACGGTAGGAAGACTATCTCCTTGACACAATGACAAATCCGCTCATCCCACACTCTTAGGTGGACTATACCAAAATCGGACTTCGGAGATGGGACGACATGTCGGCGGATGATTACATGGCCATGGTGACGCACCCGGGATTCCTGGGGGACCCTACTGTGAAGACACAGCACTTGCTAGGTCAAACCTGGTGGGAGAAGATCTCAGATACTGAGGTTATCGGTCATCACCAGCTTCGAGCAGCGCACCAGGTGTATACCAATGCGGATTTGAAAGAGGTCAAGCTCCGTGGTCACGGCCACGCCACCAACGAGCACTACTACCGAAAGGTCAACGGGGTATGGAAGTTTGCTGGTCTCAAGCCCAATGTGCGATGGAATGAACTGCGGTTCGATGATGTATTCAAGGGTCTGGACTGATAGAGTGTTGTTGAACCTTTCATGGCAAGGTTGAACAAGTAGCCACTGAAAAGAAGGCATTGACATACACAAAGGCAAATTGCGAAATCAGGGCCTGGGGTAAATTTAAACATCTATCAAATCAACTCTATCACACGTTTTATCCCGATTAGCCCCAGAACGCCTTTTGCAACGCATCACACATCAATGTAATACATCGTTTTCCCTCGGAGAGTACACCGTCCATCGCGAGGAACGGATGGGGCATACCCTTCATCACCTGCAAGTCTACCGCTACGCCCGCTTTCTGAAGCTTCTCAGCATACTGCTCGCCCTCGGTCCGCAACACGTCCAGCTCGCCCACCATCACCAGGGCAGGGGGAAGCTGAGACCAATCATCAGCGTAGAACAAGGGGCTAGCCTCCGGGTTTCTGCAGTCCGCTTCGTTTGGTAGGTAATGATCACGGTACCAAATCATCTTCAGTGAGGGTAGGGCCGGAGTGTTTTCATAGCGGCGATACGACTCGTTATTCTCCACGGTGGCGGTGTTGTCCGTGACGGGGACCGAGAGTAATTGAGCGGAGAAGCGGAGTGGGGGAGAAAGGGTCAATGCCTTGTGGGTCATGATTGCAGCCAAGTTTCCACCGGCGGAGGACCCGCCTGTCGCAATTTTGGACGTGTCAATTGATAGCGCGGCGGGTCCCTCCGCCACCAGCCATAGCAGCGCTTCCCAGCAATCGTGAACTGCTGCGGGCCATGGATTTTCGGGGGCAAGACTGGATGTTTCCAGACCATTAGCTCGAATCCCTCTTTGCATTGCATGAGAAGTCGTACTCACCGGTAATCAACGGTCACCACCACGCAGTTCCCCCGCACGCAGAGATTAGAACACACCACATTTTCGGTGTCAATGTTGCCAAGGACCCAACCACCGCCGTGGAAATAGAGCATGACTGGCCATCCACCAGCAGGCACTTCGCCCTTTGGTGTAAAGCAACGGACAGCAACTGGAGGTCCTTCGGTCTCTCGTCGCACAATGGTAACATCATGAGTCTTGCCAACCTCCAGCATTGGCCCCGCACCTGGGATCAGAACACCACTAGTTCGTGACGCTGAAACAGGCTGAAGATGCACCTGTTGATTGTTGATCACATGCTGATTGTAGAAGGCGACATATTCGGGATCGAGGAGATCTCGAACGGAGTCATGGAGCGGGTAAGGAGGCTGTGTGACACCGGGAATGGCAGACATGGCGAGAAGAATGCAAAGGGGAGTGGTTGGGAAAAGGAAAGAAAAGCTGAATCAGAAGATGCACATTTCGCATCCCTTGGGACCATTCATGTAATGTCAATCCCGCGCAGAAAACCCCCACGCGACGGGTGGGATGCGGGGATGAACCAGAAAAGGCGGAATCAACGATAAGACCTACCAGATTGAGTAGAGATTGTCGCGAATGGGGAAGAGTCACTGCAACGTAGCAGATGAGCTTGAGCGGGACTCTAGTTCATGGTCTTCCGCCGAGCGTGGGATGAGCTCTTTATTTACCAACTTTTCCGCAGTAGAGCCTTGCTGCCATTGCGCATTGCATGTGTAAATAAAGCTTTCAAAATGACTACCAAGATCCCAGTTCTTACTGACAAGGCCCCCAAGCCCCTTCCTGGAATTTACTCTCAAGCCATCATCGCTAATGGTGTCGTGTACTGCTCCGGCGCGGTGCCTATGGATGCCTCTACTGGCAAGCTCATCGATGGCGATGTGAAGGCCCATACTGTAAGTATCAAAAGCAAGCCAAGCTGAGGGTTACAATAGCTCATTCGGGATTTGTCTCAATATAGCACCAGTGCATCAAGAACTTGACCCAGGTCCTCGAGGAGGCAGGCTCTGACATCACCAAGGTGGTGAAGGTCAACGTCTTCCTTTCCAACATGGATGACTTTGCCGATATGAACTCGGTGTATATGCAGTACTGGGGCGATGTGAAGCCGTGTCGGACGTGAGTTGTTCTCTCTCCCCCTTGCATTTGCTTTGGTTAGGGGTTGACCAGTCTCTAACATAATGAACTCTGCAGGTGTGTGGCGGTCAAGACTCTGCCGCTCAATACAGATGTGGAAATTGAATGCATTGCAGTGTTGTGATTGACAGCGGCTAAATGGCAAAGAGGATTCAAAAAGGCAGGCAATTAACTGTGTTTGATCGTGGCATATGAACCACGGAGGCTGTGATTGCACTGCCGTGGGGGCATCAGGTGTGTGTGCCTGGTGTCTATTCAGCGCCTTGAGCTAATTCTCTTACCGAAGCTATCATCATGAAGGCAAAATGGAGACATAGACACCTTGCAAGTCCGTGACAGTAGTTTGAATAACTAGCCCAGGGAGCCTGCCTCATGGGCTAGGTAGTGATTTTTCTACACTTCGTAGATAATGACTGCAAAGCAGCTTTCAATCCTGACACCACATAATCCTTCAATCAACATCATGGATCGTTAATTATCAGCTAGCCCAGGGCTGAATTGGATTAAAACTTCTTCGCCCTTGACCCGGGAATTAAACCACTGTTTTATCTGGATTTCTTTGTCGACAGTCCTTGCGTTGCAAAGCAGATCTGCTTTGACTATGCTGAATATTGCCATTGTGACCTCCAGGGTGCCTAGGTTCTGTGCGATGCATGCCCGAGACCCCTTGCCGAATGCAAAGAAATGGTCGAGCATATCCTGAGTGGGATCTAGCCACCGTTCAGGCATAAAGCGTAGTGGACTTGGGAAAACCTGCTCATTCTGGTGCAGTTGGAAAGAGGCAACACCGACACTTGTCCCTGCGGGGAAGTGATAATCGTGATAGGTCCAACCACCAGGGGGTACGGCTCGAGGAAGTCGGATAGGGTTGGTCCATGATAATCGAAGTCCCTCTTTAATCGTTCCACGAAGATAGCCACAGGCTGTTGGGTCTTCCCCTTTAGCAACAGTGCTTTGTATCTCTTCACGGAGTCGGCAGTATCTGGTTAGTCCGTTAGAGCGGATTCAAGGTCGCGATGCCAGGCTCGAAACATACATTTGTGGATACTTGGAAAGATACCACATTATTGTTGCCGTGTTCATACTAGTTGAGTCGGTGCCAGCAAAGCAAAGGTCTTTCACTTCGATTTGAGACTGGATGGATGTCTGCTTCTCCAGAAGACGGCTTTGATAACTCCCACTTTTGGGTGTTGCGACAGCCACAAGTTGCCCCGTGAAGCGGTCTATAAGATCGAATGCTCTCCTCGTGGCGTCAGTAGAAATCATCCATTCTGAGGTTGCCATGATAAGGTCTCCTATTTTTCCGGGTGTGAGATTGAAGAATGCACCGATGCCAACAAATGCGTCAACAAAGGGGGACGCAGACATGACCTTGGAGCCCTCGTTCAGGGCCCCATAGCGATGTTGGAAAAGATACACACTAATAGCGTCAATGGCCATACATCGACAGATATTAAGCACGTTGACTGGCTCTCCCTTTTTCGCTTCGAGTCGAAGTCTGGCGATGAGATCATCGAAGACCGGGGCCAAGAGTGGCTCGGCTTGTCGGAGCGAAGCGGTGGAAAATAGCGACGCGACAGCCTTGGCTCTTGTCGCTCTTTCAGAAAGTGTTAGCGTGGAGAAGATTGTATTGTGACCGTCAATATCGAATTTGGAGTACGCCGAAGACTTTGGAAATCCGCCCCGAGCGATGTACATTGGCTCGATGGCATCTGCATTGGAAATGTCGACATCATTGGGACCGACGCGCAACACCGGGCCATATTGGCGATGAAGACTAAAGACGACCGTACACTCGTCGCCGACATAGGTATGATAGGCAAGCCATAGGGAGGTACATGCTGCGAGTTTTGGACCGGGAATAGTAGCCAAAGGATGAAAATAAAGCCTATAGATCAATCTAGAAATGAGGCCAGTGAACGCCAATAATAGTGACCATAAGGCCGTGCTCAATAGCGGGAATGTCATGATGCTATCAGGGTCGTGGACGCGGAAAAGAACCATCTTTAAACAGGCAAGTGCCAGCGAACGCAGATAAGAATTGTTTCGGATCCGCCGATAATCAATAAGGTTTGTCATCTGTTATCTCAGAATCGACGGTATCTCCGATCCAGTTTCATTCGCTAGGATCGCCCATTGCTCTTATCAGACTCCCCACTCAGACCCCATGATAACGAGTCAAGCAATAGATTCAAATATCGGATTTCCCCTGGCCATCATGGCAGGAATCTAACGAAACGCTACAATGGCCAAGGAGGTATTCGATACCTCAATCGACGAGGATGTTGCTCTCGAGCATCTCGGGTACCAACAAGGTAGGACAGAATAGCTTTTTGGTGTCGATCCCTGCAAGCTATGATGCTAATCTGCGCATGGTAGAGTTCAAGCGCTCATTTGGTTTATTTGACATGGTAGGGTTCAGCTTCAGTATTGTGACATGGTAAGAAGTCTTGATTGCATGTCGGAACTCAGCTAATACTTCCATCAGTTGGACGGCCTTGAGTGGAGTATTCATCATTGGCGTTGAGGCAGGCGGACCACCGGTGATGATCTTTGGCTGGATAGGGGTCTGTGTGGTCACGCTGTTCATTGCGTTAGCCATGGCCGAGATGTGTGCAAGATGGCCAGTCAGTGGAGGTCAGTACTCGTGGGTGGCCATGCTGGCACCGCCCAAGGTAGCTCGACAATTGTCTTACATCACCGGATGGTTTATGCTGGTTGGTTCGTGATTTTCTTTTCTATCATTGGTTGATTGCCTTCTAGAAGCTAATTTGATTCGTCCAGGCATCCTGGCCATGGGCGCAGTGAATAATTCAGTGGCATCCAACTTCATTTTGGGCATGGCCAACCTAGTCTTCCCCACGTATACTATCGAGAGATGGCATACAGTTCTAGTTGCATGGGCTGTGGCATTCTTTGCTTTAGGTATTAATATTTTTGCGCCTCAGGCGCTCCATCGCCTATCGCGCATGATTCTGGTATGGAACATTGCGTCGTTCATTATCATCATCATCACACTCCTCGCGACCAATGATCGTAAGCAGAGCGCAGACTTCGTCTTTGGTGAGTTTCGCAACACCACTGGCTTAGACGCGGCGATGGCCACGATCGTGGGGATTCTCCAGAGCTTTTTCGGCATGTGCTGCTACGATGCTCCTAGCCATATGACGGAAGAAATGACCCATGCAAGCCGCGATGCCCCGAAGGCAATTATACTGGCCGTCATAATGGGTGCCGTTACTGGCTTCTTCTTCATTCTCACGCTATGCTTCTGCATGGGTGATATCGACAGCACGGCAAATTCCACCACGGGAGTCCCTGTCATCCAGATCTTCTATCATTCCACACAAAGCAAAGCAGGGACTTGTATCCTAGCGGGTATGATGACTGTCATTATTGTCGTTGCATCTGTAAGTCTCGTGGCGGAAGGGTCTCGATCCGTGTACGCCTTTGCTCGGGACCATGGACTGCCCTTCTCCAAGGTATGGTCCAAGGTCGAGCCAAAGCAGAAGATACCTGTATACGCGATTTTCCTTACCTTGGTTGTTCAGCTGGCTCTCAACGCAATCTACTTCGGTACAGTGACAGGATTCGAAACGGTGATTTCCATCGCCACCACGGGTTTCTGTAGGTCACATCGATTTCTATAAGGCAGTAGAATATGCTAACACGAGGTTATCAACTAGACGTCTCCTACGGCCTCGTTCTCTTGGCACGACTCCTTGGCTATATGTTTGGCCACTATACTTCCACCTTCACCGGGCCATACTCGCTTCCATCGTCTGTGTCTATCGCTTTCAATGCCATTGGGCTACTTTTTCTGTTATTTGGTTCCATCACCTTCAATTTCCCCTCCGAGGCCCCAGTCACATCGAGCTCCATGAACTATACCAGTGCGGCCATCGGGCTGGTAACACTGCTAAGCTTTGTGACCTGGTTTACCACTGCGACCAAACACTTTTCTGGGCCTTCCGACGTGAGGGATCTGGTTCTCCAAGGGGTGGAGAATGCCTCTGCAGGGCCGGCCGACGTGATGGACACGAAGTTATGTAAATAACTGTAGAAGCCTGTGCAGATGATGTGCAGAATCGAATAGTATTGTACAGCATAACTGCAGTCTTACTTTGCAGAAGAGCCCCTTGAGACCCACTTCATTCCAGGGAAATGATGTCAAGTCTGTCAAGTCTCCTAGCAACCAAAGTGACCCACTTTTGTGTCCCGCTCTGACAGCCAATCACAATGATGATGATTCCAGCCCGTCCAAGGTTCCTGGTTGTTTATGGAGGACAGTATACGAGAATCCTTCTGTTTGAAGATAACATCTAAAGCAATAAAATAATACACACAAGAGCGGTCAAAGTGCATGGAGATGATCAACCTGCAAGTGGCGCAAAGCTGACCATTCTGACGAAGCCCATTGCCCCTTCCGTGGTCGCACTACAGCCCGTGACCCAGATAGCTGCAGATGAGGATCCAGGATTGTCTGTTCAACTGCCAATCCAGGTGGGATCGGCACCCGCCAGTCTGCACCATTACATACCGATCGTGCCGATCCCCACCAACTCGACCGAACCTATGGTGAACGATGGGGACTTGGTTGACCAACCCCCTCTTACCCCCCCATGATTGGACCAGACACGATCTGTTGATCGTAGCAACCCACACCAGCTGAAGATTGGTGGATTTGGTGAAAGCTGAATGTTTTAATGAGGTCTTTGCTCTCCCCACCCCCAGTTCCGGGATAGCTTTTTACCTCTTCTTCTCCTCCACTCTGTCCACCGGACTCAGCTTCGAAGCTTCATCTTGTGGGCTTTCTGCTTTGTACAATAATTCCTGATTCATCGTATCTCCCGCCATCATGCCCACCGAAATTCCTGGCCCACCCGGTGTGCCCGTCCTGGGCAACATCTTCGATGTCAACCCCAATGAGACCTGGAACTCTCTCAACAGTCTGGCCAGCAAATATGGTATGTTTGGAACAAACAGCGCGCGCGATGGGATTGACGACTAATCCTCTTCCTAGGCCCCATTTTCAAGATCAACGTGCTGGGTCACCAAATCGTCTTTATCTGCAGCGTGGCTCTACTCGAGGAGATCTGCGACCAAACACGATTCCGCAAGTGCGTCACCGGTCCCGTCGTGGAGATTCGGTATTCCGTGCACGACAGTCTGTTTACCGCGTATGATGACGAGGAGAGCTGGGGGATTGCCCACCGAATTATGATGCCACACCTTACCCAGGAAGCGACCGATAGCGTGTACAGCGATATGATGGAAGTCGTCCCCGACCTTACCAAGAAGTGGAGCGCGGGCACCAAGCAACGCGTGAAGGCGAGCGACGATCTCGATCTGATTCTGTTAGCATCGTGTATGAAGTGTTTCTTCAACGAGCGGGTGCACGTGCTAGGTGAGAAGGATGAGGTCCAAAAGAAAGCTTGGGATATGGTCCAGGGATGGGAGGGCGCCACCATGGAAGCGATGAAACGGCCCACTCGCCCGAAGGTGTTGAACTGGCTATACCAGAGCCGATTCTCTAGCTTGACCAAGACCATGCGCAATTACGCCACCGATATTGTGAAGCGCCGGAAGGATAACCCTGAGCTGGCTCGCAAAGACATGCTGGATGCCCTCTTGAACGGCGTCGATCCCGAAAGTGGCTTGAAGCTCAAGGACTCTCAGGTGCTGGATGAAATCGTCACGATCTTCATTGGTGCTGCAACGGCCGCCAATCTCCTCACTTATGCCGTATACTATCTCAGCAACAACCCCGAAGCCCTGAAGAAGGGCCAAGATGAGATTGACGCCGTCGTGGGAGATGGTCCAATTGATCTTTCTCACTTGAAGCAGTTAAACTACGTCGAGGCCATTCTCCGAGAGACCATTCGTCTGTCCGCTACCGCACCCGGCTTCAACATTGAGCCAATTCCCCCTAAGGACAGCAAAGATAAGACTCCCGTGCTCCTAGCCGGTGGTGAATATCAGATTCCGAACAACCAGCCCATGATTGCCATTCTGAATGCTGTTAACCGTGACCCCGCTGTGTTCGAGGACCCATTGGCCTTCAAGCCGGAGCAGGTGCTCGGTGACAAGTGGGACAAGCTGCCTGCTGCCGCCAAGAAGGGCTTCGGCAACGGCAAGCGCGAGTGTATCGGTAAACTGTGGGCTTGGCAGTGGTCTTTCTTCACATTGGCCAACATTATCAAGGACGTTTCATTCGAGTTGGAGGATCCAAACTACAAGCTTCATGCAAACGGTGCTTTCAGTATCAAGCCGATGGACATGTTCGTGCTTGTCAGCGGTCGCCAAAAGTAGATTTGTCGCGACCGAATGAGGAGTAAAAGGATCAAAACCGGAACCCAATTGGAGAAGCTTGGGCCATTGAATCTGGATTTTAGCTAATTAGCGGATACGACCCTGTCAGTAATGAATTTTGTCTATGACTTAGTTATGACTCAGCGATCTCGGAAATACAACTTCCTTACACTTGGTATCGCTCCAATAGTTAGCCCCGATAGATAGCCCCGATAGAACTTTTGGCCGGGTCAAACAATGGAGCGAGAGCAGCGACTGTATTGCGAGAGACTTTTACATGGGATAAGTGGGATGCATAAGGTAGACGCTGATCTCAGAATTACCTAGCTAGCTACTGAATACCCATTCCACCTCCGTCATGTAGATACGAAACCGACATTGTAATGATGCCCAATAAACCAGCTCTGAAAACATTCCACGCACTGAACGGTTTAAATTGGATGACCAAGGACAGAGCCATTTGAACAAATGATGCTTACTACATAATCCTCAAAGACATGGACTAAAGGTTAGGAGTGCTTGAAAACTTAGCTATCAATGTTGTCAGTTCGTAGTCCCCCGTGGTGTATATAGATATGGCTGGAAAACTTACACATCTCCCACTCGCCAGTCTCGAATGACTGCAGATAAACGCTCACGGAAGGGCTGTTGTTGCGGTAGGAAAACGAAACCAAAGTATGAATCTTGTTAAGACGCTTCAGGTTGGCCATTGGACTTTTCACAATTAGCATTCGTCGACTCAAACAGTAGATGCAAAGTGGCATAAGAGACAGACTTACTACCAAGAACGTAGATCGGTTTCATAGGATTGCGCAATCTTAGTCCAGCCTTGCTTCTGGAAAAAGGTCGTCAATCCCTTTGTTAACTTTTTGTCCCGACTTCCAAATGTCTGAAAGTAAATTCGCGGCTCGGGAATGGGATCTTCTGCGTGAAGTGTAAAATCGGCCATAAGCGGGAGCTGCTCGTTGACAGGGTCATTGAGAGATAGATATCCTACTGGATAAGAGCAGAACTGAGCGGTTAGATTGATCAGGTTCCAGAGGTCACGCAAAACTGAGAATCCCTCTTTTGTGGATTGGTCATTTCGTCGGCCTCCTAGCGTCCATAAATCTTCCAGCGTGGTGAGCGTGACCATATCTTCCAAAAGATAAATCTTGATGCGCGATTTCGAGGGTTCCACCAAATCACAAGATAAAAGCCGAGGCTTGACAGTACTGTTTGGGGCCCGAGACTTCAGGTACTCCTCCAGAACCTTCAAGGGTGTTGATATTCTGGGATAGGATTGGGCCAAGTCGTGAGCAGCCTCAAAGATCAGGTCGTGGGTTGACTTTTTCGTCACGAGGGATTTCAAAGCGGGATACATGTAGGCCTTGAGAGTAAATTCATCTTGTCCGAGCTCGAGGGAAAGTTTGTTTTGGGTCTTGATCTGATCCCCAACCATATTCCTCCCCAGAAGGAAAGCCGATTCGTCCGAGTCCAAGGTAAGAGCTTTCTTGAAATGGCCGAACCACTCAAGATCAATACCCTTCTGAGCAGCCATCAGGTGCTGCAAGGCCTCCCAGATTGCATTCGTATTGAATGGGTCTTGTGAAGTCCCCGTCGTCTTGGAAATGGGCTCGTAGGTGTAACTGACGACATTGTTTGAGCAATTAAGGCTCAGCTCAAACGGGGTGCCGTATCGTGTGAGAATACTCATCCAGCGGGGACAGTCATCCATAGGGTAGGCACCAAGCATAGGAACGATCGCTTTCTTGTAAATCTCAAGGTGGCGGCTCTGGCTTCGCTGGTTGTAATTTGCGGATTGTAGCATGTGGGCGAACATAGGAGCGGTGCTATGCCACCATAGCTTTTGGTCCTCATCTGAGAAATCCCACAAAGCACTTAAGCTTTGGTATGCCTCTGCGTGGGATGCGTTTGCCATTTCTTTGGGAGGTAGTAGCTTAGAGAAGAAGTAAGCTCTTGACGGGCAAGGGAGTGGGTGTGGTACAATACTGAGGTGAAGAATCAACTTAGACGTGTCACATTCCAATATGAAGGTGGAAGAGGAAGAGGGGCGATGCAGAAGAGATGCCGAAGAAATATAGACTGAATGGAATTAGCTCGTCCCCTAATAGCACCACTCCTGATTAGTGAATAATCGTGTTTCAGCGAGAATGAAAGCCATTTGGGTATTTCTTTTTCTCAATTCCATACGTTGGAGGTCCATATTTGGGATGAACTAGCAGCTGTATTTATGATCTTCATCACATGAGTAGATAGTTCAGGGTAGCTCGTCCAATGAGAATTCATGGTGCGGATGGAAGACTGCGACTAAGTTCGATTAGATCTAACCCCGTACAGCAGTGCTGGACAATTCGAACTTGTCAAACTGGGTCGGGAAGATCCAGGGGGTAATGACCGAGGATGAGTAGTTTATGTAACACGCGTGGGGCGTTAAGTTTATGTAACTTTGTCTCTGGCGGTGAAAAGCAATCATGATTTCTCATTAGTTCCTAAAGCTCAAGGTCGTGTTTGAAACATACTGATCTAAGCCGCTTAGCAGCGCCTAGTATTGTTCCAGGGCCATATCAATTCACGCTTGGGATCTACAACTAGTAATGCCAGGCAATACGTCCTCCGTCGTAAATTTTGGGTACATTCGCATCCCAACACTAAGGATCTCCAAAGCTCTCATCACATTGAGTCTCATGCATATGTGGGGCCTAATAGAATATGTTTTCCGGCGATCATTCACGTCTATTTTGCTCAAATATCTAAAAGTAAAAGAGGACGAAGCGTAAGCCCCACCGCTCTAATGTGACGGGTCTCAACCACTTCCGTGTTGGACTTCAATCCCGAATCCAATTAGAATGCAATTTTTCCACACCATCAATCTCAGCTCTAAGAGACGCAGATAGACAAGAAGAAATGCTAGCCAGGTAGACTGGTAGGGATTGACACCGGACCTTGACGTATTCGTATAAATTGGAGTACACAGCACGATCATTGCGGGGCCGAGGGAGAGGATCTAGGTCACATATGCCAATACACATATGTAGTAAAGCTTGGGGTCCCGTGAGCCCCTAGAGAGCCTTGAAGTATACAGAGGGAGCCAATCAAATGAACTTTCATGATCAGCTGAGCCGGATTACTCGGCATCGATTCAAGTTGGACAAGAAGGATGAGGCCCCTGTAGAAGGGTCGATTCCGACATGTGCTGAAGGGAAATGACTGACCGACCGGATGCGTGCTCCCCCAAGAACTACAGTATGTACACCTATTTATCCACTCAAGTGCTGGATATCGGAAAGCACATGATTAGTACGGCCTTGAAATCGGATGAAAGCGACATTTTACGCACAATTTCAATAGTACGTGACGATCTGTAGATCAAGGTGAGCGCCATCCGTCCCCGCTACGTTCAAACCCTGCCACGTACATTTTGCAGTCTCCACAATCAAGCAAGCATATATCACTGTCAGACAGATTTCGTCATGGAAGACAAGAACAAAATTTGACAAAAGCCTTGCAGCCAGCGCCGAGATCAAGATCTTTGCGAGTCCAGAACCTTGGAATACGAAACATTCCAAGATCGATTATACTCTATTATGACCACTACCTAAGAGATAAGAGTATCCAAATGCGCTGCGATTGTGGAATGGATCAACATTAGATTCATAACTTCAGATGACGGAGGTTTTGTCTTGAACAAAATTGAGGTACTTGCCAGGTAACATTTCCAATGTTTACTCAGGTTTATGGATTTCTGCCCCTCAGTAATAGGTACATATGTATACATATACTGTATATACCAGTAGCCCCACCTAGGCATCTTTACCCTTGGACATTTGATTAATGCGTGCGGAGCAATACACTGCCTATTCATCCGGCTGACATCTGAGAGCCATTCAAGACCCATAGAATTTCTTTTTGCAAGGCTCTAAATCGAAAACCTTCGACATAGACCTGTATCACGACTTTTGCCCTCGACAAGCCACGTGACCAATTCATCCGCGCTGGATCGCGAGATATGGATCAGATCATGTTCCAATCAGCGACGCCATGCCTCCTCGTCGGGCCCATACAAAAAGCCGCAGTGGATGCGATCAGTGTAAGAGGCGGCGTGTTAAGGTCAGTGGAACCTTCTCCGGTGGAATATCAATTCCTAACGGGCGCAGTGTGACGAAACGGGCCCCCCCTTGCACGAATTGTATTTCCCGGGAACTCGACTGCACATACGTGAAAGCTTCACCGAAGGATGCGTCTAGTCTCAGTCGACAGGCTATTGATTTGCCGGTGGCCGCTCGAGAGAAAGGTCCCGTCACTCAACGGTCTCTAGCTCCGGGCAGTCCAGCCTCCCCCTCCGCCGGGTCCGGCGTGCGAGAGCTGGAGCTAATGCATCGTTTTGCCACGGATACATACCGAAGCATCAGCACGAGCGAGTCAGAAATGCAGGTGTGGCAGATCCATGTCCCGCGTTTGGCTTTGCGGTTTGAGTTCCTCATGAACGGCATATTGGCGCTAGCGGCATTGCACATCGCTTCCACCTTGGAACCGCCAGCATCATTCGTATACATGGACACCGCTTTGCACTATCATAATCTCACATTTGCTCCATTCCGTGCCTCCATTGACCACCTGACCGAACAGAATTGCGAAGCGGTGCTAGCACAGTCTATTATTACTACAGTCTTCGGCATTGCCCTGCCGCGGGTTACGGCTGCGCGTGGAGAAAGCTCCAATATGACGGAAAATATTGTCGTTTTGTTTGAACTTCTTCAAGGCGTCAAGAATATAATCACCATTGGCCAGCCTTGGATTAAACTTAACTTATACCCACACCAAAAGGGATTTAAGAGTGACGGTCCAACACTAGATAGTGTGACTGAAGCTGCTCTGGATCGACTGGCCGTGCTGAACGATGAGACCCTTTCCAGTATTGATACAGACCAGTATCGGATCAACAAAGATGTCATAGCTCATCTGCACCACTGCTTCACGATGTACAGCATTGACGGAGGGCCGGCAAATGCTCTCGCTTGGCTAGCTGCTGTCGACAAAGAGTTTGTGGATAACGTGCGGCGCCGCCAGCCATTGGCCCTTCTGATTCTCATGCACTGGGGTGTGCTGCTCTGGGAACTAGATGGCCAATGGTGGTGGGCCCGCAACTCAGGCCGGGCACTTGTCTCAGAGCTTTTGCTCATCTTGCAACCGGGAAATGCTCGCTGGGCGGATTCACTGGCCTGGCCTCGGCAAAAGATGGGTCTTTAACGCTGGTGAAGTAGCATAGGAATTTTCTAAAAAAAAGAAATGGGTTAAAATTGGTTAGCTTTCTCGGAATTTGGCGGACTTCAAAAAGACTCATGGCCTCAATAGGGTCGATCCGGATTATCATCTATAAATCTGCCTGGTGAAACTTCAGCTAGCCTTTCCTATCCGCCGCCGTGGGATTTGAAAAACCATCTTGCCGGCAGAAGCACCACAACTGACACCTGACAACCACACAGGTGAAGACCATATAGACAACGATTATAACGAATGTTATGATGCAACAGGGCCAAACCGGCGCCGTTGGTTCAATCCACAGAGCATGAGTCTTTCACCACTACCACATGACCTAGTTACCTAGGTAGTGGATTTGAAGACCGAAGAGGCGAAAATGGATTTCTGCTGTATAGGATCTACGGATCAATGGTTAATCTATTACGCGCCTGAATGATTGGCATAGATCGATATGTTGGTAAAGCTCCTTGGATTGATATCATCTATATTCAGTTTTTTTATAATCTCTTAGGCCCCAGAGTGACCTGACATCCCGGAATATCCAACTTTGTGCTGGATTCGACCACCTTGCCGCCTCGGGCCACCGGCTGAGAATAGGTGATCGCCTTCTCGGACATAGCACCAAATGTATCGACTACCATTTCAAGATGCTTTTCATCCCCATGGCCCCCGCGAGCCTGTGGCTCTTCAGCATCGGACACTACGCCAAAGCTGTATGCCAATCCTGTCTGATCCCGAGCTCTGGATACTGGCTCTGATCTTGGTTCTACCGCCACAAAAAATTGAATGAAATCCCCTGTATTGGCAACTTGGGAGAGATGGGAGAGATCTTCCCCTATTAAACCATTTTCGAGGAATGATGGCAGCTTCAAAGGTTCGTTTGCATTAGACTGTGGTTCAAAAACTTGATCAAGGTTGGTAGGCTTGTCAGGGAGAACAATAGCGGAGAAAGCAATCTCTGGATCTAGGGAGAGAAGACCCTGCTTCTTTCCCCAGCCGCCTCCGCCACTCATCACGCGATGTAATTTACCCCCTTGACGCAGTGATTGGGTTAGTTGATCTTGTATGGATGAATTGGGATCAGCAATTTCCACGTCAGGTGTCTCAACCAAAGCCCAGACAGATACTCTTCGGTCGGCGATATTATGTTCTTCAATGTACCGTGGAAGCTCCTTCTCCAGCTCCGTGGATGCAGGCATTGGCTCATTCGAAGACCCTTCCGTTGATTTAGCCAGCTGTCGCAGGATATTTCCCATTCCTGTTATCACCCTTCGTCGTTGAGTGACCGGCTCTAGTGGAAGCATCAGCTTGGGGCGAACACTGTCCTGTGTGGATGTAACAACGCAGCTTGCAAGGTCTGCAGACTTATCCAAGACATATGCATCTTTCCGGGCAATCCAGCGCATGCCCACGAAGGTTCGTTCGCTTCCATTGAGAAAGACAGTGTTGGAAAGGCGTAGGCCAACTGCATGGACGGAGGTTGTATCCCGAATTGAGACCGTTAAACTAGGTTCGTCACCAGCTGGGCTTCCGATCCGGCGAGGCGGCGTAGCTTTCCATTGCACATGATCCTCTTCTGCAATCAACATAGACACACCATCAAACTCTTCTATATCAGCAATAGTATCGGCTAATAAGGCCTCGGACCGCCGCAGGGCACTATTCGGAATCCTGTCAACCACAGCCGCGATCGCATGCACGGTATCGGGTTTTTGTGGCTCATTTTGAAGTATCTTGCTTATCAAGTCGCTAATGAATGTTGATGTAGGATCGAGTAAGTGAGCAAGGTTCGGGGTGACGAGTACGAGGGGAACAGAGCTCGAGCTGCTCTCGAAGGAAGGTAAAGATGAAACAATATCATCGGAGGTCTGTGCAGTTCAATTAGTAGGAACAAAAGGAATAAAGATGGGTAAGGCTCACAATGGCTTCTGGTGTTCTGGTGAACCAGGTGCAAGCACTAGTCCATCGCCTTCCTATGTGGCTTTTTGCGAGGTGCGGAGCTCGCTGGCAGGAGTGCCGCGAAAGGCATCGTGAACCCCAATAAGGGGGGAGCCTTGCTGGCATAGATGTGATAAGAAGCTGAGTCGCAAGCTTACTGAAAGTCGGGGGAAACCCGAAGTTGGAGCTGAAGACGGAATGCGACAGAAAATGCAGACCGCCAAACCTTCCATGCCAAAACATCACCATCATCCTCCGGTGACTTGTGATCATATCGTATATTTGAACTAAATACCTAGGACAAACAGGCTCATATTGGCTTGTTTCAACTTGTAGGTGCTTGGAGATTATTTAGGCACTGTGATCGATTACCTATCTTGATATGTATTTTCACGCGATATAATAGATGGAGCAGTAGCTCGAAGACATCGGCAACAATATTCTAAATTTGAATGACGAGAAAAGGAAACAAGAATAGTGTAATGAAGGCCCGCGCCGTGGGTATTGACAGGACAAAAAAAGGAGAGACACAATATAGGTAGCTATGTATGTGCGAGGCAGTCGACCGGCGATTCATGCAAAGAATAGGAAAAGAGCGAAAAGGGGAAAGAGTCTTTCAAAAAGAAGACAGCAATAAACAAAAACATAAATAGTCCAAGAATACACTTGAAGTTCCAGAGATATCGACCCCAAACAGAATCCCTCCCGGTAGCCGTTGTTTTCCCCAGACCTTTTTCGTAGGATTCGTCGTTCTCATTTACAGAATGATGCTTTCCGGCAGCATCAAAGCTTAAGTCACCTTGAGGACCCCAAAGACATCGCGACTTGCGTCACTTTCTGCCTTCATGTTGGGGCGGGAGCGCTTCTTATTCGGATTGACAACGACCTCACCCCAGTGCTTGGGCACCGCACCTCCGGAGTTGGGGCGACTGGTTGTCGATGCCTGATCTGAAGTGACAATGAGATGAGTACTTCCATCATTTGTAGTGGGCGATGTTGACGTGGATCGAGGAACATGGAGGGTTGCATGCGGTTGGAGATGCGGTTGGGGTTGTAGGGACCAGATATCGATGACGGTGCTAAACAAGATGAATAAGATCAGCAACAGAAGACATACCGTGAGGGTCTTGTGGACCTCAATATCGAGAATCAGACTCACTCCGACGTTCGTTGGCAAATGGCATCCAGGGCCTCCCTCTCGCGTCTCACATACTCCGGATCCGGCTGATTGGCTTGCTGGGCTTGGTTGAGCGCTCCGTAGCCATACCCAGCCTGATAAGGATCCTCATCCAGAAGACGAGAAGACTCGGGCTGGAAGAAAGACCCGTCAGTATAAAGGCAAAAGTACGTTCCAGGTAATGGGTATTGGAAGTGTTGATCACGATTCAGCATCGGAACTCACCTCGGGGGATTCGTGACGATTACCGCCCAGGCACGAGGCACAGATACCCATTGAAAGTGTCGGAAATGAAATGGGGCTGGGAGGAATATATTATTAGGAGGGCACAATGCGACCGGCACAAGGCATGGATTGCCTCTCGGTTGTCGATGCAAAGGTGGGACCCCGATCCCCTCAAACCCGAATAGGATAAAGCCGAGGAAATACGATGGAGAAAAGAGTGGATATGTAGAAACAAAACGAAAGGAAAGATGGTGCGATGGAGGAAGGAAGACGAAGTGACGAAGTGACTGGAAGGTTGTAACGGTTTGAGGTTGAGAAGTCCGTGCGATGTCATCGATACCATGGTCGTGGCCGTAATCCGTGGAATTATCCGCGATAACCTTTTTTTCTTTCTACATATCTCTACTCCACAGCGGTTCTTTTCACTATCACAGAATGTTTGATTTCCCAGAGGCCAAGCGGTATGTTGCTTCACTTTAAGCTAAATCAATTGACCCTTTACTGATAAAATGCAGCGTGCGCCGCGATGAGGTTCGGCCCCGGGCTTCGTCTCGCTCACCGTCCCCAGTCAACGAATCCATTCTGCAAGATGCTCATACCCGTCTAGGGAAACTGCTTGACCTGGATGGACTGCTCGAAGCCAGCACGACCGTGAATATTCCCGAAGATACTCCTGAACAAGCAGGTGGTGAGGACGATGAACAAGAGTTCGAATTCCGGTTATTCAGCGCCCCGGCAAATTTCAATACCGCACAAACCTCCGGAGAAGAAGCTGGCGAGTCAAATAAGGTCAGTACAGGGGTACAGAGGCTGCGCATCAGATTGCGATCCCCGACGCCGGGCGATCCCTCTGATGGTCGGTTTGTGAAGGCTTCCCGTGGGTGGCAGTATTACTTTTCCACTCCTTCACTATGGAGTTCCAGTGTCGAACTGGAAGACCAGACCTCTCAGTCGGAAAAGCGAGAGCAAATTGAAGATATGGCCGTGACAGGCGAGCACATACTGACCTGGGCCAAGTCACAGCCATGGGTTAGTCAAGTCGCCTCTCAATCCCGTGGAGCTTTACTAAACTATCCTAGCCTGGCTGTCATATTCCGTGGAGAGTAATTCACCTGAAACGCCATCAAACAAAACTGCCTCGAAAAGATAAAGACGTTCCTGTCTACGTGATTGAGGGCGAACCACCATCGAAATCCCCCAAAACTCGCAAGAAGCCGGGGAAAAAGCGACGTCTTTTGCTCCGCAAGCGAGCTGTTGCGGCTCAGATGGCTAAAGATACAGAGGCTGAAAAGCGGACCCGCAAGAATCGCGAGCGCAAGATCAAACGTCGCCAGAAGGCGCGGGAGCAAAAGGCTGCTGCTGGTACGGCTGGTGACACCCTAATGGTAGACGCTGATGGAGCTTCTTCAGAAGATGATTGAGTGTATCCTGCCATTGTGTCGTGTTCCATAATTGCCGTGAAGCTTGGAAGATGTATCCTCGATGAGTCTAGTGTTGAACTACCCGGTATACATTCAATGAGCAATGGACCTTCTACATGCAATATAGATAAGTCTGGCAGATACAGTTGGAAATAGCCTAGTAGCCATAGAGCGCAAGACCAGGCGAAGAAGTTCGCTTTTTTAACTACTGGCTCAGGGCTATCATTTGATCCCGGTAAGAAGCTTTATACAACGCAGACCGCTGTACCTCTATTTTTTAGATTCCTGTTTATATTTTTCCTTTGGGTCGAGCCCGAAAGAGGACAGTGCTTCAGTTTTGTCATGAAAAATATTCAGCCCAGAGCTTTCATGGTGAGCTCAACGCTGGAGAGAGAAAGTTAGTCAACCATCATTCAGAGAGCCCATTTAGATAGCAACGTACACAACAAAAGTACCCGCGGACACGGGCATTGCTCTTAGCAAGGTGGGACCGATGCCCTTCCAGAACCCACCAAGACCCTCAATAGCATAAGTCTTCTTAAAGCAGTCACGCATGCTGGAAAACTTCTGATTGGCACCAAACCCATCGGTCTGCATCTTACTCTTCACCACATCAAATGGATAACTGGACAGCCAAAGTGCCTCACCTGCGAGACCTCCATAGGTGGCGACCTTGACGGCTCCAATGTCCTCGCGTTTCACATTGTTGCGCTTTGCATCCTGATTCATCATATACTCAAAGGCCATGAACCAAGTACCATACGCCTGGGCCTCACGCAGAACCGTCACAGCCTGACCACGGAACAGACCGCGCATGGCACCCTCATGAGCAGAGAGCTTCTTGACACAGTCAATGGGGCCCGAGTATAGACGACCAGCGCCATGTGGCTGCGCCTGCAGGCGGATACGGACATGCTCGATGGGACCCGAGAGCACAGAGTTGGTGACACCGGCGAACGAACCGGCCATGTAGTATTGTCCGTATGATAAGGCGCCGTTGGCATATTTTTTCTGGTTCAACTCTTCGAGCTTCCGGCGGGCTTGGTGGAAGGCTCCAAATTGCACGCTGACCTGCAAGGGTAAGATCGGGTTAGATCGATAGCTGGAGCAGCAGCGACACAATTGGAATGGACATTGCAGATAGAGGTGAACGTACGCAGGCACCAATTCCGATCAAGGGAGTCAAGGTTCCCTTGTAGAAAGCTGCGGGTCCTTCATTCTTGAAGATCTGGGTTGCACAATCCAGCGCACTCGAGTACTGGGTGGTGGTTTGAAGGCGGACCTTGACGATATCTGAGCGTGGGTTAGACAACTCCAATGCGGTGTTTGTAGGCTCCACAAACCGAACGGTTGACCTAGAATGATGTTAGCTTCAGCACTGATCATCATCACACAAAAGCAGTCGAGGTGAAACACAAGACTCCCTGAGGCGTTTTCCGGGGTCGCTCGCGAGCTCTCGTGTTCGTGCGGGGGAGTCACTTCACATACCTAGAAGAACCTGTGCCATGCCGCCCGCGGCGCCAGAGGCCAGATCCTTGAGGGTGCGCAGGGCACCGCCGCCCTTCTCAATGTCCTCAAATGCTTCGTATTCCATGGGGGCAATTGGCAATGGGAAAGAAAGAAAGATGATCTCCAAAGTTCTATCAGGAACCAAGGGCCTTATCGCGATGGCGCAAGCCTAGAATGCGCACTCTGATTCGATCCTTTCGCCGACGGGAAACTACAGTGTCTGTGCTTACCGAGCATAACTTACTCTTGGCAAAGCTGCTTAACTTGGAGTATCTCGCCTATAGGTTTTGACAATTACACATCGGGATGTATGAAACAATGATTGAATCTAGTCCCGCTGTGTGATTAGTTTACAGGATGAAGTGTTATAGGGTTAAGCCATATCTATGCCGCAAAGTCGTGGATTTCGTTTTCCGGAGCTTGACCACGGAATGCCAAGACCTCCGTGGGTTCCAAGATTGGCAATTCCAACCATGTTTGAGTTGAATATCCGTCCCAAGGTTTTACGGGATGACATCTCAATAAACGGGGCCTGGAAGTGCTATCTGTCCTAAGGCTCTACGGAAGGTAATCAATATTCATCTACATCTAGATAGGACTGAGATGGATCAAGTGAGTGCTCAAGACCGCCAAAAGTTGACTGACGCTAGATATACATATGTACATTCATATCGATTTCACACCAACTCAATATATCCGGGGCCAGTGGATCCATTCAGATTTACTATTATACATTTACAAGAACAAAGAACTGTTTGGTGATAATGAATCCAACTCGGATTCCCCAACTAGTAGCGGGAAAAGGTTCCGAATCCGATCCTCAAGAATTGCCTCCTCAGCCTTCCACCTTCTCGATATCTCGGCCTTCTTCTTAGCATGACGCTCACCACCATACCAGGCCTTCTTGGCCTGCTCAAGGCTTTCCGTTTCTTCTTTCTGAGCACGCGCAACAAGTGCAGAAACCATAGTCTTCCAATTCTCCAGCCCAACCTTCAGACATTGCGCGCACTGTGCGCGCACTGCCTTTTCGTTCGAGCCGAGACTCAGCATCGTCGACTCGGCAATCTCGACTGCATCACGTGTCCAAGCGAGGCCCTCGTCATGAGATGAGGAGGCGTAAATGATTTCCCCGATGTAGGTCATTAGGCCTGCTTCGTCACAGGGGGAGCTGGCGGTTCGATGAGGTGGCTGATCGCCTGAAGGGAGGGGCGGTGGGTATTCGACAGGTATGAGAACCGTTTTGAGGGATTTAAAGAGAGCAGAGAAGGGATCATTGAAGGATGTTGTGGGTGGAGTGGGGAGAGGAAATTTCAGGGAGGAGTCGGACGAGAGGGGGAGGTTCCGGCGCGCCTTGAGGACGGAGGTGAAGATAGAGAGCGCAGCAGGGAGGTTGCGCTGGCGAGCATTATGAACGGCAAGTGCAGTCGACACACGCAGAATATTCTCGGATGGTAGATCGGTAGGATTGTTTTTCAGTACGCCGGTTTTGAGATCCACAATCTTGTTGGCTTCGCCTTCAAATCCACTCGCAGCAATATCCATGGCCCACACATACATATCCCTCGCTGTCTCCTGCAGACCCTTGAAGTCCAACCAGTCAGCATACGCAAGTGCAGCGTCAAGCTTCTGCCTTGTATCGAATCCTTTCGTTGTAAGGACCTTCATGTAAAAGGTCTCCGGCGGTGGTGACGCTCGTTCACAGTCCTCCTCATGAATCACCTTCTTCTGACCGGCAGGCATAGGCTTAGGCCTGGGATTGGATGGCCCAACAACATAGTCCGCAGGCGCCGAAATCTTCTGCCTGCGATCCGTCACCCAGCCATCCAAGTTTTCGGCTGCCTTTGCAGCACCCATCAGAGCCTGGAAGTATCCCCGTCGCCACGGCTCACTTTTGGCAGAGATATCGAGGCCCATGCGCCCAACACCCTCGACAAGGAGACCACCATCGTAAAGTTCGACAATTCCCTTGCCTTCACCTTGAACATCCTCTAGCCGCTCCAGTAGTTCAGCCATGTACCCGGCTACCATGGGCCAGTTGGTCATAAGCTTTCCAATGTAGTCGGGATGCTGGAGCGCCTGTGCTGAGCGCAGGGACCAACGACTTTTCCAGGACCATTCCGGTGGGGTGGGCCATTGGTGCTCAATATCTTCTTGGTAGACGCCTAGCTGGATAATGGAGAAAAGGACCAGGATGGCGCCGAATGAAATGCCAACCTTTAGACTGCGGCCAAGGCGACGCTTATACCCCTCGCGACTTTCGGTGGAGATGAGTCGTCCAAAGTGCTTGCGCAGGTGAATGGAAAGTGGTGGGAGGGGTCGAGATGGCGCTAGCGGTGATAGAAATGGAAGTTGAGGTCTGCCTGGTGGTGGGGAGAGGAGGAGTTGTGTGCGTTGTGTGAAAGGTCGTAGGTGGATTTTCGGGCCACTTGATCGTGGAGAAACCGATCCAACATGAATCGGTATTCGACCGATGGCATTTCGCGGTGGCAGCATGGTTACAATCACCGGGAATGCCCAGTTCCAAGTGTAAGTTTCGAGGCAGTATCTATCCTTGATGCCGCCGTAAGCGGTGAAAGGGTCACGTGTATCAGTCAACGGCCGGGCTAGCTGGGACGTGAGTAACTCGCTGACGACGTCTCCAATGGCCAGTGCCGTGGACTGTCACAAAGAAGAATTACACCTGTAGGACCACAGCATTAGGATGAGCATACTGTATGAAAGTCACCTTCGCCCTATGATCAATATAGCAGCTATGGTATAAAGAAAAGACCTGAAAGATTCAGGCATCGGTTAGATTTGCATGAGACGATGACAAGGGCAAATAGATCCGTGACCTTATGTCAGCGCAAAAATCTGGAGAGGGATTAAGTAGTCTCGCAAGAAGAGAGGAAATTAAGAAGAAGAAGAAGAAGAAGCAGAAGCACGCCCGTGGGGGTAGGAGTTAGAAATGGAGCGAATAGAGAGCAGTTTATATGGTATAAATGAAGAGAAAAGAAGAAACAAACAAGCGGTGACGGCACTAATCTAAGAGGACAGACGGAGAGCGTCATTGAATCTCTCATCACTTTATTCATGTAGAGATGCATGAATTCAGCGAGGTGAAGAGCTTAACCCCTGGTGCAGCTTACTGGCATATGCCCTATAGGAAGCAGACTTTGCCTATGTAAAGATTATCGTCCATTATAGGTGAAATTAATCAGCCTAACCTTCCAACTTCAAGTCCTTTCAGATCAAATCGAATATTCTCCCATTTTTGGGATTAGCGACGCAGGTGCTCCTAATGCAAGGCTGTAGACACGGGCCTTCATCCGCGGACTCTTAGTTATTCTAAAATGACAAAGATATGATTGGGAAGGCTATAAACATTAGGTTTTCTCGCCCCTAGACCTACTGGCATATGATCGGTGCAGCAGTACATACCCAGGGCTACTATGCTAGTCAGAAAAATAGCACACATAGAGTGATAAAAATTGAGAGAATCACCCGTCAGAATAGTACCGCTGATATTCGCACTCACCCATTGCTCCTTAGTGGATATATTTCAGCCGTGGGGAATATAGATCTAGCTCGAACAAGAGTAGTGGAAGATGAATTAACCCATAATCAGTTTCACAGTAGTCACTGATATCCATTACAATGAAATACTATCACTAGTACCACTAAAGCTCAAGATAATCGAAATAGGTCAAAATTGATCAACATCTTCTATCAATATGCTATCGTTCAAAAAGCAATGCATAGAGTTAGTGCAGATATGTTTTAAAGGTAGGAAGGTCGTTTTAGATATGCGCATGTTCGTGCGTAAATTGATTATGATTGATAGATCGCGTAAGTGCTCTATGAGCGTTGATACGTACAGCGATAATAGTGTTATAGCATTTGATCTGTGACCGGGGACGGGGGTTACTTCGGCGAGGTCGGCGTGAAGCTCTTCCGGTAGGTGGCGTCGAACTAATCAGGAGGGGCTGATCTTGGCTTTATCCTAGACAGCAGTGCGACCAGGTAAGCCTCCCTCCCCAATACCGTGTTAATCCGTCAGCTCATCGCTACGAATAGGTGTGAGTTATTATGTAGCAACTTAATCTGCATTTAACATTGTTTTTTTTTTCTTTTTTTTTTTGTTCTTTTCTCTACATTCCTTGTAAAACTGCGAATCAAAATACTATATATAATCATAGAAGAAATGCTTCGCGGTTTCTCACCGGGAATGACAAATCTAAGGTCATATAGAGTGTAGTGAAGCTATTACAGTAAGCCCCTAGGTATCTATGAAGAGCCATGCGTGCTGCTACCCGAAATTTTACTTCACGTGGCTCGATGGCTACTTGAGAGCGTATATAATTCATAGTCGGCAATTTGAGCGGGATACATCCATCGATGATCCTATATGATGTGACCAGTGCGTTGCTCTCTGCAGGCCTTGACCGTGCTATATCGCCCTGTAACTGACTGCATAATAACATTGAAGACAATGACTAAATATCCGGAGCTGCTCAAGCAGACGGATGAAATATCCGTTAGGAATCAAACCCTGCACAGAATCGGGATGGGCGGATATCGCAAGTTTGAAACCATCTACAACTCCGAGGATGACGTGAGTTTCCTAATACTAGCTTCCAGGGATACCCTTGAATTCGCTCACCGACAACGAAGTGAGGTAATTGAAAAAACTCAGCTCCCCCGCAGGTCAGCTCATGTAGATAAATTAGTGTATAAATGTCTTGATGAGCGATCCGATTGGGTGGAAATTGGTAGGTCAGAAATCGATGTATCTCTTGCAGCCTACTCATGCCTTCGTGTCGCTGCGGCCCGCTTTAACTAAGTGGGTCTTTAATTTAGAACTGTTTAGCCGAGGTGCACGGGTATCTATATGTGGTACGTACATGCAGTAGGTATGTACATCCTGTACTGGTATCAATAACTGTAACACACAGTACACCGGCCCCCTAGGTATCGGAATTTTAACATGTGAGCATCACGTCCCATCTTCCCTTCCTTACTGCTCGCATTTTACTGCTGTTTCTCTTACTTCTATATTTCTCTATTCAATTTAAGAAACCCAACCGTTATAAAGCTTTCTTGCATTTGGGGATATTAATCTCCAACTCATTTCTGCTCTTTCTTTGAATTGAACCTCACTGCCTTCACGTTGAGATTTCACCACGATGGCTGCAGAATGGTACTCATTGGCAGAGGTGCTAGCTGTTGCTAAGTCACACCCTTTCTACAACCCGGACATTTTATATCCCGCAAATGCAGACAGTGTCCAAGCAAGTCGAAACTCTGTCATTGGCCATGAAACCGAACCAAAGCTTCAAGAGCAGCCATTGCTGGAAAAGAAAACACTGTAAGAGAAGATCGGCATTTTGAAGATTATTCCCCCGGAGCTGGGCTAAGTGATTATAGGTACAAAGTAATTGCGCGGCTTACGCATGATAAAGATCCGCGGAATACTTATCGACATAGTTCGTATATGAGCATCACTGGCGGTGGATCTGGTGGAATCCCAATGTTCTTTGCGGTGGACGCGCATGAGAATCGTCAGCAAAGAGCTCAAATGGGTAAATTCCTCAGGGTATCCGGTGTCATCGAGCCTGGAGACGTGGTCTTATCAGTTCATACCGCAGGAGACTTCTATAGGTAATCGATTCAATCCTTGAAAGTGGCACAGGATCGGTCTTCTAATAAGTGAATATGAAGGTCTCTCGATCTCACAACAGAAACAATGGAAAATGCCGGAGCTACTGTCCTCAGCGCCGGTTGTTATATGCCGACTCCTGAAGTTGCAAAAGCTCTTGCAGACTACCATGTCAATGCTCTGACCGGGGATGGTACCCAGGTCATTAATGTAATTTTTGCTATTTCGATGATGGTGCAAAGTGATCGGGATCGTATCTGTCTTGATAAGATCATTTATACCTCGGAACCTCTGACCAGTCCGCAAAGAGACTTCGTGAAGACTGTGCTCGGAGATATCAAAATCACATCTATCATCGGTAGCTCTGAGGCAGGGCCTTGGGCAGTCAGCAACCCTGATTTGACGGGGGAGCAGAGTCTCACCAGTGGATGCGTTGACTTTGTTTTTGACACCCGTCACGTCTTGCTCGAAATCCTTCCATGTTCTGTTTTGGATGGCGCATCTTTGTCTGATAAGACACCGCTTCCTTATGGAGAGCGGGGTATCATTGTGCAGACCTCCCTTCAACGCCTACGTAATCCACTAGTACGCTACATCACTGGTGATGTTGGGTCCCTTCATCCACTCCCAGAGGGCGCCAATGCTAGTGTTCCCCATGCCGATCGGGTGCATCTGCGTGTTCTCCGATTGCAGGGGCGTGATCAGCGCTTCAGTTTTAAGTGGAATGGGTGTTACTTTGAGTTTGATAAGATCGAGGCCGTCATGCAGCAGGATGAATATGGTATTTTGCAATGGCAAATTGTTCTTGGCAAGCTAGAGACCTCGCCGCAAGCGACTTTGGAGATTCGGCTATTTCGTTGCCCCCCACGGGACGGTATTCTCTCCATGGATGAGCTTAAGGAGCGCTTAGGAGCTTTCTTTGTTTTCTGCTCTCAAAATGCCCACCTATCCAGAATTGTGTTTTTGAATGACGTCGATGGGTTTCAACGGAGCACTACTGCCGGAAAAGTCATCAAGTTTCTGGACCATTGGAATTAGATGGGCCTGTGATTGTTGGGCGGCCTAGAGCAGTCCATATGAGCTATCATTCCTAAATCTCTCACATTTTTCCTTTGAGCTTCGATACTACCCTGTTGATAGTCGTGCGATGTCGCATGATGCCATCCCCTGGACACATTCTATATATAGGGTTTTCGGATATTCTGAGGTGATTTCCATAATTCATTAAGATTGGATTCCGCAATTTCTAAGCTTGTTATCCTTGGTGATCAGTTTGGTAAAAAGACCTCGAATTCTTCAAGGCCAGAAATATAATGCCATTTGACTTCAATGGTGTTTTCTTTTCTTAATGGCGATGATATTAAGTATCCATGATTGTGCGGCGGGGCTGTTGCATAGAAGGGTGAAAACCGCGGGAACACCGCTGGTCAAAACAACATTAGAAATTGTAAAACAAATGTTATTAACATCATGAAGCAGAACATGTCGAATTAAGGAAATGAAGCCTTTGGCGTCTTTGGCTTTTGCATATTTTAAAAGGAGGGGATAAAGCTGCTCCCAGACGTTCCCCTTATTGTCCAGGCGAAGAAAACTTTAGCTCAATGATGAATTAGCCTTTTCTGTCCAATCCACACCACCATCTGAGCCTGCCTTTATGATCACCACACAGCATTGGAGGCCAAATTCCTGAGTTTTTATTGTCATGAAGAACAGCACATGTAGCTCATGCATGGAAAAGGTGAAATATAGACTTTGAAAAGAATATGGACTTTGAATTTACAACCCTTCATCGGAGTTGGGTAATTTGTCGGTTTCCCTCGCGTTAGGCAAGTACACTGCTAGAATAGCGAGGATAAGGTAAAAGAGACCTGATATTATTAGTAGTGCGAATAGAAGGTATCAAGCGACGTACTCCAAGCCCAGCTCATATATTCATAGCCAACCAGTGCCCTCAAAGATCCACCTAGGATTGGACCAATCATTGAGCCAAGGGAAGCAGCGACATCTAGCATAGAAAAAACGCGCGATATGCCGCCTTGTAAACCGAAAATACCCGGGCTCTTTTCTTGGCGTGATTTGGCAGCAGCTTTCACAGACCCGTTAGTTTCATAATGTGCAGATGCTAGAGGGAGCACAACCTACCGGTCAATTCGACAGGCGCTAAACCGGATACAAATGGTCTCACTGCGCCTATACCAATAATGGACGCTATATACATTGATTTGCCTCCTGTCCGGACACTAGCCCAAGGAACTGCGTCGCTCCCAGCAATCCCCATCAACCCCAGCAGTGCGGATTGTAGTATAGAACCGAGCACTATCGGGACACGTGCACCTACTCGATCCCGGACCCAACCGGCAATGGGACCGACAATGAGGCCCGGAATAACGAGACCGGAAAAAAGGAGTCCTGCACAACTTGGACCCCATCCAAACTTTTCCTGAACATGTAGAGGAAGTGTGGCATCAAGGCTTGTGGTCACAATGGTACTGGTCATTGTGATAAGAAGGCAGGTCAAAACCCGACCGTCGCAAAGCATGATGCGCCAGAAGGCACCGACATCGGATGGATTTCGTTCGTGTTGGCCGGAGGATAGCAGATTCGTAGTCTCAGCTACATCGCCATTTTTCTTGCACGCGGACGGAGGTTCAATCATGATGACTCGTGCTAGAAGGTCTATAGTAAGAACTATTACCGGGATAGACCATGTGATCCAGTAGCTTGTAGCCTCTAGAAGTAGACCAGAGAGTGCTGGTCCGCTGACTGTCCCCGAGTTCGCAAAAGACATCATCAACCCCATCGCCGAGCCCATATTGTCCGGGCTCACGGTCTCCCCGACGGTCGCAAATCCCACAATCCACACGGCAGACCCCGCAATGCCTTGCATAGCACGGCCTATAAGTAGCAGAGGGACCGAACGAGCGCCCGCGACTATACCAGTACCGATAATACAGAAACCAAGCGACCATAGCAGGGCACCCTTCTTATTGCGGCTTCCATCGGCAAAATGTCCAATGATAGGGCCGGAAAGCACCGCGAGAGCACCATGAAGGCCCAGTATGGTGGATGTCAACTTCTGGGTTTGGGAGGGGTCGATATGTAGACGATTTTGGATCATATAACCTAGGATAGGGACCAAAAAGCCATATAAGAATGTTTCTATATAGAGTTAATGTGTGTAGTTGACCCTGTTAATGGGCGTGAGGAGAGGGGCGGGCAAGAAGGCAGACCTGCAAACAATGCTATTGCAATGGTGGAGAGGATGAACCATTTAGCGGACCGCCATCTATAGCCTACCGCTGTAAGATTCTCTTGATTGTCATTCATAGCAAGAAGATGGCAAGAAGATGGCAAGAAGATGGCAAGAAGATGGGAAGAAGATGGGAAGAAGATGGGAAGAAGATGGGAAGAAACTGGCGTGTAATCAAAAGTCTGAAGCCACATACAATCGGACCAAGAGAACTTGTGGTCAACAAGGGTTTTGGAACTCTGTGGATGCGACCTCATTAGCAAAAGCCTGGGCTCAGCCGCACCTCCATGGGGGTGGCCAGGGGGCTGGAGAGAGGCGCATATTTTATTTGTATCTTAACCGGTATCGAAACACCAGATTCGGGGAGCATGGGTAAGAAACTGCTGATCCACCAATTTCAAATTTTAGTTCTCTTCCAGGATATGCAGGAGTCTGCGTATTATCACTTCGCTTGCATTGGGTCGCATACTGTATGTATCAATTCTGTGCCAAACTAGCCAATGCAGAGATCGGCTCTCCAAATTGGTACAAGATCCTGTATGCATGTCGTGATTTGTGCTTTACTTCAAAGAGTTCTCTTGACTCCGCTATAATGAACTGGCTAGGACGTAGGTGCGGGTCCACAGTGGTAAATCAGTGTAGCACATTCGACGTTCAAGGGTCCCTAGGTATGTGACCGGTCTATACTAGTAAGACATGGATTATTGCACGTGTGAAGCCCGACCTTTTGCTTCATTTAAAGCACTTCAAGCCCGGAACTTTATGGATTCTGAGAATTCATGCCATACTCACTATACAAGCTGGTGCAAATTACTGGATCCGCAAAATGAATAGAGCTTTTCGTCCTGCGCGTTTTATTCGGGTGAATTTTGCTGGTTACTCTACGCAACCTATCCGTACGCCTTCATTTTCATTGTTTCTCTTCTCTACAAACTTTAGGCAAAATACTAATAGAGTTAAGGAAGCCCAAGAATCTCAAATCTCATCCCTCTCATCGAGGTTTCTCAACCCGCTTTTGCCTCGACAGCCATGCACCTGAAAGCTGTACACGAAACTCTTGAAGCCAAGGGCGTGGTTCAATTGCAGCTTGGCTTCGAGGATGTGGAAAGCAAATATCTCCAGAACATCATTACGAACCTCCATCTAGCCTATAATCATGGTCTTCCAGTCACGCACAGCGCTGAGCGTGGCTGGTTTTGGGATGTGCGGCCTTCGCCGGCGAGCTTTCAAAGTCAAGGGTACCAAGCTCGATCTGAGACAATGTCCCGGTTTGAATGGCACACAGACTGCAGTTACGAGGTCAATCCACCGCGCTACTTTGCTCTCCAGATCCTTCAGCCAGATCGCTGTGGCGGTGGCACGTTATCGGTGCTGAATGTCGATCGACTCCTCACCTTGCTCTCCCCTTTCGCGCAAAAGTGGCTCTCCAGTCGCAATTACAAAATAATTGTCCCTCCTGAGTTCGCAAAAACTTCAGGAGAGCAGCATATTATTGGTAATCTGCTCGCGATGAACCCCGGAAAAAATTATGGCAGCCAATTGCGGTTCCGTGACGACATCACTGTGCCCTTGACTCAGAATGCCGCCCAGGCATTGGAAGAGCTGAAAAGGATTTTGTATGGGAATAAGACTCAGGTAGAGGCTCTTAATCTGGCACCGCATAGCCTTCCTCAAGGCTCGATCATCATGATGGATAATCGGCGATGGTTGCATTCACGCAATGATGTCAAAGATCCAAACCGACACCTTCGGCGAGTCCGATGGGATGCGGCATCATTTGGCCCCTGCAGTCCGTGAACCATGCATGTTATTACCGAGTGATATATTGTTTTTTCTTCCTTGTTCGTTTAATTTTAATTTTATTTTGCGGATATGATTCCAAAATGTGGACCCCAATAATACATGCATACTAAATGAGCCACCATGCATTGCAACTTCGCAGTGGACAAAAACTGTACTAGTACTCTGGTACCATTCACAGGCCCCACATAGTTACAATGCATATCCATGCTAGCAAATTCCCTCAGTGTGGAGACCTCTTAGCGCTCATGCAGTTTCATTCAAATAAAAACAAAAGAAAAAGGGGCGTAGTGGGAGGCGACCTACTACCTATCACACACCTAAGCGAAGATCTAGAGGGGCTTGCACGAAGACTTCTACTTGGGCAGTACTCTATTCGTTCTATTATAAATGGGCTTGTGTCTTGTCTCACTCTGGCCTCGAATTTCACTGTCGTCACAGCATTCGCAATGAGAAACACAATTTTGGATCATCTTCATTTGGTTTACCTCCCAGAGACTGGGGACTGTCCTCCTCTACCACCGAATGGGCTAGATGCTGGCCTCGTTGAAGAGATCCGCCGGAAGTATGTCTTGAGACTGAGCAACTGGTCCTCTTCATGGCCTGCGGGGTCTTTGAACGCATCATGTCCCCATCCAGTATTGATCACTCAGCGGCACCACGACGAGCTGAGTAACTTACACTTTGCGTTGAACCTCGCTCTTGAGGATATAATTCAGCGATGGTGGACGGATGAAGAAGCCCAATTTCCCCAGAGAATGCCGTTAGAACCGGAGGAAGAAGAACTATTGCGCGTGAGTCACCCTCTCTTCTTATTGTGAGTACTTAAGGGTGCGGAATAATGACATATTTCTTCTACTAGTGGATCGACTCCAGTCCGGAACTTTTCCGACCCTGGAACGAACGCCAAGGGTCATGGAGACCGGACTTTTTGATTGAGATTGACGACGCTGGTGTGGAAGTATTTCGCATTTGTGAAATCAATGCGAGGTTCTGCTGGAATGGATACATGCATGGTGGTTTTGGTCAAGAATCACTTTCGGCATTCAATCTTGAGTCTCGCAATCTAGTCCATGCCGCCCAAGCAGAATCGGTAGGTTCGGAGACGATGGCCCACTGTCGAAGTTTGTTTGGTGCTAAATAAATGGAATTGACCAGATTGTTGGCGGATTGTTGAGTCTTTTTGATATAAAGCTTCCTCTGCACCTTGTGAAAGGCCAAGAGCACGGAATTGACATCTTCATGTTTATTGAGTTTGCGAAAAGACGGCTTGGTCTCAAGCCACGACTCATAACTCCGGATACGCTCCGACTCATCGCAGATTCTTCTGGGAAAATGGGGTACAAGTTGTATTGCCTCGCAGAGCCAGATGCTATTGATACAATAACGACCGAGTCTGGAGAGAAGATGGAAGAAGTTCACCAACTTTGTCTAGAGCTTCACCAGTGGGAATTGAACAAACTTGATCCCAATATGAAACGCCAAATCAGCATGCGGTGTTTTAATGATATGAGAAGTATTCTGCTAGCCCATGACAAGAGAATGCTGGGAATCGTGCATGAAGAACTCGGGTCTCTCGTCTCGAGAAAAGTCATTTCTCCCGAGCAGGCCGAATGGCTCAACCGAGGAATAGCACCCACGGTTCTGCCGGGCTGTGCTGCACTTGATCAACTCATCAAGGATTGTAAATCGTCGGAAGTAATGCAAGAAAAATATCTTCTGAAGCCGATTCGGGGTGGAAAAGGTGCTGGCATCTTGTTTGGCGATGAAGTCAGCCATTGCGATTGGATAACCATCCTGGAGTCTATGCGATATCCAAAGCTCAGCCGGGGGAAGACTCTCTACGTTGTTCAGCGCAAAGTGAATCAGCCATACTATGATGTCCTATTGGGGCCAGAGCTGAAGACGGCACGCTGTCATATGGTTGGAACCTATCATGCTGTCAATGGAGAATATCTCGGACTGGGTACCTGGCGGTGTAGTCCCGGCAGGCTATGTGCTGTGTCCGATGGGGCGACCTGGATCTGCTCCGTGAAGCACAAAGTATAGCTATCAGAAATCCAAAGCTGTATTCGCAAGTGATGACCGTGGAAATGGAAATAATCTTCGCCTTCGATTGCCCCCGTCCCCCTTTCGGAAGCATTCTCATCTCACTTGGAAATGAATATTGAACGTGAAATTGGTGGTGATAATGTGTAGAGTGACTTTAAATCGCATGTTATCTCGTGTGCTGCAAATTTATTGATGCTTTTGCCTTTATTTTGGTATTCAATACCCCTACAATTGAAACTACGTTGCACCACAGACCAGACAGTATATATTATGACCACAGGAGTAACTCAGAAGAATTAAGAAAGAAAAAAATGTAAAGGTACGATTAAAGGTGGGTACACGCTGCTTAGACACAGAGGACAAGTTAAATAAAAAGCAAACTTTGCAGGTCACAGATAAGCAATAAAGGGAGCGGAAATGAGTGCATCATCTATAAGATGTCCTTGTTAAAGTAACAATAAAAGGAATACTCAAAGCTGTAGGCTAAGACTTCTCTCCTAGAACACACGTCGCACACAGATTTTCCTGGGTCCCCGATGCAAGCGCCGTATTCATGTATGATGCGCCAAGAGACTAAAGACGATGTAGCATTGGCTTTTACTAATCTTTACTTGAAAGGCATGACCGTGCTATATTATAAAATTCTGGGTGCCCTATCCCAAACGCTGGTTTATAGGACCAGATAAAGCGTCCAACTAGGACATCAGGCGCTCAAATGTATACCGCGTTGTTACCAGGGTTATGGGCATCGTGATAGAAAAGTTAGGAAGAATGGGTGCATTGATTATAAGATTTGTCGACCCTATGGAGACAAAATATGATACATCTGATTTGCATTTGGCCAGACCACTGTGTAGTATGTAGGTGATCGGAGTTCAGCCCTTGACTGGCAAGGGGGTCCCACAGCTGACGAGTGGGTCCCCGAACTTCTCATCTCATAGATTACGAAACGAGAATGCAATCTGATTTCGATTTCATCTTAAGCAAAAGAACGTATCCCGTTTACAAATATTGAATTTGCGAAGGAGACACAGCTACTTGAAAAGAATATAAGCACGTACATTTAAACTGATATATGAGAATCAAGGTTCGTCATTAGTAATGCGTAGAACTGCGTAGAACAACGTAAACACGCTAACTACTTATTTCCCATTAGCTTAGGGTCAACATAACCAGCTAGCTAATATACCATGACAATTTTAAATCGTAACCATCTTTTCTATAGCTCACATGACATCTATAATCATCGCCATTCCACTGGCTAGATGCCAGGCAATATGACAGTGAAAAAGCCATAATAGGATTTACGCTGCCTTAATTTCGAGCTCATAGCCCGTAGCCAATGCCGCGCCCTTTATGTAATTCCCAACACCACCCAACAGTGCGAGAGAGATCAATTGAATTGTCCCACGCCTCCCCACCATGACCTTCGTAGTAGACTGTCGGGAGATCAATGAGTTCAGGGAACGCTTGCGTGGAGCCGTAAATGGTGGCCGTAACCAGACTATCAATTGGTTCTGTCTGCAGGACATCAGGAACATTTTGAAGAAGCTCAGTTGTTTCGGCCAAGGGTAACTGGAATGACTTTTCTACTATATCGCCATATCCATTGTCGCATTCCGTCAGACCCCAAAGAGAGAAGTTGACGACCGGTAATGATATATCAGGCGGTCTTTGAACAGAATCAAGACGCTGGGCCTGAAGAGATGTCCAAGTAGGCCAATTAGTAGATTGATGCGCGGAGATACAACCCTTACGCAAATGATCTTCAATATCTTCCAGGATGAATCGCCAGCTCACGAGATCAACAACGAGATGACGAGTAGTGATGAAAAGCCGGTGACTAGTGTCGCCTCCAGTCGGCATAAACAGCACACTAGCAACAAGCGGGCCGAACTCCAGATTGATCTTCCCGTTAGCATCTTGGATGGCCTCTTGTCGCTCTTCATGAAGGGACGCGTGGGTAACATGGAAGTAGTAGTCTGCTCCAGAAGGAACCTGAATGACCTGCTCCCAGTCCCCATCGGAATTCGCACAGAATCTAGTTCGCAATGCTGGGTGCCGTGAAACTACCGCTTCAAATCTCTCTGTGAACGATGAGGTTCGACAGGCCGCGATATAGTCAAATGAAAGCCCTGATTGAATTGCTTCTTCCCGGTCTCTGCATGCGCTAAATGCAAATGTTGAATTGAACTCAAGGGGAAGGGCACATTGACCTGCTCTAGATCGGAGCATGCCGTCTGCGTTGAAGTAGTTTTGACAAAGCGGGCTAGCTCGTCTAGGCTTTTGTACCGCAGAATATCGTGTATGGAGATAGTAATGCCAATTCGACGGCATTTGGAAAGCACTGTCATCGCAGTGATGGAATCACCCCCAAGAGAGATGAAAGAGCCATCACGGAAGATTTGCGTTGGCGAAATGTTCAAGGATTCTGCTAGGATGAATTGGAAGATTTCTTCGTCCTTTGTCTGAGGTGGAGACCGTACCCATTCTTGAAAACAAACTGATGCATTTTCGAAGTCGGAGTGTGGGATTTTCTCAATATATTGTCGGATTCTTGACCGGTCGACCTTACCGGTCGACGTCTGAGGAAGAAGTTGAAGAGGTGACCATCTTTTTGGAACCATGTATGCACGGAATGATGATGAAAGTCGATTCCGGAGTTCAACGAGTAGCTCACTGACTCGTTCCGAAGGAGACAGTAATACCATTGCCCTTGAGTTGGTTTGGGGAATGCATTCATCCGTGAAGCAAATTGCAGCCACGAGTTGATTTTTCGCCGGCCCGCTTTTGGGGAACGCGACGATTGCATGCGCCACCGTTGATAGTTTGAAAAATGCTGCTCAACATCATATAGCTCTGTGCGCTGGCCTCTGATCTTGATTTGATATTCCCTTCGAGCGACAAAACTAATGGACCCGTCCGGGTTTTAGCGGCCGACTTTCCCGAATGCACTTTCATCACTAGCATTGTAGTAACTGGGAGTGAAGAATTTGCCATGACGTTTCAATCGTCAGGACTCCTTTCGTCGCCAGGACAATGAAATTTCGCGGGAAAAGGCCAGCTTTGAGTTGAATGAGTCGAACCCTTAGTCGAGTTACCACTGCTTCACAACATGCTGGGTTCCTTCAAAGCAACTCACTATACTCAAGAGTGAGAACGGCGATTTCTGTAAGAGACATTAGTACTTGAACGATTGACTTGATTGGTTTCATCCATCAGATGCATTACTTATTAACAGCTCCACGAAAAGGATCAAATCATGCTGCTAGTCCTTTTTTTTTTTTCGTTTGACAACCGAAAAAAGAAAGAAAAAAGGTTGGAGGAGTGTTTCACCGGCTCCTCAACCGGGCTTTAGCGACCACTTCGCTTTCCTCGCTTCACGATTCTTCTCTGACTATTTTAAACTTGCTATCTTTCGCTGTTCCTTAGCAAGGGGCGGTTCTTCCAGATATCGGCGGCAGCGATATCATCCAGCGCAAATATGGGGACCAGGGAATACTTTTGCCCACTTTTCCGAAATAGGAAAGAATCCCGTCAGATTCTTCGCATCGCAATCCGGATTGCTACACCTTCTTTCGGTGAAGGGAATATACTTAGGCTTATTGAAGGTTCTCAATCCGCCGTTCGTTTTGTAAACGTATGCACAGCATCTTCCGCAAATGTGTGGACCGGGGAACAATCCCGCATACCTGCGCGGAATGGGAAAAATCTCTTGCCCAGTGATGGGCACCCCTCTTTAATTCGCCGTCGAACTTACTGCTTCGCTGTTGCGGCGAGCGGAGAATGGGATTTTCCGCTTCCGTCCCCGCAATTCCCTCTATAGTATAGCCTCAATTAGACTTCCCTAAATCGACCTAACCCCATTAGGGCCCACCAAAACCCATTAGATTAGCCTTAATTTCAGCCCCTCCAAGAGCCGCATTTTTCGCCGCCGCGTTTGCGAGCTCATTCCCCGGAATGCCCACGTGTGCGGGAATCCATTAGATCGAAATTAAGAGGTCGTCTAGTAGTTCGAGGGGGACGTGGGCGCTTAAAGAGCTCGAAGTTCGTGGACGTATGCGTAGATCGCGCGGAGAATATGCTGGCCAGAGGGACGCTTTGGATTTTGCACTACTTGAATTGCAGCGCGGCTATCAGCGAAGATAACCAGTTCGCGAACCTATTCTGATTGAAAGGATTTGAACTTATTAAGGGCCATCTCCACTCCAGCGAGCTCCGCGGAGTAAACTATGGCTTGTTCTGTGGTGCCGAGGAATTAACGCGTTTGGATTCCACGGTCGGGTGCGACCGCAGAAGCACCAACTTTGCCTTCATACCCACTTCCGTCCGTGAAGAAAACCATTTTTCCTCTTGACTGATTCATAATCATGTCGTGTGACTTGATCGCGGCTTCCGTGGAATCCTCAATGATGCAATTAATTCGCTTTTCCCATGGGGGCAAGACGAAGGCTTGTCTTGATTCCCACTGCTCTCCAAAGAGAATTCCCCCCTTCTTCCGGGAACTCATGAAGGCCAACCCCGAATCAAGACTTTTTCATAGAAGGCACTACGTAAGAAAATAACACAAGTAGAATGTAGCAAATCAGCGCCTTAGGTAGTAAGTCCATAGCAGGGGATAACCAGTACTAGCTACATCTAATGAGGATTAGCGATATTTGAACAATTCAAACTAGTCCTACTCAGCAGGACGCGAAAAACCCACGAGTTGACCTTGAGGGACGGCCTCCTCCTCCTCATCAAGAAGCTGTAACGCCCCCGTCGCCACTTCTAGCTCTTCTACACCCCGCAGCTGTGCGGTCTCGCTCTCCACAACGAGCGGCACACTAGCATCCACGGGCACCTCCTCCTCTTCCTCGACCCCTTTTCTTCTCCAACTCAGCAGCATCCTCCAACTCGGGAGCATCTCGCTTCCGTTCTCTGCGGGCCTTCTTATTGCGATGTCTCTTCTCGCGATGGTGATGCAGCTGCGCTGCATTGCGCATCTTCGGCGCAGGGAGAGTGATCGGTGGCGCGGCGGCCGTGGGAGGGGCGGCGACCGGAGGAACATCGCGTGTATCAACGCGTGGCCTTGGTGCATCGCGGTTGGCGGGGTGTCGATCCCTTGCGGCATTCCGAGGGATGTCTAAACACACACGTTTAGTATGTAAACCAACATTTAGAGAAATCTAGACATGGACACTTACCCCTTCTACCAACCCTCGGCCTAGGAGAACGGCGAGCCTAGAAATGAATTTCATCAGTATAAAATCCCATTTTCTCTACGGCCAAGATCAAGATCAGGATTAAAACAAACCTCCGAATTTAGCTGTGCCTGTAGGATACTCATGTTGACATTTCTCTGGTCGATGTCCGCTTGGAACCGAAAACATTCTGATTTAACTTGGCCCTTCTTGCCACAATAGTAACAAATTTAACGGAATATATTATCAGTATTCGCATTTTAGATTTCTCATGTGGGCATGGATTCATTATCTAAATCCCCCATGGCTTAGTGCATTTAGGTGCTGATGTCAATCATGGTCAAACACCATAGAAATGAGGTGGACCTGACATCAGGACATAAAGCACATAAGTCGTGGAGGTTTCGCGTGAAGAATAATATCTTGATGAAGGAAACGAAAAGCTTACCTTGGATGAATATGATGGCATCGTGATCTTCAGATAAAATAACGAGATGGCTGCGGCTTAGATTGATGAGGGCCAAATCAAGAAAGTGATGAGGTGCGAGGAAAAAGTCAAGTCGCGAAGTGCGAAGATTGATTTCTATCTAGTTCGCGTGTTTGTCTGGTTTTTGTCCTGTTTGGTTCCTTAACAGGAGCTATACATCTTCGAATGCCTCGGGGCCGACAGCCCTTGTCATCTCAGGCAGCGTGATGGACTATTGGATTTTTGCTTCTTCATGCTCGCCATTTCGCTAGGGAGAGGACCGATCAAAGGAGTAAGTATCTATGCTTGAGTTTTTCCTAATATTAGTCTATATACTAAATATACGTGTTTAGACATCTAGAAAAACTCCACTCGCGATCGCCATCCTTATACCCCGGCTGTACGAAAGGCGCGTCCTGCTGCCCGCGAAGAACGGGCTCCTGTTGGACCTGCGGCCCCTGCTCCCCCTGCGCCGGAATAGCGCAACGCTGCGCAACTACAGCACCACCGCGAGAAGAAGTGAAGAAATGAAAAGGCTCGGCGTCTGCGGAGGAGAGATGTCCTTGAGGCAGAGAATAAGAGGAATGAGGAAGAGGAGGAGGTGCCCGTGGAAGCTAGTTGGGCGGTTGTTGATCCGTTGCCAAGCCGCGAGGCGCGGTTGGCAGCGATGGAGAGCGACACCACACAGCTGCGGGATGTGGAAGATGATCTGACTGAGGCAGCGAATGCCCTGCAGTTGGATTCTGGTGCGGAGACGGAGGCTTGCCCTCCTGAATTGCAGCTGCGGATTTGTTCGGGTTCCGCTCAGCAGGAGTAGCTTTGGGTCTTCAAACCCGTACTCATTTTCTTGTATTTAGTATATCTAGTAGTGATTATCTCTCGCTACCTATGAGGTTGACTTATCAAGAGCGTGGGCTTACTATATTTTACTTCTGATACCCTCCTACCTAGGCTGCCTTATGCAGCTGTGATCATAATGATATCCTATCTTGTATTGGAATCTAAAAAATACACTAACTGGTCAAAAGTATTTCCCCAGATCAGTTTTTGGGCCTACTCCATCAATTATATGTAATCACTAAACAGTTCACCACACCACCATGTCTTACTAAGACTCTGCATAATTACTCACAGTTACTAATACCCATCAAACGCACAGAACTATCTCTTAATATTCTATGAAAATCTAGCCTAAGCTTTCTAACCACTAGTAATTGTCTCGTCACCCTTTTCACAACCACATCAATTACGTATAGTATCTCTCACCATAATTCTGATACATACCCCTGAAGGTACTATTAAATAATAATATATCTTCCTCTATAGATAAACTTTAGATACAACCTAAGAAGTACTTATTTCAATAATTCGTAAATAATGTTAAAGGGGTTTAAAAGCTCAGTGAATGCTTCGACGGGCCGTCCATATTCACATATCAACTTTCAAACCGCTCTATCGTCACCAAAGCTATATGGATCTTCGTTATATCTTCTCAAAATAGTTCTCTATAGTCATGGACTAAAAAAAGGCTTTTTTTGAAGCGAGCCCGTCTAATACTGAGTGGTATATGCCTTCCCAAAAGTTGATTGTTGGGTTGACCCTACCGGACCCGCACTTGGGGAAATACTTACGGTTCCCATTGTAGTAAAGCAGCTAAACATATCATTAGTGGCCAATTATGACGCTTTGGACAGATAAGAACTTTGTGGAAGTGTTGAATGAGGGGAACGCTTTGGCATTAGCAATGCTTTTAAGTCCGGTTCCCTGGTCGATCAATTGATGTTCTCTATATCTACACGAAAGCAGTACAAATGTTTATGTCGGTGAAACTATGTCGGTGAAACAAAACTATAACGCCCTGCCAGAGTTTGAGAAACTTCGAGTCTATCGATAGTAGCTGCATGCCGTGTTTAAAGCTTTCATGTCAAAATCTCATGTGCGATCTCTTGACAGAACTCATCACCCACGATATTACTCACGCCTTTTTCCTTACGCAGGAAGCTCTCCAGGCCTCAAATTGATCTTGCCTCGTGAAAAATTGGAACACATAGATCATGATTTAACCATGCAGAGATCCGATACCAATAAATTGCCCAAAATTCTCGGGACAATGGGGGCAATCAATGATATAACGAGTGATGCCAATTTCATCTTAAAGCTAATTCTTTATTGATATAGAAGTGATGTATAACATAAAGTCAAAATGACAGTTTCCAACTCAAAGTAGAGTCCGTTTGTCCCTTTTGCTTCGAGGAGGCACGGGACTTCCAAGTATAGACGGGTAGCCCACTTGTATACGTCCACCACTTTCATTCCATCCAATTAATGACCAATGATTCCTCTTAATTGTCAATTGAATCTTGATTAATGCTAATTCTTTAATCATGGCAATGTCACGCATGGTCAATAAGAAGTGGTCGAGATGGCTTGTCTCGAACCTCTATGTGTTGATCGTGAACCCCAGCAGGGCGAACAGTCAACGCACCCCCACCCCCAACCTCACCCCATCCGAGCCGACTCCGAAGAGACCTGCATCAAAGAGAAGATGCCTTTGTTAGGCTGATATTCAAGATAAAGAGAACGTCAAGGGTGATTCCAATGCCTCGGACGAAGTCGATCTGCGAACATCAGCCCAACAAGAATCAACAATGGTGCCAGAGGCCTCGAGCTGGGCTGATTTAGAGAACGAGTCCTTGGACTGGGAGCCTCCATGGGATAGCTCTGAAGGTTACCCCAGAGGATGATGTGCAAAGTATGGGAATTTCTGAGATTGACTTTGATTCAAGAAGACTCAGGAGCCCTAAACCCGGAATATGATCAGAAACGCGAGGGCCTTGAGGACACCGATGATGAGGATAATGACAGGAAGGAGGCTCTCCAGGACTCTGACGCGGATTGGGTTGGGAGGAATAAGGCCTTGAGAACATCGTTGCAGAAAATATTGACAGGAAGGAGGCTCTGGAGCTGTTGATAAGTAATCCATCTGATGGAAAAACTAATCAAGTCAATCGTTCACGTACCAATCTTGTCCGTTGAACCACTTTCACAACCAGTTACCACCATATTTCGTTCGTTGAACCGACGTCGTCTACTTCCAACCCATTTTACTCTATCGTCTATCGAAAGAATGAGGTCCAAGGTTCGAAATTCGCCTATAGTTAACCTACAAGGCCGTTTAAATGAGAACCAAGGTCTAACTGCAATCGCCACAAAAAGGTAACTGACCCCGGTGTTGTGTAAACCTCTAAGATCAAGGTTGGCATTTCAGGATTCAAAGCCTCCTACAGGAGAGCCTCGAAATAACACGCAAGGAAGTATGTGATGATGGCCTTCATGACGACACTCATGGACACCACACGAATAAGAAGGAAGCTGCCCCCAGTCTTGTCTCACTTCGGGCCGAAGTGCTCGTTGATTGCATTCATCATGATTCTCGACTCCCACTCCGGAGCGCAGCATACACATACGGACACTCCCGTACTTGCTGAGAGACACTGGCGTGAATGACACCGCACCCAGCGCCACCCATTCTTATGCAATTTAAGTATATGTCGTCCTTGGAGGCCAATGGCATCAAATCATTGCTAGTGACTTCTAGACCCGATACACCAAGAAAGAGGCGAATGCATCGATCCGCCTGGATGAAAACGATCCTAATCTTATTGAGAAATGGTTTGAATTCTTATACACAAGAGCCCATGTCTTACCACCCAATCTGGCAGATGGAACTTTCCCTCTTGCAGATTCTGTAGCTGGCCGAAGTCTACATTACGTTCGAGCACGTGGTTCTTATGTCAAAATCCATGGGGGGCAGCCCTGCCTGCCTGTGAGATGGCGGATATTTATATCGACAAGGTGTCTATTGATGGACGAGTCAAGAGATTCGCGGAGGAACTTCCAGGTTCAACCTCTGAATTTCGATCTCATTCGAGCGGATTTCCTGTCGTCCGCATCGTTGTCATCGTCCGCTTCGTTGTCATCGTTGTCATCGTTGTCATCGTTGTCATCGTTGTCATCGTTGTCATCGTTGTCATCGTTGTCATCGTTGTCATCGTCCTCCTCGTCCTCCTCATCCTCATCTTAAGAACCAGGATACAGCGTGATATGGAGAGGAGGAACTATAAGGGAGCGCAAATGGAAGGCAAAAAATGATGAGGGGTTACTGAAGGGGGTCGAGAGGTGCAAAACGAGGGAGGGCAGACGATGAATTGCACTGCGATAACTTTCAATTCCTCAACACCAGAGGGACGCAAACGTTATCTGGCATACCAAGCTTGAATATTCGGATTTTTTTCTGATTGAAGTGATCAGAAAACTATGAGAAGGTATGAGATTACAATCTTATTCGAAGAATTAACTCGACTACACTCGTTCGGCATTTTCCTCCCATCCTCAACCACTGGCTCCTCAATATTCTTCGAAATTTCCAGCTAAGGTTCGAGATTAGCGTTATCTTTCTGGAGGCTCTCCACGAGGCCCCTGGGTTCAACCAAGCCCTCGACAGCTTGCTGTGTACGGATGTGCTGCCGGTTGGCATTTTCGAATAGTGTTGAGTGTCTCTTACAGAAATCGCCGTTCTCACTCTTGAGCATAAGAGCATAGTGAATTGCTATGAAGAAGCCCAGTGTGTTGTAAAGCAGTGGTAACTCGACTGAGGGTTCGACTCATTCAACTCAAAGCTGGCTTTTTCCTGCGAAATTTCATTGTCCTGGCGACGAAAAGAGTTGTGACGATTGAAACGTTATGGCAAATAACGAAGTAAGCTTACACCTTAAGGTTATTGGTTCAAGTACTAAAAAGGATTGTTTAGACGTATCCCTCGGCCACGCAACAGAGAGCAGCCCGCCTGAAACTGCTGGACAAAAGCTACGTCGTGTCGAATGGAACGAAAGGATCCCCACGATCCCTACCACTCCTCCCCTCCCCAACATCCAAACCCCCAAAGAGGCGCACGGCTACGCAGCAGTATCGCCGTGAAAAGATGCGACGGAATAAGAAGGCAAGAAAGCAACACAGGAAGGAGCTTACGGAGCTCAAGAACGAGGGGGATGAGGTCGCCGCGTCAGGTATGGCGCCCTAGTGTTGGTGAGGAGATGAATGCTGCAGTCACTACTGTCAAAATACCCTCCCAACCGTCAAAAGTCTAAAGATACACTCCTGCTACCAGCAGTGTCACTATGAGAAGAGGTGATGGATCAGTGGACGCCACGAGACAATGCAAGAAATACTTCCCATCCCTGAACTGCGCGGCATCCAAACTCCAAACACGCGTACTGCCAAGCGGCAGCAGTATAATCCCAAGAAGGGACGAGGACGCGACAAGGCTAGCCTTTTTTGATGTTTCATTTCGTCAGTTTAGATCTGCCTGTTACTTGCAACTTCCTAACTTCTATCTAGAGTGCTCATTTCATTGCGGCATCCATTATCTTTGGTGTCTGCAATGTCAGTTTCTCTTTTATCTTTTATCGATGGGTATTTCTTACTATATGAACAGATCGAGCGGATTTGGCCACGTAGCTTTATGTCAGCTGGGCCTGTTGAAGAGTAAGGGGAGGCAGGTCCAGTAGTGAAAAGCGGAGCCTTTGTCAGGGGTTATGGGTAGTATACCAATCTTCTTAGACTTCTATAGAGCCTATGAACCTAACTTGATCTGCCGAATCACGGGATATTTAAGGTCGGGCTTCTGGCGTTTTAACATAAGAGGGGTCACCCGAATCTAGTAAGACTGACTCTTTTTTAGAACAGGAGTGCTGTTCTAGGGGTAATATGAATAAGAGTGATAGTGCAAATGTACTGCAAGGATAATGTGTGGCACTGTAGGTCTAGGTTGATTATGATATAATCGCTGGAGAGCTCCTCAGTTCTGCCCCGTGCATCTGTTGAAGTGCGTGCCTTAGATAAGCTCCTTAAGCGAGTATGCTAGTCTGGATCTGTCTTATGCTGTTGGCATTTATATAGTTGTGTTGTCTCCATACTGCAGCCTTGCTCTAGTTTCTTAGCGGTTGTTCTCATACGAGCTTATGGCAGTACTACTGTTATACTGCGGGAGTTCTTCCTCATGTGTGGGACGTAACACCCATCCTAAAAATTGCGTCCCACTTGATGAGGATTGCGCTGGCGTTTACCATTCAAACCACCATGAACATCACCCAGATTTTATCAAATCCTGGTCGATCTGTGCTGATAAGCATTGTCTCGGTAGTGTCAAAACCGATTACGAGAGGGGTTTGTGCGTGGTGTGTTTAACTTGTTGCCTGGTTCTTTATCTATCAAAAATACAAATACGAAGGGTTCAAAGCGGTGAGACTGAAGGTTCTCAATTTGAGTGGCAATCAGATACCGAAGGGAGAATACGAGGGTCGGGCTTTGGCACCCACTGCCATCGAGACTATTGCTGATACAGGTTTATGTGGGGCAAGGCTTGGAGCCTAGTAGAAACTCGTTGATTTCCCCAGTCTACTCAGAGGTTGAAAATAAGACGCAGACTCAGCAAAAGGAAGATGTGCGCGATTTGTGAGATTAGATGAATCCCCAATAAATCAGCCAAAGTGTGTCTGACATGTTTTCCAGTCAAGCCGAGGACACCGAGTCGTTTATGCAGCCACTGCGTGGCTGCATAAACCGATCAAATGTGGAATGCAACCTTGGATCTGTCTGAGACACGGACATAAAACAAGGCCACTCAGGTCGGGCGATAAGTTATCGGAACACGGACCGATAAGGTCAGGCCAGGGTCTACCGGGTCAGCCCGAGCGGATCCCGCGGTCATGGCGGTGGCACCCACCCGGCTTTCGGCCCGGTTGCGTGCTCATAATATACGTACACCACCCCACTATGTCTCAAACTCAACAACAAAAAGTCGATTGGGGTACTCTTCAAGTGCTGGAATATCCTATATACGAGGAGATAGTCTCAAGAATGGCCCGAAAGCTTGATGTACCATATTGTAGACTTCCAGCCCGTTTCCAAGGTCGCCATTCCAGAGCGGCTTCTACGGCCGCAAATTTTGTTCCAAGTAAACGTTCAATGACTCTTTATTAGTACACCGAAGCTGTACCATCACAAATATGATACAGTGTACAGCAAATCAAATTATTAAGCAAACCACAAGCCCACAGACTTCCGAACACGCTAGCCCGAAATACATTTCGAGATTGTAATGACATTGTCTACGTCCAATCTAAATTCATGCGTAAGTACCCATGGATCAACTTGACTTAAAACAAAAGAAACCACTGTTTATCAATCCAAGATCAAAACTCCGATCCGAGTTCAACATGCGCATAATTCTCAAGGTCTGGCAGAAGCCTAGAAACTCGTATCCAGATTAGGCGAACAACAACTCAACGAGTCAGTAAAATTCAATCATAGGTATTCGATGGAACAATAGAACATGGAGGAATTCTCAAAAACAAGAAGTTTTCGTATGCAAAATGGGAAATATTGCTATTGTTGAGTGCGTCGTGGCGAACAGGGATGTTCATACAGGGATGTTTTTCCAGGATTCATGGATTTCGCGGGGAAGGATGTATCAAATCTTTGAAAAATTCCGCACGCTTCAAAGCTGACACCAAGCTTAGCCAAGTGGAGACCTCGCTCGTGAATGACACGATCACTATCAACAAATTTACACATTTGTGTCTGGAAGAAGAACGGTGGACATGGATGTGGTTATACATTGTTTCCAAAACATTGAAAGAGGTCACAAATTAATTCCTTCTCACTTGAGGTCTAATATGAGTTATTTTACGTAGTCGCTTGGTAATTAATTGCTCCTGGCTCACTTTCGATGGGTTTGTCAAGAGCACAGGTGGCGATCTAGAACTGCGTTTGGATACTCAAACATGTATGATACCGGAATGTCATCGAGACGACCCGAAATAGCTGAAGTTAGTATTTGAATTGTTGGTTTGACTTTGCCAGATTGTCAATGACGAGAAGAGATGAAAAAAATAAGTGGAAGAGGAAAGATAACAAAAAAAAATAAGAGTCTAGTTACCACCACCTCTTCATCTGCTCGCATTGACTTACTAGGTGGGCAAACATGTTAGTATTCCATTGGTCATTCTGTTCTAAATTTAATACAATTCAAAATATACACTGTTCATATGAGCACCCGACCCGACCGAAAACCAGCCAGGGACGCGTACATGTACAGCGGTGTGTGCGGTCCGATAAGGATCTCAGACCCCCAATAGTAATATTTTCTTGACCTTTTTTTTCAAGTTGTTTTTTCTTGGTAGACGGTTTACTCCCTCCCTCCTTCACCTCACTCTCGCTTTTGCCAAGACGTTTTGAAATCTACTTCGCTCGTTCTCAACGTGTCACCTAGTTTCGGGCGACAGGTTCCTGCAGGATAACAGGGTATCCTAGACCTAGACGGAGATGCAGCACTCCTCACTTCTCATACTTTCGTTTTTGAGCACTTATGTCTTGTGTTGGCCTTATGATGATAATCTTGTGGATTGGAACCTTAATCAGAACCACACTGCGGAAGGCCCCATTGATTACTCTGGAGCCTGGCCCGACAATCATCAATACCATCCTTCGCCAGACAACTGGCGCTTTCCTATCTATACAATCTTTTTGGATAGGATATCTAATGGAGATCCCACAAACGACGATATCAACGGCACCAAGTTCGAGCATGTGGTCAACTCTAATCAGATGCGACACGGCGGCGACCTGGATGGGTTGCTGGATACGCTGGACTACATACACGGCATGGGCTTTAAGGTATGCAGCTTCAATCCTGACCTAACCCAAAAGCTAATGCAAAAATCTAGGCTATTTACTTCGCCGGGACATATTTGGAAAATCTACCTTGGGCCTACGATGGCTACTCACCGGCTGATACCACTCTTCTCGATAAGCACTATGGCACACTGGAGGACTGGAGACAGATCGTCACCGAGATACATGACAGAGATATGTATATTCTGGTCGACAACACTCTTGCAACGTAAGTGAATGCTCCAAGGAAAGTTTCGGAATTTCCTTTGTGGATGCCCAGAAGTTTATCTTGTCTGGGGTTCTCGTGCCTCTGGCGTTCATGTCTGCTGTTGGATCTCTACGATCGCTTTATCTTCCTTCCCTCTCTCGCTCACACACATCCGTCCCTTATGACACATCCGTCCCTTATGACGAATTCTGCTGAGAACTTTCCTATTGTTCCTGTTGTTATTCCTTTTCTTCTTTCTGTGTGCTCATTTCCCGTTGTGGACACTCTACAGCAGCTGCATGCCAACGACTGCATCGCTAACATATCTCATAACATAGATTGAGCAATCTGATCGGATTCAAAGGTCACCTTAATGGATCTGCAGATTTCAAAGCAAGCGAATATAATGTCGAATGGGTCACAGACAGACAATATGCTGATTTTTCGTTTGAGAACACCTGGAATGACACATGCGAGTACCCTAAATTCTGGTTTGAAGATGGGAATCCGGTGACAACTATGGGAGTGCAAGATCTACACGGGTGCTATAACAGCGACTTTGATCAGTACGGAGAGCTAGAGGCATTCGGTAATTTCCCTGACTGGCAGCGACAACTCACAAAGTTTGCCTCAGTGCAGGATCGCCTGCGTGAATGGCACAAGCCAGTTCGCGACATAATCACTCGGCACTCCTGCATTCAGATTGCCAGCCTGGATATTGATGGATTCCGCTTCGATAAGGCTGTGCAAGCGACCCTCGAACCCCTCAGCGAGATGATGGCCGTCTATCGCGAATGTGCGAAGAAGCTTGGCAAAAATAACTTCTTCCTCCCCGGAGAGATCACATCTGGAAATACGTTTGGAAGTCTCTATCTCGGCCGCGGCCGTCAACCAAATCAGTGGCCGGACTCTGCAGGCGCTGCCGTCAAGCTAACAAACACATCCGAGGGGGCTTTTCTCAGAGAAGATGGGTTACAAGCTTTGGATTCTTCAGCATTCCATTACACAATCTACCGCTCACTCACTCGTTTTCTAGGAATGGACGGTAACTTGGTTGCAGGCTTCGACTTACCTACCGACTTCATTGAGGCCTGGAATGAGATGCTCGTCACGAATGACTTCCTCAATGCCTTCACAGGAGAGTTGGATCCCCGGCACATGTACGGCGTTTCCAACCAAGATAACTTCCGTTGGCCAACAATCAAGAACGGTACCTCAAAGTACCTTCTTGGCCTCAACATTGTCACATTGGTGCTTCCGGGTATTCCTCTCATTCTATGGGGCGAAGAACAAGAGCTATATGTCTTCGATGCCACAGCATCGAACTATTTGTACGGCAGGCAGCCTTTGTCATCTCAGACAGCATGGTGGACAAATGGCTGCTTCAACCTGAACACAACAAAGTTCTACGATTTCCCGATTGAGAAGGGACGCGATGGCTGCAACGATATCACTGTCACATATGATCAGCGCAATCCTGCTCATCCCCTGCGAAACATCATGAAACGAATTTTTGAAGTTCGCGCTCATTATCCGGTCGCAAATGATGGCTTGTTTCTTCAAACAATATCTCAACTGACAGAAGACATTTACCTTCCTGGTTCATCGACTACTCCCACGGTCACTGGTCTTTGGTCGGTATTGCGAGCCTACTTCCCTGCAGTCCAGACGGATGCTATTCTGGCCAATGAAACCCTCTGGCTTGTCTACCAAAATGGCAACACGACTAAGACATATGGGGGCAAATGTTCAAACAGCAGCGCTGCCTTGTTATCTCCTTTTGCATCCGGGGAAAAGTTGAAGAACCTCTTCTATCCCTACGACGAGCTTACAGTAGACGATGGTCCGACCGAGACCTACGGATGCATCAAAGGGGGTATGGAGCTACTTCCATCGGAGTACCGAGCCTATGTTCAAGCCGGCATGTTCGTGGATCCTGGTCCTACCGTTACTGAGTTTGTCCCTGGTCATGATGCCAGACTATTGTCGGCAGAAGATAAGAGTGAGACTATTCCAATTCAGCTTGGATATTCTGTAGAAATGGACTGTGACGTTATTACGAACGCGATCAGCCTAATGTCCACAACAGAGAAAGGCATCGTTGCCTCCCTCGATACTTCCAGTGTGAAGTGTACCAACGTCACAGCCAGAACTACAAGCAAGAACTATGTTGGAGAGATTCCGACTGTTTGGACATGGTCTGCAAATCTGTCCAATGTCCATCATGGAGTTCATAAAATAAAAATTGCCAACATTTCCAATGCGACCGATAGCTTTTTGATCCGCGTCGGTGTTCATACCAATCCCCTGATCACTCCGCTGGCCAATTACTCCACGAGCCTCGTACAAAAATCCGACGATGGGTACTATATCAAGCACAATGCCGCAGGAGCTGACAAATTTCGGTATTCAGCTGATTTCGGGAGCACCTGGTCGGAATGGACGACATACGAGGGCGGGAATACTAGTGTTACCATTCCGACTTTCACTGGGACATCCAAACAGGCATGGAAAGGAACCCATATACGAGTACAGTATTTTTCCAGGCTCACCGGGAGCAGCGATTATATTCAGGAAGGTGATTACGGTTGGGAAGAGAACGCTGTCCGGAGGTTCCCTCACTTGTGGTTCAACGGCCCTTTCAACCAGTACGGCTACGATGCAGGGGTGGCCAACGAAATGCAGTTTGAACCAAAGACTTTGCGTTGGAACTATGACTTTGTCTATGAATGGCCCGCCGTGGGTCAGCTGAATGCCTGGGGTATAGACTCGTCAGGTGTGCCGGACAACACGGAGGTCTATGGCGACGTCGGAAACTCGTCTACAATATTAAAGCTTCCACCGTCCTATCTCTCATCCAACGTGATCAATATCACCGACTTGCCTCCATTTCCACATCTTGGATGGAAAATCTCTCTCAATGACGGGAATCTACGATATGAAAAGATCCCCATCGGATCTGGATGGGCGCAACTCGCTCTCTTCATTCTTCTGTGGGTTGGACCTATTGTTATGGGTCTGGCAGGAGTGTTCATCTTTATTCAATTCTTCTATCAAGTCAAACTCAACAAAGACGGCAATGTTATCAAGCTTGAGACTCTACCTGTCTTGTTCTGGCGCAAAGTCAAAGTCAAAGCCAAATTACACAAGCACGGTGACTTGGAGAACGCAATTTCAAAGAAGGCTCTTCCTGCCAGCATTGCCGTAGGAGGAGTGGTCGACCAACAGCGTCGGACGGTTTTGATTGCCACCATGGAGTACGACATCCAAGACTGGAAGATAAAGGTGAAGATCGGTGGCCTGGGCGTCATGGCGCAACTCATGTCCCAAAACCTGAAGCACCAAAATCTCATCTGGGTGGTGCCATGTGTTTCCGATATTGTCTATCCAATGGACACACCGATTGAACCGTTTGTTGTTCATATTCTTAATAGGCCATACTTGGTCCAGGTTCAGTACCACGTCGTGGAGAACATAACCTACGTCCTGCTTGACGCACCAGTCTTTCGACAGCAGACCAAAGCCGAACCTTATCCGCCCCGTATGGATGATCTTGATAGTGCAATCTATTATTCAGCTTGGAATCAGTGCATCGCGGAGACAATTAAGCGCACACCCATAATCGACTTTTACCACATCAACGACTTCCACGGGTGTGTCGCACCGCTGTACTTGCTGCCGACTCGAACCATTCCAGTATGCCTATCCTTACATAATGCCGAATTTCAAGGACTATGGCCACTGAGAACAGCGGAAGAGAAGGAGGAAGTCTGCTCCGTTTTCAATCTTCCAGTTGACATAGCAACCAAATACTGTCAGTTTGGAAACGTGTTCAATCTTCTACACACGGGTGCTAGCTATCTCCGATTCCATCAGCGCGGTTTCGGTGCAGTGGGTGTATCTCAAAAGTATGGAAAGCGATCATGGGCGCGGTATCCAATTTTCTGGAGCCTCAGCAACATCGGCAGCCTTCCAAATCCAGATCCCTCTGATACAGGTTCTGTGGAGCAAGGCGCAGAAGTGCCAGTCAATATTCAGTCAAACGCTGAACTCATTCATGATAAACTACAGGCACAGAGATGGGCTGGTCTGAACGAAGACCCGAATGCGGACTTGCTGGTGTTTGTGGGACGCTGGTCCAAGCAAAAGGGAGTAGACTTGATCGCGGATGTTATGCCGGGTATTCTATCTACTAGACCGCTTGTGCAACTGATCGTGATCGGTCCCCTTGTTGATTTATATGGCAAGCTAGCTGCGATCAAACTGCAGCGGATCATGGAAATGCACCCAGGCCGCGTGTTCTCGAAGCCAGAGTTTACGATTCTGCCACCATACGTATTTTCTGGGGCTGACTTTGCCCTCATCCCATCACGAGACGAGCCATTCGGATTGGTTGCAGTTGAATTCGGTCGCAAGGGTGCTCTCGGGATCGGTTCTCGTATTGGAGGTCTAGGCCAGATGCCTGGTTGGTGGTATACTGTAGAATCCGACTCTGCTCGCCATCTTTTGCACCAATTGAGGACCGCCATTGAATCTGCCTTGGAGTCATCCCCAGAGACCAGAGAGGAAATGCGTGCAAACTCTGCCAAACAGAGGTTCCCTGTTCTAGAGTGGGTTCGAAAACTCGAAGAGTTGCAACGAACTTCAATCGAGATCCATCACAGCAAGAACAGAAACAGTGTCATAAGTCACACGCGGGACTCTCAGGCAGATTGGGATATACAGGGTTTGCAGCCTCCAAGTTTCCGCCCCGTCTCTCACCATTCAACGACTGGGGCTTTAGAAACAACACCGGAGGGAACAGCAGAGCCCAAACAGGCTTCTCTTCTGGAGTTACAGGCAGCTGAGCATGGAAATATACAGGAGTCAGACAGCATCAGAAACAGCGTTCTAGGTCGCAAACTGTCTCTCGGTCGAAGATCCGGACCTGGACAGGGCAGAAAACGTCTCGTAAAGAGAGCGCTGTGTGATGTTCGAGGATTAGAAGTTGATTATACTGACGCTGAAGAAGATGGCACTGAGACTCCACAGGAGGAGAACATCTCTCCGGAAGAGGCAATGGCGGCGATTAATCGGACTCTTAGATCCCATGATCTCAAGCAATCATCCCTTGGCAACAGAACCTTTAACGATGACTCTACCGCCGACTCGCCACACTTTGTATCCAGGGGCAATTCTCCAGTTCGAACACCCAAACATCATAATGGCATTCCTGGTGATGCCACGCCTGTGACTCACACGCGTGCTCTATCCACTCTATCATTAGTATCTGTCTTTGAGGATCACGACCAACCTGTTTTCAATCTGCAAAAGGTCGACCCTACTTTCACTGACAGCATGGGTTATTTCACGCGCAACTTCGAAAAGCTGCTCGCTAACCTGAATAAGAAAAACTCGATCACAGATCACTGTATCGAAGTATACTTGATGAAGAGTGAGCGGAAATTTTTCGACATGTACACCAACGCTCAGTTGAAAAAGCAGCCCAAGGTGTTGGAGCGTCCCCTGACGGGAACTGCCTCAAATCATGCTACTGATGACACAGAGCAAGAGAGCACGTCATCTCCAGCTGAAGACTCCGAATCTAATGGAGCTGATGGCATTGATCAATGGCTCTCTCGTCTTGGATACAAGAGACCTATCGCGATACAGAGATTCATGAGATGGCGCGTCGGAAATTGGCCTGTTTACGCTCTTTTCTTGGGTCTCGGGCAGATTATTGCGACGAATTCAGCGCAAATAACTCTTCTGGTTGGCCAAATTGGCGAGACTGCGGTCAAGCTCTACGTGATTGCAGGAGTCTACTGTCTGTCTTCCATTGTTTGGTGGTTCTTGTTCTATCGCTTTCCGTCCGTGGTAGTCCTCACTCTCCCCTGGTTTATCTACTCCATTGCGTTTGTCATCATCGGTATCTCACCCTTTGCGCCCTTATCTGCCGGTCGAGCCTGGGCGCAAAACATTGGTTCAGGTGTTTATGCCGTCGCATCATCCAGCGGGTCCCTGTTCTTTGCCCTCAATTTTGGTGATCAGGGTGCTGTCCCAGTCAAGGATTGGATGTTCCGCGCAAGTCTGATCCAAGGCATCCAGCAGCTCTACACAGTCGCTCTGTGGTTTTGGAGTTCCCGCGTGACTGCAGTGGAAGTGGAAGGCATTACCACGGCCGCATTAAGTTCATGGAGACTTACGGCTGTCGTGATGCCCATTGCTGCAGTGTGCTTCACCATTGGCGTGCTTCTTGCCCTAGGACTACCCCAGTACTACCGTCAAGCGCCGGGAAAGATTCTCTTCTTCTATAAATCATTGTTCCGTCGACGCGTCATCCTCTGGTTTTTGTTCATGGTGATCATTCAGAACTGGTTCCTCTCTGCCGTCTTCGGTCGTAATTGGTCATTCCTTTGGTCATCTCAGCACGCCAAGTCATGGGAAGTTCTTGTTCTGGTCTTGTTCTTCTTTATTGTTGTTTGGATTGCTGCCCTTCTTGTCTTCCGTTCTTTATCAAAGTCGCACAGTTGGATACTGCCTGTCTTTGGTTTAAGTCTTGGTGCACCGCGCTGGGCACAAACCTGGTGGGGAGTATCCAACATTGGCTATTATCTCCCATGGGCCGGGGGTCTGACTTCTGGAGCCCTCGTCTCGCGATGCCTCTGGCTCTGGCTAGGAGTTCTCGATGAAATTCAGCAAGTTGGCCTCGGAATGATTCTCTTGCAGACATTGACAAGGGTTCATGTCTGTTTCGTCCTGTTGGCCGCCCAGTCTCTTGGGTCCATCGCCACGATTTGTGCGCGCGCCTTTGCACCTAACAAAATAGGTCCTGCTGGGGTCTTTCCAGATATTGGCTCGTCGTTGGATAGAGTTGGTAATGCTTGGTTTTGGATTGCCCTCTTCTTCCAGCTTTTGGCTAGGTGATTCTTCCATCTCCCCACGCCCGTCATACCTTCTTATCTTGACATCTTTACTAACCAAATTCAACAGCTTTGGGTTCCTTCTCTTCTATCGTCGAGAACAGCTTGATAGGCCGTGATATTGTTCTTTATCGAAGCAAAATAGAATTTATTTTTATACGTGGAGGATATAGTTTGGTATAAATCATTCTGTGTGGAAATTTGAAATATTATTATCTATGGACAAACCTTCAGACTTCTTGATCTATACCTTGTTATATGCATAGATAGCTGTCTCATATAGAAATATCCTACTATCTAAGTCTATCGATTTGGTGGGGCACATAACTGCACCAAAATAGAGTCTGCTATTGAATTTACAGTCATTGGCGCTTGTTTCAGTCTGGTCCGTAATGCCAGCAAGACTGCAGCGGAGGGTTATACGTGGTAGATTGAGTTACTATGCAACTCTGTTGAAAGACGTATTTCCCATGTTCTTAATAGCTTGGATTGCCAGTAAGAACCTACCCTCTTATAACCGATTTTGAGAGGATTGGGAAGGAATTGGTGGCATCGTGGATGGTTCGAGAAGAAAGGTTAAAATTTGGACGCGTTGTCTTCATTCCCTTAAGTTGGCCTCCCGCTTATAGATTACGTTGACCGTGGGCCTCAATATACGTCCCATGGGAGTGGACTTTCATGTCCGTTTCGGGATTCCCATGCGAGCTCAGATGGCTATTCATTATGACTAATGCTAGTATCTATTCCCGCATTGACTTGACGGAGTATAAGCGGGAGAGTATAGAGACACTAGATCTACATAAAAGGAGTTGTGGTTCTAGTAGGATTATGGGCGCATGATACCTGGACTTACGGACTGAGTAGATAATCAGGGAGTTCTATACGGCCCGCGAACTGGCACATGAGACCGTAGAGAATCTCTAATTAATATATCCCTAGAATCCAGACTCTTCTATTGAAGAGTCTGGCTTATACCGTTTGGTCTAATGGAATAACTACGTGACCAAACGGTATAAGCCTTATTACTATATGCGGGCGTTGACTACATAAAAAATTATGTATTTTTTTTTTTCCCTAAAACCACTATAGTATACCTTGAATATAAAAAAGTTATAATAGAGATATATTTATTACTTTATTATATATATAATTACCTAATTAAAAAGGGTATAGCCCAATATTAAACACATGTAATTTTTTTGTATTTTTGTTAGGACTGGGGTCCCAGAGAAGATAAGGATAAGAGTGATGACGAAGTATCGTACTAGGTACGGTATCGTTGGATTAATGGTAATATAATCGCTGGAGGACTCTCATAAGTTCTCCCGCGATCCTAACTTAGTTAACGTAATTCACCCCCGAGCCGGCCATCCCGGTCGGCCCGGCCACCTCATCAACTTCAATTAATTCAAACCAGCATAATTCACCCAAAATAACGTAATATTGAATATCTAAGCTATTTAATCAATTTTGGACATCTGGTTCTTTTATGACCATGGATACCGCATTCAGAGCATTTATATGGCGCCCTAGATCGTCGTTCTTGTGCTTCTGGTTGACCGGTTGGCTGGTTAGATGAAGCTTCAATTTGACCATTTCTATTATTTTGAGCTATTTCTCGAAGCTCAGCGACAGATAGGCCCTCTGGAGCTGATACCCGGAGCTTAGAACGTGCTTTTTTTGACTCTTTTTTCTCCGCTCTAGCGCGTAAAAGCTTGATATGTTGAGTTAGAAGAGCGTGATTATGCATATAGATTTAACATGATTTAAGCACCCGAACTATATAAGAAAGTAGCGGGCTTAGTAGGCTCTTAGAGCGTGCTTTTAAGAGCTTTTTAATCGAAATTTCATGCTTCTAGAGCTACTTATGATTCGAAGGTGTCTAATATATGCTGCTTTAGCTACTTTAGCTACCTCGAGATAGTGGTAGTGTGTCACGGCGTGACCTCTGGGAGCATTCAGAAGCTAAACCGCTGCGCTATCAGCAAAAGACTAGTATGTAAAGCCAAAGCTTTACACTGCTCTCGCATATATATACCTTAATCTATAGGCAGAACTCAGGCAGAACTCAGGCAGAACTCAGGCAGAACGGTTGTACGCATACACACCGTGACATAGTGTAGGCGTCTAGAGCTAAATATTGTCACGGATTTTGAGAGCGAATTGGTGGCATGGTGGTTGGTTAAAGGAATATAGTCTAATTAATTAACGCGTTTTGGTTAGGGTGGCCGGGCCGACCGGGATGGCCGGCTCGGGGGTGAATTACGTTAAGTTACTATTATGGGCTTAGCTAAGCACTCCCATGAGAGTTCGGGGTAACTTTATCCAATTCCACGCCCCAGGTGTGGGTGTTCTCCGATACACCTCCGGGCTTCTGTGCCCTCACTACTAGACTTCTCCGTTCGTGCCGTAACAATTCTACTCCCACGGGACTCCCACGGCGGGACTAGACCTTCTAACCTACTCCCATGGAAGTTATGGGAATTCCCATGGGCTAAACCTTTACTAAGTCCCATCGGAAATGTCAAGGTCTAATCTCAGCAACGTGACGCTGATATCATTGCGATCCTATCACCATATTGACAGACTTTGCTAACTCAATTGGTTTACTTTCCTAGACATGGTAGGGCTTAAGTTAAAGGCGATATCAAATAGAAGTTATATTTCGCCACACATTATTCCCGGGAGTTAACAATATATAGACGAAAACGGTCTTTGAGCAATGGAGGCCGCTAGCGACCGTTATGACCACCTCATACATTAAAAGCTCAAGTTTACATCACTCACCATTTGGTTACATAGTGACGTATATATATAGGCAGTCTATGAATCATCTTACTGTATGGGAAAATATATGAGTACTATAAGGAAACCTACGCTGAGAGTGATACGGCAGGAATGATCATTTCTAACGCTTATCATTCTCATATTCATCTACTACCTTCCACCCCAATAACCCCAGAGTGAAAAAAAGATGTCAACAGGAGGTTCGAAACCTTCTACTGGGTCTGTACCCTCTTTCTTCATCACTTCAAGATATTTTTATAATCGCACTGCTGCGTTACCTATATAGGTTGGCATCTTTATTTATAAGATTCAAGATGCTGATTCTTGCCTTTAGTTTGCCCAACCAACCAGACACTAAAAAGGACGGTCAAACTACCACTGGCCAAAAGGACGACCGAAAGGACGACCAAAATAACGACCAAAAGGAGGACCAGAAGGATGGCCAAGTGACTGACAAAAAATCATATGATGTTGATGACAAACCGCCGCCAGGACCATGGGGTAACCGTGGCGTCACCTCACCTAAAGCGGGAACAAAGAGGCCACCGCAAAAGGATTCGAGTTTGAACGTTAGGATCAATTTAGACTTAAGGGCTGATGTTGCTCTGGAACTTCATGCGGTCATACAGGGTGATGTTACGATCGGGCTTTTCTAAGATGGTCTCTAACTTTGGCACATTATGTCATATACACACACTATAAGGGCAAATAAGCAGCTGTCTCTAATACTTAAGGAAGAAGGTATAATCTATATATTTCCTTCTGTAAGAATTAGTCTTATTACTAATTCATACTATATTAGACCTTGGAACCGCCCGCGAGCCGCCCTTTTGAGGGCCGCCCACGGATCCTCACTTTTGCGGGCGGAGGGCGGGAGATGCTAGCCCTGGAATATTTTTGCCGAGGTCTATAGGCGATATTATAGTCGAGTATAGAATAACTATTCAATATTACTTCAGATATCTATTATCATTATTAAGACCAATTAAATAGCTTCATTATCTAAGAGCTTCTAATATTTCTTTGACTATTACATTTAAATCTCTTGGAGGAAGGTTTTATCTTCCTAAAGAATTTCTTCTCTACTAATATGAATAATTAAGGAAGAGAGGGTATCTCTAGTCAATTGAAGCTTGATCTAATTAGTAATATAGAGGAGGAGGACAGTACTATTTAGGGAGGGGGAAGATAAGAGGAATAACTAGGGAAATATCTATAGTGATTCTTCTTCTGACTGGTGACAAGATGAAGAGCGGTTCACATTACAGAATTTAGGAATGCTGGTTGGCCGTGGAACTTTCGGACGACGAGAAGAGAGCTACAGAGCTAGGCATGGAGGATTAACATGTCTTTGAAGTGTCTTTGGAGTGTATTCTTCGATGATTATGACGATGGGGACCTACTTATTCCCGGCCGCGGAAATACTGCACTGAAGTGATAATCATGCGAAGCGTGGCGAATCCCTGAGGGTTGCCCGCTTGGCCTGAATTGTAGTTCGGAGCTCGCGTAAAGCACAGCAATTTCCAAAGTGGCAAGTTTTCCACCTTCTATCTTTCTAGGTCTCAGATTTCTTTGAATGTGACCCAAATAATCATACCCACTTTCCTATAGTCCCTTTCGTTGTCATGACGCAATCGCCACCGCATCTAAAATGGTTAGTACTTTTATTAGTTGATCATTGTGGTCGATAAAAAGCTAATATTATCTTTCACCTGACGTGAAAACAAAGTTTGATGTTCTGTCATGATTCCGTGGTCCATGCGGAATGCCGGTTGCGTCAATGTGGGGTTTGAAATGAGGTTGTGGCCGAAGGGCCGGGACGCGGCGGGATGGAGCCATGAATATCTTTGTGATTTCATCGGCTCGCATGTCAGTCAATCTCAATACAATATCAAAGGCAATTCCATCTCTTGACCGAGCTTATTGTGCTAACATTGGATCATTGGATCCGGTCAGGACCTATTTTATAGCATGATCCTCCGCTCATGTTATTGGACCTATTTATTTGGCTTGGATTGTTCTAAACTATAGTGTAGTGTTCCTGCGACAGAAAAGACGGAGTGCTCGTTTTACGCAGCCATCTGCTTCGAAATTGATGATTCCATTTACTCCACTTTCTTTGCGTCAGTGTTTCCAAATACATATAGCCATGGGTGCATTGGAGATTCCCATAGACATCTTGCTGTGGGACCGATGTGGATCTGCAATCAACACGGTCCGTGAAGAAAAAGGGAGCTTCCCCGTACCGATCTAACACCGCATTCATGCTGGTTCCATGTCGTTGCTCTAACGGCTCAAGTCATACTTCCAGCTTTTCAGATTTGCCGTGCAAACTTAGTCAAATTAGCGGATACCACACCACGCTCCTATTTGCCACGGATGCCTCGGAAACCTTGACTCCGTCCGGAGAAGTATCTTTGGTCGCATAGCCGTGTTCAGCCATTCACGCGTTGTTTGCAACAGTCCGTCGCAAATATGACTTAATCGACTGTAAGGCTCCTTTGAAGCCGCGACGCCATTAGCAAGCAATAGCTCTCGGTTCGGGTGGGTACGCTTGAGTTGCAGCTGCCTCATACTGACGTCCTGGACTTTGCGGAAGGTAATGAGGAGATGATCATGTTACAAAGGAGAAAAGAATAGAGATATAAGAAAGATTTCTTCTTCAGTCTGGAAGTAGAGTGTACTCGTAAACATAATCTCATCATTTTGTTGTTCCCATAATCTTCCATCACTTGATAATACGACCAAGAAATAAGGCAAGCCATGGATTCAGTACCACAGAGCCTGCCTCCTTTAGCACCCACCTCTCTCCTCGGTTTACAGCGGACATCGATTCCACTGGAGCAGCACGTGACGGCAACCAGGGAAAAGCGCCTCAGTCAACACCAGCAAGCTACTATGAAGTCCAGTGGAGAAAGCACCACGCTTGTTGAAGTAGTCAACTCACTTGCCCACCGAAGCAGTGACGATCTTACGGCCTCCCAGGTATCCAATACGGACTATGCTAGCCTGCTGGAGTGGATTCGGTGCGAGAGGATGAAGAAACTACCACCCGAGGGGAGTAATTATGACAAGGCCCTTGTGTGGGCGGCCTTGTTTGTCGAGCGTGTACATTCTTTCGATTCAGGGATCGAGCAGTTCGCCGGCGACAGCCACCTCGCTGCTCAGCTGTCATATGAATACTGTGCGAGTCTGCTCGAGGTGTGTCAAATGCAACTCGCTTCCGAGCCTATTAAGTCGATTTACTAATCGCGAGCGTGCAGTTGGGTGAATCAAACGCACCGGCCCTTATGGGCCTGTTTGGCTTCTTTTACCGTTGCTCTGCCGGTCTTGGCAACCTGCTGGACCGTGCAGAGCTCTTTGTGGTCTCTTCCGATGTCAAGGACCAGCTTATACTCGCGTTGGCCGACTTGGTGACCCTCGTTGTACAAGTGACCACGCACTTCCACCGGTTGCTACTTTCATCGGAATCGGTCTCAGTTGATATCTATAGTACCTTTCCTAGTCCGATCGACAGTTTCCGTGGTCGCTGTGACCACGCATCAGAACTGATGTGGCGTCACCAATTGATGCGAGAGGGATTTGATAGCATTGAAGGTAATGTCATTTTAGAGAACCTACCGTCATCTGGCCCATTCTGATCATAGGGATACAGGAGTTGGAATTAATACACTCAAAGACTGGCTGCAGCCTGAAGACCCCACACTCGCTCACGCCATAGAGGCCATGGGTCCCTCAGCCCAGGAGCGCGAGGAGGGCACCTGTATGTGGGTTAAACCATTCCTGACGCGGTTCTTGAAAGGCGAGCAGCAGGTGCTCTCTATTATCGGCAAGCCGGGATGCGGTAAGACGGTCTTGTCGACTGTCATCAATGATTATCTACAGCATCCCATAGGAGGGACGAGATATACGTCCATTCTGGCACCTATCAGTAAGTATTGCTACCCTCAAACCATAACCTGCATCATTTTGACCGGTCTCGCCAGATGGTCGGATTGCCGCCAACACGCCCCCGAGGGCCGTGATCAAGGGGATATTGTCCCAAATGTTCAACAAACACCTCGGCAATGTACAGTTATATCAGGTTTTGGCAAATGTTTACAATCAGAGCCAGCGCACTGTCGACGAAGCATCATTTGACGATTTGCTTTGGAATGCCCTGACAGATGCCCTCCAGGCCGCTCTGGCGGGCGCTAGAGAGCTGGTCTTGATTGTCGACGGCGTCGACGAGGCCAGCTGCGCGGAGAGGGCTCTGTTGCACCGACTACATGATGCGGCGTTCAAAAACCCATCCATGAAGCTGATCACGCTCGCATCTCAGCCAGTGGACTCAGATGTCTCCCAGACGACGGTGCGAGCTACGCTGGGGCTCATATTCGATGACATTGCCGCAGTAACCCGCAGGATCCTTCACCAGAGCCATGTCTTTAAGTCCATGTCTGATGAAGACCAGGAGTTGACGGTGACTCGTATCACAGAGGCGTCTGATGGCTCCTTCCTCTGGGCAAAGCTGACCGCCAAGCACGTGCGCGATGAACACTTGCCAACTAAGTCCGCGCTTTCCAAGTCTGTTGATAGCATCTTGAAAGCCGGATACAAAATCACCGACCTTGTTTCGCACACCTTGCAACCTAAACTCAACGAGGATACGAAGAAGATTCTCGTCTGGCTGGCCACCGCAAGCCGCCCTCTCGCCCAGCAGGAATTGGCCGCTCTCCTCTCCATGCAGCCCAACAAGGCCGAAGTCACTGAGCAGCGCGACGTTGACCTCATTCAATTACTGAAACCGGTCGCCTCGCTTGTGTTTTTCCAAAACAACTTAGTCTATCTTAGGCATGCGCAGGTGCGTGTCGCTATTTTGGACGTCTTCTCTAAGGGTGAACTCCTGCCCGCAATTAAGGATCGGAATGTGGACTTTACGCAAAGACTCCTACTATACGCAAAGCACAGTGTGACCGACAGCCATGAGCCCTCTTTGGATCCACTGAACGGGCGGGTGACAGAACACCTAATGGAGAAATATCCCCTGCTGGACTTTGCGCTTCGTTACTGGCCGAGTTATGCCAACATTGCGTTTGGATGCACCAGCGACCAAGGGGTTACTAGAGCGGGCAAGAGCTTGCGATCTGTCTTCCCCACCAGCCCTACTGTGCCCCTTCTACAGATGACCGTGTGGGCAAGCAAGATGACTCCGTCACTCCGGTCCATTCACGGGATACAAACATCACTGTACCGTGAAATTCTGAACAGCAATCACCCGGCCACTTTGCAGGCCATAATCTCCCAGGCGTTATTCCACAGACAGATCTATACTAGTGTGCCTGCCGAGAGCGGTCAAATTTTCTACGAGGCGGCGATAATTTGCCAGAAGATGCTATCCGTCCGACATCTCATCACTATGAAGATGGCACAGTTCTTCTTGGAGGGCACAGCTGACCAAATCACCGATTCTAAGACGGAAGTCATGACCCGGCGTGTTGAAATGCTCCAACTGCTAGTGGAATGCTATAAGGTTCACTATGGGGCGACAAGCGTTATGGTCACTTCCACACTGACGCAGTTGTCCGAGCATTATACTTGCGTGAAAGAGCACAGCAAAGCCCAGGAGATCAATATTTCCCTGGAGGGGTTAGTCACCGACAGCACAACCCAGCGA